GCGACAGGACCGTCAAGATCTGGGATGCGAGCAGCGGCGCGTGCCTGCAGACGCTCCTGGATAGTCGTGCTGTCAACTCGGTTGATCTCGTCTCTATTCTTGCGTTGTCACACTTTGATAAGATCATAACAAACCGAAAGCAATCTGTCTGTCAGGAAGTAACGATTAGCTCAGATAATATCTGGGTTTCTGATAATGTTCAAAAACTGTGGCTTCCGACAGAGTATCGACCAGTAAGCTCAGCTACGTCAAGCAGATGTATTGGTGTAGGTACCGGGTCTGGAAAGATTTGGATATGTAGCTTCGAGTGACATTCGTAGTTTAGGAAGCTTGACTTGTTCTTCTTCTCTTTTAATTTTTAATAACCTTAGCATTCTTAGAGGGATGGAGATAGAGAAGTATATATATTAACTCTTTGCCACAACGAAGCGTCAAGAAGAATCTCTACAGTATGGAAGATAGCTTTCGTCTTATTACGGCTCTTGGTGGATGCTAGGCATTAGGTTCTCGCTATTAGTAGGGCGTGTAGTTACGACGTAGGCTAAGCGCGAGGTCGTAGATGCTTCTAGAAAGCTGCCGTTGTGCGCCACAGCTATTTTCAGTAGTGTCCGCAGCCTATATAACTAGCGTCGAGTTACTTAGTCACAAATGAGGTCACGGAAATTTGAGCACGCTACTACAAGCTACCGCGTGCTAAGAGCGGCGATGGCCCCACGCCCGTGTAGGTGAGTTTTGGCGATCTTGCTCTCTGCGCAGAGAAACTGCCGGCATGTGCCTATATTACCCTAAGTCTACATTGCGAGGCTGTAGTCTTGATCTTTGCTATCTTAGCCTCCTTCTTAGTCTACCGAGCTTTTCGCAGACATGTACTGTCGCAAACAGACAGGGGGTGATAGAAGAGAGTCGAAAGACAATGCTAACAAAATGAGTGACAGCACGGTCAACAGCGCGCTTTTTAGCGGAGACTAATACGCTAGGAAAGCGAAAGCTATAGAATAGTTGCGCATTACATTTGACATTGAGGACACTAGAGACGATCCGAGGGTCCGGAAGAGAAAGCGTCCCGTTATACCGTGCGTCCCGGCACGCTTGGATGGACGTTATTACGACAATTCTAAGTATATAAAGCTGTATGGACCTCAATATATCTCATTAGCTCAAATGTCCTCCCTTAATACATCCGCGCTACTGGTGCCCGCTAGGGCTCTGGTGCCTTTGGTGTTTCGGGCACCATTGCTGAACCGGGCACAACACTCTTCCGCGTAACTTTTGCCTTCCGCACTGGTACTGCCGGACCCGCCTCTACCTCCTGTCCTTGCCCTGTGTTGGGTTCTGACTCTGGGCACTTGCGCTTATGAGTGCGCTTTCCCTTACCCATAGTAGCTTTGGCATTCTCCTTCTCAGCACGCTTCTTCCTCGCCTCTTTAAGGTCTTCGTAGCTCATTACCTTCGCTTTCCCCAAGATAACAGACCTGGTCGATCGGCGGAGTTTAGCTTCTTTGTTCAGCGTCGACAAGAATTGATTCTGGTCTTCCAGGAGGACCTGTTTGGCGAAAGATACCTGAGCAGCATTTGCCAGTTTCTGTACGTGTCTCTGCAAGTGATGTTTGCTTGATTCGTCAGGAAGCGCATGAGCATCTCGTTGGATTAATGTATGTAAAGACGCTAGACCCTCTATTGTTACTAGCGTTATGGGCGTTTTCAAGACTTCAACTTGCGGAGGGGGTTCCTCATTTGAAATACTTATTGTTAGCTTAGGGGTAGGTTTCGGCATACTCCGGAGTACCCTCTCTGGATTGAATGGCAATAGACCCGTGGCTGCCCACGAAGCGGTAATGTTCCTTTTAGAAAACGCCTTGTCTCTTGCAGGCTTATAGAGAGACGTGAAATGCTCCTTGCTAATGTTGTCCAGGCCTCCTTGAAGCAGTCGTTCAACCTCGTCGCGGTGGGCTGCTTTAAGAGACGTAAAGACTGCAACGTCGTAGGGCTATATCTTATAAGAAGTATGAGAAGGGAGGCAGCATAGGAGAATATTAGCTTTAAAGCAGAACTCTAAGATCTTGAGTGTTTCATGGGTCCTAAAACCATCGCATATCAGTACTCGCGGTCTTCCGTTAGCCCGTTCTCTAGTTTGAGGATTGAAGACACGAATGAGCCATTCTAAGCTAATTTTAGAGTTGTTATATCTATTCTTAGAGTGCGTATAATGCCAGCTAGGTGTTGGGTATGTTGTCCAGTTGCTTCGGTGGGTCGAAGCTGGCTAGATGATAAGTGGGAGCAGCGACCTACCATCGCCACTTATATATTTAATAGTAGTTACTATAGTCCGCTTAACGCCTGCTCCTTGGTGTTTACGCAAGTCATCCTTACCTATAAGGACTTTCACCAAGCCAAGCATGCTTAGCATGACTCCTGTCTCATCCATATTATAGACGTTCTCAGGCAGGATAGCTGGATCCTAAATGATGGGTCCAATCACATCAAACTAGTCTACAATCGTCGGGTATATATTATTGCCATGACGCTTCCAGTCTATCGCCTTCACCGTCCTTGCTTTGAGTTTGGGATGGCGTTTCTCGAAGGCTTGAGGCCAGTTCTTGCCCGGGGCCTTTGCCGTGGGCGACCGCTGTCGGGCGAGGATAAGGGCTAGCGAAGGTATATACTTTATACGGACTGGATATCTAAGGTTAGACATTAGTAATAAGAACGCAACTAGCGCTTTCTCTTCCACTAGGGTGAGGTATTGTTGTTTCTGGGCTTTTTCCTTCTCGCAGGGCCGTCTGCAAGCGCGACAATAGAGCGTGGTGAGAGGTACGCCGGCATATTCGGACCGGGCAGCCCATGTCTGGGGTAAATCTACGGGGAAGCCTTCCGCCAGTACCTGGCTGGCTCGGTCCATGTCTACGATGGGTAAGTTGTGATACGATGGTGATGGAAGAGGACAAGCACAGGCTGGAAAGGACACGTAGGCTGCAGCGCTATGTTACCAAAAATAGTATAGCACATACGTTTTCGAGCAAGCGTAGTGATCTAGATTCATTAGGTGTAGCGCTGATTAGCTTAGTAGAAATAAAATACTAAGTAAGCTTAATCAAGATCCTACGCTAAGAAACCATCATACTTCCCCCCACGGAGAAACCTTTTGCCTTTATCCTATGGTGAGTTAAGTGGTCTAGACCAAAAGATAACTATATATTCTCATTGGTAAAATCTCTACAGCGCTCCAAAGAGAAGTAATATGCATCCCATCACAGTGCTGCAGGGGTGGAAAATTAGGACAGCCATAGATGGATGTAAGTAATGGTGAACAGCATGATCAAGGTGTCGAAATTTTGGGTTGCAAGCTAATAATTCGGGGACAAACGCGTGAAAGATACTCATGTCTTGATTATGGCACGAAAAGCCCGCGGGGTAGATAATAAATTAGGGTTGTGGTTTTTCCATGTCCTCACAGGGGGTTTTGCTTCACGCAGGGGGGGATGTTAGTCTGTTTATTGTTGCTATACTGGATACAAAATCTTGTATTCATACTAGTTAAATTGATATATTTCAATTCTCTGATCACCTCGCTATCAAATTGCAATCGAGTCCTACCTTCGTCGTATCGGAGTTGTATACTCGTTCGAGAAATGGCGCAATGTGTTTCTGGTCGTTCAATTTTTATGCTAAAAGCATCCCAGGAATGACATTACGCGTTCTCTGTGTCGTATGAAAATGATTCTTTGAATTTCGAAGATTTTGTGGTCATTAGGAATGTGCACGGTCTTCGGTTCCCTGGCTCGAGCTTCCAGTGGAGTCATAGTCACTAAAAAGTTGATTGTGTAAACCACATGGACAGGGGCAAGCGCTGTGCAGAAACTACTGGACCGCCCGCTTGTGTTTATAAAGACTCGCAAGTCCCCTTTCGTTGCGTCTTACTATCATTTTCATCACTATATATCTCCCTCTCTACACCATTGCCGAGACCGCCCGCATCCTCCCCAAGACACTGCAAGTGTGATGGTTAGCCTGCCGGAAACTTTTGCTGGACCATGCTGATACTACTCTATAGTTCAGAAATCTTGGAGATTTCTGTACCCTAGTTCAAACGCCCGATCTTTGCTAGAAACAACACCACCACGTTGCAATGTCCTGTGCAGCTCCTCGTGGTGGCGTCAGCCTCAATCACAATCCAAGCTCGAGCGGAAATGTGAACTCCAGTGGCACTCAACCGTCCCTCTTCAGGCCTACGCGCGCTGTGTACCCGGCTTTGCCTGGCCAGCCTGACCCTGACGACCTTATACGGGATATTCCATTTCCTGAGAAGGCTGTCTCCGACTTCCAGAGCGTGCCATTCGCCCAGGTAACCAATTCCGTGAATATCTTGTGACTACCTGCTGACCACTTGCAACAGCCACCTCAACGCGATGTCCCCTCCATAATCGTCGCCCACATTTCCAACCCGCAGACATCCAACGCTGAGCCCGACTGGATCCTGCTCATGAACCACTTCAAGGAGAAGCGGAGCCTTGATGGCGTGGGCAACCTTCTGGACCTGTAGGTGACATTTAGCTTAACCTCACACGATCCAGATCTGAACAGCACCGCTAACCTCAATCCTCACCAGGTACGTCTTCATGACGCGCCTCGTGCTCCCAAATGCGATAATCCAGAATCGCCGTCTCCTCCACGAGCTGTACATGGAGAAGCGAAATCTCTCTCCCAACATACGCTTCCGGTACGCAACTTCCTCTCCCCAGCTCCTCCAACACCCACTAACCCCCTATTAGGTACGACTACTGGCACACCCACGCCCCCACCTACACCCCGCCCTCCGCTCAGCCCCTCGACCTTATACAATCCCGTCCTTCCCGCCCAGTATTGCGCTCCGTGCCCACCCCCTCTGGCCAGAACTTCCTGCAGTGGCTGAGCTTGCCATTGAATACGCCAGCAGACAAGCAGCCCTGTCCGAACCAGCTGTTGCACCGGCCGTGTCATCTGGACGCGTATCTGAACGAGGACGAGGGATTTGTGCGGAGGATTCGACCGGAGGCTTTATTGCAGCGGACGGCGAAGGTGCTGAGTCTCTTTTGGTGGATTGCCGTGCAGAATGCCTGGTTGAAGGCGTATGAGGGCGTTGGGTGGGCTGGGATTGAGGGGGAATGCTATGCTTGAATGGCTGGCTGGGGTAGAAAACACGGCACGCTACTGGGATTGGTCAAATACAAGTCGAACACAAGTCGAACATGCATCAAAGCGGGTGCTGTGGACTCAAAGCGATTGGTGTGCATTTCCATGACGGATCGGAGGTGGCTTTGGAAGTGTCCGCAGCATGAAAAGCTTTGATGCGTTTCAACCTGACTTTCACGAATTGATTTGGCTTGTTCTAGATCGGACCACCAAAACAGGTTCTAGATAGATTGACCTTGATACACTTGGACTCTACAACTCTTGTTACAATCTCTCCAACTCCTCTCCCTCTGACTCTTGCTTCCTTCTCCCTACATCTTGTGCACCTTGCTGTTCCTGCTCCACCTCCTGAACGTCTTCCCCTTCCACCAAAACAGCCCTGTGAACAAACACCACAACAGGATCAAACTCGCATTCGTCATGATCGGCGGCACGAAGCCCGCCTCCTCTGACCACGGCGTAATGAACTTGCTGAACCCGTAACCCCACACATTCTTGTTCACCGTGATACTGACGAACAGGCTGCCTGCAACAGGCTTGTAGCTGTCGACGGCGTAGGTACTCACGATACCGGGGAGAGCAGCGACCTGGTTCGTGTGGTTAGAAAGGATTGTGTGCGAAAGAAGGATCGGTATGGGTAAGGAAAGGCAGCTTACTTGGATGCCGGCGCAGGTGTAGCCTATTATGACGATGGCTTCCCAGGGCCAATGGTTGTCGTAGCCGACAGACACGATGATGTTGCCGATATACATAATGATGATGTAGGGTATCATGGCTGGGAGGCGCATTTCGGGCTCTCGAATGCCGTTATTGCGTTTTGTGGAGCGTGCAGAGACCCAGTCGGAGAGTGGACCGGCGGTGAAGAGGCCGATCAAGGCACCGACCAAGACGGCGAAGTTCATAAAACCTGTGAGGGAATGTTAGTTGCCGATGAGAGGAAGGCGAATGAGATAGATGACTTACCGATCGATAGAGGCTTGAAGTTGTAGGGCGGCGCAGCAAATACCTGACTTTGGGTCAAGTTCAGCGTCAGGAACGAACTACAACTCCATGACACGACGAAGCTCGCGAATTCGACAATCGGGAAAGCAAAAAGCTTCCATGGAATCCAGAGATCTAGTAGGATACTCTTTAACGGGTGCGCGTTCTTCTGGAAGAGACCCCATTGTCCTTTGCTCGGCTTGCCCTTGCCCAGGTACGGATCGCGCATCGCCGTTTCCTCGCGCGAAAGATCTTCCTCATTGCTGGGCAGTACAGAGTTCGCCGTAGGTGTGTGTTGAATCTTCTCTTGTTCTACGTCGAGCTCGTCGTTATGCCCCGTGCCGTTCTTCTCGGTGGAGGACGCTGCAGGGCTACTCGGAGCCGGTCCCGCTGCAGGCACGTATTCGCGAGGATATCTCGTTTCCGGGAACATGAAGATGACCATGAGGATGCTCAATCCAAGCAGACCCGTGTTGAACCACCAGAAACTCCTCCAGCCAACAGTCTCAACCATAGCTCCGTTGATGATGGGTCCGACCATCAAAGAGCCCATGTAGACGACCCAGTAGAGAGTGTTCCATTTGCCGCGGTCGTGCAGGAAGAAGATATCCGCGATGACTGCGGGCATAATTGTCTCGGCTGGTCCGGCTCCCAAACCGTTTACCACACAGGCTCCCATGAAGGATCCATATGAATTAGCTTTGGCGCGCCAAATGGACGTGCCAAAGTTGATGATTTGACTGAGAAGGTAGACGGGACGACGACCGAAGGAACTGCTGATAGGGACCCTAGTTGTATAAAGTCAGCTCAATTCATCTCGTTTTGTACCGCCAGACTTACCAGACGAAGTTACTAAACCCCAGCACCAGAATACACACTCCAGTAAACTGAACTGCATCCGCCAAACTGCACTCAAACGCCTCCATCAACGCCGGAAACGCAGGCGCCAACGCCAACGGCCCAAAACCCTGCGTGAATGTGACCATGCTCGCGCTCACAATACACGCAATCTTCCACGGCGTGCTCCAGTTGAGTGGATCATCTGGATGGTCCGAGGGTTGCGGTACGAGAACGGTGCGATGGGCGCCTTTGACGAAGTGATGTTCACCGACATCCGCCATGATCTCGGTGCCAGGCAGGATCTCCATGTGGAGTTCTGCCTCGATCTGGCGGAGCTCCTGGAAGCATTGTGAATATGTGTGCAAATTAAAGTGGTGATGTAAATGCGCGGGAGTTCGAACGTACATTTTCATCGTGTACGACCGCCATGTTGGTCTCTATCGCTCTTGCGCGAAACCCGTCAATGCCTCAGCACAGGAAAGAAAGTGATGTAAGAAGGTACTCCTGCAGCTCTCCGACGCGTCCTAGGGGTCGTGATATACGCCTGCTCAGCGCAAGCGGCCTAATTCTGCCGATCACCGGGACTTGCTCGATGTACACACGGGAACAGGGATCCTGCTCAGTTTAAGCAAGCGTGCACGTCGTTTATTGCGACTAACGTGGGGTGGGCCTATCAGAATGCGCCCACCCGAGTCTTACGCTAAGTCGATGAGGGTACAAGGCCTGGACGGTATCCGAGCTCCAGAGCGGCAGTTGATGTGAACAGAGAGTAGGCCCGATGTGAAACGCCTATAGCTTAGATCAGTATCGGTTCTGGGGAAGTTCCTGGGGATGGACAAGCATACAATCGAGAGCATAGCCTCTGGGGAGGATTCAATCAAACGGTCGGGAGCACACGATAGGAAACCTCTGCAAGGATTTACCTCCTTGTCCTCAATGCGTCTCTACCCGGTGCCAGGCCGTCATCACCGCATGATGCCCTGTTGACCACATGCATCGCAATACATACCCTGTAATAGTGATGCACGCTATCTGTCCGCAACTTCCACACAGTACGCCGGCGGCTCTTCTGAATCCATCTCGAGCCTCGTGTTACGCCTCGATATCCACTCTGCATCTAGACCCGCATCCTCTTACGGTAGAAACGCCCAGCGACGCCCAGCCCAACTGCCGCATCCTATCGTGGCACCCTAATACTCTCGCTCCACACCGTCGCTGTCACCCACGCGTACCCCACATAAATCTCACATGGCCGCGGCATCCCCATGAATAGGGGAAGGATGGGCGGGCCACTCCACGACGTGTGGCTGGTTGGCGCTGGCGGCGCTGGCGTCCATGACAGTGGAGCGCTCCTTTTTCCCCCGCCTTCTGGGCCGTCCGCTGCATCCCTGTTCATCCCCGCATCACCCCTAACGCGCTACGCCAGCCACAAACCTCGGAAGATCATCACGGCTTGTTCTTATCGACAAATGCTGGAGAAGTCACTTGGAAGGAGAATGGAAATCGTCCGAGGACTATCATTTCGAAAACGCTACAATTAAACAATTCCTTCATCGAAGCCTGCTCTTGGCAGGAGGTATCATCCTGTAAAAAAGCAACATGCATAAAGCTCCCAAAAAATCGTCATCTGCCACGCGCTTTTCCTGCGTCATGTACAAATCAATCACCGTGCCAACCCTTGCGCGTGCTCTGTATATACAGCCAAATCCATGCATGGTCGACGTCCAACACTCGAGGACGGTCATGTGTTATTACTTTGGTATCGTCGCGTTGGTCGTGCTGGGCGTCCGCTTCCATCCACCCCAGCCCCATCCGCCGCCTGTAGTCGCCGCAGGAGCAGGCGCAGGCGCAGGTGTCGCTGCGGGTGTAGTAGGCGTTGATTTTGCTGCCGGTGGTGTCTGGACGTTCATCGCTTTCTTCATATTTTCGAATTTGTTCCTCATCTCTTCTAATTCCTGCTTTGCGACTGCTTCCGCTGTTTTGGCGTTGACGAGCTCGAGTAGCAGCGCCTCGTTGTCGGCAGGAGCTTGGTTCTCCGTAGTGGTGAGCACTTGTTGGGTAGCAAGGGACGAAGCGCGCTTTGCAAACGTCATTGGCCCCTTGACAGACTTTGTCGAGTCCGATCGACCAAGTCGGAACTCGCGAAGACCTCCTCTTGTAGACGCCATGCTATCGGTCGTATTCGACCTGGACAGAGACGGTGTTGAGTCTGGTGTCGCGTCCGAAAATGGTACCGACCCCTTCCGAGCATTCTGTCGTAACTCCATGATCGTCTTTTCCAGCTTCTGGTTTTGGTTGTAAGAATCTTGTAGACGATGACGCGTCTCTTTCAGGGCCTCTCGCGAGATGTTGAGGTCAGCTTGCACATCGTTCAATTCCCTTGTCACAGCCTGGGCTCGTAGTGACTCTGAAGTCAACTGCTCTTTAGTGCGAGCGAGGTTGTCGCGCAGAACCTGTTTGGTCTCAAACATCGAGGACGCGCGGTGATGTGTCTGATGCGTTGGGAATCGTTCATCCAGAGTCTTGGCAGCCTCGTCCAACTCCTGCGGCTCCTCATCGACCGTTGGGACTAGGGTTGCAGCTGTGATGGTAGTTCTGCGGCGAGATGCCCGATCTGATGGTGCGGTAAGAGATGACGGCTTAGACCGCATCTTATCAAGGACCGCACGGACAATGCGGTGGTCTTCCTTTCGTTCTTCTCGTTGTTTCTGGAGAGCAGCCTCAAGTTCGCTGTTGGAGCGTTGCAGCTGACTAACGGACATCAATAGCTGCTCAATTTGATAGTGCAGGTCCCGCTGGTCCCGATCATTAGACGAATGACCTGTTTTGACAGACATGGCTCTCGACTCATGGCCAACCTTGATAGACGGGACTTCAGACGCTCGCGAGATGTCCGTCAACGCGGTGCTTTGGGTATTCGTAGACGACTCCGATCCATCTACAGACTTTAGGGTGGATGCAAGGCTTTGTGTGGAGGGCGTCCTTCGCAGGAAACTGAGCGGTCGTGACGGCGCGGTAAGACCGGGGCTGAGAGCAACCGACTTGGTCGAGTTCGATCCACCCCATAACCGTCCAAGGAAAGAGGTCGCGGACTTTTGCACTTTAGTCTTCTCGACAGCATCCTGCTCTTCCTTGTATATCGCCTCCAAACCCTGCAGCTTCTCTCGAGTGACGTCTTCTGTGAAGCTAACGAGATCTCTCACGAGGTCATCAGCAGACCGTGCATTGCGCCCGTAAGGGTCCCACATCGCCCTGCTCAGGAGCAGTTGCATGACGTCTTCAAACTCGGTCAGAGCGAGAAGCCTTTTCTCGTTTCTCCTCATAAGCGCAAGCGCCACACGCATGATAGTCTCTGATGCGCCCTCGGCAAACAGAACATCGTAGACGCGGAAGAGCATCGGAAGCGGACATGTGGTTGCAAAGAATGATAGAAACCATGACGACGCGTAAGCCGTTTCTACACCCAGTTCGTCGAGATGCGCTGCGAGTTGGGGCATGTGATGTTGCAGTAGGCGCTGAAACTGAAATATGCGAAGGTGCAGCCCCGAGAGGTCCGGGAGGAAGCATGCACGCAGATCGTAGTCTTCCATAAGCCTGGCAATCATCAGTAGAGAACTAGCAGAATCGACCAAGGAGAGCCAACGTACCGCACAAGCACGCAGAAGGCTTCCTTATCGCCCATCTGCATCAAGAGCGGACCGACCAGGAAGCCCAGACCCTGGCAGTAGCCAATCTTGTCGTCGTAGAGACTGAAGCACTTGAGTACGCGGCCAAGCATCTTCTGACCTTCACCGTCAGGGTCCTTGAACATGTCTACTCCGGGGAAACTTCTACCCAGGTCCTTGTTGATGATGTTCTCATATGGACTTGACTCCCCGCACAGCTGGTCGTACTGGTCCTCGATCATCTTTGCCCGTGCTCCAGATGCGCTCTGCCACACGACTCCGCGCAGTGGCGCTGGGATGCCACTGCGAATCTTGTTGAGCGTCAGGGTGGGCAGCCGTTGGACCGTTTGTGGGTAGTCTCGAACGAGGGCAGCCCAGAACTCGAGCTCGGTCATGGGCGGAGGGGAGGGTAATTGAGAAGCGCGCATGTCTGCAGCGCCTTCTTCCACGAGCTTTTTCAGTTGGTGCATCGAGGGCGGTCGAGACTGGGAGCGCGCACGGGACACCTTGATGTTGGTAGCCTTTGAATCAGCCATGAGTGCATTGTTCTCCTGCTCCAGACGCGCGAGGAGGAGCGCCATTGCCTGCCCGCATTAGCTTCACTTCAACTTTCACCTTTGCATCCAAAAGCTCACCTCGTCCTGGCCCTCCTCCTGCGGCTCCTGTTCCTCCTTCTTCTCCAGCTCGGCCCAGTCTACTTGGGCACTCTGGTCAGAGCCGTTGCTGTTGCTCCGCGAGCGTTCGGCGGATGTTGGTGTTTTGGGGACATGTTCGTCGGAAAGGGAGATGGTGGGACTGGCGACTGCCGGGCTGCTGTCCCTGTCGCGACTGCCGCGTCGACCGAAAGCTTCCATGATCTCAGCAGAGCTCGGACGCGACGAAAGCCTCTTTTCCTCTTGGACGGTGATGTCGGGGTGCTGCAGCGCTGGCGAAACAACTTCGTCCTCGGCGGCGGGTACACCGTCGGTCTCAGACAGCGGGACGGTGACCATGGAGTCAGTCGGCAGGCGCTCGCTATCGATGTGGATTCTTGGGGCGCGCCTGGCGACTTCCTGGCCCTCAGGGGCACCTGATTCCCGCGCGAGGTCCATGGTATGTTTTTTGGTCGCTTTCAACCTGGTGACATCTGCAGGGACCGTCTAGGGTGCAGAGGTTGGCTGGGAGAGCGATCGGGCCGCAGCTCTGTCGTGGTACGTCGCAGTGTTTTCGGTGCCTGTTTAGTGCAGGAATTGGCGCGGAGGGTTGGCTGTCGGAGGTTGCAGACGGTGCTTGCAGCGGGTGCGTTTCGAGTGGCGGCGGTCCACGCGCTGGGGGAGATTCAACAGTCGCAAAACATGTACCGAACGAGTGGAATGCAACGCCGCGGCGGATGCAGGATGCTAGTAATGAGCGAAGGGCACAGTGTGCAAGTCAAAGCAACGCAGGTTCACAGACGCACCGCGGAGGAGGGGGCTCGACCTGTAAAGGAGGTGCAGGCGCATGGGGTAGAGGGCTAGCTTATCGGTCCACCCTTGGCTGCAGATGCATATTAATCCGTCGCCAACGGGCCACTTTTTGTCGGTGCTGAACGCACAAGCGACCTCTCAAACGGCCAGTCCGCAGCCACGATTCTGCCGTCTCGCTGGGCTGTCGTGCGGGCTTGTTGCCTGGTTGCACAGAGCGCGCTGCATGTGTTGACGCGCCGTAAATACGAACAGTTGCCACGCGAGAGCACGCGAACTTGGGTACCACCTCCAACGAGGGCCAATCGCCCGCCTGGGCACCCCAAGTCGCGTGCTCGCGCACACAAGTCAGCCCCGCCGTGCGAAACAACAATGACGGTCTGCCAACCGCTGCCACACCAGTCTGGAGGGATGATGCCGTCTTGCCTCGCGCTGCAAACATCACCAACACCCTAAGCTTCATGCTCACCGCTTGTATCGCCCGATCATCGGGCTGTTGCGTGAACCAGAAGCGTCCTGATGCCTTCCCTACTGTTGCATCGTACAAACCCGGGCATGCCCTGGCTACATCATATCTGGAGCACAAGTCTGAAACAACTTTCTGTGATGTGGTTCGCGTGTTTAGCGCGAACATGTGCTGGCCTTGTCCGTATTTCCGTCTCACTCAGCCTACATCATCCTACTACGGACCTGGGCATGCCGCCGCCCCGGCGACCAACTCCAACCCCACCACCTAGGAACGGATATACACAACAGAACTTTACCTTTCTATAGGAACGTCGCAGCGCAATCGTAGTACCGACGCAGTGCTCAGCTCAGATCCATCTACAGATCCAGATTGCAGAAAAGAGATAGCGAATGTCTACCTGAGTGCAATACTGAAGTGAGCCACGCCGTCCGCAAATACATATCAGCGCAATTCCACCACCGGAGATGGGAAGCCCTGCTGACCCCCATCCCACCATCACGCTGTCCCCATGCCGGAGCTTTCACGAATGCGTTCATGCCGTCTCGTAGCAAAGCCGTCCCTTGTTTGCCTTGGACCATCACGTCGTTCTTTCTCCATACGAAATTATCTAAGCCTTGGCCCTTTTGTCGTCTCGCACCCATTCGCACTCGTCCGCCCGCCCCTCCAAATCTCCCCAGCCCTTCACCTCCATGCTCTCCATGCGCTCCGTATTGTCCCTCAACCACTGCCACTGCAGTAGAGCCTGCATCACCAACTGGACCAATGTGTCCGTGTTCCACCCCGCGACCTCCTCATCTTCAAACATGAGCCACTTGTCCAGTCCCGTGACATGATGCTTCATCGCCTGTCCCACCTTGTAAACGTGGTAGCCCTGCACCGGCGCCGCAATCAGCGTGGCCCAAATATTTGGCAACGCCGGCCTCCTCCCAGGGTGCACTTTGTCTTCTTCCTCCGCCGCCGCGACAGATGCCTCCAAGTTGCCCAGGGGGGGATGCGACTCGACAACGATGAAGTGGTTGTTCGCCCGCTTAGCCCACTCGCGCAACATGTCGTATCGCAAGATCATCCTCGTCGACGTAGTCCTCTTCGCCGCGTACATTCGGTGCATGCACGCCCTATTCTGAGCAATCTGTTCGGGAAGCAGCGTCCGCGTAGCCAGAAAGAGAAGCTCCTCTAGCAGCAGGCGGCCGTTGCCCATGGCCGTCTTCTCCTCGAGTTCCAGTATCGGGACAAGCAGATCACGCCAGTTCGTCGTCGTAGTAACGGATTGGCGGAGAACGTTCATGATAGAGATCGAGTTGGGATGCGCACGGCCAAAGTCGAGGAGGGCGTCGAGCGAGGCTTCCAGAGTGCCTTCAAAAGGGGAGGGGTGCGTGGGAGGAAGGAGATAGTGAGATGGTATGTGGATCAGTTCAAGGTCCGGCTTCTCGGACAGGGCACGTTCGAGGGTTCCTGCAGGTGTGTCGACAAAGATACTGTCAGTTCGCGCAACGCTCATAGTTCGGCGGTTTGTAGGTTGAGTCATTGTTTGGGTTTCGGTTGTCGTTCTTGCGGGGAGTTCGTCTATATAGCTGGCCAAAGTGGTAGATTCCCGGTGAAACTTTCATGGAGTTGACGCCGTGGCCAGGTGAAGGTGAATCGCAGCGCCAGGTACCACGAATGTGCCAGCACTGGCCACCATAAGTGATTTGAAGCTTTACGTGCATTGTGATCAGCCGGACTATCTCATGTTCTTACCCGTTGGCTATGGTGAGAGGCGACGAAGATCAGTGAGTTCAGCTCAGGGACGCATATCTGAAAGTTTGACGGCGCGTTTGTTGATGCTGTCACATGTCCAGGACTCCGATCCTGGGTAACTTTTGCTCGTTTGAAAACTTCCTGAGTATGCTCACAAGATTGCAGTCCTGGAGAGAGCCCGGTCTCCTAATGAAAGCAGACGTACCTGTTCGAAGCACGTTCACCACAACATCATCCCGCTGCTCGCAAAGCTCTTGAACCATGCCGCAGATTCTATAAGGACTTCAAAGCGTAAGTAGCCAACAACATTGCTTCGAGTCGATGCCAGTTTCAAATCCTACCTCATTGACGCAATTGGGCGCTTTTTCATCACGCACTGGAGCACCTCAACCGTGGATAACAGCCAAACTACAGAGTACCGAATCCAGGACAAGTTTGTCAATTTATATCCCTTCGCATATACCACCATCCAGTCATTCAAACACTCTTCCTCGCCACAACCCACAAAAACGTAGCATCAACATTGCTCTCCCTCGTCTCCCTTACCAACACCTCCAAACCTGCGTCCGCCACCATTTTCGCGCTCCCCTCCGCCCCCCACCCACTCCAAAACGTCCACCCCTTCTCCTCCCCCAGCCACTTCTCCATGACATGGCTCTCCTGCTCCTCGTCCGCAAAATTCGCAAGAAAGTACCCACCAGGCTTCAACCAGCCCACGATTTTCTGCATGAGCAGAACCTGTTCGTCACGCGGGAGGTGGATGATAGAATAGAACCCCGTGACCGCGTCGAACGAACGGGGCGGGAAGTCCAGTGCGAGCATGTCGCCCGGAATGAGCGTGACTTTCCCGCTTTCTACATGGTCAGCGAGGTGCTGGCGTGCGAGGTCGAGCTGCACGGTGGACAGGTCGTTGGCGGTGACGTGAATGGAGGGTGTGGGGTTGTCGAGAAAGGTCTTTGTGCTGGGAACGCCAGCGCCGCAGCCGAGCTCGAGGAGTGTGGCATCTGCGCGGCCTGTCTCTTTTAGGAGGCTGAGCAGGCGGTTGACGTAGTTGAGGCGGATGTTGTCGAGGACATTTCCGAGCTTGGCGTTGTAGGTGTGCGCTATGGCGTCGTAGCAATTCTTCATGCGGTCTTTCAGGTCTCCGGGGACAGTGGTGGGTTTAGCCATCTTGAGTGCAAACGGTGGTTATTGAGCTTGGGTACGCGTCGTAAGGGTTCGTTGTTGTCCGACTGTGTCATTCGCAGAGTGAACTATCACATTTACATTTATTTATAGGGCTGCCGAATTGTAGGCACTGTGAGGTGAGAAGCAATACCTAGTTTGAGATCTGGTGAACTTGCATTAGCGTGGGGATACCCCACACCATTGATTGCGCCCTTCTCTGGATGGGGATGGGCTCCGGGGTCAAGGGCGTACTAAAAGGGCTTGACTCACCTACACCGGGCAGTTGCTCAAATAGCTTCGCTACTTCGTTGCAATAGTTTGCGATGCAAGTCCAGCTCGACGTGAGTCACGCTGTAGTGCGTACAGTCTGCGGCTATCAGGGAGTGACCACAGCGGTTTACGCTCTTCGGTTCAAGCAACATGTTTTGTACATTTCCGTTACTTTATCGGTATAAACATAGAGAATTGAATCGGTGCTTGTTAACACCAATACATTGCTAAACCGGTCGTGGTCGCTATGCCGCCCGTCTCTTGATATAATACAACACCCACACATATACAGTACATATACTTGATGCCAGGGACCGTTTATTTCGTCCTCTTGTTCTTCAGCTTGATTGTCTCTCCATTCACAAAGATACCCTTTCCTTTATACGGCTCTGGTACCCTCCACTTCCGTATCTTTGCTGCGAATTGCATTACCACCTCCTTCTCAGGACCTTCCAACAGTAAACGTGTGGGCTGTGGCGTGCTGGCCTTCATGCCTTTGGGAATTCCCAACTCAATTGGGTGAGAGTATCCGACCTTCAAGTTCACGAACTCCTGACCGGGGAACTCCGGTTCGACGGTCGTAGCGGTCTTTTCAATAGTGGAGCGGTAACCGACACCGTTGAAGCGGAGAATTGCAGAGTGACCTTCGCTCACGCCGAGGATGTGATTTTGGAGGTATGCGCGGGTCGTTCCTGCTACAAGTCAGCCGCAAGAATCTTACATGGTCGGAGATATGGATGCGCACCCCACATAGCCTTCTGCTTCTTGTCTGTGGCATCCGCGACGGTGAGCGTAGGGCCCGACAGGGCAGGATCCTGGTTGATGTTCACATAGGCGGGAACGTCCATCGAGAGCTCGCCAAGCGGCCCCTTGATCTGGACTGTGGACATTGCCTGCGAACGCGCTCCCCTGCCTCTAGACGAAGGCGGAATGACCTTGAACGTGACGCCTGGCGGAATGGACAGCGGCGCGGAGCCGATCTTAGACTGACATGGCGACGTCGATGCGAAACCGCGCGCGGCAGCGGGTGCCTGGAAGGCCGGGAGGAGGAACAGAGGGAGCGAATCGATTTTAGGCTGCGAGGGAGCGAGGAGGCTGCGGGCGCAACGCCGGCGTGCTGTTGAGAACATCGTGTAATTGACGACGATGCTGCTGGCGTAACTTTTCTGGAGCGTTGCAGATGCGCGGCCGCCAAGAATCGATCCGGGATTGGCCAATAGCGGGAGTCCGCCACCTGAAAGTCACGTGCGACGGCTTCGCCTGCATCGTGTGAACTAGTACGATTCAGGTCCAGTAGTGGAGTCTTGAGCCAGTGTCCACCATCGGACGATCTATAGACATATACTTTTAGATACGCGCCTGAGCACATTGCAGCATGGAGTCGCAGGCTTCGCTACACGCTCGCGCGGCTGCAGCTTCCTGAATGAAGCTGGAAGGGCAACAACGACCCTCTCCACCATTATACGTTGACTGCAAACTCCGTCCAAAGATGCTCTTGAACTCTGAGCCTTCTAACAGACTGCAGAGCACTCTCCTCTCTTACTCGTCAAACGTCCCAGTGCACCATCGCCAGTCTCTCTGCTCGCTATCTCACCTGCTACCCCTCAAGCCAACTCACTGCTCCACAGGAACTTCGCCAACGCTCCCTTGTTTCTCCTAATGGCTTTCAGTCGTCTTTCAGTTTCTTAGGAAGTAATTGATAGTCATATACTTACCTTTTACCCTTCTTGGTGTGGGCGTGACTGCCGTTGTGACCAGCCAGGTATCTCTAGCCCTGTGCTCCTTCCTTCTGGTCTGCTTCATCCTACCGCTCTCTTGGAGATATATTGAACCCCAGCGCACCAGCAGCCGTCGTTAAAATATTCAAAATTTTCGCATCGGTTCCAGATCGACATCAAGATGGACCTCCTGCATCGACTAACACGAACCTACACCGTCATACTCGCCGTGACCACCTCGATGGGCGCAGCCCAATCTTCATCGCCTCGTGCGAGCCATGGCCATGCTATCGACCCTGAGCTGTCCCTAGTCATGCAAGCGAATGCTCAGATCAGTCAAGCCACTGAACTCAAAGAGACATGGGCCTGGCTCGAGCATCTGAGCTCAAAACCAGCGTGCACTCAGCTCGCGACGTCAAAACTTACGATTGAATGTCAAATTCTTGACAACGCATCAGAATTTGCGAAAAGCTATCCAGATCAAGTTCTAGAAGACGTGCACAACGAATTCGCTCTCAAACTAGCCATTTGCGAGTTTGTTGGTGCTCAAGATCACTATTCAAAGGCACCTCCCACGTGTCAGGCATTTCTTCCGTCCCACGAAGCCTGCGTTAAACGATCTTGGTGGAGCAAGGCAGAAGTGATCACTGATGAGCTCTGTTACCCCAAGGCAACCAAGACAGATCTCCAGCAATGCCTCACAACGATGCAAGCGTTACCCCAAACCTGGACTTCCTACAGTAATGCAAGATATCGTGCTATGCACATCTGCCATCTCACCCGGCAGCACATCGAGACAGAACGGGCTATTCAGGTCCACAAAAACCTCACTCTTGTGGTAGCCAAGATGCACGAATCCGTCCAGCCCTTGGGGTCGAAGATGCAGTCTATGAACGATCAACTGAACACATTCTCTGACGATTTCCGCCGATCCCTCGAACAGTCTCAGCAGGCAGCTGATAAATTTACAACATTTGCGAACGACGCCCATAAGCAATATCATGACCAACTGATGGAGACTAACGAAGACCTTCGCAACCTGCGGTCAGGATTGGAAGCTTCGCAACACCATATCGATGAATATTATGCCGCGCTCCAATCTAGGCTGTATGAGAACTTCGAGACCTCAATTGCGAAGAACAACGAAGTCATGTCGCTGCAGCAAGTCGATTTCTTGGTTCAATTTTCTACAGGCATGGACGAGTTCTTCCAGGGAAAGGCCATGGAGCTTTCCAAACAGTTGAAGGCGCACAAGGAAGAGCTGCAGGAGTATCACACCAAGAACATACTAGCCCTACAACAACAGCACGAAACGACGGTAAAGAGTTTAGACATCCTAGGTACCGGGCTTTCCAGCACCAGCTCGGAAATTGACAGACTCAACGACAAGATCAGTTCCCTGAATAGCGATTTGAATGGCTCCATTGCCAAAATGGAGATCCTCAACGCGGGCCTGGGTAGCCTTGCTTCGGTGGCACAAACCGCAGGACGCCTGCTAGGAAGTTTCGAGACCTTCGTCACCTATTTCAGTCTTGGAGGCATCATTGTGGGACTATTGTTGTTCATTCGAAGTGTGTCTGGTGTACCCTTTGTTGATAAAGCGGCTCGTAAACTCATAACCTTAACACTCACATTGCTCGTCTTTAGCGCATCGGCTTACGCTATCGCACGGCGCCTCCCTATGTCCTTCGACCTGGACACGTTGGAGATGCTTCACGAAGCGTAAGTCCTTGCTCCTCCTCCCATTGAATCTAGCTAATCAAACTCCAGGCTGCTCAAGAGCACTGCATGTATTGTGCTGACCACCGGTGCATGGCTTCTCATGACCAAATATGCAGCCAGCAATATCAAATGCCGGTCTATGACGAACTTGATTCGTAAAAAGCTATTCCTTCAGCAAAGTGCTCCACAGGACCAGCTCATTCCAGCGTTGAACCTTCCTCCGAACGACTCGGTCCCAACACTGCCGACCTCTTTTGATACGCTGAATCAACCTTTACGTTCGGCTCCTGCGCCCGCACCCGCATTTGTCGCAAACTTGTCGTTTTCAAAGGAAGCCCAAGAAGACAAGGACCTGCGGGATCGGTTCATGAACTTCCAACGGGCTTCTACCGTCCTCTAGAAACCCGACTCGATGGCGCCTTCCATCGTCTCGATAAGGTTGGAATCGCTGATACACGCGCTTGTCGCACAATGTCCAAGGTTCTTTGAAGCCTTTGACGTTCGAGAAACTTGACATATCACGGCACGAACCTCTTACTTATCCCCGGAGATATCCTTTCTCGCTAGATGAAGGATCTCGGTTCGTTCTCCGAGTCTTTCTTTACTGCTATTTCGCTACTCGCTAGGGTCATCGCCATCTTACCCCCATTCTATAGCTGTACTCTGCCATTTCCCCACCGTCAGGCGTTCGCGGGACTACTTAGTTTCCAATGCTTCATTCTAAATCAGCATTTTTGGGTGAGCGAACCCTCTTCATGTTCCAAGGGGACACACTATTTCCGTCATCTTAGCCAGTTCAAAGCACATGTCAATGACGTTTTCTTTTCGCTCCACCTCAAGCTTCTCCATGTCTACAAGTGGCGGTGGGAGGATCATCTTCAGATGAGTCTCTTCAAGGTGGCGAAGCAACGTTCGCTCTGTGTATTCTTTGTGGTGTGAAAGTGTCATCTTCTCCCAGGCTTTGCGAGGACACATAACGTTAGATTGGAACCAATGTATTTCGTATGCCAACTTCGACACGCATGCGTCTACACAATGCAGTGAAAAAATGATACCCATTTCTACGTACAAATTGCAACAGTGCAATCTTCCATGCCGATTCTCCTAGCGCAGACCCATAGACCTATAGCTCTGCTACTCGACTCATCCATGAACGAAAACTATGGTGCCAAAAACCAAAAGGGCATAAACAGAATCCAGAAGCTGCAACTATGTGAGACCGATGACCAGGGGGAATATGATGCAGCTGGTATGAGTGGAATAAGCGCCAAGATACGCCTCGAACGTCCGTCTGTCTGCAAACCGATGAGAAGACAAGAGAAAGGAGGGTCATATAGCCAACTGGTGCGAAGCGATCACCTAAATATCCTCCATGTTGCCGGCTGCTTCATCTTCGTCGCCAGACTCGTAGCTGCCAACGGAGCTCATCTCATCATCGTCATCGTTGTCCTTGTCCGAGTCTTCTGATGTGTCTTTCGAAGCATATTTTTGTACGTATTCTGCCATCCATTAGACTTTGTTCCCGCGCTTGTCTCCAACTATCCACGTACCCTTGACTTTCGCGTCGTAGCTCTTCGGTTCCCTCATCAGTAAGGCGGCGGCTTCTCCGTTCAGGGGATCGGTCGGGTTGGGGTATCGGAGGAGTTGCGGGAGGAAGACTTCGAAGATATTGATCATGTCGTACATTGGTGACCATGTCTGGTTGATAACGTCCAAACAGACCGACCCTGATCTGCATAACGGTGAGTGACTGCTCCTCCCAATATTGTAGCATCTTTATGGGCTACTCACAGCTCGTCGATGTTGGGATGGAATATCCGGTTCACGAAACCGATACTGGGGCTCTTGTACGGGTACTGATCGGGCAGCTCAACGTGAATCTTCCAAAGACCGCCTTCAAAAGGTGCTGCTTTCGTTAGCCGCATTCATAAGCCTATGTTTCCTGCGACGCACTCTCTACTGGGCCCTTGAACCTGACATAGAACTCTTGCCTATTGTTTGTCAGCGTTCATGCGACGCATCGGTGTTGGGACGGCTGGCGGCGAAACGCACACTGCGATGTTGTCAGCTAGGTAGGGAGGTAGAGAGACGAAGACAAGCCTACTGTTGTCGTTGACTAAGGTAACCTCATAGTCGCTCATCAGCCTGCTGCGTATCAGTCGCTATCCGAGAGTGAGGCGAGAGCAGTGAGCGGCGTACATCCTAGTCATTCATTAGCATGCGACTGCAGGCCCTGGAAGGTGTGACAACCTACTTCATGACCTGCACGAGAGAAAGGCGAATCGTCAGCACACCAGACATCTTGACCAGGCGGTATACAGCTGGGATGACCTACATCCGTCTCGATCCTTCTCTTAGGACTGCTCATGGCGAGAAATGACAACGCCAGGCGTCTGTGAAGGTTGTATGAAATACGAGGGCCGTCGGAGGCTTTGGGGGGTCGTGTCGGACGCGCTGGGTCGGACGCGCGGGCGGCAAGCGGAGGTGGAGGGGAGCTTCCGCGGGGCAATCGACACCACGGAGGGGCTGGTTTGCTGCGTCTGCAGTTGGTTTGTAGGCAGGGTTATGGGGCAACGCCACTGGCAGATGTGAAGAGGGGTGCAGTGGGCAAGTACGGGCTATGACTGTGAGCACTGTGGTAAGAATGGAGCAGCAGGTGATGTAGGAGACTGGGGTGGCCAGGAACGACGTTGTCAAGTGTCCAGGGTAGTCACGCTCGCGGCGCCGGCTATTGCCGACAGACGGCGATTCGGCGCCACTGCGGACGCTGCAGTGACATGCATCTTGTGCGCCGCATTCGGTCTGAGTGGACTATGAAATGTGATAACAAGAGCAGGAGGACGTCATTGTGGTAGAACATTGTGGCAGAGCTGATTGCCTCATTGGGATGGATGCTGAAGCACGTTGAACCCCGAAGCACGAGCGTCCATTTCGCTTCCCCCCATGCCCCCTCTTCTGAAGATGACCAACGGCGATATAGGGTCGGGTCAAGATGGCGGATATTCCCAGTGCACATGTGTAGTCTAAGTCACTCTGCCGTCAACATTTGATAGTCCGACTTGCGAGGACTCAACAGCCTTGAACTTGACAAGATGCTCACCTGCATCGCGGAATCGCAACCCCTCGACTATGTGTTTGGCATGCAGCCCAAAGTACTCCCGAGGTACTGACATGTCTGTCATTCTTCGCGAGGGGCTGGCCTTTGTCTGTCGGAGTCCTTCAACAAGCCGGCGTCGCTCGCTCGCCGTAGTTCGGCCAATTTACCTTGCAACGAGCAAAGTAGCCATCGTGTGTGGATTCAAGGAGCACGCCAGGGACCATGCGAGTAGTCCAGCCTGTGGCTGTCCCTGGACAGCAGCATCGCTGCCCGCCCTGGTTCACGGTAGGGCTGAGTTGTACCGCAGCCAGACAGTGGTAGCACCCCCTGCCGACGCGCTAAGCGCAACCGACAGACCTCGGCCTCGCTTCGCTTGGTACGTCCGCTCCACCAGAAAGCTCGAGTATACTGATGTCTACTGCGCAAAAACCATCACAGCTTGAATAAAAGCGCCGCCCCGGCCCAAGCCATGGCTTTCCTCCGAAGTCTCCTCTCCTCACCCGGAATCCCACCATAGTCCCCGATTCGGAAATTCCCGACCCCGCCACGACCACACCCCGCTGTCGCGTGCCGCCGTGAACATGCACACCATAAGGATGGCGCTGAGGAGAGCGGGTCGTCCCGCTGCCTTGCCGTCGTCGATGTTGTCGCGGACTGCACTGCCCATGGTCGCCGTCCGCTGGAGCTCGCACTCTCCACTGGGCACGCCGCCCGCCAATGCCCGCAAGCCTGTCACCATCAATACGCTCCAGAGCCTCTACCGGAAGAACGAGCCCATTACCATGATCACCGCGCACGACTTCCCAAGCGCACACGTCGCCGACCACGCCGGCATGGACATGATACTGGTGGGAGATAGCTTGGCCATGGTCGCGCTGGGCATGGAGGACACCAGCGAGGTCCTGATGGAGGAGATGCTGTTGCACTGTCGGTCCGTGGCCCGCGCGACCAAGGGGGCTTTCACAGTACGTTCTATATCTCCAGCACCCCTCAATCCATATTAACACGCGCAAAGGTCGGTGACCTTCCGATGGGCACCTACGAGATCAGCCCCGAGCAAGCCCTAGCCTCCGCCATCCGCATGGTCAAAGAAGGCCGCGTCAAGTCCGTCAAGCTGGAAGGCGGCAAAGAAATGGCGCCTACCATCTCCAAGATCACATCTGCCGGCATCCCCGTCCTCGCCCATGTCGGGCTCACACCCCAGCGCCAGAATGCGCTTGGAGGTTTCCGCGTCCAAGGGAAGAGCACCGCCTCAGCACTCAACCTGCTCGAAGACGCAAAAGCTGTGCAGGAGGCCGGCGCATATGCCGTCGTGCTTGAAGCGGTTCCTGCTGAGGTCGCTGCTTTGGTGACTAGAAAGCTTAGTATTCCTACGATTGGTATCGGCGCGGGCAATGGTTGCTCGGGCCAGGTGCTGGTGCAGACAGACATGATGGGCAACTTCCCGCCCGGACGCTTCTTGCCCAAGTTTGTGAAGCAGTACGGCAACGTCTGGGCGGAGGCCATGAGGGCGATGCAAGAGTACAAAGCCGAAGTGAAGAGTAGAGCGTACCCGGCCCCAGAGCACACGTATCCTATGTCACAAGAGGTGTTTTCCGAGTTCGAACGGCAGATTGAGGACACGGGGGAAGAGGCTTCAGCCCAGCCGAAGCAGGGAAAGCTCAAAGTACCCAAGGCGTTCGATGAGCTGCCCAACATTCCTTCGTAGCACTTTGCCAGCATGGGGGAAATCTTTTCTTTTGAGTTTGTCGTTGAGCATTTAAAATACCCGCACTTCTCAGCAGCTATAGCTCTGTTCAGCGTTCCGCCATGTAGCTTTGGCATTTCACGGATTGTGTAGAACATGATTATATTTTGGTCTCCCAACATGAAGTCATATCATTCGGTTTCCCTTTCCTCGCCATTCCACAGTGACAACTTGCTAGTGCAAGCGTAGCTCTTCCATCACCGCAGCACGAGCTGCCCGTCCCTTCGTTTCGCGTAGTCGTTGATGTCGTTCCCATCAGTCCCTCAACCTCCAAGCCCGTCCACCATTCCCCCTTCCGAAGGCCATCTCCCCCGCCCCAACCGCACATCACCCAAACGCCTGACTCAACGCATACCCCACATACAGCTCCTCCTTCTGCCCCTGCTTAAAGCACTGCACACATCAGCCCCATCCCCAGGACAAAAAGGCACAACTCACCCTCCAAAGATTCTCCACACTCTCATCCAGCGCGGGGCTGAACACGTTCCCAATGTAGCAGAACACGCTCTCATGCGGCTTCAGCTTCAGCTTGTTCCGTATCTGCCGGACGACGACTTCGAAGCGGTTCGACGCCGTCATCATGAAGACCATGGTGGACATGCGGGGCGCGGACCCGATGGCGACGAGGTGGATGCGGACTTGTCGGCTTAGCGGATGGCATGGATGCAGGATGTGAGTCCGGATTTTGAGGAGAGAGGTGTGCGAGAGGTGCACGTGGTGCACGTGAGACACGTGCAGGGCTGCTGAAGTCCAACGCACCTTTCTGAACATGTACCTTCCCGTCCGTTGCCAGCGCTTCTTTCGCGTCCACGGGTAGCGTCGTCAGCATGGTTGACGCCGCCATGGTGAGTGGCGCTTCGGGCGCGGCATCGTCTGATAATGCTGGCGACGCTGGGTGTGCGGGTGATTGTGGTCGAGACATGGGGTTTGGAGCGGCGACGAAAGACAGACTGGTAATGTTACTCGAAGAACTCACTACACAATGGTGCAGGGAGTTAAGGCAGGGTTGCTTTAAACCATGAAAAGAGTGAACGGCGTTGGCGCGAGAGCAGAACAGTTCAGAATGGCAAGAGAAGCTGGGACGAAGTTCAACTGCCTGACCAACCAGAGCCCCGCATCTCAAGTAAACCCAGCCTTCGAGCGCAGTTACATCTTCATTCACAATCGATCGCATGGTAAGACAATGTTGATCTGCACTCCCGCATTGATACATATCTATATCTAATACGATAGCGATAAATGAGGTGTACCCAGCACGCAATGACAACCTTCCTCTCCAAGGATATATCCACAATTCAGACAACGCCTAACGCTCGACAGACGCTCGCCCTTGAGCATGTCAACTACTAGACGGCTCAACAAAGGGAAGTGGGATGCAGTAGGTATATACAACGATCCATGCATCGTAGCCACCCTACGGGAATTCGGACAATGCCGCTTAGGAAAAAACCAACAAGCCATGCCCCGGTATAGGAAGGAAAATGCGCCTCAAGAAATGCTGCAGGCCGCCGAAATGCTGGGTAACGGGTATTCGCAAATAAAACGATCCTTGCGCCAGAAGGCTGCGAGAAGTGAATAGAAGGGTCGAACGAAATTAGTCGTGCGTGTTATGCCGTGTCGTGGTTTATGTCTGAGGCAATGCGGGTGTGTCTTCGTGTACGTCTGTCGTCTTCGAAATCATTCACGGATAAGCTGGGCGAGAAGCTGGTCAAGCTCCATCCAGTTATCGGTCGTTACTGCAAACTTGCGATGCTTGCGTGAGACAACGTGCTACATATCCAGTTAGCCAATCCACCGTGCACGTAGACATAGGAATATACATACCTCATCAAAATCATTGAACTTCTCCCGGCAGTTCTCGCAGTAGCCGGGTTTGAGCTCCTTTTCAACAGGCTTCTTGCGACGCATCGCTACAGCCTTCCGGAGTTTGCGTTCCTCGTCAGTGTCCTCACGGACATGCTCGAGGGACTCTTGGGCTTTGCGTTTTGCGGCGCGTGTGGGTTGGGAGTGCTCCTGGTTCAGTGCTGCTCGTAGCGAAGCATCGCCTACAGTAGACGAGTTGGCGCTGTTCACAGATGGTCCGCTGTTCCTCTCCAACACCTTTCGCTTCAACTGATTGACCTCTTTACTGTTCCCAGCACGGGCACCTGGCGCTGCAGCGGTCGACGAGATCATCTGAGACTTAATGGCGGACGTGATGTTCGATTGGTGCAGACCAGAAGCAACAGGTTCGCCGCCAATGAATCGTGGCATGGCGCGAAGACTAGCCTGAGCACTGCCGAACATGGGGGGAACACCATCTCGTGTGGTTTGGAGAGCCTTCGGCGCACCGGTAGACTCGGTGTTGTCTTCCTTTCCTGGGACGGCAGGGATGGTGTTGCGACATGCGAGGTTGGGGTTTTCTGCCAAAGCACGTTTCTCATCCAGCGCGGCAGTAACAGCCCGGGTGCGTGGAGCAGCGTTGGCCATCCTTCGCGCGTGTCGTGCGTCTTGCTCCTCCATTTGTTGCCTACGAACGGCTTCGCGATCCTCGATAAAGGGGCACTTGTAGTTTCCAGAGACACGGAACTGGGGCCATTTACCATCTTCCTTCTTCGGGACCTTGGTATATTCGCGGACCATAACGGGGCGGGTCAGCTCATCCATGTCGTGGATGTAAATGTAGAACCCGCGGAGGGGAATCATGTCCTGCGCTGCAACGGTGTAGTCGCGGTCCGTCGGCCGAGTAAGCTTCTCTTGCTCCAACAACTTCTGCAGGTCACGGCGGGCGGTGGGCTGCTGTGCAAGTACCACATTGCGGTACTGCGTAACGTCCTCCCCAGTAGCAGTATTGAACATGGTATCAAGCATACGCTGAAGTTTGTCGAGCGCCCATATCTTCATTCCCAGGTCCTTGGCCTTGTGCAGTATGTCTCCACCACCGGTCCTCTGGGTCTCGAGGGCATTGTCAAAAACTGACTTCTTGGATTCAAGCTGAGCTGGGTTGACGGTGCCCTTAGCAGCGGTCGAGGAGCTGGACGAATCGAATTCGGGGCCGAGGGCGCGAGCTGTGATGACGTGGGTGACTTCGCGGGAGAAGAACTTGGCTTCACGCTGGAGAAACATTAGCAACGTAGGATGTGTAATGGGACTGGGTACATACAGAGCCTAGGATCTGTGCCTGCCGGGAGATCTTGGACTTGATGTCCTCGGGAACACTCTCGAACCAGAAGACGAACTGCGGGAAGAGTTTTCTATAGTGCCGTTGCCAATTGCGGATGGTCTCGAGGTTGCTGGCAGTCACCTCGGGGCCGCGCGTGTTGGGTCGAGCGGCCCTGGGCGCAACCTTCTGCTCGACCTTGTGCTCGCGTGCCGCCTCGAGTTTCTTGGTGAGGGCAGTCGGTGGAGCAGCGCTGCGGCGGACGAGCCCAGAGCGACGGGCGTCTGCATCGTCGGTCTCGACCATGAGCTTTTTTGCAGGCGGCTGGCCGTAGCTGAGGTCGCGTTGCTCGCTGGCGTGCGAGCGCTGGCGCTTGCCGCCAATGGCAGCAGCACGCATTGGCGAATTTGTGGCATTTTGAAGGTTGGCGAGGGGAACGCGACGGCTGGCCATGACGTCTGCAACCTGGGGCGAGGGAGGGACAGCTACTGCTGCCATGCGTAGAGCAGGAAGGCTGGGTGGAGGGCGCGTGGGAGCTGCGGGCGGAGGGGCAGGGTAGAGTTGGTTTCCTAGCTCTGGACGCGACGGGAACGGGCACGTCTGTTCTGGCTAGCAACGCGCAGCAGCCATGCCGGCGTGGTCGAGCGGAGGAGAGGGTCTGTGGAAGCCGTCGGGCGCGATTGAGTGAGCGGCGGGCGGGTGGCAGGGCTGGGGCAGCTCTGTCTTGGACCGGATGGGAGCGAGTTTGTTGTGGCTGGCAATGCACTCGACCAAGACGCGAAGAGCTGCGGGACCGTGCTCGAGCTAGTGCGCGATGCCTGCCCCAGCAACGGATCCTTGCCGCGCAGAATAACAAGGTGGGGGCCCTTCTTGTTTGTGCGCCCTGGGGCGAGCGTGTTGCGTGCCTGCGTGCCTGCGTGCCTGCGAGCGTGGTGATGCCTCTGAGAATCCTGTTGCGAGCCTCCGCCTCGACGGAGCTTTCGCGTCCACGGTAGTGCCGCATGCGAACCGTGGAAGTGACGCAGCTAGAGCGCGCCATCCTTCCAGAAACGCGTACTACCGACGCATCTCACACTCCGCCTGTCGTCACCCGAGATATTCGCATTGTTTGCTGCGACCACGGGTGCCTTTGCTTGTTCCATAGCGCTGCCTCGAGTGAGTCCGACGTCGCGACTTACTCAGACTTTCTTCTTGTTGGGCCTGGCTAATTCCTGAGATGTTTGTGTTGGTGGCAGGCGCGTTTCTATGTCAACAGCCTCTCCACAGCCGTGGTAGTGACACAACGCGGCACCTATTCCTCACATGTATGTATCGAGGTCAAGGCCAGCTGCGATCGACCGGGTTGTGTATCCTGGCGTAATTCGTGCATGTACACGTTTATCATTTCGTGGCCCCGCATTCTATCCAGTATGTACATGCTGACACGAAGGTCTATCAAGACAGCTCCAATTGTTCGACAGCTCCAAAACACGGAGGTAGGTAGCTTCTGCAGAGAAAAGTCTGAGTGCCAGTCCAGGGCTCGCGACTCGCCAGAGCCATGACCGTTCGAAGATCAGTCTGAACGGTTGCACGATGGTTATCTTGAAGACAAGCCAGAGACAGCACGTGGCCCAGATGAGACCCCACGCTCCCCTATCACACGTTCGGAGAACATTCACTCATTACTAGCGTTCACCCGCACCTTCTCTTTGCCTTTATATAGTCACAGTTCTGTTTCCTAGACACCCCGACACCGCCCGACTACCCGTGTTTTGTCCTCTACCTCCACAGCCCCACGTAAACATGGCACACTCAACCCCTAGATACGACTCATACCGCCCCGACGGCCAAACCAGCCGCCTGAACACCGATCTACGAAGAGGCGGTGCCTGGACGCCAGGCCTCTCGACCGCGTCTCACGCCCAAACCAACAGCCGCACAGTCCGACACGACACCCCTACCATCCCCCAGAGCATAGAAGTCAACGAAGACGACCGCCCCAAAGTACCCCAGATATACCATCGCGAGATCGACCGTCTGATCGGACGCACCGTCCGCGCCTACCGCCTCGTCATCAACTACCAGCGCGATTGCTCTGGCGGCCACCGCTGGATGCCCGAGCATATCGAAATGATCCATGAAGCAGGTAAGAAGATTCAGACTGATAGGGAGGCGCTGGAAAGCCTGCGCTTGGGCCTGGTACGTGGGGATGACGCTGCTGTGGTTGGTCAGGTCCGTGATGCTGCGCACGCGCTTCGCGATTACTGTGAGGAGATCCAAGAGCTGGTTCAGGTTCACGAACGAGTGCCTGTGTTCAATGGTAAGAAATTGGAATGGTGCGGACAAGGTCGCTCTGTGAGGATGCAGTTCCGAGATGCTCTCGGGGAAAGGCGCGACATGGGGGGTATTCAACGGGTCGGCGGTCATGTGCGGCACGAGCCCCCTGTGAAACAGCTTGACGCTAGCCCTCGCACTCAGCCGGATAGGTATGATGGTAGTGGACGAAGGGGCTTCTTCGCTTCCGACACATGGCGACCGACCTGAGCATAGCTGAGCCTGTTTCATGCTGCGACCTTCCACATTCCTCAAAGTAGACCAAGTACACCGAATGCTGGGGTCTTCACAGACACCCAGACATAGGAGCGACGATAGATCTCCTGCAGTGGGAGTTGTCGTAATTATATCAGCTACATGCCGCAGGCAACAGCTGTTCTTCATCTCCATCATCTCTATGATTTGTACCCCGATCACGCATTCCTTTACTCTATGGTTAGCACTGGACTCTATCATGTACGCTAACTTGGCGATGGTGCTTACTGAGTTCACGATAGAAGACAAGTTCCTGTAGGGTCTGGCTGTGGGAGAATGACTATAATCTTCGCTGCCTAACCTTAGCATTCTATATAGGTCTGGAATGTTTTGTTTTTATATAGACTCTGTCCTGAAATTCGCCATGTTACATTCCTTTAGGACTACATTCCTTTAGGAAGGTAAAGCTATCATAGGACGGGTTAATCGGTGTTGCTATCCTTCACACGTGACCCGGATTACCCGTCTGAAGAGGTAGCGTTAATTCCCGCAAGCTGCTTTGACTAGCGGCCATAGGTTCGCCCAGGTGTACTGGCAGTGGATGAACATCATGGTGCATGAAAACTCCTCGAGGGTGACAGCTCAATTAAACAGGAAACAAGAAACACACATTTGAATCAATCGTCTCAGTTTGCACGACTATCGCCGCCCCAAATCGCGAGCTCGCTTCTCGCTGTGCTCCTCGCTCCTCGGTCGTTCCTTTCATTGCGGAGTGCAAAAGAAAGGACCATCTTTCGACGCTCCGCGATAAGCGCACGGCAACATCCGTGCCACAATTAGTACCTGAGGCTTTCCTGCTGCTATGTGGTCAGCATTTGACCCCCGACTTTGGCGTTCCGCATCGGGCAAGGTAGGCTGAGCAAGGCGCCCCGTTGACTGCGATACGAGCGAGGGGGTGTGAGGTTGGGATCGCACATAACGATGCCGGAATGCGAGATTGAGCTGTGCTGAGTAAGAGCGAGGCAGATTTGTGTAAGAGCGAGGCAAATTTGTGTAAGGAGGGAGCATAGTAAGGGGGACCTGACAGATTAGTCTTCGCAGAGCATACAGTATGTTGGTTTTGTGAAGGCGGTTGTAATGCGATGAAGCATAGTTGATGTTAAAAGATCATCTTGCACGATCTAGTTTTCTGGTCCTCCTCCGTTGGGTATGCCTGGTGATGTTGATTGACTCCAAACGCCTTGTGTCCTGATGCATGCATGCCCACCCATGTTGAAGGAACCCAAGCAAAGCTCCTTGCCTTCACCTTCATCTCATCGAATCATTGAGGAGAGGGAAAATACAGAGTACAAATACAGATGTGTCGCGCAAAGGAAAAGAAAGACAAGAAACCGGTCCCTGTCGACAGCTTCTCCCAATGGATGAGAAATGCGTCATGATAGCTACCCTGCCAATGCGGCGATGACTTTGCGATCGCCTGGAAATCGCCCTATCGAAGGACAATCTTCGAGAACCTGTTTGGAACAGTTTTCATCGCTTCGTTCCAGGCATCTTCATGGATCCGGCCTACGGCCACTCGTCGTGCGAAGGCCTCCTGGAAGGAACCATCGTCGAGTGTCTTGGCTTCAAATTCCTGGATCAGCATGACATTGTACATCTTCCACTCGCCATCGTTATTGTAATCCTCCGGGTCGCCAATCTCTTCTTCCTTTAAAAACCGGCCGTCCTTCCAGATTGGGATACCAGAGGGGTGTGAGATGTTGTTTGAGCTCTTGCTAAACGTTGATGGGACGCGACGGTTGACGGAGAGCAATATGTAATGGAGTTTTCCGTCTTGCTGATGCGCGACGATTTTTTTCTTATAGTCCATGAGAACACCACAGGGGCGATCTTGAGAATCTATGAGTCCAGTACAGAGCAGTGGCTGTTTCTCTTCATCGTAGATCTGTTCCATCTTGAAAGCACTTGCGTCGACCTTTTGTGCAGTGAAGCGTAGAGTGTCACTTTGGACTTTCGGAGGTTCACTGGCCAAGAGCTGCAGACCCGCGGTAGGATACTCAATCCGAGGGCGTTGCGTTGATATCGGGTCAAGCTTGAGAGACATGGCTCGGTTCATGATCGTGTATCGCTCGCATCCAGACTCGGGTCCAAGTACGAACGAGGTGATTTTGGATTTGAAGAACACAGGTGCTTCTCCACGCCTTCTGACGTCGGGACAACTGGAGGGGTCGAAAGGGAAGTTCACAGCGCCATTCCAAGCTGTCCAACTCCAGGAAGGCTCTGATGACTCTGTGACAGACTTTCTAGTCATCTCTCCTGCTGGGCACCATAGTAATGCGATGTCGAACAACGCTTCCGGGAGGTCGTTGATGAATCGTCCGCCCTCAACTTCGCAGATCGTTTTTTGTATCTTGGAAAGTTCTTCTGCTGGGAAGTTTGAATTTCCAGAAACTTGGTTTGTGATGAGTCTGTTGTACTTTTGGAAAGCGTCGAACCAGCCTTCTACTTCTTTGAAATCCTCTCTCTTTAACGGAAGATTGTCTTCCCCGGCGGCTGAGTTGATAGAAGCTGATCTCGATCTCTTTAGATGTCTGATCCATTTTCCAGGGGACTTTGATGAGATGGAGCGAATTGAGCGGGAAGTTGAACTGCTCCGTGATCTTGACGGCTCCAGAGGAGAGAGCCATCCGCCGGAATTTCCCGTTGAGGGGCGATCAGGGTGAGGAGATTTGCTGTTTCCTCGTGGTCGCGGAAATATGCTCGTGACCGTAGAGAGACTTAAGCGTGGCCGAAGATATGGCGAAGAACCCCGCGAAGGTGGGGGGTCGGTAGACATGACGAGCAGCGACATAAGTAGAAAGAATCAACGGAATCCTTTATATGCGACCGATCGCAAGAGTAAGTGTTGCCGTGGAAAGCTACCAAAATGTGACGGCCGATGTAAAGCGTTGGTGAGACAGCAAGAGGCTCGGTGAGTGAGAACGTGATGGGTGAATCTGCGAAGTGCGCGGTGACTGTCAAATAGCACGGTTACCGCGTCGCCGCCCGATGCGACTGCGCCTCGCCGTTGAAAGCCTCGAATATTGCCGAAGAGATCACGCTGATGGGGCAGCGCAAGGACGAGTTCGATGTTCGAAGGAGGCTGAGCACGGCCCAGGGTTTTTCAGGGCAAGTCTGGCCAACGATCGGGCCCCTGCATCACTAGAGCGACAAAGTCATCATTAGCATCCTCGTACGTGGTATGTTCCGTTGCAGGCATGCCTTGCGTTGGAAGCTTCGTAAGTACGTCCGCACCATCGGCCTTTGCAAAATGAGTCGGACAAGAACGAGTCATGCGGCAGCTATGCAGTCAAAGACAGCGAGCTCAAAGAGCAGGTGGCGCTTTCAGCAGGAGACAATGAAGCTGTCGATGTTGCAGGTCTCAGAAAAGGGCCGGGCCCATTGCTCTATGGATGAGGTGACGACTGATCGATTCGACGTGGGGCAAAGCGCCGTCGCGCGCTTGACAACGCGCGCGCCAGCAAAGCTTCAACGCTCGCCCAGTGATGGAGTGCCTCGGCAAGAGTGGACTCGGAAGCTGGTGGCTGAGGCTGGCTGTTGAACACGATAGGGCATACGAAGACACTCAAATTCCACACAAGTTGCCCTTCTCAACGAGCGTGGCGAGGATGGGTGTGGCGAGTGCTGTGGCTGAGGCACCCGCTAGAGACAAATAAGGTTGAGGGTGGGGCCAACACAGTCACATGATCATGCATCGAGCGCGGGGTGGCCGGACGCGAAGTTGCTAGGCAGCGCTGGCTGCGCGTCCAGCAGGTGCGGCTTGAAAACCCCGCTACGTCCAAACACTGTGCGATTTCCTGTGAAGCTGAGCGTACGCAAGCCGACCAATCCACCATGTCTGGCTACGAAGGCGAGTTCCAATGCACTGCTCTCGGCAGCTGAACATCCCGACTACGGACTGACAATCCACGCAGTCGAACACAACATCCCCACCAAGGAAGACAAGCCCGAGCAGCCTGCGCGCAGACCCGATCTCAGCACCTTCTTCTCCACGCTGGAATTGGTCGACACGTCCGATCCGCAAGCACACCACAATGTCCACGCGTTACCCCAGCCCGAGAACGTGGCGGCGGCGTTTAGGTTGCTAGCCAACGCTTTCGATATGATGCGCGGACGACCAGCGGACGAGCGAGGCGACAGCACCACTGGCGGTGACGATCTTCTCGCCAGCATGATTGAGCAGCTGCGGCAGCACGCGGATGACCCTCCATCCGAGTTGAAGGGCGTCCCAGATAGCTTCTTGGATGAGCTGGAGCGTGTGCCGAACAAGTCGCTGAAGCCGAGTGATACCTGTCCGATATGTGTAAATCCATTTCTTGAGGGTATGTGCATAATCATGCAAGGCTACGTCCTATTGTGGCTAATTTGTCTCCCCACAGATCAGTATCCGTTGGTGGTAGAGCTTCCCTGCCACCCAGATCATCGCTTCGATCTTGATTGCATTAAGCCCTGGCTCAAGCTAAACTCAACATGTCCACTTGATCGTAAGGAGCTTCTGAAGAAAAAAAAGCCATCCCCGCCTCCAGCGGACGACGAGGAGGAAGATTACGATGATATGTATGCCTGAAGAGCTAGGCCAAATAAGATCGAATATATGTCAGAACCGGAAGACATCGGTGGCTTACATGTGAAGGGAGCCGACTTCCGTGCACCCTTCGTATGCACCGCCAATTCGACGGTACGGCCCAATCACTCTGACTGCATTGACTCCAACTCCATCCCAACATTTGCCGCTGCAACATACAGCCAGCGGACATGAGATCACTTCGGCAGACCAGTACTTCATACGTAGCACATACGCCGTGAGGGAACAAGGACGTCTGCGAACCAATTTGAGCAAGCGCATACGTCCAGTCACCCGAGTGACCGCAGCACTTGTCCGAATTAGTCCACAAATCGTTCCACACTCCACTGGCCAGCAGTGCAGTTCGTCAGACACCGCTGACAATTGTCGCTGCTATCATGTTGAATCTGCTTATGCAAACTAGGCCGAAATCAATACTACAAGCTCACAAATATTTACAATGGTATTGTGTGTGTGTATGTTGTGACTTTTTGTGTGTCAGAAAAGAGCTCCACTCAATTCCGAACGGCCTGTCTAGTTCTCTCGTGGGATCTCATGCCACCAGATTTGTCAAAGTGTCGTGGGATACCTTTGTCAACCACGGGTAAGCAAGAGCGCGATTGCTTGTACCCGCTTTTGCTGTGCGGAGGCGGAACAACCATTCTCACTCGGCCTTGCGTGATGGCGGCGAGTCTGCAGCTAGTTCCAGAAGAAGCACGCTTTCTATGTGTGTCTTATCAAAGACAAATGCTGCAAGCTGAAGTCATCCGGCGAACTCCATTTGGATTTGTCTTGTTCACACTGTGATTACAGAGAGTTGCTTGTTGTGTAGTCCTGGCGTAGCGGCGCGGATGCAGACCGGATGCAAGGTCACGGTCACGTTCACGCCGACTACGTTTAGGTAATCCATCGATAATTGTGGGCAGAAAGTCCGCAATCTCTCGGTCGACTCTTGGATTCGCTGTCGCCTCCACGGAGTTCGAACAATCGAACATCCGAGGCAGCGCCTGCTTACAAAGAGGCGCAACCTCGCGGCGCAAAGGGGTCGCCGCTGCTCGCATTGTCGCGATACATTCATAAACGAAAAGCAACTTCGCGCTTCGCAGTCCCTTAACTGCGAAGTCGGGCAGATAAAATATCTTGAGGGAGCTAAGCTGGTACTTGGGTGCGGCATCTTGCAGTCAGAAGCCCGTCGCACGCGGCCCAAAAAACTCGGCCGAAAAGGACCGGGTTGAGCTTACGTCCAGACGGTTGCCGCCAACGGCATCCCCACACTATGAAAGTAGTCCCTGTCCCGTTCCTGTGTATGCTCCGGTCGACACTCGCTTGAACGTTGGGAACAGATAGATGAGCGTGCTGGTTGTCTCTGGTCCTTTCGACATGGACTATGGTAGTACAACCAGTACCGAGGCGACTAGGAAAAGGCCGTCAAGTCGCCTGCGCGCCTGTTGGGAGTGTAAGATGACCCTCCGCATTCCAGTTCTTGTGTTGATCGTTCCATGACACTAACTTGGTTCTGGCAGGCAAGAAGAGAAAATTACAGAGCGCTTGCGAGAAGAGCGAGTCGTCTACCACTTTAGCTATTGGTCCTCTGGACAGTTTCGCTCCAGACGGTGAGGATCACGCCTGCCAGCTCCACATTGGTGAACGGCTTGGCAAGCTGGAACAACTATTCGAGAAGTTCGTGTGTCGCAAAGCTCCCAACATCACCTTGAACATTGCTTCGTCGCAAGACTCTTCGCGAACAGCTGTATCAACGCAGTTCGACGAAAAGCCTTTCAAACTCACCGGGCTTCCGCCCTTACCGAAAAGCGACGGCCAAAGTCTCGCAGACGGCATAGTCAGTATTCAGTGCTGGTATACTTGTCCCCGCCGTACTAACTCGCTTTCAGCTAGGAACACGTACTTGGTCGTCGGCTCCGAGTATCAGGACTCTCGTCGAGAAAGAAGACGGGCAAACATCATCAGATCCTGTTCACAGGGCATTGGTAGCTTTGCTTCCTTCGCAACATGATGCCGACGTTATATTCGAGTCCTCGAACGGGTGGATGATTATGGGCGGCATGTATCGGCCCTCAAAAGACCTCTTCGTGGATCAAGATCCGGAGTCGTATGCCTTGTGCATGGCATCAATTGCGAAGGAGCGTGCCATTATCGTAGCACGGACACTGCTACATTTAGCAGCTTGTCTCTGCGCCTTACCGCCCGACTTCAACACCTCGCGGTTACGCAATATCTGGAACCTCGAAGCTACCATGGACAACTATGTTACTACCGTCACTTCGCTGGTCACCTCGTCGGATGAGCTGTTACTCACCCTACCCGGACTTGAGACGCTGCTCCTGCTGTCTGTATACCACGTGAACGTTGCCAACCTCAGACAAGGTTGGCTCCTTGTTAGGAGAGCTATGAATCTGGCACACCTGATGGGCTTCCATCGCATCGTCCAAGCCAGACAAATTCCCCAGATTGAATCGATAGAGTCGTCGGTATCAGTGTGGTGTTGTCTAGTCGACTTCGACAGGATCCTCGGCCTACATCTACGCCTTCCGTTCGCCTCGGACGATTATCCTATCCCAGAAGACGACGCATCTCATCGCGTTCACCGCGCTCGGCTCACATCCATATCCCGACAGGTCGCCGAGCTTGATCACGAAGTCACCTCTCAGTCATACGTGCAGGCACTAGCACTCGACGAGAAGCTCGAGTCCATGATGAAAGAGCAACCGAAGGATTTCTGGGACGTGCCCAACGTGCCACCCACCGCCCGGACAGCCGAGTCATACGACGTGCTGGAGCGCTTGATGGTCCAGATGTGGCACTTCGAACTCAAGATCTTCATCCACCTCCCGTTTCTCCTGCGTGCACCGCAAGAGAGCCGCTACGAATACTCGAAAGTCGCCGCCCTCCAAGCTAGTCGCAACGTCGTGATGAGGTGGTTCGCCCTCCGCAACGCCGGCATCACGCAAGCATGCTGCCGCTTTGCCGAACTCAGCGTCTTCATTGCCGCCATGACGCTCACGCTCGACATCCTCATCGACATGGCCACCAAAGAAAAGTCAGAAGTACAAAAGGCAAAAGGCAGCGACTTCGCCATGATATGCCGGGTCATCTCCGAGATGGAGAAACTCGGCAAGGCCAGCACCCGCGAGCGCATGGCCATGCGCAGCGCAGTCGTGCTGAAAAAGATCCTGTCCTCGCTGGACCCCAGCAAGCAGACGCTGGGTAAGGCCAGGCTGACGGTGCCGTACTTTGGCACTATCGAGCTGGATTACAAGAAGCTGCCTGTTCGGCCGGCCTTCGATTTGGACTCGGGCACAGCGAAGAAGCTGAGCTCGAATGGGACGGCTGATCATATTCCGGTGTTTTCTTTTGTAGCCAACGCGCTGTGGCCTACTACTAACGAGTATAACAATCCCGAGATGGACTTTGACATTATTCTCTTTGACGGGCTGCAGGATCTGGACGTGGATGGAAATTGGGTGTTTTAATTAGCGTTACTCGCTTTTCCTTTGTGTACGGAAGGATGGAATGGGAAGGCGGCGTTTGGGATGTTGTCAAGGCTAGCATCGTAGCGTTGTTTTAGGTTTGATACCTGGATATGGTTTCAAGTCCCGTGTGGGACGGGAGTTCGGCACTGCTTTCAATACCAGAGTTAAGTATCTTGCTGGAACTAAGGATGTTCATTCGATGACGATGACGCTCTTCCTTTCTCTAGACGAAAGAGTATGAGAAAATCAACATTGCTCCAGTGCCTCACTCGATGTGTCCTTCGTGAGAGTGCGAGTGACCAAGTCTTGTTGCTCTGTTGATATCGTGTGTTGATCATCGATACGAGTGCCCAGCATTGCCAGCGACGCGGTAACACTAGGTGGTGACTAGTGCCCATGGGTGCGCGCATGCGCTCGATCGTGGTCCCTCCAATGTCGTAGCGAGACGTGGACGGTATGTCGGAAGTCTCTTTCGGAGACGGCCGCGCGGTTGTTCGTGCGGTGAGTCGCCGGGGTGAATGGGTCTCTAGACGCGCCACCCTAAAGCGGAAGGGGCGCCGCGCTGATGGCGATCACAGCCGCTTGCAACTCCGTGCGACAGAGGGCTAGCCCTTCCTCCAGGCACACGACCACGACACGCTTGCTGCCAGGCCGTCGCGGCAAACTTGTCGACACTGCAGCGCTGCAGCCGTCCCTCACCCCGTTGCGCGCCCCCCGTTTCATGCCCGCGACCCTGCGACGTCAAGACTGCCTCGTAGGAAGCGAGCTGGCTGACTCTCTCGACCTCGAGCCGGAGCACGCCATGGAGGACCGAAGCCACCAGCTCGAGCGCGCGCGCGACCACTCCGCCGACGTAGAACCTGCGCCGGTGTCTGTCTTCGGCAAGGGCGACGCTGCGGCCATGCAGGACGGTATAGGCGCCCTCGAGTCCACCCACGGCCACGGCCCGTTGCTGAGTCCCTTCGAGGCTATCTTCACTACGTACCCGCCCGTCCTGGCCTCGCTCCTCGCCCAGATCTCGACGGCTACGCTCCTCGACTTGTACCACACGTCGAGACACCTCCGCGACTTCCTCAAGCTGTACCCCCTCGCCTGGAAGACGCTGTCGTTCCGGTTGCCACAGCCCGCCGTCGCCATGGGCTCGCCTGGGAACGAGACACCCGACGGCCGAGAGCGCCAGTCGAGGCCCTACGCGTTCGATGCGCTGTTGAAGCAGATCATAGGCCCACATGGGGCGTGCTTGACCAGCCTGGATCTCTGCAACACCGCCGTCTCGGGGACGGCGCTTAGCATGCAGGTTCTGGGGCCGCGGAGCAATACTCTTAGGTGGGTGCTTTTCCGTCAAGTCGGGCACTGTACGGTACATTCTGGGAGCTCAAGCGATCAGAGTCGACGTCCATCGCTGCGCTCGACATGTACGAACTCTGCCATAGTGCGCATGCTAACTCGGTGTACACACAGACATTTGTCGGTACGGGGCTGTAAGAATGTTTCGATTAAGTATCACATCGTCCCTTTCCTGGAGCCGTTCACAATGGATCAAATGCCGGATTCAGCGGTAGAACTTGCCTTGAAGAGCCTCTATACGTACCGCTGTCGGCACCACCGTAGACGACCATACCTTCCGCAGTCTCTTACGCGACGAGACTCCGACTCCGACCCCACACATCAGTTGATCGAGATATGCCATAAACTTGGCATATGGACAGATACGGCGTGGTGCCCAACGCCAGGAGGCCGTTGTTATCGGAGGAAAGATTACCATGCAGGACGAGCAGGACCGCAAAATGGCGAAGTTTGGGTGCCGTATGACCGCTTATGGCGTTCAAGTAATCGGATTGGGCCCGCGGACGGTGTTGGAGAAAAGCTAGGACAATCAGACGGGAGGCTATGGGAGATCTCTGAGACTGGCCAGGATGGCGAACCGTTGGGAACCGATAGTGGTGCTGTATCCAAGGGCGAGGGCAAGCACGTGCCAGCACACATGCGGCAGAGCCACAAGACTTTCGTCGAAAACCTCTATTGCGCGCAATGCAACGAGGAGATTCTTGAGCGATGCGAATCGTGCAGCGTTCGGATGCACTGCATGGGATGCCGAAAGACGCTTTGCGCCAGCTGCGCCTTCAACAAGCCTATACCTAGGAAGCGGGAAAAATCAAGGCAGTTTGCAAGCACGGCGTTCGGTTCTGGCTCCACAGTTGGCACCACTCTGAACCAAGCCTCAACCGGCTCCAACGTTTCGCTCCAAACCCCGAACCACCCTGCGCAGCCCCAGCAGGATGACCGCTTCTGGTGGGCTCCAGGGGCAACGCGGTCGCCCAATCTCATGAACGAGTCTTCTCAGGAGGACGAAGACTCTGATTCTGACGATGGCGGCAACCTCAATCAAGGTCTGCCAGTGCCACCTCCCAATCGCGACCCGCCGAAACTTAACATGCATTGGTGCTGCCTGGAACCTATATTTTCAGGCGGCGGCGGCATTGCTGTACTAGGGACTGGGCTGGGTGGCAGAGGAGCTGACAAGATACGAGCCGCACCGCTTCCGCGCACTAAGCAGTTCGAGGACCCGGATTTCTCAAATCAGCTTCGGCCAGTTGACTACATTCGAGAATTGAAGAACAATGGACTTTACGAATATGTCCTCGGCGAGGACGTTGACCTTCTAACCTACCTAAAGCAGCCCAGTCTGGAGCTGCAGGCCCAGACATGCCCCCGAGGTCTCTGTCAGGACTGCTACAGGAGTTTCCGTTGGAAAGTCACGTGCCGAACATGCAAAAACCCTATCTGCAAAGAGCACGACTTTAGGGGTCTGAAGTTCCGCAAATGTGGCTATCGAGACATGGTCACCGAACGTGAACATGTCAGAGCGCATACGGAACCACCACGACTCATCATACCTGAATTCAACCCCACTAAAAACGCTCAACGACTCCCTACTGGACCTCCTTCCTTTAGTCAATCCTCATCGTCTCTGATTACTGAGCTTGACATGGGCGACCAAACACCTATGTCACAGTCTCAGATCCTCGTCCCTCACGTACCGCCCTCTTCCGTAGAGATGTCCGCCGCCAATTCCGTTGCATCTCATGTGTCCAATTTCGACCCGACCTCAAACGCCGTTCCCGTGCCATTTGTTCCAGTAAGCTCCTCGAGGCCGCGATCCCTCAGTACCTCAGGTGTTCGCAGCCGGAACCTAGCGTTCGCGTCAAACTCAGCACGGGTTGGCATTCCTAGTTCCATAACCAATCCTCTTCCACTGCCCTGTCATCCCCGTCACCCCGTTCAATGGGAGGGCTGCGGAGCCTATTTCTGTCAGTATCCTAGGCCTGTAGGGGACAACAGACCACAGTGCCCCACTTTGCTCAAGGAGTGTACTGAGTGTGCCGTACTCGTGTGTGATGTAAGTCAACCCTCGCCCGCTCGAACGGATAACTAGAACACGTTAGGTTTCTGATAGAATTGACGCTGACCCTTCATAGCAATGCAACTTGGCGAATCCCACCTGCACCTGCACGTATTGCACAGTGAATTTTCACTGTCCAACATGCTCTCGCAAACCAGATGTTAGGGCAAAATGCCGCTATGAAATGGAGACTCAGGCAAAACTCGCAGAGGAAAGACGCGCACGCGAAAGGATGGAGAAGGAGAGGAGAGGACGAACTCAAGCTGACGAGTTAGCTGGAGCTGTCTTCGAATTTTTCAAGTCACTGTACACTCACGATGATGTTGACGAAGATGACGGACCGAGCATCACCCACCAGGAGAACGTTGACATCGCCAGCCAAAGTACCATTGTCAACACGACCAGCAATCAACTATCGAGCCCAGACTCGATCACCGTTACGACAGTTTTTGGTGTGCATGAGGAGCCTTCCAATGTCACGGTCATCTCTGGGCCGTCTACGTTTCCGAACCACTACTCACATGCATCTGAAGAGGCGGAGACATCTGATTTTGACGTTATGGATGAACTCATGCACGGAAGCCACGTTGTAACGCTGAACGAGGCAGACTTGGGTGCATTCTTGGCTGGCGGCGTCAATGCTCCTGACATCGATTCACTACTAGGCATCGACACGGATAGCAATATGAACGACGATGGCGACGATGCAGATATCGATACGGACGAATTCGATGCCGAAAGTGCGGTAATCGATGAGTTCTTCGATGACGGTGGACTGACGCCAACTATGACCACCCACGCATCGAACCTGTAGTGTTCGTTATCACGTCGCAACAATCAACCGACAAGATGCCGTGTTGCCAGGCGCCCCAGATTGGCATGGTACACCGAAACTGGAGCTGAGCGCGGTTCAAACCAGATAAGTATTACGAGGCAAACCAGGATGATTCCTGGACTACACTATGATCAGAACGAATTGTCGAACTATGCAGAAGATCCAAAAAGATACACAGACTGCGACACCTAATATATGAAGATACCCCAGCAGCCACGGAGGCGGAGACCCACAGATTGAGCAGTTGGGTACGCATAGTATATAGCACACCTTCAGCACGATTTTCTAACACTTACACCTTTTTCCCAAGGCTTGAATTGCTTGCATCCTCTTTCAGCGTTATTCAGTGAGCATAGCCGATTTTGTTTTTGGTTGGACACGGAGCATAGCATAGTATGGACTGGCAGATTGTAACAGCCGCTGAGGGCTGGTTTTGACAAGGTAGATATACTTGTACAGGAAGGCTGGCGGACTGACATTGCATACTCGGTCTTGGTATCTGTCAGCGCCCTTTGATAGAAGGAAAAGATTCTACTTCGGTCCTCCCCACCCTCAGTCGTCTCGTCTCTTCACAATCCATCCCCTTGATATGCCTCCGCGGAGCGGGAACAATGCAGTGATGCCACTTCATATCCGCCTCCTTATGCCCCACCGTCTGCGCTTCAGACCGCCGGAACAAATGCCCCACCGTCTAAGGCAACGTCGCATATGTCCAAGATGCGTTGAGGAATAAGGGGTGGTAAGACGTATTGGTTGTAACCCTCCAGGTCCGCGACGTGTAGCTCGTTGGGCTAGATGCAAATCATAGGACCATATTTCTTGTGCATCTCTGGGAGGCGCTTGATCAGGCCTGGCGTGCAGATGTCACAGTATGCGCTGTAGAGATGTGTAGCGGCTGCGAGCTTGGGGCCGGGCAAGTTCCGGAGGGGATGGGAAAAGAGACGTTATTTTATCTTCAGGAAGACATAGGCGACGGTAGCTGCGAAGACGTATACCGGTTTTGGGGATATAAGCATCACTTCGAAGGTGTCGTCCTACAGGTACCTGAATCAAGGAACGTGAGCAGTTTTCTGGCGTTTCAAGGTGAGAAGACGAGAAGAAGGCTGAGGAGAGACATAAAGGCCCTCTTATATCGTGCCGAATTCACGCATCTCGTTCTGCCGCTAGCCTGAGGTTGATGGGGTCCAAAATGCGCGGAAGGGTCGTGTGGGGACTGGCGTACGGGGCAGGCATGCACTGAGCCTTCCTATAACGAGTAATAGTCTTGCGGTGGACGTATCAATGGGTATCAATTGCAGGAGGCTAACAAGGGTGTTCTCACTAGTGTACACTCGCGCCAGACGATAAGCGCTAAGAGTGGAGCGGATAACGGACCATCTAGCCAGCTCACGGCTGGTTAATTTGCCTGGCTCCCGTGGTGGCTCATAGCGATGAGCCATGTTGTCGGTTTGATTGACAGTAGATGACTGAATTTATGCAGACATACAACTTCGCTTACACCGAACTAGGTAACGATGAGGAAAAATCATTCAGTCTCGTGAGAGATTGTGAGTCCCGCAGTTGGTGGAATTCCATCACACAATCTGGTCAGCACTGCAGGTATCTTCGCGACTGTAACATCGCTTGCCAAATCCATGTACAAGTGTGCAGAAAGGAAACGCGCAAGACATGTTCCTAGAATCTCTACCATGAAGACGAAGCTTTAGTCTAAGCACTACAACCATTGCTCAAGCCACTTGCGAACTTCTTCTGCGTAGCTGTGCTCAAACCTCAATTGATCTATAGCACGAAGAGCCTTTGAATCAGATTCAAAGTAGTGTTGAGCTTTATTTGTAACTAACTCATGAGCAAGCCTTCACGGAGGAATGATCCCATCCTGGTAGCAAGGAGGAACGCAAAGATCACAGTACGAGTTCTCAAGAACTCCATAGCAATCAGGTTCAATTTTTATGAAAGATAGACGAGCAACCTGGGAACGCTAGTTGTAACGTTCTGTCCCTACATTGAATTTACACTTGGCTCAACATATAACTCGAGGCATGAAATTTGGAACATCTTCCTAAACAATACTCCAGGAGAACTACAAAAGAAATCCGTCTTTGACTCCACGTGCTGCAGTAGCACTGCGCAAGGCTAGTGCTTACCGCTTACCCCTGTCGACAGACCAGAGCCAAGCTCTCGTCGTGATTCATTCAGCATCTTCAAGTATCGTTCTGTTCAATCAACTTGCCGCTTCGGCGCACTCATCAAGGGCATTATGTCTATCCCAGAGTACACCGAGGTTCTTGTCATCGGTGGTGGTCCGGCCGGCTCGTATGCAGCCTCGGCCTTGGCTCGAGAGGGTATTGATACTGTCCTGCTTGAGGGCGAGAAATTTCCTAGGTAAGTGCAGCCAAATGAGCACCAATACACATGACAACAGTGCTCATGTTTTCGGAGATATCATGTGGGTGAGAGTATGCTTCCGTCTTTGCGCCACTTCTTCAGATTTGTGGACCTTGACTCGACTTTCGTGGCTCATGGCTTTTACAAAAAGATCGGTGCAGCATTTGTGTTGAACAACAAGGAGCCAGCATATACCGACTTCATTGGGCCCGGTGGCCCAGAAGGCTATTCCTGGAACATTCTTCGCTCTGAGGCCGACGATCTTATCTTCCGGCACGCAGGGAAGTCCGGAGCGGCAATCTACGACGGTGTCAGGGTCACTGATATCGGATTCGCAGACCATGAAGGCCCCAGTACTGCCAGCGAAAAGACGCGGGACCCCGGAAAACCCATATCCGCGACCTGGACGCGCAAGGCAGATGGCACCTCAGGCACTATTGACTTCGATTATCTTATTGATGCTAGTGGTCGCACGGGCATTATGAGCACAAAGTACCTCAAAAATCGGCAGTTCAATCATCAGCCGGGTCTTAGGAATGTTGCTAGCTGGGGCTACTGGACGGGTGCCGGACGTTACGGCATCGGTACACCGCAGGAGGGCGTGCCTTACTTTGAGGCACTGTCAGGTTCGCGTTCCCAGCTACTCTGTAGTTCATAATGCTGAGAATTCGTCTTCAGATGGCAGTGGTTGGGCCTGGTTCATCCCTCTCCATAACGGTACCACATCTGTCGGGGTAGTTATCGATCAAGAGGTCGCCACCCGCAAGAAAAAAGAGATGGGCTCTCCAGGCAGTAAGCAATTCTACCTAGAGGTGCTGAAATCCGCGTCTAGGATGCTTGAGCCGATGATTAAGGATGCCACGCTTGTCTCCGACATCAAAGCCGCGTCCGACTGGTCGTACAGCGCCTCGTCCTATGCAAGCTATAACACACGCATTGTCGGAGATGCTGGTAGCTTCATTGACCCTTTCTTCTCATCAGGTGTTCATCTCGCTGTATCCAGTGGGCTTTCCGCTGCCGCAACCATCTGTGCCTCGATCAAGGGCCAATGCAGCGAATATGAGGCTTTAGAATGGCATTCGAAACGTGTTGCTCGAAGTTACACACGCTTTCTCCTAATAGTCCTGAGCGCTCTGAAGCAGATGAGAGAGCCGGACCGAGCCGTACTTAGTGATCCAGACGAGGCGGGGTTTGCTCGTGCATTTGATCATTTCCAATCCAGTGAGTGGTCTCAGCGGGGTTCCTTCATGTAAATCGCTAACGACGTGAAGTCATCCAGGGCATTGCCGACGTCAATGCAGTGGGAACTCAAGAGGAAGTGCGCAACGCCGTTGACTTTTCCTTCACGGCGTTTGTGTCACCATTGGATCTAGCAAAGCGTGACACTGTCTTGAGAAGGGTTGAGTCTCTCAAGGCGGCTGGTGGTGAGCAAGACATGGAGAAGCTCCATTCGTATCTCTCCCAGGAGGAGCTGGAAATACTTGAGTCCTTACGTGCGAAAAAGACGGCGCTCAAGGCGGACATTATTAATGTGGACAGTTTCACCTCGGACACAATTGACGGCCGTTTTATCAACATGGTGCAAGGCTCTCTTGGTCTCGAAGCTGTGGAATAAACATCATGACTTGATTCGGGTCGGATTCGAAGTGATGCCTGTAATTTGTTCTTCACTTTATGAATGGATAATTTCAGGCGCGTACCGGATGCTCCTAATTCATACTCGCGGACGCGATGAAACTACAAATCTTCCGTGATCGCGCACCAAAGGTTCATCTCATCGTGTAGAATGCCTAATACATCGACTAAATCCGTACCTTTTCCGGCCCTTCCATATGCATGCACTCTAAAATGCCTCTAACGCGGCTAACAACTTGATCCGATCTCGACACTCCTACCTAGGCAATGCTTAATCTCGAGCGGCGAGCATCACGGTCTTCCTGATACATCAACAATTGGTCCTGGGCTACTATTCGTACATTGAATTGTACCTCGTACAAGGGGTCATCTGCCCGAAATGCCCATGGATCTATCACTGTCTTGGCGATATCCCGGATCGATCAGCTGGGGTGCCGGCGCGAGGCTGTTTTCGACCAGATTCGACGCCGCATGGCGTAACATATCCACAGCGCACATACGCAACAAAGCTTGAGCTAGGCTCGTCCCGCGGACTGCCCCATACGGCTTGTATAAAACCGCATGTCTGAAGGCATTTGAAACGAATTATCGTGACTTTGCAATGACATCAGCACTTTCCCATCGCCAAGCAATCCTATCAGACGTGAGGATGATACTACCAATGCCCTAGCAACATGGAGACGTCAGGACAGGCGCAGTCGGAGGCTGTTAGGGAAAGTGAAAGCCCTACGTTTTCACTTTTCCAGAACAATCGTTCTCGACTCCTGTCGAAGCATTTATTCGTCTCCAATGCCGCAGGGAAAACCAAGAACCTCATTTGGCGACGCGTTCTAACGCAGAACGGCACACTATTAGTTCTCATTATATGCATCATATGTACGTGAGACAGTTTGCTACATCCGAATACGCTCTGTTCTGCCCAAATATGGGCTGCTGTGATGTCGTGACCCATGCCGATTGTGAAAGAGGATGCTAACGATACAATTCAGCGCCAGCTTAACATATTAATATGGAGCACCCAACCCCACATATAGACGAGCTTCCCGGCGGGTGGATAGAGACGCCCGCAGATTTTAGTCGCGCACAGTCGTACATTGGTACTCGAGGAGACGAGAATGCACACCCGAGCCCAGCAGCGAGTGCCCCAGCGACACGAAACGCTTGACGGAGGAGCGAGAAAAGGCAATGTCGAAAGAGACGAAGAAGAAGAACTTCACTCTGCCGTTCCACAAGCAGGTAATCGCCTGCACATCCCGTCAGGCAAAAGTCATGCTTGGTGATCCGCAATCATTGTTTGGTAAATGGGGCGGTGTTCTCTTCCAAGCTCTCATTATTGGCTCACTTTTCTACGACTTGCCCAAGACCGCAGCCGGAGTGTTCCCCCGTGGCGGTGTCTTGTTTTATACGTTGCTTTTGAACGCGCTGCTCGCCCTTGCAGAGTTGACGTCGACTTTCGAATCACGACCGGTTCATCTCAAACACAAAAGCTTCTCATTCTACCGACCTTCCGCTTATGCTATTGCTCAAGTGTTGATCGACATCCCACAGGTATTGGTCCAGGTGTTTATCTTTGACATTGTCGTATATTTTATGGCGGGTCTCCAGCGCACCGCTTCCCAGTTCTTCATCTCGTTGCTGTTCTTGTGGATCATAACCATGACGATGTACTCATTCTTCTGAGCGATTGGTTCCTTGGTAGGCTCGCTGGACGTGGCAACGAGAATCACAGGTGTAGCGATCCAGGCTCTGGTTGTCTATACCGGATACCTCATACCACCAAGCAAAATGCATGCGTGGTTTTCTTGGATTCGATGCGCCAACCCTGTTCAATACGGCTTTGAAGCGCTGTTGGCCAATGAGTACTACAATCTGGAAGTGGAGTGTGTCGCTCCTTACATTGTTCCTCAGATACCAGGAGCCCAGAGCCAGTATCAGTCATGTGCGATTCAAGGAAGCACGCCTGACTCTTTGACAGTCAGTGGCGCGAACTACATCTCGGTCGCATATCAGTACTCAAGGAGTCATCTGTGGCGTGGGTACTCCTGCAGCAAACATGCTCACACGTACTAACTTATTTGTAGGCAACTTTGGTTTCATTGCTGCGTTCCTGATCTTCTTCATTGTCCTGACGGCTATAGGGATGGAGATACAGAAGCCGAACAAGGGTGGCGGCGCTGTGACGATCTACAAGCGAGGTCAAGTTCCCAAGACAGTTGAGAAGGCTATGGAAGTCAAGACACGGGCCGGGGATATAGAGAACGGCAAGTCAGAGGCAGTAGCTGATGACGTGCACGAGCGTGGAAACAACGACTCTGTTGAAGGTGTCGCTAAGAACGAGACCATCTGTAAGCGAAACAAGCTTCCATTCTCATTACATGGAAAGTAATCGTTCATCTCCAGTCACATGGCAAAACCTTACCTACACGATACCCTACGAAAGGAATGAGCGCACGCTTCTCCAGGATGTTCAAGGCTACTTGGATGTGATCAGGAACCTTGCTGATGCAAACTGTGCAGGTGGAAGGACAGTGTACTTTGGAGAACTTGGCCATGACAACCGCACGCTCCTCGACTATCTCGAACGAAATGGAGCCAAGAAGTGTCCACCAAAAGAGAACCCGGCAGAATACATGCTTGAAGCGATCGGTGCGGGCGATCCGAACTACAAAGGCAAAGACTGGGGCGATGACTGGGCGTCCTCCTCTGAGAACGAAAGGCTCACCCAGGAAATCCAAGAGATCATCTCAAACCGCCGAAACGCTGCGAAAGACGAGGTGCGCGATGACAGGAGGTATGCTATGCCTCTCACGACGCAGTTGGCCACCGTCATCCACCGCAACTTCGTGCAGATATGGCGCGATCCTCCCTACGTGATGGGTCTCACGATGCTCCATATTATTACTGGTTTGTTCAACGGCTTCAAACTTTGGCATCTTGGAAACAGCCAGATTGACATGCAGTCGCGGCTCTTCTCGACATTCCTTACACTGACGATTTCTCCGCCGCTCATCCAGCAGCTGCAACCTCGCTTCATACGTATGCGATCGATCTACTCGTCTCGCGAAGGCAACGCAAAGATCTATTCGTGGCCGGCATTCATGTGGGGAACCATACTCAGTGAGCTTCCCTACCGAGTAGTCGCTGGCACGATTTACTGGTGCTGCTGGTACTGGACGACTTGGTTCACACGCGATACCTACACCTCTGCCAGCGTGTGGCTTTTCATCATGGTTTTCGAGGTGTACTATCTCGGTTTTGGGCAAGCAATTGCAGCTTTTGCGCCCAACGAATTGCTCGCCTCGCTCATGGTGCCGCTGTTCTTCACCTTTATTGCGGGCTTCTGTGGTGTCGTTGTGCCTTACGCGGCACTGCCAACCTTCTGGCGGCGCTGGATGTACTGGTTGTCACCTTTCCACTACCTCCTTGAAGGCTTCCTGGCTCTGCTCGTGCGAGGGCAACCTATTGTATGCGACATTGCCGAGTTGGCGATCTTTCCGCCTCCGCCGGGACAAGACTGTCAAACATACGCTGGTGGTTTTGCCCAACAAAGTGGTGGATACGTGCAGACGCAGCCAAATGGGGATTGCGGTTACTGCCAGTACGCGACTGGAGACGCCTTTGCTGCGTCGTTCAATGTATCCGAGAAGAACATCTGGTAAGTGGTCCGGAGAGGTCTCCATCGGCCGGTCAAAGCTAACGGGCATACAGGCGTGATTTTGGCATCATGTGGATCTTCATCTTCAACTTCTTTGTGGTTTTCCTAGGCACGTGGCTCTGCTTGGGCGGTGCGCGCAAGATCAAGTCGGTGTTTAGTCAAAAGGATCGAAAGGACAAGAAAGAGGTGAGTGGAAAGCGGAATAGGGACAAGGCGTAGGCATTGTGCAGACCGCAGATTCGCGTTTGTCAATTCCGTTAGTCGAAGAATGTCCGCGGCCGGCCGGTGCGAATACACCCGAGGCTGGGGAGAGGTCCAGCAGCGCACACGCCAATTTCCGGCCAGACGTCAATCCTCCCCACAGGTAGGTAGAGCTTATGTAATTTTTAGCGACTGTGGAGCCGTGGTTCTGGAGCGCGACTTTTCGTGACTGGAGCACGCGTTCGGAAGAGACTTTATCAACTGTCACGATGGCGTGTCCGTAGTCATGTTTGTGCGCGTTGTGGAGCTGCTACCGCACACGCCTGCGACTGCTAAGCTTCTAATGCCGCAACGAGCAATTAACTCGTGCAAACGCTCGGCTGGGCATGTCCCGGCTCCATGTTTGACATCTGCACGCTGCGCACTCCCGCGCGAATATCCAGCATGAGCCCCAACGCCGGGAGCCCTATCACAAGAAAAGGCTCTCTCCTGATTCCGAGGAGGGTGGCTGCGCACATGAAGCGCCCGAGGTCAATCAAATGGTGCGGCCTCGCTCGGCTTTGCGGTCGTCTCAGGTGTTGGCACCTCCCGCCTGGCCGAGGTGTGCAGCATCGTGGACTGCCCAGATCGAGCTGGGTGCGATGGCGGTGCAGGGGGGTGCTTGGCGCTGGCGAAGAGTAACCGGAACAGACTTGGGCACGAACGCGCTGCACCGCCTCATGTTGGTTGTCCGGCTGTCGTTCGGGTGCTGCGTCGGCAACGCGTGCAGCTTGGGGGAGCAGCCGGGCGCGCCAGCCGTGGATAGCCAGCCCGCGCCTGGCAAACCCCAAGGGCACGCGCTGCGGCGGTTGCGAAGGGGAAGGCTGTCGCGCACGCTGAGATGCTGCCTCTGCGCGGCCAATCGAGATATGCTCGTTTGTGTGGGGTTGGCGTGCGCGAGCTGCTTCCGGCCGACGTCATGTCCTTTCCCCACAACACGCACAAAGACAATCGCCCAGACCCGCCCCCAGCAGCACACCGGGCAGCCTAGCCGCAATCACTCGCCCGCAGAGACGCCCAGGGCGTGACGGCCCTGTGCGGTTGCTTGCGTTGCTCAGCGTGGCCACGCGAGGGTCCTGGGTTGGTGGTCCTCGCACATCATGTGAAGGCGTCGCATCGACAATGACATCGTTGTGACTCGCCCTTGCGCGCAGATCGAACAGGGCCATGGTGTTTCTTCCACGTCCCAACCGCCCCAGCATAAAGGCGCTGGGCACGACTTGCCGGGCCTTCTCCCAGTCGCTCCTGCCTTCCCCGAGCATCGTAGCTGAGAGATTCCGATACTTTCCGCCCACTCCTCCAGCTACACACTACGCCAGCCCGTGGCCCAATCACGCACTCCCGCCTACTAGCCTAGCCCCCGGCCTCAAACATTGGAACTTGGGCTACGTCGTCACGATGGAATATAAAGGGCAGCAAGAACCCCTCATCCGCACATCAAGCCCCGCGCCTTTGGCCCAAGACTTTGCCCGTCAGCAGGTGTCCAAGCAGCAGCGTTCCAACTACCATTCCTCATCCATATCATCCAAAGTTGCTTCCACCATGGTTTCTCAAAGCGTCAACAAGACAGGCCTCCACCCGGCCGGTGTCCAGTACGTCCTGCCGTCACTGCCCAGCACAGGGTGCCATTGCCATCGAGACACTGTGGTGAATTAACATGTTGAACCAGGCCTTCAAAGGATCATACTGAGATCGAGGAAGAGCTCCATGACCGAGCACACATTGACTACGACCGCGTTGCCATTGTGAGTCTGGGTGCTGCTTGCGACGCGGTTTCCCGTGTTCTAACCATTGCCTCAGGTCGCCAACCCCTCAGTAGCTGCTCTTTACGAGGATGCTCTCGTATACGAATCTGGCTCAGCCATCACATCGACCGGTGCGCTTTCTGCGTACTCGGGAGCCAAGACTGGACGTTCGCCCTCGGACAAGCGAATCGTAGAGGAGGACTCGTCGAAAAACGACGTTTGGTGGGGCCCCGTGAACAAGCCCATGACGCCTGATGTAAGATCATCTCCCTTTCGTTCCGTTCCTCGCCGGTCGTTGCGCTGCGGCTGCTCGTGAAAGCGCCAGACGTAATCCAGACGGTGCCCTAGCCGACTGTAGTCGAGTGTTGCCGAGCATCCCTGCAAGCCTCCTGCAAGCGCCGTTGCCCCGCATCGCCGCTCATGCGGGCTCCGCCCTTGGGGAAATCCCTCACGTGGGAGCATTCCGGAACCGTTCGCTAATCGACACCCAGGTCTGGCGCATCAACCGCGAGCGTGCCATCGACTACCTCAACACCCGGAACCGCATCTACGTCGTCGACGGCTTCGCAGGATGGGATGAGCGCTACCGGATACGCGTGCGCGTCGTCTGCGCCCGCGCCTACCACGCGCTCTTCATGCGCAACATGTTGATCCGCCCGTCCAAGGAGGAGCTTGAGCACTTCCATCCCGACTACGTCATCTACAATGCCGGCGCTTTCCCCGCGAACAGATACACTGCCGGCATGACTTCATCGACGTCCGTGGCCATCAACTTTGCCGAGAAGGAGATGGTCATCCTCGGTACCGAGTATGCTGGTGAGTTCTGCACTCTACCGCACTGCTGACAATGAAGCTAACCCCATTCAGGTGAGATGAAGAAGGGCATCTTCACCGTGCTCTTCTTTGAGATGCCTGTTAAGCACAACGTCCTTACCCTGCACTCGTCAGCGAACGAGGGCCAGGACGGAGACGTCACTGTCTTCTTCGGTCTGTCAGGCACCGGAAAGACCACCCTGTCTGCCGACCCCAAGCGTGCACTCATCGGCGATGACGAGCACTGCTGGAGCGATACGGGTGTGTTCAACATTGAGGGTGGTTGCTACGCCAAGACAATAGGATTGTCTGCGGAGAAGGAACCCGATATTTTCGGTGCCATCCGCTTTGGTGCCATCTTGGAGAACGTTGTCTTTGACCCGTCCAGCCGTGTTGTCGACTACGACGATGACACCCTGACCGAGAACACCCGCTGCGCATACCCCATCGAGTACATCGAGAACACCAAGATTCCCTGCATCTCCAACAACCACCCCAAGAACATTGTTCTGCTCACCTGCGATGCTCGCGGTGTACTGCCGCCCATCTCTAAGCTCAGCAGCGAGCAGACCATGTACCACTTCATCTCTGGTTACACCTCCAAGATGGCTGGAACCGAGCAGGGTGTGACCGAGCCCCAGGCCACCTTCTCCTCGTGCTTCGCTCAGCCCTTCTTGGCTCTGCACCCTATGCGATATGCCAAGATGCTTGCGGAGAAGATCGAGGAGCACAAGGCCAACGCGTGGTTGCTCAACACCGGCTGGGTCGGTGCTGGAGCCACCACTGGCGGCAAGGTATGAACAAAACCACCTACAACTCCCTCCTTTACTAACGAACATCCTAGCGTTGCCCCCTCAAGTACACACGCGCCATCCTGGACGCCATCCACTCAGGCGAGCTTGCAAACGTCGAGTACGAGGTGTATGACACCTTCGGCCTCTCGGTTCCCAAGACGTGCCCCAACGTCCCCGACGAGCTGCTCAACCCCGCCAAGTCGTGGAACGGCACGGCCGACTTCAAGGGTGAGGTCGAGAAGCTCGGCAAGCTCTTCATGGAGAACTTTAAGAAGTACGAGGATGAGGCCACGCCCGAGGTCCTCAAGGCGGGCCCCCACGTATGCTGCTGCCCCAAGCACTAGACCCTTTGTCGATGCCGCGTTCTGTTCCGCGTGTTGTTCAAATGGGGCTTTTACTTACTTTCTGGCTCGCAGGTGTAGACTGTCGAGTGAGCCGTAAGCTTTTCTCTATCTTTTCCTAAGCCTCCGGGGTCGATAAGCGCATCGACGCGTCGATGCTTTACGAGTTTCCTTACTCCTTGCTCGGGATCCGTTGATCCTTTTGATATCTAATATATCGGACGACTTACTTTTCGGGTTGTACATTTTCATGGAGGCTTCCTAAAGCCTTGTATTATGGAGCGATTGCTGGCGATGATGAGAGGAAGAGCATTGGGCGAGAGGATGGATAGCGGACAGCATGAGTGGTGCTGGAAGATAGTTTGATTGCGAGCCGAGCCGAGACGGCATTGCATGGGCACAAAATAGGGAGTATATAGGTGCGAGCGAATTCATTGGATGATTCTATATTTCACTCTGTGGTCACTCGTCGCTTGTGTAACGTTGTCTGGATTGGACGTTATAGAGAGTTCTCCGTCTTGATATTCTTACAGGTTCGGTAGATGGAGTTGTTGGAGAGGGAGATGGCGACGAGTTTGGGAGCCACCAAATTGATTCGGTCTTGGGGGGGACATGTGAATTCCAAAAACGAACAATGCCGTGCACCCACATTCGAAGAGGTGCTAGCGATGCTTCAACTGACAAACTTGGGTATCAATTCTTAACCTATCAACTTCCAAACATGGCCATTGGGGATTCCTGTGAGAATCATCGTTACCGCTTGAGCATCGAGAAAGTGTTACTGCGAGTTGACGACCGAGGCACACTTCACGCATCTCTGGGCTCTCCTACTCTTTCTCAGCGACACTCTTCGCGCTCTTCGTACTCTTGACACTCTTGGTGCTCCTCAAGCTCTTCTTCGAGGCCGTCCTCTTCAGCTTAGCCTTGAGCTTCTTCCACTTTGACTGCAAATCCTTGTCCTCATCCTCCTTATCCGGTCTCACGCTTTCAGTGCTGCCTCGCGGATAGGAGACAGTACTCCCTAGATCCACACTCTCTATATTCCTTGTGTGCGTGGGCTCCCGTTCCTTCCTCTCTCTCCTCGTACCCAGCAACATGAACTCTTGGGTTTGCCAACCAGCCATGTTCGCTATGGGACCGTCGGTCGGGTTGTGCTGAGTGTTGGGGTTCTTCCACGGACAGTGCTCCCGGTGCGATTCGACCAGGTTGAGGCGCAGGGTCTCTATAGGCACGCCCAGCTTCTTGCTCATCTCCTTGAGCCGGTCATTGTTCACAAGCCACAGGCCGACACGCTGGTGGCAGTGACTGCAGACTGCCATTGATATCTTGGTCTCCGAAACGCCCTTCCAGCCAAAGACGGCAAACAAGAACGACACTATCTCTGAGGGTGTTGCGGGAGGACTTGCGGATATCTCGGAGCCAGGAAGGGTGAAGAAAGAGGTAGGCACGCGCTTGAGCAAGTCCTCTATTCGAGGGTCAGGGTATATGAGGTCCTCGAGGATCGGCAGGTCGTTGACGATGGGCAAGAAGGATTGATAACGAGCGAGGAGGTCGGCTGTACTCTGCGCGCGGTTCGGTATTGGTATGTGATAGATATCGTCTAATGATGTTAGCCTTCCAACAGCAATACGGGGGATCGACGTACCTTGACAGCCGCGCTTCTTCCATAAACAGTCCTCGCGGTGTGCGTCTACGATGAGCTCCTGGTACTTGTCCACCAACGCAGGCTCGACCTCGACTGTGAGATCCTCGCTCATGTCCAGCTCCTTGCCATCCTTGTCCTTCCTCTTGGGCCGCAGCCTTACGACGAGCCTCTTCTCGCAGCCCCCCTTGCACGCCACAGTATTCCAAGAATCGCACGACCAGCCGCGCTTTGCCCACTCGACCTCGTCAATAGCATCCGGCTTGTTGGTCCACTTCTTCACGTCGGCGAAGGTTTTCAGTCGGGCAAGGAACTGCTCCTGGCTGTATGGCTGGTAGTTTGCCGGCTTGCGTGGCGTGGTCGATTTGACTGATGTCTGGTGCTGTCCCACCACACGCAGTCCACTCGGGCTGCCTTTGGGACTGCTGGCCTTGTCGAGACCCTCTTTGCGCGGCGTCAAGAGCTGTGACTTCAGCTGCTGTATCCGTTCGCTGCCGGACACCTGCCGCGAGCGATCCATGCCAATGTCTGAGAGTCGATTCCGCTTCGAGGCAGGTTCGGGTGTGGCGGGTATGGTGAATGAAGCGGTGGAGCCGTTGGACTCGCGGAGGGTGTTGGCAAGGGAGGTGGTCGAAGCGCTCGCATTTTGCAGCCTGTCGAGCAGCGTATCAAACTTGCGTTTTGTCGTCGCGAGGGCGGGCTCTTGCGCCCGCGGTGGTGAGGATGCCATGGAGCGCTGTCGAGGTGCGATGGGCGTGCAGCCGTGTACGAGGGCTACAAAGCTCCTGTGGCTGCGCTTTGTTTACTCCCCAAGGCAGGGGTGAAGCACGTCACGGGGATTGCGATTAGATAGGCACAAGCGCCGGTGAGTTTGAGCTGCGGTCTCAGCAACTGGGCGAACGGTAGCCAAAAACACACAACAGCGCTTCCCAGCGCAACGGCGCGTGCCGTTGTCGTGGGAGCGCGTCAAACCTCCGTTGGCCGCCGCTCCCGCCAAGGCCGCGTTACGTACTTTCACGCCTCGCGCACCCCACCAGCGCCCGCCCATTGCGCACATGCTACCACGCGTTGCGCCATACACATACTTTTTCTGCGCCCTAGTCATCCTGGCCGCCGCACTCGTCCCGTTCTCTTCTTTCCTTTCCCGCAGTGGCCTCCGCCTAGCGCAATTGAAGCAGCACATTTACCCGTGCCCCTCCCCCGCAGTCGCTCTCCCAACTTCTTCAGGCTCCTTCCACAGCTTCAACAGATCCATCGCGACCATGGCCTACGAGAAAGAGCTCGAGACAGCTCTGCTGGCCGTCCAGCGCGCGACCCTCCTCACCAAATCCGTCTTCACATCCCATTCCAAGGGCACCCTCACCAAGTCGGACGCTTCGCCCGTCACAATCGGCGACTTCGGCGCCCAGGCCCTCATCATCGCATCCATAAAGCACGTGTTCCCCGAAGACGAAGTTGTGGGCGAGGAGGATGCAGACGATCTACGCGCCGATGAGACTCTGCGCGACCTGGTGTGGGACTTGGTCACGGCAGCCAAGCTGGAGGACAGTGTGGCAGAGGACAAGATTGGAGGACCCATTAAGAGCAAGGATGCTTTGCTGGAGGCTTTAGACAGTGGTAAGAGCGCTGGAGGAAGGAAAGGCAGGATTTGGGCGCTCGACCCCATCGATGGCACCAAGGGCTTCCTGCGTGGTGGACAATACGCCGTGTGCCTGGCGCTCATGGTGGATGGTGTCCCGACCGTAGGAGTGCTAGGGTGCCCTAACCTGCCCGTCGACGACAAAGCGCCTCTCGACTCTTCCATCGGCGCTGACGCAGACTCTGGCGAGGGCAAGGGTGTCCTCTTCAGCGCTGTAAAGGGCGAGGGAGCATCAAGCCGGCCACTCAGCAAGGCGGGATTGCAAGAGGCGCAGAAGATCTCGATGAAGGACGTGACCGATATCAGCGAGGCCACTTTCTGCGAGAGCGTAGAGGCAGGCCACTCGAGCCACGGCGATCAAGCAAGCATCGCTTCGAAGCTCGGCATCACAAAGGCTAGCGTTCGTATGGACTCGCAAGCCAAGTACGCTTCCATTGCGAGGGGAGCGGGTGACCTGTACCTGAGACTGCCTGTCAGCAAGTCGTACGAGGAGAAGATCTGGGATCACGCCGCTGGTGTAGTCATCGTACAAGAAGCCGGGGGCGAGGTTACCGATGCACATGGCAAGCCGCTAGACTTCGGCATTGGCAGGACGCTCAAGGAGAACAAGGGCGTCGTAGCCGCACCGAAATCAGTGTTCCCCAAGGTCATCGAGGTAGTAAAGGAGGTTCTCGGCGCAAAGCAATAGACTCTGCCAACCTGGACGTTTAATGTAAACATTACGACCTGTATGAAGACATGTCCATTTGCTTGTGTATGAAGCTTTACTTTGACATATATACTGACGCGGAAATCACAACCCACTACCTCATCCTCTCCTTGCACAGCTCAATCGCCACGTCCGCCGTCGCGCCATCGAAGAAATCGTTCAACAGCACAACGACACTCTCCTCTCTCGTCAAACACTTTCCGCATTCCCCTCTCAACAATGGCAGAATCTTCGCATCGCATACTGGCTTCGTCGCAAGGATCGGACTCGTACTGACATCGGCATCCAGCACCGACGCAATAATCACGTCTCTGATATTCGTCGCCGTAGCCTGGCACTGCAGCAGCGTAATCTGCTGTCCCTTGGGCAGATCTCTCGCCATGTCATTGAGCTTGCTGACCATAGAGTCCCCATCCAACGTCGCATTCGCATCGTCGTCGTAGTTGGAGACCTGCCTCGCGTTCTGCAGCACGATGAGCCGCTTTTTCTCGTTCCTCAGATCCCTGATACTCTTCCCCAGCATGTCGTCTAGATTACCAGCCTGCAGCTCTTTCCCGCGAAGGACATCTTGCAGCATGTTGCCGAGATCGTCGTTGGAAGGTCGCGGACACTCGCCCGGCACGCCATCCCACCTGTTCTGCACGACAACCACCTCGTCTTTATGCTCGTCGAGGAACTTGACGAGCGTGGATAGGAAGTCGACGTACTTCATCCCCGGAATCACCCCGTGCTGGAAGTACCACGTGTCCTCGAGTCCGCCAATGCTCTGCAGCTGGCGGTGGCACTGCGCGGGGCGGAACTCAAAGTAGCGCGCCCCGATCTTCAGTATGCTCTCGAGACTGTCCTTTTGCGTGATGGCGAGTGCGCGGATGATGTCGGGCGCGATGCGGTTCACGGCCGCGTCGCCGGCTTTGTTGAAGATGGAGAGGACGTGGGGAAGCTCCCGGCCGAGGACTTCTTTGATGGCGCCTGTGCCTGCGCGCGAGAGGAGGGAGAGCGGGATCGCCATGCTGTTCATGCCGATGTCGTGCGCCGCGGGGAGGACCATCTTGCTGAACTTCTTGGACGACATGTCTTGGTCCTGGGCAATCGCGTCTCCCATCCAGTTCTCCAGGTTCCTTGTCACGGTCACATAGCACAGATGCTGTTTCGGCAGCCCTGCGACCCCCGGCCCGGCGTCGTAGAATCCATAGCACACCACCAGATCTTCTACAAATACCGCAGGCGTCTGGTCCATGGTTTTCAGCGTGCCGTCGCCGAGCTTGCCGGTCGCGCTGTTGACGTCAACCCATTGCGTTGTCAAGTCGCGGCCGTCACGCCGGACAACGAATTGAAAGCGGCCCGTGAACTTGAAGTGGGGGAGAGCCGAGGACTCGACTTCCAGGTGGGTGGTCTGGTATTGCTGAAGATCCGACTTCGTTACTGCTTTTCCCGGAACTGTGAACTCAATGGAGGTGCCCGGGACGGTGAGGTAAGAGAAGCAGAGGACGCCTTTGGAGGGCATTTTGATGAGTGAAAACTATGATTAGGGAGGATCTTGTTACGGGAAAGTTACGGGTGTATGTACTCTGTTCCCAATTCAAGCCCGACTCTTTACAGCTGTAGTTTTTATCAATCCGGTGGAATAACATGAAGCGATAGGATAGGTATGGCAGGTTTGTGTAGAGGACGCCGAGCAAATACAAGTGAGTCCGAAATCTCTGCTGCCATCTTTCCGACCTTCAGCTGGATGGTGAAGCTACGGCATCCCACGACGACGTAAGCCACCCGATCTTGCCGACTTGGCCAGGCCAATTGGAGCTCCAGATGGGCGCCCGATCGGGTCCACTTGTTCAGGAACATCAGACAACATCTAGACTAAATTAGCGCGCCGTAATCGTAGTGAGGGGTCATAAGCGATGTCGAAGCAGGACATGTAGCAAGAGCGTTGCGTATCAATATGATACCTTACATGATGTTGTCTTTTATAAGAGGGTCACAGCTTCATCTATAATGTAGTACCCAAATGCCTATCTACGGCCCTCTACCATATCCTCTTCGCGACCATCGCATATCGTGATACATGTCCAAACGTTGTCCCCTCCCTCCTCTCCTTCTCTTCTTGCTGTCGCCCCTTCTCGTCTCTCTCTCTCAGCCTCCTCAAGGAGTCCGGGTCGTCATTGTAAATCCATCTCCTCTTCTCCTCATCCACGTCCACAACACCCCATCCGCCAATCCGCTTTCCGCCAGTCTCAGTATTGATGCGCTCCCTCTCCTTCATGCCTCTGTATCTGTTGCGTGCAACACGTAGCAAAAACATACCAAGTAGGAGCTTGAATGCGAGGAAGAACAAATAGACGATGAGGAACACAATGAGCATGGTGGAACCGGCGATCACGTCGTCAAGCGTCCAGGTTGAGCTGTACCAAGGGAGTGCACTGGAATTCGAAGACCCCGTGCCGAAGCTAGAGCGGCCTAGGGCACGGCGGAAGATCTGGTCTATGTGTGCAAGGGCGGCGGTAGTCGCTGGTGAAGACGTGGGTGGTTCATTCGGCGTCAGTGACGTGGATGTGCTGGGGAAGGGGGCCGGCATGTGAGTTGCGATGAACATGTGGTACGTTTGAACCGCGGCGCGTACGAAGAGGCAGCTGAGAGGGATGACTGGCAAGCCAAGGCGGCGTGTCAGGTTCTGGTCGATGAAAGCCTGAGCAAATATCAGTAAGCGTTAGGAAATAGCAAGAGATAGGTGCTTACGTCGGAGTAGTAGTCCTTCGCCAGAACGTCGAGGAACTTGTCGTACACTTCGGGCTTTGTCTGATTGAACTTCGTTATGTACGCATGCTTCAACCAGTCGACGGCCATTTCACTGCCGAGAACCAGTAAGAAAGGACTTAATACTTGGCCAATCCATTTCGGAAAGATGGTGAAGCTCATCGGGAGGATACTCGCAGCCGAAAAGGGGGCTGAAGCTGTCGTGTTGCCACCCGTGAAAACGCTGCTGAAAGAGGGTGCGCCAATACTGAGCCCTCCGACTTCAACAATGTTGCGCATCGCAATGATTAGCAACATCAACCAAAGCTGAAAGCGTTCGACGATGTCTGCGCATGTGACCTGGAACAAGTTCTCCTTCTCAAACTTCTTAAAGACGGTAGACTTTATCTCCACGAATTGATTTGACATGAGCAAGGTTAGGAGTGCATTCGAATACGAATTGACCGCAACATTTAGTGTGATAACCTGGTAGAAAAGCGCGGTTGCATGGGCCACGTTGTACACCAGAGCGAGCACAAACATCCACAAAGGTCGGAGGATCTTGCTACGGCCATCGGAGTTGCGATCAAGTGTCTCACGGGAGAACAGACATTCCAAGACATCTTGCCCTAGCGCCGAGAGGAGGCGGTCGCAGACTTCAAGGACGTTGTAGATGACGTACAATTTGATGGCAGACTGCCCTCGTATACCATGGTACATTCTGCTAGCGTCAAAGCGCATGAGAACCACACAGCTGACGACAACCAAGGCGCCTTTGAGCATGTCAGCCTTGTGACTTGGGAGAAGCGCCGAAGGCGTCGACATTGTCCTACGATGCCGATACCGTGTGCGTGTGCGTTTAGGTGTAGGGGCGTCCTTGGTCTCAGGAAATCTGAAATTCATTCCAATGCGGCCATTGTCCCTTGCGGTGGTGGTTGCACTTGCGGGTTGGGGCGATGTCGAAGCGGAGGCGGAAGCCGATGGCCCTCGTGACCGGGAAGCCGTCTCTCCCTCGGCAAGTCCGGTCAATACTGGTGTGGAGGCCTCTACTTGTCTTCTTCGCCGCCACAATCTAGGCAAACCTTTGTACACAAACTTGACTTCTTTGATCATCACAGAACCCCACCACTTCATCAAGATGCCAACGGCGATGAGGAACCGCAGTGGAAGGATCGTGAGAGTATGCATCCAGGCGTCCAAACAAGCCAAAGCTCCAAAGCCGAGTATAGCTTCTAGCTTGGGTGGAAGAAGGAGAAAGTTGACCAAACGGTCATACTTAATTTTCGACGACTCGTAGGGGAAATCGGCGGTCGAAGGTCGATATATATACAGGGGAGAAGGTCGGTCAGCAGACAGTTCTAGCGACAAAAAGGTCGGGATAGACATGGGCGGAAGAGGTATTATCGAGGGCATAGGCGAAGGCACATCGCGATGTCTCTCCTGGGCCGGAGCCTTCAGGTTCTGCCTGTTGTCTCTGGTGTCCAGGTTGAGCGGTGGAGGGACGTGCTTGGCGGGCCGCTTCTCCTCGTCGTTCGCATGCGCCTGTGCGTGTATCTTCTGGCTCGACTCCCTTCTCCGCATTACGTTGGGCGTAGTGATGGACCTCTCTCGCAAAGCAGGTCGCTGCTGCCCCTTGGCCACCAGCAGTTCCCTCTCAGCTCTTGGTTCCCTGCTCCTTGAGCGACTCTTCTTTCTCCTGGTAGCGCCATTGGTTTCGGCGACTGGTCCCAGTTGAACTCCCAGCCCTCTAGTAGCCTCCCGCGAAGGTCTGTCCTCGCCTGACGCCTGTTCTTCCAGCGCATCCTCTTGTATGGGCGTCGCTGCCCGCACGGGGATACTTGCGGGCTCGCTGGTCAGCTCCTGGATCTTCTTGGGACTGAGACGCAGCAGCTTCTCTTGCTCAGAGACGCTGCTCTTGCGCCTCCCGTCGCCGGGTCTTCGGATGGGCGGTACTCGTCTGCCCCTCTCGCTTGTGTCTGACAAGATCGCTTCGTCATGACTGTTTGATGTGTGGATTGGGCCGGTGGGACTCAGGGCACCGTTTCCGTCTGCCTTGTTGTCGCTGAGTCCATCTAGCAGCAATTCGGCGGTGTGCAAGGTGGGCGGGGCCACGCTTTCCGGTTCCGGCGACAGGGACGGGCTGGGTAGCTGCCTAGGCACAAGGACATGACCATTCGTCTTGGGGTCTGTCCCGTTCATGTCGTGCGGGGAGCTGCGCGGGAAAGCGGGTCATCGTGTTGATGGCTGCTTTGTGCTGTCCGCAACGTGGAGCGTCTAAGCTTGGACTGCTAAGCCCGCTTAAGTCCGCATCGATCAAGGAACGCGCCTCCACATTCACTCTTAGCCCTTAGCCCTTAGTCCTTGGACAATGGACACTGCCAAATGGCATTCTCACAATCATCTCGACCGTCAATGGGTACCAAAGTTGGCGAACGCCGCTGCGATGCTACGCAATATAATAGGTACACACGGGCCGCTACCACGCGACGTTCAATGAACTGTCGATCTCTGCCATGTATCGTGTGCTTGCAAGCGGAGACTCTAGCCAAATCCATGACGAGACCCGTCCCTCGGCGCACGCCCGGTTTCCCATATCTACTGCCAGACTGCTCTCCATGATGCCCTACCGCTAATTTTCTTCCATCCTATGTGGCAAGTTGATTCTATGCCTGCATATCATCAAAAGAAGCGCTGCAGTTCGAGATGAGGAACCTCCTTGTCCGGGCGCTGTTTGCTACGGCGAACTCGTCCAGTCCTAGTCAATTTGACTACATCCCGACGACCAGCGGCAAAGTGACTGGCCACATTGCACACAACACGACAGATACCGTCCACGAGTATCTCGGTATAAGATACGCAAGAGCCCCTGTTGGCGATCTACGATTCGCAGCGCCACAACCGTATATTGCTCCCAACAGCACCATCAACGCAACATCCTGGTTCCCACACTGCCCGTTCAATATACCTCCAGTAACCAAGTTCAATCGCTTCGATCCCAACGGCTTTGAGGTCTACAACACTTTCACAGCACACAGTCCCTGGCAAGCTGACCAAGCGGAAGATTGCCTGGCACTTAATGTGTGGACGAAAGCGGCGCCTGGAGAGGAATCTGGCGATCGACCTGTCTTCGTTTTCTTCCATGGAGGACGTTTTCAGATCCCTGGTCCACACAGCCCTTTCTATGTCGGCAAATATTTTGCTGGAGATCAGGACGTCGTTGTGGTGACGATATCGTAAGTCACTCTATTAGCCCAACAACAACTTATGCTGAACAGAATAGCTACCGTCTAGGCATGTTCGGCTTCAGTGGCGCTCCAGGCGTTGAGCAAAATGCTGCACTACGCGACCAACGACTAGCAGTCGAGTGGGTGCGCGACAACATCGCGGGTTTTGGTGGAGACCCCTCAAGAATCATCATCCACGGCCAGAGCGTCGGTGGCTTCTCGACTGACGCCTACCTCTATGCGTATCCCGAGGATCCTATTGTGGCAGGCGCCATCGCGCACTCTGGCACAGTTTTCAGCTTCTTGCCCAACACGCCAGAGTACTCGCGCAGCCTGTACTACAACGTCTCGGGAACGCTTGGCTGTGGGCAGGCATCAACCCCCGAGACCACCATACTGGCTTGCCTGCGCTCGAAAAATGTGTCAGAGATTCTGAACGCTGCGCGCACTGTGCCAGCGCTTCCATCGCAAGCCCTGGCCCAAGCCACGTTCCACCCAACTGTGGACAACAAAACCGTCTGGGCAGACTGGCTGGAGCGCTCGAGGGCAGGTAAATTCGCTCGGGTACCGTACCTGGCTGGCAACGCGGACTACGAAGCTGGCTTCTACAGGGTATCTGGATTCGCGGTGAACAGCACGCTTAGTCCCGCAGCTTGGGAGCTCTTCACTGAGCGCGGCTTCACGTGTCCAGCTAAGTACTCGACAGATCTGCGGAAACAATTCGATGTTCCGACGTGGCGATACCGGTATATGGGCGACTGGCCAAACTTGCGATTGTTCGAGGCGTATGATGGCTTCCCTGATAGTGGGGCATACCATGGCTCGGAGCTGACACTGCTCTTTAACACTACGTACGGCGTGACTGGTTCTGACAGTCCACCAGGGCAACAGGCTGCTGCTAGGTACATCCGACAGGCATGGGCAGCATTTGGTAGAGATCCTAAGCGAGGGCTCACAGACTTTGGCTGGCCAGAGTATGGTTCAAGCAGCGGAAACCTCGTCCGGCTGTCGTACAACAACACTCCTGGACTTGACCTGACAAATCCTTTCCTGTACGATTCCGCTTGTCCGCCTGTAGAGCAGAATGACCCTTTGCCTGGCCGAGGAGGTTTTTAATGTAACACAATGGACGATACGACAGTAGACTTGAATCGAAATCCATTTCCATGCGCTCCGTTTAGCCTTTACTTCCCTACAGTACCAGAAGTGAATATTTATCGATTATTTGGGACATACTGAAGTACCTGTTACTGGAGCGGGACTATAGGGTCGCAGCGGTATACGTCCCGAAATGTCTGATATCAACGACGCGCAGGTGTCGAACTCGTAGCCGGGCAAGGCCGTGCTGCACAATAGTCAGGCTGGGGGTGGGTCGAATTTGACGACGTGAATAAATTTTGTGAGAGATGTTTCCTCATCTCTTTGTAGCTATCTAATTGTTCGGGTGGGATCGCGAAGATATCTCGCTTGTGTCCATTTTTCCTGAAGTAGAAAGGGAATTCGAAGAACTCTTGATGTACCGACCGAAGAGAACCGTCACGATAGAACTGTATGCGTTTATCTGGCCTTGTGAATCTACAGCGGAGAAATCGTTGCATGAGATTGTCGTCGAACGCAGCGATGCCTGGCAGCAACGACTTGCTCCCATCATAGAGTTTCCCGTCGACAGTACAGATGTGGTTCGGCGTGATCAGGGGACATGTAGACGGGTCTTCTTCGCGGTAGTTCTTGTCAGCTTGTTGGATACTTTCTCACAGGACTGCTTCGTCCCAAGAGAAGTCGCCACGGAATTCTTTCAGGTCTTCCAGACGAACGGAAGTTGTTTCCATTTCTGGACGGACGGTTATTTTTTCTAGGACACGTTGCCATTGTCTTTGGCGATTATATTATCGATCCACGGGTCCTCGGATTGAAGTTGTGGGAACAAATCCTCTTGTCGAACGGTTGCTCTAATATTTCATGTAAACGCCCTCGGCTGCACAAAAGCTTTCTTTCTTTTCTGCTCAGGGAAAAAGCGATAGCCAATCTATTCTTACAAGGAATCGTCCCGTTCCTAGGGGCATTATGAATGTCACATGCGCACCTGCAGAGGACCGAACATTTCTTATGTCGGATCGGTGCATGGCTGTGACGTTGGAACAGCCACAGAGCGTCGGCTCCATGCAGTTCAAAATGGCTCACTTGTCTCTAAGATCAGCGACGTCCACTGTTGGACAGACCCTGTGCCTGTGGGACACTTTTCTGGCAGGCGCCATAAGAGGCACAGTCCTCTGAGGCGTTCTGGTGTACCGGCCGTCACTGCTATTGCGGTTCGCCTCCTGTTTCAAAACACTGCCGCCCTAATTGTTGGTCAGGTACATGTCTTCCCCGCTCCACAGAAGAGCACTGCGTAGTGACCCGAGTATGCACGAGAGACGCCGCATGCTGTGCCGCAAAATGACACGAGCAATCCTCAGGCACCATGCATGCATTCTTGCAGCCTCACCACCACCGCCGCCGCCGCCGAAACCAGAGAAGATGCTCAGATGTCCAAACGCGCTCGCTCGCAACTGAGCATGGTGGGGCTACTGGTCGTGCGGCGAACCGCATCTCGAGTGGTACAATGGAGCAAGGTAGCAAAATCACAATACGTGATCAGGATCAGGACAAGGCGAGGTTCTGTATGATATATTGGTAGTTGCAGGACGGGGTGTTCATTTATAGAAACCACAGATCCCAAGGTCTTTGTTGGCGAATATGGCCCGCCACTGCACTGTCATTCGATCTGCAGGCACGAGTGGGGTCGGGGGGCGGGGGATCGGTTCAGCAACTCGCGGCGCATCCTCCACACGCGCAGAGCAGCATCATAGGCATATGTAGATGCATCATTTGACAAAAGGCAATTTAGCATTCCATTGCAATGCAATTTACCCCACCGTCAAATGGTTTACGTGACTCTGGTCGCGAGATGGTCGCTCACCGCATGCTAAAAGTGTCCCCCATTTCAAATGCAATGACCCGTCGCCCAATATAACTCCGAAAAGGGGATGAACGTCCCATTGGGGTATCAAACAGAAAGAAAACTCCAAGCACCTTGAGTCGCAATCAGGGCCACCACCCGACCAGGTATGCAAACAGGGAACGGAAGCCCAGGAATGTCCGGTCCGTGAGGTAGTGATGATAAGCCTTGCAGGACATGATTATGAACTGCTGAACGAGTCTGAGTAGTGCATTGAGCAAGGTACATTCTACCATTAGGTAGCACGACATCGTTGAGCAAAATGTGTTGGTCGAAAAAGCGTCTTCGGTCAATCGAAACGAAATAAGCGGAAGAAGATCGAAGGCGGAGTCGACACACATGTTATACACTCGGGCCGCATTTTTCGAGTAGGTCTGCAGTATGACGTTAGTAATCTAATGAATGTCGCGGATTTCACCACGTACCTAGGCCTTGGAAGCACTCTTCTTAGGCGTCTTCTTCTTGAGCGTCTTCTTCTTGTTAGAAGACGGCTTGGTAACGGCTCCCTTCTTTGAGACACGTGCAGAAGACTTCTTAGTAGCCTTTCCGCAATCGTCGGTATCGTATGGGTTACCGGAAGCGTCCAATTGCGGCAGGAACTCGATCGATGGGACCTGTGAGGTATCTCCGCTCTCCAGCATGTCACTGATCGTGTTGATAGCAGCCTCCACTTCAGCCTTGGTTTTGTTTTCTCCAAGATAGTTGAGTTGTTCGATCTCGCGAAGCACGTTCACGGGGGCCTCGAAATGTTTGGCCTTCTCGGCTGGCGCCACCAGGGCCGCAGCCTCAAGTTCGGTCTTGCCCGCCGCAAGCTTCCGAGAGAAGGTGTTGAGGCGCTGTTCCTCCGACTTCTTGAGTGCGACAGTGTACATGGTACCAGAAAACTGTGCCTCGATGATGTTGAACTGCCGAAGGATGAGAGTAATCTTGCGCGACTGCCACAACTTCTGGTTGTAGGTGGCCCGCTGGTAGTGTTTGCGACAGAAGAGCGGCCAGTCAGTGATCAAGCGCGTGCAAGCTTTGTTCCTACCAAAGTGGTCGGAGATCACCTTTCGCGATAAGTCTACCGTAGTCTGGCCGGTACGACAAACCTCGAACTCATCGTTCATACATCGAAACTCTCCAGGAGCCGGGGCGCTGCCGCCCGCATTGTCTTCGGTCTTCATCTCCACATCTGAGCTCTCGGCAGCTCTGTTGACGGGCACGTTTCGGGTAATGTCCGCAGACGCGTCTCCTGCTGACGGCACCGGCGAGGCTGCACCATTTGTAGCCTCATTCATCGCAATGACGGAGGTCATCGGGGTCATCGCGTTGTCGGCGTAACCGCCTGGAGCGACGGGTGCGATCGTGGTAGTGGAAGGGACTGGGGCAGTGGAGATGGGAGGGGGATCCTGTGGCTCCTTACCTAGCAAGGGCTCTGATGAGTTGAGGATGTATGTGACGCTCATGGGAGCCGAAGCCTGTGGCAGGTTGTCCATGGTCGCGACCTCGGTCATGGGAGTAGTGTTGGCGGTGAAGGTGGCAGTAGGCGAGTCCGGTGACGACATTGCGGGTTTCGGTTAGGGAGAAGTAAGAAGATGAAGAAGGCAACGGTAGCGATCAACTTGAGTGAGTGTCAACAAGAAGGTGTGGAGATCTCGAGGCAGGTGGGCTAACGATCGCTTTATATCCAGGCTGCCGACACAGCAGAGCCTCCAGATGACGCTACTTCGTGATTCACCGCGGGATGTTGGCAGGTGCGCTATGGGTTGGTGTCCGTTGGCCGTTTGAATGGCCTCTGACCGCTCTGCACTTGAGGTGAAGCGGGGTGCGTGTACAATACCGCTTCTACCCACATCACGTCAAATGACGGTCACCAGGACTGGTTCAAACCGGCGTGAATCTGTAGCTGCCTGGCTTTCTTGCTGATTGGGTCTCCGGGGGCCCACGGGAACCCAACGATGAGTCTGGCTTTGCTGCCCGTGCCACCAAGCCTGGAGTTTGCCGTGAAGCTTTAGAGCTCAGTCCAGCAGATGGCTCATTGTGCCACCTGAAGCTTATACATGCCCAAACGACAGCATTGCTAGCGCCTCTGCTATGCCCAACCTCAGAATAAGCGGTGCGGGGAATCTGGCACTTCCAGAGTGGTTTGTTTCACCAGATGTGATATCAACAAGCGATGCTTGCTGAATACTGCATGAGCCGCTTTGTGGAACGCCTACATTGTGTAAAGCGTGGCAATGCGCTAGCTCATGATCAGGCAACTCGCACTTCCCGCTAATGAATATGGCTCGCCTGTCGCTGATTGCGTCCGAGAAGCTAACACTGCGGGACAGTCTCGACATTGAAGACTGGCCCACGTACGAACGATGCCTAGGATTTCGAACGGCTGACGAGCCGTACTAGGCCCAAACATCCGCAATGCCCATGTGTGACTGAAGTGTTGTGCCATTTCAATCCTTACCTGCATTATACTAGTGCAAAGCCTTAATATGGATCCGTAAGTGAAGGGCTACTTGAGCAGAACAGACACGATATCACAACTGGACTCGAGTGATAGGATGATCTCAACAGCCGCCGATTCGAGAGTGCCGATCGCCTTGATCCTCTTGCAAACGCGAAAGCCCTACTCCGTGCGTGGGCATGATTCACAGGGACCTGATACAGATCAGTAGCAACACCAAACCTGAGGGAATCGACTGCATCCTGTTCCCGATTCTACATTGTCATTCTCTGTTATGAACGAGCTACGAGATATTTGTCGGAGACAATGGGTGAGGTGCCTTAGATCATTGTATCCCAACAACTTTCTGTATCCAAGTTTTGTAATAGTATGACATACAGCTTACTTCCTAGTGATAATGCTTCTCGTCATTCGAGGGAGGCCCGATGCACAGGCGAGGAAAGACTGTGCCATCGGTCAGCGCTTCCGGTATCTTGCCATGCACTATACTTTGACAGGAATTTTTGCAGTCTTGGAGGTTCCTGTGCTCCCATTTTCGCCTTTATTATTCATGTCCGTCATTTCCAGCCATCCAGTGGACACTAAAGAGGCCGGACGTCCCCTGTTATACTCCAGCGATTCTAGCTTAAGCTTCATCTTCCTCGCTGTGTGGCCGACCATAGAATCACGGTGCTATTGTTTATTCGTTAATTCCTTGATCTCGGGACAACACTGGAGTGCTGTAAGAAGTATGTCCACTTCAGCGGTTCACTGAGCTCACTGGTCCAGCAAGCGCTGCGAAGAACAAATGGAGCCTAACCACATTCGGAGCAAGTTCATGATTGGGGGGGTATCTCCATCTTCCCAACCTCGCATTCATCGCCATCGCAGGTACGCGCAGTCTCTACTCCCCGCTGTGCAGCTGACTTTGGATTTTTCGAAGAATAGCGCTTCCTCTTGTGATATCGATATCGGTGCGATCGCGCGGCGACTCAACACGGCAATTCCCTGCACAAGGCCCAACATATTCACGACGAAACGATTCTGTACCGTCTACAAGAGCGAGTCATCCACGATCACTCATCAAGTCAGCTATCGCGCTCTCGCCATATCAGGAGAGATAAGTCATCTACCTGCTCGACGTATGAACGCTGGAGTTTCTGCTGTTTCTGGGCAGATGAGGCTGAAGCTAGTTTGAGGCCGCCTACACTGCGTTGCGATCTCTTGCTAGGTGTGCGGGACGTTGCGAATGTTTTCTGAAGGACCGCGATCCGTAAAGTTCTCACCGTTCGCCAATAGTGACACAGCATCCAAAAAACCTTTCACCTAAAGCCAAGCTCTATCTAAATCTAAATTATTGGAGCGCGTTGTACATCCCAGGGGAAGCCTGTGGCTGATAACGCATGCCCCAGCTTGGACTTTTTGACCGCGAACGGTGACTCTATTTGGGAACGCATTTCCTGTTGGACCATTCTAAGCTATCTTGGTTTACACGAAGCTCCTATAGACAAGCGACCGAATAAGGAAACCAGTTTCTACTCTCCAGAGAAGGGAACCAGGCTGATCGCCGACTTCGGGGAAATTTCAGCGTGCTGTCACCTAGTCAAACCTTGGTCATCATGGATCCCACATATTCACGACAAGCCGCCGTTCAACAGATTCAGAAAAAGCAAGCTAGTGGCCAAAAAAGTCCGAAAAACATCGAATACAATGTCTACGCCGCACCATTCGTTACCTCACTTTTGAAACAAATCAACCAAGAGCCTGGTCAGATATGGGAGACAGCCCCGCGACACTTCATTGATTACCCGCAATACATCAGCTCCTTTGCGGGTTACAGCTTCCTTCCTAGCCGGACTGCTTGGTCTCCAACAACACGGGTTCCACTAGCGAGTCCTAATGGCCCTTCTGCGAACAATTACCTGGACTACTTTGCGTCAATTCTGTTGAAGGAAAGTGCAGCTAAAGCAGAGGAAAACGAGCGCTATTTTATGTATAAGACGCTTTGCTGGCTATTGCGACCCGAAGATTGGTTTAAGTCACAGTCTTTTCAGGTCAATCGAGGGCTGCTCGAATCCCCCGGCTTGTACACGATCTCAGTTCCAGGGCTCAGAGAGAACAGTCCGCATGTCGAGTTGGGAGACACGTTGGAGCTGAGACAGCTCGTAGTAACATACACGAACACCTTTGTTGGCGATCTCAAGGGCTTCAATCAACGGGCATGGACAGGCGTTATCTACCATGCTTCGGTTCATGGAATTCATCGAGCCGAGGAGAGGGTATACCTTAAGGTCGATGGGCTGCGTGAGCTTTATCCAAGTGCAGACCCCCACAATTCCATTCCCATTATGGTAAACGTGGTGTTCCCCTTGAAGAAGAGAACGATCCAAGCGTACAGAAAGGCATTGATGTTTATCGACGGTGCATTGAATGTGGCTATCGAATCCGAGAGACAGATGTTAAAGCAATCGCAGCAAAAGCTTGGAACGGAGATAGTCGACTTCGTTCTTGACGAGTTAAACACAGATCCTGGTGCCGCCCATACAAACGGAACTGGTATCGAGCCTTCAGGCAGTGATTGGATACGACGTATGCTTTTCCCTGTAGAATCGGACGGCAAGGTACAGACGAAGCTCCGTAAAGTGCCTCAACGAGCACTCTTCGACTCCCAGATCAACTACGAGCAAGCACATGCTGTCAACTCAGCATGCATCAATGATTATGGCTGCCTTCCGTACCTGATCTCAGGACCACCTGGAACCGGAAAGACGAAAACTATTGTGGAGACAGCAATGCAGTTGCTGAACTGCCATATTACAGATCACATCCTCATTTGTGCGCCTTCGGAGTCGGCTGCCGATACTCTCGCGCTGCGACTAAAAGAGTACCTGAGTACCACCGAACTCCTGAGACTCAATGGCCCCTGGCGCGCTGACAACGAAGTTGCGCCAGCGCTTATGCAGCACACATACATGGAGGCCGACATGTTTGCGCTGCCCCCATTCAAGCAGTTCATGGCCTACAACGTTGTGGTCACCTCCTGTCGAGACGCCGCCATTCTGGTGGAAGCGCGCCTGACAAACACTGACCTGTGGACTGTGGAGAAGAACTTTTTGGAAGCCTTCAAATGCACCAATGCCACTCCCACCTCTGCCCTCCACTGGGGTGCCCTCCTTATCGACGAAGCCGCCCAAGGCACCGAGCTCGACTTCCTCCCCGCCCTCACCGCCATCTGCCCACCGCCCTCCTACACCACCAGCCACCCGCAGCCGCTCTTCATCCTCGCTGGCGACGAGAAACAACTCGGCCCCCAAACCTCTTCCCACGACCCTTCCGTCTCACAATCTCTCTTTGCCCGCCTCTTCAGCCGGCCCATCTACAAGAACCACCCTCTCTCCCGTACGAACACCAAGCCTTCGACGGGACCCCCTGCGATGCGCAAATCCATGCTCCCCCTTCTCTACCCGCCCTTCACAAACCTCACCCGCAACTACCGCAGCCACCCCGCCATCCTCAGCGTCCCATCCAACCTCTTCTATGCCGACACCCTCATCCCCGAAGCCCCGACCCCCTCAACACCCCTACAGTCCTCTCGCCTCTGGCGCGGCGCAAAGTGGCCCGTCGTCTTCATCCCGCACGCCTACGTCGAAGAACTCGAGCGCGACAACGGCGGGTGGTACAACGACGGCGAAGCGCGCATAGCGTGCGACGTCGCCGCGCACCTCATCACGCACGACAGCGTGGCGCAGCCCGACATCGCCATCATCTCGCCGTTCGCCGCGCAGGTGAAGCGCATACGCTCGCTCATCCGCTCTCCCGACTTCGGGTTCTGGGACGTCAACATCGGCCCGCTGGAGGCGTTCCAGGGCCTCGAGAAGCGCGTCGTCATCATCGCGACCACGCGCACGCGCGGGAAGCATTTTGTCGAGCGCGACGTGGAGCGCGGACTCGGTCTCATTCACCAGCCGCGGAAGATGAACGTTGCACTGACGCGGGCTAAGGAGGGGTTGATTGTGCTGGGGAGTGCATCGGCGTTGGCGAAGGACTACTACTGGAAGGAGTTTCTTGCGTTTTGTTGGCGGAACGGGTTGGTTAAGGATGATAGCGGGTGGTGGGAGAGTTTCTTTCTCTGTTATGAGGATCGGAAGAATGCGAGGGTGGGCGTGTTGGAGAAAGCGTTATTGGCGAAAGGGGGTAGAGATGGTAATGGTGGTGCAGGCAGGGTACTGGGTGGGAAGTCAGCTGGCCTGGAGCATGAATACGACGGAGGCTACGAGGCTTGGGTTGACAGCTTGAGGGAGGCAATGAATGAAGAAGAGGATGGGCTCCAGGCTGTTGAGAACGACGAATCCGAGGTGGAGGAAGAGGATGAGCATTTTTCCGAAAAGGAAAAGAATAAGCATGACGAAAAGACGGTAAAGATGGAGGATACCGCGTAAGGTAGGGTCAAGATCGAACCATAGGCTGCACATACGATCAGGAATATACGGTAATTCTCTTCCATGCAATAGCTCAAAGGCTCATGCGTATGTCTGTCTATCCACTACGGAGCGCTTCCATTGGGATAAGACCGTATATCCAAAACCAGTGGACAGGATTCGCTCGACGGAGATATTCGCCGTGAACCAAACTTCAGCGCAAGGCCAAACACCCCATTAACCCTCATTGAACGCCACGCCATGCCTCGGAATGCAGTCGCGCCCAGCAACTAACATCAAAATGCGCCTCCGTAACCTTGAGATTGTCCAATTTGTGTTCAGGATGGCGATGAAGCCCACGGATCTAATTGTCCTGGCCCAGCAGCGCACTCTCTACATGCTGATCGTCGATAGGCGCAGCATCCTGAGGCAGACCCTGCTGGCCCCACCGCCCCTGCAGAGTACCGCCCCGAAGCGGCCCGGACGAGCCATTCACCTGCGGTGCTTGGCCTGGGCCGTGACTGGCCACACTACCCGGGCCAGGCCGGGATACAGGATATGACTGTGGTGCCCCATTCATGGCTTGGAAGCCGGGACGCGGACCCTGCACGTGCTGCGCTTGCCCCGGATCGTACACTACTGCTGGTGGACGATCAAGATTTGTTGGGCCACGATTCGCCGGCGGCATTCCGCCAGCCTGCATCATTGCCTTCTCCCTCTCTTTCTTTTTTCCCTGAACAAGTGTACCTTTCACGCCACGCAGATATTTGACCGCGAGCTCGACCAGCTCTTTCTTCTCAGGTGAGCGCTTCAGCGCTTCCAGCATCTCGCGGACCTGAGTCTCGGATTTGATATGTGGACATGTGCGGCCGATGCCGTAGTGAGCAAGACCACAGAGACCACAGTGCTCCACGCCAGAGACTTTGAGTTCGCAAGCACCCCGCGGGTGCTGTTTGTGGCAGGCGGGGCAAGTGATAAGAGGGAATACGCTGTAGCCAGCCTCTTGCGGAGAGCGGATGGGCATCTGGACGCGTTCGAAAGGTTTCACTGGCGGACGGATGTTAGTTTGGAATGGTCGTAGTCCCGGTACTTGAAATAGAGGTCCTAATCGGATGGTGTCTCCTCGAGTGAGATCGACAACTTCTGGAGGTGGCCGGGGGGCTTTCGCGACGGTGACCGTTCCATACTTGTCCTCATCGCGAATAGGTTTTGGCTTTGAGAGTCGGCGCGCGCCAGTCTTGCCTTTCACAACGCTGCCAGGAGACAGCGTGATGGCAGGAAAGGTGCCGCGATCTTTGGCTTTGCTGTTGGACTTGGATTTGGGGGTAGACTTCTTGGGGCTGGACTTTGGAGTAGACTTTGAAGAAATTTGGGACCCACCTGCGCTGTTTTGCTTGTACAGCGACTGGTTAAGTGGAGCGCTCGTGCTTCGTCGGCGAGCAGTGTCATCTCCAAGATCAGCCGCTTCAGCTTGACCCTCTTCATTGGCACTGGCTTGGTCTTCAGAGTGCTCGTCTTCGGTGTCAGCCTGGAAGTCAGTATCCTCTTCAGACTGATCTTTCTTCTTTTTCAAACGCTTGTCAACCTTATCGGGCTTGACAGCCGAACCGAGGAGGCTCTCGTTGTCACTGCCTTCGGCTGCTTTTCTCGCCTCCTCAGTCTCGTAGTTGACGGCCTGTCTGCGATTAGCGGGGTTCTGTCTACATGTCTCCACACAACCTACCATTCTAGTGCGCTTTCCTCGGCCTAGAGCTTCAGCCCTTGCTAGCGCTTCAGCGGCCGCAAGCTCTCGGCGCTCTTTCAAAATCTTGTCCCATACCCCGGAGTCAGGAGGAGCGACCTCATCGTCCGCGGTGTCCAGGTTCTCCTGGAGGGTACCTTGGTCATTTGCCCAAACGCGAGCAAAACTGAACTGAGACTCAGCCGAATCGTCACCGCTTGTCTTTGTATTCTCGATTTGACTGCGATCCAAGAGCTTGTCTATTGACGCGTCGTCGTAGCGGATATCGTGGTCGGCAGTGTCGTCTTTGAACAGCTCAGCTGCTCCAAACTTCAAGATGGATTCCACGTCCTTGTCATCAATGTCCTCTTCGCCTAGTTGCTCGACCACGACATGATCAAGGGCCATCTTCTTCCGGCCCATCTGGACGATCTTCTCCTCGACACTCGCTCGTGTCATGAGCTGGAAACACAGAACCTTCTTCTTTTGACCGATTCGGTGTGCTCGTGAGATAGCTTGGAGGTCCTGATGGGGGTTGAAATCTGGGTCAAGAATAATAACTGTATCCGCTGTTGCCAAATTGATACCGACACCGCCAGCCCGCGTTGAAAGCAGGAAGGCAAAGAGTGATGACTCTGGTGCATTGAACTGATCGATGCGTTTCTGCTTCTCCAGGGAGCCCATTGTGCCATCGAGGCGCTGATATGCCATCTGCATCCCATCCAGGAAGTCCTCAATGATGCTGAGCATGTCTAGGAATTGGCTGAAGATAAGAACCCGGTGGCCACGTTCTTTGAGCTTCGGCAACAGAAGCTCAAGAAGCTGAAGTTTGGCCGACGCTTCGACCAGGTTGCGGTGCGACATTGCAGCAATGTCAGTGCGCTCCTCGATTTCGCGACTGTACACGAATGGATGGCATAAGCACTTTCGAAGCTGCATCAGGATGTTGCTGAGATTCGCTCGTTCCTGGGATTTCAGGTTACCAGTCGTGAATAAAGCTTTGAGGAGTTCAGGATTCCTTGCTAGAATAGACTTGTACACGTTCTTTTGCAGCACACTCATTGAGATGGGTATGATGACTTGGCCCAACGGAGGTAGGAACGTGAGGACCTGCGCTTTCGTGCGGCGAAGAATGTACGGACGGATCTGCTCATGCAATTCTCGGACGTTCTCTGCAGTCATATCTGCGTATTTCTCCTCAAGCTCCGCGGCGTTGATGGTCTCGTCAAGGAACTGGAGAAGGTTGAACAGTTCCCTGGCGTTGTTCTGAAGAGGGGTGCCGGTCAAAAGCAGCCGAAAGGGTGCTCTAATTGCGGTGAGAGCACCGTAAAGCTGGCTCTTGTCGTTCTTGAGACGCTGCCCTTCGTCAATGATGAGGCCCGCCCAACTAACACTCTTGAAGACCCGTCGAGAGCTGTCATCAGTGGCCGTCTCATAAGAGGTTACAACAATATGTGCCCGAAGATCTTTGGAGCCCTCAGGAAACATCTCATGATTTTTCGCCATTTCGCGAGCAGCTGAAGAACCGAAATAGGTCACCACGCGTAACGATGGCACCCACTGCTTGATTTCTCGACGCCAATTTGCACATGTAGAATTTGGTACCACAACGAGGAACGGAAAGCACTGATGCTCCTCGATGAGTGTCGCCATGAATGCAATTACCTGGATCGTCTTGCCGAGACCCATTTCATCCGCAAGAATGCCATTCTTCTTCATGAACCACTGGTAGTAAAGCCAATTTAGCCCTTCCAGCTGGTATTTCATGAGTTCTCCGCCAACGAGACAACCCGGTTGCTTCTGCTTCTCCAATTTGGCGAACGTCCCATTACGAGCCTTCTCTAGGCGAGCTTTCAGCGGACCTTGTTTCGGGTAGCGGATATACCGACCAGCGACCCAATCATTGTAGGCAGTAACGAAGTCTAGCCATCGGTCGCCATCCTCGGGGGTCGGAACTTTTTCCCACACAGCGTCCTCGTACCCGAGACCTTTGTACTTGATGAGTGCCTTGTCCACCTCTTTGATACGAGCCTTATCGATTTCCTCGCTCCGGACTTCAACGTAGCTAGTAAACTTGATATCAAGAACGATATCGATGCGGAGGTATTCCTCGGGGATTGCGTCTTCAGTTCGCATCTTGGGGCCTTCCTCCCGCTTGAAGAACGCTTTTCGCATGGCGGCGGCTGTGACACCCCAGGTCCAAGCACCAGAGAACCATGTCGCTTGAAAATACGACTCACCGTCCCATTTGATGAGGTACTGTTTCTCATCTTCGTTCACCTCTTCGCACGGAGTTCCAGGATGGTATGTTTCCACATCTGACGGTCGCCAAGCAACGAAACCTCCGACCTTTCGTTCTATAGTGTCGTTGCACTCCTTGCACATCCAAGACTTGGAGTACTCTGCAAATCGCTCGTCGGCAGTCTCGTCTTCGTCCCGTGCAAGATCGCTGGAATAAGGCGTGAGAGCTGGCAAGTGATGGTAATGCCAGGAACGCGAGCAGCGTGTACAGCGAAACATGACATTGGAAGCATTGTTGATGAGGTTGGAAGGGACATCGGTGACGGGATCCAAGCCGTCGTTCTCATCTCGATCTTTCTGTTCTTGCACCGTGGTCTTGCGATGGCGGAACGGCTTGCAGGCTGGACCAGCATGACGGCAATCTGTACAGACAGCAAGATCGGGAGCAGTGCGATCCTTCATCTTATATACATTGATACATCGTCGGCATTGTAGCACGTAAACATCGTCACTGATTTTTGTAACAAGATGCTCACGAGTAGAGCGGGTTCCAATGCAATTCTTGTGGTACGCCAAAGAGCAGCCTTGGCAGTATATGAGGGGCGCGACATTGGGACCGTTAGAGCACACCTCGCATCCTTCTACGTGACGAGACCTGAAAAGGTTATTGCGGGGAAGGGTTTCGAACGTCTCCTTTGCGTTGACGATCTTGACCGTCGCAGCCTTGGGCTCATCTGAATCTGATCTATAGATGTCGTCGATGTTGGCTTCTTCCATGTTGTTCTGCGCACGAGTGGCTCGACCAGACTGTCGCATGCCTATGCGAAGAATCTTCTCCGGTCTCGGTGCCTTGGAAGGGCGTCCGCGCTTTCGCTTATGAGATGCGAGATGTGATTGTAGGATGTCGATGCTTGAATCGTCGGAGTCGTCATGTTCGTCATCGTCACCCTCCTCGTCCTCATCGTACGCTCGCGCAGCTGCATGGCTCTGGCCAGAGCGGCGCGTAGGCTTTGAGACCAGCTTGCGCCTCCGGCGACGTTTCGTATTACTTGCGTCACTCTCACTAGAAGAAGAATCGCGGGTAGTACTTCGGCGTGTAGCCCTACTGCTTCTGCCGCTGCTCCTATCAAGGCCCTTCAAGTTGCTGAGCCGCTTCTGGCGAGGCGGTCGCGAGGAGACCTCATCATCAGACGATAGGTCGAGTCCTTGAACACTGATGAAGCCGTCGTTCTTGGGCTTTGTGACCTGTCTCCGCAACCGTGAGTCGCGCATGTCGGTATCTGCGTTGCCCGGGCTCGCAATTCCGTCGTCGTTTTGTTGGAAGGTATGGAAAGCAGCGGCGCCGTTGTCGAGGGCCAGGAGCTCGTCGAAGGTGACCTAAGAGAGAGATTGTTAGCTTGGATATCCCAGGTAAAGGATGGGTGACTGGGAAACTGTAAAGGCGCAAGCACCTTTACCTAGCGAATAGGCTGGCCGCCGTTCATGTCGGAGGTGACTTACCCGCTTGTGTGTGCCGTCGACGAGTTCAATATCGTATAACAGCTCGCCACGCTTCTCAATCTCCCGCCGAACGCCATGAACAGCATCTTTGCCGTCATAATAGATATACTGATTGCGGTTTCGAACGGGCGGCACTCGCACAGCTGCAAGCTTCTGTGGCGCCTGCTCTATGCGCTGGATGCGCTTGTATTCCTTCTCTTCGACCGAAGAGTTGCGACCGCTGGTATGCGAGCGCGCCTTCCGCCCGCGCGCTGGACCATTTGCGCCTTTCTGGAAGGACGCCATTAGATCGGGTTCGTCGGCGTCGTCGTCGTCGCTCGTTATGGATGCTGCGCGCGCCATACTGGGGCCATGGAGCGCCCTCGCGCGGGCAAGCCGTCGGGCGAGTCCAACCTTGGAACGAATCCGTTGCGGCGGTCTCGACGGGGGAATTGGTTGGCAGCGGGGTGACTTGCCAATGTCGGGGCGGCAGGCAGCAAGTCTATAGACTAGAGGTAGAGAGAAACACCCTTGCTCTTTGAACGCGTGGGCTCTGCTGCGCGCCGGGAGTGGTTCGTCGCTTTCAAGTTCACAGTGGAGCGGAGGGCCGCGGTGGTCGCCTCCAATCGGCGTCGAGCAGGCGCGACGCGTTTGAGCACGGACCATTCGTGTTCGCGATTTTGGATGGCGAGTCGGGATGAGAAGACGTCACAGCTAGAACCTCACATTCGTCCTGCCATGCTGCAAAGTGGCCCCCTACGCCCAACGGTCCTCCGAATACCGCGCTTTACATGTCTCGGCACACGCAGTGAAGGAAGAAACAAGTCAATCACCGCTGCCATCGAACGAGGCAGGAGCTCTGGCGACAGAGAGCTCGAATTTTCATCGGGAAGAGATAGGCGAGGAGACCGACGACGCTTCCAAGCTGAAGTAGCTACAGGCCCCGAGAGGCGTGGTTCCAAAAACCTCTTTCATGGGCAAAAGCGCCTGGACATAGGCTCGTCACGTTTCGCAGGAGCAGCAAGAGGCTCATATCGAGATGCTACGGGTAGCCCACGCACTACGACGTCGGCCGACGCTGCAGACCACCAAGAACGATACGAAGATAGCGCCCGGAGGAGAGGTGCAGCTCGTATCGAATCGCTCCCATATACCACAGCGGCTTCCGAATTCATCTACGGATACTCGAGCGTTTTAGCTGCCATCAAGGCAAATCGACGGAAGCTACACAAACTATACATCCATGCACGAGGTGCTTCACATGTAGGGCTGACTGCCCTTGTTGCAAGAGCGAAAAAGAAGGTCGATATCAGAGAAGTCGGTGACGAATACCTGCAAGCGTTTGACAAAGCTAGCAGTGGCAGACCCCACAATGTAGGTAGTCCATGCACCACGCATCCATACCTTCCACTTACAGGCGGCTCAGGGCTTCATCCTTGAAGCATCACCTCTTCCCGTTCCGCCTCTTATATCGTTAGTGTCGTCGAATATCAACCTGGGGCAGTTCGAAGTTGCACTAGACAGCCAGAGTAGGGAGGACCTGGAGATCAATGGCAAACAGACCGAGTTCACGTACAATTCCGCTGGATGGAGACACCCTCTGGTCCTCTACGCTGACGGAGTGCTCGACGAGGGGAACCTAGGCGCCATCGCCCGCTCGGCATATTTCCTCGGCGTCGACGCCATTGTCACTCCTACTCGCCAGAGCGCACCATGGAGCCATATTGCACTCAAAGCCTCCGCCGGCGCAGCTGAAGCCATACCCATCTTCAAGGTCAACCAAGGCACGGACTTTCTGGGGCGGAGTGCGCGTGCTGGGTGGAGAATATACGCCAGTGATGCCGTTCCACCTCTGGAGCTGCCGGCTCTTCAAGGCGCATTGTCCAGCATTAAACCAAGTCCTCCCTCCACCGAAGTGATATATACAGGAGCTCGGAGCACAAAACGCCTGCCTGTGGAGCATTGCCCTGTTGAGAGTCATCCCACGATCCTGATGATGGGCGCGGAAGGAACAGGACTGCGAACGAGTCTGCTGAACTTGGCCCATTACAAGGTGGGCATCCGGCATGGTCGAAATGTTGATGAAATAGGTGTTGACAGTCTCAACGTCAGCGTGGCGGCGTCGTTACTCTGCTACGACATGCTGCAGAAGCCGAAGCCTCGGGCGCCCGGTAACATGCTCTTCTAGACGAGGAGCTGCTCCTGTACCCTATGTACTCTATGTAAATACCTCTTGTACGATATTTCCAGGACCGGAACGCGGGAACGCGGCATATACCCCAGATAGACCCTGCACAATAACGGAGCTTCTCCCATGTCTGCTGTGTAGGCTGGGATGGGCAAACCTTATCTTACCTCCTCATCGTATCTAAGCACATCACCTTTATCAACCTATCGCTCGGCCACCGACGAACCAGAGTCAGTCGCGCCCACACCAACTAGATGATCAGGCTGCTCGATCGTGCATTCCCCGCCCTTCGCTTGCGTCGCGCTCGGAAGGCCGCCGCTGCATACAACGTGCGGGGGTGAGCACAGATGCCTTTGCGGTCTTATATCTGTACGCGGTGCACACCGCCAGATAACTTTATTGCCTCATGCATCTGATGGATCGGCAAGATCCGCGTCATAAAACGCATGTCACGCGCGACAGTTGCGACGGCGGATCGGACATTCCGCTTATGACAGGGGAGATATGGATTGCCCCCACGTGTTCGGGGGCCTGGTGGAGGGTCGCACGCCAGGTGTGGCTGGCGCCTTATCTGGCCATGGGAAACGCGAAAGTCGATGCTTGTCAGCGAGTGTTCGCGACGCGCCGCAACCCCGCTTCATGTGCTACCTCCGTTTCCGTGATCGTTCGGAGCTCCCAGATGAGTTGGCCTTGAGTTGCTGGGGACATGCTGGGAGTAAGGTGGCTACTCGGAGAAAGGCGCATGTGTTGACCTGGCTTTGGCTCATCGCTGTCGCCTCGAGTCGCGAGCTGAGGCTCTGTATGCATGGCTAGCCAGCCTCGCGGCCTTGGGCGGGTCCTCCACGCAAGGGCAGCCGTGACCCAGCGCGATATCCGCTATCAATCACAGCGAGGGTGGAGTGGTGGCGGGCGGTGAATCGATTGGACTCGGCCTAGTCTCGCGCACGGACGGCGCTAGAGTACGGGTGGGTCAATTGCACGATCGTCATCGCTCGATCTTCTTGTTGTAGCGAGAGCAACAAGCGGCGGGCACGCCGTCACGCAAGCCTGCCAGCCTTTGTGGGCTACGCTCACCCATCCCGACGAGCCCTGCGACCCCCGCCGTAAAAGATAATTTCGCGCATTCCAGGCCGCCGCTCGCTCCCAGCGCGCGCTTCTTCAGCACCCTTGTCGAGGCCTCCACCGCATCCCGCAGCCATAGCAACAGATCTACGAGGCCTTCACGCGCCGAGCACACCTCGGTCGTCCGGTCTTTGCGGCGGCAACAGCCTGTCCTCAAAAACTCCTCATCACCTCTGCTTGTTAGCGCGTGTGCACTGTGCGCCTCTACACATCATGACGCGAAGAATAGTATACAGCGTCGGCCTCTGGCTTACCCTGGCCAGTGAGTGAGGGAATTTGCAGCATATGGAAACACCAGCTAAGGCGTACAGGCACGACAATGACCATCGCCAGCATCTACATGCCGCGATGGATCAGCTTCGACCCAGTGAGGCCTCCTGCCCGCTCAGACACCACTGTACTCGAGGACTAGTCTAACTGCCGCCAGAACAACGACGGGCGCAAAATGTCTTACGGACTCCACAGCCGCTACACAAACATCCCCAATGAGCCCGAATACGCGCAGTTTCCTAGTCGCGAATACTGCAAGACAGATGAAAGCTTCTGCAACATGTGGAGGACCGTTGGCTTCTTCATCTCCTTCGACGTCGCCGTGGAGCTGTGCACCCTCGTGTCCTTCGTCGTGATCATCTCGGGCGGAGTGCAGCGCAGGGCCGCCGGATGGCACATTGTCAGCACACTGCTGCTATTCTGTGCCTTTGTACAGTGCGTCGGCATGTCTATTGTGGTATGTCGGCCTCTCGCCACCCCATCCGCAAAAGCCTGCCCGTCACCTCCACCTCCATTCCTAACACTCACTCAAATCCACAAATATCAAGCGCTGACACTCACAGGCCTACCTCTTTGACCATCACGACCGCTTCTCCGTCCCAGGCCACTACCTCGACGCCTCCTGGTCTCTCTGCACCGTGTCATGGGTGACCCTCTTCTTGACCAGCCTGGGCATGGTGGCCTCAGCGCTATACCTCCCGCCCGAGGGCGACTACGAGCTGCTTCCAGAGGACAACCTTGAGATCGTGCAAGACGAGCAGTAGGCAAGCCAGCTCCGTTGTTCCTTGGTAGTCCCTCTAATAGAGCGTAGATTGTACAGCCGCATCGGCGCGTGGAACGACGGATACCACCGCAACAGCGGCGAGTGGTACCAGCAGTATCAGGAAACGGGGTCGATACGCTCCCAGTCGGTGCGCTCGGAGGCGCGGTAGAACATGCAGGAGGTGCAACGACGAAATGATGTATGAGGGGTCGATGGACGACATGATGGTTGCAAGCGCCTGTCTTGCCCGTTGTGGTGGATGGAGTTGCGCACAGGATGACTCCAGATTCGACAGTCTACGTCGACAAAAGCGCGTTTCGGTAGATCTGTTCAGCCCTCCGTCTTCAGCACAGCACGACGACTTGCGCGAACGGTGGAGAAGGAGCATTTCGCATTTCTGGTTCCAGCTCGGCGTTTACGTTATCCTTGGAGTTTCTGCATGGGTTGTTCCTGTCCTATTTTGCGAAGATACCCCTCTACCCTGGTGGCTGGGCTCTGCTTTTGCGCTTGCTCTGCGGTCGTACTTTACAGCGTTCGCGTTCTCGTTTCGGATCCTAGCGTAATATTTCAAATCAAGCTATTCCTCTCTCCTCCACTCTGCAGCTTTTCCTGTGCAGTATCACACTATCGCTGACCTTGAGCGTGAACTACGTTCAACCTCGGAGTATGTTAGGGTTCCAAAGACTGCACACCGAACTTGCAATCAGAGTACCGTTCCCATCACCGCTCCCCAATCGCCGTCGTAACCCCCAAAACCGCCATCCCCAACGCATCCATATCCCTCACCCACCTTTCCACCCTCCCCCTCTCCCCCGTCCCCCATAGCTCCTCCAATCGCAATCCACCCCACTCCCACTCCCCAGCATGCACATCCCACAGCCTCCCCCACGATCCCTCGTTCTCTGCGCGCCACAGCTTCTCACTACACGGCGCGGGTAGTTGAGCGAGCTCGTCGCCGCGAATGCAAGACACTCCGGCGAAGACGTTGACGGCGTCGTCGAGGAGATACATGGCCGTCAGGGCGCGGCGCTTGGATTCGGCGAGAGCCCAGTGGGACCAGGATGGGCGGGGACTTGCGGAGGAGCTTGAGGGGAGCTCGGCGGGGTGCAGGAGGCCGGATTGACAGATTGTGTGGGCGAGGTCCTGCATGTTGAGCATGAGCTCCTGCGGGATTACCGGAGTGCGGTCGGGCCCGAGGAGCAGCGTGGCGTACACAATGTATGCCTGGAACGCGGCGAGGAGGTCCCACTGCGTGCGGTTCTGTTCCTTCGTTTGCGCAGCTAGTTTCGACATCTGAGCCACGGTAACCTCCCTCACCATTTCCCTGCCCTCTTCAATGGCCGCCTTGGCCCCCTCCACTCCCTCCCCAAGCCCCTCCCACATCCGCGCAACACACACACAGTTCGCCAGCGGCTGGGGCAACTTCCCATCTACCACCTGCAGATGGTGGATGATGGGTGGTAGATCGCCCTTACACAGCATCTGCGGGTACGCTCTCAGCACGCTGTGGATGAACACGGCGGTCCCGCGGGAGAGGTTCTTGGGGTGCTGGTCGGGCGCGGGGACCCAGCCGGCGAGCCAGCGGTCGCGGACTCGTTCTGCATCGACAGTGCAGATGAGTTGGACGTCTTGGCGGTTCGTGGTGGTCGGGAGGGACGGAGGGCGTGGGGAGGGTTGCTGTGTGGCTGTGGGTTGGGCTGATGTGAAGAGCGGGGTTTGGCAACGGAACCCCGTGCCTGGGTCTGCGGTGAGCGGTGTCACAGAGCTAGCTGTGTCCAAGGTGGTGAGATCAGAGACGGGAGGGATGCTTGAGCGTGGTTCTTCGCTTGCTGCGCCGGAAAAGTCACAGTGGAGGGCGCGGCGCGTCTGGGGGTGACATGTCAGCAATTCGCTCCATCTGGGAGGATTTGCATTCGAGCTTGAGATCAACATCAATTTGCGTCCACTGGGACACATAGTCACGTATGAGTAGCGTTTCTACGTACGCATCGCGAGCAGACAGGCCTTGTGTGATCACACCGCACCTTTGCCTCGAAGCATTGCCGGCATGCCTTCCTACGGGGTGGTGGATTTGTAGCAGCGTGCATCCACAGAGAGCCGAATTCTGCCTCTTCCTGACGTTTTCGTTTTGGCGGCATTTTGGACAACGAACAGAGTTGGCATGTAAGTGATGTACGAGTTCAAGTCAGGTGGGGTCGCGTCTTAGCGCGATTGTATCCAGGACACGACGCATCATCATTGGACCTTTCAAATGTTCCAGATACGTACACCTAAGACAGTGGTTCACGAAACAAGCTGTGTGTGAAATATGAACAATTTATTTTTGGTAAAGTACTCTGAACATCCAAATACCGCTATATGCACACCAAATTGCCATGTAAACCCAGACCCAAAACGCTACCAATGCCCATTCGAGTAAAATCCCCATGTCCCAAATCGGGTATCGTAAAGTATCCAAACATTATGCACTCATACCACCACGTGTGAAAAGAAGACACATTACATCATAAGCAGCCCCGAGACAGCCGCGGCCACAGCCAACCCAACAACATTGGGCACGAACTTGGCTACCCCGCTCTTGACGTTGATCTCCTGGAGAATCATCTCAGGCCAGTACGGTGGGGGAGTGTTCTCCGCGCGTGTACCGTTCCAGCAGTACTTATCGAAGCACTTCGAGCACGCGTCGGGCATCTTCGTGTTTGTACGGTTGAGGGAGCGCGAAATGATGGCGCAGCCGACGCAGGTGGTCCAGTCTTCGTAGCCCGCGCGAGTGTTGTTGCCCATAGTGGCGACATCGTAGCCGTTCTGAATCATGGCGTTACGCTCGGTGTTATTGTAGTCTAGCTTTGCGAAGGTGGACGTGTTGGAGAGGAAGACATAGGGCGCGTTGGGGAGGTACACGATGATGGGGGAGACGCCACGGCCGGTCAGGTTTCCGGAGTCGCAGCCAAAGAAGGTCGGGCGGTTGTTGAGGCCGAGGTTGACAAAGGTGTTTGTATCGGGTATGTAGGGGAAAGCCGTGTTGTTCTGGATAGTGGCGTTGTTGGTACGCTCGTAGGTTGCGACGAGGGATGTACCGTTGGGCCAGTTCTGTGCAGAGTCCGTGGGTTTCACGGTATCGGCGGAAGAGTCGATGGCGAAGATCACGTCCACCTCGCGGTGCGGCTGTATTAAAGGGTTGAATGGGATGTTCTGCAGATCCTCACCACCGTCGACGAGCGTGAGCCTGTTGGTGTTCGAGCTGGGGTTGGTACGGTTGTTGTATCCTTGGAATGGATTGGGAGTGTAGTCCGCGATATCATCTTCGTTCTCGCCGAGTGCCTCTAGAATACTTTTCAGAGCGCTCTTAATCAGGGCCGGGGCGGCATTATCATCTTGGAACTGCAGAATGACCTGGTTAAACAGCGAAGAGCTAGTACCCATAACGAAGCCACCGTTGTCGAATCCGCGGACACACTTCTCGTTGTCTGGTAGCTCGCCGTTGGAGAAGTTGGAACCAATGTACCTCAGCGGTGCGAAACCATAGAGCGTCGGATCGAAACTGCCCATCTCGAATGGGTTGAACTCAATGTTTGTGGAATTGAGCGATAGAACGGCCTCTCCAGGAGCGCGCTCGAGTGCAATAAGGATGGGGAATGGTGCGTCGGCATTCTTGAAGTCTGGATCATCTTGGATCGATGACCAAGTGTATCCAGGGCCACCGTCAGAGGCGTTGACAAACTGGAATGAAAGAGCCCGCGCCCAGTAGTCAGTGAGCGAAGTGTCGAAGCCTCCAACGGCATCCTTCTTGTCGGTGACTGTGTTTACAAGGTTGCCGTAGTACTCAGCAGTGCTCAAAATTTGAATACCTCCAGTCTCCGGGCCTGGCTAGTGTTAGTTTCGCACGTCTCGATTCTTCCTCATTTCAACGAACCTTTCAGAATTGAGTTGCCCAACTGCCAGACATCACCTGGCTCGTTTTGATCGATGATGTTCTGAACGGAGGTGAAGTTATTCATATAGATACTTCCTACAAGCCAACCACCGCCTGATAGACCAGCAATGTAGGTCGATGCTTGCAGGAGTCCTCCCAACTGACTTGCGCCGTTTGTTGCGTTGGGGGTCCTGCTGTCAAATGCTGCGAGCGCACCAGCGCCGTTTAACATAGCACGGTAACCACCTCCAGAGAAAGCAATTCCAATATTAGGCAGATTCGTAGTGTTGTCGCGATTGTCGTCAATATATTTTCCAGCATCAAAGCCATCAATGTTTATTCTCGTCAAAAGTTCGCGCATGGGATCCACGGTTTTTGGTCTCCTGGAGTTCAGCCAATCCGTTTCGTTTTTTGAAAGTGTGTCTGCCTTCCGGATGCTCGGCCGATCTGATGGGCAGTCCACCTCTGCTGGCGCATACCCATTGGGTGCTTCATTCGTAGCTCTTTTGTAGACTTCCACTGCTCTGTACGCGGCATTTGCCTCAATCTGCTCAATTTCTGCCCGGCCAACCAATGATGCTGTGTCGATTGTAAGCACAGATCAGGGGCGAGGGCGTGTAACCTTGGCCTACCACTTCCCAGCGACGCAAGGGCCGACGCGGCGAACAGTGAATACCTCATGTTCAGAATCTACACTACGTCTGCTGTAGGAATTGGTTCTCGGGAGACACAGCAAGGTAAGATATCGGAAAATGCCAATCGAGAAGTGCGGATACTCGGTGTTGTTAAATGATTTCTTAGCTTGATCGGAAAGCCGGAAGGGTCAACATGTGGCTTTGTTTCGCGCGGACCGGACTAAACGGGCCAGTGAGGTCATACAAGCGAGGCAAAGTGGGCTTAGGCGTGGCTTGTCCCTGTCTTCCGTCAGCGCTCCGCCTTATTTTTAGTACTTTCTGTCGCCCCATTGGATGCCATATTTCTGCTGTCGCGTGGCCGTGTTGTAGTTGATGAATGACAATCAACAGGTAGTGCTTATGATAATCGTAGGATCCCCTCAGCTTTGAAAGTCACCGCCATGTTCGTCTTGGTAGGGCATTGCTGTGTGAACACCCTGCAGCTAGAAGATTGGGCTGTCATCAAGGGGCAAATCAGAATCCCGACGGCCGCTTGGACGCGTCTTAGCGGTAGCTTGCCTGGTTAGGCCGTCGATCTCCCATCTCGGACTTTGCTCGAAACGTACGCCATGCAGGTTGCGTCCCCGCAAGATTCATGACGAGACGGCGGACGAACATTAAAAACGCCGCTGTGTTCCCCGACGGTCGGTCATTCAGTGTCGCGTGTAGATCACCCGCAATACTGGACCTTGTGCGTGCTGAATCCGCGCGTTTGGTGGAGCAAGCATTGCTACATTCGCAAGCTTCTTCATACATTGTGGACATGCGACATTGTGGACTATCTGATACGCCGTATTCCGAAGGTTCCGCGCTGAAGCGGTATGACGTCGTGGTAGGAGGCTGCCATTACTGGGCGTTAGTGTCGCGTCGCCGATAGAAACAATCTATCATGCCACTCCAAGATATCGGTGTCATTCCACTGAAGCCGCAGGCGCAAAGAGCATTGAGTGATACTCAGACGTTTCAGCGCTTCCCTATCTGGAACGACCGAAACATGAGGCTGAGATCTTGCAGCGATGTGGTAGCGGCGTAGCAGCAGAGCCTCGGTATTCGATACATTGGCAATGTAGGAAGAGCGCGGCGAAGATACGCCCAACAAATCCATCTCTCTCTCCACACATCTGTGTACTAACAGTCCTAGCGTTCCGTAGCTGTAGAGAAGCGAGTTGTTACCATGGAATGATCTTAGCCATTAGAATTCGAATCGACTAGCTCTCGTTCCACTAATCTTCCGCGGGCGCCGAGATGGAGACTTCGTCCACATCGTGCGATGGACCCGAATAGAGAGCATCACCTGAAGGGGAAGTAAACCGGCAGCATGGTCATGATTTACGGATCTCTCGCCTGCGCCTTCGTTGAGTGTTTTGTCCTTAGTTCTGACCTGGAACGCGGAATTCAGTCCGCACGGCAATCGCTGTTTACGTTCTCGAAGCAGTTCAGGACTGGGACTGTGTCTACAGTAGTGAATTTCGGCCTGTATCGTGCTCTCTGGTCTATGCTGTCTTACGATGCCACCCCAACCCATGTCGACAGTGTGGAGGTGGCTTGGTCTGACGGGCAGACTCGGACATGGTATACACAGCGCGCTCGGACGCGTTCGAGACGAGCGCTGCGCCTCCAAAGTAATGCTCAAGCGAGATTATAGGTCTGCAACGACGATTGAGCGGCTGATGACCAGGATTAAATCAACATTGGTCGTGTGATGTTGCTGTTGTGGGAAGGGCGCAGCAGCTACCGTCCTGACGGACAGTCATTCCTCACCCAGCTGTTCGAAGTCAGCAACGCGCCTTCCCATTGGACATCTCTGTCACTTCAAATGTTACAAAGAACACTGTTGTAATGTGATACAATCTTAGCAAAGGGCAGGCGGGTAGCTCAACGTGCTGCAGATGCAAAGGCATATATACGTCTACTGTGTCGGATGCTACGCAACACAAAGCACAAATCATGTACAAGAAGCTGAGCGCATGCTGGAACCAGATTTTCACGGCTCATTGACTCGAGGCAGCGGGTGTAACTGGCGTAGAGGCTTCTCGCAGATGACCCTGTGAACGACCACCTCTCCCACCGCCGCCCCGACCACCCCGCTGACCACCTCTTCCTCTCGACTTCCCCCTGTCCGCACCATCCTGCTTTGGGGCGGCGGCAGGAGTTGAGACCTCAGCAGTGGTTGGAAGTAGCTTTACATCCTTATTTGCTTTCTCTCGACTTGGTCCATCGCCTGCCTTCTTATCATTGCCTCTACTTTTAGGCTTACCTCCTCTACCCCTTGATCGGCCATTAGTGGGTTTGGCTGCCCTCTCTTCTGCGCGCTTTCTTTGCTCTTCCTCCTGGATGACTCTTCTGCTCTCTTGGTCCCACCACTGCTGAAATTCTTGCTCTTGTTGTATTTCCTGCAAACTTCGTTTGGCTGCAGCATCCCGGATAGAGATCTTCTCGGCTTGTTGCAAGGAGAGAATCTCATGCATAGTCATGTGCTGACTTGGCGAGGTCGGCGAGTGTGTCGGGAGGGGTATGTGACGCACAGACTGAGGTGTGGGTATTGGTGTTGTGGAGACTGACATCCCTCGATCCGATAACGGATCTGCTGCTACATAAGTGAGCTTCTGGGATGATGATGTACATCCAGGAGTGGATTGCGAAGGCTGACGACCCTTGTCTTGTTCCTTTTGCTTTGCCTTTGCGCCCCGATTGGCAACCGTCTGACGCATCGTCAAGTGGGGCGTGCTGGAAGTTCTAGGTGGCTGAGGAGGTGACGGTGCTGGATATACGGCTGGACTCTCGCTCACTTTCCGTTGAGACATAGCTTGCCATGGCGATACTGTAGGAGGGGTTGGCTGCGCTTTCTCAGGTGTCGGTGGCTGTCCGAGTTGATGTGCCTGCTGAACACGTTTTCGCTCCTTTTGTGACATCTTTGCTTGGAAAGACCCCGAAGCCTTCCTCTCCTTTTCCTGTTGTGAGAGACCGAGTGTGAGATTCGAGGGTGGAACACTGGTTTGGGCCATGATGTCTTTCAAGTCGAACTTCGTCGGGGCTAAGGGTGCGGGACCCCATGGCCGCCCAGATGTTCTTTCTGAGGCGATCTGGGGAAAATTCAAACTCTGAGATCCGAGCTTAGGGTGCTTATGCGCAGCCGACCCAAGTGATGACAGGCCATCGTTCGTCCTTCCAACAGACCATGATCCGTCTAGAGATCCGACTGGATCAACGACAGGTTGCTTCCCTGCTGCTGGTGTGAATTGGGGTTGACGAAGTGCAGTATCCTCCTCGTGATCATCCTCACCATCTGACATCTCAAACATCAAGTCTGCCACAGAGCTCTTTGCTTTCAAAGCTGGAGTGGATACAGGGCTCTCAGCTTCGGGTTTCCCTTCTCGGGACGCCCTTCGGCGATTACGTTGCCGAAGAGGTGACATGGACAGCTCCTCTAAGCTTTGTGCTCGAAACGACGACGATGTGAATCCATCAGCTTCAGAGAACTTGTTAGAGAGAACGATAGCGTCCACTTTGGCTCGTTTGCCTCGCTCAATCCTCTCAGCGAGCTCCGGGTACTTTTCAAACAATAGTGCTTCAGCACGTCCACTCCTCGCAAAAGGTAGGAAGGCCAGTTGATTTTCGCGTACAATATGATCCAACTCTGATAGGAGGTCTTCATCCAGCTCATCCAGCGAGCTAGTCGTGGTTAGCTTGTACATTCGTGAGATGGCACGAAATCACTAACCCATTCTGCATGACAGCTTCCATGCTTAAGCACACATACTCGAGCGCAGCATCCTTGAATTCTGCAACTGAACTGGGCGCAATAGCTGCCAATAGCGAACATACGTTTCGCGCATTGACTATGACCGCGTTAACTCTCATGTTCCATTACGAGGTTAAGAACTCACCATAACGTCCGATGAGCTTTTGGCAAATCTGCGAGAGCCGATCTAACATCAGCTCATTCGCAACCGACATGACGTCCATGATGTGATCCAATAGTTCATCCAAGGCTAGAAGATCGTTAAGGTCTTCACTCGTGACATCGTTGAAAATTTCTTCGCCGGCATCGGTGTACAGGTGACGGACAACAAGTTCGAATAGATGCGAGTCGACGTGGGTGAGGTCAATCCGCACCAATTGCGACTCTTCTGTACGCCTGCCAGCCAACCATTGACCTCCAGCACGACCTCGGAAAAGACCTTCAAAGAATGGACATCGCTGACAAAGGATGTCAGAATGGAGGGTCATCTCTCCGTCCTCTAGCTCAACGATCATATCGCCACTGTCGAAGAATGATGGCTCCTTGATAGCAACCGCCATGTCAAGGTTAAGAGACCTCCTTGGAGTGACCATTTGTCGAACGGCGGGTTCCAATTGGCGAAGGTCCAGTCGTAACGCTAATTTCATGAGTTCAGTGCGGACGGTCCGGTATCTGTGTGCCATTACGGGGTAATATCGCGTGACGTTCCAGAAGTCTACAATAGTGTCGGTGTACGAATAGAGGACAAGATCGAATAGAGTGAGGAAGTCCAAGCCATGGAAAACCACAGTCAAACGACCATCCATCTCTTGGATCTCTAACAGCTCGCTCATGTGTGGCTTGCCGTCGTCCTGAGCACGGTAACTGGCCATTGCATCTCGGAGGACGCGACTACGACTGGACATAATGAACTCGTGAACAGGAATGCGGACGTCTGAAAGTGTTGTGCCGAGTTGAATGTCATAAGTGTTCTCTGAAGAGGGTAACGTACGTTCCAAAATCTCTGAGACTTCCTTCTCTAAATCTTTTGACTCGAGTACTCGCTTCCGGAGAGATTGCGCTTCGGAAGGGCGTTGCCAGAACCTTGGGAGAGGGTTCTCGTCGTTCGAGTCCTCCTCATAGTTCGATAGGTCATAGAAAGGCAACAATGGTGCGACATCTTTCCAGAGTGCAGGCTCGTCCGTCATGATCTGGGACCTAGTGACATCGCAATCCTTACGAATTGCAGCGTAAGCGCCAAAAGCGGATGCTCGCACAGCCGTGACCCGCGTCAAGCCTGGCACTCGTTGGAACTTGTAGTCTTTGGCCTTCTGCTCAGCCGCGCCAATGGCAGCCGTACTCTTGATGGTTGCTCGTTTCGTACGTCTCCAAACGCTTCCAGCTTCAGTAGTCAAGATGATGGAACCATCCTGGTCCACATCCACATCTCGAGCGGCCATGTGGCCTTGTCTTGCCGACCAGATGCGGTTAGGTAGCGACAAGGCATCGCGTATTTGCTTCGGGTTGGTTGTGGATGTGTTGGAATCTTGGCCACCTTCGGAGCGACGGCTGACTGCGACTGTGAACACTTCGCCAGAGCTTGATAAGGCACAAATGGTGTCTCCACCAGATGTTATTTTCTTAACTTTGTTTGGTGTTGTCTCGTACTTGGTGGTAAGCCAGCTCTCTTTCAAAAAGCTATTGGTGAATCCATCAAGCGGGAAATTCAATCGTGCATATCCGTAGTTGGCGAATACCCATACCTCTCGGTTCTCTAAGAGACATATTGTAGCACCATCTATAGCTGATGCTGAGCTGATTGGCGAAGAAAACAAAGACGCGGCGATCTTCCGTGGCGTGATCTGCATCTCCAAGGATCGTGCATCGGAGTCGACGATTCCAAGTTGGCCCTCGTTCTTGCCGAAAGTGTACAGAGACGAAGATGTATGTGCCACCGAATGAATTCGGGAAGCTGCAACACCTGTAATCACGTCTCGCTTTAGGGGTCCAAATATTTGTCTTGGTATTGTTGAGATTGGGTCATCGTCCTTGACCGTGGGCTTTGGTAGAGAGTATCCTAGCTGACCGTAGGCGTTATTGCCCCACGAGTAGATTTCTCCCTCGACAGTAATTGCCAGGGTATGGTTCTGTCCTAAAGCAACTGCAGCAATCTTTTTCTTGCCTAGACCGCCGTTTTCAATACAAGTGAACTTGTATCTTGTAGTTTCTGTTCCGGTGCCTAGTCGTCCACCAGGTCCATGTCCACAGACATAAAGGTTGGATACCGGATCAGTTGTAAGAACCGCCGTATGAAGCTTTGACATCTGTACGTCCTGAATAACGAGTGGCGTATTGCGGATGTGCGTTGGAAGGTCGGTGACTGCCAAAGGCTGAAGGATGCCCGAGTTTTGAAGTCCCATATTCATGGCAGCGAATTTCTGAACCTCGGTCTCCCGGTGCTCTTGATAGAATCTCTGCAGCAAGTGATCAGGTCGTCGGAGAACGACTCGCTCAGGGAACTGACGATCGTCTTGGTCTCCAAATCCTAGGGTTACGTTCTTGTTGCTACCAAAGGTATAGACCTCGTCACCATTGAGGAGGGTTGGTGGTGCAATGATGCGTTTCCGCAAACCGTCATCCCTGTCGCCACTGTCACCTTGCGCAAACTCATCATCGGAATCGACCTCAGCGGTGGCCTCGACTTCCGGTCGCAAAGTGCGGTCTTTGATAGTCAGGGAGAATAGATCCAGTGGACCGTAGCCTTCCTTATCCTTGATCTTGACGAGACCTCGTGCATGTTGGTTGAAGCCTGTGGAGCCGTAGCCGAGCATGTCCTGAGTATCGCGGTTCAGGATCAGTCGTGCAATCGCAATATTTCCAAAATAGAAGGCTCGGTGCAGTGGAGTCCACCCGTTCTCCGCATCCTGCGCATACAAGTCGACCAGCGGGTGTTCAAGCAGAGCTTGTGCAAAACCAATGGCATTCTCGCTTGTGGCAGACGCAACGTGATGTAGAATCGTCATGCCCATGCCATCGCGACTATTGATGTCCGAACGGGTCAATGTCAATCCAGCGCCGGCCGCTGGCCGCCTCCCTTTAGCGCCCAGCTGGGGGGAGGCTCCGTAGCTACCAGGACTGCTGTTCAACCCGATACCAAGAGCCCCTCCCTGCCGGCCAGCAGGACCTTTCGGTGCTCCTGTCCGTAAGGTATGGGAGGCAGATTCCAAGACATGTCGAAAGCTGTCGACATCATCTTCAAAATAATGCTTCCAAAGATACCCACTCATGTGCCGAATAGAACGAGGAGAGATCCTTCTGCTTCGACAAGTAGCCCCTCGCTATGATCTCTGGGATCAAAGCTTATTTAAAGGTGCTGGTCGCGAAGCTGGGGAAAGACTCCTGAAGGAACACTGGGCACGGAAACGGTCGATGGTATTGTTTGTGTCGATATGTCGCGGGTTGCGTAGAGGCAAGGAGTACGGTGGGAAGCGCGTCGGCGGGTATGGTGAAGTGGCGGCGAAATTTGGCGCGAGGTGGCAACCTTCTCGGTGCGCAGTACAACAGGAGCTTCGAGGAGGTAGCTCGGATAAGCGCGTCTGGACAGCAGTCGAATCTGCGGCGGGACGAGCCTCGGAGGTAGCTTCGGGTTATCGGTCGGCGCGCGCAGTGAGTGTTGGGAGGGGTGTTGTCGCGGGTGAACGGTGCTGGAGTCTATGATGACGAAACCGGGATGGGACAGATAGCGAGCACAGGCGAAGTTCGCGTACTACAGCTAAGCGTTATGAGTCAGTGTGAGTCGCGGATGACTCCTACAGCTTCAGGCGCGCGGACGAGGGGCAATAAGTAGGTATACGACAGTCACAATGCTCGGGAGTTCGAGGAGCTGCATTCCGGCGAATGTGCGAGAGGTGGGATGCACTCGTCCCGCGCCAACCAATCAGGTAAGGCACCGAGTCCCACGAGCACATCTTCTGGGGTGAGAGCGACTTCAACACTCTGAAGCTACTATAGTACAAGATAGAAGGACACCTGGTGCCGACGGGTGTTTTCATGTGAGAAGACCACGATATGGACGACGCGCCGTTCCGGGCGATCACCGAACATATAAAGATGGAAGCGCACGTTCGTCCCCACCGCAGGCATGGATTAGCGGTGAAGAAAACACGCGAGACACGTCTGGATGCAGCTTGGCGGCCAGATGTGTAGGACTCCGGCCTCCCAATGCACGCCAACATGGCCAGGTGCCAGAGACTCCTTGCTGCAACATCTTTGACGTCGTCTGTACATATCGTGCTTGACAACTCTCGGTGCCAATGGGTAACAGTACGAATTACAAGTGTTATGAAGGTGTCTATGGAAATCATTAACTGTTCGGCCGTGGTTCTAGAGCGTCCTGGTCCATGTGTTGTTGATGTTGTTGTTGTTATCACCATTCGGTGCTAGTGTCTGGCGTAACGAACCGGGCGATGCATTGGGAGGGGGCAATTGAACAAACACCTTATCGGGCGGGCAGGCAAAGCTGATTTATAGAGTTTGAGTCCTACCATCGCGGCCGCCTTCAAGCTCCTTGCTTAGATTGGAATGTGTTTGCAGCTTAGAAATATATGACCGAGATCGCGAAGTACGAAATAGGTAGGCACAAAGTTTTGAGCAACGTATGACCAGAATGGTCTTCAATCGAAGTCCGGACCACAAGCCACTGTGGAGGCTAGTATTCCCCACAAGAAGGATCTGAGCCCTGTTACACAATTGTTTGCCTATCTGTGATTTGTCGTAACCAAAGAGGCAGCAGTACCAAGGCTCGTCGAGTGTACCAAAGGAAGGGAAGCTTTAGGCTTCCGCTACGCCAGTGCAACCTCGCCCCTGGGGAAGGCCAGCATCAGGCGAAGACTTCCGGTTCGCTGTCTCCTGCATGGTCTGCATAATGTGGCGAAGACATGTCCAATCGAGCCCGTAGACAGCACAGAGGTCCCACTTGGACACGAGTAGGCAGCAGTGGGGAATATCACTGTCATTCAAGGGCCTGAGGCAAAGAGTTTTGGAAGGGGGGAAATCCAGAGTGTGCGCAATTCCTTCCCAGCCGACCGTAGTCGTATGCAATTGCATGTCGACGGGGCATCGCAAATGGTGAAAGATGATGCAATCCCGGCAGCCATGAGACCACGGCCACGCTCGCCAGCGAAGGCGTCTTTATGCAGGGATTGGCAGAGCCGCCCGCAACGTCAAGCAGGCCGTTTTCACCGGCCGTCGCGGCACCCCAAGCTTCAGGGCCGGCGGGGAAACCGGTGAGCGGGCAGCCATTCACAAGCGTGCGAGTAGGCTGAGACGAGGAGGGCATGGCCTGAGTGCGCAGACGAGCAGACAGCAGCAGCCAAGTCGAGATGCACACTGCGGGCTGTTCGGGCGCTCCATCACTCGCGTCGGTTGTCCTGCTCCCCCAACCCTTGTCGCATTAGCTCCGAGCTCGGGCCTCGCTCCTCACAGCTACGAGGCGAGCGAGCTTCGATCCGCGTCACCAGCGGTTGACAAGTCAGGACGAAACGCCCTACACCTTGCTGCAGCGCTGCTCCTGATAGCCTGCCTCTGCATCGCCGTTCGCATCTCCTCTGCGCGGCTGCTCGTCCTGCATCCTGCTTCTCTCTGGCAGCTCTGGCGCGTGTAGACAAGGGCATCGTGCTATCAGTGCCCGTCATCCGCTCCAGTCACGAGCCCCCAGACGCCTGACTCCCGCATCGCCATCCTCGCCTCTTTGCCGGCCCTGTGCCATCGCACCTCCTCAAGCTGCTCTCCGGCGGCTCTCTCCATCGTTTGCATACCCTGCTCCTACGCTCGCCCGCCGCCCGCCAGCCCCGCTAGTAGGGTGCTCAACCTTATCGCCGTACCGGGCACCGCGCCCATATACCCAGACGCCACACCCTGTAGAACAGCGCTGCACATCATGGCTGCTGCCTGAGCTCTCCCCGACCGACAGTATCAGACCGACCGCGTGAATCAGTCTGCTGAAGCGACCTGCGACTGACTGCACCTGTCCGACTGCATAGCCGCACGCTCGTGATGGCTCCCATCAGTACCCGCCTATGCTCAATCCGACAATAACTCCTCGCGCTGCATCCTAGCCCATTTCTTCCGTCACGCCTATCCACGCCCTGGTATACCAGAGGCCTCCCTCGCCATGTACCAGCACCCACGCCCTTCGCCGCGGTCCGCCTCGGCGGCCAACAGCCTCCAGACCAACCCCACACGAACCAACAACCAGCGGGATCGCGATTCCATGTCCGAGCGCTCTTCTCCTCACTCAGACTTTGCTCCCTACAGCGATCGCGGAACCGAAGACAGTGGCGAGATGGTGGGCCGCGCCGACCAAGTGTCGGAGGCGGACCACAGACACAACCAGAAGGTGAACCAGGTTATACAGGTACGCGCCGTCACAAAGGCTGCGAGGCTTGATGCACTGACCCATGTCTAGAACTTCTTTACCAAAGCAGCCCTCACCATCGTTTCCTCGAGAACGATACTGCCCCAGAGCTTCAACAAAGATGGAAATCTGAGACAAAACAAATGGGTGCGTGGGCCATCTTCATCCGCTCTCTACATGTTCTAACGTGAAAACAGTTCAACGTCGTTCTTGATGAATCCGATCTTCTCACTCCACACCTCCAGGAGTGGAAGATGATGGATGCAGTGGCCGGCCAGCACCCGTCACTCTGCATCGAGATCTACCTGGACACCCAAAATCTGGGACACAAACAGTCGCTTGTCGTCCTTGACGAGCAAGGGAAGAGGTGGGACGTCGCTGAAGCATTGAACTTGCCCGCCGAATCGTCGTCACGGCCCCCGAGCCAGATGGGCAAATCCACACAGCTTGTGTTGGAGCGCTGGAAGATCCATATTGGTGACAAGCACGCAGTGCATCCCTCCGACCTAAGCGATCCGCTACCAAACGTGTACAAGAAAGCCGTAGTCTTGTTCCGGTCGCTCTACGCCTATCTCCGCTTCATACCTGCCTTCAAATATTACAAGAGCATCGCGAAACAACCAGCCAATCATCCATCATTGAAGTTGAATTTTCGCATAGCGAACGGCGACTTCAAGAGCCCACGCCCAGATACACTTAGCATCCCACTTTACCCATCAACGGAGAGCGTTACCGAGACCCAAGTATTTGCGCCGTCCAACTCACCTGTCGGACCCTTGTGCATATCCGTCCAATACCGCACAAACTGCGAATTTAGTGTCGAAGATTCAGAGTCGTTATTGAGCTCGCACTTTCTAGGTTTAGACAATACGTACCTGGAACATTCGAACCGGGAAGTTCAGCCCGTCCCGGGCTCTCTCCCTGTCAACAAGCTGCACCCTCGGGACACTCCAGACTTGGGACAGGCCTACGGTAGTATGTCGACCTTCCACCAAGTTGTCCCTCCGACGGGCACCAGCCCGATGTCTGCTCTGCGTGCTGTACGAGACATGCCCTCGTCATCACCGACCGAATCGCCCCCATCAAAGCTGCCTCCTAATCACCGCACGGCACAAGGGTCAAGGTCGTCCCTTCGTTCGAATGAGGTACCTTCCTATCAAAGACGGACGTCTGTGTCGTTCCAACCTTTCAAGGCCGGCTCATTGTCATCTTCTCCCGCTCCTGCTTCGCATATGCCCGCATCACCAGGAAGTTCCGCTGGCAGCAGACCAAGCAGTTCCTTGGCCCGAGGAGCTGCCCCTAATCCTTTAACACAGCCTCGCAACCGCACCTCGTTGACTGCTCTTCCACAAACTGCGCTCAGGCAACCATCACTACCGAATGAAACCGCGATAGCATCCTCAGCATCCAGCTCTCCCAAGCCTGCGCCAATTGCACGCTACAGCAGTAGCTTTGGTCACCGCAGGAGTCGGTTCTCGTCCGGAGGTGGCAGTAAGCTAGAGGATGATAATCTTAGCAGTGGGAGAGGAAGTGTGGCTTCTTCGCAACAGCGCGGCTCTGGTGACCTGAACGAAGGCGAAGGAGCTAGCTCAGGGTCCGTCAAGACAGACGATGAGAACATCTCCGACTTCTTGAAGCTTCTGGAACAAAAGAAAGACCTCAAGAGCTTTAGCAAACCTGATACTGCTACGCGAGATGCGTCAATGCGCAAGACCACCGCTCAGCTCTCCAAATATCAGCGCATGCGCGAGCCATACAATACTCTGTCGGACTCTGTCTCTTCGTCCATGATGCTCCATCGATCGTCCTCATCCTCCAGCCGTCAGCTCTCTAGCGTACCGCCTATGGTTGCAGGCACTTCTTTCTCTACTGCATCCTCACCAGGAAAGCCCATCTCACCGCATACGCCCCATACCCCTGCAATTCCATCTCGACTGAGCGCAAATAGTATCATTGAGTACGAGCCGCGCCGTAGCCGTAGTCGGCCCGGGCACCCATCACGTGGTCAAGATCCTGTTGACGTGCAAGAGAGGACCGAAGGCGATGAAGGCACAAACGCCATCGATATCCCTACCTCACCTCGACCCTGGAACCACCCTCGCAGATCTAGCTCTGCAGCCCAACAGCAGCGTGCTATGGAAGACGAACCTGATTTCTTCGGCTTACGATCCGCCAGCGTTCCAGTTGACGAATCTGATCGCGAGCGTGATCTGGACCGTGTGCTGGCGCCTGACCTCACACCGAGTGAGCTCTTTGCACAGACAGAACTCCTTACGAGCGAAAGTCACGATCCACCTGCACCGGGTACGCGGGATGAGCTTCCTCGACCCGTGTCAGCTTCCGATCTACCGGCAAAGCGGGGCACCTACTCTGGGAGCAGTCGAGGTCGTGGTAGCTATTCTTCGCATCTGTCTTCGGGTAATTTGGCCACAGGGGCAACGAGCTCCACCGAACGCCAAAGTCGCTACAATTTTGCTAGCCGCAACGTGCCCAACGATGACGACGAGCCATTGCTGTTCCAGATGAGTGAGATCGGCGCCGGCTCAAGACGGAGCCTCGAAGAGACAAGAGGCGGGTCAGGTGCAGGCAGCGGAGGCAGGCGCGGCTCGCCATGGCTCCGTTGAACCTATTCTGTTCCATCACGCACAAACCGTCTGCAGATCACATCACATTGATCGTTTCATGTCTGAACGGCCCGGCTTGTTGGCGTTGCGCGGCGACTCGGGATTTCCGTCTCTTTTCATCTATTGTTTCTCGTCCCTGCTCCGCTGAGCTGAGCTTTCTATTCTATAACACCATCGTGAGCGAGCGACTTATACGGATGTCTTTGCTGCATCTGTTAGCCATCTTTTCAAATTGCGTATATGGAATTTTCGAATGGCGCTAGTCTCGTTAACGGCGTTTTGTGTTTTGCGGACCTGGGAGTCATACCCGATACCTGGGACAGTTCATTGGGTGCTCGTGTATATCGTACTTGCGATGATTATAGACACGCTGGGTTGGGATAAGGAGCTGGCGAGAATGGTATGGGTTTTGCATTACCGCTCGTGGGCACGGCGGGTACGGGTAGTTGATGACAATTAAATACAGCTCGTTATATTGTACGTTGTTGTGAAGCTGCACTCGTGATCGTGCTGGGATAAGCTGTAGCTAGAAGTGCTCTGCCAAAACGCAATTGCGCTGCTGTTCTTGCTCTTGGTCCATTTACGAGGACAAGAACGAATCAGGCCAAGTGCCGTATCCGATTTTATTTCGCCATCCCGTACAGCAGCTAACAAAGCAGCCCGGCAGCGACTGTGGACAGTCGGAGCTCTGTACACTGACGGGGTGACCCTGTCCGCGCCTATGAGAATTATTGTGACCCGCTCGGCACACCTTCCCTCGTCCACACTCGGCACACTTTCCTTCTGCAGCAAACACGCGTTACATGTAGTGGGGGCGGGGTCAACCTCCGAGCAGCAACTGTTTCTATAAGATCTTCGCCCAGATCTCACAGAAAATGGATTTCCCCATTTCAATCCCAGTTTTTCAAAACAATTGGCCTTGCCGAAGCTGCATTTGATCATGCCGGACAACGCCGAAAGCAGAGATGCCCTCACAGCAAGACAGCTGCCCGAAATGCAGCTCTCGACGGCAGAGAGCCCTCTAACTGCGCCAAGACTACCTCCGGATGGATTGAATGCGGCGCAGAGAGCGCAACATAGATTCTCGGTGAAAGGCAATGCAATTAGTATGTGTCTGTCCCTCCTGCATGGAAACCTTCAAGCCTGCATTCCCCATACCTCCCACAACGCCAAGGAGGCCATATTTAACACACGATCAGTCACCGGCGGCGCCGGTACCCTCGCCCTCGAAGCCGCGACAGCCCTCCTCGAACACGGCGTCTCAGGCCTCGCCTTGTGGGACCTCAACCCTGACCAATCCCTCCCCGCCATCACCGCCATCCACAAGAAATTCCCGCACGTTAAGATCATCACGGAAGCCGTCGACGTGCGCGACGAAGCAAAAATCGCCTCCGCCCTCGCCGACACCGTAAAGCTGCTCGGCAGCGTCGACATCCTGTGCTGCTTCGCCGGCGTTGTCGGCTGCACACACGCCATCGACATGGCTGCCGACGAGTGGCGCCGCACCACCGATATCAACCTTACAGGCAGCTTTCTCTGCGCGCAGGCGTTTGCGCGTCAGGTCAAGACACAAGGAACGGGTGGCAGCGTCGTATTCACTGCAAGCATCTCCGCGCATCACACCAACTACCCGCAGCCCCAGGCCGCGTATAACGCATCCAAGACAGCAATTCTGAGCCTAACCAAGAGTCTGGCGGCTGAATGGAGCGGGTTGGGGATTCGCGTGAATTCGTTGAGCCCCGGGTATATGGATACGATACTGAATGAGGGCGATGGGCTGAAGAGGGCGAGGGACACGTGGAATAGTCGGAATCCCTTTGGGCGGATGGGGCATCCGTGGGAGCTGACGGGGCCGTTGGTCATGCTGGTCAGTGAGGCGGGGCGGTATGTCAATGGGACTGATATTATTGTTGATGGTGGTGCAATGGTGTTTTAGAGATGATGGGAGGTGTAGGATCGAGCGGTTAGAGGGATGGCTTGATGACTGGTATTTGAACTGAGTGATGCATTGGCATATAGAGGACATGAAAAGGATAGACCGGCTGGTGAGCATCACTCCTGGCTTGTTAGGAACCAAATCAATTGTAACGGGCCCACTCGCCCGTAAATTCAAAGGAGAGTGTTGCTACGGAGCTGTCCTCGATACCAAGGTGGGTTTGTTTGAGATGGCATTTACATGTGTAGGCATTGGTCGGATTTGTTTCTGAACTAAGAAGCTAGGTGGTCCACCTTCAAGACCCATCACACATCACCTGCACGTATCATCAACTCTCAAAATACAATCCAGCGCCTTTGGTGATAGCTGCGGGGGCTTGAGTCGGCCGGGAAGTGGGGGTTCCGACGATATTGGTCAATTGACCAGGTCTCAAATCAAAGCCTAGGAGAAGGCGACTAACAGGAAGGCAGACTTTCTGAACAAATTCGAGCACGAGCTGAGTTACTGATGACGTGTCCTCCATCCAGAAGCACAACAAGAGCTTCACCGAGTGTTGGAGACGGCGGACGGCGATCGATTGAGCCAATCGACTGCTCTTCCATAGTGTACAACTCCTTGACAACACCGAGTAAATGGACAGACGTCGCCATACATCGCCGAGTCACTCGCACAATCTTTATTAGGCTATTTTTCCACTTTCAGCTCCGAGAAATTACAATTTTTTGCGTGGCTTACCCCACGATCCCTGCAAACGACGCGCTTCGTTCGACTCGACTCAACCCGATACCACCGCCGTCAAAAGCCAGGGATGCTCCGCCTCCACCCTGTGTAACGCCTAGTACGGGCAGCTTCACGGTGTACTGGATGCTCAGAAGTGTACTTTATGACCATTGGGCCGTCCACACGACCTCTTAGCACGGCACGCACACTTTCGGAGTTGTTGCGCAGTTTGAATATAAGTCTTTCTATTACTCCTGATTCTACACTCGTTCACTGCCACCATGCCGCCCGATACTACTGTGTATCTGCTGAAGTTCATTCTAGTGTGCTTCATACTGAGAGTACGAAATTGCGCTCCGCACACTTGCATAAGGCTGACACAAGCAGTGAATTCTTGTATACTCCTATCGCATCCTACTACACCCGGGACCACTTGCGGCGAAGCTTACAGATTGGTACTCCGCATACCACGCTCTTCAGCGAAACCTCCATGTTGTGACGTATGAGGACCATCAGAAATGGGGTAGGTTTCTTAGCAAGACTCTTCATATCGCACGAGCGAACCATCTGCTATAATGCAAGTGCCGTTGCTAGACAAGGCCCGAACAAGCTAGTCTTCGACACTGCACAAGTAGTTCATGGTAATGCACCACATTGATATCGCAGCGCGTAGTGCTGATTGTCTAGAGACTTTTATCGCACTGAGCGTCTGACAAAGTCTCGCGCCTATCTCGTCACGCACCCATCTCCATCCATGTACAATATATTCAATTGTAGACAAACGCATGCAAAGAGTCCGACGGCGCGTTGTTGGCCAAGGTCTGAATGACCGAGCGGCCCGTCAATTCGATCCAGTACTCCAAGACCAAGTCGAGATATACATCGAACAACTCCGGCGGGCAGCGCATGCTAACAAGCCCGGGGATATGAGCGTACAGTGCAAATTGCTTGCTCTGGACGTCAGCGGAGAACTAGGTTTGGACGCAGCGTCGACCTGCAGACCTCCACGATCGACCATTGGCTATTGGACGCTCTGGCGACCTCGCTCTTACGTCTCAACGTATACATACAGTTCCGGCCGTCAAGTACAGCGGTTGGGAGAGAGTGCTGAAGCCAGTCCTGTTACCAAAAGTCAATCGGTTGCACAACAAATCGTTGGGAAGACGAAAGATCTACCATTATCCATATGTGAATCCACTTAATATGTTTAATAACCTGATCACAGCTATGATCGATAAACGCCTGTCGATGGAGGAGAACGCAAAGCCGGATCTGTTTGCTAACATCTCGGACTACAAGAATCCAAGAATCCAGAGGCTGGGGCTGGCTTGAACGGGGGGGGGGGGAACGAACTGTGGTCTGAAGCCACGTTTCTCATTCAAGCAGGTGAGCCGGCTCTGGGATCTTCGGCTTCGAAGCAGCTACTGAGAGTTCGGTAGGCGGCGAAACAGTAGCTTCCCTGTTGGCAGCTACCATTTGTACTGGTCCCGATACCCTAAAGTCCACGGGCGACTGGTCGCGCGCTTATCAGCCATTCACCCAGCCGAGGCAAAATCCTACGTCACCATGTAGGCGGGCGCTTGCGGCAGTGAGCAGTCGCGTCTACGGGGCATCAGGTCAGCCGTGGTAGTGGAGAGGTGCATCTCATGTGTTTCGTCTTTGCACACAACTACTGATCATGCCCCAAAGCTTTTGCAGTGTACATGTGACGGAGAATGGGCAATCTCAAGTTCCTACACATCACATTTGCCTCATCGTTCCGTACGACAATGAAGAATGGTGAGGCTCGCAACAATGATTCCGCAGGGATGCTGAACAAGAAAACCACTTCAACCGATAATGACGGCCAGCACGGTTTATACAGTGCGTCGTTGGAGATAAAGAAGCTGCAAACGATCTATGACCCTTTGTCCAACATTCACCGTGACAGCCAACCTATCTATCTCACTGGCGTCCCAATTGTGGTGAAAGGGTCTTTGATTTGCGAACTGCAGATAAAGAGAATGTTCGGCTCATTGAGAGCACGCCGGTTATGTTTGTGTACTATAAGATATATCTATCTCACATCAATGTATCCTCTCCTCATCACCAACGACGTACCCCCTCGCGATCCCACTCCTCCCCTCCTCCATCTTCGCAGCATTACCGCTCACACCATTCTCCTCTTCATCTCTGTAATCGCTTCCTAGACCTTGCCATGTCCTCTTCTCGCGTAGGAACTCGGCACCAGGCGACACCACGCCGCCGATTTGTGTCAATTCGCCGTTCGCGCGCTTCATCAGCGCGCTGCTTGCGGGTGTTGCCTTCCCATCCTGGATCTGGGACTTGGACCGGTGGTTGGTCTTCGGGGCAGTGGTCCGCATCGGCCGTGAATGCGACACATAGCGCCCAGTCCTGAGATCGAACTCTGGCGGCGCAGATTCTTCCTCGGAATCATACTCCCCATCCGCACCCTCACCGCCATTCGTCGCCTCCTCATCCAACCCAGTGCTCGCTTCAACGCCCTTATTGTCCTTCTTTGGTCTACTCTCCTCCTCGTCCAACACATTCTGAAAATCCGCCTCCCACCGCCCCGTCCAGACCCTACTATCATCGCTCTGCAGCGCGATCCCCAGCTCAAAGGGCGTAATCAGCGGCCGCCAGAAGTCCTTGCTCTCGATCAGACTGCTCTCCCAGCACCCAATCACAACCCAGCCGCCCACCTCGCTGAAATTCGCCACTTTCGCGGCGTTGACCTTGCCCACGACGAAGGTGTACGCTTTCTTGCCCGCCGCCGCGATCTGCGCCTGCACGTGCGCCAGGATGTGCATGTAGTTTTTGACGCTGAGGGTGTTGATGAGGATGCCGAAGACGGAGGCGGAAGAGAGCGAGGTCAGGAGGGCGTAGCGGCGGCGCAGGGCGAGGGAGGTGGAGGCCAGGGTTGCTGAAGGTGCGGGCGTATCGGTGGGGTAGATGTGTGTTGATGCGACGCGGGAGGAGAGAGTGAGGAGGAGGGAGGGCGGGGGGTCGGAGATGTGGAAGAGGGCGTAGTCGCTGATTGCGTCTTTTGCGGCGTCTGCTTCGGCTGGAATGGTGCGGTTGGGTAGCAGACTGCTTGGATTGTGTACGATGCCAGTCGCGAAAAGCTGCGAATAGCCGTCGGAACAGAGGCGAGCGTGGAGCGTGGGGACGTGGTGTGAGTACGGGATGTCGGCCATGAGGATGATCTTTGTGTCCTTTTCAGGGTACGTCTGCTTGAAGGTGGATATGACAGGGTCAAGATCTAGTTCCCGCTCCGTAAACACGTATATGACGGGCAGTCGCGAAGGCGGCGACAGGCAGGAGCGGCCGTAGTGCACAACGACGTCGGCATCGACGTGTTCGGCCGCGACCTCATCCACGCAGCATGCACCGTACGACGTGTCTGCCAGGATGAACAGTCTTTCCTCCTCTTCGTGCTTCTCCGCGTTTATGCCCATCGCAAGCATCTTCTCTGCAACCTCGCCGTCAGCCTTCGCATTACCACCAGGCCCATCTACGCCATCAGCGCTCCGTGCACGCACACTCTTCAACCCCTTCGCCAGCCCCTCGTACACCCGCGGCGCATCCACCAACATCCGATCCGGAAACTGCAGTGCAATCCTCTTCCATCTCCCTTCCTTGATTTCCTTCACCGTTCGCTCGATCTCGTACGTGAGCGCCACCTGCTCATTACTCAGTCTCGGCAAGCTCGAGGTATCGACCGTAGGGGTAGGGTCTTCGAAGATGTGCGTGTCGGGCGTGGACAGCACAGGCGCTGTTTCGGGCGCGTTTGCGGCCATTGTTTGTGCAGGCGCGCGATTTGGAAATGTGTGTTTGGCGGGGTCGAAACTTTCTGAGCGCGCGCGAACGAGGGGCAAAATCATGCGAGGGGCGTTAGTCAGCGGGAATGGGCTACCTCTTGGTTCAAAAGGCATGGTGACTGCATTCTTTGAACTATTCGTGAGTTTGTGGGTTTTTGTGCTGCATGTCAACTGCGCAGTAGATGGCTCTGCCATTTCAACAGTAGGAAATCGTGCCCTTCCGCCCGTTCTCCCAACTCATGCCCGGCCCAAGACCTCAAGAGAAGCAAGTCAATGCGCCCTGAGTCTGCTGTCCCGTCAAGAGCTGGATCCCTTTCCCAGCCTAGAAAAGCCTGAGCACTCTGCGTCTGGCATTCCCCTTGCCCTTTCCCACGCCCTGAGCAGCAACATTATCCTTGCCCTTGCCCTTGCCCTTGGCATCAGGAGCTGTCTCGTTGGCAGGCGGTGGCGGAGGAGCACCAGAGGGCCTATGAGACAAGTCAGCACTCGTTACCATGTTATAGCCTTCAGATGCACGTACGCAGCAGGAGGTGCCGGGGGTGCAGCAGCCGTGCCACTGGCGGCGGGCGGTGGTGGAGGAGCACTAGCCGTACCCTTCGCAGCAGGAGGCGCCGGAGGAGTGGCGGCAGCGAGTGCAGCGGTCGTTGCGGTGCCTTTACCTTTGCCCTTGCCAGCTGGCGGAGGAGCTGGGGCAGTTCCGTTGGCAGGAGGTGGTGGCGGCACACCTGAGGGTCTGGAGCAAAGATGTCAGCAGTTATTGCTTTCTCAGATGTCTGCAGATTTACTCACGCAGCAGGCGGAGGCGTAGCGGCGGCGGCGGCAGTCCCGGTACCTTTACCCTTTCCTTTTCCCTTTCCCTTTCCCTTTGCATCCGGGGGAGGTGCAGAGCAAGCGGGAGGAGGAGGAGGAGGAGGAGGAGCGGTGCCATTGCCCGGAGGTGGCGGCTTAGAAGAACCGTTAGTCCTCTCTTTGGAAATGAATCCGCTACGCCGTTGAGAACATACCGGAGCACCAGACGCCGCAGGTGGAGGTGGAGGAGCAGTTCCGTTGGCTGCTAGGCCAACGGGGTCAATTGGCGGTGGCGGTGGTGCACCAGATCCTGCCGGAGGAGGTGGTGGAGGTGCCGTGCCGTTGCCAGGAGGAGGTGGTGGTGGTGGTGCACCAGACCCAGCCGGAGGAGGCGGCGGGGGCGCGGTGCCATTGCCAGGAGGTGGCGGCTGGCATTGATATCAGTCTTCCTCCAATATTCCCTTTCATCTCAATGAGAACGTACTGGAGCACCACACGGAGGCGGCGGCGGCGGCGGAGCAGTCCCATTTCCATGGGCTGGCGGAGCAGCACCATTCCCCTTGCCCACAGGAGCTGGAGGTGGTGTAGGAGCTCCAGTTCTGTGAGACGTTAGAGAGGGATCGCAGAAGGACCGCGCAATCGTGGTCTATGGATTTGAGGTCACATACGCAGGAGCCGGACCACCGGTAGGTGGCGTCGGTAGCGCTCTAGTAGAAGCCGCTGGCGTGGATATCGTCGAAACTGAGCGCTTTACGTTCCCCTTCGGAGCCTCGAAGTCGATAGCGAAGCCCTGTGCAAGCGCGGACGCAGCCAGGAGCGTAAGAACGACCTTCATGTTGAACAAGATGCACAGAAAGTATTCGATCTGACTGGATTCAAAGGAGCGTACAACGCCTAAAAGAGCGGAAGACCAGCTTCGAAAGAAAAGAACGAATCGAAGTGTGGTGAATTGAAAGATAGCCGACCAGATGCCTTGCTCCAGAACATACTGAGGTGGTAAGGCTACCCTTTTGTAGTTGTCCCCAACACGGCCTGTCACCTTTCATCATGAGGCTAAGCTATACTCGGATCGGCGACAGATCCCGTTTGGTGCTCTTCTGCTGGCATGCGGGTGCTCGCTCCCGCGCCCCAAGTCATTCCATCATATTCCGAGCTTATGTTCTCGAACAGCATAAACGATCTGGTGCCGCGCTAGGCAAGTCAGCGATACCACTTCTAGTAATTCACAGGTTTGACACTGTTTTTTCAGTGGGGCTATTTTGTTTTTAGGCGAAGGCTTATGGTATTGTTATGCGTTGTGTGTGAAAAACTGGGTCGTGGCTTCATGCGATCTCTGTATCGGTAGGGTTTCAGAACAAGTTCTGAACAACGAGATCATCAGAAACTGCCAAAACACGGGAAGAGTCGCTAAGAATAGACGGTTTGGCATCGACTAAATATGGATGATAATCTATCAGAGAACGGACAAGTCTCGACACAGTCGCAGGTGTTTGCAACCAAGTCGGTTCTGGACGCCAGGCGCAAGGCAAAAGGAACCCCTCCAAACCGCGCTGCCCACACTGACATCAACGCCAATCCAAGAAATGCCGCTCGATGAAAATCGGCGCCCCAGAACGCCGCCATACTCGTATTGTGCCTTAGGCATGACTAGGGACCGATTTCGTCTCGCCTTCAGCAATCGCCCTGAACAGCGGCCCCATATAGTTTCTAAGCGTCAAATTGTGCGCCATTACAAATCCAAGCTGTTCTTTCACGGGCGTGAAGACCCTTGGGACCCAGCCTGCAGACCTCGCTTCCTGTTCGTCCTGCTCATCCCTCAACATCTCCCGATCTCTATTCTCCCGCGCGGCGTCGCTCAGCCTCGGCTTCTTTCCGCCAGTGCTTCGCCGATGATCCGGACTAGACTCGCTAAAGGTACGTTTGTGTACAGGCGAATCTGGGATTTCATGTACAGAAGAGGGTGGTGGAAGCTTTCCAAGTTGACGCGCAAGGTTCCGAAGCACAAGGATGGATGATAGTGGCAGACCAGCAGCATCACTGGTCTCATCGGTCACTGTGTTGTAGTACCTGAAATTGGGCGCAGGGGTTTGAGCGGGCATCTGGACTGTCGGGACAGGCCGGTCGCCGTTTCCGTACTTATCGTTGTGTCGTGCTCCCATGCCCAAGCTACCCAGGCCCACAGGCTGGCTGAACTGGGGTTGGAAGTTCTCATGGCGGACTTGCGCGGACGAAGTGAGTGGTGTAGAGTTCGACGGTGTACGATTATGCTTCGCGTGGACGGCATGTAGAAGGCCAGTATCAGGAAGGTGCGTCTTGATGTGCTGGCCAGCTTCGTACGCAGACTCTGTGCCGGCTGCGTCGAAATGCGTGCACCCACCCCAATGGCAGAAGTACTTGGGCGGCTTGGAAGTGCTTATTGCGTCGCCATTCTCCATGTCGATGTCAGGCTTTTGCTCCAACAGCCATTTCCCTGTCTCGTCGTCCCGTGGCACTTTGAGATGCGAAGACACTACATGTTCCCACATGGCTTTGACGCCAGACGCAAACTCACCGCATTCGACTTTCGCGGACGAGTGCTTACTGTCGGAAACGCCATTCAGCAGGCTTGGTGGATGCCAGCAGCAGCGAAGGTATGGTTTCTTCGTCGCGGGGTCGACCGGGACCGACCGCGGGCGGATACCCTTGATCGTGTATTTCGGCGGACTGGTGGTCGTGATCACCTGGGCCTGCGCTCCGACAAACGTTGTGGACACATTTGTAATGAAGTCTTTTGCCGGCATGAGCTGTTTATAGGACGCGTTGTTCGGCATCATATCTGAGAAAGCCGCGTTGTAGGCAGTCCACAGCTGTATCTGGGTGATCTCGCCGGTGGGGTCTTCCTCGTAGCATGTCCGTAGCCACTGCGAACTGCGTTCGGGCTCGTCAAGAGTGACAAGCTGTTCTATTATGGCAGAAGACAACTTGGGTGCGTCATCCGCATGCGAAGTAGACTTCGAAGTCTTCGGACTGTTTCGGCGCTCTTCAAAGGCTTGAGCACCGAATTGGAGCAGTCGGACCAGCTGGCTCACGAGCACTTCCACGTCTATTTCATCGACCAGTATCTGGACATTGTCTGCGAAACCAGTGAAAATGTACAGGAAATCCAGGCAGGCAATTCGAAGCTCCTCATCTTCGACGAGTAGCCAGTCACAGATGGACTTGAGGATTTTGGTCGGGGCACCAGTGAGCTTATTAGTAGCTTCGAGGTTCATCGCAATCCGGCCTAGCGCTCTTAATGATGTTATGATCTTTCCGCGATCATCACAGTCAACCTGTGCAAGCAACGATTGGTACAAGGGACTTTGGGGCTCCATGTACCAGAACTTGGTTGTCTGCTCCAAGATTTCCAGTGCATAATGCTGCAATTCGTTCGTCGTTGGATGGCTTGGAAGGTTCAGCAATATCACAAGAAGATCTTTTGTCAATGGTATCGTTGAAACGAGGAAGGCATTTTCCTGAAGCATAACCATGTTCCGTAAGATGAGAGCTGCCTCGTTGATCATGTTGAGAGATTTAGCATCTTCATCCGGTAAGAGATCGTCCCGCCTATCCAAGATCTCCAGCGACTGAATGCGCCGCAGGAGATCCTTGGTCCCGCCGAGGCCGTTCAGGACGTTTGGTTGATCGAACTCTTCCTCGACATATGATACCTCCCATTGCACATCGAAGTACAAAGACGCGGCTTGTATAATCTTTTCGATGAGTGCCTCGGCTAGACCAGGGAATTGGTCAAACCTATACTTGTCGCCACGTTCGTGCGAAATTTTGACCAGGTGGTGCAGAGCATAAGCCTCCTCTTCAGGCTCCTTTGATCGCAGGGCATGAAGAGCTCTAATGTATATGTTCGGACCGGGAAAACCTGTACCAGGAAGCATCATGCCCTTGAGCGGCACGGGCCTGTTCTTCCTATTGAGGATATATTTCCTCTTCAGCTGATTGAAGTATTCTGGATTGTTCGACGGCGTGTTCACGGGCTTCATGTTAGAGGGCGCGCTGCTCCGCGGCTCGTAGTTGGCGATAGTCATGGCAGCTCCGCTGGTCCCGTAGACGCCGTTGGGTTGAGGCGAATTTACATGACCGGTAGATTGGCGGGTCTCTCGTCGCGAGACCTCTGGCTGGAAGAGGACTCGCTGCGGCGGAGCATGGCGGAGAGCTGGGGCACAGTTAGTGAAGGTCTTCCTCGTTGAAAGGGCCACATACAACGCCGTCCCAGACTTCCGGGGTCGTCCACGTCCATCTTGTTATCGCGCGGGGTCTTTGACTCGCCGTCGCCTTCCGAATCGTCAGACTCGTCGTCGCCACGCAGCCGCTCTGTTTCCCGGCTGGCAGGACGGAAGTAATTCTCGGCGGTGCGGGTCAACAGGTCGCCGCCTTTCGCAGACACGTCTTCCAGGATTTCTTTGGGTGGGGGTTCGCGCTTGTGAATGGTGGATATCTCGTAGGCACTGTAGCACGTGTTAGGCGCGTGCGCGCAGCAGTATGCAGTGTGTAGCGTACGCGAGGTTCTTGTAGTATGCCGTCTTGACTAGAAACGCTTGCGTGGTCAGGTTCGCGCTGCCGGGGAGGAATTCGCCGGCCAGACGTCGCCAGGCAAGCTTGTTGCCCTTGGTGTCGGAAACCTTGTCGTAGCCGCCCTCTGCGTTGACGCGCTTGTACAGGCGCAACAGGTCGATGTGTCGGCTGCCGATCTTGGGTTCGCGGTCGAGGATGGTCCTACGCATGACGGTTAGCACGGCTGCGCGCTGCAATGATGCGCAAGCAGAGTACAAACCCTCGCTTTTCGTGGTATTCTGCTAGTTTGTCCAGGAACTCTTCATATTCGGTGGTGCGCTCGATTGATTCTTCGCGCGGCTGTTTGTCCTTGGGCGCCATGTAGGGCACGCCTTCCTAGGGGCTTGCTCCTTGAACTCGCTGAGGCATTAACGGTTAGCGACGGGGGCTGTATGCGCAATTGCTCGTGCGGAAAGCTCGCGGGTGATTGCGCGCGGCGCGTTCGCGGTGGTGATGAACATCAGAATGCAGCTCCGAAGTTCCCACCGCGCCTGCTTGTCTGGGTGTGCACGGGCCGCTGCGCACGTGACTGACTCCTCCTTATCCTACTACGCGTCGCGCATTCCTTGCCTTCGTCCCAACAGTCTTCCTTCACTCTACAACTCAAGTGCTGGGACGAGGGAGCATCCTCAGAGGACCGCCATTGTTTGATCGCATAATAACCTGCCGACTAACCTACAGCATGCTGACCTTCGACTTAGCAGCTTTACACACACAGGATGTATTGACAGGAGCGCCCGCACCAAAAGACGGGTGGACGAAGCTGACAAATGCGCTCGTGGTCGTATTTGACACCTTTCGCTCGCGCGAGGAGCCCTCAGTTATCATGAAAATCTTACAAGCGTCGCAAGTGCTGGTAAGCTATGTCGGAAACACAGAATCTTCGGCATGGTGTAGTCTACGAAAGCTAATTCAGCGGATCAGTATGACATACCGCTTCAAGATTTGATTCAACGTGGAAAGCCTGTCGTAGACAGGCTACATCGTCAAGGCATCGATGTGTCGAGCGAGGCGGCGCAACTACCCATCTCTGGCATGGCCAGCACTCCGTCTCTGGCCCTCAGATACAACGTGCCCGAGGCAAACAAGGTGATCTTGGGACGTGGCTGGGTAGTTGATCATGTCTGACAGGGCCGACAGGTTCGTCGCATTCAAATCAAGTTCACATCGCCTCAAGACTTCGATGCTGCTTATGACCATGTTCGTGAGCTAGGTCTCTGGTTCACGCCAACACAAAAGGCTCGATCTGTATCACCTGTGCGCAGTGGTCCATCGTGCCCCCCTTCTCAACTCTCAGAGATCACTGGCCGCTCTGGTACTGCTGTGCCTTCTTCAGCAGCGAACGACGCAATAACTGGGATACGCCCTTCGACAGCCTCGTTCTTTAGTTCAACCTCCACGGCTAGTTCTCGAAGACCTGATTCTGCTGCAGCTGTGTCTCCTTACGATCCGACTATCCGTTCACCATTGTCAGCCCGTCCGGATACTGCCAATTCGATCCTCGTGTGTGAGCTTCCTCCTCGACGCGAGCTGCCCTTTGAGAGACTTGATACAGCAGACTCGACTGGAAAAAGCAGTACCAGACCGGGCAGTCGACCGCTCAGCGGAGTCATGGGCCCACCTACCTTGCCTGCAGCAGCACGTGCAGGTACCAAGAGGCCTAATTCGAGAGCTGGGAGCAGCCACAGCACTGAGCTCCCGCCCCTGCGGAAGCCGACATATATCAGCAAGGCACTCACGTCTCAGCCGGCTAAGCTGGATGTGGGTCCAGGGTCTGCTCTGAATGCCAGGGACATGGTGCGACCTCAATCCGCGATCCCCCAGAATGACTATACCGCGATGCAACATATGATGAGCTCAGCTCCAGTCTTGACACCAAAAACTCCGCGGCCGGCAAGCAGCTACAGCACCGCGACTATGGAAACGCTTGGGATCTTGCACAACAACAACAACAACAACGACGACAGCCCGTTAGAGACGTCAGCCGCTCTGGGAACCCCTCCTGGATCGGATATGAACATGCTTGAATCGAGCCCCACGGAGCACCAGGGCGACAGTGGACAGCACACAGAGGAGCTTGCGACATACGCCCAGCAGTCGAACGAATCACGCCTGAACGACCTTAACAACTTCATCTTCCAGCATCTACAAGATGACAACTTTCTCACTTTGGTTGACGATATGCAGATGACATGGGCTCGGATTGGGACAGGACTTGAGTGAACACGGGCATTGTCACGGAGCTGCGTTTCAGAACGCGGCTTATGAGTTCAGTGTTTGCCACGAAAAGCAACATATCTACGACTTTGCGATTCCAGCATCGACAATCTTCGCATGCCATTTCGCGTACTCGCATTAGCGCACAGAAGTCGTATTTACGTACCCTATGTCTTGAGAGGCATGATGTATTAATGGCCATATTTGAGTGATAGCAATATAATCTTAGTCTCAACATTGATGTACAACAATGTGTACGCTAGAAATCCAATCTGAGATGACGATTGACATACTACGTGACCATCACCTTATTATTGCACTCTTATACACTCCACATCTACAGCTCCCCATCCTCATCCTCTTCAACCCACTCTTCCGGCGGCGGCGCCGGAATGCTAAACTCATCCAAGCTCCCCACCCCCCATTGACTCTCGCCCTCAGCATATTTCTCGAATACAGGACTACTCCACCCGTCCATCGTGACCCTCGCCGGACTAGGGAAACTACTCGGAATAAACAGCGTCGGCGGCGGATGGCTCGCGTCGGGGCTGCTCATCGGCAAGCCGAATGCCCGCAGCGACTTGGGCGTCGTCGTCGCGCTTCTGTCTTGCCGGTGTCGTTTCGGCGTCTGCGTCGCGCTGCGCGGGAACATGTGCTCTATCTTTACTTTTGGCTTCTGTGGTGTCGTCTTCGGTGAGATCTGCGTCGGACCTACGGTGGTAGCTTGGCTGACGTGGCTGAAGTGCATGTCCGGGAGGAACTGCGTCGAATGGACCTTGGGAAGGGGCCGTGGCGTTGCCTGGTAGCTGTAGTGCGAGTCGTGTGCGACATGCATGCTTGAGGGGAAGGGGGCGGGGCGGCGGTACTGTGAGTATGTCTGGTATTCGGAGTGGAGTTGTTGCTCTGCTTGGCTGGAGTGGGAGGGCTCGGGACGGAGGTGGGCTGGCGGTGAGCGAAAGACTTGTATGTCGGGGTGGCGTAGGGCTGCTGGTGTTGCGGTTGGGACGTCGTCGAGGTCTTCGGATGGTTGGTCGTCGTCGAACATGGGGATGGTGGAATTGGTTCTGAAGTCCTCGACTGGTGATGATCTGAGCTGCTTGGTAGGTGTCGAAGGTTGCGAGGCAACCGCGGTAACTGGCTCATCTGCTTCTTCTGGTGTTTCATCTTCGGCAAACATCATAGTTGGCGATTGTGTCCTGAAGTCTTTGATTGGTGGTGAGGACGGGAGCTGATGTACAGTGGTTGGCGTAGTGGGGTTGTCAGTAAACAAACCAGGCTCTTCGTTCGCAGCCGCAAGCTCGCACGGCTTGGGTGAGGAGAAAGGCAGGGGCGGTAGTTCAGACACCTCCGAAGATTTCTCATTAGTACTTGATGATGCTGGATGAGACGGCGATTGTAGTCCAAGCTCCTGTGAGGCCTCAGCATCGTAGCGGTCGATCGGCTCTCCAAGTTCTTCCGACTTTTCCCTGCCTGCCTGCACAGTATTTCGCGGTGGGTTCGCACATGCCCGGTCAATGTCGAGAAGCATAGCTTGAGTCTCTTCTCCTATGTCGGCTCCGCTGATCAGACCGTTCGCATCTCGTGGTCGCGCTTGTGTGTCCTGTCTGACACCATCAACATCAAATTGACCGTCGCTTTCGCTGAGGTCTCCAAGCTCATCCTCAGAGTCTGGAATCGTGCTTGCAAACTTCCTCAACGCGGGAGGTGGTATCTGCTCCTGCGGGCCGTCTTGGAAGGTAACTTGCTTGCGCTTTGATGGTATATCTGCTCCTCGCTTGGATGGTGTTTCTGCCATTCTCAGCACATTTACAGAGCGTGGCTTCAGCGGTCGTCGACCAGATCTTTGTGGGGTGTTCTGGGTGGAAAGCAGGGTTTCGGGTGGTGACTGCGAGGACGCAATCTCGAACACGCCGCGTTTTTCAGGCGTGGATAAGAGTCCAAACCGAGTCTTAGGGGACGCGCTTGCCGGAGATTTGGAAGCTGGGGTGTCTCGAAGGCGGATCGACGATCGGAGAGGCGTGCGTCTCGATTTCTTAGCAGGCGCCTCGATGAACTGTGTAGGCTGGTATTCGTCTTCGCCGCTGTCATCTTCCGCGACTTGAAATGATCCTTCGACAATTGATAATGTTCCTTCCTCGACAAATTCAGCCGGAGCATGCCGCTCAGCACCTGCTTCTTCTTCATTCCCATAGATGAAGCTGTGATAAGCGGCATCCACCTCTTCATCGGTTTCGCTTCCTTCAACCTCTTCGTCAGAGTCCAGGACCAGTGGAGTCATAGTATGGACCATCTGCGTCAAGGTTCGCTGCTTCACATCCTTCTTTGTGTCCTTTTTGTTGCCCTTGCCACCCCAGCTTGTCCGTGGCGTCCGCTTGAAGGGCTTGAAATCTGGCTCGATCGATCCCGGCCCAGGCGAGCGCCCATCCACAATTTGTGTCATAGTAGACTGCCTGCGGAGCCTCGGCTTGGGTGCTACTTCCTGCTCGGTTTCGTCGCTGGCTTCGCTTTCAGGCACTTGCGCAACAGCAGCAGCGGCTCGTCTTCGCTTTGTAGATCGCTGCGCCGTATCAACCAGCGCATCCTTCCGTCTCCGCTTCGGTGTCTGTTGCACAGGGTCCTCCTCGCTATCCTCCTCTACCTTCACCATCTCACACATAACGTCGCTGTTGCGCTTCTTCCCTGCCCTCTTTCTCTGCACCTCCTCCACGTCCTCGTCTTCCACCGACTCTCCGCCCTCATCGTCCGAATCCTGCACCGTGCTCCTCCTCCGCATCATCTCCGGCAGAAACTTCATCTGCTTCTTGCCACCGTCATCGTGCGGGTCGGGGCGGCGCACAACCTTTCGCCAGTGCGGGAAGTGCTGTTGGTGAGGCGCGGCCTTCTTCGAAAAGTAGGCTTTGAAATTCGCAGTCTTGTTGCCCGAGCGCGTGTTTGGCATTGTGCCAGTAGGTGTGACCGTACTGTTCGGGGCGTACGTACGTACTGTACGACGTACTGTATAGGTCACGATGCGCGTCGCGTAATGGACGCGTCGAGATTTAGACTAGTGCGTCATCGTCGCTTTGGGACTGGATTAGGCAATGGCAACGCGTTCGTACACTATAGACAGCCGATTTGCACAAGACTTCGATGTAATGCAATTTTTTACGGCGGAGAAATTTCAGCTGCATTTTGTGATCATGTATGGGGTGAAACCCCATAGTACAGTAAGAAGCCACGCCATTTCTGTCGAAGCCATTGCTATTCACGTCCAAAAGATAGCTTTGGGCACCTATCAGATTAAGTTGATTGTATGTCTCTTGTTACATCTGTATACCCCGATCTAGAAGCATCAAGTGTCGTCCATCAACCAATCCGGTTCAGCATCCTCATCGTCAGGATCCTCAAGCGGCAATGACCCTGCATCTGAGGGCGAAGAAGTCGGCAATGACGGCTCTGCGAGCTTCGTCAATGTCCCAACCTCAAAGACAGCCCGGACCTCGTTTGCCTCAAGCACGGTCTTCTCAGACTTGTCCGGCTCTGTGTGCACATCTGCTTCGATAGGCTGTCGCTCCATCTGCTCATATGGCATGTCGACCTCAGTCTTTTCGAGATGCACATCCGACAGGAGACCTCCACCCAGATCAACCGGATCATCTTTTTGCACACGCCCATCTTCATGAACTGGGCTGTGCGTGGATTTGCTTGTTTTAGGTGGCGGTGAACCGCGGAGGAATCCACCGCCGTAGTCATCATCGTCTTCCAGCACCAGGAAGCTGCTCTGTCGCCTAGGCAGAAGCTGCTGCTGTGATAGAATAGCGCTGCCAAAATTTTGCGACTCTTCTCGTTCGAGTCGTTTTGGATGGCTTTCAACGTCATCTGGTATGAAACCGTCACTCGCATTCTTGTCTTCATCGCGATCAAAATCACCATCAAAGCCCCCAATATAACCCTCGCCCTGGGCTGGGGGCTCGTAGTACCGCACAGGAGGGTCCGTAGACTCGCCTTCCTCGGGGAAGAATCCGCCAGCGAATGCGTCTGCCTTGATTCGCTGGTCTTCCTGCTCAACTTCGTTTTGCACATCGACTTCTGGTGTTTCGCCATCATAGTCCTGTCCCTTTATTCTCTGTACGATCTTGAGACCAAGGAAGAAGCGTCTCCATAGACGCATAGCTTCTGCTGTACGATGCTGCTCTTCGACCATTTCCACCGAATATTCCAAACCGTCAATGACTGCTTCGACTGCTTCAGCATACTCCTGCGCGACAACAACACCCTGTACAACGGCTGTACCATGGCGGCCCTGGAATTTAAATCCGGTAATTGCTTCAGCATAGTCCACACCTACGATACGAGCAGCTCTCGAAGCTAGCTTGTGGCGTATATGACGACCGCCAGGTGGGCACATGGAAGGAACGTAGAGGTCCAAGTTGCCGTAAGCGTTCCTGGGGACACGTCCACGAACGACTGGGGGCGGTATGTAGATAGATGTCTGATACTCTGCATAGAGCCCAGCACCAATGTCATCTTCTTGATCATCCATAGTCATATCCGGGCCAATCGACGGCCTTCTGACTTTCTTAGGCTTCGCATGCTTCAATGGTTGCTCGCCGTCTTGCACATCCCTTCCAAGTCGGTACCATTTGTCTGCGCTCCGTACAAGGTGAACGTCCTTTCGACGGTAAATCGGCTCCATCTTCGGTTTCAAAGATGACCCTACATTGACCTTGCCAACTTGATTGAGCGGGTAGATGACCTCATTGTGCCGCAGATGTCGCTCGAGCACGTAGACTGGATGATCCTTGAAGTCCTGCACGGCTTTTGGTATGCCTTCAGCAGCCTCTCTGCGAGCCAGTGCCGCATCCTCAACCTGGTCTCGGTCCAGTCCTTGCTTACGCTTCCAGAAGCCCATGACTTGTTTCCACCAGTTTTCGCCGTGCTGTGTGCTTTCGACTCTGAACTTTCGCGTTTTTGCATTGTACGCTTTAGTATATCGCCGTGTGACGTCTTTTGCAGTGTAGTCATCGTCGAATGCAATTGCATAGGTCAAAGTGTTGTATGCTGAATTGAGTGGAGGTTCTAACTTCTCAGGCTGGTTGATCGTAAACGTGGACAAAGGATCAACAGGTACCCATTTCTGATGTATATTGTTGAAAACTTCTACCCAGTAAACAGGATATTCCGTATGGTACTTCTTCCTTTGCTTCGGAGCAACACCGGCGCTCAGAGCAGGATGGCGCTCACCAAGAGCTCTTTCGAGTCTCGACTTGGGTTTGCGCGAGGAAGCTGAGGCTTTTTGTCTGGGTGGGCTAGGGCTTTGCGTATTGAATGGATCTAACGTGATGATAGTCTTCGTCATGTCTGGCTTCTGCGGAGTGGAAGGTTGCGCTGCCGATGCAAAAGGGAGACACTGCAATGAGCATACGAGCCGGGCTTCAAGCCCAACGCCACGGATGAGAGCGCAGAACAATTGTGCGCCCACGTCTTGAGATCCTTCTAGTTTAGATGCAGCAGTGCGAAAGTCTTCGAGCTCCATAGGATCGTCAAATTCGTCAAAGTCAGAGGAGGGGCGAATCTCCGCGTCGGTGTCGGCCCACCGTGGTTTGTACATGCCCTTTGCCGTCGCGGTAAAGCGCCTGGACCACAGAATTTTCAGGTCCGCGATACCTGCTAAGAACTGTTTCGACGCTTGGAATTGCGATAGATTCGGATCTGGCACGAGATTGGCAAGGACCTTGGGAGAGAGCACGTTTCTCACGGTCGCCTGCACGATGCGGTCGTTGCACCAAGCATTTCTACGGTGAACATGGTACAGTAGGCACATAATGTGCCATTTGTGTATGTCAAGCCTTTTCTTTTTGTCCACAGCCGTTATCGCTCTCCTTCGCACTTGTCGCTTGGTCTTGCTCCCAACGTCGTCCTGGTCTCCGATAGTTATCGAGATGTCGTTTATTACGGGCTCGTCGTGCGCGTCAAAGTCGCCGCCATCTGCCATAGCATCCTCCCATTCCATATCACTGTCGTCAGATTCATCCGAGTCGATGATCGTTTGCCGCGTACTAGGCGGGGTGCGCACATGGTTATTATGATCGCGTGCGCTTGGTGACGGTGACCTGACCGGGGGCGCAGAATGGGGAGGTGGAAGCTTCTGTGACTGTGCTTGCGATGAGGCTTTAGACAATGGTTCAAAAGGTTTTGTCTGCGGTGACCCGGCGCCGGGCGCGGGTGCGGGCGTCCCAACATCATGTCGCGTCTTGCGCTTTTTCAGCGGACGTGCTTCCTCGGCCGCAGCCTCCGACAGCATTTCTTGGAAGACAGCGGGGACATCTTCCGCGTGTCGTAGCGCGCTTGTACGGCGGCTCGAACGTCGTGGCGTGGAAGCGGGTGGTGCCTTGCGTAGTCTTCCACGCGCACGCGCCATGTTCACCGAACAGTATGGCAGTGGAGAAAGAAAGTGATGTTAGGACGCTTTCGAAAAGCGTAGCGTGTGTCCAGATGCAGTAAGGAGTTTTTCATCTCAGTTTCATATCCAAGTCAAGTAGAGGCGCGGTGATACAAGGAACAGCTGTGAATGCGGAGGGGACTGAACCAGTGAAAGCGATGACGCAACAGCCACGTGGTCACGTGCTTGGGCTTAGCGCGACGCCCTTCTACCGGCCGCCCTTGCCGCCGCAATGCCTTGCGCTGTCTTTCATTTATGTTGACAGTCAGTGTTTGTCAATCAGTCCCCAGCCTTTAACTTCATGTGCTAGATGTACGATTGTGGGACCTGACCAACGTGGACAGAACACTGGCACTTCTGTTGTGTTACTTGCGTCACGTCTCTATCACATTGACCGCGCAGAGCAAGAGACGATATGCTGGATTACACGCGCTCTAACGCACCACTAACCGGACGTATTCCTTCCCTCATATCTCATGCAGTCTATAGATTATTGGGTCATCAGAGCCCTACCACCGTTGTCGATTCGGTATGGCATCGATCTGCTATCGATATGTCACCGGAATGCTCGTCGTAGGCACATCACCCACTTACCCAGCGAATCACCGTCAATACAGAAGGGCCCTTGCATTGCATCCGCACCTTTGCAGACGGGTGCTACTCCCGTACCAGCATAAGGTATGATACGCATTTCGCGTAGTTTGGAAATATAACTCCCCGACTTCCAGACTAGTTTCGACAAAAGTAAAGACTAGGAGAGTAAAAAGGGAAATACCATCAGTCAGTCTCAATCTTGAAGACTCTTCTGGATTTGTGAACTGAATCTATCGCGCGTGGCATTGAGCTTTCTATTCTCGCGCAACGCGATATCTCCGCCACGCTCTTTCCCTGCGTGGTCCTGCGTTCACCATGGCTGCTGGCGGTTGCTGCTCGTCTGGCAAGTGCCAGGCAAGCTCTGCCTGGGACAGTGTTCCTCGAGCAGATCAGCAACAAGCTGCAGCTTCTCCGCATCCATCTTCAGATTCGACCATTATTCCGGAAAATTTCGCTAGCGACAAGCTCGAAGTACGCAGATATCTTGTGGGAAGTTTGTATATTTGAGAGGACTTATGAGCTTACTTACGGTAGAAGATGAGTTGTTATGGAATCTCACGTCAATCCGACAATTACGAGCCAGAAGAACAAGAAGAAAAGCGCATCACCAAAAATCGAACGATGCACTTGCAATCGAAGCGCCCCACCAATATGAAGCACATAGTCCTGAATATCGAAGGCCTCAAGTGTGGGTGTTGCGGTGACAGCGGAATCTCGCGTGCTCTTGAACAAACTCCTGGTGTCGAAACTTACCACGTCAACGTCGTCCTTGCTAGAGCCGAATTCGATCTAAATGTCCAGAAAACGACGGTTGGAATGGTCAAGAGAAAGCTGACGGCGGCCACGGGCTACACCTTCAAGCAGTACTTTCAGCCAGATGGGCAGGTCCTCGAGCTCGCTGTCGATGATCCCGCCGAAGTATACCAGGTATGTCAGAGCAATACAGACTCATTCATAGCTTATTCTTCAAGTAAACCTTTACCGGAAATCGAACCTCCATCGTGTCTTTGTGATCTGTCTATTTGTGGATCTTCACTGACATCACTTGTTATCTAGGCCGGCAAACCCTATGGTGTAGACTTCATCGAACAGAACCGCAGTTCGACCTGGGTCCCCCGCATTTTTAGTGGACGCAATAGCGCAGTTCCCCCAAACAGTCCCATAAACTTGCCGTCGCCCGCTCTAAAAAGACCAAATGTCAACAACGTGAGGGCTTCTCCACCAGATAAAAGACGAACGGGATTGCTACCGTCTCAGCATATGGTACGCATTCACTACAACGCCAAGTTAATCGGAGCGCGAGATGTTTTGCAATATTACCAGCAGTACACACAAGAGGAAATTCGGCTCGCCCCATCTGCTCCGCATCCTAGTCTTGCTGTCGGATTGAGACAGACCAAAAGTGCCTGTTTAGTATTTGCATTGGCCGCAACTTTCACTGTTCCAGTCGTCTTCTTTGCATGGGACCCAGTCAGCCACAGTAATCACATCTATGCGCACCTTTCTCTGGCATTCGCAAGCATCGTCCAGATGATTGCAGTACGAGAATTCTTCCCCGGTGAGCAATGCTTAGTTGTGTGATACGCTTCTACAATTACTGAAAGTCAAGCAGGCGCAATCAGAACCCTCATACATGCTCACATATTCGACATGGACTCTCTGATTGCACTTAGTACAAGTGTAGCCTATGTCTACAGTGTCATTTCATACACAAGAGAGGTCAAAGGGAGGCCTCTCGAGACCGGATCCTTCTTTGAGACATCGACCCTGTTGGTCACTTTGATCCTTCTAGGGCGAGTCGTCAGCGAATTTGCCCGTTCTAGGGCAGCGAATTCGGTCAGTGTTCCCGTTCTAGGAAAACCCATACACCTCTCCGAAACAAGCTTCCCGAGCCAACGTAAAGTTGCGGAATTGGGCCTTGACGAATCGCACCTGTCCCTTTCATAGTTTACGAGGTTGAGATCTGGTATTTGCTAATCAATTTGTTCAGGTGTCATTCCGCTCGCTTCAAGTGGACGAGGCCCTTCTAGTAACAGATTCATCATCGCCTAGCAACCCGGTTACTGACCTTATTGATGCTCGTCTACTACAGTACGGTGATGTGTTCAAGGTTTTGCCAGAGTCGAGGATCGTTACCGATGGCATTGTCATACAAGGTGGTTCCGAAGTAGACGAGTCAATGATTACAGGGGAAGCTTTGCCTGTTGCAAAGGGCCGCGAGTCAACCGTGCATGCAGGTACAGTCAACGGAAGCGGTCACCTCATTGTTGCTTTGGAAAAGCTGCCCCACGAAAATTCTGTCAGCAAGATTGCGACACTAGTTGAGAACACGGAGCTCACCAAGCCGAAAGCCCAGGCTATTGCCGACCGCGTTGCTTCGTGGTTTGTGCCCTCGATTATCTTTATTGCACTCTTAGTGTTCACCATTTGGATCCTTGTTGACAAGTAAGTCTTTCGGCCTACCCATATTCGCAATGGCGAGAAATTCGCATTGCTATTGTTTCTATGCAATATGATGGGATGACCTTCTCAACGGCAGATGTACTAACCCCCACTTTCATTCTAGTTATCACTATCACCGAAGTACCAGCTCTGCTGCAATCAAAGCCTTCACCTACGCTATAGCAACATTTGTTGTTTCTTGCCCATGTGCAATTGGCCTCGCTGTCCCAATGGTGGTACTCATTGCTAGCGGTGTCGCAGCCCGCTCGGGTATCATCTTCAGAGACCCACAGAAGCTGGAAACGACCCGCAGTGTCACTGACATAGTCTTTGACAAGACCGGAACACTGACGGATGGCGTCCTCACTGTAGAGTAAGGTCGCCCAGGCCATGCCCTCAACCACCGAACTAATACCAGTTTTCTCAGGAGAACAGCCTTCCATGACGCCACAGAAAAGGAGGTAAGAAGCCTTATATTAGGGCTCCTCGACGGCATCAAACACCCAGTCTCGATTGCGGCATGGAAATGGGCCCGCGGTACGTTCGCATTATTTCTCCTGGTCCGAGTGCTATATCCGAATTCTGCTAATTCGTCTTTGTAATAGCCCGAGACTTGATGAATACTCTACCGACACAGATGACCAGCATCCAGAGTATCCCGGGTGAAGGAATTCAGGGCATGACTGTGAATGGGAACCATATCGTGCGAGCTGGCAACCCACTATGGCTGGGTATCGACTGTCCTGCGGATAAACGCTTCCCTCATGAGCACAATCATACCCTCCTGTGCCTCACAGTCGACGGCATTCCCAAAGCGGAGTTGTTCCTCAAATCTAACATCCGCCCGACGGCCAAAGCTACCATAAAGAATCTCCATGACCGTGGTATCCGTGTCCACATGATCACCGGCGACCACGATAGGGCTGCTGCCGGCGTTGCTGGAGACCTCTCTATCCCAGCCCATCTCGTCAAAGCCCGTCTCAAACCCGCAGAAAAACAAGCCTACGTCGACGCTCTACAAGCAGACGGAAAGACAGTCATGTTCGTTGGCGACGGCACCAACGATGCTGTCGCCCTCAAAACCTCCGCTATCGGCGTCCATCTCAACCGCGGCTCGGACGTGGCCAGATCTGCAGCCGATATTGTCCTGATGAACCCGAATTTGCTGGACGTCTGCGTCCTGCTCGATATTTCGCGCGCCGCATACCGTCGTATCGTGCTCAACTTTGTGTGGAGCTTTGTATATAACAGCGTGGCAGTTCTCTTGGCGGCTGGGGCATTCAGGGTGTGGAGGATTGAGCCGAAGTACGCCGGGTTCGGGGAGCTGGTTAGTGTGCTGCCGGTTGTTGGTGTGGCGTTTTCAATGACATGGAGGGGATATGGGAGGAAGTATAGGGATTTGAAGGGGGATTTGGTAAAGCTGTCGCTGAGGGACCCGGGGATATGAGCACTTCGCTTAGGCTGGTAGTCCTTGACTTGGGATGAGCACATTTCTTGATCTTTCCATGCACGATTTATCTTCTTGATAGAATTTTCACAGTGGGCTGGGAGCATTCATGCCAGATGGCAACGACAAACAACCAAACAACAAACATAGTGGCAATCACATATAGTGTTAAACATCCCTTCATGCAGTGCAACCAATATGAATCATTTGACAATCTGAAATACATTCATTTGATGGGTTTCAATCTTCGAAATGGAGAGATGACCAAGACATCAGAGCTTCAAGTCCTTGCTTCAGAGAAGCAACAGGCTCAGAGAAATTTCTCCACTGTCATTCATATCCAGAATCCCATCCCAAGGCCATTAGTTCATCTCAAAGTGACACGTCCTTATCATCATGAGTATTGATGATAACGACATGAACTCAAGCAAGCCAATCCATATACATCAGTCAACCGAGCCCATGCTTACACAGCCGTGCCGTATAAGCCAGCCTGCAATCTCGCATCGTACCCAGTAAAGACCAGCCAGTAAAGAGCGGAAGCGCCCTTAATTGTCACATTGCATATATTTGTCGAACACGAGTTGGCTGGACAAACATATACGCAAGCCGAAACTAGGATGGCGAAGGCTTGCGGTGCGACACTCCGTCGGTCTCCAAACAACTCACTGCATCACGTCGCCAGGACTGGAGGCGGCTACATCTAGTTGTCGCCACCAGCGTCGTACCCGTCAAATGCGGAGTGGTCTGGAGATGCACAGGTGAGCTCGTGGCCCTGGAGGGTATGGGTTGCTTTGGCCACGCGGAGCATCGGGGCGCCATAGTTCTTGGGCGGGCGAGACTTGATGCCGGCGAATACATTTCGCAGATTCCGGTTCGAGATCCTGCTGAGTGGGTTCTTGACGACACGGACGGGCTTGGGCTGGTTGTTGGCAGTAGCGTTACGGGCTTCCAGCGTACGGGCCGTGACATTTGCGGGGGTACGAGTTTGAGGGACAGGAGACTCCCTGGGCTCATCGAAGAGCGGATCGAAGGGGAAGTCTGGCTCTTGAGCGCCAACACCGGATGCTACTTGGAATTGCTGGGGGGTGTCGAGAAGGGCAACGTTGTTGTTGCTACCTAAGCCATTACCTTGAGCAGTAGTGTTGGTAAGGATGGTGGGCACGTTCTGATCAGCCGCCTGACTGCCGAATCTACCCATTCCTGCACCATCACGGCCGGTAAAAGGATCAGAGAGAGGAAGAGCCCGAGCTTGGCCGCGACTTCCATGCCCAGCGGCACCTTGAGCGTGATGATGATTGTGTCCACGGCCATGACCACGTCCGCCGATACGGCTTGCACCTTCGGCCCTGATGCGATTCACAAGAGCGCGCGGACCTTGTGGACCACGATGACCGCCCAAATGGCGGCGGTCCTCGCGGCGACGGCGGATGTCTCGTGTGCGGCTGCCAGGCATAATGTTACCACGGCCTGGATCGGGACGTGCACTTGAAGAGCCGCTGCGATGGCCAAAGGGGCGGGATCGGTTGTTATCGTAGTTGCCGCGCATGCTGCTGGTAGTGTTCTCCTGGAAGGTTTGCTGGATTTCAAGTTGGTCAATGAATTCTGACGCAGTTGCGCCTGGTCGGGTGTGCGGTAGGTGTGCGTAAGGAGAAACGGTAGCGGGTGTTTATATACTGACGGTCGCTGGATGAGACAGCTTAGCGTTTTTAGTGAACTTCGAATTTCACAAGTGGAAAGTGGTACGTGCCGTTTCTGTGCGGATGGTTCGTTGCGGAGCGGCGTCGTGGCGCGTGAGTGAAAGGTGAAAGGTGAACATTCAGTTCGGCCGCCCTCGGATTGGCGAGCGGGGATTCTAGTCCAGTACAGAAGCGCTCAATACAACATGACATGGCTCCATTCCGTTTGGCGTAGAGATTCTTAAAGTTGGCTTGTATGACAGCTTCTTTGCATACGGGAACCTGACCAAAGAATTCTCCTTTCCCCATACTGATGGCGGCAGGTCTGAGTCTGTTTCGTGCGCATATCTCAAGTAAATGAGCTTAAGGCGCTATCTGGCAGCTTCTGGAGTCTCACACGGCGGAAGCCGCTCGGTGGGCACGCTCAAAACAAAGTTTGATCTTGTTAGCCGTTCGTTTCTAACTTCCCATGTGCCGAATACTGTATGGATTGCGGTCGTCTCTGTTCGGGAACAGGCCTGGCAACAATCCGAGCTCAGAATCCCAAGTGGCAAAAGATGCTTGCATCAATGGCAGTTCGGAGCAGATCTCGTGCATTCAGAGGACGTAGTGACACACGTCCTCAAAGTTGTCAAGATCGGTGGAGGTTGAAAGCCACCTATTTTCGAGATGTTAGACGCTTGGAAGACCATGAGGCGCTTCTACTGTACCCGGGCAGCAGAACACATATTCTTCTTGCGTGATGATACGCTCGTTAGCTTCGCATCTGAAAATATATCATGTCGGGACATTGAGAGCGTATAGAATTGGCTCCCAAGTAAACGGCACCATCTGTATCCATAGGCAATGTTAACTTCTGTAAGCGCTGGCAGTTGCGTTGACGCTTCAAGGTGAGATAATAGATCAGTAAAGCCGGCCACGAACACTGTGGCGCCAGTTTGAAGGATCATGGTAAATTTATGGAGCTAGAGCATCCGAAATGATTGCTCTGCTCTGGGGACTCCGCCTGGGCAACCTTCGAAGCTGGTCGAGCTCGATGTTGATCTTCTTGACGGCTGTGGTACAGTCCCCTAGCACTCGAAACAGAGCTTACGATATAGTGCATCGCGAACAGAAAACAGAAGTGGTATCTGTACATTGTAGATGGATATGGACATCTGTTGCACGCGAATTGCGGGGCTGGTGTTGCCTATGTTAGATGTTAGGAAGCAATGAGCAAGTGCGGGTTTGACGGGGGTGGGATGACGTACCGATTCAAAATAATATATACACCCTCATTACTTCGCTACATTCAAGTACGTAACCTTCTTCCAGGCGGGCTCGTATCAAAAAGCATGTTTCCGCTAGCACGCTCTCTGATATTGTACCAGAACCAGGGTCCGCCGGTCGAGCTTGTATCAAAGCAACTGTCACCTTCTTATCTTGAGATTCATCGTACTGCAGCGCTCAAAATGATGCATTCAAGAACGTGAGCTCAAGTGAATCTTACAGGCATGATGGCCTGCACGCTCACCTAGCATCATCGCATTCATAAGTCCTACGCTAGCCGACACAGAATGGTCCAGAGGCGACTCAGATCACCTTCCAGAAGGCGCCATTGATGGCCTCCTTGACATGTTACTCGCCCAACAATCTTTACAGAGACGAGATGCTGGGAAATCCCGTGTTGCGGCACTTCGAGGGACCAATAGCGTTCAAGGATCTCCCGTGTGTGGTCGAAAGCACATTTGCCGGCATCTATATAATCATCTGGGGTGCCACATGCAACGTCGATATAAGGTTGTGGGCGCGTCCGCGCCCTGCAGATAATCTCCCCCAGATTGTCATATATTAACCGGAAGTGACCGCACGAGCTCATTCGCAATAGATCTAACCTATCGATGGTTCTCCACCATACCGTGGCTATCACCACATGGTATCCACATGGGTTGGCCGTTAGGCATCGCCTAGATCTAATGACAAGGATGAAGCACCTGCGCTATTGCTCAAGGTTATAAACGTAGGAACCGGGTCGCACCTGTCATACCGAACCATATCGTCAAAGAAACTCTGATTGTGTCAAACCTCACGATGAAGTCTTTTTCGGCAGCAGCACTTGCTTTGATCGCGCCCGTTCAGGCCGGTCTTCGCTTCCCATGCTCAACTCTCACTGTCCAGCGTCTGGACCCCGTCGTGCAGCCTGGATCAAATCCATCTGCTCATGTTCATCACATTGTATGCTGCGTCGGCCTGAAGCAAGTTCCTGCTGACGAGTCCTCAAGGTTGGCGGCAATGCATTCAATGCCAGTATGACCGGCGATGTTGGTGCGAGAGCAACATGCACTACCTGCCAGATGGCCGAAGATTTCAGGTACCATACGGAAACATTCCAGACTAGTATGCCATGATCTCACTGGCCTGTCTAGCAACTACTGGACCGCCCAGCTCTACTTCAAACACCCAACCAACGGCTCATACAAGCGTGTACCCGTGGTCCCCGTCCAACCTCTGCTTGGTGGATCCAACGGTGCCTCAGGAGGTCTCACGGTGTACTACACACAATTTGACCTAAGCAAGGACAACCTCAAGCAGCAGAAGATCACAGCTTTTCAACCGGTAAGTCTCTTGGCACGCACTAGCATCTTGAGGTCGTCTGACAGTTCAGGGCTTCCGCATGACCGTTGGAATCCCAACCGAAACGAACAAACCACACGTGGGACTCCGCTATCAATGCCTCAGCGGGAACAACCGAGGTGCAGAGATGCCTGACTTCCCGACGAAGCCATGCAGTGGCGGAATCTTCACTACGTAAGGGCATTAGCCGCCATACTGTCCTCCTCCTCTTCCGTCCACGAGACTGACTCCTCTAGGCACCACTTTCCAGCCTGCTGGGACGGCAAGAACCTCGACTCCCCAGGTAAGTAGCACTACCCGGCACACATGAACATGCTGAGTATCTTCTAGACCACCAATCCCACATGTACAACACTATCAGATCCGACGGCTTCACCAACGCCCCAGCCTGCCCATCCAGCCATCCCATTCGAGTACCCCAAGTAACTTATGAGACCACGTGGGATACCACGCAGTTCAACTCTCTCTGGAAGTCCGGCGACCCGAACCCCTTCGTCTGGAGTTTCGAAGGTACAAGCGGCTATGGTACACACGCGGACTACATGTTCGGCTGGAAGGGCGATGCGCTCCAGCGTGCTATGGACAAGAGCGAGTGCTTTTATGATGGTTGTGGGAGTATCAAGAAGCAGGCTATGACTGAGGCGAATAAGTGTACTGTAAAGGATCAGGTGGGTGAGAAGGTCGGAGAAACTGAGTGGTTGGAGAAACTGCCGGGGATGTGAGAGGTATGGAAGATGGGGATTGTGTGGCGGATGTCTTGTGGTAAGGTTGTGTAATTTGAATTGGACCCTTTTTGATAGACTCGGACCGGAACGTACTCCTTGCTGCAATGGAACACCCGTGACATGCCTCCATAGGTTTTTGGAAGACATTCAAAAATTGACGAGAATTGACAGCTCACGTCCATTGTATTCAGTAACAATAAAAGAGGGCAAAGCTTAAAGAGCATATGATAATGCTCAACACATCTTATCTTGCATACTTCCCCTCGCCACTCACTCTGACACCTTCTTCTCATAATCCAGCAGCTCCACCACCAACCCTTTCTCAAACTCCGCCGTCAACTCTTCCTCCCCACCCTCCTTGTTCGGCCTCGCGACCGCCCCTCCAACCCCAACCTTCCAGCCCTCCTCGTCCAGCGCAAAGATCCAATTAACCTCCCTCAACGGGCGTCTCTCCACCTCCTCCCCCTTCTCATTCTCGACAATCTGATACACCCACAGACTCTTTCCAAGCTGGTCCCTCTCCCGCCTCACCTCAAGCGTCGCAGTCGGACGGCTCTCGTTCCCGGCGAACTCTTGGAGAGGGGCAATGCTCCAGTCGGCCCAGTTGTCGCAGCCCACGGTCGACAGATACGGCTTTCCGTAGTACCACTCGATGCCGGTTTTGAGCCACTTGTCCTTGCCGGAGCCGAGGGGTGCGTCGTCGCGGGTGAAGGAGAGGAGCAGGCCGGCTTGGTCGTACTGGCGGAGGTCTTTGCCCGGTGGAAGGGAGAAGGTGAGGCGAGCTCTTTGGAAGGATTTTAGGTCGTATTGGGGGAGGGGAGAGGGGTAAGTGGGAGCATCGATGACGTTGTGCGAGGGGGGCTTGCGCCAGATGTCTTTTCCCGCCGGGGAGGAGAGATTGAAGGGCTTGACGGGGTCGGTCTTCATTGCGTAAGTGGGAGCCATTGTCACTGCTAGAAGAGAGGCTGTGGTGAGGACCGGATGCAACAACATGCCGAGCGTCCGCGCCTTGTATTTATATAGCTTGAAGGTGGAGAGCACGTGTGGACTGCTTATGAATTGAAGGTAGAAAGTTGGGATGACTGGAAATCAGGAGCACCCACCTTGTGCAGACTACGGTCGCCGGGCATGGTGAGATTATAGACCTGAGTCACCGTGGGGAGGGGCGAGAGGGGTTCGTGTAGCCAATCTACTTCGCGTGGAGTTACGGGGAGGGAAGCTGTGAGCTGAGATGGGGAAAGCGGGGTGATGTGCTTGGCGACAACGAGAGCCTGCCAAGGTGGTTCCTGAAAATTCTAGTGCAGGCACTGGAAGCATGATGCGATTCGGCAGGTTTGTCACGAGTTGTATTCGCATTTGCAGCAGTTCTGGTGGAGCGAATTACCGCATCGGGTGACCTTGGCAGCTCGTAAAACCGACGCCTACATTACGCTAGTGTGAGTGATCATTGAACAGATGTCGGCCCGGCAAAATTACGGTACAATGCTAGAGCATGGCAATAGTATGCGGCACAAGACCCACGGATGACGCCGATGGTCGATTTGATTCGAAACTCATGGATATATACACGTTGTACATTTCTAGCACATCTATTTCTTTTGCTCGCCTTCTTTCGGGGGCTCTGGCTTTGGTGTCGGCAGCTTGAACTGGAGTTGGGCAATTAGTATGAGCGGAGATGGTTGGGAACGAGCAACGTTGACATAGAGAACGTACGTTTTCAGGCGTCTTGTTGTCACCAGGACCGACGGGCTCCCAAGCAGTCGATCCTCCACGGAAGTTCCTAAATGCCTGGGTCATCTCGAGCGGCTCAACTACGATTCTCTTCTTCTCTTCATCGTAGCGGATCTCAGTGTATCCCGTCATAGGGAAGTCCTTGCGCAATGGATGACCATCGAAGCCGTAGTCGGTCATGATGCGTCGCAAGTCGGGGTGGCCCACGAAGAAGACACCGAACAAGTCGTAGACCTCGCGCTCGTACCAATTGGCCCCATCGTAGAGATCGCAAAGACTGGGCACAGGCGTGGCCTCGTCGGCGTACGTCTTCACCCGCAAGCGCGAGTTGTGCCGGATGCTCAGCATGTTGTACACAACCTCGAATCGCTGGTCCTTGGTGGGGTAGTCGACGGCCGTGATGTCTGAGATCTGGGTGTACTCGGCCGCGGTGTGATTCTTGAGGAAAGTGAAGACGGGGAGGACGCCGGCGGGCGGGATGTAGATGGTCAATTCATCCTTCCACACGGAGAACCTGCAATGCATCAGTCGTCGGCCGACACGGCTGCAGAAGGCACGCGTACTGCTGGACGTATTTGGGCAGGCACGACATGAGGTACTGTCCGTATTTGTGCAGTGCCTCGCCCTTTTCCTTGTATCTGTCCGTGGGGTTCACGATGGCGGCCTTGAGCTTGGACGGCGTCGGGTCGCGGGGAGCGTACTGGATTCTATGTCAGCACCTGCACACGCTTGAGGCTGCAATGGCAGCAATGGCTTACACGCAGGTTCGCGGCGTCCGGGCTGTCGGCGGCGACCTCCTTCGCGCGCAGGGCGGTGGCTGCAAAGGTGCGCACGGCGGGCCGCGAGCAGCTCGCAGAGCGCACGGCGTGGCCCAATGGCCGTCCGACGGCCTGGCGCAGGGCCATTGTGTATGTGCTGTAGGTGGGGAGGCTGCGTGCAGCTGTGCGGCGGGCGGAGGGGATGTCGTCGTCGATGTTCGTAGCTTCCTGCAGGCGGATCGCCGCTGCTGCTTCTGGAGCTAGGGCAGCCACGTGACCCCTGCCGAGCGCGCCTTCCAGATCTGCTTTGCAGCCCGCGCTCACGCCCCCATCACCACCACCACCTGCATCTTTTTCCTTACTTGCTCATATTCACGGCCGGCGTTCGTCCTTTGGTCGCGGCTGCCCCTTTCTGCATCTCGGCATCCCCTGGACCTGAGCCACTTTTTCTCTCGACACCTCTCGCTCGACGCCACCTCGCGGCTCGCCAGCGCACGCTCAACCGCACATCATGTCCCGCATACAACAGGACCAGTTCGTCGACGATGACGAGGAGGAGTGCTGCCCTCTTTGCGTCGAGGAGTTCGACCTGTCCGACAGGAACTTCCGACCATGCCCTTGCGGCTACCAGGTGCGCGCCCCCTCGAAAACTCGGCGAGGCCGCTCGCTCCGTGCATCGTTAGCTAACGCGCCCGGCTAGATATGCCAGTTCTGCTATAACAACATCAAGACCAACATGAACGGCCTCTGCCCTGCATGTCGCCGTGTCTACGATGATTCGACCATCGAGTTCAAGACCATTACCCCCGAAGAGTGCGTGTCCTCGGCACCGCACATGCTCGTAGCTAACTAGTCCAGGATGGCCAAGCACAAACAGCAGATTGCGCAGAAGGCGAAGAAGAACGCGCAACAGCGGCAGAAGGAGGCACAGAAAGCGGAAGCCGACTCGCTGAGTCGCAAACACCTCGCCGGGTTGAGGGTCGTCCAGAAGAACCTCGTTTACGTGACCGGACTCACTCCCACGATCCGCGAAGACCGTCTCCTAGACACACTACGCGGCCCCGACTACTTTGGCCAGTATGGTAAAATCATCAAGATCGTCGTGAGCAAAGCAAGGGAGAACGCACAGCATCAACAATCTGTTGGAGTTTACGTGACATTTGCGCGCAAAGAAGACGCAGCCGCTTGCATAGCAGCCGTCGATAGCTCACAGAACGGCGAGCGCACCTTGAGGTGAGTTTTGCACCCATGTTTTCTCGCCCGTAACACGCTCACAGGCATTGTAGGGCGCAATATGGCACAACCAAGTATTGCTCGGCCTACCTCCGCGGGGAGCAATGCAACAACCGGAACTGCATGTTCCTTCACGAGCCCGGCGAAGACAACGACAGCTTTACTCGCCAGGACCTGTCAATGATGAACTCAATACAGACGCAACAGCCCGCCCAGTCATCTACTAGCCGTTCGGCTCCTCCGGCTCATCCAGGCCCAGCTGTAGCTGCAGCATCAACTCCGATGCACCGACAAGATAGCAACGAAGTTGGGGTTTCCGAGGACGCGCCAGGATTACCCGCAACAGCGAACTGGGGAAGCAAAGCTGCTCAAGAGCGCCGCGCTAGTCGCTCGACGAATGCCTCGAATCCAAGCCCAATGACAGTCAACGCTGTGCCCGCGCCTCTGATAGTCAAGCCAACCAAAGTGGAAGAGCCACCCAAGAAAAAGACCAAAGAGAAGGAGAAATCTGCGCAGGCCTCCAAACCCAACACACCACAACCGCAACAACAGGCACAGTCCCAATCGCAGCCAGAACCTGTTCCTCGCCCACAGAAACCCCGCATTCCTGGCCTCGACGGTCTACTGAAAGCCGTAACGTCCGACGACTTCAAGTTTGTCTTTTCGAGCGCTGTACTCTCAGAGGAGGAATTCAAGGCTATCATCGAGTTTCCTCAGCTTCTTGATCCCAATGGCGGGGCAAAACGACGTGCTATGCGAGAGAAAGAGAAGGAATTGGCTGCTCAACGCGAAGCTGAAGCTCAAGCCCAGGCTCCTGCGTCGCAACAGGCGCAACAGCAACATCAGGCTCCAACTGAAAGTGACGAGCACGAAACGACTGCCGGAGGTAGCTTGCAGCTTGGTGGCGAGCCTGAGGAAACTCATCAACCTGGCGCCAGTCATCAGAACCAACACGTTATTGCACCACCGGGCCAACAGACTCTGGGCGGCAATCTCTTTGGACAAAACAATTCTCTGGCTGAGGACTTTAGTAACCTTGGTTTGAACACCACTCGTCAGTTGACGCAACAGCAACAACAGCAACTGCTTTTATCGAACTTCAAGTCGGGTCCTCAGTCTGCTAGCCTCCTCTCTCAATTCCAGAATAGTCAGCCGCAACAAGCACACGCCCCCACTGGGAACGCTCCTGGGCATACGAGGCATACGTCTCGCTTCAGTTTTGCCAACGACAGTGCATCCGCTTCAGCTTCTGTGCAGCCGGTCGCAAACCAGAAGCTGATGAATCAGCAGTCCTCGATGATGCCCAAGAACGCGAATCACTTCCCTCAAATCTCTCAACATCAGTCATTGAGTGGACAATACTATACTAGCGGCGTCCAGGGCCCCCCGCCAGGGTTGAAGGCCACACCGACACCACCAATCAGTGGCGGTGGTATGTTCGGTCAGGGCAATGGTTTCGGCTCCAGTGGCCTGGGTTACGGTGGAAATGCTTCTGGCAGAAACAACAGCGATGCACTCTATCAGGACCTGCTCCGAAGCAGGAACTTGGACAGTGGTTCGAGAGTAGGTGATGCTGGTAAGCGTGAGTCCATGTTTCCTTCCTTTCTACATCAACAACACCCCACGACCTCTACGCCTGGCCCTGCTCCCGGTCTTTTTGCACTCCCTTATGGGCCTTCGCCTGGTGCTTACCAGGAGACTGGTTCGCAGAAGTCTAAGAAAAAGGGAAAGAAGCACAGACATGCTAACACTTCCTCCTCTGGAGGTGGTGTAGTAGATGTTCCAGACCCGAGTATCTTACAGGCAAGGCTACATCAAGGAGGGGGCATGGTCGGGCAGGGTCTGTATGGCCAAGGTCAAGGTGGGTTTTCTTCCCTGAATACATACAACAACTACGGCGGTGCCGCCGGACGGTGGTAGTCCTTTCGCTTCTTTCACATAGTTTCGACCGGATGGTCAAGCACACTGTTTGTTTACTTTTCCTCATTCGATGGATACATGGCGTTACGGGGGCTTCGAGCGAATGCATCGGCACTCGGGCCTACCACTTGGGCCTTTGAGTTGCTCGGCGTTATGACTGGGGTGGTCACTGTCATTTTACTGGCTTTGGCCCAAGCATGGCTTCACGGAACTACAATACCTTGATATTCTCTTCTCGAGTTCTTTTCGTTTGGGCGAATCATGCTGCTTCTACCCAGGGTTTTTGCTTCATCTTCTCTCGTCGTCTTCGTCATGGCCATCGGATGTACGTAAATCCCCTCCTGCAGCTGCCAAGTCGGCATGCTTACTCTTAATTAGAGATGGCTTCCTTCACATTTTTATGCTTGGCCCTTAGTGACGAAGATGCTCGAGAGAACCTGATGAAGCCCTGATGTATTTGTCTTTTCGACTGGTAACTTCGCTATTGTCCGGCCACCGACCGTAGTTGATCTTTCCAACACATCCACGTTGTTAATATTTGTCGTTACAGCATTGGTTGGCCTTGCTAACGGTACGCGTACAGAAGACGAGATTTTGAGTCCAGAAGAAGAGGCATCGGTGAACGTGGATGCCTTGGTCAGCGATACGGTAGCCGAGCACCAAGGAAGGAGTACGCCCCTGCTGAGCCATATATTGAATCAAACTGGACGCGCAACACCAACAATTCCACCAGGCTTCACAGCTCCAATGTTAACCAGGAATGTTGCGCTGGATCAGCCCAGCCGCCCAGCTTCGCGCAACGCCGCTCTGGTGGCTCCCGCTGTGCCGGTCATTCCAGTCACTCCAGGTCGACTTGCAACGCCGATAGGCAAGAAAGCAAAACAGGAACCCGGAGGAATTACCCCTAGTGCTACCAAGCCTATGGCTGGAGTGATGTCAACGCCTTCGCCTGTACCAACAACGCCAGTCAGAGCCAGCCGAAACGGGAGCCCCTCCAAAGCAAAATCTCAAACCATAGAGACGCCAAAGAAGCCTTCTGAAGAGTCAGTCAACCCAACGCAAATGGAGAGTAGCCCAACACATGCATCGCCTGCCAGAATGACGCCCCGAAACAAAGCATCCAGTAAGAAGGCGGCTACAGCGAGTGATACATCGCCTCAGAAGGATACCAAATCTCTCGCTTCCACAGCGATTCCCTCTTCAAAGCGTCAACCTCCAGGGAAACTGGATATATCTGCTGCTACTAAAGTCCCCGAAAACGAGGCACCGTCAGCAGCAAGCTCGACGAAACAAGAGGCCCCAGCAAAGCCGATCCGTTCTATATCGACAACAGCGCCGATGTCTGTACCTGCAAGCCCTGCTGCAGCCTCGACTGGTTCCCCGATCAAGAAATCTATTGGAGCCAAGACCCTTCGTGTGGTAGCCACACCCAAAACCGAGAGCCCGCCTCATATGCCCCCACTTTCATCGCTACCACAAGTTCCAACTGTTGAAAAACTTCGCTCTAGGCAGGCTAGTATTGCTTCCATCAATCAGCCAGGCACCCCAGCGAGCGAGTTGATTTCCGACACTGCCTCTTTCACGTCCACGTCGATCTCACGTGCGAGTTCGCCTCCTCTGGTTGGTGGCAAAGTCGGGAGCGCCCCGGTCAGGAAGAAGACCAAATCACAGGCAAAGAAGGATCGCCAAGAGCGAGCTCGTCAAGCAGAGGAAGAACGCGCAATGGAGGAGCAAACACCTGAACCAGAAGTGGTTCAAGCCCCTATCGTTGGACGTAAGAAGAAGACCAAGAAGCCTGCCACCAATTTTAAGAACAATGCGGCATCGACGAAAAGCCAGTCTGAACCTACTAAGATGTCATCAAAGGAAGAGGAGGAGCTGGAGGAGCTTTACCAAGCTAACATTGCTGCGAAGAAAGCCGCTGCCGATGCTGATGCTGCTGCTGCTGCTGCTGCTGCTGCTGCTGCTGCCGCCGCCGCCGCTGCAGCGGCGATCAAACCCTCCGCTCCGTCGCCTCGCGTCGAGCCGGTCGCTGAATTTGAACCAGACCTGGCAAAAGATAAGCGCGAGCTCACTGCTCAATCTATTCTTTCCGATCTACAGAGGACTGGCGAGCTGGTCGCTTCAGCCCTAGAGTTCTTCAAGCCACTTTCATCATCACTTGCTCATGCATCGAAAGCAACGCCGATGAGTGGCGGTCCTGTGGGCCCGCCTGACCTCAAGATTCATTTCACTGAGGCCGACCTCGAGGCACTTACAAAGAAGCTACCCGTTCATCTCCGCGGCCATGACGGGACTTCAGATTCGAGGACGTTGATCACGCCGCAGGGTAAGTTCTTCTGGGGCTTGACTCAGGAATTAGAAGAAAAGGCGTTGGAGCTCGAAGAGTATATTGAAGAGCTTAGAGGTGCTGCTCGCTTCCACCCAAAGAAATATAATGCCCATAACACCGGCTTCCAGGGACAGCCAAATCTCCCAGCCCTGGCCACAGCGCTGAAAGAGGCAGGGGCAAAATTAAGCAAAAGCACCGGTCAAGACATGCCAAGACTGGACTCTCCATCCGCCTACCAAGGCGGCCCATCACAACGCTCACAGCTTCCACCAGTGCAAGCGAATGAGGATCTGCTTCCTCCCAACCAAGCGCAGCAGCCTCAGACGCCAGCTGACGCAGGTGTTTACTTGAATCAGTTCGTCCTTCCCAACACCGACAACCCGCCACCCAATGCACCACGCCCAGAAATGGCAGCTGTCGGCGGTCTCCCTGGTGCTGGCACAGCCAACATATCCGTCAATGCGAACAAGCTCGCCAAAGCAGCCAAGGCAGTCGCTGAAGGTGGGGCGGTTGGCCAGGAACTCGAGGGCATCGGCGCCATAACTGCTGATCTGCTTGGCGGCGTATTTGTGCAGAACCTCGAGGCACTTGTGGGTGCGGACCTGGGTTTCTCGTCCTTCTCCGGAACTTCCGACATTGGAATCGACGGGAGCGGACTTGATGTCCAGGGCTTGGTCAGCGCTTTTGAGGCGGGGGTCGGTCCAGGTGCAGGAAGGAGGAGAGGTGGGAGAAGTGTTCTGAGTGTTGAGGAGGCAGAACAGGCAATGCTGGCGGCGAAGAAGGATCACGAGGCGCTGGAGAAAAAGTTGAGCGCGCTCATCAAGAGGAACAGGAAGATGCTGAGTGCTGGAAAGGCGTGAGTGACGGCTGTAGGATCAATGACAGAGACGGAACGAAATGGAGCTGCACTGGCAGCAGTGTAAGAAGCTATTGATGCCGCTCTATGGCCCGAGCAAATATTCCTAGATGCGTTGATAGCCTTGTGAGAATGATACCAATCGATTAGTACATTCGCGATGGCGTAGAGCGTACAGGTAAGAAGTATATCACTTAACGCTCAAGTTTTCCGCGTGATGCCTAGCGTAACATCGAGTAAAAACTCTGTTCGTGAAGACATCTGGATGATTAAATCTCCGAGGCAGCTGCTCGCAACACACGCCACGTGATGCATCGCACAGACCCGCAGCGCCTGGATTAACCGGAAAGGCATCACCCACGACCCGAGCTTACATACACACCATCAGACAACGCATCATCTACCATCCAATAGGTAGACAATGAGCGGTTGAGTCACAAACGTGCGTGAAAGGTAAATCGCGCGCGACCGTTTGTGTGTACTAATTAAACAGTGGCGGATACCTACGATCCGTGGCAATTTAAACCAGAGCTTCGCAGCTGACAGAGGGTTTGCGGACAAACTCCATTCATTGCTATCCTCTTTCTCAAGGAAAGGTCGCTACCCATCAATATGCTGGGCGATGCGAAACTGAATTCCCTAGACACGCGTCTAGAGCAGTTCAAACTCAGTAATGCCACTACCCAACAGGAGCTACAGGTGCGTTGTTTCCATGCGAACCACGATTACCTACAGATGGTCTAGTCGTCTCAGCTAACAATTCTCCAGACCCTTCTCAAAGAACACACTCAATTGCTGGAAGATTACAAAGTACTCAAGGCTCACAAGATAGCTGAGCAACCTCAAGCCAACGGCGGGTCGAGCGCTTCCACCCCGTTCAATGAGAAACCCCGCTATCCGTACGCTCTCGTTCTCATCGACGGAAATGGATACATCGTATGTGCCCAAGATCTCACCCAATTTCAAGAAACCCATTAACTGACTATCTCACAGTTCAACGACGAACTTGTCAAAGATAAAGAAGAGGGTGGGATGCGTGCCGCACGTATGCTCACCGATGTTGTCGAAAAATTACTTCGGGAACATCCCCAGGCTAGAGATTCGCGCCTAGTCGTTCGCATCTACGCAGATGTCACGAATCTGTCGAAGCAGCTTGCGAAGACAAAACTGATCGGGCTAGAGAAGCGAAGTATCATGCCTTTCGCTGCTGGATTCTCAAGGGCGATGGCTCATTTCGATTTCGTGGATGCTCTTGATGAAGAAGGCACAAGATTTAAGATTCGAGGTAAGTTCAGTTGAAAGAGGGTGAAGAAACAGCGACAAAGCATCACAAACAGTCAATGTGAAACACCGCAAGGTTGGATTGTACTAAAATAGGGCTTGCCGTGATTAGGATGCTAACAAGTCTACAGAAACCTTCAAAGTAGCCGCTGAGGACACAGCTTGTTGCCATATACTTTTTGCTGCTTGCCATGGTAAGTCTTGTTCAAGCACCGGATTAATGTACCCTGCTACCTCAGAGCTCCTTCCTTTATAATACCGAGGAACGATGGTCACTAAATGACTAATTGGACGATCAGACACCAACTATCTCCCGCAATTGGTTCCATACAATGGTCTACACAAGAAGATCACACTTGTACAGGGTGCAGGGTTTGAGACGGACTTCTACCAGCTGGGGCTGACCATCGCCCAATTCCCTACCATCTTCAGATGGTCTGAACTGGCACAGGCTCCGCCTACGATTAAGGGATCATCAATGGCGCGAACGACGTCGACTAAAGCACCGCCGCCTGCACCACCCGCTGCGAGACCATCGGCCCTAGATCGAGACGACTGGCGCCACACTTCTGTCAATGCAGATGGGATCTCGTATAACTCGAACGGTGTCATCGTCAGCATTCCAGGCTTCACTGCCGACAGCTCACCCGCAAAACAGGGACACAAGAAGACCAAACCCTGCAAATATTTCCAAAAGGTAAGTCACGCAGAGCTGCTACGAAAGCTGGGTAACTGACTCAAGCAGGGCTTCTGCCGTTGGGGCAACAAATGCAGCTTCATCCATGCTCCTGAGCACGTAGTTCCCAACCCGCAAAGGTCCTCTTCCCCAACCACGACGTCCGGCGCTGACCGCGAGAATGTCTCGTCGTATCTACCATCTACCGTACCCCCAGGCTTTGTGGCCCTCAACAAAGACGGCCATCGCCTGGACACTTACATCCGCCCTCCCACCCCCGAAGAATGGCTAATATACAACGCGCGCTTCCACAAGCAAAAGCCCTGCAATGCGCACCATCTCTCTGGCACCTGCAATAACTTCAATTGTCCGTTCGATCACCATCCGCTCGAAGTCGAGACACAGCATTGCCTCGAGTACGTACTGAAGAGTAGCCCGTGCCCGAGGAGGGGTACGTGTAGAGACAGAGATTGCTTCCACGGACACGTGTGTCAGAAGGATGGATGTGTGGGCTATCACAAAGGCTGCAAACTAAAGGCCGATGCACATAATGCTGACCCGAAGTTGGCGAGCATGGTGCCAGCAACTACGGGTGATAGTGTCCATGAAGATACTATCGGAGTGGTTGTTGGCGGCGGTGGCGTATACGAAGCGGCGTGGTAGTTGAGCGCTAGATAATTTGGCGTTCGCGACCACCGTGAACAGTAGTGGACTGGTGGAGACATGGGCTTGAAGATGACCAAGGTGCAGAGAAACTACTTGCCAAACACAAGAGTCTTGCTGGGCTTGCTGCTCTGCACAATATTTTAGACGAAAGGAACATCTAGACTAGAGTCGATTAAGATTTACCCATGATAGTTAGTCCTATGTACTAGCGTACAACGTTAGCTAAAAGATAAGTTCGAGAAAAGAGCCTTCGATCTCATGAATCTCGAGCTGATACTCTCCCCCTACTGCTGATAATTACTCATCAAAGAAACCAACAACGTCAACAGCGCTGAAGTCGGTTCAAACTCCCATATCGCCACAAACGACATCGCCCAGTTGCGCTGCACGGCCCCCTTGCATTCGGCCTCATTACGGTGCGGATACGTGCGGATACTGGCGAGCTGGGCTTTTGCAGAGGCAGCTGGGATACAGAGGCTGATTGTTGGTGGACTGCTCAAGAGGCGGGAGGCGGTGGTTAGGGCGAGGAGGTGGTTCGTGCCCAGGCGGCGAGACACCGAAGGCGGCTCGCAGCTCGAGCAGGAACTGGGTGAAGTCCGCGGATAGTGTGATGATGAAGCCCTCCACTATGTTCGCGGTGGAAAGACGGTAAAGCGTGAAACGTTTTGCTGTGGTGATGGTAGGCTGTTTGAAAGGTCGGACATACTTGTTCAGCAGGGTAGAGAATATACGCGGTTCTATAAGTGTTGGCATAGCCGGGGCTTTTTTAATTATTTTTTAAAACGTAAATCAATAGGCAGGACTTTGTGAGCTCGCAAAAAAAGGGGTCGAGCGTTGAGGTTGATGACCAAAACGTTTACTATAGCAAGATTCAACCGCGTCCGTCGTGTGACAGTTTACGATTTTTTTCTTCGACCACTCCCATTTGGGGATAAATCGTTGTTATACTTTACAGTTGCTACGACCGAACATTGGCTATGCCCCCTTCCCTGGGCAGCAGCCCTCTCTACTAGCTCGTCTACTCGTTACTTTATGCGTCTCCCACCACTTATCCCACGTATAATCAGTAGAAATTCCCAAACACCTTCCCCAGTAGATGTTCTCCATACGTACTCCCACCATGCATTGCCTCCATCCCACTCCGCTCCACACACCTTTCCAGCGGCCTCACCACGGCCTCGAAATTCGGCTCGAAGAAGAACGGCACGCTCACCCTATACCCCTCCCCACGATGAATCACCCTATGTCTCGTGCTCTTCCACAGCCCGTTCGTCCACCGCTCAATCATGTCGCCGATGTTAACTACAAAAGCGCCCGGTATGGGATCCGCGTTAAGCCAAGTTGTCCCGTCTTTGAGCAGGACTTGCAGCGCGCCTGGGGTAGGGTCGGTGAGTAGGAGCGTCACGCACCCGTAGTCGGTGTGCTCACCGCAGGAGAGCGAGGAAAGAGGAGCATCAGGGCTGACGGGTGTGGACAGCTTGGGGTATCCTATTAGGCGCATGACCTACAAGGGGTACAGAGTCAGTGAAATGCTCGAAAAGAAGATAACCAGGTACAAGTAGGATGGTTTAGCTTCAGCTCGTGACTAAAGTCTAACAGTTTCAGACATAAACTGTAGCTTGAACAACCACTTTGTAACACCAAGAATTCTTACCCAGAAGCTGTGGTCGGTGTTTCGCACAAAGACTTCTGAATCCTCCGTCTTAGGGGTCCCGGACGAGTTGGGATCTGGGGGAGGAAGGTCGAGCGCCTGCCCCATTGCGCGTACGAGTGCTGTACCGACGCTCTGTAGCTGATCGATGTACGATAGATACACCGACTTCAGCTCTTTGGGCTCGTCGGGCCACAAATTGGGCCCCTGGAGCGTACTATACGTGCCCCGTCCGCCGTTTCCTTCGACTTTTGGCGCGTGGTCCCATTCGCGGTAGAGGTCGATCGCTTCGTGCATATCCTTCTTGCCCTGTGTGACGTTCTCCCCCATGCCTTGGTAGCCTCTTGCGCCGTCACCACCCTCCGGACCACCCGCATCGTGCCTTTTGATCTTGTTCTTCTGTTCATTTGGTAGAGCGAAGAATTGCCGCGCTAGGGAGATGACTTCTTCGAGCTTTGCTTGTGGGATGCAATGTCCGGTGAGGTAGAAAAAGCCGAACTCAGTGCATGCATTATTGATGGATTGCGCTACTTGCTGGCGAATTTCTGGAGCCGATGAAGCATCCAGAAAGGGAGAGATGTCGATTATGGGAAGCGACATGATATAGTGTGGGACCCTGCAAGTGTTCTGCCGTCACCCTTGTGTCGCAAATGCGCGTACAGCTCGCGATTTCAGGCCCTTGAAGTTGTTTCTTGTTGAAACGAGATACTGGCGACTTGTTCTGAATGTGATCGCTGCTCGGAGGGTTAAGTCTATTGCACAGGTATGACTCATGTCAGCTCTCGGAAAAGACTTGGAGACACAGGACAGGCAGACGTATCCGAGAATGAGTTCAATGGCTCAAGAAATAGGTGACTGGACATCCTGAATGCAACAGAAACTTACAAAGCGGACGTTGGTTGTATTGTCTCACTCCTTAAATAAGAGTGGACACGTGCTTTCGCGTTCGAAGCAGTATTCGAGACTCGTGGAGGATCTTTGATCAAGAGATTGTAAAGTGTGAAAGGCCCCGTACGACCTAAGTATAACCGCAGTATTCAAGCATACTAGGGGCAAGATGTGGAAGTAGATGCATGGGCAGTTTGTGGAAATCGTAGCCATCGGGTAGCGTTACCGAAAAGGCGATAGCTGACTTTCCCCGCGTCCTATCGCCCCACGCTTCACTCTTGTAGATAACCCTACTTTCAATTGAGAAACCAGGCGTTGCGGTCAGGATAAATCAAGTCACGATCATGGATAGACGACTTGGTTCACTTAATGCTATCGTGAAGATTTTCTGCTGGATTCTAGCCAAAACTCTACTCACTATAGATGCTGTTAGGTTCCTTGGAATTGATCGCGGAAGCATATGTTCCTAACTATATGTCAAACGTCCATGCAGGCCAAAGGTGTCGTGGTATCATGCAATCCTGAAACTTCCTCACATAATGACCTCGTTCGAGACATCCTGCATCTCACGTTAGCACATTCAGCGGACAAGGCTAGGGAGACGCTTACCCTCTTCAGCTCCTTGTTGGGCAAGCACACGCAGTTCTGCACGCGCACCTCATCACCCACACCGCACTCCTTACCCAGGATCGTGATGCTCTGCACCTTGACACCGTTCTTGACAATGCTCGTGCTGTGGCTCGTAATGGGTGTAGGTGTTCCCTCAACACGTGCCCAGGCACCGATCTTGCTGTGCCATCCCACGATGGAGTACATGACGCAAGCGTCGTGCTTGATCTCAGAGTCGTCGAGCACGATCGTCTCCTTGACACGCACACCGGCGCCGATGATGGAGCGGGCACCAATGGAGACGTTGGGGCCGATCTTGGCCGTAGGGTCGACCTTCGCAGAGGGGTGGATGTAGACGGGAGGGAGGATGTTGGCGGAGGGCTTGGCGAGCTCTTCCGAGCCCATCTGGAACGCCTTGGTGAGATAGAGGGCGTTGGCTGGGACAGCGGAGCCAGCGGTCTTGATCTGGCGCCAGAAGTCTTTGGTCTCGAGGACGAAGAACTGCCTGCTGTCTGCGATGTCGGACAGCACGTCCTGCTCTAGCCGGACGACGGTGTTCTCCTTGTCCTCGTCGTCGTCTTCCTGACCCTGGTAGTAGGATGACTCGAGGTTCTCGGAGGAGGGGTATGAGAGGAGGCGAGGACGCTCGGTACGACGCTTAATGGCGCTGCGAATGGCGGGGAAGATGCACTCGGTCGCGAAGAGGTAGACACCGCAGTTGATCAGGTTAGAGATCTGACCCTCGGGCTTCTCGACGTAGTGGAGAACACGCTTGGTGTGGGAGTCGGAAACGATGCAACCGAAATTGGTGGCAGATTCGCTCGCGACTCTGGTACCCAGCATGACGGCCTCAGCGTCCTTGGCCTCGAACAGCTCAAGCATGTCGTTGAGCGGGAATGAAGAGCAGACATCAGCGTTCAAGACGAAGAACCTGTCTGGCTTGCCCTTTAGGATCACATCGCGGAAGTGGTAAAGACCACCTGCGGTGCCCAATGCCTGGTATTCTCGTAGGTACTTGACGGTGAGCTGTGGAAAGCTGTTGGAGATTTCGTTGATGAAGGGCTGGAAGACCGTCTCTTCGTAGTAGCCGACGATGAAGACCTCCTTGACCTCGGGGACGTTTGCAATGGCGCGGAAGCAGTGCTCGATGATGGGATGGCCGGCGACGGGGAAGAGGGGCTGTCTGTGAGTTAGCCGTGTTGACAGCCCAGGCGATGCCAAATAAGCCGCTCCTCGGAGTCGCCACGGTGGCGATGGCAACCAGGACTATGCTCAAGTATGCGCGGGTGTCTAGCCTCCCCGCATCCCTTGATCCATCTCCAACCATTCTGAATGTCGATCGCCCCGCCTGAAGTTCGACTTGGGGTCTCTTTTACTTTGAATGATTCCAGGCTGAGGAGCAACTCACCTTGGGCAGTTCCATGGACAGCGGCCTAAACCTGGTGCCGCGCGAAGGTCCTCCGACCAAAATGACAGCTTTGGTGGTCTTCGCGGCGCCCCCCTTGGGCCTGCTCGCGAGCGACGGTGGCTGGAGGCTCATTTCGACGATGTGCAAGGGTTCTTGGTGGTTATTTAGCGGTGGGAGAGAATCGGCGGCAAGTAGAGAAGAGGACACGGTGAGGTTGCAATGGTTCTGGACACAACACACAGTTGTTCGGACCCTTGAAATTCAATAGCGCTGGGCCAGTCCCACGTACGCGTGGGGCGGTGAGCCCTCTTGGCAGACCGTCATGAGCCGCACTCCACACGAGCGCTCGGTCCCCTGGCCCGGTTAGCGTGCCCTTGCTTCGATTGCGCATTGCACATCACATCGTGGTTGGGTGCCGGCTTGAACTTATTCCAGTGTCCTCTATCGATTGGCACTCCATTTCTTTGTTCTATGTCCCCAATACATGAAGTGTACATGTGAAATTACAGTTGTGCATATGTAAACAACGCGATCACGCCGGCTTCACGCCCTTGTGTATCGCTGCAATGCCGCCGGTCAGGTCTTCCCACCCTTGCCCTGGTACCAGGAAGCCAGCATCTTTAATCATATCCCTGAACTCCGTCTGGCTCGGGAATCTCTCGATGCTCTCCACGAGGTATTGGTAGCTATCCCTGTCGCCAGCAACCAACTGTCCTATCAATGGAATCGCGCTGAAACTCCAACGCTTGTATACAGCATCGAATAGCCCGTTGTTGACCTTGGAGAACTCAAGCACGGCGAAGACACCGCCCGGCTTCAACACCCGGTACGCTTCCCGTATCGCTTCCTCCTTGTGCGTGAAGTTCCTGATGCCGAAGGCGACGGTGTAGAGGTCGATGCTGCTGTCCGGAATCATGTCCAGCTTCTCCGCATTCGCTTCGATGAATTGGAGGCGCGGAGACCGCGCATATGGTGTCTCGAGCGCGCGTTTCCTTCCCTCAGCCAACATGTCTGGGTTGATGTCTGCGACGGTGACTTTGGTGTGCGCATCGTGGTTGATCGTCGATGCGTGGTCGAGCATGCGGAAGGCGATGTCGCCAGTACCGCCAGCAATGTCGAGGATGTTCCAGCCCTTCTGCTCATACGGTGCGGATGTGAGGGGGTTGCGTCCGGGGTTGAGGTTTCGTACGAAGTGGTCCTTCCAAAGCCGGTGGATGCCCATGGACATGAGGTCGTTCATGGTGTCGTACGAGGAGGCCACAGACGAGAAGACGCCGCGCACTGTAGTGGTCAGCTCCGGTCCAGCTCAATTGACGTCTACACGTACCCTTCTGTTCCTTGAGGGCCTCTGCGACCGTCTCGAACCCAAAGTGAGTGGTTCCATCCCGATTCTGCGTAGTTTTCGGTGGCGTTTGCGGCTGCTGTGATTGCCTCGTGGTACGCGAGAAGCACCTGTACTGCTCCCGCCCGGCTGCTCCCGCCCCGCGCCTACCGCCTGCAAGTAATTGCCTCCTGAACAAAACTGTGGCTGATTGCGCGTTCATGTTTGCTGATAGTTTGATCGCACGTTTGCTTGGCGCGAACTTTCCTGGACCGCGCGGGCACGTGCACGCGGCAGTGACTAAGCTGACGTCGAGCAGGGATACTGGCGTCTGGGGCGACGAGGGTGCCTGAGCCGACGCTGACCGAACCGAGCTCCAACAATCCTCCCCAGACTGTCCCGCACGACTAAATCCCCGCTGGCGCCCGCGACCACAATGTAGATTCACCACAATGTCGCTTCGTTCTGTGCCACGAAGATTGGGCGCGAGGGCTCTACGAAGACCTTCAATATGTCACAATGCGTCACAAGCAGCTCCCAGAGTTATGCCCAAGTGGCAGACTTGCCGGAATGTTGCTTCCACACCAACTGCGGAGAAGTGCGTTTTCGAACATTCTGAAGATATGCTGCACGAATTCACTGACAGAAATCACAGAGTCTTGTTCCCCGGCGCCCTGAACAGTGAATTCACAAATTCCCTCGAATTCCTCCGACCGTCTCAGAACAAATCCATATCCACGTTCCGAATCTTAGATCAGTATGGGCAGGTGTTGGATAAGGAAAGAGGCGTGGACACGACTGATGAAGAGGCTCTAGAGCTATACAAGCACATGGTCTGCTGTGCGACGCCACTTCCACCACCGTCTATTGGACATGGGACTAATCGTCTTAGTGAGCATAATGGATCTTATCATGTTCGAGGCACAACGGCAAGGAAGACTTAGTTTCTACATGGTATGATGGGTTCCTGCCATGGTCCAATCAGTCACTCACTCACAACACCTCAGGTCTCAACGGGCGAGGAGGGCATCTCTGTCGGCTCCGCCAGCGCGCTCAAACCCAAGGACACCGTCTTCTGCCAATACCGTGAAGCGGGAGTCTTTATGCAGCGCGGCTTCACCCTGGACCAGTTCATGGCCCAGCTCTTCTCCAACGCCGATGATTTCGGGCACGGTAGAAATATGCCCGTTCACTACGGCAGCCGCGAACTCAACATCCGCACCGTCTCATCTACCCTCGCTACCCAGCTACCGCACGCAGCAGGCGCCGCATATGCGTTAAAACTCCAGAACCAACAAAATCCCGATATTGAGCCTCGTGTAGCAGTCACCTACTTCGGCGAAGGTGCCGCGAGCGAAGGTGATTTCCACGCTGCGCTGAATATCGCCGCCACGAGACAGGCACCGTGTATCTTCATATGCAGGAACAACGGGTACGCTATTTCGACGCCTACAAGCGACCAGTACAGAGGCGATGGTATCGCGAGCAGGGGTGCAGGATACGGCATGGACACCATCCGTGTCGACGGAAACGACATCTTCGCTGTTCGCACTGCTACCAAGGAAGCGCGCCGTCTCGCCCTTACTGACGGCGGTAGACCCGTCCTCATCGAGATGATGGCGTACCGTGTGGGCCATCATTCCACATCCGACGACTCGTATGCGTATCGCCAGAAAGTTGAGGTCGAAGACTGGAAGCGCCGCGACAATCCCATCACTCGCTTACGCAAGTGGCTCGAATCGCGGGACCTGTGGAACGAAGACAAGGAAAAGGAGACGCGAAGTCAGCTTAGAAAGGAAGTCCTAGCGGCATTCGACAGAGGCGAGAAGAAGAAGAAGCCTAAGATCAGACATGCTTTTGATGATGTATGGGAGGAAATTACGGCAGAGCAGAGGGCGCACGTTGAGGAGCTAAAGGATATACTAACGAGGTATCCAAAGGAGTATGACATCAGTCAGTACGAGGGCGGCTTAGACTCTTTGGACGAGTTGTTAGAAAAGAAGAAGTAGATTTGAAGAGTATGAATAAGATATTAAGCATTATATGTCGAGAGAGGCCACTCACTAATTGCCAACAGCAAAGTCAAAGGTAATCCATGCGCCTCCCATCAAGCACCCCCGTCGACAATATCCAGTAGTTATCTCCAGAATCTCTCCCTTATACCCACTGCCTCGCACAACCTCAGACCTAATCCACATCGACCCTAAAAACCCATCTTCGTCAAGAGTTGATGCGCAGCCACAAAGCTTTCGTGCGCAGAGTAATGTAAATTCACATTATGGCCCGTCGCCTTCACCACACGTGCCACGAACTTCCTCGCCTTAGGGAACTTCTCCGCGGTGAGGCCCGGATTGGCGTCCCTCCCAGCGGCACACTCAGTGGTCAGGAGCGTAGTGTTTCCCGCGCGATCGCAAACGATGGCGTCGTGCGTGCCAGTGATGTATATAACGGGGCCGCGGAAGGAGGAGACGGTGTTGGGTTTGGGGGGGAGGATTTGTCCGATGGAGAAGGGTTTGGGGAGCTGCGTGAGCTGTTAGCGGGACGATTGAGAATTGAACGAGGGGCTGGAGACAGTCTGAAGGAGACTTTGGGTCGCTTACCGATTCATCCCAGGCAAGCACTTCCGCATCATACTCCCCGGGATAGCCGTACACCGTCTCCCGTATCGCTCTTGGCGCAACTTGCAGGTACGCGGGTGGGAGGTGGGAGAACCGCGCTGGGTCCACGACGCTGGCTGCTCGTGGGGCCCAATTCAGGACTGCGGCATTGATGCCTTTGAGTTCGGAGGACGACGCGGTTTGGATGTAGGCGTCCGCGCCAGTGGCGGGATGGGGATGGTCTGTGGCGACGGCGCGGCCAATAAGCGCGCCGTAGGAGTGTGTTACCATGATGATTTTGGAGTACTTGGTCTACGGAGATGGTGGTCAATTTATATTCGATATTGCATGGCCAGAGGGTGGGCTCGCGAGACTTACTGGGATGCACGAGATGGCTTTGTTGCGGAGACTCTTGAAGATCTCGAGGATAATGGCTTCTTGGAGAGGCAGCTGCACCATAGAAATAGGGTCAGGATGGTCTGACTCGCCATCACCTAGGTTGTCGATCGCGAGGGTAGCATAGCCCTGGGAGTTCGCGTGGTGAGTCCATGAGTACTGGCCGGGGTACGTGACGTTGGGAAAGTTAAGTCCATTCCAGTATTCCTATCGATGTCAGCATACTCAAGTGACGAGATAAGAAATTGACCGACCTTGGTATAACCCAATCCGTGCAGGAGGAATTGAATAATGTGCTCTCTGCCCTTGATCTTGCGGGATGGCTCACAGTAGGTTGCCGCGATGTTGAATGTTCCGCCTACTCTTTTCGTGTCCAGGTTAGAGACGTTGAATGACTGGGCATATCTTCCGAAAGCGGTTGGCGAGGTGTCGTTTGGAAAAGGTGGAAGGTCGATGTTGTCTGCAGATGCAGTGACGGTGAGTTTGATATCCCTACAGATCGGCTCTGGGCTTGAGACGGGCTTTGAAAGGCTTGTGCCCGCTAGTGCGAGGAGAGTAAGTTGGATTGGTGCTTTCATTGTGAGAAAGAGTTAATCGATGATGGAAGAGTATGTTGTTGGATCCGTTAACTCGATGAGAGACAAAAGGGTCTAAGGATTTTGCGATGGAATTGATGCGGATGAGGATAGCCATGATACAGACAGGTTTTGAACGGATTTATAGAAGTTCAACATTTACTCTTGGTACTAGTTAGAGGCCATTTTGAGATCTGCTTCTACATTCGAACATGCATTACGCGGTTCGTACAGAACAATGGCTTATCGTCATCCATCTTGAGAGGTCATGTACTTCCATTTGGAAGATTTTGTCTCTTCGATTGCATGAACCAAGTCCACGGTCAAAATTCACTCTCATCTTGGTAAACAGTCTAAACGCCAAGGAGAGCATTCCATTTTCCAGGAAAGCGATAGAAGAAGCTAGCAGACACAGCCGCATATTTGGGGCAGTGAGATGAACATCAAAGGCTAGCCATGGCGTTCCGTAGCTACAAGGCATTGGCAAATCGACCTAAGTCTATCCGGAATGTCGAGATCCGAAGACTAGAGGCATCGGACCAGAGTATAAAGGATGTCAGCGCGTGAAAATGGGTAATAGAGGTATAAATGACTTCTGTAAACGCAGAAAAATAGAACTGAAGCTGGGCACATGCACGCCAAGAAGAGCACTGTCTGGATTTGGAAGTAAGATGACAATGCGCTTACAAGCATACGGCTTAGTACGGCTGGGTTGCAGGTAAGCACTGTTGTCACAGCCGTATAGACCGAGACGTGAAGATGAGAACTTCGAGTTCGAAGATAAAGTTCGGGAAATGAAGAAGTTTAGAGTTTCAAGACCTGGGAGTAGAAAGCAGACTAACGTCAACAGACAGGAACGTCGGTTCTCTGAAGATGTCACTTCTTCCGGAAGAATGGCAGTGGGTGGCTGTGGACTCCAAAGGGTCAAGTAAAGATTACAAAATGCGGCAAACAGTAAGAAAAAATGCGATGAAGTCATTTCGTCGAAACGAACGTTTAGAGAGATCGAAGAACTACATGGAGTCGCGAGCCAAAGGCAAAACTACATCGAAACCTCGAAGTTTACAACCACATCCAAATGTTGCTATCCTTGGCAGCCCTAGTCAAACAGCTAATTCATGCAGAGAGCCAGTTCACAACCTGGTTTCCTCTCAACCAACCACGGTCCTGTTCGATCGCGAGGCCCAGCGACTTTGGTCTCATTTCATCAACCATATTGCGGTGCAGTTGCAGCCGGCCGGTACTCCAAAGGAATGCAATGCGATCACCACATGTCTCGTCCCTCAAGCGTTGCAGCATACGGGATTCACAACATCTATGCTCTTCCATTCCGGCGCACATCTCGACGCACTTCTGAACCGGTCGTGGACGCGAACGACTCTCTTCTATCGAGGAGAGACAATACGACATATCAAAGAACACCTCTCATCAGGAGGATCAGAATCGAATGACTCATTGTTGGCGATGGTGGCATTTTTGGCTGCAGAAGGTAATGGTAGGTGACGCAAATGTCCATCGCAGATGAACTTGCTAGCATGCATTCCTGAACTTGGGTATATGCATCTGACAGGCTGTTCAGGATAACAAGGAGGATGCTGACTTCCTCTTCACCTCTAGTGAACGGCGATGTCAACTCCGACCATCTACATACTCGCGCTGTTCAAACGATGGTTCAGATACGTGGGGGCTTGAGCGCCATGAGCCTCACGCAAGCTCCTTTAGCAATGTCACTCTCCATGTAAGCTACAAGCATCACGCGACAAGATGTCACTGTTTTTGTTATATGGCTATAGATGATGTCAGCTAATCCTCACCCGCAGTGGCGATCTAATCCACGCCACTATATCCGGCCAGCCACCATCTCTGGAGCCGCCCTCCATAACCGCCAATGCCCTACTCCCCTCCCTACCACCAGCATTCCAAACCATCATGGATTCCTTATTATCAGCCGATCCACCTGAGGCCCTCTCCCCACGCACCATCCTTTCCATCCTGACACACTCCATCTCCACCCTATCCACCCTCCAAATCAACCTTACCACCTCTCCGACCACAACTCCCACCGTGCTCTCCTTCACCAACCTTTGCCTCGCAATCGAACACCGCCTGCTTAGTCTCGAATTCTCCCGCACGAGCTCAGCGCCAGAACACCTCATAGACGAAGCAACACGCCACGCACTCGTCCTTTGTATGAACACTCTTTTCCGCACGTTCAGGCCCACCTCCCCGGTTCTCGTAGCGTCGCAAAGGTGGCTGCAGAGTGTGCTTGGGAGGCTGGATGTGTCTGCTTTCGGAGAAAAGAACGATGGCGAGGAGCAGAGGCAGTTACTATGGATACTGTGTGTGGGAGGGGTGACTTGTGCTGTGGAACGGACGGAGTGGTATGCTAGGAAGATTGCGGCGTTGCTTAATCGTATGGATGTTCGAGGAGAGATCGTGGGAGATCGGAAAGTGGGGATACAAGAGCTGAGAAAATGCTTGCGGGAGTTCATTTGGGCTGCAAAGTTGGATGGTGCAGGATTCCCCGCACTATGGGACAAGGTTCGTGATGAGAGGTCACGTAGACACCCAGCTAGCGGTGACATGGGAGGGAGAGTATACAGTGGGTGACAGTTTTCGATAGAATGTATCATAATTCGAGAGGACACAGAGGGATATAGTGCGAGCGCACATCTATACAAAGCCGATGCACGCTCCGAAAATGCATCTACCCAAACGCCACCAACTCCACCCGGCCCGCCGACGTTTCGTAACCTCATCGCACGTCAATCGACATCTATCGCCTGCCATAGACGCTGTGCTCAGGCTTCTTAAACCCGAGACTTCCCTTCTTCCTCCTCGCCGCCGTACTCTCGCCTACATCTTGGCTATCGCCCCTCTCATCCAGGACGCGTGTCCGGGCAAATATATCGTCGTTACCATCATCAACATTGCGATGATCGTACTCTGCGTCACGCTTAAACAGGGCCAAGATATCTTGCATACTAAGCTTTCCAACGGCCTTGCCACCTTCTATGGCGGCCTGCGCGAGCTTGCGTTTTGCTTCTTGAAGCGCGAGGATGCGCTCTTCGACGGAGTTGTGGATGGAAAGGCGGTAGACGGTGACATCGACAGTTTGGTTGAGACGATGGACACGGTCGATTGCTTGTTCTTCGACGAACTAGAATACTGTCAGTGCTGTGTTACAGGATAGCCGCGAGTTGGTGGTACATACCGGATTCCAGAAGGGTTCCATAATAACGACCCGGCTGGCAGCTGTAAGGTTCAGGCCTAAGCTACCGCACTTCAAACTACAAATAAGAACGCGACAACGCTTGTCGTTGCGCAGCTTAGCTAGACTGGCCTCGCGGAGGTCATTGCGCATCTTGCCATCATAGCGCGTAAAGTTGTAGCCTCCGCGGCGGAGGAACGGCTGTATGAGGTCCAGCATAGATGTGAATTGCGAAAAGACGATGACCTTGTGATCAGGCGTCTCTTTCTCTAAGATGGTAAGAAGCTGGCGGATCTTGGTCGATGGCGTCAGGTCGGAGGCGTTGTATTCGATGTCAGACTCCTCTGTGTCTGAGTCCTCTTCCGAATCAGCCTCACTGCTAGAGTCTGAGTCTGTCTCGGATGGAAGCTCATTATCGGAGTCTATGCTGACAAGTTTCGCAGGCTTGGACAGTTTCCCTTTGCGAGCGACAGGACCCTCTTCCTCGCTGTCCGTGTCATGGACGATGAAGGATCCCACCGTATCATGGTCTTCATCACCAGAACCTGACGCATGTGAATCGACAGAAGCGAGAGTGTCACCGCCGCCTTCGGCATCCTCATCATCGGTTCCACCGGCCTTCCCCAGATTCGTAGGACCTTGCTCATCTTCGCCCACCAACCATTCGCCAGCCTCCTCTTCATCGTCACTGTCAACTACGACGCGACGCTGGCGAGAAGCGTTGGGAAGCTTTGGTGCATCCTCATCTTCGGAATCTAGTTGTCGGTGCTTTTCCTTCTTTTGGTCCTTGTGCTTGTGCTTACGGCTCTTCTTGTGCTTCTTCGACTTCTTCACCGACGCATTCAAATCAGTCTCGCATTCGTTGCATCGAATTGCACCAGGAGCAGTGTTGCCACTGTGGAGCCTGCTTTGGCACACATCACAACGCTTCGTCTCGACCGTGAGACCACCAAGGAGGTCAGCAAGATCGTCGGCATCGTCATCGTTGGATGCTTTTCGGGGCGTCTGTAGGCCCGTCTGAGGACTTGACTTCTGTCCTGTTGTCAAGGCATCTTTGTCTTCCTTCATGTTGCTTTTGGTTAAGCTCGGGTGATTGCAAGCCTGCCGAAGTCGTAGGAGCAACACCAAAGCCCCAATGTAGTCACGCTTCTCGCCACCCATCATCTCTTTCAGGCGAGACTCAGCACGGTCGTTAAGACGATCGTAAAAAGAGCGCTCTTTGGCTGTGAACTCCCCGATAACTGTTTCGATATTACGTCCAACGATTTGGAAGCCACCCTTCTTCTCTTCCCCTTCTTTCTGCTTGCCTCCAAAGTTGAGAGCCCCTTCTTTCTTCAAAACATCCTTAGTACGGCGCTTCATGAAGGCCTTGAGGAAGATCTGTAGTCGCCTCATGGCAAGGTTACCTCGGCCGCTCTTCATGGGACCGGTAATAGCGTCTTTCCAGTTGGGCATATCGCAGTATGGCTGAATGCGCAGGAATCGGATCAGACTCTGGAGCTCGTCGAGGTTGTTCTGCATGGGTGTTCCAGTCAGACACCATCGGTAGTGCGATTGAACTTCGTAGCAGGCCTTTGTCATCTTGGCGTTGCGATTCTTGATCGTGTGCGCCTCGTCCAGCATAACACGGTACCAATGAACACCGAAGCAGCCCTTCTTGAGACCATTTGGCCCTTCGCCACAGCTTGCATGCTCTGATGCAAGGACCTGGTATGTTGTGATGACGACATCGTAGGTCTTGAGCTTCTCCAAAGACTTGGTGCGGTTGGGACCATGGTGTACAAGAACTTTCAGGCCGGGCGACTTGGAGACCTTGTCGTTGATTTCGGCCTCCCACTGCTTGATAAGGGCAAGAGGCGCGACAATGAGCGTGCCCTTCCCGACAGCCGGGAGTATCCTGTTCTTCTTGTTCTCTGGCTCGACGCCCTTCTCTGGGCGGGGATTGGACAGGATTACGGCAATAGACTGCACCGTCTTGCCGAGACCCATGTCATCTGCAAGTATGCCACCTTTGGGTAGTTTCGCTCGTTTGTTGTGCGCACCCGTCTCCTTCTCGATCATCCACGCAACACCTTCGACTTGATGGGGCAGTAGCTTCACCTTCATGCCGTCGACGGTGCCGTCGTCCTCATCTTCTTCCTCGTCCTCTGCAGCCTTATCTGCCTCTGACTCCTTCACGTCAAGGGCTGCAAGACGGTCTGCAAGGGACATTGCAGCATCGCCTTCTGCCTGCTTCTTCTTCTTACGTCCTCGAGTCCGGGGGATGTTTTCTTCGTCTAGGGCGCCCTCAAGTAGCGCTTTGATATTCTCATTCGCCTGGTTGGAGTCCACGTACGCGTGAAGATCCGGCGCGCCAAACTCCCCACGTTCCGCACGAATTGCAGTATCCGGATCAAAGTCGTCCTCGTCGTCGCTTCCAGTTCGCTTTGGTGCTAGGTCGTCCAATATGACCGTCTTCCTGGATTCGAGCGAGAACATGCCCTGGTTCCTGTTCACAGGCTGGAAACCATTAGCATGTCCGACAGAAGAATATACAGGGCGCGGGGGCGCATGTATAGTCCTGTGTTGCGTGTTCATAGGTTGTGGCACGGGGGCAGCCGAGTAAGACGGCCGGGGTTGAAACTGGGACGGCTGAATCTCAAAGATGTCCGAATCGTCCGTCGAAGCACCACTATACCGTGAACTCACTTTGGGAGGAGCGCGCTTTGTGGGTTGCGAAGGGACGTTGGGCCGGTGGATGGCTATCGGCTTGTGGTCTCGGTGGTGTTCTGACCTCGAGTGGCCTGGCACGGGCTGATTGAACACGTGCGAGCTCTGTGTCCTCTGTGCGAAGTTCTTGAGCGGGCTTTGCATTGTACTGGCCTTCCCAAACTCGGGCGCTGCTTTTGGGGGCGTGCTCAGGTCGATGGGTCCATTCGCGCTCAGGCGCTCATGCAACGGCTTCGCAACTGGGGCATGGGCAGACGGAGGCGCAGGTGCACGAGGCTGGCCACCTGGTGGCTCGCGGTCTCGAGCCATGCTGCGCGGTGTCTTCGATATATGTGTTGTACGTGTCGGACGGTAGACAGGGCTCGACGCAGGCGGGGTGCGCTGTTCGTCGAAGAGCGAGCTGGAATTGCCCAGGTGCGATAGCTCGGATGGTTCGATAGAGGATTCGGTGGCGTCTTCGTCGCGTTGAGGTAGGTATGAATTTTCCTCGTCGCTGAGCGAAGCTTCTTGGGCAGGCTTGCTCCTTCCGGCTTTGAAGCTCGGCTTCTGTGGCGACAACAGAGTGTCGACGGGACGAAAAGGTGCTCGATTCTTCTTGGGACTGGTATTCATGAGCTATCGGCCATAACCATATCAGTGATATGTAATCTCGGAGACGGGCACAAAATACTTACGGGCCGTTTTTTGGTGCGATAGAGGGTCTTGTCGTGCTGTTTGTTGGTAGATTACCGGTAGGCACCAGCTTGGCGCCCGTCACCCCTCGCAACCGCGCTTGCCTCACGACGCGTCGCGAATTTTCGGGCACGCGCTGTCACGAGCCACTTGCGCATCTCAGTCCCACCAAGCCGTCTCTTGGTCTTGTGTCTGTGTGTGTGAAGCTGTCCGTCAACTCGCCGCGCGCTGCGCCCGTCCCTGCTCTCGTGTGGAATAGATTCGGTGAAAACGAAATACCTATGGTACACAAGTGCGCAGTCACGAAAATCGCTGCGCCGCACGGAGCGGGAGTCTCTAGATTGAACAAGTCTATGGTACATTGCTAGAAGAGAGAGATCGCGGCGACTCAGTCTCCTCACGACATGATCATCAATACATCTTTATCAACGGCCCCATACCCCTCTCTCTCCTCCTCTTGTTGGTGATCGCAATAATCCTACCATCGAGACACCACCACCAGTTCTTATAAAACACCTCCCCAATCTCCCACGCCTCTTCTGCTAGCTCGCTGCTGGCTTCCCACCCAACCAAATTTCCGTGTATCCTCACACCGTCTTGATGATCATCCAGATCGGTTATTAGTCGCATGATTGGCTTGCTTACTCCCTCCTCGACGTCGTCCTGTGCGATAGGTGGCCGAAACATGGACGGAAGGGAGAACATGCAAATCAGCTTCTCGCGGACTGAAGGCCAGGGCAGCGCGTCGAGGAAGGGATGGTGTGGGATTGTCATCTGGGCGGTTGTAGGATGTAAATTGGGAGGGAGACCAGGCGGTGCGATGGGCGGTAGAGTGTGTGTGAACCCGGGGTCCCAAACCTGAGAAGACGATAAGCACATAGTTGCAGAGCCTTTGAGAAAGGAAGGACAGAATGAACGCACCTTGTTCATGATGTCCAGCATGTTGGCTATGGTAGTGAAGGCACGGATGGTCGCCAAAACGGGTACTTCCAAGAAACTTGCATCTGAGCTCAGTGGACCGATACTTGACGACGATGATGGCGAAGACGATGAGGTTAGCGCTGGTGTGGTTCCTCTACTTCTTGACGCATGAGATGAGGTCGGAAGACCAAAAGCTGGACAAGTTCAGTATTCTTAACAAGAGTGGGTGAATCAATGTGCTTACAGATGTCCTCAAGCAGTTGAGCATCAAAATCGAAGACTTCTTGGGTAAAGCCGCCCGCAAGGTCGAAGGCGCTTTCCTCTTGCGGCATAGCGTCTCTAATGATCTCCTCTATCCCCTCAGTCTCATCCATTGAAAGGCCCGAGCCTGTGGGTATCGCCTGGGTCATGCTCGATTGCGCCACCGAATGGTGCACACTAGTATTCTGTATTCCATTGACCGAATCTGGCGTAGTTTCAGATGCATTTGGCACTGATACAGTACCTTTCGCCTGTGCTTCTAATCTGATCGGCGAATGCAAGTCAGTACCCAAGCAACACTGATGAACTGTTCCAGCCCCGGCCATCCAATCCCAAAGCTAACAGTAGAGTATACCAACATCCCACACCAGCCTCCAACGTGTTTCAAAGGGTACTTACGCTGCGATTTTGGCCTTTCTTCGCTCACCTAATTCCGATTAGCACTTGGGCACTATTTACTATACCAATGAATGCTTACGATATCTCCTCTGTGCGAGGACATTGAGTACTCTTTTCCGGTCCGGATCGCCGACATCCGGGACGTCTTCTGGCGTCTTGGTCTTCTTTTTGCGCTCCACTCGGTTAGCCGGCATCATTTGTAAGATCAGCCAACTTTTATAGACGCTCAGACGAGCAAGAGGGGGGTTTCTATACAAGATAACGACATACTCAGTCCATAACGTTATTCTTCCCCACTTAAGCTGACCGTGCTAGGCCTTTCGTGGCTAGTGACATAATGCGAGGCTGGAGGACGGCCTTAAGCGATGCAGATGCGACCCTCGATGCCTGAGACACCAGAAATGCATCTGTGTGCATCATTCTCGCGAAGCCAGCCGAGAGAGCGGGCACAAGGCTTGACGATCATGCATGTGCTGCACGTGTACCCCAAGAATGTAAGCGACATAGCTTTCGCATCGGATCGGACGCTGTTGGTTTCCGCGATGCTGCCTCAGGCACCTATTCCTCTCAGAAACGTAAGCAACGAGCATAACGTTACTCAAAAAACCTCCAACTTTTCTTATATAAATTGTTGTCGGACCACCATTAAATGCATCACGAACATTCATACAAAGAGACTGAACACCGACAACCCTAACCACAAAGATGTCTCAACCCATCACCAAGTCGTTTCCCATTGACCCTCTTATCGGGTCCAAACCCACCTCCAAACAAGATCCTAAGCCAATCCCCTCAAGCTCTGCTCTGGCCATCAATGTTCTGGCCCTCGGCCGCATCGGCTTAGGCCTGGCTTCATTCGTCGCCCCAACCGTAACTCTTTCACTCTTTAAGATCGCCCTCCCAGCCAACATGACGCTGATCCCCCGCATGTTTGGCGGGCGAGAATTCGTAATTGGTGAATGGACATGGATGGTCAAAGATGAAGATAAGAACGCTGCTGAGGGAGGGAGGAGGGAGTTGAAGAGGGCGATGAGGTTGAATACCGTGGTTGATGCGTTGGATTTAGCCGCTGTGGGGTATGGGGTAAGTCATCTCCTGCGGCCATGCACTGGATGAGTGCTAACTAAGTTGTCAGGTGGCGACGGGAATGGTGGGCCGGCTGCCAGGGGGACTGCTTGCAGGGGGAGCATTAACGTGCGTGGCGATGGACTTGTGGGGATTGAGAGGCTTGTAGCGAATGGAAATGTCCTGAGATGAGATATTTTGGGAATACAGGGTCTGAGTCGACATCTAATATCACAAAGGTTAGATCTCATACATCACATATTGACATGATGTGGCATGGTCTCAGCACTCGCTATCAATTGATTGCCCTTGGTGTCAATCGTCTTGCTACACAGGTTAGGTCTACGATCGATAGTATATCGAGGAGCAATCAACGTCGTCAGGTGGCAGCTCGCCCTTTTTCTTTTCGCCAACTGATCATGCTACAACGCTATTTGGTATTTTCCTGGCCCCAATCTTCTATCGTGATTCTTCATGTGATCTCTCTATATCCGAACGTCTGGAGGTCAGCGATTCTGCCTTCTCCAAGAAATGCTGCTGCTCAATCCTGCTCTTTTCGACGTCAACAAAGAAATACAAAAACACGCAGCTGACCAAGCTCAGCGCAAAGAGGAAGTAAAATGGACTGCTGTTGTTCCCTGTGTCATCAATGATGGCGCTGCTGACCAATGGCCCGATGAAAGCGCTCGTCTTACCAACAATGGAAAACAAACTAAAAAAGAGGAACTCCCTGCCACGCGGAGTGACCTCGCTGATCATGGTTTGAGAGTAACTGTACCACGGGCAGACGAACAGCCCGTAGAAAGCCTGGTACACCCACACTTCCCAGGACTTGTGGAAGCCAAAGGCTTGCGTCCAGATACCGATCATGCCCCAGCCGTCCAACACAACGATGGCACATGCAACGACCATGAACATGGTCTTTGTGGAGAATCCGTAGCGCTTCTGAATCTGCCAGAAGGCGCCGATGCCAACCGCTTGAGCAGCAATACCGACGATGAGGAGGTAGGTGAGCTGCAAGCTATTATATGCCACAATCTCGTTCTGAAGCGTTCCAATCACCGTTACGGTCGTGTTCAATGAGTCTGACAATGAAAAATAGCCCACAAGATAGGCCAGACTTTGACGCAGCTGCCATATCTGGCTCACTGCGTATCCGAGCTGCTTGAAACCGGCAAAAATGATGTTGGATCGTCCGGGATCCTGACCAGGTCTCCTCTTCTCCCACAAAAACCAAGGAATTGCGCACAAAATCCAGACACCTGTGGCGAACGCGATCAAAACCGACAGGCCCCAGTTGTTGTTCTCCTTGCTGTCGTTGACTTTGAGGCCGAACATGATTCCAACGATCACAGCTAGGATGGCGATTTCGAAAACGGACTGCGTGTAGAAGGCCGTGTTTGACAGTTCATTCCTTTTCATCGAATCGGCGAAGTCGTACTCGGCGCGAGAAATCCGTCCTTGGGCAAAGTCTTCAGCCTTCTCGCGTAGATCCCTGGTATTCCTTGCGAGGCCAGGAAATGCGGCGGTCCAGAATGTGACAGTCGTTTGGTAGGCGATCAGACCAACGATGTAGAGTCCTACACCAATATGCCAGTCTTCAGCGGTATGCACACCCAGCCAACCAAAGCCGACGCCGAATGCAATTATGGAAAGCACGATCAAGATGTTGGGCCGCCATGTTCCGAAGTCTGCAAAAGCACCTAGGATCAAGAATACCACGATCTGGATAGCGAAGCTGATGCCGTTGCAAAGGAGCACGATGCTGTTGATGGTCCTGTCTCTGCCAGCGAAGTGCAGAATCTCTGAGTCTCCGGAAGCTTGGTACATCAAGTTCTGAAATGCCGTGGGGCCGAAGTTGAAGAGCGTGAGACCATTGTCGCCCACGTAGTACGCGTAGTAGGCCCAGATCTCTTTCCTCGTCGTCTCGTATCTGGGGTCGAATTGATCAGGCGCGACTAGTGTCTCGTCGCCCGGGACATCGACGGCACCTTTGATGGCGTCTTCTGCTGGCGCATTTAACGGCGCGAGACCGGGATCGTTCGAAGCCATGGGGGTGCAACGCGAAAAGATGAAGGCTTGGAGATCACGGCCAGCTCGAATACTTATAAAAGTAGTTGAACGAAGAGACTTTCATTGCACGCGCTAGTGAAGTCGTCATGTCGTATTTCCGGATCAGAACAGGGAATAATATCGCGCAGGAAGACGAATATGTTCGGTTCTAGATTCCTGGGGCAAACGGCACATGGACGCGCGGGAGATAGACCTATCAAATGGACCCTGGTGGATGTTGCACGGAGAGAACCTAGCTGATTGCGCGAAGCTCGCGTTGCTGCTAATAAGCTCGCGCCAGGCGCGATCAAGCTTCCAGCAAAGGCCGGCGGACATGACCGAGGGCCCACTTGTTTGAAGAGCCTCTGCCCGCACGGAGGTGGCGCATTTGAAATATCTTACATTCCACCCGCCACCTCATTCATAGGTGCACACCCTCCTGGGAGGTTCGGGTGCATAGTTGAAAGATTATGAATTCCTCTTGTCAAAGATCACAGAGAGGTCTAATCACCCGTACTAGATGAAAGATCTAGCGTGCGACTATGCACCCGAACCTCCGAGGCTGTACTGGCAGAATGGTGACCAGTTGAGACCTCTCAACTATGGTAACTAACACTCGATATCTTACACTCGAGGCCAACAGCCAAATTGTATCTATGATATTGATACAACTGGATCAGTCTGGCAATTTAACATAACTTTGCTTATCTTTCTATACTTACGAGCCGAGGATTATTGCAGAGCAGTCAACACCTATCAACACGCTACGCATAACTTCCCCTACAAGAACAGCAACACAGATCTACATTTTAACTTTTATTACAATAACAAGTTCAATGATACTATTTCAAAATGTTTCCTTCTGAAAACTTTGGAAAGAATCCTGGCTTGGATGTTTGATAACTCCACGGTCTCTCGCGCTCCAGGGCATTGTCACGCAACGGAAGGTTTTAGAGATCCATCTGGTTCACTCGACGGCCACTCGCTCTCTGGAACATTGTCGGTTGCCTCATAACTTTCTGACGACATCGAGTTCGTTCTTCTAAACTTCTACACGATGTCGGTGCCATTGGACATGCGAATGTTATCTTTCAGTCCAATGCTAGAAACACAACCGCCTACCGGCCACGCACAGTTGAACTGCCCACCCTAGCTTCTAAGCTTGCAATTTCTTTCCCACGTCTTTCCCATATCACTCTTTGCACGCGGTGGGAAGAACCTCCCCGGGGGGCCATATAAGTGGAAACTCTGTTCCTCAGACTCGTGTACCCGCCTATAAAACCAGCATAGTTGCTGTGGATGCTGCGGGACATTCGGGCCCTGTTGAAACTGGAGAGCGGTGGCTCAAATGTTCGCGCGTGCCGTAGTGAAAACGGGACAGGAGAGGAAGCCTTCCATTCATGTTTAACTTAGTCCAGAAGAATCTAGTAGAGCACATTTTGATTTTGCTACTCTCCCTCTGTCAGGGTCTCCGCAGGAAAGCAATTCTATGTGGTTGTAGCACACAAAATGATTGTCGAGCGCAGGGCCGGGCCCATATCCTTTCTCTTGTCCTGCATCACAACGACCTCGCCAGTAGAACCAGCGCTGGACACAAATATATTGTAATTCTTGAGGAAGAAGGGATGAAAGACAGATCTGTAAGGCCCATAACTCTCTGCAGAGTAGTGGTTCCTCTCATTGAGGATGTGGTCTGGAAAGCAAACGTCATTGGCGTTGTCCACCTCTCAATCATCCGTCCGCGACATGCGTTAAAGTGCCCGTCACTATTGAAGAGAGCCAGGCCTTGGGATGGTTCTCATGTGATTTTTAGACGGTAAAGCGAGACGACGCAGCGGTCATGAGAGTCAGCGCAGGCAGTTATGGTCCTATACGACACAATTCCGGAGTCCAATTCCAATGGCCTGAGGACGAATGTGCTGAGGTTTCCATCGCACTCCATAATGACCAAGTTATTTACGAAATCATGATATACCGTATGTTACTCATCACGACGCCGCTGTGGGGTAAGAGACCGAATCGGGAGCCTCCAACATGAGCGCGTGCGATCCGCATTTATAGTCGATTAGAATAGGGAAGTGTTCTAGATTCCGCACGTCCCAGAGAGAGGACACGTCATGATCCCGGGTTTATTTTAGTCGCGGCCATCCCTCCGAAGCCCGCCTTGGAAGAAAACGTGGGAAAAAGCATAGCGTATTTTTGGAAGCGAATCCTGTGGGAAATCGACATATTGGGCTGGCACTGGGCGTTCATGTCTGAATGCGAGAGGGAAAGAGACAAGCATTATTTCCGGCTGAGGAGTCGCGGAAGAGACACGAGGGCCAGACATTTTCCATACTGCAGCCGCTTTGTAGCCATATTGACGACAACATATAGACAAGACGCTATGATAGCGTGCAGAAGATATATACAAGTTGGAGAAAAGAAGAGCATAAGAGGCCTTCCACTCAAATAACCTTCCCGCTACCACCGAGTGTCTTGACCACCGATGCGGCTGTAGCGTTGTGGATGGGGAACGTAGGGTGCAGGCTGTTGAGCCATAGATACTCGTTGACAGGATACAAACAGCTAGGGTCAGATGTGTACCAGGTAGGCGTGCCACTGTCATGTTGTCAGTACAAACTCGTATGCAGTGCTGCGAAAAGGACCAAATATTCGCGCAAGTCACGCTGGCGTGACCGCAGGAAGGGAATGAGGGGGAACCCTACTTTTCGTAAGCGGTACAGTACCCCGTGGTGTTCTTCAAACCAGCAGTTTGCTCATATGTTTTGGGGTCGTTGATAACGTTCGTGAAAAGCGTGTGCGTATCATGTATGAAGATCTTGGGGGTATTGTTGTGTCTGTTTGAGAAAGAGGTTGTGAGATTCTTCAGCTTGGCGTTCCAGGTCTCGATCATCTTGCCCTCGTTTTCGATCGCATAGTCTCCGTTCGCTAGTGTGAGCGGCGCCAGATTCACAGGTGGCACTGACAGGAATAGGAAGTTCCTCGCGCCAGTGGCGTAGATTGATTCCAACAGCCCATCGTACACTGTGAAGATCTGGTCGTATAGAGCGGTGGCGTTGCTCAACCACCACGAATTGCCCACGTCGTTAATGCCGATCCAGAAGGCAAAGAGTGAATTGCTATCCTTCCATGGTACAGAAGACGGATGAGACCCGTAGATCGGGAGGAACTGATCCTGCACCTGGTTCTTGAGGCTCAAAACCGTCGGAGTGTAGGGTGCAACAAGGGCGGAGTCTACGGTAGCACCGCCATAAGCCAGGTTGTACGTTTGGATCTTGGTCTTGTTGTATGTCGCAGTCAAGAAACCAACCCAGTTTGGTCCATTGGAAGAGGTCCAGCCAGGCCAAGGTGGGTTGCCGAAAGGATTTGTTGTGGAGGGCTGTGTGGACTTCGGATCAAACCCAGTCTGGGTATACGAGTCGCCACTGGAGACGACTGTTAGCGACGTAGATATGGAAGCTTTCATGAAAGCTCACAAGACGAAGAAGTATTTCACGCCTTTCCATCCTGACCATGTTGACGCACGCTCAGTCAGTGGAGCTGCAATGACAGCTGTTGCCAGTGAGAGAGTAAGACCAAAGGACTTCATTTTGAGACCGAAACTTCGAAGCAAATGAAGTGAAGACAACGTTGACGGAAGAAAAGTGGGTTATGTATAAAATGGAGGTATTTGGAAGTACCAGACTATCCAAGTGCCAGGGTTGCGGAGGTGGACCATCCATGCCGGGCGAACCAGGTAAATTAGATTAACTCAAATGAAGAAGCTCCTTATGACCTAGTATCGACGAAGCGAATGAATGCCCGAAGGCGACTAAGACGCTGCGTAGAAGGGCTAAAGAACGATTTCCGAAAGCTTGTATGGGCTTGATCGACAGCGGGGAGGGGTGCGGCTCTAGCATGGAGGACACGATCCGTGACGGGTTGGGAAAGGCGCGATGTAGGTTCGAGAAGGGCACGCGGTGGAGACATGGAAAAATTATTCCGTGGCACAATTTCGTCTTTGCACCTATGTCGCAATGCTGAACTATTGTTGTTGGAGAATGGCTGTCGTCCGAGGCCGCCCTTTATGATTCATTTATACCGCGTCTAGGTCTGATCTTAGTTGGCACTGTCAAAACATCGTCCCCACACCCCACAAAGCCATTGTCTGGTCTGCAGCAAGGTCATGTGACGAGAAATCAGCTGTAGTCTCGGAATCTGGCCGTCCGTCCAGCATTGTTCCGTGTAGGATCCACTTTATTCAAATATGAACGCAACACTTTTGAATTGTCGCATGAGCTGACCAGCCTCTAGTATGCCGTCGAATAAATGTGATGAAGTGGACGAACGTCGCGCTATGGCTCACAACCTGCTACGCGTGGCCTTCAATGTTCAAATGGAGATGGCGGAGTAGCTGGATACTTCGAGACGGCGCGAAGGCTTGTGATTTCCGCCGAGGCAAGGTCACGCAGCGAGGGAACAACGCGTCGGGCGTCATCGGAGTCGCTACTCGTGTAGCTCGCACCCGAAGACACTCGTTTCGGGCGAGGTCGTCGGGCGAGGCCTCTGTTTTTAGTCTAGTGTGGCCAGAGCTTCCTCACAGCAGGAACAGGGACAGCACGTGGTTTTTGGACTTCTGCATCACGTGCAACACTACAGCAGTTTCGTCCGAGACGATTTTAGTCATTCTGGTCAGAGACTACGACTTCACCTGCACAAGGCCTCAGTCAAAGAAGTCAAGTATCTGATCTTAGCTTCTATACCACCTCATTGATCGAGATCTGCTGTCCCTTCCCAGTATATCTCCACCTGCTAAAAACAGCAGGCTCCCCCCTTGGACAATCGACTCCCTTGCCAGCTCCATTACATGTCGCATAAGCTCCTACCAGACTCCCCACGAACGTGCCATTTCCACCGGACACGAGCTGAGCGGAGGCAGTCCCCATCTTGATAGCCGACTCGGGATGACCAGCCTTCATAGCGGAGAACTCGTAGGTCACGTTGTTCGACGTCGATATCTGCAATCGCAGGTTCGATTGTTTCCATGCAGCGGGGACCGGCACAATGTGCGGTTCCGGAACGGCGATGGGGACGTTGTCGCTAGTGACGCGGAAACGGAAGGCGAGCTGAGGCTCTTCTGAGGGCTTCGTGGGAGGGAGCTGGACGACGCCAAGGTCCAGGTGGTTCACCTGGGTAAGGAAGACTGATACACCAGCCTCTTCGTTGGCGTTTTTTGGCTTTGAGACTAGGTCTACGCTGTAGGTGAACAGAGTATCTGTTTGTCTGCGAGCGATGAAGGAAAGCCCCCGTTGGCCGCTGGTCTCGACGTTGCCGAAAGGAGTGCCTGTTAAGTTTGCACGTGAAGGTGTGACTTGCAGACCTTTCTTCGAGATCTTGAAGGCTCCTTCAGCTGGGACGCGCCAGTGGATGAGATTCTTCGGAATGGAGCTGCCCGCTTCAAAATCATATGAGTCTGGGTCGGCAACGAACGGTCCATCACCAGGGATGCGGCGATTAGGTGGGGGCATGGTTGGCCATCCACTCATTCTGCCCTCGATTGTCTGCATTACCGGCCATTCGCCTTCTTCCCAGGTTACTGGGAAAAGAACGGCTTCACGGCCCATAGGATATATCTCATATGCAGGCCCGGACCGTGTCGCAAGGCACATGCCCCACCAGTTCCCAGCTTTGTCGGTGAACAGGTCCCCGTGTCCGACCGTTTGGAAGTATCGCTGTGTGCCGCGAGCTGTAAGCACAGGATTTCCTGCATATGCCTCGTAGGGCCCGGTGAGCTTACGAGACCGCGCCATCGTAATGGAATGGTCCTCTGCAGTTCCGCCTTCGGCAATGAGTAGGTAGTAATATCCGTCTTTCTTGTAGATATGAGGTCCTTCAGGCCATACACCGCCAGTTCCATTCCAGAGGCTGATCGGCGGCTGGCTGAGTTCACCGGTCTCCATATCTAACTTTTGTAAGATGATACCTTGTGTCGCCACATATAGCGTGCCATCATCGTCCCAAAAGAGATCTGGGTCGATCTTCTTGGGGGAGAACGTGACGGGATCGCTCCAAGCTGCGTCGTTGAAAGGATCTTTGGTCTTGAACAAAACACCAATGATACCCTGAGATAGACCCAGGTACTCGCAAACCACGTATATCTCTCCTTTGTGTTCACGAATCGTCGCGGCGTACATGCCCTGCTGTTGCTGGGTCGTATTCCAGCTCACCCCCGGCAGCTGCGACTCACGGTTCCAGACATGGCTGATAAGCCTCCAGTTGCGCAGGTCTTTGGATGCATAGACAGGAAGACCGGGGACTAAGGCCGAGATTCACTGTTAGCTCATCGTCCCTGAGGATGGGGCGCGACTGCCTGGCGACAGTCACGCGAGCTGAATGCCAGAGTTACGTACAAGCAATAAATGTTGATGTTACGCAGAAGAAGGTATCGTCTCTCCGGATACAAGACGGATCAGAGTGCCATCCAGGGAGTGCTGGGTTATAGAAAGTAGCATTGCCAGTCTGATAGCTCTCCGCCAGTATGCCAAGAGCAAGGCTCAGGAAAGCGAGCAAGAGCTTCATGATGGTGGGACTACCTGTGGTATGGTACTGCGACGAAAACGATGATCATGGTGGCTCTCGCTTTATTTAATAGCTTGTGCATGAGCGACTCTGGCCAAGGAACGTATATGCAGATCCGTTTGCCTAGTCGAAGAACATGTACTCTTTGCAGCGCTTTAGGAACAGCGGGAAGGATGAGCAACCGGTAGAAGTGAACGTCTCTGCCCGGTGCCCGGAATTCCTCCGTTTAACCGTTGTAGCGTGCGGGGAACAAGCCATCGCTGGTGCGCGCATCGAATGTAGATGGCGCGACGGGTAGTGCCTGGACTGATGAGTGTAGAGAGAGAGGTGCATAGGGTAATTAGGAGCCCACGCCCAGGTGTTGTCTTGGGTCTTGGAACCCCATGGATCCTCACTACTTCGGTCGTTATGTGGACCACTAACTCGAATAACAGGCAATCGGCTCCACCCAACTGTTGGTCGATATATGTTGACTTCATTGACTATTCGAAGGCTTAAATCGATCCCTGAGCTGCTGCAGTGCGCGACTCGACTAGTGTTGAGTCGTCAGCCGGCACGAGGCCTGCAGTACACCAGTCGTTAAGACATATAAGCTGGGTATGTCATCCGTATAACCTTGCTTTGTGTTAATTCGTGGTCAAGTCCTTACACGCCAGAACGTCTGTCGCAGACCGTCACGTGACCGCCATGGCGCAAAGAACGGCGTTCAAACGAAGTAGGACCGTTCAGTCACCACAGCGGCGTTGGCGTGGGCATTGGGGCGAGGAAAAGCCGATGATGACCAGTTGGGCAAGGCAAAAGTAAGGCCGAGCTGAGATCAAAGTGTGGCTGACGATGATCGCCCGGGATGCGAGCGATGGCTGGCGACGCGGCAATCCCAGCCGCACGGCGCTCGAGGACACGCCGGATACGCAGGATACGAAAAGCCAGGCCGATGGCATTCCTAACCTGCTGTAAACACAAGCCTGACATCACCCGAGTAATCGCGCACTGGACAGACGGTGACCGCATTCGCCCGGCGGCCCCCAATCGCTTGGGCATTTCGCAGCTCGCGCCGCAGCTTCCTCCGAGGCAGGCACCAACCCTTTCAACAGCCGCTTCCAAGATTCCTGGCAGTCGACGTTATATTGCTGCGAGACCAGTCTCGTTATTCGTGCTTGCATGCTTTATTGCTAACGTCGCACCGCAATGCACATTCGATTGTCACCGTACCATTACATTCGCTGAACGCCGGTGACGTGGACCCTTCTCAGAACCGACTATTTGTTGCTGTCCCGCTGCCCGGCTGCCACGGCGGGGAAAGCTGCAGAGAGCCACGCCCACACCCGGCACAAGCGATTGTGGTAAACCGCAGCCATGGCGGGCATGGAGCAGCTCGAAGTCCACAGCAAGGCAAGTCCCCGACCGCCACGGCGCGCGCTCGCCGCTGCTGACCGCCAGCCTAGTCGTACCTCGTCCGCTGGGTGAACGTGTCTGCCGGACACACAATCTCCTGGAGCATACAGCCGCACAAGAAGTCGATCAACTTCGGTCTGTACAAGCACCCCGGCGCAGCGACCGGAAATACAACCACCGTCACCGCCGTCTCCACCTTCGAACCGCCTCCGACACCTGGCCTCGAAGTGCCCAACCCCTCCGGGCGCGGGCGTGGCCAGTCCACCTCGCGCAATGACAGAACCGTCGTCTTCGAGAAGCTGGACAAGATTGGCCTGAAGCAGGTTCACTGGGTCGGGAAATGCGAGGCCGAGAAAGTGTCCATGGGGACTTGGGATGTACCCGACCACGAGGGTGGCATGTACGGTCTGGTCTTTGACAACACCTTTTCCAAGACCGTCTCCAAAATGGTCACCTTCGTGCTGATGACATACCCGACCAATGCACCACCCAAATCAGGACACCACATGCACTATGCCCAGGCCATGGGCGGGCAAAGTTCGACCAGCCTAGGGTCGAGCCCAGCACTGGGACCAACGGCGGCACAGTCTTCCGAGTCGCTGCCGCATCCGCCGCTCGCTGATCGACCCAAGTCGTCGTACGCAGTCGCCCCGTCGGCGAGCTCTTCGTTCCTCACTGGTGTCCTGCAGAAGAAGCGGAGGAAGAGGAACCAGGGATACGCTAGGCGATTCTTTTCGCTCGACTTTACATCTTCGACGCTCTCTTACTACCGGAACGACCATTCTTCCGCGTTGCGTGGTGCCATTCCCCTTTCGCTAGCCGCCATTGGCGCGAATGAAGAGACGCGGGAAATATCGGTAGACTCGGGAGCGGAGATCTGGCACTTGCGGACGAACAACACGAAAGACTTCGACACATGGAGGGACGCACTCGATCGAGCTTCGCGGCATGCAGGGATCGCCTCGCCAACACTGCAGATACCTGACAGTTCCTCTAAGAGCGGATCCCACATTCTGAATGCAGCAGAAGAAAACGAATGGGCCAGAGTCGAAACTCTGGTAGGCAGAATTGCAGGCACAAGAGATGCGGTACGAAGACTTGCTCAGGACACAGACCCAAAATACAACCAAGCGCCAGCATCAGCGCCCGTTCCAGTCAGACAGCCTCAGGACAGCTTGTCACCCAGTCCATCGGAAGAGAGCAGCGACTTCTTCCTGGACGACAAAAGCTTCGACAAGAAGGCATTTTGGAAACGAAAAGCAAGCAGTTCGGGAGGCCACAGCCCTTCGAGCCTGTTCCGAAGAAGTGTCTCTGCTCAGACAGGGGTTGCAGCACCGAGCGCTGTCCCGCCTGTTCCTCCTCTTCCTCCCCTTCCTCCCAATGGGAGTCTGTCGGTTCCGAAACGAAACAACCGCCTCAGTGTTGCAAACTCAACACATGAAGACGGCCTTCACGATCATTGCATGGAGCTTTTACATGACCTTGACACAGTGGTTAAAGAGTTTTCTGCATTAATCTCTGAAAGCCGACAAAGACGTACCCCTGCACCTTTATCGGCCATATCTTCTAGGCGAAGTATAGACTCGCAAGAATCTGCGGACGAATTCTTCGATGCCACCGACGGTGGAACTGCGCACTCGCAACTCCTTACCATTCGTCGCGATAGCTCAGGGGCTCGTTCGCACGATGACGTCTCCGATGGTGGATCCGAATCATCCTCTGACAACGAAGGAGGTGGCTTCTTTGACAACCGCGCATCCTTGGAAGTTCAGCCATCCATCTTTCCAAAGAAGCCCAAGTCCTTGACTCCACTCCCGTCAGACCCAGTGCCCCGTCGCAGAGATGTCCCAATATCGAAGACTACGCCTCCAAGTCTGATCGCTTTCCTCAGGAAGAATGTCGGGAAGGATCTTAGTACCATCGCTATGCCTGTAACATCTAACGAGCCTACATCTGCACTGCAACGTCTGGCCGAACAGCTCGAATATACCGAGCTCCTCGACACCGCGACTCAAGTTCCCGCGGAGACAGGGGAGCGCCTGGTATACATGGCTGCCTTTGCCATTTCCGCCTTTAGCAATGCTCGCGTCAAGGAACGCGCCGTGCGCAAGCCGTTCAACCCTATGCTAGGCGAGACCTTCGAGCTCGTCCGTGAAGACAAAGGCTTTAGATTCGTTGCTGAAAAAGTCGTTCATCGGCCCGTACGCATGGCATGTCACGCTGAATCTACGAATTGGACGTTTGTCCAAGCTCCCACCCCAGTCCAGAAGTTCTGGGGTAAAAGTTTTGAAATCAACACCGACGGGAAGGCAAGAGTGTTCTTGCACGACGCAGGTGAGCACTACAGCTGGACCATCGCAAGCAGCTTTCTCCGGAACGTCATCGCCGGCGAAAAATACATCGAGCCCACAGGCACCATGACAGTCCTCTGCGAGACAACAGGCGCAAAGGCCGTCTGCACGTTCAAAGCAGGCGGTATGTTCGCCGGCCGCTCCGAGGAAGTCACCGTGCAGACATTCGACAACTCGGGCAATACGCTCACCGCCGGCGCGCAGGGCAAGTGGACGAGCGACCTCGTGCTCACGCCCACGGGCAAGACAGTGTGGAAGGTCGGCGCGCTCGTCGACAAGCCCGAGAAGCACTACGGGTTCACCACGTGGGCGGCGAGTTTGAATGAGATCAGCCCGCTAGAGAAAGACCACCTTCCACCGACGGACTCAAGGCTCCGGCCCGACCAGCGCGCGGCGGAAAACCAGGACATGGATTCTGCGGAGGGGCTTAAGGCGCGTCTGGAAGAGCGGCAGCGCGCGAGGAGGCGTGTCATGGAGGAGCATGGGGAGGAGTGGACGCCCAAGTGGTTTGTCAAGGGTGGACCCGAGGTGGAGAGTGCGTTGGGCGGCGAGGAGGTGTGGCGGCTCAAGTCTGGGAAGGAGGGGTACTGGGAGTGTCGTGAGCGGGGGGACTGGGAGGGCGTCACGGATGTGTTCCAGTTGTAGAGGGGCTGCGGGGCGCATGCATTGGAAAGCATGATGACATCGTGAATGTGAGAGCAAAAACGAAATCTACGGTGGTCCCTATGTCATCTTGTGCGAGAAGAGAAACATGTGTTGCCTCAAGATCTTGGGTGTATTTGGAAGGTTGAGCCTCGCGATCAAGCGAGGTATCAGCAATTCTACGATGTAGCAGGGTCTTTTGTGTGGGGAAAGTTCACAGATGCCTGATGCCCGTCGCGCCATGCCAAAAAAACGCCATGCTATGTACCCTTGAGATGGCCAAGTCAATATAATACAGCACACTCAATTTTCCCACAGCTCGCATACCCGCCGGAGCGTCCCACAAAGGCAAAGAGAAACGAGGGTTGAACTGAGCGCCACAAGTCGCAACGCCGAGCCGCAAAACGCATTCCTCAGATCTCGATGTCAAGCCCAATGTCCATGGACGCAATGATATCGTCGTCCATCTTCGGCTTCCTAAATGTGGGCAGTCCCTTGCGCTCACTCTTCTCCTTCTTCTTGGCCTCGCCCTCGGGCTTCGGCGTCTCCTCCTTGGCGACGCTGCTCGCCCTCGAGCTGCCCCCGTCAAACAGGTCGTCGACGGAAAGAAGATTCTTCCGTTCCTCTTCTGCCTTGCGCTTCTCCTCTTCGGCCTTCTTCCGCCGTGCGTCGTCCTCGGCCCGCTTCCGCGCCTTCATCTTCTCCTTGCGTTCTTCGAGCTGCAGCACGCGAATACGTTCACGCTCGGCCTCACGGTTCTTGCGGTTGAGTTCGGCGAGGCGATTGGCGGCGGCTTCGGACTGGGTAGGGATCCTTGGCGCGGCCTCCTCCCCACGGTCGCGGTGGAGCAAATGTGCGTACTTGTTGGACTTCTGGATGCGGGCGTTGATGTCGTCGTCGGTCCAGAAGCGGTTGTCAAAGGCCTTGATCTCGTCGATTTTGCGGGTGACGTAGGATTGCGTAGGGAGCTTTGTGCCAGCTTCTGAGAGGGCGTGGCGGTAGGCGTCGAAGTCGGCGTCGGTGAAGCGCTGGTTGGAGAGGTATTGGAAGGGGTACTCTTTTTGGGTTGAGCCGTGCTTGCAGATGACGTATTGGTCTGTTGCGATGCGCTGGCCGTCCTTGCCGTCGAAGACGTACGGTTTGCCTGCTTGGAAGCCTGGGGGGTCTTCAGTTGGGGCCTGAGGATTCGAGTCTGTGGAACGTACCCTTGATCTGTGCCATCCTGTAGACAGTCCTGCCCTTGTCTTGTCCAATACCTATGCGACCGAAGGCGCCGTTCATAGCCTCATCAAAGCCAGGCCAGAAACAGACCTTGGAAAAGAAGCCTCGTCCAATGCGAATGGATTCGACATCCCTCAGCGTGACAGGGAGATCCTCACGGACAGCGGGCTTTCGCTCGTTGTCCCAGTCGACATCCTCCTCGCCCTCGGCATCGACATCTGAGCCGCCGTCTCTGCCAAGAGAATCTGACCGCCGACGGTCATTGCGGCTGTCGTCTGCGCGCTGCCGTTGCTGGCCTTTCTGCTCGCGGGCAGCTGTGTATGCATCGAGTGCGGCGTTCCTCTTCGGCTTCACCTGCCTGCTACTCTTGCGAGAATCCTCAGGTTCTTCCGAATCAGCCTTCCGCTTCTTGTTGTTCATGGCGGCGCGCTTCTGCAGCTCAGCCTGGAAGTTGGTCCTGCTGATCTCCTCGGCTCGCTGGCCCAGGATCTCCTCGCGCTCGAGCTGCGACATGCTCATGATCCTCTGCTTGTCCCTCAGATCGATGAATTGGCCTTCGAGCGGGTACAGCACGCCCGAGTCGCGCGCAGGGGGTTCGTCATCGCGGTCCGAGTCCGACTCGTCCATGTCGCCGGAGCCAAGCGAGTTGGGCGATGAGGCGGCTACTGATGAGCTGGGTGGCGTTAACGACATGTTGGCGGGGCAAAGAGAAAGGAGAGGGGCGCGACGAGGTGCAGTCGAACGAGCCGCAACGGGAAGCAAAGAGAGCAAGAAGCGGGTCGAGATGCGGCAAGGCAGCGCAAGTGAAGGGGAGACTCACGCTTCGCCTTCCTCGATGTCGATCTCCTCGTCGCCGCCAGCGAGGGCGAGGAGCTCGTCGTCGAAATCGTCAGACATGGCGAGTGCGGTGCCGGCGATCGAACGCAACGCGTGGGTGTGGTATGGGTGACGCGGCGAGCGTGCGCGGGTCGGCGCGTGGGCGGATGGGAGGCAAAGCTGGGGTGAAAGGACGAGGGTTGGCGGCGAGGGGGTGGGAATGGATGTCACTTTAAAGAAAGACGCGGTGGCCCAGCCGCAAAGCGCTGGGATTGGCACTCGGACCCTTGCTCGGGCGGCGCGATTCGGGACACTGACGTGACTGGCGCCCGTGGGTCACTTTTCGGTCGTCGCCTCATCGATTCCGCGTTGCGCCCACCCAGCGGCACCGCAACAACATCGCCGCGCTGCCGCCTGCCTTCACTCTGCTGCGCGCCTCTCTAGACACCATAGACACCATGGCGTCTGCGCTCCTTGCCACACGCCCATTGGCCCGCGCCGCCGCCCGCAGCACCCAGCACCCCGTCGCCCAATTCATCGTGCCCTGCTGCATTGCCCGCCCCCGGCGGCGAATCCACTCCTCGCCCGCACACGCCGTCCAGTCCTCCCCGACGAAGCGCTCCGTCGCAGCCGCAATACCACAAGACCATGCCGACCACTCCGACCTCCCCACCCCGCACAACACCGCCGCCGGCACCCCCATAAAGCTGCTCTCGCAGGAGCAGCACGACTTCCTCGACTCGGCGCTGCGCGTCAACCAGGCCGGCGAGCTCGCCGCAGTCCTCATCTACGCAGCGCAAACCCCACCTCTCCTCCGCGCACACCCGCACCTAAAGGGCCTCATGAAGCACATGCACGACCAGGAAGTCGGCCACTTCCGCTACTTCAACTCGATACTCGCAAAGCACCGCGTCCGCCCCACCGCCATGTATCCCGTCTGGCACGCCGCCGCCACCGTCCTCGGGTGGGGCACCGCCGTCATCGGCAAGGAGGCCGCCATGGCCTGCACCGAGGCCGTCGAGACCGAGATCGGGACCCATTACAACGAGCAGGTGCGCGTGCTGCTGGACTGGGCCGACAAGCTCGAGGCCCGGGGCGAGACGCTGGGCGACGAGCTGACGGTGCTGATTGACGAGTTGAGGCGGATACGGGACGAGGAGCTCGAGCATCTGGATCATGCCGTGGAGAATGACAGCAAGGAGGCGAAGCCCTATGAGCTGCTGACCAATGTTATAAGAGGGGGCTGTCGGACGGCAATTTGGATTAGCGAGAGAGTGTAAGATGACCATGTGTATTTGTATCGAGATATGGTGTACGATGCTGGCGACCACACCGCTGCTCACCCACGTTAAACCTAAACGACGAAACGTTTGTGTATTCTACTAGACGATTGCGTTGGATTCACACATGTACTTTGTGCTTGTAACTATGTATCTGTCTTCTCGTGTTTTGTAACTGTACCATATGTAGCGTATCCCGTATCCGTCTCTCTTCGATCTTACGAACATTTCAGCTTGCATAGATTTCAATTCAAGGCCACGTATTGCACAAAAGCTAGGTGTAGGTCGTGGTCAGAGAAGATGATCAAATTCCGCACATCGGAGTATCGAACGCTCAGTCAACGCCCTGCGGCACCTTATTCCAACCGCCTAACTCCAAACGCAAACCCAGCCCTGAAACATTTCACTCGAAGCCCCCACCCAACCGACTCAACACGCTCCTCTTCCCCCTCGCCAACCCCACCTTCTTCTTCAACGCCTCCTTCCTCTTCCCCTCCACCTTATCCAACACCGCCCTCCTCTCTGCCTCCCTGGCCTGTGCATGGATATTACTCCTCCCCGTCCCGCCCATCCTTACGCCCCCTTCACTGCTCCGCCCTGCCGACGATGTCGACCGCTCAGATGCCACGGAGAGATTACTAGTCGCCCTGCGGATGAGCGACGGCACGCGGAAGCCGCCCGCGCCGGCGGTCGAAGGCGCCTGGAATGCCATGTTTGATTTGGTGGATGTCTCGGTGGCGAGGGATGGGGTGCGGGAGAGGCGGTTCGTGACGACGCGCTCAGCGCGGACCATGGGGGTGGTGGAGGAGTCGTCTTCGGAGTCGGAGAGGGAGGTGTATTGTGAGTCTGGGACGACGTCGCGGGGGTCGTCAAGGAGCTCAGCGACAGAGTCTTTGATGTCGGCTGCGGAGATGGGGCGGCGCGTCATAGCGTCGGCAACAGCTGTCCTGCGTAGATGAGGAGGCGGGCGGTTCTCCTTCTCCTGGGAATCGGCGGCTGGTGATTTGCGCTTGAGTGAGTTCGGAGGTGCATGAGTGGTTTGCGAATCGGGAATGGAGACTTCTTGCGTCTCTTGCTTGTCTTGCTTTTCCTCGTCAGACTGGGACGCTGAGTTGGCTGCTGGCTCCTCGGGGTCGTCCAAGAACTCGAGATCAGAGTCATCGGAGTGGTCCATTATCGTGGCGAAGAAAGCTTTGCGCTTGGGATTCTCCGCCATCTTGCCGACTGCCTCGTCCTGCTTGAGCGCGCGGAACATCTGATCGAACTCGCGCTGCTTCTTTCGCCTGCGCATCTCCATCTCGTCTTCGGAGTCAGACATGTCGAAAGCATCGCCAACACCTCGCTTGCGGAAAGCACCAGTCTGGAGGTCCTTGTAGATCTTGGCTACGCTCGCGTCGTGGTCTTTGCGTGCCTTGTCGCTGTGTAGTGTTAGTAGAGCAGAGACTGTGTATGAATTGGAGACTTACGCAAACAAGGCGGCAATTTTCCGCTCGTCGACCTTGACATCGCTCGTGTCTATCATCTCAGCAAGATCTGCGTCCTCTTCTCCGCTGTCCTCATCACTCGCGCCTCCGATACCCTTGTACTCATCGTCGGATTCGTACGCTTGCTCGTCGAGATGCTCTCTCGCTGCACTAGTCTTCTTGTTGAAAGGGTCGATCTTCTTCTGTTGCTTGGCTGCATTCTTGAGGAAGCTGAAGGCATCTTCAGTTGCCGGCTGACCTGCATCGGCTTCGGCATCGGACGCCGAAAAGACGTTTTCATCATCTACATCCGATAGTACCACTGTAGCCACTTTACGCCTCCTGCTAAGCTTGCCCTTGCGTTGTGCGATGGGAGACTCTGGTACGGGGACCATAACGGTATCAGCAGTAGACGGCATGAGACCAGCAGGTGAGCGAGAGATCAAAAATCCGGCATCCTGAGTGGGTTCTGGGACTTCTGAGGCCTGCGTGTTGGAGTAAATCGCGGTCTCCTCCAACAGTTGGCTAATGCCCAAGTTAATTGGAGGAGCAGAGCCATCCTGAGTGTCATCCTGCTGGAAAAGTGCAGACTGGCTGTTAGGTACAAATATATCGTTTCTTTGGCTAAAGCTTGGCTGGCTGTCGGGCAAACTGCGAAGGAAGTCGATAGAGTCCTGTTCAGGTTCCTGCGTCAGGGATCGATCAGCTTGGGAGCCTGACTCCAGGATGGCCATGGTGCCAGCAAAGGCCTGAGTAAGCCCTATTGCCGGTGCTGTAGCTCCAAAACCGAACGCAGCCATAGTCTCATCTTGTGTAGCGACTTGGGTTGGAGATCCGTTGAATTGAGCTGTGCTCTCCTCGTCATCTTCGTCATCGACGACAACCTTCCGGGTGCGTTCTGCGGGCGCCTTGCGCACAATCTCTTCGGGCTCCGCACCCAGCATATCGTCGTCTTCACCATCTTCTGGCGCATCATTGGCTGATTCCTCGTCCTCGTCTTCACCCGCCATTGTGTCGATCAGAGCGTTTGCTTCGGGTGCTTCCTGCATGCCTTCATCATCTTCATCTTCATCTTCGTCAAGCTCATGCTCGTCATCTGCTTCCTCGTCTTCCGAACCGGAAAGCTCGAGTTCGACCTCATCGGCATCGCCCAGATTCTCAGCGACTTCATCTTCCTCTCCACTTGCTACATAGTCCTCGTCTTCTTCCTCGTCGCTTGACGCTAGGCCGTCCCCAATCTCCCCATTCTTCTTTGCGATCTCTCGCTCTCGCTTGGCCAGTTTGAGGTCCTTTTCTTTCTCCTTCTCAAATTGCGCAACCAGGTCTTCGATCTCCATTTGGCGCTTCTCTTTCTCTTCTTCGGTCTCAACGATAATACCCTTGGCCCTGAGCATCTCGATTTTCTCCTGTCGCTCCGTTTGTGCTTGCTGGCGAGCCTTCTGGAAGAGGGACCCTTGCAGCTGAACCATGTTCATGGTTTTTTTCCCTTTAGGGCCCCTCTTACCAGGCGAGCTGAGCTGAGCGAGATGCCGAAGGTGTAGCAGGGACGAGCTCTCTCGGTCCTTTCGCACTGGAAGGTTATCGAAAATTGGGAAGCGGCTCTTCGGTTTTGTAACCTCAGGCTCATCATCTGAGTCGTCGAGATCCACCATAATTTCTGAGCCGAATTCTTTAGGCTCTATGAGGGCGTTCTGCACAATCAATGGTTGCGCCAGCTGCATTATTTGATTAGGAGGAAGGTGCTGGAACTCTGGCGCGCGGCCTTTGCCTTTGTCGACCTTCGTAGGTGCTGGAGGAGCACCCTCCTCCATAGGATCTGCAGCCCCGGTCAAATGTGGCTTACCCAAGGTGTCGTCTTTCTCTGACGCATCTTCAAAGCTCGGCGGGCTTGTGGGTGGCGTGTCGCGAGATGGAGCAGCTTCAGCATCCGAGGTTGCAGGCACCGAGCTGTTCTCTGATACTGGGAGAGCCGCCGATTCGGCATCTTCTACGCCCTGGTTGAAACCGAACTTCGCAAAGAGATCTTTCGTGCCATATCTCTTCTTCGTTTTAGCTTGGTGCGTAAGCTGCATATTCCGGACGATACGTTGCTGGTCCCGAGCCATGGCTTCCAAAGCCTTCTTGCCTGCTTTACGGGTGGGCTTCGCGAGCTGAGTGAGTCGTCGGCTGCCTTCACCATCTGAGTTGCTCTCAGGTTCTTGCTCTCCTTGTTGTCGGGCGTTTTTTGTGCGTCGCTGTTTCTCCTCTGCTCGTTTGGCCAACCTCTCGGCGCGTATGCGTTCAACTCGCTCTCGGAAATTAGCGCTGCGTGTAGGCGTTGATTGTTCCGAGGCATCGTCGGATGCGTTCGCGTCGCGCGTTGTTCTCTTTGCTGGCGACGGTTCCGGTGTGACGAACAGTCCCAGAGAGGGTTCGCGTGATCGTGGGCGAGGGAGAGAAGAGACTACGGGGGATTCTGATGGTTCCCGCCGTTTTTGGAGCTTGCGAACCCGAGCACCACGGACCGGCGCGTCATCTGCATCCTCACTGCTGGATGCCGCGGCTGCAGCGACAGGCTTCTGGGCGTCTTGAGTTGGCTCTGTTTCCAGTCGGCGCTCCGCGCCCGTACTGGCGAGCAATAGCTGCTTCATACGCTCATATGCTCCTTGACCATTGTCTTCCTCCTCCTCACCGCTGCTGTCAGCAGCGGATTTAGCCGCAGCGAGTCGGCGCTTCGTGCGCTCATAGGTGTCCTCATCGCTGTTGCCCTGTTCCCCCTCTGAGGAGTCCTCTGTGACGGCTTGTTGCAATCGGGATAGCAGTCTTCCATTTGTCCTCCGAACGAGTGCTTCGTCGTTATCCGAATCGGACTCGCTCTCTGCGAGTTTGGAGAGCGCGTTCGCAGCACGTGGAGCGTGTACCGAAGTCATGGGCCGTGGTGATGTACTCCGGCGGGCTTCGGTGGAGCTCATAATGGCCGCCATAGTGGTTGTTACGCGCTTCAATCAACCCTGTGGACTAGTGTGGGTGCGACACGCAATACTACGTGAGAGTGAACGATGATGTTGTTCTGATAATTGCAAAGACTTCGAATAATGCAATTGATAGTAGGGTGGGCAACGTTCGAATGTGTTGTCGGAGCTCACGTAGCAGGGCACTTGCAATTGGAGAAGGCGGGGATCTGAGGGCTAGCTTTACGCGACTACGCGTCTACGCGACTGCCGTGGTGTTTTCGCGAATTTCTGGTCCAAGCGCGAACCAGCCACAGGTGGCTCAACGCCGTCGTCAAATCTGTCGTCTATTAATTACCTTTCAACCACGGCGACAGTAGGTGTACGAGCGATCACGGATCACAACGCACTCGACTGAGCTGCACGAAGCATTCTAGCACGACACACTGATATGATGGGTGTACAAACTTCCAACATGACAGTGTGGCCGGTGTTCACAAATAAACTGACGCTTATAATTCAACTCACCCTGGGAACGCTCCTGCAATGCCACAGATGGAGGTGAGAGTTTCTCACGATCTCTACGACTGTTGTGAAGGTGTGTCCGATCTCGCTTTGAAACGCTGCGCCGCGGGCAAACCTGGGCATGAAGTCTTATGCGCGAGCCTCCTGCGCACTATCAAAGCCCACGTCAAATACATATCATGCCCAACAACCACGACAGCAAACGTTACCGCTTTCGCACAATGCGCCGCTGTAGTTGTGAAAGCTTGGGCTTCATGGTGGTGAGATCGGAGGGGATACTGAGTCAATCCAAGCATGTTTCTTGAAACGTCCAGTGTGCTTCTAATGACGTTCGCTAATTTCATTACAGTATGCTGAAGTGTTCGACATTCATGCCCTTGATTCGGTGTACACCGGCCAAGTCCTATCCACGAGTAATAGCTAGGACATTATGCCGAAGCACTCTTCCGAGAACAGAGCGATCTTGTTCTATGTTTAATTGGCTAATCTTAAAACTGATCGTAATCGAGCGTGTGCAGCCCAAATTGGACTCTGACGGCTCCACAGGACCGGTTTAGTAGTTTCGCTTTCCGCAAACTACTGTAACAAAGGACCAACTTCTTCAGTATGCAATGAGCTTTTGCTAAGCTCACATTGAACGAATCACTTCTTCCCCGAGTGTTTGACCAACACGGGCCGAATGTGTGGGCTGTGGCACGGGCTGTGGCAAGCTCGATGCGATTGCTCTGTGCAATGTCCTTACATATACGGAGCATCTGGCCCCTTGTTCACGTATCTTCCTAAGAAAGTACTGCCAGCTGAAGTAATGGAGTCTCGGTGCCCAGCACTCCAGATGTTTTTAGCCCAGGTGCAACCCGGTCAGCTTCCTGGAGAGATCCAGGAAATTCATCCAGCCTGCAACACTGCGCCTCTTTCAATTCCTACGCGGGATCCTCTCCGCAGTGGTATTACTTCCGGTCTGCCTACTTACGGATTCGTATCCCCGAGACCAAACAATCACACTGCACGTGTGATTCAGTCCGATGCTGTAACGTCCCGGGAACTGGGAGACCAGCGCCAACGGGGCACTTCATCTTTCTCTTTTGCCGGATGTTTCGTTTTCATCATACGACCGGCAACAGCAACCCCTGCTCCGTGGGCGTGCGCCGGGCCAGAGGTAGATTTTCTTTCTTGTTCTGGCCATCTCCTATAGGTACGATGAAAATAGTACTTCTGTTCCGCTTACGTGCAGAAGTGAAACCTCGTACCCCAGATGAAGGGCTAGCGCCAAGCCAAAAGCCGGGACCAATTGAACTTGCTTGTCGATAGGAGATATCCTAGGGAACCATCGAGCTATCGTTGACGCCATGCACAATTCCTTCCTTATCTCGCTTTCATGGGGGATCTGCCGCGGAAAGGCACAGCTGCAGGGTTACCGTGGACAAGTTCATGAACTTGGGAACCACGTGACAGGACTGACGATCTATTACGCGTCAAACGGCGCAACAAGCTCCACGCGCGATGTCTTTTAGGGCGGCATATCGAACATTGGGTCGTCTAAAGCGCAAGCACGACTCAAGAAGTATCCTAGATGTCTGCGATTCCGGATCCTTCTACCGATAATCTAGGTACTACAGCAGATGCAAAACGTAGCTCAGTCGTCGTCACCATATGTCTTTGAACCTCAGAAACATCACCCAACACTGCGACATAACTCTCCCAATCACGTCAACGGATCGTGATATAGGATTAAAGGTTTGTTGAGTGAAGCAAAACCAGCTTCACCAAGTCGTAGGTCACCAGCAAGCGAAGGCTCGAGATGCTGTTTTGCGACGGATCCTCAGGCAATGAGAAACCTGATGCGGTTCTCTTAAGGCTGTGCTGAGAAGCTGAGGAAGTGCACGATGGTGTTTTCTTGTCGCCGACCGTGGGCGAGTAGAAGCGGATCCACGTCCGGACTAGCGTGGTTTCATAGCTCTACCCCTGAATTGAGCAACCGGCAGCCTTGGACGGTTCGCGACACCGTCGACGCCAGCGTAGCCGCTCTGGGATGGAGATCTACAACCACGAGAGCGATCGCGCGATGAGGAACTCGCTGCATGCTCGAAAAGCGTTATGGTACGCGGTTGTCAGAGGCCCGAGGAATACAGCGCGGAGCGCGAGAGACACAACGCTTAGTCGTCGCATCCCTGTGCTAAATATACATATAGCCTTGCGCACGGGGAGGGATGACAGCGTGCATGCCAAGCGGGTTTCATGGGCATCCCGATGAAACGGGTTATCCTCAAAACAAGAGCCATCCGCTCCGCCCGGGAGATTGGACGATCAATGACTTTCTGACGGGCTAAGATCCAAGCGCAGACCTCTGCAACCATCGAACAAAAGCGCCGCTCCTTCTCGAAGCCTTCGCACCTGGGCACACGACTCTCCTTTATTGCGACTCCAATACACCACCCGTCGAACCTGGCCTCACCGCAGTCAATTTCCGGGATGAAATTGGAGTCTTTACGCGCCTTCTAAATAACATGGATACCGACGAACCTCAACTGTACCAATATGGCACCCCTCAGGCAAACAACAGCTTCAAGCGACCGCGTCGTAGCCTTCAAAGTTCCACGCCCCTGAGTAGCGTGACGGAGAGCGCGTCGCCGTCGCCACGTCTGTCCGGCCAGCTATCGCTTACACCCGAGGTTATCGACCACATCAATGCATTGAAGCATCTCGACGACAAGCAAATTCTCCTTCTCCTGCAAGCCGCCCGAAGCAATGGAGGTCAGTTTAACATAATAACAACGCGTAAAGGTATGGCTCACAATGATGTAGACTCCATGCGCAGCCTCTCTAGTATGTCGGGCCCTGACCGGTCATCTATGGCCAGCCTCGGCAGCCGCAATTCGTTCCTTAGCGTACCGTCAAGCAGAGTTACCAGCATGATGTCTGATCCTAGGTCTTCGATCGCGTCCACCGACTCCTCCTTCACGCACTACAGTGCCGTCTCCTCGCGCCTCTCGACCGCGTCGTCGCGTCTTTCTACGATTTCAAATACCTCCGCGCCGAAGAACTTTGCGTGCACGTTTTGCGACAAGGCATTGAAGTCTAAGCCGTACTGGAAGTCACACGAGGAGGAGTTTCACGAGCAGCGTCTCACTTGGCGATGTCCCGACTGCGAACAGATATTCCATGCTGGCAAACGGTTCCGCGAGCATCACACGAAACTTCATGTAAGGTCATATCGTCAATTTACCTTTGCAGCACTAACCATGCCAGGGATGCGAGAACTGCAAACAACCGAGAGAAAGCGGACAACCGACTAGCAGGAAGGCGTCGCCATGTGTGAAGAAGTACGAGATTGTCATGCACGACAAGGACGCCTGGGGCTGTGGTTTCTGCGCCTGTCTGTTGACGACCTGGGAAGAGCGATGCGAGCACATTGCCATGCACTTTGAGGAGAAGAAATCGAAGTGGAATTTCACCAACGTTATTCTAGGACTCCTCAAGCAGCCCGAGGTCGCTGAATCGTGGACCCGCTTAATGACCCAACGGCACGGCGACGTGCAAGACTACCCTCGTTTCACCTGGGAATCAAAGAAGTGCAACCGTCTACGGTACAAGCTTGAGACCAAATGGGATACTAGGGTCTTCGATGTCGACAAGGTTGTGCAAGAGACGTACGATTTGGCCGAGGTCGAGCCAGCAGACATGGCCGAATCTGCAGCTGAGACAACGCCCGAAGTGCAAGAAGCTCCCGAGTCTTCAGAGCCCAGCGAGACAGTTAGCTGTAAACTGGAAATGGAGTTCGGAAATGACCAACGACTTCACTCGTCGCATGGCATTACATCTGACAATATGATGGATCTCGATCCCGTGGACACTCCACATGCGATGCACCACGACCTACAACAGGCTCAATGGCCTGTCACTTCTGATATGACGCAGAACACGATGGCTGCTGATCCTGCTATGGGCGCTTTCGGAGGCTTCAACCCCAGCCACATGGCGCACATGTCCACGGATTTCTCTCAGCCTGTCAACCAAGGTTTCCAACCTCATTGGTCAAATGCTGGGTTTGTATCAACGCCCGACCTGGTCGCCTTCCAACAACAGAACTCGTATATGAATTACAACGCCCCGAAGGAGGTTGTGCAAGTACCAACGTCTCAATATGCCAACTTTGGGCAATACCCTCGACAGAGCGTGCCCCCGAACTTCATGCATCACACCAGTACTCCATCGGCCTCTCGTCGTTACATCCCGAAGCTGATCAACATCGCGAGTCGTCCGTCGAGTTCACACATGTCTGACCAACCTCCACCGCCACCGCCAAAGGATGAGCACACCAATCGCTTTTCGAGGATGATCATGCGACGTCGACCCAGCAACATCTCGCAACATACAATTGTCTCCTCGCAACGCGAAATCGGATGGAACGATGAGTTGAACTGGGGGTAACCCAACTCTAACCTTGTGTCGGATGAGCTCACTACTCGCCGCCGGCTGGTCCGGCGTCCACACACTACCCTCCTTTACAAACACAAAACAATTACTCACTGAGAAAGTGATTCCGAACCTCGCCTTTCACGAAACCAGGTCGACGAACGACTGTAACGATCGTCTAAACCGGCGCGTCCGACGAGCACAGTGTCACCTCTACGGGTCTCTAGCTATTTCCTTTTTGATACACCTCCAACGTCCATGTCTGTCTATTTGTTTTAGCAAAAGGTGGATTGTAGGGTATACCCATAATGTATTCTGATTATGTTTGCTACGTCAGATTCCCCAGCTTCGGCTACGCTCAAAAGGCCTACTATTGTGGTGCTTTTGATTATAATAATACCCCAGTTGTCTGTCTTGCAAGCGTTTCTTGTTTGAGTAATGTTGTCAAGATGGCTGTAATGAGGGAGTCAGTATACCGAAATAGGCCAATTGTTCGAATGTGACTGTTGATAGTTTACTGCATATTGTGTGACGTGTGATGCGACAATTTCATAAGCATATTCTCGCCCACACCTAGTGTACACGCCGCAGGGTCTGGGTCATCGCAGCTTAAGTGCCCATCACTGTATGAGCTTCGATATGTTGCAGGTAGCAGTCAGCAATTATTCTTCCCCGGTAACTCGAGTATGCCGACTGGCGCTCGTGGCATCTCAACGTTAGTCCCCTTTTGGTTGGCGCCAGGATCTCCACGCACCAAATCGTCAGTGCCGTCATCGTTATATCCCACATCCGGCCTCACTTCAGCGGGGAAGATCACCAATGCCCCTTGACAACACTCAAGGTGGTCTGGAACATTTGACTTGCTAATCCCGCCAAGGTTTTGCTGAGGCACCCTTCTCCACACATTGTACACATATCTTGTTTTATCCTATCCACCTTTACACGTTGAGCCAGAAAAGGCTTGCCTACCACATCTTTTCGAAGACTTGCTGTGAAGGACAATATCAAGATTTTAGTACCATGGCGCTCTCCAGTACCTATCAGCTTGCTGTTATAATCTCATCTTTCCTGCTTCCTGTCATAACTTACCTCTACTTCACCCAGAGGCCCAAGAAGAGCGCCGCTGGGCCTTTGCCACCGCCCACAGAGATCACCGATATTCACATTCATCCCATCAAATCATGCCACTACATAACGGTCAAGTCGGCACGTTTGTTGCCTACAGGACTTGACCTAGACCGGCACTGGATGTGGGTCAGCTATCCCAAACTCGAATTCCAAACCAGTATGTGCTTGAAACGCATGCTTTTCTTTGTCAGTGTACTGTATACTGACACGCTATAGTCCGTCAGAACTCCAAGATGACTCTTATCCGTCCAAGCTATAATGCTGAAACTGATACTCTGACTGTGGTGGCGCCGGCCCCAAATTTCATCGACCAAAAACTTCATTTCTCTATTCCCGCCCATCCATCACAAGAATGGCTGGAAAAACACACTCAGCTCGTCGATGCGAACATCTGGGGTAAAGAGACATCCGCTCATGCTTTCTCAACGGATCTGACCGGTCCGTTCAACGAGTTCTTCGGCAAGGAGGTTAGATTGGTATACAAGTCGCCGTTTTTCGATGCACCTAGAAAGTTGCCCTCAAATGGGGCCGAGAGCATACTCGGAAGGCCAGCTTCTACATGTTTTCCTGACCTTATGCCCATCCTTGTTGGATGCGAGTCCAGTATCGATGAACTCAATTCACGCATTCGTGCGAACGATGACATCACTATCGACATACATCGCTTCCGGCCCAATATCATTGTCAAGGGTAACAAGCCATGGGACGAGGACAGATGGAAGACGCTGCGCATATCGCCCAAGCCGGGGTCCAAAAGTGCGACACAGAGCTTTATACTAGACGTTACACAGCGTTGTGCACGGTGCCAAGTCCCTAATGTGGATCCGGAATCGGCCGAGAAACATAAGAGACAGCCGTGGGAGACATTGATGAAGTATCGAAGGGTTGACGAGGGCATCACGTACAAACCTTGTTTTGGGATGCTGTGTGTACCGCAGGGTGAGGGAGGAATGCTTGAGGTTGGTATGAAAATGGAGGTGACAGAAGTCACGGACAAGCATCGTTACATACCGGGATTCTGATATTAGTATGTGTAACGAAGGTCCGAAATTGAAATTTGAGCATCATGAACCAACGGTAGAAGGTAACACCAGCGGTCTTGTCGATAGCACGAGTGTGCCCAGGTGGCAATCTGACAAGATCTCGGTAAACCTCTTCTGTAGGGCTCGACGTGTACGTAGATACTTCGGAGCTTACAGTATACAAGGTTGCTGTACACTAAGGCGCCTGATCAGTACAATAAGTGTTACCAACCTACTAAAGGTCGTGGACCGTTTCTGTACCGAGTCCTACCTAGAGGTGTTGCTCAACAAATCACATATTCAGAACGCTTGAAATCATAAGATGAAGAGCTGATACCGGGGCCTAGACGCAAGCCATGTTTTGCCACGCGCATTTGTGTTAGCTGCACTCGTCCTACGCAAAGGCGCGCAAAAGCACGACAAGCCCAACGCACAGCATCTAACGGGCACGCGATGAGTAAGGAAATTACCTTGTTGGACGACCGATACAAGCACAAAGCAATAACGCCACATGAGGGTTGGAGACGGCCCGGTATCTTTACGCCTCCGCCTGCAGTAAACCACAACAGTACGGACTTCGACCACAATGAAAGGATTTTTATCAAACCTACTTTCCATCTTCAATGGGCATCGACGAACGCGACGAGGAACATAAGCTGGGACCTCTACCTGGTGAACCACCGCTATGAGAAGCGCTTGATATTCCGTACGTGCGCGTCTCCTCTCTGGCAATAATGCATGCTGACCTTGCTCAAGGCCCTACGGGCTCACAAGCGAACATGAGTGGGTATCTGTAGGAGGTGGAAGATACCTCGAACGACCCGTTCTTCAACAATGGCGCGATGACCTTCGACTACGTAGTGAGGAGAGATGGTTTTTGGTCTGAGGGGTTTGCGAGTAGGTTTTTGAACATTAGTCGGAGGGACGTGGAAGCTTTGGGTATGGCATCTGGTGCTGGCATACGTGAGGTCGACAGATTGGTCGTGATGCCATTGCTGGCGATTCTGTCATTCTTGATCATCCCATAGTGCAACCTCTTAAATTAGGCTTTTTGTACTACTTGGACCACTGAAAACATTGAACCAGCTGCGTATTAAGTAGATGAATGTAACAGTTACAAGTCTTCTGCGCATGAACACCCTGCTCATGAAATGGAATACTCGACGCAATCACGTAATAATGTGAAGATGGTCTGATGAATGTAGTCACATGCTCTTTTGATCTCCTATTGAAAAGCTCATTCCTTGCAGCTACTGCGGGGCAAAAGCTGACCGCTACACGTTCATGTTCGGTACGCTAGCTTTGCATAAGTACTAGCAAGCGAAGACCCTTACACTGCAAGTAATAGGTCAGACGACCTCAACAAGGCTGGACACCCGATATCCATACTACCGGTAACGTCCAGCCTGTAACCGGTGAGTTGTTGTTGATGTCCCAGGCATCGACTATGGAAGCAGCCACTGCGCAGCAGGAGAGCAAAGTAGACCCGCACTCGCCCCTCGGAATCCTTCTAGATCTAGACCACAGAACAAGCTGCAGAGTATCTCCCATAACTCGTGCCGATATTTTCAAGCCATAATAACTGTATGATTACCCATTTCTGCTCCCTGTATGAGCAGTTCCTCCGCATGCGTGACCAGTTGATTGTCACAGTACTACTCTACCCCGCCATGCCGAGCAGTAACTGCCTCAACCCTCCCTTCCCTGAATACGTAGGGAGGCAATCCCTTGCGTCCCTACTTTCCTCAAATACTAAAGGATTCCGAGCCCCATTTTGCTTGTCCTCCGACAGCGGCAAATCACAGAGCTAGCTCGCGACCAGATACCTGTTCCGTGGAATTTACACTCGCACACTATGCGTTCTTCCGTTATCATAGCCACTTGGCTGTCATTTAGGGGGGTGCAGACACACGCCCTCGGTCCGTTCGAAAAGAACATCGCTGCACGTGCAGATCATCTCAATATCGCGACTACTGCTTTGAAGCCGTTGCTGTCCCAAAACGCCTCTGTCATCCTTCCCACTGACAATGACTGGGATGCGCTGCAAATTCGCGGAACCTCCCCACGCATACACCCAAAGTTCAACGCCATTGTTGAGCCAGCAACGGAAGCAGATGTGCAGAAGACGGTGCAATTCGCTTCCAAGTTCGGCATACCGTTCCTGGCTGTTTCTGGTACGATCCTCCCCGGTATAAGGTCGCTATGTCTTAGACATAAGACGACTTGTACACAAACCCACTTTTATAACTCAGCTAACTTTGTACCCGCGAGTATAGGCACGCATGGCTGGACGAAGACGCTCAACAATTTACCTTACGGTATCCAGATCAACATGCGCAAGCTTAACAGTGTGACAGTCGATCCGAGCGGCAACACAGCAACTATCGGTGGGGGCACGCTTCAATGGGAAGCCAACAAAGTACTCTATGCAAAGGGAAAGCAAGCAGGTAATCTCACTCTACAGAACCAGCCAATCAATCATATACGTCGGATCTAGCTGCTTACTTCACTTAATTAGTGCTCACCCTGTGCGAGTGTGTACGAAACCCTGGGGTACAAAGTGGTCGTCTTCTGCTATTATCATTGTCTGAGAACTTCAGACTTTGGTCATAAGCAGAGCTTGAACAGCCACATCCCACCTAACTTCCCATGATTTTGAGCACTTCACTGACTTTGTATTCCACACTTTAGACTTCGATCGCCGGTCCGATGTTGGCTGGGGGACATAGCATGCTACAGGCTCGTCACGGCTACACTCTCGACAACCTTGTCTCCGCACGGGTAATCCTAGTGAGTGAACCACTGGGTACAAAGTGATTATATCTTTCTTGCAGAAGGAAAGACTTCTTGCTTAGCCGAGGCATGTACCACCTTATCTTAACTCACACTGACTTTGTACCCGCGTCTTAGGCAAACGGGACTGCTGTCACTGCATCTAGCTCCAGTAACTCAGATCTGTTCTGGGCTTTGAGAGGAGCCGGCCAATCCTTCGGTATTGTTACGAGCTTGCAATTGAATGTATACGATATCCCAAGCACTTGGACTATCTCCACCTTCATCTACCGTAGCGACAAACTCGAAGCTGTGCTGGATGCGGTCAACAAGCTTGATGGCGATGCAATGCGATCCCAAAATCTGGTCATTAACGGCGTAGGCACGCGCATCCCTCCCATGGATCCTCAAAATGTGAACTCATCTCTTGCAATTAATGCAATTCACTGACAGTTCCCAGCCAATGATCATTTATACCCTGTCATATCAGGGCCCCGAAGCCGAAGCCTTACCCTACTTTTCTAAATTCAAAGCCATCGGACCCATCACCGTCAAGCCATCTACCAATGTGAATAATATGGAGCTTTACAAGATCACCCAAAACAGCGTTGACAGCGCCGCCTGCGCCCGCAACAAGAACTCTATGGGCAGTGGTGTCTCCTTGCCCAGCTGGAATACCACTGCAGCCCGGGCAGCCTTTAATATATTCGCCAAGATGACGGCTGACCGGCGGTTCTCTCGGTCTGTCTTCTTGCTCGAAAATTACGGTATGCAGGGTGTTCGGGCTGTCGACCCCTCCTTAACGTCCCTGAGCTTAGAGGAGCGCCAGTATCCTGCTGTAGCGAATCCAACGATTTGGTGGAATGGGACGGCTGCCGTTGGTCAAGCGGATGCAGAGGCGTATGGAGAGCAGATCAGGCAGGCGCTTTTTGCAGGTTTGCCGAAGGGAGCTAAAAAGCATACGTATGTGAACTACGCAGTGGGCACGGAGAATTTCAACCAGATGTATGGGTATGACACTGCCAGGGTGCAGAGGTTGAAGACACTGAAGAAGGCTTATGATCCGGAAAACAGGTTTGGGTTCTACAATCCTGTGCCTCTAGCATAGGAACAGAGCCAGAACAGACAGTTCAGGTCGGCACCGAAAGATACAAGGGCTGCCTCAGGTTCTCGTCTCAAGGAATATTCATTGATCATACGTGGACCATAGTGTCTTACGTTCCGTAATTAAAATGCACACAACTGTCTCGCTGCACTCATAGTACATCTCTGAATCAAGTATTCAACCTTTTAATTATCCGAGAACGGACACTCCACAAAAGCCTTAACGAACGGCTTCCCATCTGCCGCGTCAATACATACCCCAACCGGCGCCGGATACGCCGTGCTCAAGCACCCATCATCGGTGTATAACGTTGCTACCACACACATCAGCACTCTCCGACTTATTCATCCCTCTCTGACACCCCCTCTCATCTCTCTTTTAGCCAAGAAAACGTACCAGAGCATCCAGGATACTGCGTCGTAACCTTGTAACTAATTATATCCGGCGTATTATCGTTGCGATCAAGCAACTGGCATGTGCCACCACGACCAAAGATAGGATCTGCCCAGACGAAGGATGCCGCATCGCAGCCGGGGCCCGAGTAAATCTCTGCGACTGTGTTGTAGAAGCCAGGGTCGTTGGGGCCCTGGGCGAGGACTAGAAAAAAGAAGGAGGGCAGCGCGAGGACGGAGACGTGCATTGTGAGATGGTATGGAACAAGGAAACGTTAGAAGAGATGCGATAGCGGAATGGATTGGGGGTATTTAAATAGCAGGACTCGATGGCCTTGTTGGGCGATTAGGTGGCGGAAGGAGACGGATAGTGTTCGTGTATGTATAGTTGCCGCTGGATTTGCTGCAATCCTGTCACATGGATCGGAGTCTTGACTATCCAATATCTGCTTCACGTGTGGGGATAAGAAAGCCATGCTGATGGGGCTGCTGATGCGAAATGGTAGGTAGAGGAGTTGGCCCCTGTTGTTATTAGGCGGTGTAAGTATTGGCTCGTCAACAGTAAGCAAGAAGCGAGAGATATACGAATCCTATCCGCAACACTTCATTGATAGGAAGAAAGCACAAGGAAAGAAAAAACAAAGCCAATCCAATCGCTATGCCACGCCCATTTGACCATGCATAAACCTTTCGCAACCCCCTATGACCCTCTAGCCCTTCGCATTCCACCGATCGTTGTACGCATTAACCGCCACAGCAACCTGCCTATAGAACCAATTCCTGCTGCCCTCGTCCGCCACCGGGACATACGGGCCATTTGTCCCACCCTTCAACGTGATGCTCATGCCGGTCCTCTCCTTGCTGATGGTCTGGATATCCTTGAGAGGGACATCCCACTCCGTCCGGAGCGCCTTCGCTTTGACCATCAAGATGCCATTGTACGTCAACATGACAAGCATGTCTTTTCCTTGAAGCTCCAAGTGGGCTATGTAGTCCTCGTTGAAGTACTTTCCGTTGTCGAGGGTTTTGAGCCAGAACTGACCGAGAGACTCGCGCTGAGAGTACGGACGTACTATACCGTCTGTTCCGATGAAGCGTGTGAGACGCACACGGTCGAGACCTTCCTGGTCGAAGACAGTAGTCGTGTTGCGTACACCTTCGGCCATGTTGGAAGCGAGATCGAAGGCACCGATGGCGGCCTTGGTGGGAACGCCGAGGAGACCTTTGCCAACACCTTTGACGAAGCCGAGAGCGCCTTCCTTCTCTGCACCTTGAATTGGATGGCGCGCTAGGCCACCCAGACCACTTGCAAGACTGCTAGCGAACGCATTGCCACCAGCCGTGATGCCATAAAGTGCGTGCTTTGGCCGGTTGCGAGAGCGGGACATGCGTCGCTGGTCCTGGAACTCTTTGTCTAATGTTGCGGCAGAAAGACCCTTTGACATGCTTCCAGTGAACTTGGCCATACTGTCAGAGAAACCGAAGACTGACTTCTTGACAAAGCTTGATGCGCCCTTGGCGATGCCGATACCTAGTTCCTCTGGACGATCGGACTTGACTAGACCCTGGTATGGCTCGTAGAATATGTCGGCAACACCAGAGCTGACGTTCGTAAAAAGACCTACAGGGTTGCCTAGGAAGTCGGCAGACCCAATGACAACATGCACCTGGCGTAACGACTCCTGGACGTAGTGGTTCTTGATGTTGGCGACCAAAGCATCTGTCGAGACACGTACGTTCTCGAGCATTAGGGCATTGTAGCGCACGGGCGCATCGTTGACATTGCCAATGGACATGGTGAGAACGTTGACTGCAAACATGAACGGGTTCGATGAGGTCATAGTGTCTTCGGCATTGATGCGCTCCGTCCGGACAAAGGAGAGATCGATCTGCATAGGCTGCAAATGAAGTAGTTCGAAATAGACATCTTGGCCAGACTGTTCTTGTTGAGGCTCTGGGATGTCGAGCGACTCGTCCCACAGCTTGCCTTCTTTCTCTTCCGACCACGAGGCACCGGGAATCTTTGCAAAATCAAGCATTGCAAAGATGAAGTCTTCATCAATTTCCAGAGTCATTTGCTGGAGAAGAATGGTGAAATACTTGATGTACAAGACTCCGTAAGAGTCATCCTTGACTCGAGTGATGCTGGTCTGGAAGATAGGATGTGCTTCCATCTCCTTGCCAGTCTTCGGAACGACACTGGGGTAGAAGATAATGGGGAAGATTCCTCCATACAGTTGATTGTCGATCTGAATCCACTTGACGTGCAGGTTGACCATTTGGTAGAGCGGCGAATCTGAGTACTTGAGCTCTATGTCGCGTAGAGTCACGTACACAAGCTCCTTCAGGTGGCGGTTGACAAGCGATATACCAATGCCGGCGAGGCGTAATTGCGCTTTGAACGTCACATCCGTATCCATGTCTTTGACTTCAAAGCCTCCAGCTGTTGATGAGGAGCCGGTGCCAGATTTCTGCTTGTACAGACTCTTGGAAGGCTTGTAATTGGAAAGCTCGAGGGTCTGTGTAGGACCAGTGGCGACCACGTTCAGGTCAATGATCTTCTGGCGCTGGCCTTGAGCCGGTGGCAGCTTGAAGGGTATCAGGTTACCGATCTCCGCAAGCTTGACATTTCGCTCTCGTCCGTTCGCGCTCAATACGATCTCCTTGTTCTTTCCAGCCGGGAAGTCCCATGCATACGGCATGATACTCCTGGGGGGCAATCGATACCGAATAGGGCGGAAGCCAGTCCCTCTGTCATCTTCGTCTTCGTCGAGGTTTGGGTTAGCTTGCCAGTAGAGGAACTCTTGATCGCTCATGTTCTTGAAGGAGAACGGCCAGTGCTTAGTCTCTACGCTAACGTGAATGAAGATTGTCGCTCCTTCCATGAGGATGTCGACCCGAACCAGTTTCTGACGTTGACCGGCTTTCGACAGCTTGACGTGAACGTTTCCAACGTTGGAGATGTTGAAAGGGGATGACCACTGGTTGTTAACACCGGGATAACACAACGAGATCTGGGGTGATCCACCGGATCGTAGCCATCGCAAGGGTAGCAATTCTCCATCCTTAACGGATGTCCATTCAGACGAGCCGGGCTCACGGATATTGACCTCTTCTTTCATCTTGTTTTTGATAATGAAGCGAGGAGCGACCGTTACAACCTTCGTCAGGTTAAACTTCCCTTCACCCTCTCCTACACTGACGCCAAGGTGCATTTCGGATCGGGCTTTCGTCGAGGGAAGCGCAACGGCGTAGTTACTTCCAATGGCATCCAAACTCTGCGGTTTACTCCATTGTGCGTCTCCAACCTTGAGAAGCGCACGGTTTTTCTTGTCCTGCGTCGGGAAGGAAAACATCAATGGCAAAGGTTTGCTTGAATCGTCTTGGTCATCGGCAAAGATGCCTTGTCCAGCAGCCGCTCGAGCTTGTCCCATGAACTGCTTCGCTCGTACGTCTAGCTCTAAACCGGTGCGGTTCAGAATGATGTACGGGCTGTATATTGTGACCTTGAACGAGCCACCTCCATCAGGATAGTTGCTGGTCAGGTTAGTAGTCAGTCAAAAATGTAGCTGGGATAACCTACTAGAAATGCATGTTGAGGTGAAGCGACAGATCACTACTATCCTTCAACTCTAGTGACTTCTCTCTCCTGAAGCTTTCACGATCCGTGGAATTGATAATACCGAACTTGCTCGCCTTGAATGGGGTATCTTGCAAATCAACGCTGAGGAGCAATAAATGCGACAATTCAACGACATGAACAGGACTCACGCCACCCTTCCTGAGGAAATTCGTCCAGTCCTTCTTGGTGTTGCTGTCGTAGATCCTGTATTTGAAATCGAATGGCAGTAAATTCTGCACTTCGACCGGCGCAGCCAAGCGTAGGCGCATATATGGGTACACACCTGTGAGGGGGTCCTTCTTGTCGAAAGACGCGTGCAGTTGGAAGTAGAAAGGAGGTGACTGTTCGTCCTGCTCCCCACGGCAGGTGATTGTTCTTGTAGGGCGCTTTAGCAGCTCCTTCCAGTACAAGCGTTCGTTCGACCAAGCATAGCCGAACCCTTGATCGGGACGGACAACGATGGAGTGCATAAAAGCAGCACCAACTGGTGCGGGCCTTGCATCACCCGGCGCCACCTTCTCGATCTTGAGAAGGTGACCTTCTTCCGGGCTGTAGATACCGAGCTCGATGGGGATTTGAGTGTTGTTCTCCACAAGAAGTGGGGATCTGAAGGTAATGTTCTTGACGTTGTCCGCGCCAAGCTTTACGTCGACCAAAATGCGATGTTGTACACGGTCCTGCTTTGGCTTGAGGTTGTACAGAAATTCACCTTCCCGATGGACCGGTATCCGTTGGATGGGGTCAAACCCGCTACCTTCCAACCTAATGCCTAGCACTCCAGTAGCTTCTTCAGTGGACAAAGATTCTCGGGTGGACATTGCGTCTTCAAAGCGCCAAGGCTCCTCGCTTCCATCCTCGAGCTTGGTGGCATAACCTTCACTGTTCTCCTTGCCTTCTGCCCAAACGTCGAGGTTGAAACCCGTGTAGTTTCTAATGCGGTAAGGGGCATCGTTGCTGCGGGGCTTGGATAAGATATCCTCCTCCGTAGTGAGGAAGTCGAACGATTTAGAAGCTAGAGCGATCGTAGCGGCTGTCACGGTGAGCTCCATGGCTTTCCGTGAGTACAGCTCTAGTCCAAGTCTGTCGGGATTCTGGTCCCTGGACATGTGGAAGCCAAGCTGCCACGGCTCGATCAAAGGTTCCCAGGCAGATTTTGAGAAATTGTAGACGTTGAGAAGTGTGTCAACGGAAGTATCGGCTGTCATGGCACCTGACCAATCACGCACATCAACGCCAAACTTCTTCACTCGCCAGTCGAGGAACGGCATCTCGTGCACGTCTCCGATGAGGACTACGCGTATACCCTCGATGTTGACATTTAACTCCTCGCGCTTAAGAACAGCAGAGCCTTGGCCAGGCCTAGGCGGTTGTGGTGGGGCATCGTGTTGGCTGGATCGCTTTGTTGCTGCTAGAGACCTCGCCTGAGGTTTGGATGATGCCGCTTTCCCTACCGTAGACTTGGCCTTCTTGGATGGCGTACCTCCCTTGATCTTCTGCGGGCTCTCCTCAGCCAACTTCTTATTCTCATCGTTCGCTCCCGACATAGCAGAAGCGCGGTTGACGATCTGCATGGCAAGTAAGATGTCCCGGAGAGAAAGTCGCAGCACGAGGGGTTCGATGTCGACGTTAATGCTCATCAACGACGAGTTCTTGCCCTGATTGCGCATGTCCAAGGCTGTCTGAATGCTGAAGTCATCAAGAATGCGCATTCTGCTCGTTTCGAAGCGATCCATGCGGCAAAGGAACATGCCCACTTTGTCGACTTGTAAAGTCATAGCTTGTTGCTTTGATACAAGGACTTGCTTCGTCCCCAAAACAATGGCTTCCGAATTTGAGATTGCGGGATTGGCAATGAGAACAACCTGAGCATCTACGAGATTAACACGGAACGATATGTTCATAGCATTGTCGGTCTGTTTGGTGTCATCGCCAGGCTTTATCGGTGAGCGCGAACCATCCGGCGACATGATGTCCGAGTCGCTCTCCGCATCGTCCGCATCGGCCTCGTCCCCAATCACCAGAGGGTCATCAGTAGCCATGCCAGCATTGACGAAGGCTTGCAGTGCGAAGAGGTAGTCCAAAGCCAGGATGATCCTCGGGCTGTCGATGGTAAGAAGCGCGATTAAGTTCTTCTCTTGGCCACCGGAAATCGAAACGCTCGCCATAAATTGTTGCTTGACGTCGTTATTGATGAGAGACATGATCTTCCTGAACTTATTGGTGCCCTGAGTTCGACTGTCGCGAATTGTAAACGACTGAACGACGAGCTCTGCCTCCATAGCGCCATCGCTGATCATACGAAGCTTGACGTTAGTCTCATTGAGCGAGAACTTGGACAAGCTGGCGGCTTCGACATCGCCGACAGGTTCACTGTCTTGTGACTTGATGAGCTCTAAGCCGATGGTGCCAACCTTAAAGACAAAGTCAAGCTTAGTCCACTTGTCGTCGTCAGTCTGGAGTTCCGGACCCTGGCTTGCGACGAGATCTTGCGATGGTTCCTGCGAAGGCAACTCCTTGTCAGTGAGTCTTCTGGCTGGTCCAGTCGTCGAATCGGGAAGCTCTTGATGGAGATCCTCTTCCAAGCTGTCCCCATCGGCCGCAAAAGCCGCTGGGATAGATCGTGAGAGCTCTAGTGCGAACTTCATTTGCTCTGGGGTGATCTTCAAATTGATGTCCGACATGCCACCATCAATTTCCAGGTCAGGACGCTGCTGCCCAGGCTTGTGATCGACTATCGTAACGTTGAAATCCAGATCAACCTTATCAATAAGCTCCAACTCCTCAAATCTGTCGTCCTCATAGTGAAGCTTGGATGTCAGCTTAATGTTCCGAATGCCAGCCGTGATCTTGTTTGCTGTATCTGAACCCTCAGAGTCGTCTAGAGGATCGAACTTGTTCTTCGCATATATCTCTCCAAGGTTAGCGATCAACGTGTCACGTTCTGGCTTGTCCGAAATGACCATTCTTGGGAACACAACGATCGGTGTGCTGATTATGATGTCGAAGTGGAATTTGGTGGCCCGCTGCTGGATTTGGGTAGCCTGGTTGGCTGCAGCCTGCCGAGCAGCGTTGAAGATGGCTTGCATCTTGCCAAACTTGACCGCGAACTCCATGATCTTACGGAAGGGCTCCGTGAGGAAATTGATTTTGATCGACCCTGTTTTCAAAGCGACCGACGCATCATAGCCAGGATAGCTGTCCAGCTCGCTATCATATGTCTCGTAGCTGAAGTCCGCTAGGTTTTTGCCTTCGATAGTGACCAATTGGCGCAACGGCGACTCCTCGGGAACACCTTGGTTCACATCATCAATCAGTGTCAAATTGCCGAGTTGTCCGCCAATGCGCATCGTCTTGCCATGTAAGAAGATACCGACTTCACCTGAGTTGAGACTTAAGGTGGCTAGTCGTATACCATCATTGTTGAGAATCACCGCTATCCGCTTCAACTCGGCTCGAATACGGATTTTGTCTTGGTCTTGCTGTGGAGTTTGCGCGACCTCTTGTTGCTCGCCAGCTTTGTCAGCGATCTGTGCCTGTTGGTTCTGAGGTGGGCCAGGATTCGTGAATGTGATCATGACAAAGTCCAGGAGCGTGAGAAGAGTTTTTCGCGTGACAATAAGGTTGATAGTGGATACTGCAACGTCCAAATTCATGGCAATGCCCTCGTACTTGCTTTGGAATTCTGGCGACTCCTTGTTCACTTTGACAAATTTCAAAGAGAAGAGGTTCTTCTGCTCCTTGGACGAGACATCCTCCGAGGAAATGATGTTTCGGAACTCGGGTAGAGGATCCTGTTCGACGTGATCTTCGACCGCCAACGACTTCAGACTGACTTCGGCTACCATGTCGAATGGGTGTTGGTAGAAGCTGAGATCGAAATGCTCGGCGACAAGTTCAACCAGCAGCTGGTCAGCTTTCTTACCTTCCGGGTCCGACCGGTAGAGTGAGCCTTGAAGCTTGTCCACGGTGAAGTTGAACTCGAAGTTGCGCTGATGGATGTTGATGTCGTGCTTGGATTTCGCTTCGCGAGCATCTTCGAATTTCTCGTCTTTGGTACTCTGGGCGTCTTCTTCTTCCATCACAAGTTCGTGCTCTTGTGCAGCAAACTGGAACGACTTCGACCTAGGTCGGCCGAGAGGATCTGCGCTCGCTTTCGCTTCGCTAGTAGGCTTGATATTCGAGGGCCCCTTTGCGCCTTCGGCTACCTGCTTGCTTGGCTGATCATTCTCAAACTTCGGTATTGCGACATCAATGAGCCTCATCAGGTTCTTGTACTTTGTGTCTGATATTGACGCGTGAAGAATAGGAAGATTACCGCCGATGCGGAACTTGGTCAGATCAGTCGCCTTGGGGACGATACAGAGTTCAATCTTGAAGTCCATATTGATTTTGTCGACAATGTGCATGCTCTTGGAGGTGGCGCCTTCTTCCAGCTGCGCACGTGTCTCGTCGATGGAGGGGCCGATGAGAACCTGCGTTGAATGGAGCTTGAGCAAGAACTTGTCGTACATCAAAGCTTCCAGACGTTTGAAATCTTCTTCAGTGTACTTCTGCTTCTGCTTTGACTGGATGTCATGTAGAGTGGACTTATCCACCAGCTCGCTCGTTACACTGATGTGACCTGCATCAACAATCAGGCAATTGCTTGATTTCTTCGTGACAGAGTCAGGGATGATTATCAGCGGTGCTTGTAGATCGAGCTGCGCGTTGATCGTCTTGTGCTCAGTCAAAGCGAACTCCAAGCCAGCGCGTGTCTGCTGACGAATGCCTTCTACTGTAGCTCCCGCTGTTTCCATAAGAGCGCCGATGGATTCCATATGTCGCTCCGGAGGCTTGAAGAACTTGACCACCTCCACAACGAATTTGGGGTTATACACAAACTCCATACCTTTCAACTTCATGGTGAGAGCTGTATCGGCGCTCCCATCAAGCGGGTTCTTCTCGAAAGCAAGTTGGAAGAAAGGGTCTTCCTGTTCCTCTTCCTCCTCGTCATCACCGTCCTTAGATGTCTCGTCATCGTTAAGCTCTTCGATGCGCTTGTCGTCAGACACAGGTGGTGCATCCTTGATCGTGATGAGTTGAGGAAACAAGCTACCTTCAGTAGTACCGTCGTATAACCGCATGCCTTCTAAAGCAACTTTGACGAACATAGAATCGGTCCGCTGGAGGAACTGCGTGCTGAATGAATCAAAAAGAAGGCGCAGTATTTCGTTTGAATTACCGTGAGGTTCTCGTTTCAGCGTGAAGCTACCCGTCCGCAAGCTCATATTGACTTCCATCTTGACGTACTCCCTAGGCATATCCACAGATTCGGTGATCGCGTTCTTCTCGTCCCAGTCGATGGCGCTGTACAGCTCTTGCCGCTGCTCATCTGTCATCTGGGTATTCTCATCATGGTTCTCCTCTTGCTTCGCACCCCAGATCCAAGAGCCCCAGCCCTGCTTCGGAGGAGGTTTCTTGACACCAACGTTCTCCTTGCGCAATTGATTGCGTGCCAAAGACCGCCAGAACCGGAGATCTTCGTACTTTAGTTTTCGCTCGAGCTTATCGAGATCTTCGCTCTCCTCTGCAGTGAGCTTCTCTTCCCTCTTCTTCTTTTTGAACAGCTCGATGTAGCGTATGCGATCGTCTCGCCTCTCCTTGAAGTAGGACCAGCTCCATTGCCGGTTTCGTTCATGGATCTTGTCAAGCACGGCTTGGCCTGCGAAACGCAGCCAGCCGGCGGGGTCTTCCTTCGGGGATGATTTGGGCTGGAACTTCTTGTACTCCTGGTGGCGGATAAAATAATGGAATAAATCAACAAGCATGAGCGCGTCACGATATTGATCTTCATCGATGATGAAACCAAGCTCATCGAAGAGCAATCGGGCCTTCATCTTGGGCTTGTCTAGTTTGCCGGTCTTATCCATCTCGAGACCCATACGACCGCTTATGGGCTTGAGAATGAATTGGTGGTCGCCTAGCTCGGGATTTTCGCCCCTCACTATCATGCTTCGCACCTTCTCAATGAAGTCGTCGTGATCGATTTCCTGCTCATCCTTGCTCTGGTTTCCTTTGCCAGTTCCAATCAACTTCGCATCGGTGTCCCAGTATATAGCAAGTGAACCGAGCGTCGCGAGCTTGTGCGTGGAGCTTGCAGTGCCCTGGATGAAGGTTGGCTTCCAATTCTCATCAGTGCTGATGGCACTGAAGTCGGCGAGCGTGAGACCCAGCGCGAATGGATGCCCAGGGTCGGCGATTGAGTCTTCGTATCGGATGTGGATATTCTTCACAGTGACCTGTACATTGTCCACTATGGCCGTGACCAAGCTTGCCGTGAAGCTCTGGTTCTTCTGTTGTTCTTCAGCACTCATGCCCTCTGTGCTCCGTTCCTTCAGCAGCTCCGCGCTGTCAAGTTTCTCCATCTTGACAGCGTGTTCTCTTCGTTCCTCCTCCTCGGCGTCGTAGTCGGCATCTTCCTTGGGGGCTGCCAGTAGGTAGACATCCTCGATGTTGACCTTCAACGGCTTCCCACGCAAGTTTGACCAGGGTATCGAGAGTGTAAGCGAACCCAGATGTCCTTCGATAACGTTGAGGGGTAGGTGTAATTGATCGAGAGCCTCGCGACGAAGTTCTAGATTGCGCAACTTGACGTCGCCAGACCATATGCCGACGTTGAGTTGTTTTGGATCGAAGTTCTGGACATACATGCCCAAGAACCTGTTGAGCAGGTTTGATACGAGCCCCTCGAGCATGGCAGCGATGGGCGACCGTTACCCAGGTTGGGGCGGGATCGAGAGGTGGGGTGGGGGGTATCGCGGGGTTAGAGAGACGTTTCGTTAGGTCGTGCGATTTCGTGAAGTCATAGGGAACTGGTGCGGTAAAGCATAACAGCACGAACTTGGGTATTGTAGGCTATGGACACAGTGCGCCGAGTAAAGGAGGGGACGCGGAGAGTGTTTGTGGCGGAGTGCTTGCGATCAGGCCAGCCAGTCTCTGAAAAGTGTGAGAGCTGGGCGTAAATTAACCTCCCTAATAGTCGTACAAGAATTGCAACGGCGCGGAGGGGAAAAATGATGCGCAGTAAAAGGCAACAGTGCTGTATAGAATTGATCGCCCGCAGGTGAGATGCAGACTTGTGCATGACGTATGGTGGCCCGTGTCCAGACGCGCTGGGCACGCGCGATTCGTCCAAAGTTTTGACAGGCGTTTAATCCGATTGCAATCACGAAGAACATCCTCATCGCTGGAATCGGCATTACTATTGTCCCCATATATTCAATTGCACCAAATCGCTCTTTCCGTGCAGATTCGCAATCGCGCCCTGTTGTACACCGGTCGCAGCTTCCTCGAACTGCGCCGCGCAGAGATATAGAATCCCGGCCGAGACACTCCAGCATCACGCCTTGTAAAACACCAGACCAGCAGCACCGACCTCGGAAAATATGGGCTGGTTATGGACTTCCTCATCCAGCAAAGCTGAACCGCAGCAACCCACCCCGACCTCAATGCCCATACGCTCCGAGCCCGCGCCATCCACACCACCTGCAAACTCCGACGATGCAGCTTTCAACGAAGCATTCCCACACTTAGCACCCGAGATCACGTCCTCGAACCCCGAACCATCATCAAAGTCCGCCCCTTCTACAGCGGTCACCCATGACCCCTCCCTCCCAACGACAATGTCCTGCCGCGCCGCGTTCGACTCCGCTTTCTACTGCTCCTCCCTCGGCGGCCATTTCAATGACATATACCGCTACGGCCACCTGCGCTCGTGTAGTGAGCACTGGGCCGACTGGCGATTCTGCATGAGCCTGTCGGGCGCATCCAGCGAAGGGCGTGCAAATGCGATTAGGGAGCGGTACAGGGAGAAGGAGGAGAAATTGAAGAAGGAGCCGAACAGTGAAGATGTCTGGAGGCGAAGGGGCCCGGGAGAAATGATTGAAAAGCCATTCAGGTTTGCGGAAGAGGAGAGCTTGAGAGTGGAAAAGGCGTAAGGTGGAAGATAGTCACATGGAGTGTAGTAGCATGAAGCCCGCTGGTGACGATGATGTATATGTTAGTCTCGCACCAGAACTCATACATTGGTGAACGAAGAACTGTGATTCAGGCAGAGCCGCATCGACTGCGTAGCGGCGTCCTGGGCGCAGTTCGCCACAATCAGATTAAGGAAGTTTGGCATGGGAGCAGAACAGGTGCGCTGTTGTAAGCTTCCGGAAGAGATTTGGTCTCAAGTTGCCATACATAAATACCCTGTACAATAATGAACATGTCTCAACTCGGAAACACAATCAATCTCATCACTCAAGCGAATTGTAAGACTTGTTTTGAAATAATTCACTCAATTGAGCCCTGATAGACAGGACCCGTAAATTAGGATACATATAATCCCGTCGTCCTGGCTGAAAACTTTTCCTGCCCCAATCGTGATCGTAATTCATCCGATGCAATGAGAAGGAAACCGTGAAAATGGCTCAATAGCCCAAAGAACTCCGATGACTGCCGCCCGGAAAATGACCATCTATGCGGAAGAAGAAAGGAAGAAGACAATCTAGTATCAAAGATACGCTTAGTCAACCTCCTCAACGGTAGGGCCGTCGTCGCTGTGGCCGGCGCCGCCGCCGGGAGCGCCACCAGGGAATCCACCAGCGCCTCCGGGCATACCGCCGGGCATGCCACCCTCGCCGCCAGCACCGTAAAATTTCATCATGATCGGGTTGGCAACAGCCTCAAGATCCTTCTGCTGAGACTCATACTCCTCCTTGGTGGCCTGCTGGCTGTCATCAAGCCACTGGACAACCTTGTCGATCTCGGCCTTGAGCTTCTCCTTGTCGCCAGCCTCGAGCTTCTCATCGACCTTGGAGTCGGAGAGAGTGTTGCGCAGAGAGTAAGCATATGACTCAAGAGCGTTCTTGGCAGAGATACGGGCAGCCTCAGCCTCATCCTCAGCCTTGTACTTTTCGGCCTCGGCAAGCATACGCTCAATCTCGTCCTTGGAGAGACGGCCCTTGTCGTTGGTAATGACGATCTTGTTGGTCTTTCCGGTACCCTTCTCAAGAGCAGAGACATTCATGATACCGTTAGCGTCCATGTCGAAGGTAACCTCGATCTGAGGAACACCACGAGGCGCAGGCGGGATTCCAGTGAGCTCGAACTTTCCGAGCAAGTTGTTGTCCTTGGTACGGGCACGCTCACCCTCGTAGACCTGGATGAGCACACCGGGCTGGTTGTCGCTGAAAGTCGAGAAGACCTCGGACTTCTTGGTGGGAATGGTGGTGTTGCGCTTGATGAGCGGGGTCATGACACCACCGGCAGTCTCGATACCGACGGACAGAGGGGTGACGTCCAAAAGCAAGATCTCGTTGGTGGACTTGGAGGAAGTGTCACCGGACAAGATAGCAGCCTGGACGGCGGCACCGTAGGCGACGGCCTCGTCGGGGTTGATTGACTTGTTAGGCTCCTTGCCGTTGAAGAAGTCAGAAACCATCTTCTGAATCTTGGGGATACGGGTGGAACCGCCAACCAAGACGATCTCGTGAACGGAGGACTTGTCGCACTTGGCATCGCGGAGGACACGCTCGACGGGCTCCATAGTGGAGCGGAAGAGGTCCTGACAGAGCTCCTCGAAACGGGCACGGGTGATTGAGGTGTAGAAGTCGATACCCTCGAACAGAGAGTCGATTTCGATGGAAGTCTGGGCGGACGAGGAGAGAGTGCGCTTGGCCCGCTCGCAAGCAGTTCGGAGACGGCGGAGAGCACGAGCGTTGGAGGTAAGATCCTTCTTGTGCTGTGGACAGTTAGTATGAGTTATACCAGGATGTGGTGCAAGGTGGGGTGGGTACTGACCTTGCGCTTGAACTCGTTCACGAAGTGGTTGACCAAACGGTTGTCGAAGTCTTCACCGCCCAAGTGAGTGTCACCAGCAGTGGACTTGACCTCGAAGATGCCCTCCTCAATTGTCAACAGGGAGACATCGAAAGTTCCACCTCCCAAATCGAAAATGAGGACGTTGCGCTCACCCTCGGTCTTCTTGTCAAGACCGTAGGCGATAGCAGCGGCGGTGGGCTCGTTGATGATACGGAGGACGTTGAGGCCAGCAATGAGACCGGCATCCTTGGTAGCCTGACGCTGGGAGTCGTTGAAGTATGCGGGCACAGTGACGACAGCGTTGTTGACGGTGCCACCAAGGTAGGACTCAGCAGTCTCACGCATCTTGGTGAGGACCATGGAGGAGATCTCCTCAGGTGTGAAGTTCTTCTTCTCGCCCTTGAACTCGACCTCGATCACAGGCTTGCCAGCCTTCTCGATGATGGTGAAGGGGAAGTGCTTCATGTCGGCCTGGACCTCAGCATCGGCGAACTTGCGGCCAATGAGGCGCTTGGCGTCGAAGACAGTGTTGGCTGGGTTCATGGCGACCTGGTTCTTTGCCGAGTCACCAATGAGACGTTCGGTGTCGGTGAAGGCAACGAACGACGGGGTCGTCCGGTTACCCTGGTCGTTGGCGATAATCTCGATACGGTCATCACCTGGAATTGTCAGCACACGCTGCTGCGGGAGCAGGTTGAGGAAACTTACGGAAGATACCAACGCACGAGTACGTGGTTCCGAGATCGATACCTACAGCGGGAGCCATAGTTGTGGATTATGAAAGAAGCGCGGGGTATCACAAGAAGAAAAAGGATTCGTTTGAGTATTCGCGGAGTCTGTCGACCAATGCGCGAGTGTGTCGAGTTATCTTGGGGTGTGTGATGGTGTGAGGAAAAGAAGTGCTTGTTTGGTGCGGCGGAGGGCCTTTTGTAGCGGGTGGTGGGCAGTTTTTCAGATGCTCTTCTGGAACTTTCGATCTGGCTCACCGGCCAACCAGGCGCTTCTACTCGCTTCGAGCAGCCTCTGCGGCCCACTCAGAGGCTGCGCGGGCCTGCGGCTGGGGCAAAGTGATTTGTGGCTACGCTGCAGACGTGCGATTGCAGGCCGCATTCACCTACAGCCCGCCCATCGCGCCCAATTCCGTGCTGGTGCTCGAAATTTCTCTGTATCCCCCGCCCGCCGCGATGACGAAAGGTTCAAAGGGAGCCCCGCCTGCCGCATCTGGGCCGCTAAGCGAGCTCCCCGCCCTTGACAGCCCTACCGCCATCACCTCGCCCGCTGGTAGAAATTTATCTGCCTATCGAGACTCTCCAGGCAGTTTCCACATGGCATGATGATCGGCTTCTCAATCATGAGAGTACGACCTGGCCGCACGGTTTGCAAGTGCATGAGCTGCTGTTTGCAAATATCGATGCGTCTGTGACATCACGCAATCATGCTGCCGAGACGGTGCGTGTCACCCATGATGCTCTCTTGCTTGACAGCTGCGTGCAAACATGGTGTTCATCCAACCTCATGTCAGCTGCGTCGCCTACGCCTGCGAGGGCTACCCAACCTCTGCCAAGTCCACGGGCCTCTCGTAACAACACTTACACCGAACAGAATACCAGAATGCACGCTTCCTATTCAGATCTGACCATGCAAATCGGCACAACCACTACCGTGCGAGTGGAGCCATGTTGTCGCGGCTGGGTCCAGAAGTTGAGGTGGCTGGCTCGCACGTGAGGTGATGTCATTCCAACGTTTCCCGGCTGCTGGAGCTATCTCCGCAGATATGGCAGCGGGGAGCTTGGAAGCTCTGCCTGTCTCCCAGACTCGCAGCTTCCTTTCCTCAGCCTTCTCCTCTTTGGCTCACGCGACCTCATATCCCCTTAATCGTGCGCCCTTCTAATTCACCGCTTGTCTTTGATAGCGAGATGTTGCGAACGGGCGCGTCACGTCTGGCGCTGAGGACGTTCCCAGCGCCAGCTGTTCGCGCAGCTCCCATCTTCCGCATCGCAAGTCCAGCAGCAAAATGGGCTACCCAGTTCAGCTCAGTGGCCTCGAAGCGCCCGCAATTGTCTCAGTTGGCCCAGGTCAAGCCGGCAAGGGCTGTTATACTCCGCCGTGCGCTATCGGAAGACCGGAAACAGGCTGAGGCCAAATACGCCAAAGAGGAGATCAAGCCTACGCCAGAGTTGGTCTCTTCGACCTCCAGTATCCATCCATTCGTAGGAGAAGTTGGTGGTGAGCCCGCACATCAGGAGGTAGACATGAGCGCTGGCATCAAGTCAGATTTGGTGAGCTAGCAAATGCATAACAATGCACCGGCTCGTGCTAACATGGCTCTTACAGAACACGATCAGAGAGACCTTCAACTTGAGCGAAGTCCCGCGTCAAGCATACTACATTGGACTTGCTGGAGTCTTGCCATACCTTGGGACCTCACTCTCCACCGTCGTCTGCGCGTACGAGATCAACCACGCTGTAGCCGGGTACGGCTATCTCATGTCGGCAAACACAGCTACTGCACTTCTACACATCCTTGAACCATTGCAGGTTGGCTACGGCGCTGTGGTGAGTGCGGTTGTGCCCTTCGTCGCTAGCACACTGACGCGCTCAGATTCTATCGTTTCTCGGCGCAATTCACTGGGGTCTAGAGTTCGCTGGCTACGGTGGTCGCCATGGATATAGTCGCTACGCCATAGGAGTCGTCGCGCCCGCAGTCGCATGGCCAACCGTGTTGATGCCCGTAGAGTATGCTCTGATCACCCAATTCTGTGCATTCACATTGCTGTACTACGTTGACACGCGCGCAACGTACCGGGGCTGGACTCCTCCGTGGTATGCCATCTATCGATTTGTCCTCACGTTCATTGTGGGAACGAGTATTGTGGTCAGCCTCATTGGCCGAGGAGAGGTCTCTGACACAGTTGGGAGGATGCCAGGTGCTGTGGACAGGATGAAGGCTCTCGGAGGCCCCGACGCACAAGACGCAATGTCCAGGGAAGAGGAAGGCATTCGCGCTCAGCAAGAACTGGCTGGGGAGGGCAGCAAGTCCAAGGGCGAGGAAGATTCCGAGGATGATTCCGAGGTCAGCGACTAGAGCGTGCGGCTGCAGTAGGCTGGGGACGGGTTGAACCGAGCTCGGTGCAATGGACCCCCCACGACTCCACGAATCATCTGCGCTGTCGCATTTCTCTTTGTACATTGTCTGTCTCATGGATAGCGGCCTGTCAGCCTGGGTGTGCGTTGTTCGGCGTTTTGCTTCTCTCTAGGTTTTTCATGTCGATCAAATAGTAGTAAACGACTCCAAGGCGCACTACCCCGCAGTGATGCGGCTCAACACAAGAGGTAACATGTGCAGAGAGGCGCCGTCCTGCTTGTGTGGGCCGACAATGGCCGGCACAATCGGCTCGATCGATGCCGAGCATGGCGGATTTGCGTGGAGCTGAGCGCGAAGATTCCCATGGCTGCGCGGAAAGATGGGTCTTCCCTCGCGGTAGCGTGGGCCGGAGGCTCTTAACACGAAAAATGGCGGTTCGCACATGAACAATGTCCGGGTTCGACGTGCGTCAGTTGTGCGACTTCGGTGGGGTGGCCTTCCTCTTCCCCCGCTTTTTCGCTGTCGCGAGCCACAGCTTGTCAAGCGCATGCTGCAACGCGCACCTCCAGCCTGCACATCTTTTCGATCGCGGGCTCAATATCCCTGCCCTCCAGTTATGATTTCATCCAGTCTCCGCTGCATGCCCCACAGTCGCCTCTGGTCTCTTCCGTAAGTCGCAGTCCTGTCTCAGTTCGCGTTGCCGCCTCGCTGCCACCCGCACCACAAACACATCGCCCTCCGGCACGCGCGACTCCACGCAACATCAGTGCGCACACGCTTCCCCAGTTCCCGGAAGTTTTTCTTGCTCTGGTCAACTAGATCTTCCGCGCACAGTAAATCCTTTTCGGCAACCTGCGCAGTCATGGTCATGGAGAAGGCCTCAGCACATGGTGCAGAGCCGCAGCCAGTGCCCAAGTCCAAGAGTGATTACTTCGACGACGCGCCGATAAACGATGAGGAAGAGAAGCTGCTGGACGAGACAAAGCTGAAGCAATTCTTCATCGGCTCTATAGATCAGGGCACCACGAGCACGCGCTTCATCATCTTCGACGGCACGGGGCAGCCGGTCGCGCAGCACCAGATTGAGTTCACGCAAATATACCCCCATTCTGGGTGAGTCATGCATACGAATATACGACGGTGGCATGGAAGCTCACAAGCGGCAATCCAGATGGCACGAGCATGACCCTCAGGAGATCCTAGACACGGTCGAATTATGCATAGAACAGGCCATACAGGCCTTTATCCACAAGGGCTATGATATCGCAGATATCAAAGCTGTCGGTCTCACCAATCAGCGCGAAACAACACTGGTCTGGGACAGCACGACGGGCGAACCCTTGCATAATGCTATTGCATGGCCCGATACCAGAACCAAGGGTCTGGTCCGCGAACTAAAGGCACGCGAGGGTGCAGACGAGATCAAGAACAAGACCGGTCTTCCTCTTTCGACCTACCCGTCCTCCGTCAAGCTTGTGTGGCTTCTCGATCATGTCGAAGAGGTGCGTAAGGCTTACGACGAAGGACGTTTGGCGTTTGGAACAATCGATACCTGGATACTCTATCATTTGAATGGAAAAGACAAGGGCATACACGTCACTGATACGACAAACGCTTCGAGAACCATGTTCATGAACCTGCACACCGTCGAATACGATGACGAGCTTCTTGGGTTCTTCAAGATTGACCGCAACAAGATCAAACTGCCAAAGATCGTCCCTTCCTCCTGCCCAGAATCGTATGGATCAATAGCTGAGGGACCACTCAAGGGCATTCGAATCGCAGGGTGCCTGGGTGACCAGTCTGCAGCTTTAGTTGGTCAGCAGGGGTTCACACCAGGCTCCGCCAAGAACACGTACGGCACAGGATGTTTCTTGTTGTACAATGTTGGTGAGAAGCCTGTCATCTCCAAGCACGGGCTACTAGCGACTGTCGCATATGATTTTGGACGTGGGCGGAAACCCGTGTATGCGCTGGAAGGTAGTGTAGCAGTCGCAGGCAGTGGCGTGAAATTCCTGATGAGCAACTTGGGTTTCATCACCCATTCGCATAAGATCAGTGACTTAGCAGCAAGTGTGGAAGACAACGGTGGATGTGTCTTCGTCACAGCTTTCAGCGGCCTATTCGCGCCGTACTGGATTGATGACGCAAAGGGGACCATCTTTGGCATTACGCAACATACCGAACGTGGACATATTGCCCGAGCGACGCTGGAAGCGACTTGTTTCCAGACAAAAGCCATTTTGGATGCTATGGAGAAGGACAGCGGGCATAAGCTCACCGAACTTTCGGTGGATGGTGGTATGAGTAATTCCAATCTGTGTATGCAAGTAAGTAACAGCAACATTGTTAGTTTCTGACCTATCACTAACCCTGTCGACCACAGACGCAGGCAAACATTATCGGCATCCCCGTTGATCGACCGGCTATGCGAGAAACCACCTCACTTGGGGCTGCCATCGCTGCAGGCTTCGCTGTGGATCTTTGGAAGGAGTTCTCCGAGCTGAAAGAGATTAATCAGAAAGACCGAATGATCTTCGAACCTAACATTTCCAAAGAAGATAGCGCGAAGATGTTCAAGAAATGGGGACGAGCGGTCGAGATGTGTCGCGGTTGGCTAGATGCTGACGAGGCGAAAGAGGATTTCTGATATACCGCATAATGAACGTTTGTTATACCCTCAGTCGGCTTCTTGCATCTTCATTTGCCCCTTACTTGTCCCACGCGCCATCCGAGAGCACTGCGGCCTTTCCAAGGATAACATTTTCTGACGTGATTGAGAAGTGACGTTACTCACGACCAGAAGACACGCAACTCGATGCGTAGCTGGCAACGAATGACCCGACGAGCCGTCGCACGCTTGCGCGGGTTGTCTACCGACGCAACTTACCCATGTCCTGTTCGCGTCCAGGGAACCGTTACATGGGCTATAGAGTTCAAATTTATACCTGCCGGGGATGGGTCCACGACGTCCAGGTGCGGGGTCGGGGTGGCGGGACAGAGTGACAAGATGAGCGATCTAACGGCACTGTCGGGTAGGTATCCTTGCCGTAATATCGTATATCACTCACAGCCTGAAGTTTCGGTCCACTTCACTGGCTACTTAGGGACAACTGAGGGAGGTCCGCAGTCTCGAATAGGCACGACATAATGCAAGAATTCTAGGGGTTAAGACAAGGGGAGCCTTGATGATGGCCACTCTCTAGGCCAATAATTACAAAAAAAAAAGTCGATGGAAACCCAATGCCGACCGGAAAGCGTGCTCCGTCGACACAATAACCCAAAGCAAGCGTACCTTTCCGGGCTGTTTCATGCAACGCAACGAAGACATCGCGCTATACTATTGGCATGATATGCTTGTGTTGTTCAAACCTTCGATTCGCAGCCGAGTTGTCCGTGGGTACCGTATGGATGAGTTGTGAATGCGCGTCTGTGATATAGCGGTGTCCGGCCATGTCGAGACTTTCTTTTTTTTTCGTATGTTTCTCCGGGATTCATGCCGTACACGCAGGGCACCAAACCATGCTCTATGCGTGTGCTTCTACTGGGACGGGTTTACCCAAAGATTGGTTACGGCTAGCCATACTTGCTGTCCTGCGCATCGCCAGCCCACGAGGCCCAGATGCAGTTTCTAATATCGAAGAGTAGAAACGGCTACTCCAACATTAAGCGATCCCAAGCGAGCAGGTTGATGAGAATAATAGCCCAGGGCTTCAGAAGAAATCCCTTTGACCGTAGAGACGGCCATGCGTGCATCACCCGCCTTTCGTGCCGATCAACAACGCACGGATAAGCATGCCATGCTGCGCAGCCGAATCCATCCCACTCGGCAATGGCGTAACCTGCTGACTTGCGAATGATTCTGCTTCCGAGCCGGGAGCGGGACAGCATGCACCAGATTCGGCGTAAGCAGATAGTCGCCCTCGTGTTTCAGAAAGCATCGCTGAGGTGACTCGAGCATGATAATTGCTCAAGTGATGGAATTAGCACCCGTCTTAAGAAGCGATGCGACTACTGAGCGAGTCAGGTCCAGACAGAGCCTCACCCCACTACGACGACACCGTCCCACACGCGTTTTCCTGCATCCAACGTGGACCCGTGGCCGCAGATCCGCCTGCTCACAGGCGGGTACTGTAGGCCTGTTGGGGAGCTAGTAGCGAGGCGAGCTACTTGCACCATCCGCTTCCCTAACCGCTCTCCGCGACGACTTGAACCCTGTTCGATGTTCCTGGCCATTACTTCACCCTCTTATCTTACACGCAAACACCTTAGTGCCGTGACCCCTTGCAGTCTGTGATCTTGTCATTCCAGCATGCCACCAAAACCAGAAGGATTCTGTCCGACTGGCAGGCTTGGGCCAGTCGGACGTGACGACTCCGCAATACCAGGGCTAAACAATCGTCTGCATCGTGACGGACTGCTCGAGGGGCCCAATAGTACGGTTCAGCTTGCATTGCGACACCGTCCCACCCGTCTTGACTATAACATGGGACGGTCCGGCGCGCTCTTATCCCTATCAATTCGACCGTTTTGAAGACCACAACTCACAACCTCGAGCTCAATACGGCCCTCCTTCCCTTCCTACCCTTCGACCGATACATTTTGCAATCTCCATTTTCGGCATGTGCGATTACACCCAAGTACATTATAAGTGCTCTCACCTTCGCTATACCGTCCGCGCTTGGTGTACCAAATATCAAGAGACGCAGAGAAGATGTCAACCCAACGTTGTGGCAGTGTAAGGCAACCAATGCATGTTAGAACACAGGACTGACCCATATCTCAGTGAATATAGACTCGACGAGAATTGCGGTTCGTTTGCTCGACTTCCCCATCAAAATTGCCTTCTAGCTGACGAATAGAAGGCGATTGCAAAGGCTCTACGGGCAGGCGCCGATAACACACGACCTTCACTTTCGAATTGTTTCTCGATACCCACATTTGGTTTTTCAGCAAGGCGTACTGGATGCGGCACGGAAATGTGCACAATACCCCACTGACAAGAGCTTTCATCTTGTCCTCATAGTCAAATGTACCACAATGTTTCGTCGTCGTTTCGGACTCACATTTACGTTCTGTATCATGCATCTTGCGCTGTCCTACATCTGGCATGCGTTACCCGTTGACGCCATCATCTATTCGCTAAGGTGCGGCGGTTTTAGGGGCCCGTTGTCACTGGTCCATGCTGCTGCACGACGCATGGTTCCTGCAGCTTTAGGTACAACCTCGTCCCTCGGCTGCTCCCAGCGCACAACCACAGAATGGCGGTAACGCCGAAATCCACGCGGTCGTACCCGATATCCAATCTGCAATCTGACATTGTACATCTGTGAGGGCGGGTCGGTACTGCGATTCTGCGTCACCGGTACACGTTGCATCGCACTCGGCGAATGGTCTAAACGCTACGGCATTAACTCCGCTGATGAACTTTAACGTACGACGGCCAACGGTCCAGAATTTCATGCTCCGGGCATGCTCATGTAGTCGAAGTCACAGTTCGTTGCAGATGCTGCTGCTGCTCCCGACACTGCATATCTCCTGTGGGTGTTCCTAACGGAACGTAGTCCTCCGCTTTGCGCATGACCTTACAAGAGCAACACAAATGATAGTAAACACCGAGCGGCATGATATAATTCACAGACAATATTTCTCCAACCAACATTTTCTTGAGCTAGCAGGACGGCTTGGTCAGTTTCCAGAACGTTACACGAGTCCAGAGCTGGATAATATTACTGGGGTCTTAAGGGTCACGCAATCATGCAATTCACCTTTGCATCTGCTCGCCAACCAGAATTGCTACTCGGTCACGAATGCCTCCATGCGCGCAAAATCCAGGCACACAGCCAATAGGAATCATCCCCAATCATCGACTCGGTCGCCCGATCCTTCCGATGCTCAAGCCTTAACAGAAGGCAGGGCAGAGGAGTCAGCGGCATTGATATTTCCAGTCTTCCACAACTCTACCTGCCTACCTATCGCGCGAATCAGCCATGGGGACGCATTGAACCACAGCAATGCAGTACTTCTTCAGTTTCCAACCGCACGGCCAGTAGATAGAGACATATCGATCACGTCATACCCTGGGCTTTGAAGACCAGGGGTAACGCGTGGCTTGGTGTTGCGTGCAGCCAACTCACCGTTTCATGCCTGAAATTTACACACGGAAAGATCTCTGCAACCTTTTCCTCAGCGACTCGTGTTCTATGCGCATGCCCTCGACTCGAAGCTGCTCCACAATTTGAGAATTTTCCAGAATCTCTGAGTACTTGCCCCTGGGTTTCAAGCGATACAAGGGATGTCGACCCCACCTGACTAACTCGATCCATGCTTCCACGTTGTAAAATCCGGTCCCACCTGCTGTGGGACAGACATCGGCGAGACTTCGAAGCGGATGCAAATGTTACAGTACACAATAGTACAGAGCTTTGGCTTGATGTTGTGCTGCGGAGGATTGCGGCTGGTAGCGGGACAAGTTTCCATGGAGCAGCGTCCCTGCTCCTTGGGTTCGGCAGGTGAAAATTGCCGGTATGCTCCTCTTGGCCCACTTTCGATCATCGTACTACCAGCTGACTATAGCGAGTATCCGTTTCCAGCTTACATACCACTGTGGTCGATACAAAGTCAACCCATCTGCAGGTCAGTCACACCGCTCAGACCAAGGAGCAAAGGAGTGACGATGCTCTTTAGCTTCCGGGCAGGGTTTCCACACTTTTCTGTCGAATATTCCTGCTACAAATTTCTAGCACCAACTGTAATCCTTGAAGACGTCCGAGCGTCCACTGAAGACCCGACTGTCAACGGCAGAGTGAATACGCGGAGCCTAGACGGTCTCGAGCGGCTGGAATAATCGCCGAGGGATCCGGGGACTGGGTAATCTCGTCCAGTGACTGGGCCAACACGGATCAAGCGAGCAGTCCGTTTACCCGCACGACGTCAGCTCCAAGTCATTCGGTCGAAAGACCCTGTCCACTTATTCGAACCGTGCGGTACCACGGCAGCAACATGTTCACCGCATCACCAGCGATGACCGTCTAATCCAGCGTTGTCACGAGTCCATTGATCAGCTCCACAGCGTCGGTAAACAGGCCATTCAGTTGTCTGTAGGGCTATAGCCTAGTTTTTCTGATCATCTGGGCATGGTGCTGCGCGCTGGAGGACAATGAGCAATTCGACCACATATTTGGCTACGGAATAGGCCCAAACAGAAAATCTTACGAGGCAACGTGCGCAGCACGCGCTTACCGTAAAGCCATGCGAAGCCGACGTTAAAGATCGACCAGACTCAAGGTCTCGGTTACCATTTGCAAGGGTCAATTGGCCGTTCCGGCCTGCGACAAGGATCACACGCAGATCCGACGACCCACTCATGTTTGGAGACGCGTTCTCAAACCAGTCCCAAGCTCCTTCCGCCCATACAGGTGCCTCGCGCCTGCTTGATACTACTGCTCGATTGCGCCGGCAATTTCATCTTGCATGCATCGGCATAGCTTGGGTGATATATGTATCATACTACGACCTTTACCCGGTTTGAAGACGGCTGGTTGGCGAGTAGGTAAGGTGTGGCTTATCGGCGTCCAGTTGAGGGAAGGCGAAGGATGGCGACAGGCTCGTTGACGGAACTTGATGGTTGCATGATCACGAGGAGGGCCACGGCTCGGGCCGAGAACTGTCATCTACAGCGGACCGATAGCTGCACTTAAATGGTCCGGCTTGATCTTGCTACACATCTAACTTTGAGCCGAGTATTCAGAAGCCGGAAACTACCGGCCTAGGTATTGGAAGCCTATGGATCACTACTAAACCCCTCACATATCTTGTTCTTGTGGTCTGTATACTCCAACTTTTAGCCACCTTGGATTTTCTTGGTCGCCCTCGAGATTACGTGGACATGCTCTTCTAGGGACAATATGGTAAGGATCGATTTGCGCAGCTCCTTCCGAGAGTTTGTCTAGACATCGTGGAGAGCTGAAAGGCAATGCGGGATATTACTCGGGACTACTGTTATTGTTTCAACACATCAGCATGCACAATACAACGCATTGTGGGTTGCGGAGGACCCTCCGGTCGAAGCATGAAACAACCCGCCATCCCCAAGGTTCAACGTCCGCATATCCGCGCAATTTTCAGCCCTGTGCATGTGGCTCGACATCTGGGTTAACGATATGTACCCTGACCCCGGGACCTCGAACCATACTGACTTACAGATCTCCCTGCTTCCAGTTCGGTCTCGTGCTGGAGTATGACCGACGTTCACAATCGGCCCTTCTCAACGTCAAGCCCTATGGATTATTCTGCGCGTCAATGAATCAAGCAAATGTGCTCACGACTAGCTGGAATGCTGGAAAATTTACCAGACGGTCTTCGGAATTGTTCCAATTGGATATATTTGAGCGGACTCACAAGCGCGTGCCTAAATGATGGGTCGTGCGGTCCTGTTATCTAGGATCACCCAGTGATGCACCCCTCCGTGCATCCGCATTCAGTTGCTGGTAGTGCTGGTGTGCTTTGAGGAATCCTAACGAGCCGTGGCTACTTGCCTTGTGCCTCGGATATCTTGAAGAGACAGAGTTTCATGGATGTAATCACTGTTTTGGAGTGTCTGCCTTCTCGGTGGGATTGCACCGATGGTGTGTGGCTGACAAGATGAATCAGAATGCTAAGCGACCCGTGGATGACAGGGAAGCGAGATGATCTGGCCGCATCTGAAATGTTTCGTCTTGTACGATAGTTCTCATTATGGTGGACCGAAACTGCATCCAAAAGTTCAGTCTCTCCAAGGGTCTCGCATGCTGATTGGCGGTTCTGGTATTGACCTCAGTAGCTGGATAGTTTACACAGCGAGAAACTCCGATCCCTACAACTAGGGTTGGAACAATTGGGTCGTTGTCAATACCCTTATTCTCAAGGCGTTGCAGTCATGTTGGGCAACGGGGTCTGCACCACGTGGTCCTGCGCGAGCGTGTTCGCGTGCGGCAAGTGGGCCAACGAACGACCGACTTTCTTCCCCCTCCAGTCCGCACCATGTCCGATATTCCAACGCCCGACAATGCCTTCTACGTCCTGGTCACGGGCGCCAACAGGTAAGCTGGTTTTGCTGATTACGGTCCCGCCACCAATTGACATCATTGCAGCGGTCTCGGCCTCGGAATCGGTGCCCGCCTGATCGACGAATTTTTGCAAACCCGGCCCCAGGACGAAGCCCTCGTTCTTATAATCACAACACGCGACCAACGCAAGGGCGACGCGACAATCAAGGCCTTGCAAGAGCAGCTGCGTAAAGCATGTCACAAGGCAGAGAAGAAGCTACCGGGCGTGTCGCAGGTGCTGCAGCAACGCGTATTCCTGCGGCAAGAGAGGCTTGACCTCCTGAGCCTGGTTTCTGTGCAGACGCTTGGCAAGAGGCTGCGCGACACGGTGCCGAAGCTCGACGTGGTCATATGCAATGCGGGAATAGGTGGATGGACGGGAATAGATTGGCCGCTGGCCTTCAAGACAATCCTCACAAGCTGGAAGACGAGCACGACGTGGCCAACCTTCAAGCTCTCCGCCGTGGGCTGGACCACAAAGCCGCAGCTCCCACCGGCAGCAGACGGTAGCAAGAGGGAAGAGCCACCCTTGGGCGAGGTCTTCTGCGCCAACTTCTTCGGACACTACCTGCTAGGCCACTACCTCGCACCGCTGCTAGCGAAACGATCCCAGAGCGAGCACGCACCGGGCAGGCTGGTCTGGACGAGCAGTCTTGAGGCCTACGAGCACTCGTTCAACGTGGAGGACATACAATGCATAACGCAGACAGAAGCATATGAGTCGTCGAAGCGACTGACCGATCTTATGGCGGTGACCTCCGTCCTGCCCTCAACCCAAACCCACGTCACCAAATACCTTGACTACGAGCAACCCTCCGAAAAGACCATCAGGCCCCGCATTTACCTCTCCCACCCGGGCATCACACACACGCCCATCATGCCGCTCTTCTTCGTCCTCGACTACGCATGGAGACTGGTGTGCTACATCAGCCGCTGGCTGGGCAGTCAATGGCACGTTGTGACCGCGGATAAGGGCGCCGTGGCCGCGGTCTGGCTGGCGCTTGCGAAGCAGAGCACGCTGGACACAATGGAGCAGCGGGAGGGGGTGGGCAAGTGGGGCAGTGCGATCGACGTGTGGGGCAATGAGCGTGTGGAAAGGACGGAGATCGAGGGCTGGGGATGGGGCGGCAAGATTGGGGAGGCACCACGCAAGTTCGGGCGCAGTCCGTACGCAAAGGCTTTGACACCGCAGTCGAAAGAGAAGTTTGTGCACGACGGGGAGCAGTGCTGGGCAGAGCTGGAGCGGATGAGAGTGGACTGGGAGAGGCGGCTGGACGAGGCCGGCGTGGGGGTCCGCATGGACTAGGCCGTGTCATCTTATGTCATGTTGTCCGGTTTGTTTCAACCGCCGCGGGATGGATGCTCCATACTACGTTCTACAAGTGGCACCGCAGTGGTCCTTTCCTTGTGACCACCAAAACCCGGGCACGGGAACCCTACGTCAGACCCAGCAGCTGGGGATGCGGTGCGATCGGCTGCGCAGTTACAGATAGATTTAGTGCTTGTAATACCATTCTTCACCGCTACGGGTATGTGCAGGCGGGAGGCACCGCTGGTTCAACGTCGCACAGAGGCTGTCCGAGGAGGGAGTGTTTCAGGGTGTTGCTGGTATGGTGATACGGGGGAGGACCCCGCCTTGTGTGATGTTCGGTTAAGCGCGGGGACTCAGCTGCCGGGAGGTTGTATGTTGATGATACATGAGGTTGCACGGCAGTCGGCGTATGGCTTTGAGGTCAGTGACGTGAGGACGGGTATACATGTTAATGTGTGTGGGATCTAGCCTGCTTGGATTCGCACTTCGTTTCCTCTTTTTCAGGCAAACACCTAATCGGGGCACGCTTCTTAGGCTGTTAGCAATCCTGTAGTGACTGTTACATTGAGTTGTCAGAGCTCTGGGGTCTGCATATTTCATATACAAACCACACAGCTTCCTAAGACCATAACGAAGAAAACCCATGTGAGAGCTACCGTGTTCTAGACTTCCTGGGTTTCACACTAGACATCTTTTAGATTCACTGCTTCATCGTGAGCTTTTTGTATTGCCGATTGCACGTCAAAAGGTGTCCATTCAACGTTGCATTGGTAGTCAAGATCAGTCCTGGACCAGAGTGGCTGCCGCCAAAAACTGGACTCTTGAAAACCTTATCCTCACCGTACGATGCGGTTGTAAAAGCATAATTTCGTAGTCTATCTCAAAGTTTCATAGCGACAGAAAGTCCAGCTTTTACTGTCACCAACTGTGGACCACGGTCTCGTTCGCTGATGTTGCACCACGATAGAGTTGATGTTTTCAACAACGCCACACGGAAACTATCAACAAGATTCTCGCCAATGCGGGGAAGACACTCAGCCAGTTTACTCTTTGGGTCGATGGTACTTGTTTGTTTGGCAGACCAGTGGGGGCGAGAGCTGTGCCACCCGTCGCTGGATGCCTCGGGATTCGCACCGGTGGAGATGCACGAAGGCGATCCGAAGCTGGCGAAGATCTCTAACGCAGCTAGATGGCGATGCACCGTTCAGAGCTTGACGGACGCCCTTCCCACATCCCATTGCTTAACCAACAATCTTGTATTTGAGTTCTGGAACAATGCTCCTCCGCTGCGTTTTCGTAGAAGAGATGATCGCCTTGCACTAGCCGTCTAGAGAACGGCACGAGGAGACAGCGTATCGGCCCGCCGGGCACCAAGCGCGACGGCGCCCAAGGCTATGTCTCATCGTTGCTTTTCTTGATAGACTTGATAGAATTGGCACCCAACGCCAGCATGGACGGGCATCAATGCGCCCAGAGGCTCACAATCACGGCTATCTCTCGTTCTCATGCTCGTCGAGGCTCAAGGCTAGGCGTGACGAAGGTGATGAGCACAGCTGTCCGGGGTCGCATGCGGCAACCCCAGCAAATCACGCTGTCGGGACCAATAGCATCTGCTTGCCGCCACAAAAGGGGTCGCGGGCCCTGAGGAACCGTTGTCGCGGGTCGCGGCTTCTTCGATGGCGTGCCGCTAGCTGCACCAGGCGCCCGTAATCATGGCCAGCCTGCGGCCAGAGCAAGTGTGCCCCAGGATTCCGTGCCCTCCAGTTCCCTTGCGAGACCCATCCTCTACGCCGCATCGTCGCATTCTTTGTCGCAGGGTTGTGGGCGGTCGCGCAGCATTCTTTGGGTGGGAAACCGTTGTTGAGGCGTTGCTACCACCACTATTGCTACAGGAACATGGAATGAGAGCGAAGCGGTTCACTTTCACCAAGACCGTCTTCCCACCGGATCATCTTTGCGCCCACCTTTCACTGCGGCCGCCACCCAAGCACGATATGGAACCGAAAGACGATTCTTCCGAGCCTTTGTCCAGCGACTTTCCGCCTCACTTCGCACACGCCTCCGCCACGGACACTCGAACCACGGCGCACTACTGCTCGTGAGAGCCGCAACTTCAACGCGTCTATACCGCCCACCCACGACGCTCCTTTTACCTGCCGCGTTGCGCGGCCTAGACTAGGCTGCTCAACTTTACCTTCTTGACCCACCCCATTCGCACGACCCTACATATTGTACGGGAGTGTAGTGGAGCAGCCCGCCGACGTGGGATCCTACTATTCTGGGACAAAGACCTTGTTCGACACAAAGCCTGCCCATTGCGAGACAAGTTATAAGCAGTCTCACCGGGGGCGCCGTATAATACCACAAAGTATAATCAAGACATCTCACGTAATGAGCACACCGAATCGCCCACCTGGGCGAGCCAGCCTGCCACACACGCCCGTCGCCACGCCTCCGTCACGTATCCGCACCGATTCATTTGCTGAGCCCAAGTCTGAACTTCTTCGGCATGCGCTGGAAGCGAAACGGGCTGCGCATGTGACACCTACTCCGACGCCCACCGAATCAAGATGTGCACAGCCTCAGACGCTCAAGAACGTCGCATCCGATCCGTGGCTGGACAATGCAAAGGATGAGGAAGATACCACGAAGGCAACCCCTGTGCGCCGGCCCAGGCGACCAAGCGATGGCGCTTTACCACGAATGCACACCCAGCGCGAACTGCAGACGGAGAACGAGTCCCTCAGGAAGGTCCAGATGGACCTGAAGCTACGGCTCCAGGCCCTGGGTGATCAACACAACAAGCTCCAAGACGAAGCTGATGAGTACAAGGAGCGTATCAAGGAACTAGAGCCCTACGTAGCCCAGGTTGCGGACTTACGAGATGTGAACAACAAGCTCTCACTTAGAATGCAAGCGATGGACAACGAAATGGCTGATCTTCGCGAAGAGAACCAGGAGATTACGAAGATCTCGGAGGAGACTGTGGCGGAAATGGGAAAGAGGGAGGAGGCTTTGGAGGAAGCCGCGGGGCTCATTCTCGGCTTGGAGACGGAGAAAGCTGCCATGGTGGAGGAGATTGCACAGCTGAAGGCACAAGCGGAAAAGGCACAAATCGATGCCAGACAAGATATGGAAGCTCCTCTGAATGCAAACGAGCGATCGGATGACCCTACCCACGTCCACTCGATCGATGACTCTCGCCCTTCGACGAGCTACAACGACTCCGACTACTACAGCATGCCTGCCTCGCCGCATGCAAAGCCGAGCCAGGAGTCCATGGTCTTCGTTTCCGATCGGGCAAAGAAGTTCATCAACATGAAGAAAGAAACGCAACGATCGACTAAGGATCTTTCGAGACGGTTATCGAATGCCTCTTTGAGGTCGCAGAAGAAGAAGACAGAACCTATGCCGCAAGTTCCACAGATCCCAGAAGCGTACCGGCAGCAACCAGTTGCCCCAGAACCACATCGCACACCCCGGCGAGTAGGGTCTCTGCGAACAACGTTGTCTCCCGCTTTGGCATACGACCCGTATTCTCTACTTCCTCAATCCGGAAGCGCACCTCAGACACCTACCGGCAGTCTACGAGTACAAGTTCAGAACGGCTTGAGCTTAGACACATCGCGGCACGCTCGGCCACACTCACAGAGGTCAAGCACCGCGAGCAGCCCTCTAGCCAGCAAGAGCAAGCAGTCACGTGGGCCGGAAGTACCAGTTGCCCCTGCACGTCACAGCAGTCGCACTGCACATACCTCGTACTCGGTTGAACAGCTCAGGACGCAGTACAAGCCCGAGGACCAAACGGACGCAGGTACGGAAACGACATGGGAGGTCCCATCTTCCGTTGCGTCTGACGATCGAACCACAGAGCTACTGGCGGATTATCGCAGCCCTTGGTACAATCAGATAAGCGCTTGGGGTACCAATAACCGCGCAGATGCACCGGGTGCTGGGGCTAGGAGTGGCCAACGGGGGGGTTCGTATACGGAGGCAAACTTCCTGTTCAATCCTGCCGAGGATGAGGATGCGTTCGTCGAGAAGGCGCGGTCATTGGGCTGGCGTCGGTAGACTCGTGTTTCATGCAGAGCCCTCTTCTTCATTTTGTACTTTCCATTTTGATTTTTGTTTGGGCGTTCGGTATGGTTGAGGGGGGTTTGGATGCGGTGTTATAGGAAGAGATGCGCTCCGCAAGGACATGGAATATAGGATATCACAGGGACAAGCGAGTGCAATTGGACCCGCTGCATGCGCAACTGTTGCGTACGACGGCTTTTCGAAATGCAAATATTTGACAATTCACCAGCGAGGATTGCCGTTCATCGTTGCGCCCCGCTTCAAGTCAATCCGTTATGACACTCCGCACGTGCTTCTCTTGAGTCCATGCCACATTGCACAAAGCTCCGCTCCGCTGTGGCACCTCCGAGGGCGCCTCCGACAATAGCACCCCACGTCGTCTGCCGCGTTTCTCATCCGAACACCTCCCTCCCTTCTTAGGCTGCGCCCCGTCATGAAAGCACGAGCACGGTCACCATGATCACGTCTGGCTTTACGAATGCGCCTGTGTCGCAGTTCCTCGTCTTCGGCGTCGTCATCGGCGCCCTGGTTGCGAGTTTGACCGACACGCGGTACTACATACATATCCAGGTGGTGCCGCACATATGGAAGTATGGCCAGTTTTGGAGGTTCTTGACATGGCAGGTACGTTGCAGGGTGTGCATGAGCTTGTTCTGGGCCGCGAAGAGCACTAGGTTACGTCTCGGTCGGAGAGCTAACGAGAGCTGCAGATATGCTTCACCAACTCCACCGAGGTGTTGTTTGCAGCGGTCAGCCTCTACAACCTGCGCGTCATCGAGCGACTTTGGGGTAGCCGCAAGTTCGCCGTACGTACATTCCCATGCTTCTAGCTGCTTGCAGGCGACGCGCATACTGACGTCCCCCCGCAGTCCTTCCTCCTCGCAACTCTCCCCTACACAACCCTCCTCCCCCCGCTCATTCTCACCTTCCTCCTCCGCCCGCTCACCTTCGGCCGCCTCAACTTCCTCCCCGCCGGCCCGACCCCGATCATCTTCGCTCTCCTCGCAAACTACTACGCCGCAATACCCTACACATATCGCTACAAAATCGCACCCTACTCCTCCACACCGCCCGCCACATCACCCTCATCGCCGAACGCTGCGCAGACAGCCACAAGCATCTGGGCGAAATCCATCACCTTCACTTCAAAGGCGACAACATACCTCCCACCGCTGCAGCTCGCGCTATCGCAGTTCCCGGGCTCTTTGCTGGGGGCTGCCGTCGGGTGGGCAATCGGCACGGCGTACAGGCGCGACGTGCTGCCGTATGCGAGTAGCTGGCGTGTACCGGGGTGGATGGTCGGCGAAGAGAAGAAGAGGGGTTTTGAGGGGCTGAGAGCGAGGTTGGATGCGGAGAGGGAGAGGGAGGGTGCTGGAGGCGGGCTGGCCACGGGTATACTCGCTGGAGAGACACAAGGGGGGCAGGCGAGGCAGAGGCGGACGCTGGGCGATATGGTTGCTGAGCAGTTCCGGGGGAGGGGATAAGGAGCTGGCTGCGGGAGCAGTTAGGGACCAGCATGCATAGGCCCGCGATATGGATAAGATGATTGTATAACAACCTATGAAGATCATTCGGACGAACACCTGCAAGGAGACAGAAGGAGCGGGAGAGCCACAGATACGTCATCCTGAACTTCGTGTACACCAGGCTGACTGCAACGCTACAAGGCGCAGTACGAGTCCACCCACACCTTCCTTGACGTACCACTCAACGACCCTACACCTCCCTCCCATTAAACCCACCCCTGCCAACCATACCTCCAGCAGCAAACAACCACCCGCCCACTCCTCATACCTTCACCTCTTCTTGCTTCTCCGCACCCCGCTTGTACGTCCCATAACTACCATACCCACCCGCCGGCGCCGGCACATTGCTATAGTCGCCATAGCCCGCAGCCGGCGCCGGGGGGTTCTCGACCGGTGGAGCTGCAACGCCTTTGTAGTCGCCGTAGGAGCCTGGAGGGAGGGATATGTAGTCAGAGGGATGGTCAAAACAGGTAATTTAGACACCAGGGTCAAGTACCGTAGCCGCCGGCCGGGGCGGGGACGTTGGAGTATGAGCCGTACTCACTGTAGGAAGACTGGGCTACGGGAGCGGCGAGGACGGAGGTTGTCAGGGTGAGGAGGAGGGTTGCGGAGAGCTTCATCTTGGGCAGACTGTTCTTCGACGGGCTGGGAAGGCTGTGGGTTGAGTCTTGATACTGCAAGATGTGTTGAGATCTCACGGAGGGTTGTACTTACAAGGTACAGGAGACGACCAAGTACTTATATCACAGCCGCGCCCGTGTCCAGCGTCCCGTCCCTTCCAATCCAGACCCAATCACCATATTACCTTTTCGACGGCGCCCAGGCTCCAGAGAGAAAGTGGTAACTTCGAGCGAACGCGCTGGCATCGGCGAGCAGACAGCCAAGGCTACTAAGAGATGCTCGGAAGAAGCCGAGCTGGGAGCTGAAGATGGGGGAGACGCATATACGAGATCGTGTATGCCTTCATTGGATGGGAGACGGGAGACGGGTTGAGGGGAGTGGTAGCTTCGTGGTGTTGGCGCGGTGCGGGTGGGATGATCAGGAGATCGCATTGCTTGCTCAAAGCGTAGCGCTGGCGCGTCTTCCCACGATGTAGTTATTTGTTGTTAACAGATATTCTACATGGTAGCGGGTGTTGCTGTACTACTTCGATAGTTGAGGATGGCAGTACTCGACATGGCGCACCATGGCTTCTTCTAGCTGTGGGGATTCTTCACTCCATCGCAACAGCAACACTTGCATGGTTGCGCTGCCAAAACCCAGCCTTGTGTCTCCCCAAACTCATAGTCGATCCGCTTCTACCAGAAGTGCTGGGAGCACGTCACATCGCCACAGCCGTTGGTGCCCCCGCACCAGGCCTGGACTTCAGCCCTATGCGCCACACCCACCTGTGAATGGATGCTTCGCGAGCAAAAGAAACGGCGTCCACGACGGCGCTGTGTAGCTGAGCGTATCTCTCTGTGGACGTCTGTGAGGGAATGCTTGACGAGCGAGCTGAGCTGAAGAGCGTCGGCGAAGTCGTATGAGCATGACTAGCACCAGGCTTTGTTGTCGACGGCCAGAAACTCATCTGGTACTCTGCGCTCTGGTCTGCGGTCGATGTCTGCTCAAACTGCGATGTGGGACTTTTTGTCGAAGAAGAATCGTGGGTTCAAGCCGCTTGCCGACAAAGATGGGGACGACGATGCGGATAGGGAGAGTCTGCTTTCTTTAGCAGCCCAGCCGCTTGTACGACGAGGGCCTTCGTGGCGCCTGTTTGCACTGTGCCTTGTGGCGACGTCTTGCTTGTCCGTGATACTCGGAGCGTGGATTGGCAACACGGCGCGTCGAGATGCGGACGCGTTCAGTATCCGGCACACGTCTCAGTATTGTGAGCTTCTCCTCCCTTCCACAGGCAAGCTCGACGCAAAAGATCTTATGAGATCCATTGATTGCATACAGTACATCGTCGAGGTTCTGGTACTTCATGCTACCCCAGGCTGAGCAATGTGGTACCCAAATCCCGGCGAAGTACTCTGTATCCCAGGCACACGAACCGGGCCTTGCAACTCAAACTCATGATACAACACTGACACCGCACAGCACCTATTGTAGACAACATCGACATCCACTTCACCACCCTCCGCTTCAATGGCTCTCTTCTTTCCTCAAACCCCTTCCGCTCAGACGCGGGCCCAGAAGTAGACGCAGCCTGGAAGTCCCTCGGTGCAGATTGTATTCCTCCCTCCTTCCCTCCCTCCCTCCCTCTGCTTCCCCCGTCACTATTCCTCTAACACTAACACACCCACCCAGACTCCGCAGCGCGCATTCCCCTCGACCTCGCCGCAAAATCCGGCCTCGCGCCCGATCAAGTCCAGATCAAGCAGAAATACGGCGGCGGCTACCCAGCACACGTGGAGGGTATGCATCACCTGCACTGTCTTGTAAGTGCGCTTCCTGGCTCCCGTGTCTGGCTGACGGAACCAAGAATCTCCTAAGGAAGTCCCTGGCGTGGAACTTTGCGTATTACCAGGCCCAGGGGCTCGGACCGTTCTCCAATGACAAGGAGATTCTGAAATATCACGTCAGTAAGCGTTCCCACTTCCCTCCTTCCCACTTGTATTGTTCTTCGATCGCGGCATCTGACATCCCCACGAAGCACATTGTCTCGACATTCTCCGTCAGCAGCTCATGTGCACGGTCGACGTCGGCGTGCTCGGGCAGGTGTGGTACCAGCCCGAGGGCAAGTCGCCTACGCCGTTCGTAGATTTCAACACGGTGCACATGTGTAGGAACTTTGAGGCTGTACGGGCGTGGGCGGAAGAGAATCAGCTGCCTGCGGCGGAGGATACGCCGGTTGACTTCTTGGAGCCACCAAAGGAGGGGGGCAGGGTGTGGGCGGAGGTTCCGTAAGCCGTAAGGAAGCTCGGCTTCGGAAGGTGTTCCAAACATATAGAACGTGAGGCCAGGTCATTCGTCATCTTATGTTGGTCAATCATGTGTTTGGCATCGCATCATTGGAGTAGAGTGCAATGGCAGGATGTTGGTAGGATTTACGCTCGTGACAAGCAGACATGTGTGTTCTCAGTACAATTCCAGGCATGCTCGAACGCTCTATGCATATCGACCCAAAACTCAGAAACCAGAATTAAATCGCATGCTTGAACGCTTGAAATCAGTTTTGAATCCATAACCCAGGAAGAAAGCAAGTTGCCATGCCTCTAATTCGTACAGAAGAAAAATACCACCTGAGAGCAGAAACCCATGCAATCACTCTTGCGGGCTTAGAACATCAGCAAGCACCCTGAAAGAATAGCCGCGAAGACGGAGACGGCAAGCTTGTGGATATCAGTATCTGCAGCGGCGCTGGCGACAGCAGAACCACAGCAGTCATTCCTATTGTAAGATACGCCGTTCGCATCCGCAGCAGCCTGAAAGACTGAGCCGTTGAAGTTTCCAAAGTTGTAATAATCGACGAGCAGCCAGTTGGGAGGGCGACCCCACATAGCGGTGCAATTGTCCACGTTCCGACCCAAGCTACCATTTCCAGACACGGCATTGATTTCGTCAAGGAGGGTATACGCTGGGATGAGGATGCTTTGTCCAAGGAGCTCCACGTCAATGTTAAGGTTGTGGTTTGCCATGTACATCTTGTTCCTGGAAACTTCATCGTCCTGGTTTGATGGGCGCTGTGCGGTACAAGGGAAGGCAGGGTCGGTGGGAGAGAAGGGAGTCTCCCATTGGTAGCTGAACTCGTCGAGGAGCCATGGTACTTCAGTCTGATTCGCGAGATAGTCAAGCATGACGACGACTCTCTTGTTGAGGAGGATCATTTGCGCAAGCGTGGGCCAATCCTCCAAAGTTGCGTTGGGTTTAGGCGGAGTATATAGATACTGAAGCATCCCGGCGTTTTGGAATGGTTCTATGTAAGTGGCTGGAGGCACACGGTTGTCGTTGCCCATGATGATCGCAATGACTTCGTAAGGATGTGTATCAAGCCATCCTCGGACTGTGGTCAGGTACGATTCGAGGGTACCTGCATCGAGCAGGTCGCAAGATGTGTGGCAGAGACTGAGCCCAGCTGTGGCGTTCGGATAATGAGTTTCAAATTGCACTGGAATACTGATTAGCTACAGCCTCAATGCGGAGATGAGGATCGACCTACAGCCACGAATGCCATCCTCGAGCTGATTAAGCACTGGATAGACCTGATTACTAGCTGCGTTGTGAGGAACCACGAAGGGGCTGTTGTGTGCTACCACCATCGTGACATTACTCAGCTTCCGATTGCACAATTCCGCATGCCCGTTGCAAGGGCGTGTGTTCGATGGTCTAGGTCGCGACCCGGCAGTTGCGGTAGCGTTCGAGTTGCCATTAGTACCAGTAATGGCAACGAGCGAACCGGAGGATGTAGACTGCGACGAGGGAGAAGCCGAGGCCGAAGACGGAGCAGCGGTTGAGTCGTTTCTTGGTCCTCCGACAACTGAGCCTCCCACGATGCTTGTTACCAATACGCTCCCATAGTCCAGTACAACAGTCTGTGGACCTGACGGAGTCGCGACAGATACGGAAGCTGTGCTGATTGATGATGAAGTCACCCTAGATCTCGATATAGGTGTCGGCGAGGCTAGGTCTTCTGAGGAGGATGCATCCTGCGCGAATACGGGTTGCGCAGCGAGGAAGAACGACAGCAGGGATATGATCGAGAGAGGCATTGTCAAAGAGATCAGAACGAATGGCAGGCCTCGCGCTCGAGGAGGAATGAGCAACTCCTGTAATAATGCTTCCCGGGGAGACTTGAGGCCTCGGGGCGAAAGCGCAGCATTTTGTTAATTCTGTACTTGTACATCGAATCGAGGTGACGACAGCGTTAGGTAGGCGCAATGACGCAAAGCGCATGCCCGTGGAAGGCGCGGAGGCAATGCCGGCCCCGTCCGGAAACTACGCCTCGGTTCCATCTCCAGGTCTAGGTAGAGGCAATAAAAGAAAACTGGAGAGAAATTCTGGAACACATCGTGAGCGTCACGTGAAGAGGTACTGTTCTCGCTAACCCCTTGGCTGAGCATCGCATCCTTCCCTGCTGCTCGTTTGTATCATCATCTACTGCCCTCATTTTGGGAATGCCATCTACCATGGCTGATGTGAGCACGATAGACAGAACTAGCAAAAAATGTCAATTGACGCTGAACAGGAGCAAACCCCGTCCCTTGTTGGACAGCTTCTTCGAGCGGTTGGTGGTTGGACCACACCTAGTGGTAAAGGGTTGTTGTATGCACCCCAACAAAGCCTGAACATTCATTGAATATCTTTCAAAATAATGGTAAATGAAAGCTAACACATCCTTCCTGCACAGTATGTTTCGCATGATGACTTTTGGGGCATCTTGTGCAGTAAGTCTTCGCAACATCGCCATTACAACATGGGTCGGCTTTGTAACAATCGATGGTAGGGCATCTGCGGTGTCTCGGCAGCATTCCTATCCTCAGTGTTCTACGGTCCCATCGGCAGCATCGCATTCGCTATAGGTTCATCGATCGGATGGATTGCTGCGGCGATATACGGCTGGCGTACATCTGTAGCACATTCATTAATTGCCTACGATCAATACCCTAAGCTGATGCTGATCCATATGACACGGAGTTTTAGACTTATGGGACTCGAGCGTGTCAAATTGGATTCTCCGGAGGATGTTGCAAATTTCAGATACAGGCTGGTCAATGATCTCAGATACAAGAGTATGCTGGTCGGTGCGTATGAGACTGCGGCGCCGTTAATTGATGTGAGTGTCAATGAAACGATAAAAGAGATGGGATTGCTTACGAAGAGGAATTGTAGGAAATTGAAGCTAGGAGAGAGGCAAAGGTGATTGCAGAATTAGCCGGTGAAAGAGATTGAGGCAGCAGGCTTCTCCTGGGCAATCTAACAGCTCAAAGGTTGGATCGATGAATTTGCAGGTCAGTGTGCAATTCAGTGTGCAATTCAGTGTGCAATTACAAATTGTTACTTGACTTACTTTTACTCATTGCATACAGTTACAATCGTTGATAACATACAAGCGTGTGGCCAGAGTCGAGTGCTCGTTGTGTCTGAGTGCACCGCTTACGCTTGCAATATCGAGACGAAGTGCTCGATGACTTTTTAACAAAATGTAGTACTTCTACCTGTTGCGATATCTAGTGCGGGTTAGGCAGCTTTTAGGCTAGAAATTCGTTTTTCGAGGGAGCAATTGTGCAGCAGTTTTTCTAGGCAGTTGCCATTGTCTCTACCTAATCAACAACACTCAAGACGTGATGTCTGCGCTTCCAAGGTTCGCTCGACAAGATGGCCTTCTCTGCAGTTAAATGAACACGTAGATTCTGAAATCTGATTTTGAAAGGTCAGACGTATTGCTGCGTTCATAAATCTAACCAAAGTCGTCCACAGAAATCAAAGCGGAATTCCACAAAACGCATGTGTAGAACGTCACTAGCATTATGCGCACTTATGCGCTCGTACGCTAACCTAGCTACCCATCCCAACCTATTCCCCACCCCTCGATAAGTTATACGTCTCAAGACGTTCGCTCATGAAGATTACCCAATACCGTGCTGACCAAAGAAACTCGTCTGCAGGGAGATTAATTACAAGTTTATACAAAGTAGACAAACCACAAAGCAGACCAGGCTGTCGCATGGTGGGGTATCAAACCGCTGGAAAAGATGCCGAGATAGGAAATATGTTGTGTCATAAGGATGTCGAGATGAGACGTGGGAAGCCAGTAGCTCGGCTTGTATGGATGATGGGAGATTGACGCGATGTCTGATGTGGTGTGGTGTCGGGGGCAAGGGCGTGGCTACCATCGCGCGTTGTCGTATTCACGCAGACCACCCAGGCTACCCCATGCTGCTAGCACGTCTTCACTGACGCTGCAGCGTGTGCTGGCTGTGCCGACGGCGACACTGTCCCGCTTGATACTGGCCATGCTGTTCATGCTAGCCATGCTCCCCGCCCGGCTTACTTGTCTACTTGACCGACGGTCAGGGTAAGCGGAGCGGTTGGGAGAGGCAGTACGGTTCGAGACGATGCTGCTGTGCCTACTCTTCGGGAGGCCTGACGTGGTGAGTGTGAGCGATGAATTGCGGAATGAGCTCTTCTTTGGCAACTTCGGTAGAGGATCGAGAGGAGGATCAGATGGGTTCTGCAGTTGTGATAAATTCTCGGTGACTTGTGTGAGGTTGCGGAATTCAGTCGAGGGCATCTTTGTGGGGAGGGAGAAGGGGACTTCGGCCCCACTGGATGCCGTCCGACGACGTTGATGTTGGCCTTGCGTTTGCTCAGGCTTGATGCTGCCAGGTGGCGGGTCAATGATGCCGGTCTCGATCACGGCAACGTCATCGCTATCTCCGTTCCAAGAAGGCTCACTGCTTGCGACTTTTACGTCTACATCATCTTCGCCATGGCGTAAGCGAGGAGTTAAAGGAGAAGGTAGGGGTGACGGATGGTCGGTGGTGGTAGGTGATGACGCACTCGTTGTTCGAGTTGGTGAAGGGAAGAGGTCGAGAGGAGAGAACTCAGGCGGCGAGAGCATTGGGCGGGATGTAGGGCGAGCAGAGCCAGCTCTGTGTCGCTCCGAGCGGGGATCACAAGAAGAGCTATCGCGGAGTATACTTGTGCCAACGTTTAAGTCCTGGGTGGCGATCATACGTCCGCGGGGTGGAGCAAGCAGCGACAACGGTTCGGGAGCATGGGGCTTCCTACCAGCCTTCTTCGTCTCCACGATGCGTATAGGACTGTTCGAGATAGATTCTCGAGAGTAGAATGCTGAGGATTGGGAGCCTTTCTGGTGATGGCGCTCCGGTGGCGTTTGTTGACGGGTCTCCTCATGCTTAGAAGTCGTCTCGTAACCTTGCTTCTGTTGTGCCATGGCAAGCCGCTTCTTACGCAAGGCTTCAAGGAGCGCCTCTTCCTCAGGTGTGACAGCCATGAACTTCCGCATCTCTTCGTGAGATTTAGGTTCGCTTTTAGATGTTCGTATACTTCTCGCGGAAGGAGACTGAGAACGAAGACGTGCTGTCTGTGGTCGCTGATCTTCAACTTCGGGGATCACAGACGGTTGTCTCGTGTGGCTGGCGCGCCTGCTACTGGACGAGTTTCGGTAGACCGGTGTGATTGGTGGCTCTGGAGTGTACATCATCTCTATGGTGGCCGTACTCGTTGACGTGGACATCAAGCTTAGTTTGCCCGCGGAAGGTCTCCTGGAATGGAAATTGGGTCGCACTTCGAAGGCTTGAGCCTGACCAATTACGATTTCGCCGGAATCCTCGCCTATATCAATGCTATCTCGTACCGACACTTTTCGTCTAGAAGGACGAGTGTGCTCGCCTTCATCTTCAGATGAGGAAAACGAAAGGACGCTTGAGTTTTGCAGATTGTTTTTTGAGAAGGCTGACTCCTTCGTTTTCACGGTGCCCAGTGATGACTGACTGTGTAAGGATAGCTCACTTTGGGAGTTTACACGGTGAGCTGCAGTATTGCCATAGAAATGCTGATGACCATGGAAATGGTGGTTTCGTCGCGGGTCCAGGTATTGGGAAGTGCGTTGGTTTCTCGACGTCGTGGCTTCCTGCACGAGAGAATTTCGCGAAGATTTTCTTACTGCCGGATATTGCCTGGGGTGATTTGCTGGCTGCAACGTAGGAGCCGTCGTATCTCCCGCATCCTCATCCACTCCGTCGCTATCGTCACTCAGCGCGTCAAACCAGTGCTGCACACCTCGCGGAGGACGTCGGACGTTGATCTTGGCATTGTCGTACACGTCGCGTTGTTGTGTCCGGACAGGAGATGTCAGTTTTGGCGCTGATGGAGCAGGTATTTGCTGTTTTGGCTGCGGTTTGGTTAACTTTGCAGGTGTTCTCGGGGTCGGAGTGGGTTCGCGGGTCATGGGTCGAGGGAAGTAATCTGAGACCGTCGACATTGCTGTGGGAGAGTTTACCAGCTTGTTCGGCGAAAGGAGGGTCGCTCCGAATTCGTGTCCTCCTTGGCCCTTTGGTTTAGGGAAGAGTTTTGATAGATCAAGCCGGGCTGGCTTGCCTCGACGGCTATCTCTCCTACTGCCATCCTCCATCTCCTGCGCCAGCGGACTGGGAACATGTTCACGATCGTGTGAGCTGATTTGAGGATATCCCTTCCGTAAAGCCATGTCGCGCACTGCGGAGTCGGACGTCTGTTGAGAGATTGCTAAGGGGGAACTCTTGGCATCATAGTGTGAGCGCAACGTCGAATTCGATGCGGTAGGATGTAGATGCCTACTAGCAGTGCTGTAATTTGTCTCGTCGTCGTATGCGATGTTTGGAGGTATGAGGTTGGACGATGCGCGGTTCGACAAGGCTGGCCGTATCGGAACTCGGTATCCACCGTGCTCCCCAGCGATGGAAGCTGCCCTGTCGTCATATTCCGATACAGTATCTGAGACCGTGATGCTCATGTAACCAGGGCTGGGTGGAACTGAGGATTGCCCAGACATAGCGCGAAAGGGCGGGGGAGCTGTCCCGAGTAGGCGCTGGGCCTTGCTAGATATGCTTGAGCACTCGTCGTAGCGGAGGGATCTTTCAGAAGCAGAAGGAAGTGATGCGACGGAGGGAAAGGAAGGTATCTTGGTGAGGTCATCGCCGCTCTTGTCGACCTTGGAGCTCGACTTGCGCCCTGGAATGGGGAAGGAAAACTTGGGGCCCCGATGGCGACCCATGATGGGTTGATGTTGGACGCGTCGCTTCACAGGAATTGGTGGCTTGACCGAAAACTATGTGAATTAGCGGGGGGGGGAAGAAAGGAGCAACTGAGTCGCGGTACCTTCCGGCGTCTCGGATCGTCTATGTAAAGAACAGCATGGGGCTTTAGAAGACGGCGGCAAGCTTCAATTGCGCTGCCATCGGTTCGGTCGTTGCTGGGACTATATGAGAGCACCTAGCAAGCTCTTCTGGGATAGGCTTTCTGGAGAGGGGCGAGGCGGTGGAACCAGGAACAGGCGAGAGGGGCCTCGAGCGACCAAAACGCGGTTCAGGCACGGGCTTTTGCTCTGTGCTCAGCGCTCACTTTGGCGGACCGTACCTGAAAATGAGGGTACGAGATGGGGTTGCGATGCTCGAGGAGAGGCTTGAGAGACCTGGCACCAGAGGCACAGGTGCAGGCTGATTGAGAATGGAAAGTAGCCCAGCGCCGCCAAAGCCATCAGGAGGCCAGGATGGATGTTTGCTCTAACCCTCATGGTATCGTGCTCTCGGCTGCTCAGTCCTGGAGCGGATCCAGGGGACGATGCAGGCGCTAGGGTCCGGTGCAGCGCGCCATTGGTGGCGCTCGCACGTCTTGTGGATCTCTCCAGGACTACTGGCGCTTGCCGGGAAAGATTCGCATCCATCCTGGACTGTGCGGGCTGCTCCTCCGCATGCGCAGCGGCCGCTATCGACAGCTTCCAAACTTTGCTGGTGGGATGCGCCGATTGGCACTGATTCGCGACCCGTGGCAGGCCGAGGTTGCCGGACAGACAATTTCGACATGGGACTGCGTTTCCCTGTCACATAGCTGTCACACAGACGAGGCGCCATCGGAGAGCAGCAGCGTTTCCAACGCACGTACGCGCTGTGCTGGCCGTGGGAAATTTCAAGCCGCTGCAGCACGCCGGGCTGCCGTGTCCCGCGTGACCGGTCGCTTCGTCGCCGTGTTCAGCAGGTCACAACACGCACAGCACATGTGTACATGCTTGGCAGAGGCAATGACCCGGATCGGCGCGTCGATACATCTTCACAATGCACATCGATCACATCTTCCCGCATGAGCGTCCTGGGTCGAGGACTATGGGGCCTCCTAGTGCCCTTGGTCGCTGCTTTTTGCTCGGACTAACGACCCAAGATTTGCACAATCGCGCCGCTTGCGCCATGACTTGCAGGTCGCCCAGTAGAGACGCCCATCGTCATCGCAACCTCGCATTACTTATTCCTTGTTTATAGCCCGCCTGTTTCCTTCCGCGTGTGGTCGCAGGTGGTACAGCATTGTAAGTATCCGCCTTTGCGTGCAGTCTCTGTTCCGAGGCGATAACAGCAAATGAGATTATGCGCATCTATCTATGTTAAGATAATTAATACAACGCTCGGACAGCGTCCGGTCAGGAGGTGAGCATGCGGGATAGCACTCGTTGGCGTTGGTACCTGCAGACTCTACACAGTGACCCAGAGTACATCAATCCGTAGATCAGCGACCATGACTTCGGCCCTTATGTGCACCAGTACTCACTCCCATCTTCAGTGACTGCGTTGACCAGCGAGGCTTTCGCTGTTTGGTGGCGTATAGAGGGCATTGCTGTCAAATGCCAGGTTTGAATAGGGGCGTGAAAGTCGAGGGGTCTTGGGCTGAGAATTGCGGTCGGGCGATCCATGGTCCTTTCGCTTTCGTCTAGGGTTGCTTTGGATTGCTCGTTCATCAGCAGCCGCGTCAGCTACCTACATCTTTCGTCAGCTGATTCATAGCAATACAGGAAAACCATATAGTCTCACCAAGTCCTTGAGATTTTTTGGCGGGTTCAAGTAGATATTGGCGAGCTTTTGCTTGGCTGCTTCAGTGGAAACCAGGGAAACCTGGTCAAACTTCTTCCTCGAATTTTTCACCACGACAAGGTTGTTCTGCTTCAGGCTTTCAAGCAGTTCAGCCAGATCAGACCGTGGGCATCCTGCACTGTAAGTCATTACTTGTTAAACCTGTGGTCGTCTTTACTCACCCAAGATGTTCGTGATCTGAATTGATGAGGTCATGCCACGCACTCGAATGCAGTGAATAACTTGTCGAGTTCGTGTGAGTGTCTTTACTTCGGTAAATTGGGAATTGGACGCATCGCCTAGCAGACAAGTATAGCACATACGCTCGGTTGGCATCCTCATATCATTAAGCCCGTCATATGCGTAGCACTGGGCGTGCTGCCAACCATTACAGCCATGGCACCGGACCACGTTGCTCGTTTCTTTGGAGCCACATTCGCAGCTGATGGTAACAGATTCAGAAGACCTGAAGCCTTGTGACGTTCTCGCTCGCGTATGTCCGGATTTCCGGTGTTCTTTTGGCGAACTCTGGGTCGGTTGCGAAGGTATAGTAGGTGATCGGGGAACTAACTGGGTGTCGTGCGTCTGACGTGGCTCAAGTAGTTGCTAGATCATATCAATAAGACACAGCCGAACGAGGGGGTGTCGAAGCTTACCAGGCCTTTCAAACGTGAAAGGTCCGCTTTATCCTGCGTGTTAGCAGCAGCATCGCTCTCTTTATGCCGTAAGCCATGCTTTTCGCCATCAAGGAGGCTTGTAGACAAATGCCGTGTCTGGACTGCGGTCATTGAGGTGACTGGATCGTTTTCCACGACTGAATTGGGGCGAGTGGTGGGTAGCTTTTGAGCATCGTCATTCAGAAACTCGTCTCGATCTTGCTGGTCAGGAGTCTGGACGGTAAACGGTTCCAATCGGCTAAACCTTTGTCCATACGTGAAGTGAGGCATTATGATTGCTTCCCCCTCGTCATCGAACGTGGTACCTTTCGTGTACGCGATGCTGAGATCCACTGTACGAAAACATGCCCTGACTTGGCCGCAAATGCTGGTGTCCATCTTCCATCCTTCAGAGATTGGAAAGCTGATGTTGAGATCATTAGAGGAGTGGAAACCTGGAGGCTGATATCCAGAAGGCCGTCGCTCATTCCTGCAGCAGGATGCTATTAGTGAGGGTGACGATGCACATTGTTATAATTCGAGACACTTACCAGACAAGATAGAGACTCATGTAGCACCGCTCTGGGAGGTGTGGCATGGTACCGTTCAAACTTACCATGTTTCTGACCACCGTGTTGAGAGCTTCACGGGCATCTTTGAGTGTAACAGTCTTTCTCGTTTGACTGTCTTGAATCACCAGGTCCACAACATTGCTGCCATATTGAGTCCAGCCGGGATACACCAGATGAAAACAGTACATTTCAAGTACTTCAGTAGGTTGAAGTTCGTCTGCAAATATACAAATCTGAAGTTGGGCCAAGTAACCTCGCTGGATTGCCTCGAAGACACCGGTTTCCTAGGGTATTTTAGCAACGTAATATAGTATCATGTATGCTAGATGACACAGTGACACAGGGAAAGGGGGCCTTACCAACCACTTGATGATCTGGTCGCCACGCGTGGACACGTTCCTCTTGAGAACACGGAGGTGATAGCCTTTCGGCCGCGAACGATTCCCTTGCGCAACGGCACCTTCATCACTGCCTTGCGTGAAATCGTGGTAAGAGCAATGCTTGTTGATGGAGGCATAGAATGCTGTGCGAAAGTACTCGTCTGGTAGCAAGTCTCTCATCCAAAGGATGGTACTGGCCGCGCTGAATAGAAATGTATGTACCACATCTGACGACTGTTGAGCGGTGACTGCAGTCTCGGTCTGCGATGAATACCGGGGGTCCGGGGATGAATTTGAACGTGTTCCCTCGACATTGATGTCATTGTAACCTGGGGCTAGAGATGTCGCTTTGGCTTTCGTTGAGGTTGCGGGATGCGGCTTCCCTTGGGTTTGAGTGCGCTTGCGAGCCCGCACCACCGTGCCTCCACCTGCCGAAGGCATCGCACGTGAAGTTATGCGGGGGAATTGCCTGAGCAGTATCGATTACATCTGCAAGACGAGGCGGTGGTCGGTGTGGGAAGGAAGAAGAGAGAGTTGAATGTAGCATGGACGGCAGCTGCCCAGGGTGGTCAACACGCGTGAGGAAGGAGCGACTGACGACTTTGAAATCACACCTCGAAAGCACTCACAAATTACTATGCAGGCTGCGCAACCTAAGAGGATAAGCTAGCATCGTTGTTTGGATTATGAGAATTAGATGGCTCGATTTTTCTTTACTTCTCAGCGAGATACTGATGCGATGCGGTAGACTAACAAAGAGTTTTATTCTTTGTTCGAACGCATGATGTACGCAAGAGGAGCGACGAGAATGATTTGGACAGTGAAATATGCGCATTTCGAAGTCATATCCAAGAAGTCTATAATCTGACCAGCTAGCGACAGCTCACCAATTCATGGATGTCCCAGATTTTGTGATGGACAGGCTCCAAATCGATCGCCAGTTCAACCTTATTGCGGCTTGAACAATCTAGTCGTCTGACTAGGTATTGCCCAACTGGTATCTGTATGAGCCTATGACCTCGAGAGCCTCCACGACCACGTGCGCATGATTGAAGTGATCTAGGGCCCTCGCTTGGGCAACCTCGAGGATGAGAATCATTATCGTTGCAAGGAACCACATCCCATATGTGTCTATGAAGCAGATACAAGAAGTAGATGGATGTAGATGTAGATTTTCGAAGAGCGGACCTGATTGGTGGATCGCAGATAGCAATTTACAGCTGCCACTTCGAGATAGCTAGCGCATATTGCTCGTGCAAGATGTCCCGCCCAACACTTTGTACTGCTTTGTCTGGGTTGACATTACTGGACTGGCGGTTGTGTTGTCCACCGCGTGAAAGTTCCGAACCTTCCGGTAGTCGAGGCAAAGACACAAAGACAAGCACAGACAAGGATGCAGTTCGCCACGCCGCTCCGAGGCCGTGCATCGTTCCGGAGCAGTACAGAGACAGAAGCCTCGGAGACATGAGGCAGTCTATGACACGAAAAGAAGCTGCCCGAGTCAACGAAATCGCGCAATGAAGACGCGACCTGCTGTCGGATGGGAAGTGTGTTTTGGTCTAGAGTTGGCACTAGGAAAGTGCCATGTGTTGACTGTGTTGACTGTGCTGCCAGGCTAAAGGCAATGAGCGCAACGTGCGTATAGATAACGTGCGAATAGCCAGGGTGGGATTAAACGCGTGTTGAAACGATGAAATACTATCATAGAGGTTCTAGCATGACGCGCGCAGGTTGACAGGCATAGAACGTGTATCGTAAAATTGGTGGCCGGGAGCTTACGCCCCCGTGATGGCAGCCATTGCCGAGCCTCTCAGTGCACCTCCTCCAGCTAACCCCCCACCAACACCACCCACCACCTCGACCACCGGATAGGCTTCTCACGACTGACGCCCTCGCTAGAATATACGCCCCGTGGTGCTTTTCTGTTGCCGCGCTTGCCTGCACCCGGTCCTCCCAACGACGACGTTTCGCCCCCTCTTGTCGCCGCTGTCAGCGAGTGCCCGAAGGACACGAACGTCTGCCACCTCCCACGACCACAGATATACCCTCTCAGCCTCGCGAGATACCGGATTTCTATTGCCTTCATGTCCGATTGAACAAGCGTCGACCCGTCTGCAAATCCGTCGGCTTGCTCCTGCGCCTTGAGCCCCGACCGTGTATCATACACATTTCCCAACCGTTAAGAACGTGTCGACACAGGCGCTTCTTACCTTTGTACCGAACAGCTTGTGTAGGGGCATTTACAAGACTTCGAGCGTCGCCCGACGTCTCGCGGGAAGTTGCCTACCATGGCCTCCTCGGATCGCAACGCCGAGGCCGCGAGTGTCACCACAGTTCAGAAGCAGGAAATGGAGCCTTACACCATGGCACATTTGTCGATAGCTCCGGCTACCACCACAACTGTCGTTACTACCACAACCACAACCACCACTCAGTTTCCGCCGTTGTTATTCAAACCGCCTCGGAGTCTAAGCGAACGAGACCCAAAGGAATATCCTCTCGCTCATGCCCATGCTCCCGAGTCATTGCGTAAATTCTGCTTCGACGTGGGAGGCGAGCAGGCTTGTTTTCAAGAGGCCAAAGACGTGACGGACACTATCGCAGAGGTACGCTTGACTAAGCAGGGCTACGAGGCACCGAGCAACGTAGGATCTGTATACAAGCTGACATGCATCAAATAGCATAAAACCCTCCACGGAGATATCGCAAGCAGCAACGGGAAACTTCAGACAGTAGAGACGTTCACAGGCCAGCCTGCCTTTGCCACGCCGAGCCGTATCGCACGATCGAGCATCATGGCGGCTCCCCATATTGATGTGCGCTCCGTATCTGGGCGCAGGAAGCGATCGCCGTCACCTCCCTCCATTGCCGAAGCCGCCGAAATCGCTAGCCTACATCGTCGCAGCAAGAAGCCACGCACATCGATCCAAGACTACAAGAGCAGGAACACAGCCAAGCTCAGCTCGAACCTAACACCCGAGGAGAACGAAGAATCAGCACCGGCCACGCCTGACACAGACGCGGGCGCGTCAAGCTCGAGCTCGTCCAAGGTACCCAGACCTGCCTTAAACGCACGACGGGCCGCGCTGAGGTCGTCATCGCAAAACATCCGCCGGCGGACTGCATCACCTTCCTGGCACCTCCAAGAGTCGTTTGCCGGTCACCAAGATGATAAAAACATTGTCTCTGACGACAGAACCGCGGATGCGCTCGCGCTTCCCGCTGCCGTTGTGGATGGTCCTGGAATCGCTGCTACACCTCCAATTGCGGATACGGATCTAGAGCCAATTGGTCCTTTCCCGTCCAATGATATCCCATACGCGCAAGCAGGACGACCAGCACCGTTGGACATTCTGGCGGCGCAGGATGCCAGCTTACCTAGCCCAAGCCTATCGCCTATAACTGCCGCAGCCAACCTTGCCCAGCAACACTCGTTAGGGAATGCGTACCTGGCGGATGGAGGCGAAGATGACTCGAACGATGTCTCTAGTCTTGACATCTCTGAAACGACTCTTGGTGAAAGCGATACCGCATCGCTGCAGCTTCTGTCGCCTAGGTCACGAAGAATTGAGTTACCCGCTGCTAGCCACGTTAGCGCAAACCCTCAATTACTAACCCCGACTCTCATGGACGTTCCGACCATGCTAGACTCCTTCGACGCTCTCCCGGAGAAGATGAAAACTTACGTCATGTATCAGTTCCTTAGGAGGTGCACCAAACCTACGCTCCATTTCGTTGCTGACGTTGTCAACCCTGCCTTGAAATGCGACTTCATCGCCTTACTTCCCACGGAACTCAGTCTTCATATCATCAATTTTCTCGACGTGAAGAGCATGTGTAACGCGGCTCAAGTTTCGCGAAAGTGGCGGGAGCTGGTTGATACTAATGAACTAGCTTGGAAATCGCTCTTGGACAGAGATGGCTACAGTTTACCTGAGAACGAGCTTGAGCGGGCCATCGCCGAGGGGTGGGGCTGGCAATACCCGGTTTCTCGCGAGAGTTACGAGCGGGACCTTCGAAGTGACAGCACTCCGTCCCAAGGACCAGAATCGACAGATCTACTCGCGCTTGGTAGTCCGGATACCGAGGGCGCAGTGACCAGGTCTTCCACCAGTCGATCAAAGAGAAAGACATCTACTATGAGCAAGCATTCGAGCATCAAGAAGGCTCGCACTCAGAAGAAGGGCCCTTCCAGCTCTAGACAGCACGTTGCATTCTCATTGCTGTCTGATAATGCTCAACAACAGGGCCCCTTCGAGTGCGCAATCCGAGCCAAGACAGCTCTCCCAGACCCCGGTGTTGGCCTGCGCAGCCTAAGTAAAATGCATCTTTACAAGTCGCTGTACCAGCGCCACCACCTTATTCGCCAGAGTTGGATGGACGTGGAAACACAACCGAAGCACATAGCGTTCCGAGCCCATCAACGCCATGTGGTTACCTGTCTCCAGTTCGATACCGATAAGATCCTCACAGGCAGCGATGACACTAACATCAATGTGTATGATACTAAATCAGGAGCATTGCGGAATCGCCTCGAAGGTCACGAAGGAGGCGTTTGGGCATTGCAGTATGAAGGCAACACTCTGGTATCGGGATCAACCGACCGATCTGTTCGCGTCTGGGACATTGAAAAGGGCAAATGCACGCAAGTATTTCAGGGTCACACGTCTACCGTCCGGTGTCTTGTGATTCTCAAGCCTACGAAGATTGGCGAGACCCACGATGGGCAGCCAATCATTATGCCCAAGGAGGAATTGATCATTACCGGATCTCGAGATTCTTCGTTGAGGGTGTGGAAGCTACCCAAACCTGGTGATAGGAGTATCATCCAGACCGGCCCCCCCGCGAATGACTCGGATAATCCTTACTTCATTCGCGCATTGACCGGACACCACCATTCGGTTCGTGCCATTGCTGCGCATGGCGACACTCTTGTCAGTGGAAGCTATGACTGCACTGTTCGTGTGTGGAAAATTTCAACTGGCGAAGTTCTGCATCGACTGCAAGGCCATTCCCAGAAAGTCTACAGTGTGGTGCTAGATACGGAGCGCAACCGCTGTATCAGTGGATCTATGGACAACATGGTCAAAGTCTGGTCTCTAGAGACCGGGGCTTGTCTCTTTACCCTTGAGGGACATACATCACTCGTCGGGTTGCTGGATCTGAGCCATGAGCGACTGGTCTCAGCTGCCGCAGACTCGACTCTTCGAATCTGGGACCCTGAGAATGGGCAATGCAAAAGCAGGCTTTGCGCTCACACTGGAGCGATTACGTGCTTCCAACACGATGGCCAGAAGGTCATTTCGGGCTCGGACAAGACTTTGAAGATGTGGAATGTCAAGACTGGCGAGTTCGTGAAAGACCTCTTGACAGACCTTAGTGGGGTGTGGCAAGTCAAGTTCAACGAGCGACGGTGCGTTGCAGCGGTGCATCGCAACAGTATGACGTACATCGAGGTAAGCAGAGAAGTTTGAGCTTGTGCTCGACAGTTGAAAAGGACAAGAACGAAGGCTAACCATGGGACAGGTTCTCGACTTTGGTGCTTCGCGTGATGGGGTACCTCTGGAGCAACGAGGACGACGCATCGTCGTCAACGCCAAAGGGCAAGAGACGGAAGACATTGACGACCTTATCGACGTAGACCTTGTGTAGAGGCCTGCACTCATGATTGGACTGACACGACTGCATATTCTGGACATGTTTCAAAAGCAAATACCCCTTCGGCCTTTAACTTGTATTTCGTTCGGCAAGCAACATCAGCTCGCGCGCTCGGTTATCTTATATTTGTTTTCGGGATTCGTGCGGAGGTGCTATCAATACCCTTTCATTTCTAGCATTTGCCCCGCATTCGGGACATGTTTATATGGCATATGGACGCGATGAGGCGTCAAAGGGTGGTTACGTTGCATAATCAGGGTGTTTGGGACTGTGCTTGTTTCACGGACGGCGTTGACCGTCCTCGGTCGGATTTCTAGTAGGCAGCGGGTCTACGCAAGACCATAGATGAATACATGCATATGTGATGTTCACGTTCACGCTTTGAACTGTTGCTGTGTTTGTGTTTGTCGCTTGACCCCGCGCCACCTGCCACGGCCCCATGCTCACGGCTCCGAGCAACCAACAAGTTGACCCACGCTACAGCAACAGCTCGCTCGCCGCAACCAAAGCACACGACACGCGCCCGTTCGGAGATGGTTGCCCGGTACGATCGACCGTAACATGCCGGCTTACTTCTTCCATCTTGCCATTGAGCTGTACACATCGCGCTCGTCGCCAGAGACAAGCTACACGCCGCCTCCAAACACCGACATCTTTACTTCGGAGCTCCCTGCGCACAGCTCGAGCTCATGGTCGGCACTTGGGCCGCGCCAGAAAAGCTACAGCAGTGCCGCCCAGCCCATTGCCTCGAGCAGCGACGCGCCAGCCCAGCCAGCCCCCCGCCGCTACAGCCATCGCACGCCCCCCTCCTCCGAGCACCACGACAGCCCGGTCCCGCTCGTCAAGCCACCCACGCGCCCGGCACACAGACGCACCAAGAGCTTTGCACACAAGGACTGGCGCTTTGACGCCATCTCCATCCTGAGCATCGACATGAAGCCTGCCGACGTCGGCGACGACGCTGCACGGCCCCGCGCCAAATCGCTCAAGCACCCGGCCGCGAGCGCCGGTGGCCTGGCGACAAAGGGCAAGTTCTTCCCCTCGAGCCCCAAGGACACCGACGTCGGCTGGGGTGTGGTGCATCTGTACCGCGATGGGCACGAGACGCCGGGTCTCTACGATGAGGGCGCCGCTGCTGAGTTCAATGAGGACGACTGCACCACGCTCTGTATACTGGCTGTGCCGTCCTACATGACGCCGTCGGATCTGCTGGGCTTCGTGGGCGAGCAGACGCGAGAGCATGTCAGCCATTTTCGACTGATCAGGACCGCGAGGGCGAACAAGTACATGGTATTGATGAAGTTTTGGGAGGCAAAGAAGGCGCGGGAGTGGAGGAAGGAGTGGAACGGAAAAGCATTCAATAGCATGGAGGTATGTTGCATCTTTCTGCTCTAGAGCAAGTCTGACACTGACTACTCTCCAGCCCGAATACTGCCATGTTGTTTTCATCAAGTCCATCACCTTCCAGTCCGATGCTGCCAACCGCGATCCCTCCTCCTATCCAGACCTTACGAACGACCCCTTCACCCCAGCAGCTACCGAGCAACCCACCGCTCCACTACCAGCAGCCTCAAATGTCTCTTCGCCGGTCGAGGCCCCGTCTCTCACATCATCTTTGACAGCAAAGCCGATCGCGCCTCCCACACCCTCACTCGTCGAACTCCCAACATGTCCAGTCTGCCTCGAGCGCATGGACGAAACAACAGGTCTCTTAACCATCCTCTGCCAACACGTCTTCCATTGTGCCTGTCTCGAAAAATGGCGCGGCTCAGGCTGCCCCGTCTGCCGGTACACGCAAAACGACGCCTTCACCTCGCACAGCCGCGTCATCGACGGTGACGCCCCAGACAACGAGTGCTCTGTCTGCGGCTCCACGCAGAATCTCTGGATCTGCCTCATTTGCGGCAACATCGGCTGCGGCCGCTACGACAGCGCCCACGCCTTCGCGCACTACGAAGCTACAAACCACACCTACGCCATGGCCGTCGTGTCCCAGCACGTCTGGGACTACGCGGGTGACGGCTACGTCCATCGTCTGATACAGAACAAGGCCGACGGAAAGCTCGTCGACCTGCCGGCCTCTGCGCACGCCGGCGGCCTGAAGAACGCTGACATGACAGGCTACGCCAACGACACAGTGCCGCGCGAGAAGCTCGACAACATGGGCATGGAATACGCGTACCTACTCACCTCACAGCTGGAATCCCAACGCGCCTACTTCGAGGAGCAGGTCGAGCGCGCCGTCGACAAAGCTGCCAAGGCGTCCTCCACCGCCGACGAAGCCGCGCGCAACATGGCCGCACTGACGGCCGACTTCGCGCGCCTCCGAACCCAGCACGATGACGCGGTAGCCTCTATCGCCGCGCTCGAAAAAGACGCCGCCCGCAACGCGGCAAAAGCCGCCTCGGCATCTGATCTCGCGCGCAAATTGACCAAGCAGTACCGCGAGGAGCAGACCATCAACGAGAGCCTGATGACGCGGATCCAGCATCTAGAGAAAAAAGCAGAAGAGGCAGAGAATAGGGTCCGAGAGGTCGAGGCGCAGAAGGCGGATCTCGAGGAGCAAAACCGCGATCTGAGTTTCTTCATCAGCGGGCAGGAGAAGCTGAAGGAGATGCAGGGGAATGAGGCCATGGGGCTGGAGGAGGGCGAGGTGCAGAGTGGGTATGTAGAGGTGGGAAAGAAGGAGGAGAAGGGGAGGCGGAAGGGTAAAGGGAGGAAGCCGTGAGCATGACGGTGGTTCTTTGCATTTCTGGCGGCGTATGGTATCAAGGGTCTGTTTGGCATTTACGGTTATGATACCCACCCCGTTGCATTACACAATTAAGTCCTCGTTTGTACTCGCCTCTCTTTCATATACTGAATACATCTTTCGTTTCTACTCTCATGATGGGACCCCGCATTGAGCTCCATCTTCGTCCCACGACTCGTATCACGATGACGAACGAATTGCGATCACAAATTTTTATGCAGTCACATCACGCACTTTTTACATCACTCATGCAAAGTAAGCCAGCAGCATACCAACGCTGAATCGAATATATTGCCCTTTCACCCACGCCGTGCCCTGTGCCGAAAACGCCTATAAATGTGTTTCACCGTGGCTATACAAAAGACAACAACGACCCTTGACGAAAAATCCAAACAGTAGACAAAACTTTCGTAACCCGCCAATATTCGTAGCCAGACCGACCAACAGCGTGGCGGGCGGCTCCACCATGCAACTTCGACATGACATGCAAGTGTCCGTTACGGTCGTAAAAGTCGTATCATTATAGCCTCGGCAAGGGAGGCCAACATGAAGCATTGATAAAGAGGAGAAGAGATGAGGAGATACGAATGCTGGAAGAACCCAAACGCCGATAAGAGAGTCAGAGATCCAAGAAACGGGCAACATTTGACCCATCCGTTATCCAAGCGCCAGAGTATCGAAATTTGCGTCGAACGTTGACGCAAGAGCGGTGGGATGGAGAGTTCAAGATGTGCACGAGATAGGCGCAAGTTTAGTCCGGGGCGATCCAAAGTATTCTCTTGGAGGCTGTTCAAATCCGGCGGTGGAGATCGTAGAAGCCAAGACGTATTCAGTATCGATACATCGTGCCAGAGGAAGTCCACCTTGCATTAGACGATCAGATCCAATCATCATCAATTTTGTGGTTCCCACCGATAGCAATATCTTTCTCAAAGCCGAGCCCCAGGCCGCCTCCAATCTCGACCTTAGGTACTTGGATCTGCGGTGCCTTCTCTGCCTTCTTTTTCGGGCTCTGCTTCACCGGGCTCCCAACGCCAGGCTTTCCGTCAGGCGGACCCATCCTGACATCTCGGACTGGCCAGTTGTCTTCCAACGCTGCACCAATCCACACCTTGATAGCGTCATGCACAGCGCCATAGTATTTCGGATTGCAAGTCCGCAAATGGCCCATGACCTTCTCGAAGCCGGAAACTTTCAGCTCAGAGCGGAAGATATTGCGGGCCTCGCGGGTGGGTATACTGGCGAGAATGCCGTTGAGGAGGTCGAGATGTGTCGCAAGGTAGTTAGTTGCATCCCATTCTACACCACCAACGTAGGGTGCAGCTGGCACGATAGCGCGCTGACCAGGAAAATGAGTCTTCGCGTATGTTTTGGGAGGCTCGTCGGATAGAGGCGGGATAGGAACGACATTCAGGTGGTGAATGAAGATCCAGAAAACCTCCTTTGTGACGTTCGTGACCTCCTTGCACCACACCTGGTAGGGACGAGGTTGGCGCATCTGCAGGACAAACGGGACAGTAGATGCCTGTTTCTCCTTGACCGGATCTTTTAGGTAGTCCATGAGCTCTGTCGCGCGAGAATGCAGCTCGGACTCAGACGCCATAGAGATATGAGCAAAGATGATCTGAATGATAAGTTCCCTCGTAGTGAACTCGCTCGGACCCTTGTGCTCCTCGTCGAATAGCATGCCCAGGAGAGCCGGGAACAGAGTCGATGATATCCCGGCGAACTGTTTCAAGGCTGTGTCCGCCGTGCACAGACCTTTGAGACAGCGCAACAACTCATGCAGCAGAGTGTCCTCGTGATCCTCCCTCCACTCAACTTCCATTATGCGATGCAGTAAACCAACGAGCTCAGTCATGCCACCTTCAACGATGAACTGGTGGACCCATTCGACTGTCTCATTTCGCAGCAGCAGGCGAAGCTTATGAAGCTTTCCCACTTCAACATCCTGGGGCTTTGGTGTCTTCTTCAGGTAGTTGATAAACTCCTCTGGCGCTACAGTCTTGGAGCCTTTGGATACTGATCGTTGAGACGACACGGATACCAGTGATCTCACGGAAGGTGATTTCGGAATAGGCACAGACTTGGGATCTTTCTCACCCTTCTGTTTCTTGGTAGGAGAGTCTCCTCTGCCAAAACCGAAGGTCCTGCTCCTGGGACGTTCTCGCTTCGAGGTGCCACCTGAGGTGTCTTGGGGCGGTTCTTCGTCTGCAGACCCAGGTCGCGACTTGGTTGACCGCGATAGGGACGTTTTGCCAGACTGTGTTCCTGCGGTTGTAGAGTTTGCTGAGGCTGTACGAGATACTTGAGGTGTGTCTAGCTTGTGTGTTCGGACAAAGTCGGCTTTGACCTCAAGCTTCAACGTTCGCATCGCGGCACGCTGATGGGTGGGGATTTGACGAGACTCTAGGACTTCCTCAAATTCGGCATCGACCACCTTCGGATCAAGCTTGGTAGGCGACGTCGCCGGAGTGCCTTGCTTGTCGGCCTGCTTTGACTTGCCATTTAGAGCGGCTACAGCAGCCATCACACGGCTCTGTCTCTTTTCAGCGTTTGTTGTTTTCTTAGGACTGGCGGTCTCCTGCGTGATGGTCTCCCGGCTGCCCCCGCTGGTGTCGGTAGTAGCCCGTTTCATTGGGGGGCGCGGAGCGACGCTCTTTGACGGGCTCTCCTTTACTCGTCCTCCATTGCCCTTTGTGTCTCCAAGTGGAACCCGATCATCGCTCTTCTTACGAGTCAAGGTTTCGAGCAACGAGGCAGTGGAGCCAGTGCCCATGAAGGACCTAGGGCGTTCTTTGCCTTGCGGCTTCTTCTGGAGCGAGGGTTGGCCATTGTCGAAAAAGTTGCGGCCCTTGGACGGCGAGTAGTTGCTCGGGGTATACAGCGCGATCTCCTCCTCAACACTGCGCCGCTGGTCGTTCAGTGGTACCTTGGTTGTTGTTTTTGCGACGTCTTGCATCGGCTGTGAGCTGAACTCAGCCCAGATGGGAGTGTGCAAGGGCTCAAGTGCCGCTGACGTGCCCGGCGGGGTCGTGTTTTCCTTGTCGCGCGTCTCCTTGGCAGTGTCAACATGCTTGTCCTTGCCGAACAGACTGCGCAGGTTGGTCCTCGACTTGGATTTCTTATGACTCTTAGACATATCCTCCTGTCGTGTCCGGCTCGGCTCCCTCGACTTGCTCTCCTTGTCTCTGCCCAGCGTTCGTAGCGAGACTGAGCTGAGCGTCTTCTTGTGTAGACCCTTGGGCCGGCCCTCACGGGTGTCCTGGGACTTGCGAGGCGATACAGGCGGGTCGACAGGCATGTGCTGGCTGCGATTGGCCGCTCTCTGTTGGCTGTGCGGATGGTCGGGTGGCAGCAGCGGTGCGCCGTGGATGAGGCCCTGCGCAGCGTACGGCTGGACGGCGAGGGGCTCTTTCTTCAGGGCAGTGCCGTCCGAGGGCGCCCGCTTGTGGCCGGGCAGAACAATAGATTTGAGCATCGAAGACGACTTGTTGCGGCGATGTTCCGCAAGCGCCGCCATCGTCATGGTGGATGCAGCGTGCAGCGCAGCAGCTGTTGTGGATGCGTGCGGTAGGGAAGGCAGGCCCCGGGACTCGTCCCTTCTGTAACGGACAATAAGCGCGGACTGGCAACTATGGGATGCTGCGAAACATTGTAGCAGAAGGTGGCCGGGGCGAGGTTCTTGCGGGCAGGTTGCTCGTGCCGCCGCGCCCGGTAAACACGCCGCCCGTCTCCAGGACGACCGGCACCCACGCCTTACTAAGCTAGACCTTCCATCGTGATGGCATACAGGAGCACGCCGCTCCGCGCTGTGCCTGCGCTATAATCAGGGGCCATCAGTTCGAGTCCCTTTTGGCTCTTCGTCTACCTTGCCGATAAGCCCGTCGCAGTCTCCATGCCCACTTGGTGCCCGCCTGTCTTCGTAGACCGTCACGCGTCTCCGCGCCACCTACCCCAGTGGACCCTGAGTTCCCTTGCTGATTCGAGGGAGAGACCATCACCATACGCATGCGTCCACATTATGAACAGAGCATATGAATATCTTGGCTGCACTAAGCTTTCATATCTTGGGAGCGAAAGGAGCGACAGCCCAATGTAGTTCAGATTGAAGAAGCGAAAGCGTACAGTATGCAGTATAGGACATGTGTCAAACCAGTTCAAGTCGTTCTTCCTGGCACCATGTGTCCCTCGTAGGCATCCTAGGCAAGCAACCTCCCGAAGACAAAGAAGATGGTCCCACCTTCAAACAAAGTCCATGCCTATTTGTGCGCCATCGCCAAGCCATTCCTTGTCGCCCACGGCTCAAAGGATCCCCAATTCCACCATCCGGTCACCCACGCGTTCAAATAGCAGAACGGGGCCCAAGCGGTTTCCTGCCGTCGATTCGCAGCCCGCTCTGTTCACGCACCTGCCGAGGTCATCTTGCTGGGTCGAATTGGCTTTGCAGCAAGCCGCGGGCACACAGACCGTGCGCGCGGGACAGTCGGTGCTGGTGCTGCATCTCGGATACAAGGCCGTGTCTTCACACAAGCCCACCGCGACCTTGTTGAAACATAGTCCCCGCCCTTCCGATGTCTCTGCACATCCACAATTCACGTGGCTGTCGCTGAGTCCGCAGCTGACGGTCGTGTTGCACTGACCGTTGCATGGATCGCGAGTACAAACTCCGTTGTCACAATACGCTCGGGTCACACCCGGGTTCTGGAGCTGGTCGTTGCAATTGGTTCCGCATGCCCCGCAATTGTCAACATTGTCGAGTAGATTTGTGCAATTCCCTATATGCACATAGACTATCAGCAAGTGCAGAATAGAGATGCAAAGTATACATACCGTTGCATAGACTTTGTGAAGGCAGTCCGCATGTTGCACTTGGGCTGGTGCTTGTTGTGGAGCTCGCGCTGAAAGACTGCGAGGTAGTGGTAGTAGAGAATGTTGAAGACATTAGACTGCTGCTATTGCTGCTTCTGCTGATGGTGGTTCTTGAGCTTGAGCTAGAGGATGACGTCGTGCTACTACTCGTCGAAGTCGTTCCACTGCTGGAAGAACTAGGGCTAGATGTTGACTCGCTGCTGGTGGTACTAGAGGAGGACGATGAGGATGAAGACGAAGGTGTCTCGCTGGTAGTAGTACCTGAGCTTGAGGATGATGTTGTCTCGCTGCTAGTGGTACTAGAGGATGAAGACGACGAGGGCGTTGATGTCTCACTGCTACTAGACGTAAAAGATGATGAAGATGAGGTCTCACCGCTGGTTGTGCTGGAGACGGTTGGTGCCGTTTCGGAACTGCTGCTGCACGGAGACGTGACAGATGGTTTCTCACTAGTCGTGGGCGATGAACTTTCAGAACTTGATGCAGGTGATGTTACACTGGTGCAGGAACTGAATGACGAAGTTGTGTAAGAAGTCGTAGTGCACATCGTGTCGGTACTAATCGTAGTCGTAGCAGAGGTTATTGACAGACTTGTTGTAGATGTTGGCGAGGGGGAGGACGAGGCTTCTCTTGAAGATGAGGGGTCTGTTGAAGTAGACGAGGTTGAAGAGGACGAATCCGTAGAAGCACTCGAAAATATGCTGGAGGATGTCTCCGAAGACGTATTAGACGATGTCGATGAAGTGGTCGAGGAGAATGTGGACGAAATCGTAAAGAAAGACGTCTCTGTGAAAGACGAGGAAGAATTTAAAGAGAGACTCGTAGATGAGGATGTCGGCGACGATGTTGTAGAAGATGAGCTTTCTGTCGGAGTACTGGACGCTGAGGTTGGCAGAGGGGTCGAAGATAAACTCTCAGAGGATGTGGAAGAGCTCGTTGACGAAGAAGACAACAACATCGACGTGGATATCGAGGTGAAAGACAAAGATCCAATAGATGGCGTGCTTGTCGTGGGTGAAGTAACGGTCGCCGTTTTAGATCCGCCAGTGCATGACCCGACCTCTCTCTCAGTGATTATCGTGACTCCCCCAATTTTCGTGAGAGTCTTTGGCGAGTTAGTCATAAGCAGAAGCACAGAGACTTCCGACTCACATATCCAGTGATCGATGTAATGTCTGCGAAGACTCCGTTAGAAGGATAAACGGATGTGGCCAGACAACTCCGGCACACAGAGCTGTACTCTGCGCTGGCACATGCGCCAGACGCACGTGCATACGGAGGTATGTTGCCTGTAATCACTGTCACTGGAGCTTGGCGTGCCTGTTTTTCATCCCGTTGAAGCCCAGGTACAGCAAACGGGGTCGGACATTCGAATTGCAAGGTCGTTGTGACATAAATTCTGCTTCCTGGCGCCGTAACGAAGCTTGGTGAAAGTTAGTTAGTAATTATATTAGGTGTAGGTGGAGGTGAAGAATCGTACACAGGATCAAAGACAAGCGACCTGGTAAAGAACGATTGACAGTCAGTCAAGGCTGCATTCTGGGCACGGCTTTGGACAGCGGCAACACATGCACCTCCAGGTGCATCCGTCCTGCATTGCTCCTGTCTTCCCTGCAAGACAGCCGCAGCGGAGGCGTTGGTGAGAATTTTCGCAAGAACTGGGAGAAAGCGCATGTTGAGTGTTGCGGAGTCGATCGAGAATGGTGGCAATAGGCCGTGTCGAGGGGCGCTGCATACTTTTATATAGAATATGAAAGATTAAGTATGGTCTTTCAAATGATCTTGCGACTTCACGAAGATCTCGCGAACGCATGTTTCTCCAGTAAGAGTTTCGTTGTAAAGCCTCGGGCGCATCTGCACGACCACGTAGCAGCTCTGAGCTTGAGTCTTCTCCATAGCAGCAAAATAGGGCAGTAATATCCGAACTATACTAACAGATGATAATCTGGCGGCGACACCAGGCTTCGTATGGGGGTACAGAGTTCGAAGCGTGGCATGGCGTGGCATGAAAGACCCAGGAGAGCCATAGTGCAAGGTGCTCATGCCGGCATTATACCCAGGCTGTCACTTCAGATGACAATTACGGACACCCAACTGTGGCAACCAGCGCCTCTGGCTAAAATATCAGCACTATGGCGCCCGTCGAGATGAGGCCCGTGAGCACGCGCACACTTCCGTTGCACCATTGGACATGGCAAGCGGGGCTAACGGTAAACGTTCGCTTGCGGCCGTTGTCTGCATGTATTGTGGCCTTAGCGCCTCCAGATGAAAGGTAAGGCTGAGACCGTGCCACTGGATGCTGTGTAGAGCAGTTGCTGACTCGGTACTGGAAACTTTCCGCATCTATAGCTTTCAATATTCGGGCAGGGTTAAGGCCCCGATGTAGCCTGGTCTGGATGGATACTGATTACGAAGCCTCGGTATCATGTTGGAAATCAACGTATGCTCAATGAGTATCCGAAAGCCTAGTGTTGTTGCAGCACCGAATAAGCCCACCGTTGAGAGAGGACGAACGGCTGCAACCCCTGCATTATCTGTTGTATCATGTGCCTTCTAAAGCCAACGAGAAGATGCTATTCTAGAGGCATTAGGCGACATTAGTGTACCGCATCACTGGAGATGGAAAGCTTCCTCAGCGGACTCGAACTGTTTAGTGCCTTTAAGCCACTGTAGCGTCGAGTCACAAAGGTCAGCCACAAGTGACGCAGCAACAGCCGAGACAGGTATCATGCGATCTCAAGATGATGAGAGCTTCTCAGCACGATTCCATTACAAAACGATCATACGGCCGCGGATGCGCCGACCTCGGTTCGCAAGCGAAGCTGTGGGTTTGGTTGTTGTTGCCATTGATGACTACACCATGGTTGTCACGCGACTTCTACCGCTCTCCAGTACGTGCAGAAGAATTACGAAGAGTCTGTTATTCATGGGTTGTATGAACAGATACACCAGCAACTGGGTGGCAAGTTCATTTCGGTAGAGAGGGATTGCAAAACTTTATTTCTAGTTCGGTCTAGGTCGAGCGTATAATCAATTCCTGGATCAAAGCATATGAATTGAAGAAGTAAAGCTGGATCTACCGTAAACCTAGGCAGGAGGCAGAAAGTTTGCGAAAAGGGACCCTTGGACAAGAGCGTATATGATTAAACCACGGCATATCCATTTCGAACCTTCAAACACTTTGGTCTTTTGAGCCACACTCTCGCGCGCGATCATCCATCCGGAAGTTGCAATATACCAGACCGGATATCCAGAAGATAGGCGGTTGATGACTTGGACATGGAAGTTGGTGGCTGCAGTGATGGCTAGAATAAGCTGAGGCAACGCTAATTGGGGCAGTCCTGTAGAAGCCTCATTTATATCCTTTCCTTCACCGCGTGGCTGGGTTTTAGATGGCCCAAGAGGCTGTTGGGAGGAGTTACGCAAATAGTCAATGCCAGTTTGTAGCAGCAGCCACAACATCGGTCCGGCCATTAGGAACAGGGGCAGGTTCGAGAACGTCCAGTATCGTAAGAACCCAACGTTCCTGAAATTTTCAGCGTATTCCATGCAAATCAAAAGGCTGTAACAAACCAGTAATATCTCTGAACCCAGGTATAGATGCTGGGGATTGTCTTAGAGCACCATGGTCTCAAACTCGGGCCGGCCTGAGAGACACAGTACTGTTGATACGCCACATACTGGGGGCCAATCGAGCCGAGGCCAAGAAGGGCCCCTGAAGAACATGTGATAACGAGTTTTCGGATGTCGTTCAGGCTCAACTCTCGGTCTAGTAGCCGGGACACAAAGGGGACAACGTCGAACAAGAACAGGATGCCGCTTAGCAGGCCGTTGCTTCTGATCCACGTTGCCAACATGAACAATACGCCTGCTCCTAGGATCAAAGCGTCTTCACGAACTGTTTGCTTTCTGCCAGGCCGATCTGTTATTCTGGCTTGAGCGTACAAAAGCATGCCGGTGAAGTTCAGTGCAGCGAAAAGAGACTCCGCATAAGGCGAGCTGAGAAACATGCCAGCAGGGGATACGATGTGTAGCATGGCAGCGACGAAGGGGACTCGGCCGCTGTGCCGCCGATCTAGCACCAGGCTTGATAGGCGGTGGAGCACCACCACCGAGACCAGGTGGCACGCATTGGATACGATGATCCCAGCCCAGACATAGTTTTGCAACGAAATCGACTCGTCTCCAGATACAACTGCGAGGGTCAATGTCTCACTGTCATTTTGCGGGGTTCATCATACGTTTGACTAAGGTTTTGAGTAAAAGTGAGTACGCCCAGCTGAAGGCCCACTCCTGCTCGTAGTGGTAGCCTCTTTGCGCAGATTTTACAAAATACAATGCATCCCACCGAAAGAAATTGAGCGAAACACGATCTATTACAGGCCAGCTGTGGAAGTCGACGTGCCGAGAACTGGTCGGATTTGAGGCGATCAGAGCTGACGTGTCGTAGCCAGGGCCTGGAGAGAAGGCTGCAACGATGAACAGCACAGACTTCCAAGCGAAGAAAGCCTGGATCAGTCGCGTTGATGGATTGCGCGACGCCATTTCGACTGCTGCATGAGGCTTGGAGCATGGATGCTGGAGGTATAAAGAGTGTCGGAGCCAGTTTCGCCGATCCGCGCTTGGCAGAGGCGCTAACCCACCGCTAGCGCGCCGATTTGATGCGCAAAATTAAGCGAAGGGCAGGCACACTTCTGCTTTTCTGCGACTTCGAAACTCCATCACCAACCCCGTCGACCCTCCACTAACACAGGTAACTTGGTAAGCGCAATCCCCCACCCACGCTCCAGCAGATTCGTCGCATGCTTCCGTCATGGAAGGTAGCGATAGTGAAAATGGCTAGAGTGCAGAGCGGCAGTAATGCCCTCTCATTCTTAGAGCAGCAGGAGCTATTTAGTGAATGAACATTCGCTAATGGTTTCTCTCTCAATGACAGCCTCGACGATAAAATGGCACCCAAGGCCAAGAAAGCGGCTCCCGCGCCCTTCCCTCAGGGCAAGGCTGGTACGAAGAAGACCGCCAAGGTACGTCGTTGGAACCGTCAATCTCACCGCTGCAGGCTCTGACCGAGACAGAACCCCCTCCTCGAGAAGCGCCCCAAGAACTTCGGTATCGGCCAGGACATCCAGCCCCAGCGCAACCTCTCGCGCATGGTGCGATGGCCCGCGTACGTCCGTCTCCAGCGCCAGAAGAAGATCCTCAACCTTCGGTTGAAGGTCCCTCCTTCCATCGCTCAGTTCCAGCACGTTCTCGACCGTAACAGTAAGGCCCACTAGATTTGTTGGAAGAGCGTGAGCTAATACGCTACAGCCGCCACCCAGGCTTTCAAGCTCCTCAACAAGTACCGACCCGAGACCAAGGCCGAGAAGAAGGAACGCTTGACCAAGGAGGCCACCGCTGTCTCTGAGGGCAAGAAGAAGGAGGATGTGTCCAAGAAGCCTTACACCGCCAAGTTCGGTTTGAACCACGTCGTTGGCCTCATCGAGAACAAGAAGGCGTCGCTCGTGCTCATTGCCAATGACGTTGACCCCATTGAGTTGGTTGTCTTCCTTCCTGCTCTCTGCCGCAAGATGGGCGTCCCGTACGCCATCGTCAAGGGCAAGGCCAGACTCGGTACCGTCGTTCACCAGAAAACCGCTGCCGTCCTCGCCCTCACTGAGGTCCGCTCCGAGGACAAGAGCGAGCTTTCCAAGCTCAGCTCTGCCATCCAGGACGGATACCTCGAGAAGCACAAGGACACCATCCGCCACTGGGGAGGTGGTATCATGGGCGCCAAGGCCAACGCTCGTATGGACAAGCGGAGGAAGGCTCTCGAGAGCGCTATCAAGATCTAGACGGGTCTTGATGGATGTGTTAGGGAGATTAGGGAATTTGGTGTCTTATCATCTGCATGTAGCGGGCTTCGAATACCACGGAGTTTAGGACGGCCAAAAGCAGTCAGTTTCGACTGAAGAATTTCATGAATACCATGCATTGGAACGATTACTCAAACAATAGCGCCAATTGTTGTGATGAATAAGCCTCTAGCGGGGATGACCCCGCTACACCTGCCCCCACTATTAAGCCAGGTACCGCGTCGCAACTACTAACACAGCTCTACTGTTTACCTACTACCTCGTACACATCTATAGTCCCATCAGCTTCAAGCGTGTGACGCGTCTTCAAATCACTACTGCTGCGGCCTGCGACAGGCGCAATGCCTTTGACAATCCTCACCGATTCGGAGGTTCGAACACTGCTGCTTGGGCTCAAGAAACAAGGTATGTTTTGCGCTTCTCTACTAAAAATTTAAAGCCGTGGCTGATCCGCATGTTCAGACATTCTCGATCTGCAGCAGAGCTTGGCTGACGCCCTGCACTACTACTCGAACTCTACGGACCAAGACCACAACGGCTGCTCTTCATCCTACCAACCACTTCGCACATCGCTCAAGCGCAGCGATGGACAAACAACTCTGTTCATGCCCGCTTCAAGCAACGATGGACTGGGCGTGAAGGTGTGAATCTCTGCATCCTATACAGTACCTGACCTTACAGTGCTGATCAGTGTCTACACTGCAGATCGTCACGCTATCAGAGCCCGACTCAGCAAAAGGCTCCTTGTCTTCGAACGGAAGCACATCCTCAGCGCGCGGCTCTCTCGCCTCCTTTGACTCCCTCTCCCTCTCCGCCGCCAGTACTTCAAGCTCCACAACCGCCGTCTCCGTGCCATCCGATAGTCTTACAAGCAAAGACAGCACCACGCCTAAAGGCCTCCTCACACTACTCGACCGCTCCGGCGGACCCCGCGCACTCATAAACGCGGAGGAGATAACCGCCTTCCGTACCGCGCTCGCGAGTACTATGCTCTTTAAGAAACGCGCAAACGTACATGACGTCGTTGTCTTCGGCGCGGGCAAGCAGGCATACTGGCACATCCGGCTGGCGCTGCTGCTGCGCGGGCCAGAGATACACCATCTGAACGTGATCAACCGGAGCTTTGAACGAGCTACGAATTTGATACAGAGTCTATTCAAAGGCCCAGATGGCGCGGGGACCGATCTCTCTCGACCGAAGGTACAGATCATCACCCCAGCGGCGCAAGAATACGAGAGGCTGCTCAAAGCTACGATCCGTGCGAGCAGTGTCATATTCTGCACCACGCCGTCTCTCGTGCCGTTGTTTCCGGCGGGCCACCTGACGAACCCAGAGGGCAGGAAGAAGGGCAGGTACGTTGCTGCCATCGGCTCGTACAAGCCGCACATGCTTGAGCTGCACCCGGATATCTTGAAGCAGAACGTGGCGCCAGATCATAATCGCCATCACCACAAACATGCGCTACAAGGCGGAGCTGTCATTGTAGACAGCGTAGAAGCATGTCTCAAGGAAGCCGGTGAGGTCATTCAAGCCGGCCTCACGGGCAACGAGGTCGTCGAGATCGGAGAGCTCATCATGCTGCGGAGGGATGCCGATAGGAAGAGGCAGGAGTGCGTGACACGGAAGAGCATGGAAGGGATGGATGACACGGGTGTTGAGATTGGCGAGTGCGAACAGAGGAAGAAGAAGAGGAAGGGCAAGAAGGAGAAGGAGGAAGATGCTGGGGATCGAGGATTGATAGAGTGGTTGCAGAAGGGCAATGTCATATACAAGAGTGTTGGGCTGGGGTTAATGGACGTAGTAGTTGGGAGCGACCTTGTTGCTTTGGCGGACAGTCGGGGGATAGGAACGCAGATCGACAACTTTTGAGGGGTCCTGGGTGGAGTTGCTGTACCGTCTACCACCTGCATTGCGAATGCTGGTACTAGGTTTCCAGGCGGATATCCAAGCTATGAATAGACGCCTTCACATAATTAGATTTAGACACGCTTTCATCGCAACACTTCAATCGGTCTATTAAAGCATAAACACATGCCTAATATTTCTTTTCAGCGCCGCCCATGCAAATCACTGAACACGCCTATCATGCGGTACCCTAAGCCCTATACGTCTACCATTGGCACGTGTATATTACATCGCATGTTCGTATCGTTTTACCGCGTGGCAGCGGCGATCAAGCGAAGTAGCTCTTCCACAGCACGCCCTCCAAGTCCTCCAGCTGCTCCTGCTCGAAAGCCTGTGCACGTAGGTTAGTAGGTCTTGGGTAAAACGTTCTAAAGAGCAGGTAAGTCTTACCTTAACGTCCACATGCCAAGTATCCTGCCTCGTCTTCTTAAAGTCGGCCAAGATGCTCTTCACGCTCTTGCCCACCATGCCCGGATCCGCCGCCGCCTTGCGCGCCAGACTGGCAAGGACATCCGTGTACCACGCTGGCGGAGGGCTCGTGTACGGGAACGCTTGGATGAGCGCACCCAGCCCTAGCACGGCCGCGTGGCGTGTCAGGACCAGCTTACTCTGCTCGGCCGTCGGTGTACCGGGTAGCTTGCGCCTGGGGAGCGGATTCTTGGTCAAGGTGTTGGTGAACTGCTCCTTAAGCTTCACGACCATGCGGTCACGCAGCGCGACGGGCGAGCAGCGGATCATGCCGGAGAGCGTTGTGGCAGCGCCCATGCGGACCTCGAGTTGCGCGTCTTGAAGCATGGCGGAGACGCATTCGAACATGGCGAGCTGCTGCTGTTCGCTCATCAAAAAGAGCCGGCGGAAGTAAATGACCTGGATGTTGATGAGGATGCGAAGACGTTGGTGCCAGCTGCTTGCTGTGCGGCCAATGCGGATAAGAGCCGCGATGAACTCTGCGTCTTCGCCCTGACGGTGCGGGATGTTGGGCAAGTGGCGGAAGACGTGGTAAGCAAGAGACTGGAGCTCGGGATCCTCTTTGATATCCATCATGTGGAGGAGCTGCTCGGTGAACACGTTGGGGAAGAACTGGACGAGTTGTGTGCATTCGTAGGATGAGAGAGTGGAGTCGAGCCAGAGGAGGACTGTCTTGCCGCCGTTCGTATACGGCGAGGGGGTTTGTTGACCTGCGGGACGCTCGCCTCGCCACACTTCCAGACGCTCGAAGACTTCTGTTATCATCTTCGAGAACTCAGGTGTCGGCTCGTATGGCCGGACACCAATAGATGAGGCTTCTTTTTGCGCTTTGATGAGTGCACCAACGTTTTTGTATGATTCGTAGTACCGTGTTCGATAGATGGCGGCGATAGTTTGGCCCATGGCTTCACGTACACCCTTGTACGGATGATCAAGATGCTGCATGAAGTTCTCCAAGATGGGCTTCTCCAGGCGGAAGTGCCAACCAGCGTCAGCAATGCATTGTTGGAGTAGGTAAATCTTGGAGCTCTCCTTGAAGGCCGCGTTGGAGTCCATGTCCAGGCGGAAGCTTGACAGCCAGTCTACAAGAGGCCAGCCTCGCCTGGGATCTTTAGCTTGAAGCACAACATGTAAGAAGGTCGTCCAGTAACCCGAGTTGTCCGGATTCAGGCCGTCTTCAAATATGCCCCGAATGATTGGGAAGACATACTCCCAGGTTTCTTGTCGCTGCTCAGGCTGGAGGTCAGGTGCACAGGTGAGCAAAGCACCCATGATTTCGGATGTCGCACGGTGCTGGTGCTTATCGCTACCATCACCGTAAACAGCTTGGGTGAGATCCTTGATATCTTCAAAGGTGGTCGATGTCAAGCCCGCGAAAACCAAATCGAAAGCATGCGTTAGCAGCATAGCGCTGGACATCCGGAAACGATCAGCTCCTGAGTCACGTGGTTCTTGCTTCATGAAAGCAAAGTAATTCGAGAACCACGATCGATCAAGAATCGCGGCAAGCTTCTTCCGAACATGCGTTTCTACCTCGTCATAAGCCATCTCCGGAGGATTGGGTAGGAAGGCAGGCATCGTCTTCGTCCACACTAACCAACCAGGGTAGTCGGCATCGACATAGTACTTGGCATCCGCCTTGGTGAACATGCTCAAGTACTCTTCTGTCCATGTAGGATCATCGGCTTTTGTATCTACCGAGATCTTGTCAGGTACCTCCTCTTCCATGAGTAAGTATTTCTCATAGCTATGATCGGCAAGGGCACGAGTCTGGATGACGCCAAACAAGCCTACCAAAGCACCAGCGTACAGCCCACGAAGGCTAGGGTGCTGATCTATGGCTCCTTGGCCTACAAGGGTGATCATTTCGTCTGAGGCAATCGTATCGAAGCGCATAGTGAGATTGACGATGATGGCCGCGGTTCGGCTGACCTTCTTCCAATGGGAGGTTTTCGTCATGTCGATCAGCTCCTTGGAGAGATTTGCCTTCTTACCTTCAATCCGGGCTCGCTTTTTCTGGATGAAGTCCCGCCGCTTCACAACCTTTTGCTGCACCGTGTTGTCTTCGAGCGGGTCGATGACAAAAGCGATGGCTTCAACAACTGCTTTGTCAAGGATCACCATGCGCTCCATTGCCTTACCCATGTCCATGACTTGGAACGTCGCATTCGCTGCAAGCTTTTGAACAGAGGGCTTGTCGGCACCGGTGACTTCGATGAAGGCTTTGATGAGAGTAGGTGTGAACCGCCAATCACGACTGATCGTCTTCGCTAGGCTACCGAATAGAAGGGTGAACATGGCACCCTTAATGCGAGGATAATCATTCTCGCCGATAGCCTTCACTAAGGCATCAAGAAGCGGGGGAATGATGAGGGGCTTCGCACCCAACACACATTTAATGGCTGATTCGCTAGCAGTCTGCGCGGTACGGCGAATGTCAGTATACAGAGAAATGCTTGACTGTGCAAGGTCCAGAAGTAATGTTTTGTCAAGGTCTGTCTTCGGTCGAGTGCTCGCATTGTGTCGTAGACGCTGCAGGTGGTAGACATAGGCGCGTCTAACAAGTAACGGTCGCGGATACTCCTTCCTCAACCCTTGGAACTTGAACGCGACCTCATCGGATTCGAGTAGACGGGTTACACGCTCCAGAATATGGGCAGACCGTTCGATTCCCACGTCGATGAACCACGACCGATAGGCATTGTACAGTTGGTTGAAACATATAACGTCATCCTCTTGTTTCTCGTTCAAGAAGCAGTGAACTTCGTGTAGCGTCAGGCCGACCTTATGGCGGAGGTCGTGAAGAAGCTCGTAGTTCTTGTCGCCACGTTCCAGAGGGTATCCTGTTTCGTATTGGAAGGTTGGCTTGACATCCTCGTCTTCAGCCTCGCCCAGCCCAGCGTCGTCCTCGATGCCTTCTGTTTCCATGGCATCGATTTCGTCCTCATCATCGCCCGCTTCGTGTGGCTGGTCATGGCGGATATTGAACAAAACAGAGATACCGGATATGACGAGTCGCAGCAGCGTGATGTTCCGAGAAAGCTCATCTGACCAGTCCTTGCCCGTACCTTCGCGCTTGACTGGTGGCTCGGCAGAAATCAAAGCAGTCAAAGTATTGATAGAGGTAGTGACTTGAGACTCGAATAGCTTAACGGCAAAGTCGATCTCCTCAGCACTGGGCTTGTGCCATTTGATGTTCAATTGCTTTACATCTACCTGACGACCCCACGAGTTTGCTGTGAGACCATTCTCAAGCTCGTCATCCTCGTAGATGGAGTAGTCGTTGGTGTATGTGCATGTGATATTGAGAAGGAGATGATGTATGAAGTTGGAGACATGGATCGTAGCAGCACCACGAACGTTTTTTTGCATATACTCTGCAAGTTCGAAGAGCTCGTCTTTCCACTCCATGACGGCATCTCCGACGTGGACAACACACATGCCCAAGATGCAGAGGTACCAGACAAGCCCACGATCTCGTGGAAGGACTTCGGCGCCTGTGGTTCGTGTTGAGCCAGCCCCATTATCTTCGATCTCTGTGCGAATACCAGCGAAGAGATGGGGAAGTAGTCGCTTTAGGGATTTCTCTGGATTCACCTTGACAAAGCTGTTGCAGATGAATGATATCGCATCACGAGCCTGATGAATGACATGGTTCGTGATAAAGTTGGCAACCTTGTCAAGGGCAATGTCGAAAAGCTCAGGGGAGAGCGCCGCAAGCAGTGGCGTAAACGCCGCCGGCAGGTAGTTTGCCACATTTTCTTCAGGCGAGCCGCTGCGTACCCTTGCAGCATCCGGCAAATTCTCAAGGAGGGTAAAAACCCGGCCGAGGAAGGACAACAAGAACTCGGCAAGGCCCGTGGTCGAAGAACGTAAGATCATCTGTTCCTCATGATCACTGAGCTCCTGATTGTAATCGATCTCGGCGAAACCTTTGGCGTTCTCCAACCGTTCCACCTGTTGCGTGATCCATTCCACAGCAAGCCCGGTACCAACGTCAACGCCTTCCATCGGTGTCGCTGTTCCCGACGCCGAGGTCGTGCCATTTACGCCCTTCTTTTCTTGTGTAAGGTCATGGAACGGCACTGTGTAACAGACTCCTTGAATGTAACTCAGGGTCTGCACGGTCTTGTCCAGGTCATTGGGGTCGATTCCTGGAATGGCAAGTCCTAGTAAGGTCGTAACGTGGCAACGGAAGCCTTTAGTACGCGCCATGATCTTGGACAGCATTTGCAACGCTTTGATTGAGGAGATGGTACGGTGTACCTCAACCAAGCCCTGCATGGCCGGATAGATGCGCTGTAACGCACCCGGCAGTATGAGGGTCGGCTCCAAGTATGCAAGACCTTGCAAGGCGCTCTGAGAGTAGAGCACAGCTCGCTCGCTCTTCGAGAAGATACCCATGAAGGTGACCTCGCGCAAACACAGCACAAACCGACGCTTGAGCGCGTCGTTCAACTTTCGATCTTCGGGAACATTCATTTCGCCATTATGTTCCCGATTCCATCGCAAGAGGAAGAAGTCGGTCAGGTAGAACACAAGCTGCGCAAGCGATCGCGTCCAGTTGCCAGAGTTCGAAGGGTGGTAGAATGTCTCGATGGCTTGGATGAGACCCTCGAGTTTGCTGAAAACGGAATCTTCGTGCTCCATGCACGCGGGGGAGAAAGACATGACTATGATACGTGCGATATGGTGGGTAGAGGGATGTTTGCGCTGATCTCGGTCGAGCATGACCGCAAGGCCGGCGCCTAAATCGACGGTGGTGCTGTATGGCGAAGTCGCTTGTCCGACGGGAATCTCGAGCAAGCGTAAAATAGACGTGAATACGAGTGAGCACTGCTCGCTGGTGAACAGGCCATACTGCGAGAACGGGACGTGGCTTGCGGGAAGCAATTCGCGTGCCATTCGTGACATAACATCCATGAAGTGCGCATCGGCCAGCTTGGACCGATTTACTAGGGACCACAGATGGAAATATAGAGGCAGGTACTCTTGCGGCTGCAGGTCCTCCCTGTCCTCTGGTGGTACGCTCGTCGGCATCAGCAGGTTGAGCAGGCCGATGACAACGAATGCACCTTCCGAGTATGACGTGCTGAAGAAAGGAAGAACCTCCTCTAGAATAGCCGGTATTTCCTGTGGGTCGAAATAGTACTGCGCAAAGGTGCAGAGCTTTGTCAACGTTCGAATATTTCGCTTGATGCTCGGCGGCGAGGAGCCACCCGACTCGGAGGGGAGAACGAACGTCTTCAGTTCACGGAACAGCGGCCGCCAGTCGAGCGTCAGGTCCTTGCCGGGGCGCAGATAGTGTTTCCGCCTATTCATCTGTCAGCTGTGCTGCTCTTGAGAGCGGTGGGGGCGACTCACTTGGTCAGGGTCATGAACATGCTCGCAAAGCGCTCCGCAACCAGATAATCTAGACCAGGAGCCAATGCTAGCTCGTAGTACAGATTAACCATCTTAATCCGCGTATCTCGCGGGATCTCGAACTTCAGCTGAATCCATCCGCGCAGCTCGCGCGTCCAGTGCACCGCGCCTGGTGCAAAATCGCCAGCCGAGACGGCGATATACAGATGCTTCAGACATGTGTTGAGGTTCTCGATGCGCTCGCTGGGGTTCTCTGCCTTGTACGGAAGGTACTCGAAGTAGGGAAAGGTGCGCGGGCGGCTGCGATTCTGCTTCTCCTCGTCTGTGCCGTTCGTGTCGCCGTTGCTCTGGCGCCAGTCACCGCCCGGAGAAGTCGCGCGCGATGAGTCCACGCCCGAAGCCGTCTCGAGGGCACCCATGAGCTGTGATATCCGTTCGCTGACAGCCATGGTGCCGGGCGTGTGAGGGTCCGGGTACGGGCAGGCCGTGCAACGAGGAAGGTGCTAAGCACGCCGGCTCATCCAAAGAAGAAACCGAGCGGAATGCGGTCGTCCACGGTGGAGCGGTGCCAGACGAGAACAGCAGTTGCGGAGGGTGCAGGCTGCGTGAGGCGGCGTGCCGACACGAGACCACTGCCACGGCGGTGGGCCGGGGTGGTGCGGACGACGTACGGTGAAGCGTGGCAGCAGCAGCGGCTCGAGGGTGGTTGACGTGTTTGATAGTCGACTTGAGGCGGGGAGGTCGCTTCAGCAGTTCATGTAGGTAGCCGACGCCGCAATCCCCAGATGGACCTGGAGCTATGACACTCACTGGAGCCAGCCGTGGCGCTGCGCTTGACCACACCAACACTAGCACCAGACAAGCTAGGAACGCGCAGCCTTGTCGCGCCCAAACGCGACTTTCACCACGCCGAGAACAGAGAGGGTCAACTTGCTGGTCCAGAGACGGGCCTGGTGAATCTTTGGTTGCTGCTGTGCGGGCTTTTGTATCTGGTACCTGGGCACTTCCGCTGGCCTTATATCCGCACCCCAGGCATTCACCGACGCGCAACCCTCGACGCTGGGGCGACACAGGTAGGCAAAAGTGTACACGTCTTCCGCGCCTATGCCGCCAATACGCATCTTGCCCGTATGCCTGCCTCGTCTGGCTTATTGGCCCCGCTGCCCGCTCCCTCCCATTTGTCTGCGCCCTATTCTTGCGGCCAGCATTATCTTGCGTCTGCTTTTGACTCTCGCTGCATATACCCGTTCCGATTGTCGCACAACACGCGCATTTCCGAATCTTCCTTGTCCTTCACCATCGCACCCCTCGGATCCCTTCAACATCTAATCAAACTCGCAGAGAACATGACTTCCTACTACGACGTCGATGCCATCCTCACAGATGCTCAGGTGACCATATGACACGCCCTCATTCGTCTACCTGCTGCTTACACATCTGATGCAGAAAGTGCCATGCACCTTCGAGCTGTCCGTTCCTGCGCTAGGCTTTCTAGAGGGCAACATGAGCGGCGATGTGAAGCAGGGGTCCAAAGTGGAACTACCCTTGTGGCTGGGCGAGATGCTTGCTATTTCGTACGGCGCCCCAATGTTTTCGTCTCACTACCTGGAAAACGCAGCATCGCTAACCCTGCCTTTGTAGTCAGAGTCCATCCCTCGTCTCCCTCGACCATCCATCGGCACTCAGCCCACGCGTTCTAAATGCCCTCAAGGCTGACGCCCGTACTGTCGATCTGAGAGCTTTGGCCCCTCACTTCTATAACCTCGGTGCCCGCGTTCTTGAGCTGTTTGAGGAAGAGGAAATGATCGAGGTGCTTAGCGATGTTAGTACCCCATTTTTAGAACTAAGTCCAGGGCTAATTAAAGAAAGGCTTTCAAATCCAGGGCCGCAGTAATAGCGGATCAAGCTCACAACCCGCGAGGTGCTCTTGGAGAAGGTGCCGACTTCCTGCGAGGTCTGGACGAAAATGAAAGGCAGCTGTTCCGAGCTTCGCATGACAGCGCAAAGGCAGTGCGGACGTGGATGAATGACCTAAAGAAATGAAACGGCATGAATTATTACAACCACGGAACGTAAAGACCTCAGCATGTGTATGTTGGTTGAGGGTGACTCCTAAGAGCTCGGATGCGTCAAGGCCAACGAGACCGACATGCGGATCATTGGTTTGCCGGTCATCGAAAGGTCAGCCCTTCGACTCGACCCAAAGAACATGGCGGTGCGCATCCCTCCTCGGGGGCGTCCAGCCTAAACACTACTAATCATACAAAGTGAAAGCAATGCCCTGGCTTTCACACATATGCCTCAACTCGCCCTGTGCAGCATTTCTCCGGTATTTCCTGCGATCGGCCCATGTGCCTTTCCGGATGTCGAAGCTCAATCTCTCGAGCAGAGGCGGCGCAATCTTCAAGACTCCAACTTTAATCCACGTCACAGATACACCCATATCCTCGTGCCAATCTTGTGGAAGTGTCTCACCTGAAAAGAATTGCCTGAGAACTGCATGGTCCGCTCTGCACATGTAACATGTAGGGCTGCGACATCGCCCATATCGTTAGTCATGCTAAGCCTCTTGAGGCTCGGTGGGAGGGTCTTAGACAGTGCTCAGATGCCTTAGGTCGATCCCCTCTCTGCCCGAACAGAGTGACGAGTGCGACTGTCAGTGTTCGGAGGGAAGTGAATCCACTCAATGAGCGTAGAGCGCCGCTACAGAGAATAGTATGGTACATGAATTCGAGCAATCCATCATCATGCATTTCAAGAGAAATCGTGAGGCATGTCAGAGAAGCTGCAACAATATTCAGTCCCGCTCGCAGTTCGGTCAGATCGATATTCCCTGCCATTACGTGGACAGCGGTGTCGTATTGGAATGTGCGTAGATTCGGGGTTTGTTCCAGAACACTGGCTGCTGCGCTCGTAGGGCCTGGGAATCCTTTGAGTTGAACGGTGGGGAGCTTACCAAGGCAGGCGATGTTAGTCACCCCCATCACGGCTGTACGAAACAGCTCGCAGAACTCTTGTCTTGGTTGCTTAATTTGTGCCCTTTTTTCAATCGAGCTCTCGTGGGCTACACTCCGAGCGAAGAACTCGTAGCTTGCTCAGTTGATCGTTGGTGATAAGTGTGGGGGTGCGTTCGGCTGCAGTGTGAATGAAACGATGGACAGGTACTCCGCGCCAGAAACTCCATAGAAACTGTCAACTCCTTGAGATCCGAACAGATCCGAACAGATCCGAACATTTAATAAGTATCAACCTCTATGGCCACCCTTCTGGTTCCCGCAAGAAAGGAATGGCCCGGACCAGTATGTTCCTCTTGCGTTGGCTGGGCCTCCAAAACCCCAGCCATGTAGGACGCTCGAAGTGCAAACTCGGTATGCATCTGGTTATGTTCAGTTCTGATGTGCCTTGCAAGCTCTGTGTTTTCGACCAGCACCCTCAGTAATCGTTGCACTCTCCGCCGGGCCTCTGGCAGGTCTCGATTCAGCTCCCCACGGGATATTTTACCGGGGCTGCAAGCCCAGCTCAGAGTAACGTTGCAAAATAGTGCGGGTAGGACAAGGACAAGGAGGAGGAGGAGGAGGAGGAGGAGGAGGAGGAGCGAAGTACACTATTTCTAGTCCAATTCCCACTGTGATTGCATAGCTATAGTCAAACTTTATAGGCTAGGTGATTCCGAGGTTAAATGGGATCACAGCAAGTAGAATAGAAGTTGTTGGTGATAGCTATCACATGCCTACCTTCAATTACAATACATTTAAATGGTATATAACTTTCGCTAAAATTCGCTGTCAAATCAAAGCTATCCAAGGCTGCTCACCGCATGACAGCGCCGAGGTTGCTGTTCTGCAAAAGTATAGCTAGCTGTTCTGGCGGATATCCCAAGAACACGGGTCCGTTGAATACCATTTGAGGGATTACGGTCGGCGTTGTTGGCGAAGGCGTCCCATTAGGTTTCGGGTTGGATTCATGTTTGGATTCCGGTTCATGCACATGTGGTACTGCTAACTTCGGATTCATGGGATGGCCAAGGTTCGAGACAGGCGCGTCTGTCATGGCTGGCTGCATTGCCTCTGCGGCAGTACCCTTTTCTTGTACTTTTGATCCATCGCCTTTGACCATGTGACCGAACGGGCAGCCTCCTGGCTTCTTGGGCGGTGTCTCACCAATAGGCCGGGTTGTATCAAGAGGAAGCTGCGGCGAAGCGGTTGCGGCAGATCCCACAGACGATGAGCTTTCGGCATCGGTATACTTGGCAGGGACGTGAATGCCCCACGGCCGGCTCGGAGATTCTCCAACCCGAATCTCTTTGAGAGGACGATCAAAGCGAGGCGACCTGGTCTCATCGGGTGCCATTGCGGGCACTTCCAATTCGTCTTGGTCTTCGTCTGGTATGCTGTTTTGAAGACTCGCTGTGACCGCTGTAGCCCATTTCTCCACTTTGACGTCCGTCTTCGCCTCATCCTCTTGTGCGGTTGGACCCTCACCAACTTCCTCTGGTTCTTCTGGAAGCCATGCCTGGTGCTTCTGACCCAATCCTTGTATCATACTAACAAGGTCGCCATATTTGCGATCGAGTTCCTGTATACTGTTCGTGTTGCTTTGAAAGCGATTAATGCACACTTCATGACTTCGCGGCAGCTCATGCTTGTGCTTCTCAAAATACTTTGCAACGTCTTGTGGGTCATGTTGGTCGAGGAAACGAATTGGGCACACGCCAGCGGAACCTTCGACAGAGGCAGAGGCAGATGCATGGTCGTCGATACCACATATCTCAGCCCGTATGGGATCGTTGAACGAAGGACGCTTCGACCTGCGCCCTCTTTGGCTCATGCGAGAGATGGAGCTGCGAGGAGTGGCCAGTGGGCTCTGCCTAGCACTGTTCGCAGCGAATGGACAGCCAAGCTTGCTTGGTGTCCCGCTGGTAGTGAAGTCCTTCTCTATCGAAGACATGTCTGCATTTGTCTGTATCCGGAGGGGCGTCGGCCGCCGGTCTGCCGATGGCCCACTCCAAATCTTCACTCCGGAATCAACGATAGGGGTGCGCAAGTCTGCTACGGCTGACTCGGCTTGCTTAATGAGGACGGCGTGATTCTTCCGTTCGGCATCGTCATTCTGTGCTATCTGATCGATCCACGAAATAGGTGGTCGCTGCAAATCTAATGCTACATGCTCGAGGTCTTGGAGGAAAACGAGGTGGTCTTGGGCAAGAGTATCGGGGGAAGAACGTTTCAGTAGATCTAAGTACTTGGAAGAGTCAGCGAGGATCTCCCTGGAGGTGCAACAACGGTGGGTAGAGATCAAAGTGTATCAGTAAGTGGTAAGGTTGTCTGTCAAAGCCGCGAGCGACTGCAGGTCTAGAGCTAAGATTTTTCATCATGAAAAGGAAGCGAAAATACGAAGAAAACTTTGACATACCTGCTGTTTGGCCCAAGAAAGCTTGCTCTCCAGCTGTCGTTGCTGTGCGAGCAATAACTGATACTCCCCACTCAACGCTTCGAACCCTTCGGAGAGCCGCTCCGCTAGTTGTTGGACAACGGCGGGTGGCCCAGAGGACATGGCGAATACAATCAAAGCGAGAAAGGAATGCACAGAACAAGAGGCGCTGGTTAGTAGGGGGAAGGGAGGCCAGCTCTATGAGCGCGCAGAAGCTACCTGGCCTGACACGCAACCGCTGACGGAGCTTGATGAGTTGGTGGAGGGCAAGCAACCAAGGATCGGACAAGGTGCAAAATCCGAGCCGGATGCCAAGTCACACGTGACCTCTCACAGCCGGGTAGCCGCAGCTGCAGGGTTTCTGCCACGTTGGGAAGGATCGCCCCGAGGATCCGCCGCGATTTCTTGTGATTTCTGGGAAGTCGCGTCACAGCCGGGGCTCCGCCTCTGTGCAGCGCCCAGCGACACGTAAACTTGCCATTGAAGCGTATTCTTATGCAGCATGCCGCCCGATTCATGAGTGCTTCACTTCTGCCTCTTCACTTTGAGCGTTCTTGATCGCATTTCCGCCCGTCGCTCGCTACTGCGCCTCTAGAAGCACCTAGATATCCCACCTTGCACCTCTCCGATACGCCCACCATGGCGTCCATCCACAAGCATGGCATATCCAGATGGATTGCATACTCGCCACCGGTCGCCTGGACTGTCCGTCAGCTGCGCGAGCTTCTCATCGGTGCTCTTAGACAGGGTCCCATACCCCAGCATGTCGCGTTTGTGATGGACGGCAACAGACGCTTCGCTCGCGAGCACCATATTGAGACTGTAGAGGGGCACAACATGGGATTTGAAGCCCTCGCTCGTGTATGATCCGCCCCCCCGCAGAGTGAATTCGGTCAAAGCTAATTATGCCACGAGATCTTGGAAGTTTGCTACAAGGCCGGCGTCAAAGTCGTTACCATCTATGCGTTTAGCATTGAGAATTTCAAACGCTCGAAGCATGAAGTAGACGCTCTCATGGAACTAGCGAAGCTCAAACTCGTGCAGCTGGCAGAACACGGAGCCCTGCTCGACCGTTACGGTGCATCCATCCGCATTTTAGGGAACCGCGAACTGGTGAAGCCGGATGTGATCGAAGCGATCGACAGGGCAGTCTCCATTACCGCACACAACAAAAGGTACGTGGTGAACATACATCTTTGTCGGCCTGGCTAATATGCCAGCAGGGCGATATTAAATGTTTGCTTTCCGTATACCTCGCGCGACGAAATCACGACAGCCATCAAATCGACAGTGGAGCAATACAGCACGCCCCTAGATAGCCTCCAGACACCATCGAAACGAACCTTTTCAGAATCGCACATCACCCAGCAAATTCGTAAGCAAATGTTGGAAGAGGATACAGATGGCAACTCCGCACCGCAGGAGTCTCGATCCACGTCTCCTTCTTCTCTCAAAGATGCCAAGTCAGTAGAAGGCGGTCGTTCCTCGTCGGCTACAACTGCTATTAATTCCTCGGACAAGGATGAGAGCTATACGACAGCGCCATCCTATCCGGATCCCGAAACGATAACGGCGGAAACCCTAGACGAACACATGCTGACTGCTGGCGCACCGCCACTGGACTTATTGATTCGAACCTCCGGAGTGGAACGCCTGAGCGACTTCATGTTGTGGCAATGCCATGAGAACACTTCGATTGTATTTCTCAAGTGTCTCTGGCCAGAGTTTGATTTATGGCAATTTCTGCCGGTCTTGGTGGAATGGCAGTGGCAGAAGAAGAAGTCACAGGAGCAGCAAAAATCTCGTGCGCTTTCCAAAGCAGAATGAATCAGATACGGTTGGTGGTGACGCTACCAGACGGAACAGAAAATGAGCCGGGTGGATGGCTAGTTCCTATTGATACCCGAAGAATGACATGTAGCGCTCTGAATCGGAGTCCCGGGTGGCTTCATTTCATTGCGTAAGCGCAGGTTGTTTTGTGCGTGAGATCAAGCCAAGGCTTCCGAGCAGCTTCACCGAATGCAATGAGATCGTGATCAACGCTGAGGTGAGCGAGTGCCGCCGTGGCGCGTGGTTGACTGATGGTCGGTGGCGTCCACACGTCGTCTGGTGGAATCGGGCGTAACCGAGAACGGGTCAGCTGGGTGAGCTAGCGGTCCTCGCAACACGCGTGCAACCACGGTCTACCTTGGACGCTCGACTCCTTAGGTCTCCGAACGTCATTTTAGCCTTTTCCAATCCAGTTACCATAAAACTGCTATCGCGTCCACTTTTTGGCTTTGTGACTTGCTTCCATCCTAGTGTTTTTCTTCGCCATCAAGGTCCACTTTGTTCTGGCTGCAACCTGGAGCTCGAGGAACAGGGCAGGATAAGCTCAACGTCGCTGCTACATTTCAGCGGGTCTACTCCTAGCTCATAGATTTCTGTCCTCAGCAACCATGCCGGCTACGTTCCTTACTCTCCCGTTGGAACTTCGGGAACTCATCTATGAAGACGTCTTTAGCGCAATTACCATTCGCCATGGATTCCGTACCAGCTCTTCCAACCGCACAGCTCTCCTACAGACCTGCAAAAAGGTACACCAGGAAGCATGGCGGCATCTTCCTCTGAATGTACGGTTTCATTTCCGAGGCACCGAAACGATGCTGGAGACCCTCTTGAGTGTCGATCAGGCCGTCATTACACGGCTTCGCCACGTTCGTATAAAGTCGTTCCCTTTCCCACTGTATAATAGTGGAAGGTATGTGTCTTGCACTATCGCGCAAAGCAGCCCCAATTAACAATAGGGAAGGCCGGATTATTACCCAATGTACAATTTCTGCAATGCCTTGACATTGCTTCCCGGACTGCACCTTGAGCAACTTATTGTTGAAGACTGTTTCCATGGCTTCGGCCTCGTCGAGACCTGGAGAGATGTTGTGACTTACTTCGACATCGAGAGCCTTATCAAGTGCGACGCTTGGAAGGAACTCATCTACATCACGCCCAATACGGACTTCCTTGCTTCTGGGTACGACCATCGCAAGAAAAGAGTTGCACAACCGGATAACTGGGATGCCGTGTTAAAAGAGAAAGACGGTGAGGACTCTGGTGCTGAAGTTCAAATGTGGATTACGCCCGATAATGGTGAAGCCCGGCCCTGGGCCGCGCAGCCAGGCAATGTGGTTATAGAGGATATAAGCTTGGCCACTCCCGATCAAGACCTCCGAGGAGAGGTGCGAATTATTGCTTGTAGAGGGCGGCGTGCACCGTACATACAAATGGGCTTGTCCCAAAACAGGACCTGGAAGGAACTCAAGGCCAAGGAAGGCGGTTTCACACAAGATGGTCAGTAATGGGCGATCTCTCTAACATTCGGCCCGTGTATGCTGATTGGATGTACGCAGGTTGGAAACCTTACTATAACGACATGGCTGACGCCATCGGATGGATATACGGTGGCTGGGGCCGTCGCATGCAACTCGCAAATGCAGCTCTCAACTACTAGCCAATGGCTTGCGCCGCAGCGACTGAAACTTGCGTTTAATTGTGCCCAGATTTCAGAGTGTATGCGGCTCTTGGGAGTGCTGACGGTAACTTCCAATACGTCATCCAACTTGCCGTTTTGGGGATATGTCTTAGTCTCCAACAACCGGGAATTTACCCCCTCGCGGTTGTGCGCAATAGCCGCAAAGTGCAAAATCTGGGGTCAATCTACATGAGGAACTCGGCGTTTGGTGCCCGGCACATGTCATCTGTCAAGATGTCAACGTTTTCTCGAGTTTAAAAGGGTCCAGTGCTCCACTTCGTGGCTAGTCTACCATGGGGTGGCAGGTATGCCGTCATTGAGTTCCAGTCGTTACCAGCGTATTTTTTTAGGGCTCACTATATTTTTGGGGTTCGTCTTCTTGCTTGTGAGCATTGGAAAGATTGTTAGTCCAAGTGTCTTCGCTGGAGATGGATCATCCGACGGAACAACCAACCAGACGCTAGGTGTAAGTAATGATCCATAACCAATACATGATTTACACTACAGGCGTTTCATTAAACAGATGGCAGTTCGAAAAGATATTCGTGGTGAACGCACCATGGCGGACAGATCGGAAGGATGCGATGTCTTTGGCTGCCGCGCACAGCAAGATCCAATTCGAATGGGTCGATGGGGTACTAGGAGAGACAATTCAGGAGAAAGCGTATCCGCCCGGTCATCATCGAACATTGAGCTCTGGTAGTTTGGGGAGTTGGCGAGCACATATGGATGCGATGCGAGAGTAAGTCGCCGATATTTTCCAACAATTCTATGTGCCAGGCCTGGCCTAGTGTCTCCTTATCCACAAACCTAGCCATGAGCCACGAAAGACCGATCATCTACACCTGAACGACTTCGATCTAGTCATACTGATCATTCAACAGAATTGTCGTTCGCAATCTCACGACGGCATTGATTCTTGAGGACGATGCCGATTGGGATATTCGCATCCGCGCACAGCTCCTCTCATTCCACTGTGCCGCGCGAAAGCTCTCTCTACTCACGCATGAGGAATCCAACCAGCAAAACCCTCCTGCTTTCGAAAATAACTCTCAAAACCCAATCGAGCTCGCAAAACGCTCAACGGTCCCCATCACGTCCACAGATAACCACAACGCACCAAAAGAGCCGTATAGTCGTGATTGGGATGTCCTCTGGCTTGGACACTGCGGCACCGACCTACCGTCACCTTCTCCGGTCACCCCGAATCGCGTCATGATTCTCAACGATTTCACGGTGCCCTCTCCCAAACACCTCCGCCTCCGCGAATCCTCGCCACCCGATATCATCGCAACGCTCTATCCACCCTACACACGCGTGTATCACCGCGCATCTAACAACACGCACTGCACGCTTGCCTACGCCGTCACCCAGCGCGGAGCTCGCAAGATCTTGTTCGAGCTTGGAGTTCGGGACCTGTCGAAGGGTTTCGATTTCGCGCTTTCGGATTACTGTGCTGGAATGGTGGAGGGCAATGGGAATGGCTTGGACAGGAAGTTGGAATGTGTGACTGTACAGCCACCACTATTTAGTCATTACTGGGATGAGAGGGGTAGAAGTGACATCATGGGGTTGGGAGTGGGCGGACGGCCCGAGGTGGGTAGTCGGTATGTGATTAGAAGCGTGAGGGCTAACCTAGAGGGGCTTGCTGAGGGGAGTGAGACGTTGTTCGAACAATGGGGTGATTGATCTGAGGCTACAAATTGAAAGTCCAGGCACAGCACTTTCACGCCAGGACAGGAAATTCGGGCGCCGATCTTGCAGGTCGCGCTATCTACTTGTAGGCGTCGTCCCCCATCCGACTTTCCCGTGCTGGCCCCGTATGGGAGCAAACAGCTCATCTATCTTTAACTTCTCGGCAATCGTTGCCTGCTCATATAGCGCATCTATCAAGACCTCCAAAGTTTTGAGATTAGGCTCAGCGCCGTACACAAATGGATCGCCTCCAAACACCTCATCAACCTCGTCTAACCCCTGCGCCATCCAGGCAGCATATACCGCAAACAGTTCAGCAACCGCATACGAATCCTTGCTACCTCCTTGGAATCACGTAGGGAATTATAAAAGCTCGCCACGAGCCAGGGGTGTCAATCGCAGAGCTCTCGCCGTATGACAACCATATGCATGATAGATACCCGTGTCTCGGAAATACTCCAATCGACGCCTTTGAAATCAGGCGACAGTCATTTCACATGCGGCCCCTTGCCCAAACAATGCCATAAATCAGAGTCCACCGTTGCATCGATCTCGCCCTCTTCGAGCAACTGGCTCAACGGCTTGCCGCTGCTGTTCTGCAAGATTTCGACTGGTTTCGTGAGGGGCATTGCACTTGACTTGCCGTAGGACTCGCCGCTCTCTATGCTTACTTGCACCCACTGGATGGTAGAAAGACCAACGCCGTGTTGCTGTAGCACTGCTCGTATCCAGACCGCGGCAGTCATCGTATACAGCTGAACACCGATCTTCTTCCTAGCGAGGTCGCCCAGTTCCTTATCTGTACGACTGTACGTCTTCGGTCGGAGGATTCGACGATTCGCGTCGAGCTTTTGGCCGATGGCAGAGATATCGCATGCCTGGCTCCACCAGATCCGGCATCGCAAGGAGACGGAGGATGGCCGTCGGTATGTTCATAGTCCGACATTATGTGGCAAAAAAAAAAACTGTTTTACCAATTAGGAAGACTGCTTCAAGGCTCCAGGATCCTAGCTGCTTACATACGAAGCTGCCACATCACACTCTCGAGAGCAATAGAAATGCCGCATTTTGCTGTCACGCTTATACGCTTGCGTCTGGAGTATCTGTGGCGGGAATCAGCCACGCGTAGTATGCATGGCATGTTAGAGCTCACCGAATAGATGTCGACAATGAAACTTCACATGCGGTGTGCATGCGCGTGAACTGGGTCCCTTGCAGCGCTGCGTGGAGAAGGTGGGGCGGTGCCAGTGGCACAACGCTACTTCCTCAACACCACCTTGTACAAGTCCTGCACGGCACTTGCACCTACCGAGGATGTTTGGTTGCGGCATCCCAGAGGGTAGGAGCAATTCGTCATGGACTTGCTAACATCTCAATCGGCGCGGTCCGCTTCTCTCCTCCACTCCAGGACTTACCACACTTCGCGGAGTCGCGCGACCCAGGCCAGCTATTTATTCCGTGACCCAGGTGCTTCCGCTCTCTATCGAGGCCTCACTATCGAACTTTATATCCTCATCACACGCTGTAGCCGTCTGCTACACTTCGATCATCATGGTACGTCCTCACACGCTTACACAATGCCGAAGCTGACCTGCACGCAGCTCCAACTATCGCCCGTCTTTTATGCATCCATCCTGGGCTTAGCCGAATACTCCTCAGCCCAGCAGTTTCCTCCACCTGCATCCTATGATACCGTCCTCAAGTCACCCATCAACCCTAGCATCACTATTGCGTACAAGAAGCCCGAGCCCGGCACCTGCACCACTGCGTTCTCTACCCAGAAGCAATATTCTGGGTACGTCAATATTCCTCCCTTTACTTTGGCACCATATCAACAAGCCTATCAAATCAACACGTTCTTCTGGTTCTTTGAGGCACGCAGTAACTCCGATACGGCGCCTCTCACCATTTGGCTCAATGGCGGGCCCGGCTCCAGCAGCATGATTGGCCTTTTCCAAGAGATGGGCCCATGTGAGATAGTACAACTTGAGGATGGCTCCTACGGCACACAGCCCAACCTGTGGGGTTGGGACCGCAGCTCCAATTTGCTCTTCATCGATCAGCCTACCCAGGTAGGCTTCTCGTACGATCAGCCCGTCAACGTTTCACAGGAGCTAGTATCCGGGCTCGTCGTCGAGCCTCCGATGTCTGTCCCCAAGGAACTACCTTCGTGGTCTCTCCTCAACGCGACGCTTGCCAGTGGTAGAATGAATCACGTCGAGAACTCGACAATCATTGCCGCAAGGTCGGTGTGGCACTTCTTGCAAGGGTTCCTCTCTGCTTTCCCTCAGTACAATCCTGGTCAGCGTCCTAACCAAACCACCATCGAGCCTGCTGGCATCAACCTCTTCGCTGAGAGCTACGGAGGCCAGTATGGTCCTGTCTTCGCCGACTTCTTTGAAGACCAGAATGACAGACGTCGAGCGGGCTTGATATCTGCCAACAGTACTCTGGAGATTAAACTCGATTCACTCGGCATCATCAATGGTCTCGTGGACATAGCCATCCAGACCCCTGCCATGGCTTCATTCGTCTACAACAACACGTACGGCCTGCAAGGCATGTCGCAAACACAGTATCTGAATATCCTCAGCGATTTCAGAAAGCCGGATGGATGTCTAGAGAGAGCCTCCAAATGTCACGCACGAGTCACAGCTGGCAATTGCGAAGGGGAACTTTTTGATCAGGAGACAATAAATTTGTGTGCATTAGCCAGCGACTCATGCTGGCGGGTTCAAAGCGTGGCTTTGCAGCTGTCTGACAAGAATCCGTACGACATACGCGCCAAATCGCCCAGTTCTTTCCCAAGCTACGCGCATGTCGAGTACTTGAATCAGGCCAACGTCTTGCGGTCTATCGGGGCGAAGGTCAACTTCACAGACTCTACGGATATGGTCAATGCTGTTTTTCACCAAAGTGAGTCCTTGCTGGCCTCTGTAATTCGCTAGTACTCATACTTCTTAGCTGGTGACGACGTACGCGGTACCCAAATCAAGAAATTGGTTGACCTACTTGCTCGCGGTGTTCGAGTGGCCCTAATATACGGAGACGCGTACGTACAGTTCTTTTTGCTAGTACCTTTGCCGCTCATCGTGAATCAGGGACATTATCTGCAACTGGGTTGGAGGCGAAGCAGCTTCCCTTGCGGTTGCCCATGAGTCGCCTTACAGCTCTGCATTTCCTGCAGCTGGGTATGCCGACATCGTGACCAACGACTCATATGTTGGCGGACATGTTCGTCAATCTGGCAATTTGTCTTTCTCCCGGATTTTCGATGCCGGACACATGGTGCCTTCGTATCAAGCAGAGACCGCTTTCGTGGTATTCTCCCGGATCATATCGGGCGACGATATCGGCATGGGGCGAGGAGTTGACCTCTCCACTTTCAGTACTCAGGGACCTGCAGAGTCTTTGCACAAGAACAACGTTCCTCCGCAGCCAGAGAACACCTGCTGGATTCGCGCTATTGACGAAACATGCAGCGAGTATGAGAAGACTCAGATCCGACGAGGCATGGGTGTGGTGGAACACGGGAAATGGTTTCCACAAGCTCCAGATCGTGCTCTGTCTCGCGCAGACGCTTTCAATACGAAGGCCGGAGGCCTGGAAAATATCGTTCGCGAAGACCGACCGACAACAACATCCCGCATTGCTTGGACCGGCGTCTTCACCGCCATCAGGACCCCAACGCCCACGTCAGGGGCCTCTCGAGTAATGTTTCGTCGGCAGCCCAAGCACCGCCGTCAATTATCGCCAGGTCCAGCACCATTTGGTCTCACAAGGATAGGTACAGCGGTTTCTAATGCGAAGAATGGGCTCATCGGAGGAATCGCTGCTGTTGGCGGGCTTTTGCTACTGTGAGTTCAGCTCACCAACGAAGCCGCGATACGATACCTGCATCGGCGCTCTGCAGATGACCGATCGACTAGGAGATGATTCCACTAAACTTTTACTGTACAGACTCACTGGTTTAGCTTCTTGCTGTCTCTGCTGGCGCCGCCATCGATCTCAGGAACACGACCGCAAATTCATGGGTGGCCCAAGGCGTACACCCTCGCCGCCCGTCGTTGCTGAACCAGCGTTACCAGGCCCAGAGCAAGCCGAACCCAAGAGAAACATCGTGCAGAGATTCGCTCAGCGACATCGCAAGGAGCCCAAGCCATCGCCAACACGGTACGACATCGAGAGACCTGAAGAGCCACCTGTGTTGGATCGACGACCAAGTCGCCGCCTCAGCGCGCCAATGGAGCCTATACCCGAAGCACAATCTCCCCGTCCCAGTGCGGATAAACCCCAACGTCGGGTGAGCGAGCATCCCAACGAGCCGATTTTCGTAAAGGAGGAGACGCCCACCTCCTTCGTCCAACGCAACGCACGTTCACCGAGGCCTGAACCTGGGGAGGAACACCCCAAGACCCCCGAGCCTAGTTCTGAACCGGTGCTATCACGTCAACCATCTTCACAGACGGAGAAGCCAGAGTCCCCTAGGCCGGAACCTGAACAAGAGAAGCCGCGAACACCGACGCCGGAGCCAGAAATCAAGACATCTACGCCAGTCCAGCGCACAGCATCTCTGCAGTCGGAAGACAAGACCTTAGAGGCCGCTTCACCAACAGAGCCTGCTCCCACGTCTGAGCCAGATACCAGTCCCAACAATAAGCCTTCTCTACTAAAGCGCATCCGCTCTGGCATCCATCACGACAACGAAGCCTTCAAGGCCAAGGCGCATACACTTTTCTAGTTGTTTACAGATCTTGAAGGTGTACTTGAAAATGTAGCGCTTGCTCTGGGCTGCTAGGTGCTGTTGTGGCGTTTCTTTAGGGCGACATGGTGGACTTGATTCCAGCAACGGAAGGCACAGAGCTAGCTGTGGGCGTTTCTTGGCTCTTTTCTGAAGCTGATCGTGGAGACGATTGTTGAGAGAGTTGACCACGTAATGAGGAAGTAGATGGAGTGGATACTGGACTCTTGGTCACGTTAGTTTGATACCGAAATGAATGCCGTATCCTCTTCCCTTCATGGTTACTACTCATGCCTGCTACTGATCATGTATACTCGAGGCTATTGGGTTGACGAGCCGGTCCTTCCCATGCGCACTGCCGCAGTCATGAGAAACCGTCGCCTACATTGATTACGCCTCAACCGTGGATGTCGGGAATACTCTTGCTGCTACTGGTCTTAGGCAAGTCGATATGGTGAGAATTCTTAGCGGCGATCCATGAAGCATGTGGGCTCCACGTTCGTGCCGGCGGGTGCAAGAGGTTATGATACTGTTCAGCGGACGAGCAAGTGCTACTGCCACGGACAAATTCACGCAATCACATGGCCGAGCGAAATAGGACGTTCTGTAGTGTTCTACGGACTGCATGTAGACAGTGTGCGGTATAGCCCGTGTAATGCGTGAAATGAACTCGCCAACCCGCACTTCGGAGATATTTCTAGCACGCAAGGTACAGCGGTACCAACGGACATGCCCCCTGCACGCCGGAGCAATATGCATACGCGCCATCCTTCCCTTGCCTTCCAGGCTCCGGTACAACGGAGCGCTACGGCAGCAAGCGATTCATGCATGGATCGAGGAAGAAAGCCAAACAAAAAAAAAAACAAAAAAAGTCCGTGGCTGGGCATGGTGCCGTTAGGAGACGGACCGACTGGCACTCCACCGAGGTCGAGCACGCAAAAGCCGCAGAAGCCGGATCCTGATTGTGCTCTCTCGTGATGGAGGTGCAGGGGAGAGGCGATGGTGTGTTGTTGTTCGGTAAATTATTGGGTCGGGTGCCGGGAAGAGCGAGGCGCCGACGGACGATGCGGACGACGCGGACGATGCGGACGGTGGACGGACGTTCGGCCTGTCCGACGAGGCTTGCTTGAGCTGAAGCAAGAATTTTCTGCTCTCATGATCGAGAGACGAAGGGAAAATTTGTCAACTGGAGCTGGGTACGATGCCGAGGCATGATTCGTGATGGACAATTTGATTCAAGGAACAGATAGCTACGTCTTGGAGGGGTATAGTTCAATATGCACAGAGAAGCAAAGTGATAACGTAGGTTTGAAAGGATAGACAGCGCGAACACGACGAAACAATGAAAACATAGCGTAGAGAGCTGGGAGCGGCTGCCATACAAGTGTAGGACCAGCCTTTGAATCATCCGCAAACACCGAAAAATGCCACCCAGTTGCTGGCCAAAAGCGCAAGGCAACCAAAACACCAAACGATAAGCATGAGCAACCTGTAGTCTCAATGAAATCTTAAGCAACGTGCTTTTCTTTGTGGAATATGCCTGCGAACAGACCTCGCAGACCCTCGCTCTTGCGGCGTCCGTCCTTTTCTTTCTTCTCCTTCTTCTCTTTGTTCTTGTCGCGGCTCTTTGAGCGCTGTTCCTTGCGCTGGGCTTTCATTTTCTTGTCGTTGACGACGACCAAGCTGGTCGGACGTGTCCTCAAGGTGCCTTTGCCCTCTACCACACCAGAGTCCCACATGCCAGCGGTGGGTACGGGGTCGTACGCGGATCGAGTCTTCCTGGTTCTGGCATCCGGCAAGGTTGGAGAGGGCTCAGGATCAGTGGGAGACATGGGAGGCTCAATGGAAGGAATGGGCGAGAGGGCGCCATTGTCTGAGGAAAAGGTAGGCGGAGGCTGGAGAGCAAGCTCCTTGACGCGCAAAAGTTCCATGCTACGTTTAATGTGGCGCTCTTCTTCGGTTTCAAGCACTGGCTGATCCTCCAAAGCGAGACCGAAGCGCTTTCGGAGGCTACTGTTCCTGAAAATCTCAGTGTTGCCGGTAGAATTGGCACGGCGAGGACGCGTCTTGATTGGCGAGGAGACGGGAGAGCCTGGTTCGGATGTTTTGCTGTGCAGGAACTGAGTGTGTGTCCGGATGATACGGGGTATAATGCGCTTGCTCTCGTCCATTGAACAAGGGGAAGCGGAGCGAGGTGAATCGACGTAGGTCATGGAGACGGTGCGATTGGGGGTCGTTCTGAAGGTGTTGGAAGTAGCCAGAGGGGGAGGAACACCGCCTTTCAAGATGGAGTAGGCTGGGGACCAATTTTCCTGGAAGGCCACCCACACGCCGGAAGCAATAATGAAGGCCTTGAGTGCCTCGTCTGTCTCAATCGGAAGGCGATCGTTGTCCAGAAAGGAGTTCATATCGATACTGGACGGGGTTGCTAGAGGGGTAGGAAGAGCCGACGACGGGGCGCTCGGCGTGGACGGAGAAGTGGCAGAAGGCATCATGTACGAATCGCTGACTTCAATGCGATCACGGGTCATGGTCGCAATAATGGGATGGCGGCGCGAGTTTTGGCTGATGGTGCTGAAGGTGAACTTGCGGTCTTCGGTAGGGGAGGCCTGGGAGGCATTGGACATGGAGGACTGGCGGCGAAGATGAGGCGGTTTCGCAACCCAGCGCGATCTCAGGGTGAGGCCATGGTCGTCGACATGGACGAACTCGTATCCGCCATTGGGTGTTCGTGCGACCTCCCACGACTGCCCGTTCTCCATCAGGACTGCGGTTTTGGTGACGCCACCCTTGTCGTCCTTGGCAGGGCAGATGACACCCACGACCTCCCTGGACCCAAAACGCTCTTCGTCGGACCTCTCGTCTTCATTGTGGTGGTACTCCTCGGCCTTCAGAATGACAAGATCGGCAGTAGTGAGCGAGCGGCCGTGGTAGGTGCGAATCTTGCAGCGCGTCGACAAGGGGCCGAAGATGGTGTAGGGAATGACCTCGAAGGCGGGCTTCGGGCGGCGCGAGGCGACAACCTGGTGGAGCTGCAGGACGACTTTGGAGCGGTGCAGCTTGCCGCGGGGGTGCGGCGGCTGGGCGAGCTTGTAGATGGTCTTGGGCCGCTTGTGCTTCTTCGTTTTCTCGGTCGACGTGCCGCTGCTGGTGGAGGCGCGCCGCGAGGGAGCAGGAGAGGTTTGGGTGCCAGAGGCGGTTGCCAGGGGAGGATGCGTCTGAGGGGCCGCCGCTGCAGGCGTAGTAGCCTCAGCAGCCTCCGTCCTGTCGGCCCTGGGCCCGAACGGCGAGAGGCTCTGTTTGCGCAGGAGCGAGCCAAGCACGGAAAGAGGCATCTGTAACGCTGGGCAGGTGCCGTTCGCAGCGTCCTTGGGAAGGCGCGGCGGGGAGTGCAAGTGGTCGGCGGCCAGCATGTCCAGGTGCATGGCGACTCAATTGCAGGGCGTGTAGCTTCACCAGCTGCGGGTGCAGTCAGCATTGGTGCGAGGCATTGTGGGGGGTACCGCCAGCTCAGCACAGGCAGCCCCCGAGGAGGGGGCGGCCAGGCTTTTGAGGAGCGGCGGTCAGTGGAGTGAGGGTCGAGCGCATTGCGGTGGGTAACACGCACGGGGTAGCTCCGGCTGGCAGGGCTGAATCACTCACAAGCCACACTTCTATAATTGCCGTTTCAATGCAGGGAGCGTGCCAGCGCTGTGTTGGGGCTATTCGTCGAGACCTCGCTGCAGCTGCGGAGGGCAGAGGGCCGTTAAGAAGCGCCTGGAAATGAAGCCCCGGCGAGCAGCAGCCCCTCAGTGAAGCATGGCGTTGGCGGCCAGAGTCCGGTTCGTGAGACTCTTTGTCCGACGCTCTGCTGGAACCAAGCCTGATGCTCCTCGGGCCCCCGGTTCCTTAACCCTCCGTGGATCAGACCGTCGCAGCCGACAAGCGAGCTGCATCGGGCAAGCCTTCGCAGCACGCGCCTGTGGGTGGGCCCGCCGTGTTTGTTTGACATGCCTCTCGCATCCCATCCCCGTTTCGGACGAGCCTAGCGATCCTCCCATGTGCTCCTTGACACGCGCGTGGGTGCCAGATCGTTAACCTCCGCAGATGCTCGTGGTCTCCACTGCTGCTCGTGGTCTCCACTGCTGCTCGTAGTCTCCACTGCTGCCCTGGCCCAGGCCGGGAACCAGCACAGGACTGCGAGCACATTGGCTGTCGTCAAACGGCTCAGAACGAGGCCCTCTTCGTGTGCTTCCGCAGTATTCCGGACACGACCAGGCTGCAAGTTGCCTGTCGGCTGACCGTCCCAGCTGGATGGATCCATCATGGAGACCCAGAGGGGCGGCCTTCGGGGCGTCCTCGTCCCCACTCGTCTTCGTGCGCATACGCACCCTCACCGGCATTTCGTTGATGCGGAGTAAATTCAACCCGTGGCCGTTCCCGGTGCAATTAGACCTCGTTTCATTCAGGCACCCGTGCGGACTTGGACCGTTGATGCACTCTGACGCCTTTTGCTGTAGCAACCAGCTGCGCTGTCAGATTTTGTCCAATGTCCGCCCACGGACTGTCATGTTCAGCATTTGGGCGTGTAGTGGTTCGTCGCAGCCAAAGCGGACTGTTGCGGGCGCTAGGGTAGCCCACCAATAGTACGAGCTATGCGCTGCACCTCACCGCCACAGCTCCCCACCAACCCGCGCCATCGCCGAATTCTGCATCACAATCTGCGACCCCACCAAGCCTGTTGGCGGCCAAGAAACCTCTCCACTGACAATAAAGAGAATTTTCCTCTGCTTTCCAACTATCAGCCGCCAGCTTACATACGCGCCAGACACGTGCGGGCAGAGTCTCCAAGGCTGGCCAACCCTCTGCCTCAGCGCTCTCGTCAGCCGCTTGTGATAATCAACCATCCTCAGCCAAGCATGCCTAGTCTGAACCAACACTCGCAGGAGAGCGCCCAAATTGGAGACTCCGTTGATGTCTCTCCGGTCGCACGCCTCATTCGCTGGTTCACAGCAAACGGTGGCGAGCTGAGTGCTGATGTCGAGATCGGTTTCGACGCCTCGAGCGGCTATCACTGCCGTGCAACTAGAAACTTGAGCTCACCGGTGGTTGCCAAGTGCCCACTTAGCTTGACGCTCTCGCATCTCAATCTCGATCACACCCAGTCATTGGTACCTCATGTCGAGAGCCCATTGGCAAAGTGTATAGGGCGTATACCGAACAATGTATTGACGTACCTGCTGTTGGTTGAGCAGCGTCTTCGTACAGGTGGAAGTGTCCTGAAATGGCAGCCGTATGTCGCCTGCCTACCAGAACCGAGTGCCATGACCACCCCGCTTTGGTTCGGTCCTGAGGACATGCAATGTCTGGCTGGAACCAACCTAGCACGAGAGACCGCCGTGAAGCTGGACCGACTCACTGAGGAATGGAACCAAGCCAACGAAGTCATGGAAAGCCTTGACATCAACACAAACGTCTTTAGCTTGTAAGTCCTCCACATAGCAGCAGGTACCCGTCGTTGCACCGTAGATCAAGTCCCACGCTCAAGCTTATCCAGCTGATTGGCACTTCTTGGTCATGTGTTTTTGGAGCATCCCCAAGAGGAACGGCGTCACGACCGCCAGGGCTTCCAGTCTCGCCGCATAGAAGTTTCGCAAAGTGAGACAAAAGCGCTGCACAACCCTGGGCGTTCTAGCTCATCAAATACCAGTAGAGATAACGCTCGATTCATCCCATGGCACGCCGTTCAAGTGAAGCGTTGGACTAACGGTTAGCAGTGATTGGTTTCGCTGGGCAGCGACGATCATCTCATCGCGAGCCTTCATATCAACTCACATAATACCGGACAAGGATACATTTCCGATCCTCTTTCCTGTAGTAGACATCTTGAACCACTCCCCGACCGCCAAAGTCGAATGGGACTTCCATCCATTCCAAGACTTCACACTGAAGATTTTGAACCACGGCGACGTGCGACCCGGTGACGAGGTATACAACAACTACGCTCCCAAGCAGAACGATGAGCTTCTTCTTGGCTACGGCTTCTGCGTCGCGGATAATCCCGTGGAACAGTTTGCCATCAAAATGCGGCTGCCCCCCCAGATCGAAGAAGCCGCTCGAAGCATGAAGATGTTCGAGCCAGTCAACGTTCCCTTCGGAATGGACACGTCGTTCCTCGCTGTGGATCCAAACGAGGAGCCTGAGTACTTGCGTCCGAAAGGCCACCCATTCGGGCGGTACGAGAACCGCCTGCCATTCTTCCGAGCCATCCCCCCTCGCATCGTGCACATGTTCTTCATCCAAGCCCTGATGAACCTTCAAATCCCTCCTGGAAATATTCAAGCCGACTCTGTGCCATCCAGAGTCGTACTCGAAACCTTACTGCTCACGTACGAAGCCATCGACAATCGCAGCCAGACTCTACCCCTAGCTCCCAAACGTCAAGCTTCTTTCTCCAATGACAAGCAAAAATACGCAACCATATACCGCGACGGCCAGGCCAAGATCCTGCACTCCATCCGCGCCGAACTCAAAGCCGTGCTCGATGCCCTCAGATTCCACGACGGCGTGCCCACACGACCCGTCATCATATCCTCAACCGAAGCGCTGACGCGCCTATCTTCCGACTTCCCCTCCCGCGCCGAACATCTGCAGTCCGGCCTGGCGAGCCAGTACGGGCTCGACTTTTCCACCTGGGCTCGGTACAGCGCAGAAATCGCCACCCTCGAAACGGGACAGCAGCCTGCCGAGCTGTCGGTGTGGAAACTAGTACTCTGCCTATTCCTGATTTCATACGAACATACTGAGGCTGCAGCTTCACCCGGGCGCCAGGCTTATTCCGACTGGATTGAGTATCTTGTGGAGCAGACGCCGCTTCCTACGACTGCTACTGTGGATGCAGAAGCTCTGGAGGGATTTATTCGGGGTTGGGAACAAAATAGGGATCAAGTGGAGAGGGCGTACACTTGGGCTGATGAGGTCGTGGACAAGTACGCTTTTCCCGTTGTAGAGGAGGTAGAGGGGGAAGAAGTGCAGAGGATCTGTATGTATCTGCAGCTCGGGCCTGGGGATGCGGGAAATGGGGATTGGATGTTTAAGGGGTTGTGAGGGGTTTTCAGAAGAATACGCCGAGAGAAGAAGAATATCGTGTACCATCGCGACAACAGGAACTCCCTTACATTGTCCGGTTCTATCATTTCTTTCTGCCCATTGAGACGATGATTGTACGATTATCCCCTGTTTCATTCAGCGTGTCTTGAACCTAGGCCTGTGCGGTACTTCTGACTACGAGGTGTCAACAATCGTACATCAGTTCAGACCGCAACTCGCGCACTAGACGCCAATAAAGGACTTGAGCACATGGTCTCGAACACCAACGGCCCTTCCTCGTAGCTCGGCGAGAAACCGGCGCTCGGAAGGAATGGTCTGAAATACGCGTCTTTGTCTTTCAGATTCATATCCACATAGGATGCAAGCCAGGGCTCCCTGGTCTCTTGGTTGGAAACCATGTAATCGATTTTTGTGCCTGATATGTAAAATTGAACATCTGGGCCAGTGAATGACGCAAATGTGGGTTGAAGTTGGAAGATACAAATGTAGCCACAGAGGATACGTTCCACTAGGCTGACGTCTCAGAAGTGGAGATACATGGGAGTTGACACAATTTACAACCAACTGTTTTGAGGCTCTCTGAAGGAACATTCTGTATTGATGATCCTGCCACTCTTGACTACCTTCGGTCGAGCCTCGCAGCATTTCATCCTTTGACCTAACTTATCGACAGAACTACATCAAGTCGCTCATGTAAAAATCTTCTTGATCCAAATGTATCTTTGACTGCTGCATTAGCGAAACGCTAGAAAGTTCAAGACACCGCGTAAGAAGCCGGCAAAACTTCAGCTGGCCTGCGGCCACCAGCTCCTGCTTCCTATTCCCAACCGCGTCCAGCAAAGTCAAGACATTATGAACGTCATCCTTCAAACTCAGCCTCACCGCTATCCCCCTCGGCTCCTCCCCGTACACCCACTCTTCAGGACACCCCAGCTCAGTCAGCATCCGCGTGCCTGGTGCCGACTGATAGCAGAACCCGTGTACAAGATTAGCCACGTTCTTCACATCGTTAATGCTATCGTTTTCCGGATCGGCACGTTCGACCCGTGCAGCGTCGATGACCTCCTCGGCCTTCGAACACCCAAAGCTGCCGACTACGATGCGGGGATACCCACGATCTTTCTTGGGCCCTTTGGCGAGAGGAAAACGTTCGCGGAATGCAAGTCCCGGTGGTAAATCGACGCCCAGTTCCCAGCAGACTGCTCGTCCGCGCTCCGCACCCCGAAATGCATCAAGGCGGCCGCTGACAGGAGACCCAGTCGAGGTGCCACACGAACGCCTCGGGTACCACAACATGCCGCGCCGCGTAGAACGCGCGCAGCTCGCGTAGCGTGTGTAGCTGGGTACCTTGGGCCAGGGAAACCGCGCAGTGCTCGAGGTACAGCTCGTCCATGCCCGGACCAAGGGTTGGCGGGCATGTATTCGATGAGCTGGACAATGTTTGGATGGGAGGCGAGCTGGCGCATCGAAGCGACCTCTTGAGTGGTGTAATTCTTCCTCAGCCATGGGTCCACACGCTTGCGGGTTACCGGACGGCTCGTCGAAGATTCGAGCATGACGGAGATGCCCTTGCTCATGCCGCCGCCGGCGTCGGTAAGGTCTCGTACGTGGACGAAGCACTTGAGGGAAGGTGGAGGTAGGAACCCAGGCATTATTAGTATGGTTCTCCTGGCAGGAGTATCTAGGTGGATGTTTATGGAGGCTCAGATCATGGGTTTATCCTTCCACTAGGTTGGTGAAGTAGTTTCTCGAGGTGGAGATATTTGACCACTACAATGCGTGGGTATATCGGGATAGGCGACATTATGATCATGTGCGAGCGGTGTGCACAGTGTTGAAGCGAGCAGCCGTTCTGCATTCATAACGCAAGGGACTGCCTCACAAGCTGAAATCTTTGCGTTTGCCTTGTCGACGTGTCGAGTGTTGTGCCATGAATCATCTACGAAGTCTTTCACTACCTCCACTACGAGAAATTAGCTCCAGCGGTGGGAATAGTGTTGTGAGTGTCATATCATCGAGTACCACAGGTCCTCGTGCCCGACACTCTCATGCTCTCGGGTTGCTTCATGGTGGCGGTGAGGAATATCTGGTAGCGATTCTTAATGGCTCCGCATCGCGTGGGGCACGCTCGATCCACTTCAACGGCGGTACTGCTGGACAGTCATGTAATGATTTGGAGCGACTTCGTCGGCGTGTCATCCTGTACCAGTACCACAACCTTAACAAAAAGATCAGATACCCTACGTTACCATAGAATGAGCAATACGACTATCCGGTCTCTTGCTCGGCGACGTACGTTGTGTTGTGCGTGGACCGCTCAATGTGCCTTCTTGGGAGACTTGCTTGACCCTGTTCTCTCGGGCATATACTGCAATTCGACGATCACGTTTTGCTGGTGAATTCAGAGAGAGATGAATACAATATGAAAGAGAATTCAAAACAGAAGCGTACTTAAAATGCGCAAAGTCAAGATATCAGAAGGACTAAGGATCTCGCCCCATCAAATTCTTCTACGAAGGAGCTTCGGGAGACAAGACCACATTGAGAATTCAATTTCAATCCTTTCCTGGGAATAGGTACGATAGGCCAGTTGTACCCAGATTTCGATTCGATCATGATAACTGAACTAGTAGAAGCATGTAGAGATCATATTGATTGCGAATGAATTTTTTGAGACGAGAAAAGACAAGTAGGGCCATGCGTGGCAGTGTAGCAACACGAGTCAATGGGACACAGCACGGAACCTTCCGACGAAAGCCATAACAACATGGCGACAAGCATCTACTTCCTTTCTGAATCAAGACGACCCACTCTACGATCCTTCTCTCACCCACATCCAACAAGCCACAAAGAAGCTCTCCCACAGAAAAAATAGCCGTCGCACCACCAACCAGGCGTGCGGTCCCTGCGGGATACGGTCTGACAGTGGGGCACAGGAAGCGTCTGCCTCAACTCTGAGGTTAAGAAGCCTTTTGCGATGACTTATACACGAATCGTAGCGGATTAGCGAACTCGGTTTCCATCGAGAGTACGAGAGATCGAAGCGAAGATCACGACTGAGTCGTGTGGGGTGAAGTCCGGATTATGCGATGATCAGTCGTGTGACACAGAGACAAATCGAGAGGCATATCACGAGGCCCGCACGCGGCGAAGCTAGATGCCAAGAGTGGGGATGTGGAAGGGATGAGCTAAGAGAGCGAGCCGTGTTTCTCGGACGTAGTGATGATAAGGTTTGTTGTGTTGGCTTGGTGGGTGGGGTCTGAAAGGCGTACGAGAATCCTACGATATCGTGAACTTCACCCTGCTAGCCCATGTAAGCCAGTGCCATGCAGGGATCAACTGTGAGAAACGAGCTAATTTGGAGAGTCTGATGGGTGCTGATAGCCCGCATCGTCATAAGCCGTATCGATACGAAGGGGTGCCTGAAAATCCCCCGCACAAGGACTGAGACATTACTGAAAGGCTCCAAGCGTACGGCTGGTGCGGTCACGCCGCTGATGGATCCTACCAACGAGGCTGTGTTAGTAAGTTTACATCTGCCGAAATCGTGAGAGGCTGTGGACGGAGGCTCCGCTCGATGTCTCACGCTCATATCCGTTGTCTCTATTTGTCGTTGCTTATCCTGATCCGGACTATTGGGGCCAATGAGGCACAACTCAGGCTCTCAATAGAGATGCCGTCCTAAATGTCAGCCATAGTGTTGAGTCAGATGCTTAAAAGAACGTTCGCAGCAGATGATTATGTTCGTGAGCATGCTCGTGATTGGTCCGACGGACTTCGTATATAATCGCTAAGCCTTGCTGAGCCTAGCTTCCACAATGAATTGCTGCAACTTCAGACATGTGCAACAAGCGGTGAGAATCCTGCAAGACAGAAAGTTTCGAGAGAGGATGCCTCTTTGGATAGATCCGCTGCCCCATCGTGCTAGTCGAGCTGTGCCGCAGCTTACTGTTGTGCGGCCGTTCTATAGCCCAAACGTTGTGAAGCACGGCGCCCTGGTATACGGCCTCTGCAATCTCCGATGCTCCCAAGAAAAGCGGAAAGCGACCGGCGGCCATCAAATACCATCGGAGTGAGTACATCATAGCGATTTCGGAGTTGTCGAATCGTGTTGCAACTGACCGATACAGACTTCGGAACTCACGAGAGCTTGGTAGATTGGGATGCTGCACGCAGTTCGGACTGTTCGCTCGTACTGCATATGGATCCTCGAAGCAACATCGGGAGTCCGAGGTAATGGTTCAAACGGCTCGCTTATGGACCCAGGGAAGCATAGAGGATCCGTGGCGTACTTTGGCGGAAGTGGAGTAACTTTCCGTGGCGGACTCCAAAGCATCGCACGTGACGCTCCCAGGTCCACTATTCCACCTCCGCTCATAGGGTCCAGGGAATTCTCCGCCAAATGAGAAGAGTCTCGATGCTAGAATTGGTCATCGTGGCTTTGAGAGCCTATATTCTCAACGCAATACACCCAGAGATAGCGAATGACGCCTTGGGCTGTGGAAATATTCCGGAGAATGCGAGCAGGCACGAATGCCGCTAGGAATGCGAGCGCAGCTTGCGTATATCACACATGCACTTCGGTGCTCGGCCTTTAACACGATTGTGTTTACTCAGCCATAGTCAACCTTGAATTATTAGACCGTGTACAGAGTTTCTGTGGACGCTAGTTGTGCATTCGCCTATGGTGTTAGACAGTGCGTAGTGCATCGGAGCATTGACTCAAGGGTTGCAAAGCGAAGTCCTTCCCAATCCGTCCTCAGTACAGATATCGGAAATTTCGTTCTTGAAGGGTTTCAGAACGTTTTCTCCGTAATGAGAGAGGCACACTGAATGGGAATATGGCTTGGGCGGTGGAGGTGCTGGATCGCTGACAGCAATTCACGCAGTTGGCTTCCGCGAACACCGAGTCAGTCAAGACAAGTGACTATCGTGGTGTCTCAGGTGTCGAATATCTGATGGTAGCCCCATGTGAGCAGACGTCATGAGTCAAAGATGATGCTTCAACGGACAGCTTTGGATGACGATGAGCACGCGGGGGCCGTTGTCGTTTTTTGTGGTTGGTGCACCACGTGTTTTGTGAAACATCAAGGCCGAGGCGCTTTTGCCAGTTACGGAAGGCCCATCACGACGCTGTGGAATAGGCAGGTAGACGCTGCCACGGGAAGTCCCAGGACTGTTTGCATGAAAAGTCGGCTATCTTGCAGTTCAAAGGGCTCTCAAAGAACTCGACTTCAATTTTGGGGACACAGTGACACCAGCGCTTGATGGGCGGCTGCACGCTAAATTAGGATGGTGCGATCCGTGCGTGCCGCATCGGAACGAGGGCACGGAGCCGCATCGAGCGCTTCTCTCCAAGGACCTTTCTAGGCAGCGCGCATGATTTTGGCAGCACGGAGATGAAGATCCGAGCGCTCACGGGCGCTTGTAGGTTTGGAACCCCACGATTTGCCGCCATGGTGGACGCCGCACGAGCGCGTCCATGGTCGAGCAGACGCCGACGTGGTCGCTGACAATGCTTGCGTTGTTGGGTCTGTTGGGTGTTTTGGATGCCATGGCTTCTAGAAGGAGGCCTGGAGGCAGTGTTCGGCGGCGCTTGGTGGAGAGAACCAGAAACCGGCAGGGTCCGGACCACATCGCAGAGGACTGGAGCATGAAGAATGGCGTCCGGTGCGGCGGCCTTCCGGATACTGCTAGAGTGCTATGCTAGGCGTGGATGCCATGCGGTGCTACTGCAATCTGGCAGGTGAGCGTTGGTGGATAGCTTGGGCTTCCATTCATGCTCTCGACCCACTCGAGGGGGTCAGATGGCATCTGTCAACTCAGTGTCGAAACGAGGTTTCGCCGCCGGGCCAATGGTGTCGGCGTTTCCTGCGTCGATCTCGGCCGACTTGTCATCAGATGGTGGCTCTGCTGCGCCCCATAAAAATTCGCAGCCACAGCCGCTCGACGCATGCCACAACCCACAGTCAGCTTCGCCGTGTCGCACACGCGCGTCCGCCGCGATGGCGAGCAGAGATGCGTCCTTCCCTATCCGGGCGCTAGCCGTCCAGGACAGTCCGATGGCTCCTTGGTGGACGCTAGGAGGCTGGGGGTGAATGGCAAATTTGCGGTTAGGGATACCCTCCGAGCATTGGGCCACACAGCAGTCGTCACCGTGAGCTGGCGAAGTCCGGCATGAGGTACGCGTGCCTGGGGTCCGGTGGCAGGAAACGCCTGTGCAAGATATATGGAAGCGTGCTGGCTGCATCGTGGTCGACCGCCATCCACACATTACCGGGTCCAGAGGCAGAACGCTCCACGCATACCAGCGCTCACCGCCTCACACCGACTTTCATCGTGACCCAGTCCAGACCACCCGACCGCGTCGAGAAGCACCCCGCCGGCCGCCGCCCGCGCTGGTTATCAACAGCGCTGCTGCACGCAGGCCGAGGAGCAACCCCCGCCCAACCTCATCCACCCGCTTTACCCTCGACCAGCGCCGCCTGCAGTGCGCGGCTTGTTCTAAAACGACTCTCTGCGCGCTTTGAAACACAGACGGCCCCGGAGTCGCGAGATTGGCTGACAGGCGCCGTTTCTGAAATAGCGTACAGGCGTGGTAAACAGCTGGCCAGCAGCGAATCGACAGGCGGGCGTCTTGAAACACGCCTCTTTTGGCCGTCCCGCAGCGCACCTCTCACCTCGCATAGAGGCCCCAGATAGCCAGTTAACCGCCTGGCCCGAGCACCCGCTGGCGCGCACCAAGCGAAACAACCACGGCCCCGCGCGCCCATTGGCTCGCGCCTGCAGCTCCACCGCGCAACCCACCCGCACCAGCATTCCTCCCAGCGCACCGCTCAAACGAGCATCGCGCGCTGCCGCTCGAGGGGCGCGAATAAGTATCCCGCTGCCCGCGAGAGACTCTTCGGTCAGTGCAGTTCGCTTCACCTCTCCCTCCCCTCCCTTCCCTTCAGCGCAGGCAGGCCCACCCGGTCGCTGGCCAATCACGACCATCCCTCCCTTCCTCCCCTTTGGCAGTGCCATCCCCACAGACTCCTTGCAGTCCGCCCAGTCGTTCTTCCATTCTTTTCGTTGCCCTCCGTTGCGCCTTTCCGCCGGCCGGAACTGCTTCTCTTAATCCTTCTGCCTGCCGTCCCTCTTGCCCGCAATCGTATACACGCTCGCCAGCCACACTACAGCCCAGGGCTTAGCTTACACAGCATCGACAGACAGCCCGCCGACCGGTCATCAGCCTATCTCCACCTTGCACGGCTCACTCAATTGGGAAGGCTGTATACGCACCCATTCGACCTCACTGCAAGGTCGACCATTGTTTAAGAGACCCAACTTCTCGTCTTGATCATCACCACCACATCGCCACCATGCCTTACTCACCAAACCTCGCTGCCGAGAACAAGGCTGCACTGGACCACTTCATCCAGCTGCCCGTCTCCCAGGACATGATCTCTTACCTCGCTTCCAAGGCCGCCCAAGTCATCCGTTGCGAACCATCACATCTCAACAAGAACCTGCCGCCAACCCCACCAGCATCGCCGCCCCAGCATGCTGCCAACCCCTACGGCGAACCTGCTCTGCCCTCTCTCGAGGAGTTCATCACCTCCCTCGTCGAGAGGTCACATGTTCAGGTCCCCACTCTCATGTCTTCGCTCGTCTACCTTAGCCGACTCAAGTCTCGCCTTCCTCCGGTTGCTAAGGGCATGAGGTGTACCGTCCACAGGATCTTCTTGGCCTCTCTCATCCTGGCTGCCAAGAACCTCAACGACTCGTCTCCCAAGAACAAGCACTGGGCTAGGTACAGTGCTGTTCGGGGCTACGAGAACTTTGGCTTCTCCATCACCGAGGTCAACTTGATGGAGAAGCAGCTCCTCTTCCTTTTGGATTGGGACCTGCGCATCAACCCCGATGACCTCTACTACCATCTCGAGCCCTTCCTGGCCCCCGTTCGCATCTGGCAGGCACGACAGGCTGAGAAAGCTAGGGCCGCGGAGCGCGAACAGGAGATTGCTCGCCAGCAGTACACCTTCACTCCGGAGCACCAGCGATCTCGTTCGGACTTTTCCATGCACAGCGCTTCCTCGTACTCTTCATACTCTCACATGCGTGCATACCAAACACCATCTTCTCGGGCTGCATCAAGAACACCATCGCTCTCACCGCCGACCCGCAGTTCATCCGTGTCCGAGTCATCAGATTCGCCCATGAGCTTCACAGAAGAGCATGCAGAAGCGATTGTTCGACGCTACGATGCAGACCAAGGCGCTACCCTTGTACATATCAACGCGCCCGTCACGCATTCAAAGCTTCAACATTCTCTGCCACTCTACGACGACAAGGCCACAAAGAAGGCAAAGACGTCGGGTGGCTTCTTCAACAGAATGTTCGCTGGCGCCTACACCGGGCGACAAGCAGCATACTAGTACAATTGCATTTTCCTTTGTCATATCACGAAAAGATAGCGGGGATATGGTTGATGTGGTACCTACTGGATGGGAGGCCCTTGAGTATATCTTGGAATATGATTTCACACCACCATTTGCTTAGCATTGCGACGGCGTAGGGATTTAATTTTAGCATTTATGTGGTTGCGAAATGGCCGGCGTGCCGTTGAGATATCCATAGCACACATAGCATACGTCCCGCATTTTGCGCTGACGATAATGAAAGATGACTCCGAACTATCGATACCACCGGACTCTTTGCGTCCCTTGCTTGTGCTCTCGCAATCTCCGTCCTCGCACTGTAAGCGTCGTTCCTCCCAGCCGCTACTTTATATGATCCACGTAAACTGTATACCAATCCACGAACCACAGCTAAGCAAATGCGGCCTTCTTACGCTGGTGTCCTACGTTCCTTGCGCCTATCAGTGGCACCAACATGCCAAGCTGAACATCATCACAGCCTCGAATACGATCACACCGGTCGTCAGCCGACGAGCATCTTTTGCCGGACCCACACCATGATTCTGCTTGCGCACCATCTCGGCATGCACCGTTCAGCACCTCGGCAACTTTCGTGATGGCGATATTCATTCTGCCTCGTAGCGAGCTGGCGACCACTTTCGCAGCCACACTTTGTGGCGAAGTGGCGATGGTGGATTGTGGGGGCTGAGCCCTACGTAGGCGCATACGACGACAACCTCAACGGAACCAGCCGGTCAGTGGCGCTTGCCGAAGTCGCTGCAAAACTCTGGTGCCGTGCATCGCCGTCTTCAAACAACCACCCTGCGTGACAGACACCCTCTTCCAACACCTGCATTGCATCAACTCGAAGATCAAACGTGTACGATGGAATAGCGTTTCACATTGATGCGTGCCAAGCGCGGGTGACGTTTGGATACGCGCCCATCTCATTCGCGGATATTTTGCGCGCCGCGTGCTCGCCCCACCATTCTTCCAGAGACATCGTGAGCTCGGCGGCACGGCTTCATCGATGGGATCTGCGATTAGTATATATTGAAGAGACTCCTCTCATCTCGGGTCAGCACCTGCTATCAGCGCCTGGTGCGAACTGGTGGGCGGGCTGTGGTGCACGAGCGATGCTACTCATGAATCGCGTCTGCCGCGTGATAATTTTGTTCGAGAAGACACGATGGAAGACGCTATGAGTTGGATCCTCCTGCCCGAAAATTTGGTTGCTCGGTTCGAGTCGACGACGATGCTAAAGAGTCAGTTGCGCAGGTACGTGGCCTTGGGTTGTCCCAGGGCACGGGGCATTAGTTTCGTGCCAGAGACTCGTTCCTCCTTTCTCTTGGGAGGCTGAGCACAAGGTTCATGAAGGAACCACTTGCAGTCGACAAGATTATGCGCTTGCAGGTATACCCTGGGCCTATTTACCGTGGGCCATGCAAACGCTTCTGCTTCGAGTCTGGTTGAGCACTTTACCTGGAAGGTCATTGAAGCAAAAAGATACAATCCGGCTGTAGTTGTTGTCAAACGATTTCTGCCTCCCGAGGCAATGCCCGCAGCAAGATTTGAGAGTCACAAATTCAAGTATAACATCTCGCGCGTATGGCCATGGTCCGATTCAGAGACATCGCCAGCCGCATGCGCTCGATGAGAAATACAGGTTCATGCGGATAAGTGCATGTCGCCTCAACTCACTGCGAGATGTCCAAGCAAAGCGGCCCAGCTGACTGCAAAGTCCCGGTTGTGATCGCGTGTAGATGTGTGAAAGTCTCTAGTTTGATCTTTGAGTTCTTCCCTCAGTCGCTCTCTTCTGGTCTAGTACACTTGTGGATTTCTTCACCCCTATGGGTTTACGTTCTTGACCCTGTCTTTTTCGCCATTCATGGCTCGCCGGTCGACCTTCCAGCGCAATGGAGTCGGTCAACAGGGCGACGGCAGGACCGCGCCTTTCAGCCACTGGATGCTCCACAATACCTTCTACGGATTGGTAATTACAACCACTTTGTCTACGACCTTGCTCGCTGCGGACAGGTACAAATGGCGCGCAACAGGGATGGTATATTCTTTGGCGAACCGGTATCCAGCATCAGTGGCTTTCACCGTCCAGCTTCTCGCAGCTTTTTTCGGCGTCATCCACGTCGCTGTAATCTGCAAGCTCATCAACTACGCTTTACGGTTACGCCTTAAGAAAGCGAGCGTGTCTCTCGATGTCCTCCGCACATGGGTCGACATGACAATACCTCGCATCGACTGGGACTTGCCTTTGCGGTTCTTTTTTCCTGTGATGTGCATGGTCCTGCTCAGTCTCGTACCTGCAGCTTTGTGGGCTGGTTCGTTTGCTCCCTTGGTCAGCTCTACAAGAACGTGGATGCAACTCGAAGTGCCCGCTTACGGGAACGTATCGTTCATCAAAGAGTACCCAATGGAGATAGGCAAAGCCGGGCCTTCAGTCCGCAATTCGAAGGGTCTGTAAGTCAAGCACCAGGTACAAAGTTGATGTGTCTTTCTTGAAGAGGAAAGACTTCTTGCTTCGCTAAGACATGTACCACACTGTCTTAACTCACACTGACTTCGTATCCGTGTCTTAGATTCACATACTCTGTTGGCCAGCAGCTGATCGCACCGTTGCTTTCGGCTGCAGCTGGATCATCGTCCAATGACTCTGCAAAGCTTGTGCATGCAAAGATTGACAACACGCAATTCAGCTACACCGGACGGTCCTACGGCGTGGGCGCATCAGTGGGATTGAGAGATATTGCCATCACCCAGCCGGCCACAAACGCAGCCGGCTACAAATATGCGGAGGAGGGCTATCTGACGACCGTCACATGCATCTACAACCAGACGTCCAACTTTACCCTCTCCGGTCCCGTCAACGAATGGATCTACTCAGCCGCAGGAAACCTCCCGGACAGCGTCGAAGGACCAGAGTACTCAAACTACATCGGACACAACGCCAAAGCCATAGTGGCCATGGGTGTTGCATACAGTGAGCTGTCGCCTCGTCGCTACGTCGCCATCACCGCCGGCGACTCCTACGCTCACCTCAACAACACCCAGTGCGAGTTTGACTTCACCCCAACGATGTTCGACGTTACCGTCGACCTCGCCAACCTCAACATCAGGGTCAAACCTAGCTACGAGGTTCCGGACTTCAATCCTTCCCGCAACCTCACCCGTACGATACTCCCCGGTACAAAGTCGCCATGTCCTAGACATGGACAAATTGTACAAAAACTCATTTCTGTGACTCAGCTGACCTTGCACCCGCGAGTATAGGCACGGTCGTGCGGCAGTTCGAGCTCCTCTCTAACGACCTGACCAACCTCTACGATTCCCTCCTCGGCCAGGCTCTCAACTCCAGTAAGTCAACTGCCGGATACAAAGTGTATGTGTCTTGCTTGCTTAGCTGAGACCTACACCATCCTGTTTAAACTCAAACTGACTTGTACCCGTACCTTAGGCATCGCAGCCTACGCCATGACCACAGGCGGCACCTGGCCACCGCTCACGCAGGAACAACGCACGCTGGGCGGCCTCACCAACGCGATGACCGCCATGGCCGACGACATGCTCGTAGCCTACGGCGCAGCACAACTCATGGTGCGCAACAAGTACAGGTACAGCCCGCGCGGCGCCACCGTATCCCTATACGCGCTGCAGTTCGGCCAGCCCGCCTACATCTACGCCATCTTCGCGCTCAACACTGCCATCGTGCTTGCCGTGCTCGTGGAGCGGTACCGCACACATGTTTGGAAAGATCTCACGCGCTTCAATTACCTCGACCCCCGGGATCTCATTGTCGCTGCGAGCAGGGGCGGGGCGCAGCTAGCGATTGCGGCGGACAATATGGTTGGCCAGGATGGGACGAAGATCCCGAAGCATGTGTGGTTGTTGAGTGATCCGGATGAGGGGAATGGGCGGTTGGTGGTGAGGTTGAGGGCGGATGAGGACGGGCATGCGGCGATTGAGGTGGATGGGGAGAGGAGTGAGGCATTGATCGGGGAGGGGTGGGTGAGCTATGAGGGAGTGGGGTTGGATGAGGAGAAGGTTGCTGCGAGGGAGGCGTGGGAGAGGAGAGAGAAGGGGCGGGTGGGTGTTTTTGGCTCAGTGCGGTGAGTCGGCCACTCCTCGCCGTTTTACAGCATCGGGCCAAAAGTCTGAGTACAATCGGTCTACGTAATACCTATCCTGGGGTAGTACGCTATTCTCATAATTATTTCCTAGTACTCGTGGCGACGCTGGATCTGCGTATAAGGACTAATGAAAGGAAGCATTGTTAGTTAGAATGACTCAGACGTAGTCATGGTGCCTAAGTCGTGTGTACTCTTATCTGGGAATTGCATTCTGTAGAGTACGACATTTGAGGAAGCCAGCAGTCATTGTATTCCAGCTCATCAGCACAGCGACGTCAGACCACACCCCCAACCCACGCACCAACTCGAACCGCAAGGGGTGAGTCAAAGCACGCGGTCCAGAGCCGCAGGATGCCACTGCACCAGGACTATACTAGATGCAAGCAACGCCGTCCAAGACGGCTTCTCGTCGTACCCAAGGACAACTGGTGTCAATATCAGGAAATCAAGAAATCAGAAGGAAGAATCGAAAATGAGAAAACCCGGAAGACGGACCCTCTCAATACCCAGTGCTCCGTAACAATGCCCAACTTCCTACACAAAACGCCGAACCTTAACCTTGAAACCCAAAGTCATTACACTCCGATGTTGAGCGCTCAACACAAATTCTTGACCGCAACACAAGGCTCCTTCTCAGCAGCCGGAAGATGGTCTAATACACACCGATGCGGCCGGTAAGCTCACCGGTGCTCTCAAAGCCCTCCCATGGCAGCTCCTCTTCATCTTCATCCCTGATGCTCTCCTCATCCTCATGGAAGCTCTGAATGGTGACCTTCTTCCCTTTCCTCCTGTTCTCCACCTCTTTCTCGACCTCCTCATCCTGCGCCCTAATTTCCTCCGTCACCCCCTCAACAAACTGCTCGGTGATGTCACCATCTTGCTGGCCCTCAAGCACATCGTAGAGGTTGTAGATCTGGTCGTCTTTGACCTTTATTCTGGCAAGCAAGTCTGCAATCTCGTTCTCCAGCGCCGCACGCTTCTTTCGACCAAGGCTTGGGTCGAGTGATTCGAGCATAGCGCGGGCAACGGCTAGCTCTGCGTGAAGGTGGATGCGCTCATCGCGGAGCTCCTTAACAACCAGAGCCAGAGCTTCCTTGGGTGAGCGGGCGGGGCGCATAGTAGCGTCTGCATCGTCGGGCATTCGTGATGAGACAGGGACGAGCTTGGGAACTCGGAGAGACTCTGTGGTTGCGTTTGCCTCGGTACGGCGGCAGACGGTGCAGTTCTCATTGTCGTGATGCTTCATGTTAAGATTTTGCGTGATCTCGACCTTGGTGGATCCTTGCTTGCGGATACCGAGCGTGAGATCGGGTATGATGAAGGCCGAGGTCATCTCCGTAGGAGCGCTGCGGCGACGACGGCTCGTGTTGCTGAGCATTGATGCGTCGATGGCAGACTGATTGGTCTGGGTTGCCTCGCCATTAGCATTGTCTAGGACAGACGCATCGCCGGTGAAGTCCTCTTCGAACTGTGTCAGAATGGTTTTCGTAACGTCTTTCATAGACGATTTGCGAGGTAGAGAAGGTTGGCAGGCGCTCTTTTCGGAGGCTACAGAGCGTACTGTATCCTCGCGACCAATCTTCTCTGAACGGACAGTCTCATCACGAGCAGTCCTCTGAGAGCGCACGGTGTTCTCGCGATTAACCAGAGGCACCGATGCTGGACGACCACGCATAGCGGCGCGCTCCTCTTCAAGTTGACGACGTAGATCTGCGATTGCCGCGCCAGAGATGAAACTCAACTCAGTATATTCCAGATCCGGAGGTGCTCGAACGGTGTTTGAAGGCCTCCTTGCAGACGAACCGCTCCGCTTCTCGTGATGGATCACGCGTGGAGCAAGGGAGATGTCGGTTGTAGACTCTACATCACTGCCATTCTCCTCAACGTACTTCTTATGCTGGGACATGGGAGCGGAGACGCTGCGAGCGGTCTTAGTAGTCTTCATGTACGACTTTCGCGGGCTCTCTTCGAACTGGCTGGACTGGAATGAAGCATTTGCTCGGCTAGCCCGCGACTCTTCCTGAACACGGCTCCTGATCCGAGAACGAATGTTCTCATCGCGACGATGGCTAGGCTTCCGTTGAATGGGCTCATCGAAAATGTTCTCTTGGCCGGCGGTCGCGGTTCGGCGGACGTTCGAGGATTGGCCGTTTGCCTCACGCATCGACATTATCTCGCGAGTCATATCGAGGGTTTCCCGAACAGTTGAAGTACGCTGAGCGATCTTGCGGTTCAGGGTCTTTTCCTTCTCTGCCCAACGTTGATTGTCTTCGTCGTGTTGCGCAGCCTCTTGAGCAAGCTCATCGCGGAGTCGCTGGTTCTCGAGTCGCATGGCCTCATTCGTCTGTTCCTGCGTGTTGTCCTGGAAATGGCGGATAGTCTCGTCCCTTCGCTCTACCTTCTCTTTCAAAGAAGCTTCCTGTTCCGTCCAGCGAAGAAGATCAGCCTCTCGCTTCGCTTTCAAAGTGGCCAGCTGCGTCCTCAGGGCTTCGTGGTCAGCTTGGAGCCTGGCATACTCGGCTTGCTCTTGACGAGCTTTACGAAGCTCGGCCTCTTTCCTTGCAAGTTGCTGTGTCTGCTCATCTTGTTGAGCGCGAGCGGTGCGTAACTCAGCTTGGAGAGTAATGTTCTGTCGCTGAGTAGCATCTTCAGTCTGCTCCAATTGCCGTCGGAGGTTGACCGTTTCGTCGCGGTACTGGGCTTGCTCCTGCTCTAGCTCGTCTCGAAGGTGCTCGATCTCAGCCCTGAGCATGTCGATTTGCTCGCGGAGAGCTCCGTTTTCGGCATTCAGCGCCTGCTTGTCGACCTTCAATTCCTCGCAAGTCTGGAAGGCCACGCCGAGCTGGCTCGCCATATTGTCCCGTTCGGCGTTAAGGCGTTTCTTCTCGATCTCGACCACGGCGATCTTGCGCTCTGTACGATCTAGCTTGGTACGCAGTGTCTGTACTGTTGCATCGAGCCCTGTCCATCTCGCGTTAGCTCTATGGTGAACACGGTGAGTGGTTATACACATACGCGTCTTCTCAACCTTCCACGATGCTTTGCCAGAACCCTCTCCATCTGTGGAACCTAGTGCACTGTCGCTCCGCCTGTACTGAGCTTGGGCTTCCGCTGAAACCTTCAACTCGATGATCTCTTGTTCCTGGTCTTCAATCTTCTTCTCCTGTTCCGCACGCTCGTGCTCCATCTGGGCCACCTTGTCTTGCAACAGCTGGAGAGCCGCAAAAATAGCTTTTTCGTCCTTGGGAATCGGCACGCTGTCCACTGGAATGTGCGAAGGTTGTCGACCCCCATTACCACCTTTACCAGGCGCAGCAAACCGCGACCTCGTCGGCGCGTTCTTGGAGAACACGGGCGTACCGTCTTCGAACACACCGGATACCAGCTCAGTGAGGTTTGGAAGATCGGGGAGAATGAAGGACTGCGCGGTGGGATTCTGCGCGGTAGCGGGCCGTGATCGCGGTGTGGCGGTGAGGTGTTGTGACGCGTCAGCATTTCCATCCATTTGAAGTGAGGTCTGTCGGCTTCGCGGGTTGCCCCATCGCGTGCTTGTGCTGTGCTGGAATGTAGTGGTGGGCGGCCGCTCCTGCATGAACGATGATTCGTCCTCGGACAACTTCGCGTGGAGTTGAGCAAGAGACGCGCGTTTGCGTTCTTGCTTGGACGAAAGCGCAGGCGAGTTGCGCGTACTGCCCGGACGCGGGGATGCGCCGTTGTCCATATCGTTGCGCGAAGCGCGTCGAATTTGCGCGTCGCGGCGAAGGCTGCCTGTCTCGGCTGCGTACGATTTGCGTGACCGACCAGTGGGAGGTGTGATGTCGTAGAGGCTGTCGAAGCCGCGGGAACTGATCCTAGCTGGTGTGCCGCGATTGCTGCGGTGATCGCCGCGTGCCTGTTCGATGGCATCAATCTCGTCGTCGGAAATGCTGTGGTCGAAATCGCCGAACTCTTTGTTGACCATTGAGGTATCTGGGTTGATCTCGGGCTGAGGCATGCGCCACGCGGTAGCTTTTTTCGCAGTGGAGCGTATGCGTGGGTATCTGGGAAGTGTGTTTGTCTCGTCGTCTATGTTGTGCTGTGTTGACATCAGAACGTTGGGGTCGTTGAAGAAGTCGTCCGTTGTGTCGCCAAAGCCGGAGCGTTTAGTTGGATTTGACTCGCTCGGCGCCGAATGCACCGACGAGAGCGACCGCTGGCTGTGGTTCAAACTCTGAGAGAGCTCCCGTATCGCTCTTGCTTTTCCCTCGCTATAGGGTGGAGACGACTGCATTGTGTGAATTTGAGGCTGCGGGCAGCCAAGTGCAGGCGCGTCGCGTAGCAGATCTGGGATTTAGGGGATATAAAGAGATGTTTCTTGTAATAGTGAAGCAGGGATGATATTCAAGCAGCAATCGCAAGCACGGGCAAGAGATGCGGCCTGGCGCGCTCTATGGAAAGTGCGATGCGGGAATTCAAACGGCTGGGGACGTGTTGACGAGGATGATAACATCGGGGGTAAACACATCAAAGCGCCGACGCTACGCCCGAACGGAGCGCTCTCACGTGCGGCCATGCACCCGCCCCACCATGTTTCACATTCATGATTTCCACCTGAATTGATTTGTTGGAGACTGGAATGGAGTCCTACAGTGATTGAGCGGTCTGCCCATGTCCATAGTGAAAATATCACACGCTGCTACCGGAGTCATCACTTACAAAGTATTTTTTGTGTGCACTTCGATCCATGCTACTCCGTTCTCCATGCCAGCTCCTCAGAAATCCACACCGCCTAGATGTCCTCAACTCTCGACTTCTTGCCTGTTCATCTCCCTCAGCTCGAGAGGCCACACCTCCTCCACCTCACTTCCTGCAGACATAGCTCCTTGCCGGGTTGAAATAGATCTTCTCCTTTGGCGCAACCAGACCGTACCACACGACGTCGCCCCCGCAGTTATCACCTCTGCTCAGTATCAGCTTTCTCAATCCACCCATCGATTCTTTCATAAACTTACGCAAAGAACCAGCACGTAACGCAATTGACATTCTGGGCATTGGTGACAGTGGCGGACGGGTTCGAGCTGATGCTGCCGCACGTGTTCTTGTAGATATTTACACCCTCGGGGAGGAGATAGCCGTATGCGGTTGCGCAGAAGTCGCCGCGGTCGTCGGCGGGGTCGGGTCGAGAAGGGATGGCGGCGGTATAGGTGGCGAGAAAGCCGAGATACGCGAGGAGGAAGTTGATGAGATACATCTTGTGGGCCGATAGGCTGCTTGATGTGAAGATGAAAAGCTCGTGGGGATCACCGCTGGCGTGATGTTCGGGCTGGGAGAAGGAGCTGTTTTGAGTAGAGTAGGAGCTCAGGCTGAATCGCATATGAATTTGCGGCGTTTGCGGCGCTATCGAATAGCCTTCACGTCGGAAAAGATGCAGCCACAGCAACGACCATAGTTCCGGCACACAGGTGAGAGAAACTCGTATAGTATGCTGACTTCAAGAAGGAAATGGGACATTGAAGCAGCACGGTATTATTGCAGCGTTGAATTTATTTAGGGAGATATCGTCCATTTCATACGTCTTCACTCGTTCATCACACGAACCTCCCACGGAAGCTTCATGATCCCGTCCACATCCCGATAACCTCCAATCTCCTGCTCCGCCCAAGCAACTCGCCTCAAGCACAGCCTATTCCACTTCATCAGCATTCCAACGACTGCTGCATGCAACAGAAACAGTAGGAGCGACCCTGCCAGACCTCCAAGTCCCCTATATTGGCCCCGAAACCTGAAGCCGAATCCCAGAAGCAAGAAGTCCAAAGAAGCGAAGCAGAGCAACGGATACACTACCCATGGATCCGTCGCGTATGGCTGACAAGGACTAAACAACGAGAATGCTTTTGCAATGAACAGGGATATCTTAGCAATACTGACAAAGGTCGGATTATGTAGAAGGGTGGAGAAGCGTGTGTGAAGGTTACGAGGCGGAGGTGGTGGGAGCATAAGACGCGGGGATAGCCCTGATGAGGGGCTACGGTGACGGTGGGTGGATAGTGGTGGCGGTAGATCGGCTTTGCGTGGGCGCAAGATGACGGACCCTGCTGAGTCTGGAGGTGTAGTGGCTCGCTCATTTTCGATTTCCGGGGGTGGTGGACTGGGCGAAGTGTGGCCTGTAACCGAGGCGTTGTGACTTAGTTTTGAACGACCTGGGCGGGCATACTGTACTGAACTTCTTTTTCGATGAGCGGGTGAGGGAGCCGGAGTCGGAGTGTCTGCTCTCGATATCCTGCTGCCCACATCATCCAGGCTAGAAGGGCCAGCGAAGCCGCTGAACTCGTCGAGAAGAGAGGGCGTTTTTAAAGCGCGCAAAATCTCTTCTGTTGTGGGTCGCTCGTCTGGTTTTAACGCGAGTAGATGTTTGAGAGAACGATACAGTTTCTCAGGCAGATCTGTGCGAACCCTTCTTTCATCGTCGAAACCAACCCATTCGGAAATCTCAGCTCGAAGCTTATCCAAATCCTCGTTATCCTCGTCAATGCCATCCGCCTCTTGGTACGGTAGCCGCGCAAAGCACATGAAGTAGACTATCATTCCTAGGGAGAAGATGTCCGATTTGGTGGTGAAGTTGCCAAGGGGCCCCTGTGGCATCACATGCCGCAGCACTTCAGGCGCGCAGTACGATATGGTGCCCGTAGCACCGGTGCTCTTCCTCGTAACATTCGCAGCCTGTACTTCTCCAAAATCGCTGACCAAAACGCGAACCTTTCGCCCAGTGTTGTGCAGCAAGCAATTGCTTGGCTTGAGGTCCCGATGGATGTACCCGTTCGCGTGTAGGTGGTTCAGCCCAGACGTAATGTCCTTGAAAAACGATATGATCTCTTCGAAGTGCATTCTTCGCGGCCCGTTCAGATTCTGAGGATCTTCCATCTGCCCTTTGGATCGCCTCCTCAGGCGCTCCTTGAGCTGCTCCGTGCTCATCGTCTTGCCCATTCCGCCCAGAATATAGCTGTGCAGATCGCCCCCATTGCAATACTGCTGCAAGATGAACGCACATGGAACGCTAGGACCAAAGGTGTTGATTTTGTAGTCCTCGAGCCATACATGCCGGTAAGAAACGAGGTTCTGGTGTGAGAGGTTTTGCAGTAGCTGCACCTCGATCAGAACCTTCTCCAGCCATTCGTGGTCATCGCCCACTGGCACCCGCTTACATGCGAATACGCCTAGATCGACCTTATCCAGCACGTGGCGTACCAACAAGACGACACCCTTCCCACCTCTTCCCAGTTCGCGCTCTTCTACAAAGAAGGTTTTGAAGTAGTTGGGACTGAAAGCATGCTTCGAGATGTTGTGTTGCTTCTGCGTTGCTGGCGTGCTGCCCACAAATTCGGCGCCTTCAGGCGCATGTAGTTGGCCGCCCACGCCGCTTATGGGCGCTGGTGCCAGCTGTTTATGCGGCGACGACGGGCGCGAAACCTCTGCGGAGCTGGGCTGGCTACGGCGCAGCATCTGGAAGTACCCAGGGTTGACGAAGCCGGCTTGCGCATCCTGGTACTGCCCGTGTTCGTGCTCGTCGCCGTCATCGCTGTCGGTGGGCAGGTCCTCGCGGTATGGGCGGTGGCAGTACGGACAGGAGGGGTTTTCCATATCGGCCGAGTGCGAGGCATCGCGGAGGGAAAGCTGCCGGGAGAGCTGGTCGTATACCACGACAGCGGCGCCATGGCGTCTGTGACGATGATGAGCCCATATTCGACGAAGCCAACAGCGGAGCGGGGTGCAGAGGCAAGACACTCACAAAACAATCTCCCGCGACTCGGCTGGCACGTACGGCACCAGCGACATCTGGCGCGGGTATTCGCGGTCCTCCATACGTATGGCGACAGCAGTGCGGGGGCGTGGGCGGTGGTCCGCTTGAATATTGCGGTCAGCGTTCGCGCGAAGCTGTCAGTCTCACGCGAGGGCAGGGCTGCCAACGATAAGGCGTTGCGCTGGCTTCATCCAAGCCCGTGACGCGCATGGCCTTTTGTTTGTTTGTATTGTGGTCGTGGCGGGGATCTGCGGCGCGGAAGGTCCGACGTCAGAGCAGGGGGATGCTTTCCAAAGAATCGCAAAGAACACGAGTTGTCCAGAAGCGGAAACTTGTATATTGAGGTACGTACTGACCGTCACCGCCACACCATGCTTGATACACGGGGTCGAATTTTCTTTTGCCGCCGAACAAGTCCTACGGCGGTTGCGTAGACAATGGTGCAACAATTCCTAATCGCGGCTCATCCATATATCCCTGGATATATTGTCACACCACCGACATGTACTCAAGAGAATGCAGCGCCTTTCTCATCCGATGCAAACACCTTAGATCCACACCAAAAAGCTGCTGGGTCTACGCTCATCGCACACGGATAGCAATTTCCCCTTTGTCCAGCCCTTGCCTTCGATAAATGCTTTCCAAAGCTAATGCGCTCATTCCTCCCAGCCCAACCACCCTCCATTCCTCAAAAATCCCTATCGCAATCTCCCTTTGCTCTTTATTATTTGCATGCATGGCTACAAGATAAAGTGGTGTGGCCATCCTCATGAAGGCGCACCCAATCTTGAGTCCGCCTAGGTACTCCGCTATGTCTATCATCTGTTGGTAGTGGTCCGTGAAGTCGAGGTAACTCGCCGCAAGCCTTGGAGCCAGTATAGAGAATAGTGCACGTGCAGACGCGAAGTAGGCGACGCAAAGCGCTGTATACGCGTCGCGGTATTCGGTTGAACCTGAGGGTGTTACCCAGAAGAGGGACTGGCCTTGCTCTTCGGCTGATAGCTCGTATTCGAACCAAAGCGCATCGACGTCGCTCTTAATCTGCATGTATTCCTCCAGATCCATTAGATCCGGTGTCCGTCTATTGTCATTGTCCTCTAGCTGTAAATACAGCGCTGTCAGCCTGGTAATGTGGTTGATCAGCCTCTGGAAAACGGGAAACTTGTAGAAGTAAGACAATGATTCGCGTAGCACTTCCTCCGAACAGATGCTGTATTTGTCTTCTTGTTTAGTTGTGAGGTACACAAATGCCATCTGTACCCTGATGTGAAAGAACAGCTGGCACAGCACACCGTTACAACACTCTCCTGGACCGGCTAATCTTACTAATTCAGCAGCACCGCTGATATGCTGCCGGTACGCACTCGCGGTTGTGGCATTCATCGCCTCGAAGATACTCAGCATTACGGAGGTAGAAACCGTATGCAAGGTAACTTTCTTCTTAGTCTTCAAAATATGGACGTGTTGATTCAGCGATCGCCCATAAAGCTTGAGGGCGTCCTGCATGAGCGGGGGATGTCTTGTTTTTGCGAAGGAGAATGTTGAGGCCGTAGCCCGTACCGCGAGTTCAAGCGCGCCATTGCTCCCATCGGCCGCAAAATCCGGAAGCCGGTGTAACCACGTCTGGCGGTTCTGAATATCGCCTGCCTCGCCGGCTGTGGTAAAATAAGCCAGGAAGTTCCCGTAGAAATTCTCGTTTAGCGCATGTCGCTGTGAGATTTGCATGGTCATAGTCGATATTGACGAGACTACCTGTTCAGGGAGCACTTCCCACACCGTCTGCATCACGTATTTCTCCCGTTTCTTTCTCCTCTTCTGTCCAGTCATGGTCGAATTGGTCATGTCTACAATGATGGGTCCGTTGCTAGGTCCGGGACAGTTGCGGCCAAACTTGATGCACATGAGACATTGGGGAAGCGTGGCGTCGCATTTTATGCGCTTTTTGCGGCATATCGCACATGCATTCGTCCGAGCAGGCATAGTTGAGATGTAGTGTTGGTGTCAAGGAATTTGGAGACATTTTTCTGGGAGATTGTTGGGGGCGGAATACAAGCAAGGCTGGCCGCAATTAGTCAGCTGAACCCAGTGCTTCCAAGATTGCTCGTAAAACTTGAATTCTCCAAGTGAATACGTCTGACGGCGAATTTCAGTCATTCCGCACTTGAAACCTGATATGTCGAGAATTCTGGTCTATTGAAGCGTACTCATAACATGTCTCTCACGTTAATGAACATGGAAAAGCCAGGGCAACACTTCCAAGAAGTGGGACGATTGGATGTTGGTCTCTACATTTGCCAGCATGCTATGTTCATGAATTCATTATCCACATTGTCCATCTTGTCTATTCATTCTCAAGCCTCCAACCAGGCACCTATACCACAACCTCTCAAAGCAGGCTTCTGATCGTCTGCCCACCCTCGAACACCTCACCCTTGTCCAGCTTCTGCCAGCCCTGGACTGCGCCAACTTCTACACACACCATATGCTTGTAGTCATCGTCGGGCGAGAAGTCACCCATCGACTTCGCCTTCTCGATCCAAGGGTTCCAGACGACGGTATCTTGGAGGTTGTCACGCACGACATCGAAGCGAGGTTTGCCATCTTCAACGATGGAGGTGGTATCCTGAGGGATGCTGGCATACTGCTTTCGTGTTAGGGTTTGGATTTCGTCGTCTGGTACAGCTGGACTTACCACTCGGTCGACTTCGCCAGTGATCTTGATAGAGTTGTCGGACTGCTTGTGCTCGGTAGCATTGAGTACCTTATCGACGTACGTAACGCCAAGCAATCCGTTGACTGCGACCTTGGAGATGTCCTACAAGAAAAGTATCAGCGTGAAGCGAGCGATCTACCACAGAGAAACGCACCTGAATCTTGAAGTATGTGTGTAGCAGAAACTGGAATTCGAAGCTCTGCTCACCCTCGTTGCGGACGTTGATGACCGTCTGCAAGCTGTCCTTTGACAGAGTCACGCTGTATACTAGGCCAAAATCGAGCGGCCACGCCTTACGTGCCTCGTCCGTGAGACCGGAGCTGTACAGGCCGAAGTCGAGCTTGACCGAATCGGAACCGAGGGCGTCTTCGGCGGCCGACTTGCCGAGAAACTCCCATCGCGATGTCCGCGCGAAACCGTGCTGTGGGAGAGAGGAAGTGGGGTGGCCAGACTTGGGCGGGGGCCCGAAGACCTTGAATTGTGTCAGCCAAGCCAGGAGGAGGTTTTGAGCGCTGGTACTCACAGGGAACACGACGGGCACGCCTCCTCGTACGGCCTTGCTGCCGTCGAGAGCTGCCTTCTCGCTCAACCACAGGTTCTCCGTCTTGCCGCCATTGCTTTTCCAGCTCGTCACCGTCGCACCGAACAGCAGCACCTCGACGCTCTCGCCAGAGGGCAGCGTCGCAATCACCTTGGAACTCGCGCCAGAGCCGACAATGTCGATTTGCGCTTCGGGTCCGGCGGCGTCGGTGGCCTTGAGGGCCGAGGGGCGGTTGGTACGGTCAACCATCTTGGGGTAGATATGAGACTGCTGAGATGCTGCGATTTGGGTATCGAGGTCGGAGCTGGGTTGAAGCTAGGACGGAGGCGGGGTGAGTGTACTGAGCTGGCAACGGTGGGAGTTGCAGGCCGGGTTGAGGGAGTATTAGAAGTTCTAGAAGAAGGGAAGGTGCTATTCTTAGGCGAAAGAGGCCAGGGTCCAGCGCTCGCAATTTATACAGACAACAACGCGCTGTGAGAGATGTGGCCGCAGTCCGAGGGCAGGGCAGGGCAGGAGGGGTAGTTTGGGAGCTGCCCCACCACGGCGACATGCTTCACCTGAAACGATAGCGCCTCAGGGATGTGGCTGCTTTGCAGCTCGCCTAAGCGCGTCCATCCCTCACCATTGGGCCCAAAGCTGCAACTCCACGGCCCACAGACACCCGACATCCATCACCTGCAGCGTCTTCACCTTCAGTTGCCAGCACTGTCGAGCTGGTGAGTTACACGCACGCGGTCTGGCATACGGCACACACACTTGCTTAGTTGCTTTTGCCGGGCAGAGTCCTTTCGCCATACTCGTCACTATCTACCAACCCAGAGGCAGCCCAGTCCACCGGCTGTATCCCAACATTACATACAGGTATCATGCATCCTCCTATTCATCCTAAAGACCTATCACGTCCCGCAAGCGTGCGATCCTACCTAGCAATACCGTGTACTACTGGCTTGTTTCCTCCCCCCGTGCACCAGCAGCGTGAACAGCCCTCCTGATGTCGAACATCAAATCGTCCACTTCGCGGTGCTCCTGCCGATTGAGCGCTAGTTGAGGTGCCCCAAAAAGTGCATCCTTGAATGCTTTGAGTTTGTCGATAATGCTTCGCGGGGTAAGAATGACGCGCTCCGCGAAGGAGCGGCTAGGTGTGGCTGCGCTGTGCGAGGCTAGTTGAGCCTGGCTCTCGTGCACTTGACTAGCGGCACGTGTTGCGTCTGGCAGCTGCAGTGCAACATGTGCATTCTGTTCGCCCACATCGAGCGGCGTTTCTACCGAAGCAGACGTTTCATGTGTTATGTGCTGCATGTCCACGTCTCCGGCCGCAGCAGAGGAATCGCGGACCGCGGATGGAGCATCAGAATGTCGGGGCGTGACTCGGACATGGCCAAGGCGCATCGTCCTCGATTGATGAGAAGTCGTAGGCGTACTCTGCCTCGCTTCGCTCACGTCCTTGTCGATGCTTCGACGTGCTCGTTTGGGCGCTGGGGTGTCTTCCACAACGACGTCCTCAGGTCTGTTCTCGACCCGACCCAGCAACGAAGCTGAGCGGCGGTTACTCTGGGCACGCGTTGTGTCGGGTACAATGATTGTACGACCGGTAGGTGTCGGAGATGCTGCAGAGCCATTTGACGAGATAGCCTGTACTTGAGGCGTTGTGGCCACACCATTGCTAGGTGATTCTTCAGTCTTGTTCTTCTTAGGCCTGCCGGGGCCACGCCCCGAAGATGATTTGCGCTTCTTTGCATTGACCGACTGAGGGCTGGATGTGGATGGAGTTCGCCCAGAACGACGCAGGCTGCGTACCTGCGAGGTTTCTGAGTCTGCCGCCAGGCTAGAGAAAGAGTCTCCGACACGGCTAGTGCTAGTAGTGTCAGTGTTCGACTGACCGCTCTCGGTTACCGGAAGGTCAAGCACAGTGCTTTCATCTTTGCTAGGGAGCTGTTGAGATGGCGTCTTGGTAACGGCAGCATACTCTTGGGCTTGTATCTCAGCGTCCAGCTGCGCAGTCAACTGAAGGTCCAGCGTTGAGCTGGGTATATCGGAGGCGTCGATTTCGGATGTATGCTCCTCTACTGCCTTGTCAGGATCCCCGTCAGGGGTCCCTGTCAAGAAGTCGGCCTCATCGATGGTCATTCCATCATCGAAGGACATGGAAGAGCCTCCATATCGATCACCCGTGCCATGGTTCGCTTCGAAGCTCTCGACCTCGTCCCGAAGTTGGGATCCACGGGTTTGATGTACGGTCTCCTTTTCGAACCTTGGAGGCGACGAGCCTAGTTCTTCGTGATCATGGGCAGATTGGGCTGTGCGCACCGCAGTAGGTGTAGCCATACTAGTTCGGTCGCTCACTACCTCGTGGGAGCGGGTACGTGCTTGTGGAGTTGGCGACGAACCCACAAAAACCTCCATCTCTCCTAGAGCCCGTACGTTTCTCAGTGGGGTCCGGGATGTTACTGCCGGTAAACTATCAACGCTCATGGCATCGGAATGAAATTCGAGAGGTGAGCGAGCACGCGCGATTTGCGCTGGTCGAGGTGACATAGAGCGCATGTCGACATATACGTTGGATGAGCGCATCTGTCGTTCGTACACTTCCCGTTGACGCTCGGTCAGTATCTGCGACTCCTGGTCGTTCGGATTCGATGGTGAAGAGATGATGGGTTCGAATTGAAGTTGGGAGTTTTCATGGCGAAGACGACCCTTTGGTGTTCGTCCAGACGAAACCTTCTTGGTGCTGGTGCTAGGCACCATGGGAGACCGGGATTTAGAGCGAGATTTCCGTGACGATTTTGTTATCTTAAAGGGAGCTACTTTTACACGCGGCGTTCGCTTCTTGGGCTCAGACGCATCGGTGTTACTGTCGGAATCATAGATTGATGGCGCAATAACCTGTTTGAGTGAGCAGCGTTCTAAAGAATGTCGCTTTCGTTAGCAAACTTACATCATCGCCCTCCCGTACTTCAAGGCCGGGCAAAGAGAGTTCAGTTGTACTACCCAATCGACGCAAAGTCTCTTCGAGTCTCGATGGGTAGCGCAGTGCCTGTTCTCTACCAAAGGTTGCATTCCACGCGGCAATCGATGATTCAACGATCCCGCGTCTTCGGCTCACAAAGCCGCTTGTGATCAATGGCTCTAAATGAATAAGAATCTGGCCATTATTTCGCGGCAATTTGTGCATGGCAGCACAGACCTCTTGCCACAAATGCAACACCTGCCCATCGTTAGAAGCGTCCTATCAAAATATTAACACAGACTTACTGAGGTTTGTAGGACCTTGATCCACGCAGTCCTTGATTGTAATTTCCTCTCGGGATCCTCGATCCACCAGCGTATGGCCTCCTGGGTTTTCCGCAAGTACACAGCGAGTAAAGATGGTGGGCACTGTCGCACTGAGGTCGCCAATGCTTCGATGTAACTGCCCGTTATATTTGCGTCGTCCGCGTTCAAATGTTCATACGCGGCAGATCCAATAGACACTATTGCATCGTAGAGGTGATTATAGGGATCGAAGTCAGCGGATCTCCCTGATGTAGAAGTTGAAGGCCAAAGATTCTGGCGCCCCTGCTCAACAATCCTGCGGGCGATTGATGTAGGAAGATTGCGCAAGATGACGCTGAGAAATGGTAGGCAGGTGACCTTGGCTTCCATTCCAGTGCGCTTTAGGACATTCTCTGACATCTTTTCGACGACAGCGAGTATCACGGCACCCTCGCCAGCTTCTCGTCGGACCGTGTCCGTAAGAGAGCTGAGAAGTAGCTCCCCTGCAGGCTCTCTCGACAGATACGCGAAGCCCAAAGAGATTGCCTCAACGACGACATTGTACTCTTTACCCAGTTGTCGAGACCCTTGCTCCTTCCCATCCGATGTGTTTGCCTGAAGACAAGCGGTCAACAAAGTACAGGCTATTGACCAGAAGCTGTCAGAAAGAGGAGTTCGTGTGGACGCATCGACCAGGGTGGAACAATCGCGAACCAACTCCAATTTGCTCAAGCGTGTATTCTGGGCATCAAAACAAGGTTTGACCAGTACTTTCAATGCCCGCAGCCTTAGCGAGTCAGACAATTTGCCTTCGGACTGGTTGATAAGTAAATCGACGAAGTAGAGAAGTGGTGATGTACGAGGACCGTGTAATCGAGAACGATGAGACGGTGTCGCAGCAGCCTCAAAGTCATTCTGTTCGTTGCGTGCAAGACATTTGTCAGAAAAGCGCACTGCACCGAGCTTCATGACAACCGTTTCCAACAGAAAGCAGTACTTGTCAGCCCAACTATCCTCTTTTTGCTGGGATAGCGCCAATTGCGCAGCATGTCCGTCCCATATACGTCGTAGGGAATTGACCAGGTGTGCCATTGCATCCTTGGAATCGTTCGAGACCATGACCTCTTGGCTGCTCGCGGTGTTCAACGAGTTCAATAGAGAGAGCCACATCGTCTTCGCCGGCTCGTCTTTGCAATCGTCAGTTGTCCATGGTGTTACGTCTAGAAGCACCTCCACGAATTCTAGGATAGAAGGAACGGACTTCCGTACCCATTTGGGATCCAATGTCGGTAAGTCCTGAAGCTGCAACATAGCCTGCGGTCGTAGGTCTAGGGTCCTCTGCGGATCGCAGGGTTTTCGGTTGCCCTTGAACAGAGCTGACGCGACCCGACAAGCAGCAAACGCGTGCTTCAGTGACGAGTGGCCGGTAGACGATGGCCGGACAAGTGGTCTCCAGAAATCGGCAACAAAATCCAACCAGTATCGATCCAGCTGTTTGTGCGTCGCGGTGGGTCCAAAGGCATGGTACAGCAAAGCAAAATAGGCGGCTGTCGCTGCATCCCTTTCTGTTTTCTTGCCGCGCTGGTGCTCAAGTTGAGATTGGGAAATCCTGACAAGCATCTTTGACCACACTTGTGGTGTGTTCTCCTTCAACTGTACTGCATATACGAGGAAGCCAAGGGCAACGTTGGCCTGTATCTTGACATCCTCCCTGGTAGATCTGAAAAGCATCTCAAAAACCTTCAGCCATTCAGCAATGGCGGAAAATTGACCTTTGTCGAGGCAGCCGGGAAGTAACGACGTGACAGCCGACCAAATTTGAGGGGCCATTGCGGCATTGTCCGAGCCTAGCAACTTTTGCAGTTCCTTCGCCATCCCATGTATAGCTGTTTCTCCGTCGCTTCTGACCTTGTTCATGACAAGAAGAACGGACATGGTGACTTGCCGATCGTTGCCGAAAGCTTTAGCAGAGGATATGATGGTGTCTAGAGCGCTCTGATTGATGTCTTTATGTGTGGAAAGCAAAGCCTTGACAGTGTGCTTGAACCATCGCTCCGTATTCTTCGACATTACTTCCGGCCGTTGCTGGATCAATTTTCTGAAGATTCGAACCCGGTATGCTAAGACAGAAAGTCCGGAAACACGCTCTTCTATCGTATCCATAACATCCAGAATTCTTTCTACACGCATGGGTGTCATCGTCCTCGGTCGAAAGTTCTGTTGCATTAGCACGGCCAAGTGCGTGTTAATAGCCACCTTTGGCATGTTTGGGTCTGCGGCAACTTGGATGATTCGGTCAATAACAAAGTTGCAGAACTCATCCGACATAGCAGGCCGGACTTCTTGTATGCGGATCAACGCCATGAGAAACTTCAAGGCCTGCTGGAGGAGCTGCGTATCCAGGCCGGTGCCACTGATACCTGGAGCATACATGTCCCGCTTTATGAACTGTGTTATCAGGCCCATCTTGTCAACCAGAGCCTGTGGGTCTGGCAGCTTGTCGTATGCTTGCATGGTACGTTGGAGCGAGTGATAGCCATCGAAACGATTGGAGCGGGTCTGCGAAGCCAGCTGCTTCATGACGGAGTCCAGCATCTCGGCGAATGACTGGTTTTGTATAGGTGTGCCTTGGTCTGCAGGTGGTGGTGTGGACGCGGCGTCGGACGGCTTGAGGATCGATTTGAGCGGCTTCGACACGCGTGTCTGGGGTAAAGGACGCAGAGGCGAGCTGTGAAGCGGTATGAAGGACTGCGAGGATACGACGTTGCCATTTGCCGCGGCTAGCTGAGCCTCGAAGTTGACCTTCTTCTTTCTGCTGGAAGATCGTGTAGAGCTTGATGGGATGCCCGTCTCGGACGACGGCGAGGTCTGGGGCGTGTTGAGGAGGGTTTTGGCCGCGAGTAATTTGGCAACGGGCTCTTTCGTGCCAAAGGGGTCTTTGAGGAAATCCAGGACTTCTTCGGCGTCTGGATCGGCTTCGTGGATATCCCTCGGCGGCGTTGGGGGTCGTACGGAAAGGGACTCAAGCTTGGAACCGGAAAACACCATGGCTATGCTGGAAAACAATCATGCAGAAACAAAAACAGAGAGCAGGTCGAGCGCTGGCATCGCGCGTCAACGGGCGTGTAGAGAGCAGCAGACGGGCGTGGGTGGGAGGACGTGCTGGGGCTGCCGTGCTGAAATGGCTGGCTGGCCGATGCGCGCGACCCTTGCACGTCCACGTCCAAGTCGCGTACCGGCGCGTCCTCGAGCGCCGCCGTCACGTGCCCTGCCGGACCTGGTTTAATGGAAGACCCTGCAGCGTTGGATGACCGATTCGTCTTCACTGCGTGAACGGAGCTTTGTGTCACTCCTCACTGGTCTATATGATAACTCTCGCGTCAACGTATGTGTGTTTGCAAAGGCGCGAAACACGGCCGTGTCCCGGCCATATCCGCAAATATCATGTCCATCAAATCAGATGTTCTGGGATAGCGCGGACAGCACGCAGATGAAAGCATCTTCGAGGGTGTCAGTCCTCCTCGTCCTTCTACTCTCCAAGTGGCTGCGCACCCTTTATACCATGCGTATCCATAATACATAAACGGCGTCTACTGATAATCGTTCATGTGCCTTCTGTTGCATCCTGTTCGTCGGCGCCCTGGTCCATTATACAACCAGATGCGCGCTAGCACATACCGGTACCCCACACTCAGGGCACCCGCTCAGGGACGTCGCGACCAGACATAGTCTCACGTGCAGCGCAATTCGTAGCCCAATGCGGGTTCTAGATGACCTGTGTTCCAGCCCGGCAGCATGCGCAGTTTCTTGGTCCCGCCGTGAATGTCATTCGCTCATGCTTGAGGTGTCGTCTCGCGTCTGCCCGCATCAAAGCTTCGGCGCGGGGTCCTCCGCCGCCATCGCGCGCCTTGCGAGCATCACCTCCCACCCTACTCGTACAGCAGTGCAAGGCAACCCCTGCGCTACGCCCTTTGCAACATGCTGAGCAGACAAGAGTCGAAGCCGCGCGGCGGTAAAGGTGCGCGTATACTCCGTGACTGTGTCGGACGCTGCTGATCTTGTCGCAGCGAAGCTGGAAGATGTAACCAACATCCTTCACGAGTTGACGACGGACCTGACCGCGAAGAAACTCGCCTCGAAACGTATGCGCTTGCAGCTTCCACACGTGCACCTCTGCTTACACGGAAGTAGGGCGAAAGACCTTGCTGGAACAACTCAAGGTGCATGGCCGGGCTGTGGAAGATGCAGATCCAATATTTACCAAGGACGTATGTTGTGACCCCCAGCGGAACGTGACGAGGCGCGAGACGCTGATTATATATATGTAGGGGATCCACACACTCTGCCAATATGCCTTCGAAGACACCGATGTCCCGACCTCGCAAGAAGCGCTCCGTTGCATCGCAAACGCTCTGCTGCTCGAGCCCAAGATGCGCCAGGTGGTGGTCGACCTTGGGTATGCACCAAAGGCAGCGGACAGACTGAAGGCATGTTTTACACCGGGCCAGGGACTTAGCTGACAGTGCGCAGCAAGAAAATGTTGACGACGAATTCCTGTGCTCTCGCATTCTTTTCCTCATGACCTACGATACCAATGTTGACTTCGACAACCTGGTCCAACACAACGAACTTGCCGAAAATATCAACAACGCCATGACCCGACATGCAAAGCGGTACTCCAAGCATGCGCGGCGCCATTCGCAGATGCACACTTCGCCCATAGATCTCATGGCGCTGTCAGAGACACTTAAACTCATGTTCAACATCACCCACTTCTACCCTGATCTGGCCGAGCACTTCTCCAAGTCGATACCGCACATCTTCAAGATTCTTACGCGTCGAAAGATACCCAGCCCGCCCCTCCAAGCGCCAGTAAACTACCTCGTCAATTCCCTTCTGAATCTCGATCTGGAGGACAAAAAGGGCCAACAATTGAAGTTCTTGGGCATGAACGCCGTGTTCCCCACGTTCGACCAGAAGTGCAACGCTGAGTTTCTCATTGATATATTGGACAATGCTATTGTAGAGTACTCGGAAAGGGAGCTGGACGAAACGGTGGCTCCCGTGCTAACCCTCATACGTCGCATCTACGAAATCGCACCCGAGAGCGTACAGAAACACATAGAATGGCTCCTGCTTCCCACCGACAAGGAGCGATCACGCCCTCTGGGTCAGTCCGACACTCTCTCAGCACGCCTCCTCCGCCTTTCGACCTCTGCCATGACACCTTCCTTACGGAGCTCCATATCCGCCATGATGTTCGAGCTGTCTGGAAAGGACGCGAGTAAATTCGTCCAAAACGTTGGATATGGCTTCGCTTCGGGATTCTTGCTGAGTAACAACATTCAAATGCCCGAGAGCGCGATCGAAGCCTCCGCGACTGCAGACCCAGACAAGGCTATACCCGTAAACCCGATAACAGGACAGAGGTTGGATGCTGAAGATCCAAGCTTCCAGGAGCCAATGACAGAGGAAGAGAAAGAGCGGGAGGCGGAGCGGCTGTTTGTGCTGTTTGAAAGGTACATAATGAACTTTCCACTCACGATTCCGCCATACTAATAGACCTGGTAGACTTAAAGCCACGGGTGTGGTCAACGTGAAGAATCCTGTCGAGGAAGCTTTCCGCTCTGGGCGCATCCAAGAGCTTCCGGATGACGCTGACTGATTGGATTCGTGCCTTCTTTTGGATACTGGCAGTACAAAGGCTGTGGCAAAGCAGCGAGCAACGGCTTTTGGATTAGTGCAGGAAATCAGCACGCTGGCAGTGCTCCGGCCGTTTGAGGTTGACATGCTGTTAATGTCTGGTCATTACGAAACTGGATGTCTCCAGAGGCGGATATCTGATCACGGGCGCGCTACATGCCCCGTTGTTATATACATGATAGTGCCTATGACGATTCAAGACGTCCTACATATCGACGCAAGTACATGAGAGCAGTAATGAAAATAACATCAAATATCTCACAGGCTGAATGAATCATACAGAGCTGGCACTGCTCGTTCCACTCCTGATCATCGAAGAGCATATTTTGTCCGTATACCGGAATAAAAGGCACCGTACAACTGCGAGAAGTTGACTCCTATACTATCGACTTGCTGAAGTGATGGTGAAGATCCCTGGTCCCTGGCGCCTCCCATACTACCCAAAGGAACGTTCTTCACTATGTGCCCTCCTAAAGCAGGGGAAATATACGCTGAGCGCAGACGCAGAAGCACAGGGTAGTGCGAGAGTGCCTCCACGGTCGCGGAACCCCACGATCCGAGAGCTTCCCAGGTGATGTCGTAGTTTTGTGAATGGATTTCTGTATAATGGTACACTTTCCAGGCGAGGTAGATTCGAAAGGAGCCGATGGCACAGGTACTGGGTTAAATCAGCTACCGCAGATTCCATCTTTGTGGTGGGAACCTTGCATCGACCCTTCGCCGAATATGATCGACAAGCCGAGCTTCTGCACAAGCTGGAGCTTGAACTTCCATACTGCGAACAGTGGGAGTAGACAAGCAATAAAATCCTGCGTTACGCTGGTCGGAGTGATCACTAAGAACGTTGTCAATTCGTCTTGGCACTTGTAATAATGAGTCTGCGAGCATGACGTTGTGAAATGGTACCAGCAGGCCTGCACATGCCAGCGTGGGAACACCAGGACGAAGATGATGCTCGCCAGATCGTAATGTAGATGGGTCTGCTGATAAGAGACGGTGACATTCGATTATAGAACGTACAAATGGATGTTTTTGTGAGAGTATTCGTCGCGAGATATATGATCTCCATGGCCAGGGTGATTCAGTTTCTCAAGTTCCGTACAATACATGGAAGAAATCCACTTACCTGACGAACTGTTATATATGTGGAATTTTGTCATAGATGTGAAGATGAAACCCGTAGATATGAAATGCTAGATCTATGCGTGTTTTACACATGATCATAGTGACGAGCTTGACGCCTAATATCGTTTCGATGACCTGGCCATGTAATATAAGCAACGCGTAAGTTAACAATGGGAAGCCGTGCTGGGCTTGGAGAGTATCGAGGAGCATAGTCCCCGGTGCACAATTTGTAGTACATGTTCAGTCTTACCATGCAAGTAATAATCAGCCAATCATCTATGCCAACAGTCCTAGTTATTCGAGAACGACTCCAAAAGCGTGGAAAGAGGACTCCCGACGCGATGATGAATATAATGACGATACATGGTGAGATTGGAAGAATAAGCAAGAGTAACACCCCTTCCACTCCTTTATAAGGAGTCTGGGACGGTGCACGTGAAAGTGCAAGTGCAAGTGCGCCGCTAGCCTCTGGGGTCGACTGCTCTCAACACTTCATCGGTTGATCGTCTCGGATTACTTGAATCTACTCGTCTCTCCTATAGCCACATCACGCAGCTTCAAAATGTACATGATCAACAAGGTAACAGGCCTGTGTTTGATGTTGAGATTTGGTTGGAGTGTATAGTGGTAACGCATCAGGTTCTGACGGCCACGGATCTGGAGCGTGTTCCGAGGATCGGCTCCAACCAGGCGAGCAACCTTCAGTTGAAACTTGGAAAAATAAAGTGCTAGTGCTGTTAATCAGTGGTGTACTGTTATGCTATGCTCACGCGCACAAGAGGACCGATTGCTACCACAGACGCAGTGCATTCAGTGGCTATTATACCATAGGTATTATCCCCAACATTTGCGTACAGGTTTCGATTTAGCATAAGCTACACTCAGTTCTTGCTCCAAATTAAAAACAAGAAACCCACATATTCTCACTACGAAGAAGGTTCAAAGTAGCGCAATTGGCGCCCAAATGGATCCTGTCTTCCTTTGGTGCTAAAAACCGCCCCAAATTCAACCAGGATGCTTTGTGTTAAGGCAAAATCGTTGGCGCTGTCCATGTCGACCCGTCTGGCACATTTAAGTTTTTGAGTGCTTGATAGACAGCAGGAAAGCAGCACAAAGTCATCACCGAGGTTACATTCAACAGCCAAACAAGGAGCCAGTAGTGTAATTACACTAGTAGCCTCGAGCACATGCACCGTTCGCTTCGGAATTCTCACACGTCTGTGACTTCTCTGATTTCGTCGACGTTCAGGATGAATCGAAAGTTTAAAGAAAGATCAAAGGTTAGTTATCTCGCCTTTGAAAAGTTTATGTACGCTGACGTGTGATCCGCAGAGCGTTTAAAGGTGTGTCTGAATGATACAGGCTGCAAGTATGTCTTTCTTGCTGCAGCTGGCATCGCATCATATATGAGAGCAATTTGGGACTCAATCAACACAAGCATAAGATCAAGTATGTCAAAGGAGGTTTTCTAGAACAAGGTATGCTGGCCTTGCGCGTGTCGATGGTGGCGTTTCTGTGCGTCTTTCGAGCACCACCAGAGTCCAGCGGAAAAACCACGAGGGGAAGGCAATTAGATTCTGCTTCGATCATCAGAAGGTACCCAATTGCCTGGAACTCTGCTATAGAGTGAATGACAAAACTTCCTCCAGGGCGGATGCCGCCAGCCTAGTTGCAAATTTGAGCACTCCAACGTTGGCAATATCATCAAACTACTAGGTAAGCTTCAAGAAGGACCCCGTAATATGATAAGTCTTCTTATCGTCGGTCGACCCGGCATCGTTCCCATGAATGCGAACGAAGAGCGCCTCAAAAAGGTCTTCGCATCTCTATTCGCACACATACTAAAGAACAGTGGGCGGTATATCTTACTCGATAAAACGACGAAGGACAATCTGCACCGACTTCCATATGTCACCAGTGCGACGTGAAGTTTTGCAAACTAGATCATGACTCACTGGAGCCTGGTGCTTTCCGCTGCCTCCAGTACATCATGAAGAGGACTCGGTGCACCCAAGGGCGGCGAGTGTCGCGATACAAAATGCTTCAACAGACATGTTTGCCAAAAGATCGAGTGTCGAATGAGGCGCGTTCAAGGCTGCAAAATGATAGAGGAGATGCATAAGGTTGTTCTTCATGTCGATAGATGGGTGAAAATTGATATGGGCGGTGAGAGGGTCAATAAAAATGGCGTCGGAGGCACTGATGACGCCCTCATTGACTTCGGTGACTAGTCGGAAGACCCGCGAACAAGATCTAGGTAGAGCAAGCATGCATTTGGGACAAATTGGTGACTTCTCTACAGCCTGACACACAAGATGTAGCCAGTTGCTGATGGTGCATCAACCAGGAGATATTCAGAATACCGAAAAGATGGGAAAGGCACGGGAGGAGGATACAATTGATTTTTCTATACTACCTCACTCAGCCAGCATTTGTTGGGCTCATGATATACAGGCTGAAATTTCAATATTCCCGAAATGTAATGCAAACAGGTGACATCAATGTGATAGGGCAGAAATATGACTAGCACTCATGTATTGATGCAATTGAATTATGGCGGATTGGCCATGACGGCCTGCGCGGACTTATCGGATATACCAGGTGCTATTCGTCTCATCAGCTAGTCCTAGATAGGCTGCATTTTGCGCTTGTTCCCTGAAGTACCCAAGTCTGTGCGCGGCAACGACACGACGCATCGTTCTTTACATAGCCTCGCCTCCTTCCCAAGTAGCTGTGTAAAAGCGGAGCATATAATACAAACTCCTTCTCGATTGTGGGTGGCTACTCTATTCCCTAACAACGACGTCCATGACAGATAGACTGCAAGGGTATTCAGAATTATTCGGGCGGTAGAGCTTCGTATCTGAGCAGACTTTTGAGGGAATTCATCGAGTCGACTGGTCTTATCTTTCCCTTGACATCACCCGTTTGTCATAAGTAGTACAAGATGGTTGGAGTCCCGGGGCGGTCAAAAGGTACCTCGCCATGCTTCCAACTCTTTCACCACGCTAAACCCGAGAGGATGCTCGACGTGCCGATATAGGAAGAAGGGGGTATGTAATCTTCTATACGAGTGCGCTAATTTTGCCTATGACTGATTATGCCCTATCAAGTGCGACCAACTACGACCCATTTGTGGCAATTGCATACGCGGGGGACTCGAGTGTGGCGGATACGAGCGTACCATTATTTTGGTTCATGCCGATGATTCAGGAAAAGGAACCTACAAACCCGTCGTGAAGAAAGCACAGAATCGTTCGCAGCAGCCTGGTCCGATGTGCGGACCAGTATTCGTGGCTCCACAGTCTAAGGGCCTGAACAGGACGTCGTTCGAGCTGCGATTCTATGAAAACTTCTGGGATTTATTTTTACCTCCAAGGTCTGGTCCGGTAGATCCATGCACGACTTCTTTTGTAAGCTCGGGCACTCAGTGGGCTGATTATACTCTTAATTGTGTGCCCCGAAGCGAGGTGACGAGGTGCGCGTTACTTGCATTGAGTACCTCGAAAATAGGCAGAGACACGGAAGACAAGCTGCTCACACGGCAGGGTCTCGAGCTGTACGGCAAAGCGCTGTCGCTGTTCGCTAAGGAGCTGCAGACTCCAGGCAAGGCGAAACCGTTCGAGGTGCTAAATTGCTGTCGCATATTGGCGCTATATGAGGTGAGTACGTTGGCTTGCAAAGGGCGTCTGGCTAACCGTTGCAGCAACTCAATGATATTAGCGCAGCAGCAAGAAATTGGAAAGGCCATATACAAGGCTTGCTGAGCCTTGTCCACCAGCATCCCCCCGAAGCATTCTCGCATACTGGTGCACATGAGATATTCCTCGAGTGTCGTCACAATGGTGTGACTTCTGCTCTTGCAAACCGAAAGGCAACCTTTCTCTCTAAGCCCGAGTGGATCAGTGGACCTTGGAAATCGAGACACAAGGACGTCGTTGATACCGCTTTTGATATTTTGGTCAAAATTCCCGGCGTCCTGGAAGAATGGGACCTGATTAGCACTCGCACGTCCACTGGAGAAGCTCTTCGCAGGGCAAGGGTCTTCAGGGACCAATGTTCTAAGGTTGATCACGAGCTCTCTATGTGGTACAGCAGCTTCATATCTGTGCTCGCACACGCGCATCCAGTTGAAGCAGAGGCTCTTCTCAATGGCACAGACAGACCCGCACAACAAACAATGATACCAGACATCTTAGCGAAAGTCGGACTTCATCACCTCCACGCGATGATGATATATTGGACAACGTGCATGATTCTACATGCTACTATTGACCTTGTGGATGATTTTTTCCCCATGGCTACCAGTTTCGGGAGCGAAGCGCCCAGATTACGGGGCTTTCAAATCATCAAATACCTTATATGCCTAGCACACAGTGCTAAGTACTTCCTTGGGTCTGAAATGGGTTTGCTTGGGCCCCTGATCATATCTTACACAGGTACCGGCTTAATTCGCACGCTTTACGCACACCAGGCCTGCTTTCCAGAAGCTGATCCTAAAGATCTGGAAGAGCTGAGGCATGTAATGAAGTCCATTGGGAGCTTGAGAGGGTTCAACACATGGCAGATGTGGAAACATGGCATGGATGAGCTCAACAACGATAAGAAAGGCACGTGTCGTCTCCATCTACACTACCAGGGCGAATAGAGTACTGGAGTGCTAACAAGGTCTAGCGATAATCGACCGCTATAACCACGATCACGTCGATTGCAAGAATGGGCATTTGACCTAGGTTCCCGGTCGGGCAGAAACAGCAGTAGGCCCAAAGACTCATAATCTGAGGCAGTCTTGTGGCAGGATAGAAGATAAAATCACTCACGTTACAAAACAATGACTTCATTACAGCTAACGGCTCTGGATCAAACTGCCTGCTTTGCAACGAGGAGACTGCGATTGACAAAGGAAGATTGCGGAATTTTCGCGCACTCATATTTATTTAGTAGCTATCCCAGACACTCGTGGCCGGCACAGGCACCTCTAGTCAACACAAGCTCACATCGATTCAGTGCAGCCCAACGCGCATATATTAGCACATCTCAGTGTTTCCCTAGCTTTGAATCTGTGCGAGTCTCTCTCGCGTAGAGGGCAACGAGAGCATGAGAGAGTACACGCCCAAAACATATCGCATGATGCAGCCACTAATTGCTTTACAAGAACTCAACGCATTGACGTCACTCCATGATTTTCACCGTCCTGTTGAGTGGCAGTCGTGCTTTGAGGAGGTGAGATGTGTTAACACTCATAGTTCCATAGCTTAGGTGTGGTGAACCTTGATGGGGATTGTATAGTACATTTTCCTCAATGAATCCGTAGTCCTAGAAATATTAAGGGATACCGGAGCCGTGAAATACAATATGGGGGCACTCGTGGGTGCCCGTGGGCTGCTGCCCACGAGGAGAATGGAATGGCCTAGGGTGGGTCACGTGTGAACCGTGGTTCTGGAGACATCGTTGCCTCAACCACCCAGCAGCGATGACGTGGTCAGCGGCAATACCAAAACGAAACGGACCTGACCACGGTGCTAAAACGATGCCAAATTTTTTGTTCTTGTCTGTGGGTGGTGTCGACAGCAAACGCGCCCGGTGAAACAAGCCTGGCGGGTGGGTGCAGAACGCTAACATCATCCATTCACTATCACCTCGATCCACAATGAGAATCTCTCTCTCTGACCAAACGCACCCAACACGACACTTGCGACAACACAAACCCTCGACCGTCGCAGAGACGACATCGAAAACCCCCCAAGAGAAACCAGCGCAAGACTCACCTTTTGTTTGTTCGGACAGCAACAGTTATCATGGAGTACGCAGCGCCGCCCGCAGACGGTGCCGACCGCAGATGGAAGCCGCAGGATGTTACCGCTCACAACCAGCGTGCGCATGCTTTTGCGCAGACAAGAGCGATGATCCGCCTTGAGACAGAGTCGCTCTTTGTCACTTCTTCGCGCGGTTTTGGCCGCGAGCTGCCACCTACGGGCCTTGCACGACCACCCTTGAAGAGCCGTCGATACACTATTGACGCCTCACTCGCTACCAGGGCTTTCCAGTACGAACGTGACTATACAGCCAACAACTACGACCGTTTACCAGAAGACTTGACATACCCAACACAATTTATCGCGAAGACCAATGTTTCTGCGCGAGAGATAGACGAACGTGTTCAGCTCGGGATCCAGCTCACCCTACCGGACCCGCTTCGCTATCGCGAGCTTCATCGCTGGGGTCGTGTTCTGCCGCAATTCAACGAGGACAGATACCCCGGCGATGATGGTGAGCGGCGCTTCATGAACGACACGTACATTCAGTTCAGCGATGGTCCGCTAAGGAATGAAGACTTTATCACCATCACCTCAATGACTTATGGATCCTGGTATAGAGACGACGTTATGGACGCTGCGCTGGCGTTATGTTCGATCTACTATGGAGCTGAGGACAACGAGATCATGGTCGTAGGCTCCGGGACGTCGCAGGCTTTCAAATTCGCAGCTATGACGCATGGAGAATTGGACATGACTGAGTTGCGAGCATACGCGCCGATATTCCAAGGCAAGAAGTGGATTTTGATGCCTCTGAACGACGGCATCGGTGAGACGTCCACAGGGCAATTCCACGGGACTCATTGGTCTCTTCTCGCAATCAACCGGCCTAGCAAGTCAGCGCACTACATTGATGGCTACGGATACAGCATGGAAAAAATGGCTAAGTGCTACGCATGTGCTTTGCAGAAGATGCTCGATGATGAGGAGTACGACTTCTATATTGAGTGGAACTCTCCTGACCAATGGAGCAACAATTCCACGCCTTTTATCGATTGGGGTCCTTGTGGCCCGTACGTTGTGAAGATCGTTAAGATCATGATGGCCCATATTCGCAATCATCAGAATGTCGGACGCGAGGCAGATATTACGCTCCATCTCAATTCCAGTTTCCGTTCTCAATTCGACTTTGATTCTTACTCCGAGCGCCGAGCCCTAGAGTACACCATCGCAAGTTTCGAGGCCGATCAGGTCGCGAGGGAGCGCGCGACACTCTACGCCAATACGGTCCTGGGCCTTCCCCGTCCGCTAGATCAGGCTGAGGTCGGCAACCCAACGTGGTCGAATCACGACGCGCCACTCTTTACCCAAGAGACTTCACAGTGTTTGACCTTACGCAAGTTGGGTAATTATCGGGAGCTTGCCCACCGCCAGCGCCAGCACCGGCGCCATACACCAGTATATACCTCCAGCTCCAGCGGTAGCTCTGGTGGCATCAGCGTCAACAGTGAGGCTAGTGGTACCCACCGCCGATTCGCGTGTAACGGAGCTCAAAGCGGCCAATTTGCGAATGATGTGGAGATGCAGGAGCGGCCAGTGTCGACCGCGGTCAATGATGATGGCTGCGGAGTCCGCATCGAAGAATTCTTCGACAATGACAACGACTACTGTTCACTGAATTTGGCTATGCCTGATCAATCTCGGCGATCTCCAAGCCTCGACACGCCCAGCTCATCCATCTAAAACACCTCCCAAAGCAGCCACAACCACGACGAGACGGTCCGCTCTGAGGTCAACACCCATGATGAGATTGACCGGCTTTTGGATGAAATGGCTTAGTAGTGGGCCTCCTCAACGGTTTACCATTGCTGTCGAAGCATTTTCTGGCCGGGACGAACTGATATGTTCCTGCTCATAGGGACCTCTTGTCTTTGACATATCGCAAAGATGACTTACGCCAGGATCGGCGTTCTTTGATCGGTATCTTACACTCGTTTCCTTTCTAGTGTTCTTGCATATTCTATTAAAGTCCCGCGTTGGACTATGCCTTGCTCTTGGTGGTTATAACAGCTGGCATCCCGTCGTCCTACGTACTACCTCGTCGACACGAGAAACATAATTGGGCACAGCTATGCGGAATACTGGCATCTGTTTCATGAATTTTTGGAGTTGCTTGACTGGCCCATTCCCTGCAGAGCTCTATACCCCAAAATACATCTTGTCCAGACGAAGTTTTAATTTGGTTCACTCCAAATCTATTATAGCTCAATGATGATTTCCTCACTCTGCTTAGCAGTCTTAGAAATAAGATTTCCCAGATAAATCATAGACTAAAATATGCCCGAAAAGCTATACATGTCCATATGTCAAAGGTTAGACAGCAAGAGCCCAAACATATGCTGGGATCTACTATTAGAGGGTCTCATAACACAGCGGGAAACATTTCCATTGGGCCCTGGTGTTTCTTTGGAGAGCTGCATTGCTCAGATTTTTTGACTCGAGGTTGTCACTGCAAAGAACAGCATCCCGCCTACGTCTTGTCAACACTCAACGCAGTCAGACATAAGGTGAATCACCTCTGTTCATCGCAGTGGACGGGGTCCATCTACATTCGGTCAGCTTGATTCGAACTTAAGTATGAAAATATCTGAACCGACTTCGTCACTTCCACTAGCTCAGCTTTCTTGTTCTCAAATCGCCATTTTCGCCGCTCATCGCCTTGCCGTGTCTCCTCGCGCTGACTTTCACCAGACGCGGAGGTTCTTAGTGCTTCTAGATAGACGTGAAGATTTAATTCTCATGAGAAGTCGCGTTTGCTGGAATTCCCATTTCCTTTGATTGATATGCAGTTAAAAAAGAATGAGTGACAATGGTTATAGTACGGATAATGATAACAGCTTCTGCATTCGTTAGGATCTGGTGAACTGGCCACTTCGTGGATTCTGTCCTGGCCTACTATGATGGACTATGTACTTTCCTATAAGCTGACAGCAGCTGACGGAAGATTCATCAGGTAAACAGTACGCGAAGCCAGTGTGTGTGACTTCATCCAATGCAACGAGTTGAGATACATGGGTCTCCTCTAGAAATATTAGAGACGTCTTATAGCAGCATATGCCCCAGTAGTCTACTGAGACGACCAACAAGTCAATTGATCCTTGAACGCGGTATTGCACCCAGCTACAGGAGAACACCAGTAATCTCAAATAGCTTCTGTACACCTTTCGATACGTACACAATTCCGCTAGTAGCATGAATATCGGTATAGCCAAGGAAGCAGGACAAATCATCATCTGATCTAGGCTTACGATCACGCCGATCGGCCAGGCATTCGCTTCGCTGACCGCCAAGCTCGTTGCCTGTTGGCTTGGCAAAGAATCTGCTAGGTGGAGTGGATGGTTTGACGATGTAATGGAAAATCTTCCTGCTATAATTCCTGTACACTCCGAATCACCATCTGTGTGACTTGCACATCCTGTCGCTACGATCGTGGTTCCGTCGACGTACACGTACATCAACACAGGTCAAGCTGCACAATGGCTCAGCAAGGAGGCACATATCGTATTTCAACTGGTCTCTGCTCCGAATCATCTGGATAACAGAACCTATCTAACTAGATGCAGGGAATGATGCTCATAAGAGTACCAGATCTTCACTTCGGGCTTCTATCTACGAGAACAACAACTTTGGAGATGGACAAGATTCTGTAGCAGAAGGCAAAGCTGAGAGCCAGAGCTCCAATGGTAGTCCTCAATGAAAGTCCTTGTATCATGAGACCACAGAACGTGCTAATTGTGTTGAGTAGCAATCGATGTCGCAAGGCAATCCAATATTTCCGTATCGCCCCACGATAACAATCGCGACAGTCGGCAATGGGAGGTTTTGCCTCATCCACAAGCAGAAGAATATACAGAGGAACCCTTAGGGATGGCAGGAGGTATCTCAAGTCAATTTGACTTCCAATTCGGCTGGGGAAGCTGGAAATTTTCTTTGTTCAACTGGGATCTGAATGTTAATCGCGCGAAGGACCGGAAGGACCGGAAGGACTAGTTTTCGCAGTCGCTATGGGAATTACTGCCCAATTTCGTAGGGTGAGCGAACAGCAGAACGTAACATTTAGATATTAGAGTATAAAACCAGATAAGAGTGATGTTACTGACATCTTGTTATGTTCTCTACTTTACTTTTCTCGCACCTACTTGAGTGACGATACATCTATACTAAGCTGGGTATTCTACAGGATCAAATAGAGGCCTGCAGCAAATGTGCATGGCTACTTTCTGGACCAGGGTTGCTGAATATCGAGAGTTCTTATCCACTGTGAAAATTTACAATTGTTCGCCTCGAATAGCTAAGGCTGCCGGACACAGTGTTTCTTTCGACGTTCAAAATTGGGGGCTGCGTGATTCACGCTGAGACGGATAGATTGGCCAAAATCATCATGAAAACAGTCGCGACACGGAATATGGACCGCCGAAAGGAACGGGCAACCAAGTTCACCAGTGATCAGTAGCACCTGTAGCTTGTAGCGGACCCGGAAGTAGATCATTTGTCTAACAGTATGTATCGCGATCCAACGTGATCCACCTTTGGGATGGTTAAGACGATGATTGAGAGACGACGATACCCAGTGCACGATTCACACGTGACTCCGATTCCCCAACACTCCCTCACCCTCGCGGGCACTTACAGGCACCCACGCGAGCGACCTCTCGTTTTTTCGTCAGCCACTCCGGGATCTACACATGGTGATCCAATGTATATGCTTCTGGCACACGATAGTCAGCTCCTCTTCAATAGCGCAGTAGATGAAGACTTCTTTGGGGAGGGATTCAACAACGTATTGCATCACAGAGCTTTGCGCCTCTTCTGACCCAAGCCTGAAAGCTATCGCGCCTGAATTCTTCCTGAATTCTTCAAGGAGACCAAAATCATCCCCATTTTGCCCTACGCAAGTGACAGGAGAGAAGCGCTCAAGCTGTGGAGCTTGGACGAGAAACTGGACGGAGGCTCCTTTTCTCCTAGTTCACTTCATGCCTTTTTGGGGCATAATATCTTTTTAGCATCCATGAATATATACAGTGCGATTGATTCCTCGCTATCCTAGCGCAATCCTCGGTTAGTCCTCTTCGTTGGCGGTTCACAATTTATCTGTGCCACAACAGACCCACACCGTTAAATCATTGAGAAAAAGCAACCCTACGACATGCCAAGCCAGCGTGTCGGCCTCTCAAAATCGAATATCCATCTAGGACTGCCTTCTAACCAAGTCGTCTCCTGTTACCTTGAGTCTGGCGGGTGTGGCCACTTCGCTCGACATAAAACTTATGACATGACGGTGAAGAAAGGCGATGAAAATATGTACAGACCTTCAGGTTTCTGTGTATAAGCGAAATATGTTCATTGGTAGGAAATGCCAGCCAGAATCTTCAGTCCTTAGTACGTCGCCAGCAGTAAATTCCAAATATTGACATCGAGTTATTTCTCCGGAAGTCGTCTTCAGAGTCATTGATGTACGTTTTTCTCATCTGTAGGATACCCTTATAATGGTAGTTTCTCCGTTCGCCCGTCCAACGGAACTTTACCATGCTGGTCAATGGCTGAGAACGCAGTATGTCACGAACTCCACGCCCATTATTGAAACTATCTTCTATGGGTCAATCAAGGCTTTGAGTGGTAGATCGCACGAGATTGTGGATACATGAACACGACCACGGCTGCTTTCTACCGTAGGTATCCCACATCAATCTCACTACTGTGTACCTACAATTATGGCGACATCCAGCCAACAGAAACTGCTTCTCATTATTGCCTTCACAAAAACGATCCGCACCCTAGCGTAATCATCGACTTAGGTTTCCAATCAACAGCATTCGAGTTACTCTGTCTACAATTCTAACCCAACAAATCCCTTCACTCACTACACCAATGATCCTCACCCGCTTGTCACGGCGCTAGCTACTACGACCACATCTATAGCAGGGAGGAGGATAACCCATCGGAGGCAGGTATTGTTCAGCCGTGCAATCCGCCGTGACGTTCCCCTTAGCTACGCAACTAGTACTCCCCTCCGAATCCTCGGTGCAGTCAAGTGGAAATACCGCCTCGTAGTGGAATGCGAAGATATCAGCCGCGCATTGAGCGAATGTCCTGAACCTTATTGACGCAGTTTTGCCGTCTCCTGACACTCGGAGGACGTCGTAAATCATTCCGTTCTCCGGTGGTGAACAAGGTACACTGTATTCATGGCCCTCGGATTCGTGCCAAGTTGCGTTGGCAGTCTTGCAGGATGCGCTCACGGTGGGAGCGTTCCAAGATATCGCGCTGGTATTCGAAGCATCAGAGAGAAACACGAAGTCCTTGATTGCTGTTGAAGATGGGACCCATTCGCAGCCATGGATTGGTACGAACTCGGCAAGAGTTGTTGAAGCGGCTGCAACAAGAACAAATAAAATTGAAGGTGTCATGATGGATGCTTAGACTTGCAGAGGTGGCGAAGCAACCTTTTTCAATCCGCGTAAGATGCCTGTCGTCGGCAAAGCGAGTTGGTTGGCGATTATATCTAATGCACGATCTTTAGCGACATACTTTGGGGGCGGTGCAGTCAGGTCAATATCGCGTCTGCACGGCTAATATAATCTACAGGTACGACGCAGAGTCGTAAGCGCCCCGTTAGATTGCAGACACGGAATTCTCCCGAATATATCCTATTTGATTAGGTCCAGAGCATATCCGTGGTCGATTCGGACATCGAGGTTGCGCCTTCGTCGTGACGTTACCTGCATGAACGAGGCCTCATGGTAGTGGCTGCTGGAGTCCAATGCTACCACACTAACATGTTTCCTGGAATGGAAACAATGCATTTTCAAAGCTACACGTGTGTGTGTGACATCAAAGATATTTGGCCCATCATATTATCAACGAGTACTATGTAATTTTATTTTTGGTACCGCAGGTCAAAAAGTCTAGAAATAGCTATCCCGCATCATCATCTTCAATCCTGAATCCGTCTTCGGATACTTCATCGTTTTCTGGTACTCTGTCCACTTGCTGCATCCATTCTGCCATGCTGAATCTCCCAGCGGCGCTTGGTCCTTGGCCTCCAGGAACTGCACAGCCAAACCATCGGAAACATGCCATGCAATATGGCAATGCATCAACCAAGCTCCGGGGTTATCAGTAGGGAATGCAATGGCAAGCCATCCACCCCCTGGTAAGAGAGCGACGTCGCGACGCGTGGGATTTTGCCAGGTCAGGGTAGATGGAAAGCTTGAAGGGTCGAAAACGCCCTGTCCGCGACCCAAAACGTAAAAATCATGGCCGTGAAGATGGATTGGATGCGGTATCGGGACGCGGGTGTCGGCAGGCTCTTGGATGATCCAGTATGTCCACTATCAAATTTATCAGCTGCCTCGCATGAGACGAATAACAACTTACGATTCCCTCCTTAGGCAGCTCGATCAGATTGTAAGCCGAGGGGTAGCTAGTGTTCTTCGTCGCTACGTACTCCAACGTTGGGTCCTGCCACTCTACATTGATGGCTGTGAGATTGATGCTCCATACGACGATATTTTGTCCATTTGTCGTAACAGTTTGCGATATGTCGACGTCCAAAGTCTGCACCTGATTCATGAACGCTGTCTGGTCAACGGTGTTCGTTACCCACGGCACAAGGTTCGTGTTATCGGGCTCGTTGCAGTCCCGGGGCAGAGAGCCGGCGCTGGAACTTGGTGTGGCATTCTGGTTCGGAGCGTCCTTGTAGGAGAATATGGCGAGTGCGTCTGGGTTGTCATTCGAAGAGACACAGGCTGCGACGGCTGATGCGCGGAACCAGTACGTAGCAGCAGCTTGGTTAGCTGTGAAGATGACGTCGTAGCGTTGGCCAACAGAAATTAGTACCGAGTCGGTAACCCATGGCTTGACTGGAACTAGGTCTGCTGTGATTACCGTTGGGATTGTTAGCTCAAAATCAGGTGGCTGAAACCAAACGGCTTACTGTGAATTTGTGATTATCAAGAGAGACTCGGAGGGTGTTGTCCGCTGATGTGTTGATTAAGCGCAGTCGGTACTTTTTGTCCTTGATGAGATTCTGCGTCTTTGCATAGCTGCCTGTGCTGCCTTTCACATTTGTTCCATTGATCAAGACAGTGTTGGCATTCGGCGGCGGTCCTCCGGCCTGGAGGTTGTTGTGTGCCAACAAACCTTGCTGCCAAGAAGTCTTGTAATACCAATCAGTGAGAATGTAAGGTCCCAAATCGTAGTCATAATTCGAAGAGGCTGGGCCGTTGATCACTATCGCTCCGAAGGCACCATCACCATACTGCGCGCTGAAGTGCGAATGGTACCAGGTCGTGCCGAATTGGGTCGCCTTGAAGGTGTAGGTTCTGGTGTCGCCAGGAGTAAGCGGGCATTCTGTTATCCCCGGCACACCATCTTGAGGGCAGGACCCTAACTGTCGGATGCCGTGCCAATGTATCCCCGTACCGTTATTTGGCACAGAGTTCTTCAGCGTGACTTGGATGGTGTCACCCCAATCTGTGTCTGTATCAGTATCCAGCAAGCTGAAGGATACTGCGGCGATGCCTGCTTTTACTTACCAGCGTATAGTGTCGGTCCTGGGAATTGGCCATTGATCTTCACACAGGGTCTTGTATCGGAACCGTCAGGATTGCATGTGCTCTCTTGGAGCTCCCAATTGTATGTGACCATCTTGCCAGTTGTGGGCCACTTGGCATCGAAGTCTGTTGCCGCACTGAAGCCATCTGACCAGCATGATCTTGTGAAGGGCCCGTTTGTGCAGGCTGAATCTGCGACTCTGGTGGAAGTCGGAGTAGCTGAAGCCTGTTGCCGCTTATCAAGTGTGGTAGGTCGACCTCCCTCGCCCCAGAGAATATGGTCAGATGGTATAGTCTCCGCTAGAGATGTAGAAATGTATGCTAGTAGGCAGGTGTGAGTAATCATCGGAAAGCGCATCTTGAAGCAAACAGTGAATCAACAGACCAAAAGGATGAGAACGGAAATGGCTGACAGCAGAGGTGACACTAAATACTTGTCGCAGTTAAAGCAGAACGACTACAGTGTTACAATGCAGTTTAGGTTGAACGATCGTCCTCGCCAGGGACTATTCCTGGCCATATCGACTTTGAAGCCCAGGTGCCGCGGCTGTCCTAAACACTACTTGCCGAAGTAGTTCAACATGAATAAGGGTCATTATTTGCATGAATCCCGCTGTTCCGGAAGTCTTGTATGGTCGCAACCTGTAGGGCTGTATATACCGGATGCGCAGAGCCGTCTGGGACCGAAGGCAGGTACGAGGTGTTCACGAATGGCAGGGAGGCACATGTCTGTATCAAGTTAGGGTCGCATTAGGGTTTCGGGTCCCCAAATACTGGGTCTTATCGATCGCGCAAGGTCTACACGATAACGTGTTGTGGGGCGCTCAGCTGAAGCTGACATACACTATCGACTACTTGCAGTAGACGTGCACCAGGCAATCCGAGTGTCGCGCGAGCGAATACCTACCTAGAATTTAAACTACTCTTAAATTGTCGTACAACAGATGCTGAGCTGATCTATGAGCGGCCTCATACCTGCTCTATATGGTACACCGCGTACCAACGGCCACAACCATTAGGCGGACTTGTACAGCAAGAGCTCACGCATATAGAGAAGCTGCATTGCTGCTCGGCGTGTGGGCTTCATGAAATGCTCCCATCTCACAGTTATCAACCTCCAGTGATGGAAGATTATGTGGAGGAGACGCGGGGCAAAGTTTGTGGGAGCTAGCAACACCCTGCACAAAGACGCACACAAGCAGTATGGCTGTTAGTCCGCCAGACTGCAGTTTGCATTGCAGACTGCAAATCAAACAATGTTGTCAAGGCTACTTTCGACGTACATCCGGACTGGTCGCATGGCTCCAGGCCGCGGAGGCGTTGCGGTAGAGTATGTTGCGCATCACGTCTTTTCCAAGTTCCGACCAGTACTGTGCCTGTCTGTCGCGAGGATCCCGAGCTAGTCAGGTAGATCGGAATTCAAGCCTTAGTTCGAGTTGAGATGCGAGTTGAGATGGAAATTGGAGAGAGTTGAGGACATCTGCTGGGATTCATGATCAAGCGAGACCCCGATAAGCAATAATTAGCGAGCGCATCGCTTCATATGGACAACAGGCGCATGGTGCTAGGCTTGAATCTCGGCTCTCCACCGTCATCTTCATCTCATAGCAGCACGACACTTCGAACCGACCGGTCCCCATGGCGCGACGCTCTATGCTTGCCAGCTCCTGTGAGATGATCTTGTACCCAGTTCGTAACCTATTTCCGTCTCCTCCGCTCTTCCGCTCAGGCCCCACATGCGCCTGCGAGCTTTGCGTTCATGTCTGTCGACCGTTGACATCAGGAAACATCCCCCGGCTCAGAGAGATAGCTTGTATACGGCACCACTCAAAAGGGCGTGCCGTTCACGTTACGCACCCAGAGAAGTTGTGACGTTTTGGTGCTTCGAATTATGGCTCCCCATTAGCGTTTCCCGGCGCCATGGAAGATGCCTGCAGTAGCGTTCAACTGGCGTCACTCGCTCGGCATCTGACACTGCGCACTCGCAGGCTCGAGTGGCCGGAGAGATAAACTGTGTGACGAGAGGAACTTCACGGGTGCATCTGTCCTACAACTGCCTCCTTGGCAAAGGGTCCAACGGATTTTGTGCCAGGTCGGAATGCTGGTGTTTACACGTACTATTAATGGAATCCTGTGCGCCTCATGCACGATCCCGTTAGAACTTCCGTTCGCAAGATATCGGAGATCGACAAACGTCCGGCACCCGATAGGTACGGTTCCGGCGGAGATTCACATTTGCATGTCAATATGTCGGAGCTTGAGTTGTGCCGCAGGATCTGCAGCTGAGTACGGTCACTTTCATGTGGACTCGATATTGATCCTTGGAAACCTTGGAAATAATTGTCGCCCCACATGGGATTGCTGTCTCCCACTTGACCGGTCAATCGTGATGGATGATATTGAAGCTTTGACTACTTTGACAACACTGTTGGGTGACAAATTGGGGTTAGGGTTTAGTATCTCCTATCGGTTGCATAGCAAATGCTCCACCTCGCAAGAAATGTTCTGAGACAGGGTCATTTCTTGGACTGTAGCGGTCATAAAGAGTTAGCTCTCATTGGATCCACCTTTGGTACGACAGCTGTCCGTCCCTAACGGTCAATGATCGGGACGTCTGAGCGCGAAAACCTTCCGTGAATACACCCACCGTGGGGACGATAGCTCCCATTGAGACCCATGGATCTGCATAAGTAATGAATGGCCGGGGCGCGATAGCACTTCATCGTTTTCTCCTCTGTTTTCGAGCATTGTCATTGTCTTTTCCTTTTTTCTCGTTCTGCACACAAACCCGACCTGCATAATGACTCGCATATTAAGGCTTGCGACAGCCTTGGGCTTTGCGACACTCCAAAGCCGCCAGGATTCGGAAACTGGCCCTGCATTATGCCACTCTTATGGCATGGACTTCCAGAGCGGTGGGACTTACTTCCAGAACTCATTGTCAAGCGACAATCTTACATTTGTCGAGCAATTCGAAGGTAAATCGCAAACTCTCACAGGCGGGATACCACCTCTAATATATTCCAGGCTGTAATCAGGATGTCGCGTATAACATCATCGTTGATCCGCAGGGCGACCAGAACCTGTGTACCGATACGAATCTCGCACCCGATGACACGGACATGCTCTCAACCTGCCCACTGCGGAAGAATCAGCTTGTATCCGGCACCTGGTCGATTATAGTTATCAGCGACAACGGCGAGGGTGTACCTCTGGCGGCGCAGCGAGACTTCGTTCTCTCCGTCGGTCCTCAACTTACATCAACAACAACGCCTACAATCACAGCTACCCGCGTCCTTAATCCCATAGTTAATCAGACCATTACGGAAACGACAACGGACACCACATATCTGAGCCCAAGCACCGTAACAATCCCTTCAGCAACGATCACTCCCACAACCACCGTCACACCCCGGAAGGTGACTTCCTACTCGACTAAGGCACTGTTGACGTTGAGGGTGCCCGCCTACACATTTGAGGTCACAAAGGTGACGGCCACCAAGACCGCCAGCTGCAAGCTGCCCACGCGCCCCGCGCACTTCGACAGGCGCGCGGTTATCGTCCCCACTGTCGGCCCAGTAGCCCACATCATCGCCTCAATTGGCCTTTTCCGCCGTGAAGAGGACAGAGGGCGCTTCTTGCAAGAACGTGCTGAGCGTCTTGCACTCGTTGAGCGCGCGCCCGATCCGCAGCCTCTCCTCGTGACCGAGACGAACACGGATAAGTGGACCACTGCGACCGTGACCTCCACGGGAACGCCGATTGTCGCAACCATCACCAGCGAGGTGACAAGCCTCGCTACACTCACGCCTCCGCCGATCACTGTGGTTTCAGGTGAGTGTACGGAAACCCGCGTCACGGTTACGGCGCCTACACCAACGCTCCTCAAGACGCGGTATATTATTGCAACAGTAGGCATACCGACGAAGACGGTTCACTATGTGTATACGATTCACACCACTTCGACACCTTCTGCTGTGGCTGAGGCATGTACGTCTGCCGGTGGAATCCTGCACTAGACCGATGTGGCATTCTGGGGCAGACGGATTGGGCGCCAGCGTTGGGTCAAGCTACGGTATCATCTTAAGGCATTGTTGGAGCGCGGCGTCTACGGCGGCATCTTAAATATTTGCATGTCGGTAGTACATGCTCGAGTTCATGTTGAGTCGAATGATTACCACGCTGTGAAACCAGCATTGTCACTCCCAGATTGGCATCGTGCGGTATCTCCCATTGGCCATACAGCTTCCAGTGAACCTTCAAGTCGGACATCGACACACTGCACGTGCCGCAAAAATATCAGCTCCGAGTGAAGGCCCCTCCAGATGGTGTTGAGTACTCCCCTGGTGTTGTTGAGATAATTCGACAAGCCAGTGGAGACCACCGGAAGTTCCGTTCGGGTTGATGAGGTGGGTCGTATATGGCCGTTCAAGTGTCCGTCGTACTTGTGTCCCGTGGAAAAGTATGGTACCTGACATGAGCGGCGGGTGGGCCCGCATGCGCGCCGGGGAAGAAGCCGTTGCTGCGTCGGGCGACTCAAGACATGGGCATTACGCAACCTTAAAAGAAGCTACTGCAGGAACATGAAACAACAATTGATGTATATATAGAACAGGCAAAGTCTATTGTCGCTGGCCGTAAGAATAGTCCTTGTAACTCCTCTAGCTCGATTCTTACTCCGTCATGACGCGGCTGCGTCGGGAAGTACGTCATAGCTTTTGGGATGCCTTCGCCGGGTGAAGCTTGGAGAAGAGACGACTTTCCATTCTCATCGAAAGCGGCGGTCGATTCCAACGTACCGAGTCATTGAGCGTCCTTGTACGCTGTCTTTCTCTGATCCAAGAAGGACACACCTTCCGCGGTAGTGGGTGCCGGTCTGTACTCGACTTCCTCCATTCTGTCTTTGAAGACGAATCCGGGATGTCCAATGCACAGACTAGATACCGAAATCAAAACGAATCTGCTCGTCGTCAGCTTCAAGTCCATCGTGAGATAGATATTCCGAACTTACACTCCCTCCAGTGCAATGAACAGATCCTCATGCGTGATCAGTTCGCCCTTGTATCCTTCCTTGAGCTCGTACGCCCGAAAAGTGCATCCCACCAGCGTCAGAAGTATTGCGAGGATTAGGAATACGAAAAATAACCCATCACGCCGAGTGAGCTTCTTCGCATGCTCATAGCTCAGTAGTCGGAAGATTAAATCGGCAAAGAGCGCAGAAAATGCAACCAGCGTCACCACTTGGAAGATCAGTCCCGCCATGGCGATGCGCACGCCATTGTTGTCATCGCCGGAGGAGGCTGCAGAGAGACGATTCCGCAAGGAAGAAATATTTACACGAAATACTTGACAAGGAAGCGTGCGAGGTCGGAGGCGTAGAAGTTGATGCTGGGACATAGTCAGCTGGGACGTTCGCAAAGACGAACATACGCCAGTGTGAACGTGCCGTTGCCCAAGCATAACGTAGATTGCTGCGCAGTAGAACACAGGTGCCTGCGTGATGCAAACTAGAAGACACATTAGCGCGGCACGGAACGACTACATGCACTGTGCGTCGTACGAATCTGCGTGATGAAGGCGCCAAAGTTCCATGGGTTAATGTATAGCAAGACTCTGGCGATGTATCCAGCAACTTCGTGCGTACAGCTCAAAACCGTGCACCACATGACCCACGGCGTCTTCCATCTCAGCCCAAGGACAAAGTGTACAATCGTGGCTATTAGAAATAGAGCGGCGAAGGCGGCATTCGCGGGGAGCGAGGGGTGGTAGCGGTAGATGCTTTCTTCGACTGCACACAGCTGTGTATTTTAATTAGCTTTGTTCGACAAAATCTGTGTCGCCGAATTTGGTATTGTATTTCAAATGTGCAATTTGCACCGGGTCCAAAGCGGACCAGGTATTGGCATTCTGACATGGAGCAGTAGGCCTTCGGCGAAGCACTCAAGAGTTGTGCGTATGGCATGTCACAAAGGACAGAAGAAGGTCTTAGTATCTCAGAGAATGTGCGATTTTCGAGCACTAGAACAAATGATCACAGAATTCAAGTAAAGTGTACTTGCCGTGCGGTGGATAGATGCTGGACAATTAGAAGGTCTGCATCCATGCACTGAAATCTCCATTGAGCCACGTCTCACCGTCCGACTGTGTGCGATCACACTTCGCCAGCACCATTGCCATCGACATCGACATTACCAGCTTCAATCCCATCTTTAACCCAATATGCTCTAGAATCCCACTGATCCAAGTTCTCTGCGTTCGTGAAGACGTGCGCGTCATGCCCGCCAGAAAAAGCGGCCAAACCAGGAAGTACCCACCAGGGTTAGGACGTGAATTTGACGGTGTATAGTGATTGCGCTGCGGATTCTGGAGATCTTTATCGGTGTAGCCCAGGAGATACGGGTCACTATAGCAGATTCCATTGACAGTGTCTCTGAGAACGGCTGCAGAGGCTTGTAGATGGTCCTGATAATCTACAACCTCATGAGCAAAAATCGATTTTATGATGGCCTCATGAACAATCAGGCGCACGCATCGGTAGCTTTTGAGCACTGCAACTGCCCAAACGTCTCTGTAGACATCGTAGCGTGCTTGCCAAACGTACGTGTAGCAGGACATTGTCAACTTTTGACGCTCAACGTTTCCTGCACGACCAGAACTCTGGTAAGCCTTGCTTCCAATGGACCAGCTGTTCGCCTATATCACCTGAGAGATACCAAAAACTTGGAGTCGAGCTGATGTGCAGATCGCCAAATCAATACTTTCTGTTCATGTATTAGAGTTGAGGCTAGGCGGATTATGCCACGCGATAACATGGATTGAGGCTGTGCTAGGGCGACAACGCAACCCAAGCCAGGGAACCACTGTAGTGAAAAATTTATTGAGTCGGCGCGCGCTCGCAATGAGAAACATCCGATAGATGAAGTGGCTCCTATTATTATACACGCTCACAAGTCAAATATGTACGGTTAATGCAATGGGGTATAGCCACCATAACGCTGACGTGTATACCGCTCAAGATTACCACCTCCCAAACGCCTCGCTTGTGCTATGCTCACATTCTTCTCCCAGTCTCCTCAATCGTCGCTCTTCCCCCTCGCCTTCGCATCCTTCTCATCATCATCCTTGTCCTTGTCCTTTCCTTTCTGTTTCTTGCGCTCGTTTCTCAGCGCCTCGGCCACGTTATCGTGCTTCTCCTCCTGTAGCTCGTCCCATTCGACATCGTATTCGTCGGCGACGGCCTTGATCTCCTTGCGCAGGGCGTTGCCTTCTTCTATGAGCGTCTCCCACTTGCGTAGGTCGAAGCCGCGCTGTTGGTATAGTTTGCCCTGGCGCCGCGAGATGGTGAAGTTCATGGCGGAGCGGTACGAGACTTCGCGGTTGTGGTAAAGGAACCACATATAACCGCCGATCAGGGTGCTGAGGCCGACGAGGTACTATTTACGTTAGCGAACTGTACGTGTTGGTGGTCATAGGACGGAAATTGGTATCGACATACAGTGACAGGTTCCATGACGTCCCAGCCAAGCTCAGTCTCAAAGGTAAGATGATACACAAGGAACCACCATCCCAAAATGACGACAAATCCTCCTTGAGCAACGCGCTGCGCACCTTTGTGTGCGAGATGATCGCACTCTTTCTTTAAACTAGCCAGACTGGCGATACCCTTGGAGATCTTGCGCAATCGCATGCGCAGATAGAATGTCCTATCGTTGAACGAGGGCACGCCAACGCGAATATCTTTCGGGGCGCCTTCAATCTCAACAGCGAATTCCTGGCCTCGCGCAGCGTCGCGGATGAAGTCCCCAATCTCGGTGCTACTAGACCACCGCACGAACTTGCGGTCTGCCTTCTCGTCCGATGGCGCCTCTTGACCCAGACCAGAGTATGATTCTACGCCACCCTTGCCGTGGCCGCCTCGTAGCTCCGCAGCTTCATCTGGGGTTTTCCTGTCGACTGCTGAATTGAGCTTGCCAGTCTTCTCAGTCTTTCCGCCGATGCGGATTTCGTCGACTTTCTCAAAGTCCTCTTCTCCTTCCTGTTCGTCCAGTGTCTCGCCGTCTTTGCTCACGGGCGTCTTCTCGGCTTCCGCCGCCTCCATGGCGTCTTGCATAGAGTCTTCGGCGCGGAAGTACACGTTGGGTATGCGCTCGTTGCCGTCCTTGTCCTGCAGCTTGGGAAGCTCCGCCTGGATTAGACGTTCCAAGTAGGAGAGGGGCTGCTGTGGATGCACGAGGAGAGCGAGCGGTTCGACGTCCTTGCGGTCAGTGTTCATGTCTTTGGTTGTCAATGGCAAGATGAGTTTGAGCATGCGCGACGGTGTCGTTAGTAGTTTTCCTTGATGCAAAGTCAGTACGAGATCCTGTATTATGCTGCCGTCGAGAAGGTGTTACCTTTTGTCATGGCGCTGGCCTCTCTCTGTTGTGCTACGGGCGGCTTGTCGCTGCCCTCTCTGGTCCATGGTGAGCGTATCTGCTTGTCTTTCAACTCCTTGCTTAGTCGCTTGTCATAATCGTCCTGCTCCTCTTTTGTGACATTGTGATTGAGTTGGATCGCTGGCCTGGAGTTGGGGCTGGAGTAGTCGTAGTGGTGCTTCTCTTCAAGTCTCGAAAGAGCCGAGAAGGCGAAGCTCCGAAGCTGCACATCGCGATAGTATTTCGGTGTGATATAGCGCGAGGCTATGATGGACGGTGTTGGCAAGGGTCTTGAGATGCGCGCCAGGCCCTGCAATGAATGTATCCGCGGCTTCATGGCAAAAGTTTACACGGCCTAATTGAAGACACGCGTGATGTGCAGGTAGAAGGGGTGCAGCTGTAGCTCTCTGAGAGCGATGCGGTCACGCAACCTTGGAAGTGACGCGCAACACGACGTGTTTGTTTCCGACGTCATCTTCGTGGCTGAGGTGAAAGCCACATGTGGCGTTGCCTTGTTCAATCTCCGAACTCGCCATCTTCGCGACACCAATATCACTGAGTGCATTTTCGGTATGTACAGTATGTCAATTCATACAAAATAACTATATACAGGCAGAAGCGATGGTCCACATTTGCATGATCCCTTTGGACAACAATTGGTCGCTACCCCGGCACGTCTGGCCAACCCGGCACACAACATCCGCTTAGCACCCGCTGGTCTTGATGGCGCTGGTCGCGCACACCTTGCCATCAGCAACCGATGCCGTCTTGGACGGCTCACCAGATGTAACGCCCTTGTACAGCCAGCAGACATGGGTGGCGCCGTCAAGGACACACGAGTTCTTGATCGTGGTCGTGTCGCCAAGATTGCCGTTTACGCCTGCAACAACGCTGCCACCGGACATCTTGATGTTATCGAAAGTCGACTTGCGCGCGTATTGCGTGCCACAGTTGCCGCACGAGCGGTATACCTTTTCTCTATCAGTCCTCAAAACTCGTCGAAGGGAAGTTGCACCCTCACCTTGCCAACATCCTGCGCCCAGAAGTTCTTGACAGCAACGGTTCCACCGCCGTTGTGTTGCAAGACCTTGTCGTCCGCTTTGCGAGCACCCCCGCCGTTGACATAAGAAGTGCCAGACGACTGTTTGAAGGTCGCCGCATCTTCGCAGACATCAGTCCACCACACATTATTGAGCGTACAAGTGCCCAGGCAGTGCACGCCTTCGCCGTTGTTGGGGCCGATGATGACATTGGAAAGCACGGCGCCATCCTTGAGGACGAATACGGCGTCGGCATCGCCACCCTCGGCTTGTTCGTTGCATGTAGATGCTAAATTGTGTTAGCATAGAAGCACGGAGCTGGGCTGTGGAGTGCATACGACTACGGTCCCATTGCTTCATGCCACCATCGAGGCTCTCTCCAGCCGCGAGCGTGCGTGCCGCGGCGAGGTTCGTAGTACCGCTCGAAGCCGGGAACGCGGTCTGAAGGTTCGTGTTGGTAGTCGCGCGAGCAGCAATATGAGCTGACGACGCGATACTGGCGAGTGCCGAAAGGAGGAATGTTTGAGAATGCATTTTAACTTTCTTTTTCGGTTTCAATGGCTCGAAGTCTCTTGGGTCCACACACCAAACATCCTCCCACGAACCCACCCTTTATACCCCATCGTCACTCAGATTGCCCTTCTCATCTCCACATCTCATTCGTGCAGCCCCCTTTGCACATCCGTCCGTGTCTCTCCCCCATTAATCCACCTCTGTATCTAGCCTTACCCTCACCACACTCGCCTGTCACCCCGTCCACACTACTTCCCAAACACACGCGCAATATAAGTCCGGGGTAACTGTGCGACGTACATGTGGCACAATACCGACATGCATGAGAATCCGGGGAAGCGAATACCCTTTTGCCTTTGCGTCTGGGGTCGCATTGGATGGAAAATTAGTGCATAGCTGGGGTCCGGGCAGGGATGGGGAGTTAGGTCGATCGTGTGGAGGCTGGAACGCGAAAACGAAGTATCACGTGTGGGCGGAGAGGTAACAAGTCGCATTTGGGATGCTTGGCGGAAGGCTTGGCAACGGAGGATTTATGAGCTTGAGTACTGCGTATGGGGACTGCACGGTATGTTGGTTAAGTGTATGTGGTGGAAAATTGCCGGCCGAGAGACTGGCAGAGGGCCGGCTTCTCGATGCACATGTACCTTACGTATTTCGCCTCACGATAGGGTTCGAACACGAGTAGCAGTCAAATGGTCGTGTCAGCCACTTACCACGCTACCTTTGGTGTTACTATGACATTGGTCGGCGGTCGCAGTCCATGATCTTATCTCGATTCGCGGAACGCCACTTCGTCGTTCGTGTCAAGAACCTGGATAAACAATGAGTGACGGAAGAGACTTTCGCGACTCAAAAGCTAACTCTTACCTGTAGCCAGGTCAACAGTGAGCGCGGCAAGAGGTAGAACTGAAGATTTGTGTCAGCTCATGCACTTGGACTTGTACGCTCGATCGGTCCTGCAGCTCGTGGAGCAAAAGCCAGACACTGCATGCACGTCTTTCTTCTTGGCAAGTTTCTTGATATTGTGCCAAGACGAAAAGCTTGGTTTCAGTGCTGCCTCACGGACGGCCTGAATGTTTATGGTTGTCGAGATTTATTAAAGCACCAATCAAACACTGTCATATTCCTACGAAAGCTAGCAGGGAATACGAGCGTTTCATTCAAGGACTTACCAGCAGTAGTACAACAGTGATTACCTGAGGTTGGAGACAGACACTGCTCGCAGAGAACGAGGCGGCGGTGTGTTTTGTTTGATATTTGTGGGTGGAAAGGTTACCACTAACGGTCCACAAGTGTTGGTGAACTTGTCCTTGGACTAAGCAAGTATAGAAGATGGGCAATGGTTTGGTAGTGGGAAGGCAGAATGGTAAGGTTGGGCAGGAAGAGAAACTACCATCATTATTTTGCTACAACTGGAGACCCTAATTTGTAATACCTATGGTACATGACACAATGTCCACTCCTTAGTTGGTCTGGTCACTCGTACAAAGCGTCCCCGCAATGTTACTTTATTTTTCCAAAGCCCAGAACCATATCCTTTCTCACTCCCACTACAACTCTCACCTTCACCACTATTCCCATCCGCACCAGTAGCAACACTACTGACCTCACTCGGAGTCGGCGTGCCACTCTCCCCGCCATCCCTCTTCAACAACGCAGCCAACCTCCTGCAGTCATCCACACAACCTTGAACCCTTCCCCGCTTGAGCACGTCCTCATTGCTATCAGCCAGTCTTGGCCCAATTTCCGCCCAGTGCAAATTCTTGCGCGCCCAGATCTTGCACTCTGCTCTTGGATCCCGGAAATTGATCTTCACCTCTGCCTTCTCGTCAAGGGTCTATGGCGGCGGTGCAGCCGCCGAAGGTCTTCCAGACAATGCTTTTCGATGTAATCTGTGTTTGCGAGCTCTAGGTGCAACATTTCAAGGTTATTTGGACGGATATCCATATCGTGAGGTTTGTCAAGCTCTTAAGAGTTGAAAGCTACTGCACGATCAGCGTGAAGGGGTTGGGGTCGGGGACATTCCGCGTTATTCGTGGGCCCATATTCCGACATTGGTGAACATGGTGTGGTGTGTGTGTGTGACAAGACGGCAAAGGAGCTGAGAAGCTTTGTGGGGTCGTAGAAGACGGCTGCATTGCTGGAATAGTGCATACCCTCAGTTAGTCCACGTAGCTCATACACGGCCGGGAGCAAGATGAGGTTGAGTTGGTAGCTGCTATCCTGGGGACGGAAGGTTATTGATTGTTGGCCGTTGCGCTCCCGGGACCAGTTTCGGGCGAGGTTGGGTTCGTCGACGCGGATGTAGATGTGTGTGGGGTTAGGAAGTTTCCTTTGTGCATATTCCAGGATCCTCGCGAGGTGGTTGAGGGGGTTGAAAGGCTTATCGAGAGTGACCTCTATCGGTGATCAGTCGTCGATCGCGATCTTCTGCAGTTTATCTGTGTACTGAGGATCTTTGTCTATCCACCACTTGAGCAATTATGCGTCTTCGAAGTAGACGGTGTACTCTTCCCAGACAACTTCGCGAGCGTGTTTGCGCAATAAGCGTGGTACATGTCCCGGTCGCTGATTGCACACCAATCTGATCTTGTGGAGCCTAGAGTAAATATCTTCAACATATATGAGGTGCTTCGCCCCCCATGCATGGCGCATGAGTTCGCGAAAAGATCTTGCCCTTGGTGGCTCCTCCGCGGTCATCAACCCTGGCATATCGTCTGACGCGTCTTCGTCTCCTGTTTAGGTCTTGTAGAAGGCTTGAATCTCTCATATCGCGCCGTCCGTATATCTTTCTCCGTATGAACCGTCAGCACGCGCACCCTCAATCCGGCGTCCGTCCGTCTCAAAGAAACGACTTTGCAACCGAATTACTTTCAACAAGCATTGTGTTATGGTGACGAAGAAGCATTCCCAGCGGCTGCCATTGGCTCCCGCACACTCACTGAGTCGGACGTGGCTTCCATGTCCTAATACAAGCGGGTTACTTAAGAATGTGTCTATTTCCATTCACAACACTCCAGTTTATGTTACTATGGGGCGACACACACCGTTCATATGTTGTCTATCATTTTGCCAGATACCACCTTAGCACTTCATAGTTCGCATCACCAATTAGAATCTATCTTAAATGTAGCTGGCCCCCTTGCCAGCCGCAACTAAAAGCGACGAAGCCATTCGTGCATAGCTTTCCAACCCCTTATAGTATTCGGAGGTCGATAAGAACATGGTAACCATCCTGCACACATCGCACGAGATTCACGGGAGGTGGTCGCGTAAGTGCAACGCATATGCGGAATTGCTTGGAGAAACGTGCCCTGCTGCACTTTCCCCTTCTTGCATCAACAGCAAAACGGCATTCCCTCGCAACACTCTGTCCGCCACAAGCCTTGTTGCAATCCCCCCTTCTCGACTCCATACCAGAAAAGTCCTTCCACGGCATCACTTTGTCCATCACGCGCCCAAACCCCTGCAGGCCTTCTTCACAGGTCTCAGGCAGCACTTGTTCCGCAAGCACACCCTCGGGAAATCCAATGCTACACACTCATGTAGCAGGTAGGTACCATAGACAATGCCACGTGCACTCAAGAGCCGGTTCCACAGATCGGCTGGACGTAGAATCGATATCCCAGCCTAAGCAGTAGTTTAAAGTGCTATATACAAGCACGCATGTTCAGAGCGGATATGCCGTCAACGAGATGGCGATGGTACTGACCAAGAGAACAAAGCGGAGAAATCTAATGCCGTGGAACGTGTGAGGGGGTTGGTAGTCCGTGAGGAAGACCTCTTCTTCATTATGCAAGCGTGGAATGCCGTGATTTTGATTTTCGCATGTGTCGCCTTCGATCAATGTCGTCCGGCCGCCTCATCTCATCCTCTCCTCCCACATCCTCGCTAGTAATCCCTCCCCTCGACGGCCAACTTGCCCTCATTCTCCTCGATGAACGCCACCAAATCCTCAATCGTGCACACCTTTATCCCCCACTCCTTGCCAAATCTCAGACACTCATCTCTCCGCATCATACCGCCCCCCGCCAACTCCGTCTTTCCCTCGACCCGCTCCCCGTCCGTGATGAGCTCGCAGATGACCCCGACATCCCCCTTGCCCGCCAACCGGCACAGGTCCACCGCAGCCTCGGTGTGCCCGCGCCGCACACGCACGCCGCCCTCGCGCGCCTGCAGCGGGAGTATGTGGCCTGGGCGGCGGAAATGGGTCGCCTTCGCGTTCGGGTCCGCCAGCATATTGCACGTCCGCGCGCGGTCTGTCGCGCTGATCCCTGTCGTCGCATCAGGATGGTTGGCGTCGATGCTGACAGCATAGGCGGTCTGGTTCGGATCCGCGTTCTCAGTGACCATCTGGGGGAGGTGCAGGGCGGCGGCGCGCGAGACGGGGAGCGGGGCGCAGATGTAGCCGGAGGAGTAGCGGATCATGAAGGAGGCCTTTGCGGGGGTGAGGGCGGAGGCGGCGATGATGAGGTCGCCTTCGTTTTCGCGCGAGGGGGAGTCGAGGACGATGACGAATTCGTCGTTTGCTGGTGCCACCTGGTTAGCATGGTTGGTGGGGGAGGGCGAGGGTGAGGAGGGGCGCACCAAAGGCTTTTATGACGTCCGGTATTGAGTCGAAGGCCGGGTGTGCGGGCGTGTGGTCAACCAGCTCTCCATTCTTGCCGTTTGCGAGGTCGTGCGCCGGCACGGCCTCGACTTCGATGGCGGCGGGCATGGCCAGAGGTGCGGGTGTCGCGTGCGCGTGGGTGAGGCTGCAGTGGTGGGGGTGTCTTCGTTCGAAGTCTCGCGGGATCCTGGATAGTCTACACGTCTAGGCCGGCGCTGCTGGACAAAAAGTGCTTGCCAATGCCTGGATCTATGCTGCGTCGTTCTCTCGCGTTCTGCTTTCTAACGCCTCTGTAAGCCGGTGTGTTGCCGGGAGTACCCGCGTCCGTACCCGCCGTGCTTTCTAATCGACCTCTGCAGTCTCGTCAATGGGCTCAAAGACGGCGCGGTCGGTCGCCAAAGTCTATATCGTGTATGATCGCGGAGGAGAGAGAACGCAGCCGACGGCAGGCACGGAGCGGCTAGGGTCACGTCGACGCCTGTTATTTTATTGCCGGCTAGCCCTACGCACCTGCATGTGCCTCGACGTCGGGCCAGGCCAGGCGGGGTCAGCCGAGGACGGCCTGGCCAGATGCCGCTCCGATTCGCCGTGCCTCCGACTCGCGCTGCGCTTCGGAGAGCGAAGACAGAATGTCACGCCGTGACACCTGCTTCCTGCTAACATGTGGGTGTGATTGGGGAGCTCTGCGATGACCGATGGACCTTGGTAGTGAGCAAGGTCCACGGACTGATGGAAGTTATGTTGGTGGTCGTCTCACGCGCACGCTGAGGACTGCTTTGCCAAATATGTTCGATTTTCAAAGCGAGGGTATCTTCGATCCTTATGATCCTGCCGGCCACTCGGCCAACTGTACATGCCAAAGCTGGCACATGTTCATAGGACAACATGACAATACAAGACCGTGTTCCAACCTGTTGGCCTGCAACCAAAACTCAAATCCGCCGCTCCTTGCACATTTTTAAGCCACCTTCGGGCCCTTCTCGTGGTCCACGGGGACATCGCTTGTCTCGCTCTTGCGCTCGCTGACGACGCCAGCGCCAGGCACACCCTCCGACTCGTCGTCGCTCCTCCAGAAGTCCTTCTTTCCGCGCCGGAGACGGTTGAGCCACGGCGGCAGGATTCCGCCGGGAATCTTGTACGTCCATGCGTCCTTCTCCTCCTTGTACTCGGGCACGAGGCGGCCGCCCGACGCCTTCTCTACGATCCACACGATGCCATTGATGATGGTGTACGAGAAGATACCCGCAATCATACCGTAGGCGATCGAGTAGGTGAAGGGCATGATGGTGATGGTGAGGAACGCCGGGATCGCATCCCCCATGTAGCGCCAGTTGATGTCCTTTGCCGCTGAAGCCATGAGACACCCCACGATGATCAGGGTACATCCAGTGGCCCACGGAGGAATCGATGCGAAGATGGGCGCAAAAAAGATGGAGATGAAAAAGCAAAATCCCGTCATCATAGCAGTCAGTCCCGTCTTGCCTCCCTCGGAGATACCAGCACCGCTCTCAATGAACGCGGTGACAGGAGGAGTACCGAAAAGACTGCCGATCGAAATACCGAGAGCGTCGACCGTGTATGCAATCGAGCTGCCCTCGAAATCCTGAGTTCGTTCGTCGATCAAGCCCGCGAATCGAGCCATAGAGTACAGAGTACCGGTACAGTCGAGAATGTCGACATACAGGAAGGAGATGAAAGCCAGCGCGAACTGACCGCCGTGTCCGGAGATGTTCCATTTCTGAGCACCTAGGATATGCTTGATAGGGCGGAAGGCGACGACCTGCTTGAAGAAGTCGAACGAGGAGTCACCAAGTGTGTCGTGCGGGAAGTAGGTGACGGCGGTCCCGCGAGGCCAGGAGATGATGGAAACGAGCAGGATACCGGCGATGATGGCACCCTTAACGCGGTACATCATCAGCAGGACGGTCACAAAGCCGCCGCAGAAGATGCCGATCCACATGGTCGGGTTGCGCATCTTGTAGGAACTGAGGCAGGCGAGGCCATCAGTATCCAACTGTCCAGGCGTGTGGACGCATCCAGCGAGCTCCAGAGGGGTCGATTTTGCGCCAGTGATGAGTCCAATACCGGCAGAGTAGCTCAGGCCAATGATGGTCAGGTACAGACCGATACCCACACCCGTCGCGAGTTTTATCGAGGCCGGAATCGCCCTGGAAAGGTAGGTCAGCAACGGTTTCTTTTGCGTGGCGCATGGCGGTCAATCTCGGGTCGGAAGGGCGGAGTCATGTCGAATCTGTCCCTCCAACCACGATTTTGACAGGCGCAAACTCACCTTGCAAGCCACTGTCGGATACCGAAAAGGGTCAGGCCGACAAAAACGAAACCTTCCATGAAGACAGCGGTAAGTGCAACCTCGTACGGCACCATACCTGAAAAAGTAATCAGTACAACTTCCAAAAGAGGAGCTTGTACTACACTCGCAAGCCTGCGGCTGTAGTAACACCCCGGCGAGGAACACCAAAACGGGTGGTAGTGCTGTAAATGACGCACCTGATCCATGGAAGCCAACAACGGTATACGTGAAGTACGCATTTAGACCCATTCCGGGTGCGAGACCGATTGGCATGTTGGCGAAGAGCCCCATGCAGAAAGAGGTCAGAGCCGAAATCGCAGCAGTCGCAGTAACCAGATCGCGGTTGATCTCTTGCACACAAAGCAGGTATGGTTCGTAGTCAACGCACAATGACTCAAGCTGATCAGCCGGGCAAACACAAGTACCGCCAGAGTCCGAAGTTATCGACGCTGGTGAGCACGTTAGCTTAAATAGAAAGCATGACTAGTCCATGGCACGTACAGTTGACTGCAATGATATATGCCATGGCGAAGAAGGTCGCCATTCCGGCTCTGATCTCGGTGAAGAAGCGACTCCCAGCGCGAGCTTTGGGCTGTGAAATCGTCAATTCATGTTGCATCTAAAAGCTCGTAGGATGAACTGACATGTCCGGAGCCATCGAGACGGAACCACCGACCAACGGCCGACTTTGCGACCGAATCATTGAAATTGTGAACCCAGCCCATCTTGAAGGTGTTCTCCACGATACAACCGCTGCTGGGGGTATAGGTGCGGTGAGTTTGAAAGGTGATCTGCGCCGTGCCTCGGATTGGCAGGGCGTGGGTCTTATTTAAATCGGCTTGCGCTCGTGAAATGTGAACTCTGCGGCATCCCGCACCAGGAGATAAGGGTTTGCTCGGTCTGGCTTGGCGACCAGGAGAAAATTGGTCTCGCCGTTTGGGAGTGGTCCAATCCTGTCCAACATCTGTTCAAGCCCCCATGGAAATGGTCGGCCTAGCCGGGCCCCATGCGCATACACGGTTGCTCGGATGAGGGCCGGGCCACGACAGGGTGCGATGAACAGGTCATGGCTGCCGCGACATTGCGCATAACACGCTGCAGTGCGGGGCGCTCAGCACGCCGCAAGCGATGCGGAGAGGGGTCTGCACCCGCCTAAGATCGCCGCATGCGCGCTGGCGTCTTGGTTGTGCTAGTATTTCTGTCACGGGAGGGACATTGCAGCGACATTGTCCTGGTGGCGCTCGAACAGGTAGGCGGAGGCTGCCGACATACGATGCGCAGTCCTCAGCACAGCAAGGGAGAACGAAAGCCGGAGACGGGAGTTCGCCCTATTTTGCCTCTGGTGTTATCTCTCGTCTTGGCTCTCCGCCCATATCTATCGATGGTCGCGATGGCTCAGTGCGCACAGGTACCAGGGCGTGCTATTGCAAATTCGATCTCGTCAGGCAGTTCAAAGCGTGCCGGCATGGTACCAGAGACCCACTGTCCACACAAGGACGCGATGGATAAAAGCGGAGCACAAGACGCTGCGACTCATACTGAGATCGCGCAATCCAGGGGCGAGAGACCTCTGACTTGCCGGCTGCGTGTCTCCTTGACGCAGCAAGCGGTGCCTCGTTGCAGTCGTGAAGTTGACATGTCGTCTCGGGGGCCGGTGGCTTCCGACAACTCGGTTCTGACGTGTGATCAGAGTACACAGCATCGGACGGCTCGATGCGATGACTGCAGGGCGCATCGGGCTTCACAACCACAGTGGCTGTTTCGAACGATAGGATGTTGTAGTCAGGTCGTACAACCGCAGTTGGCTTGTTCCTGGTCGGTGGGTGCGCACGTGAGGCTATATTTGGCTAGGACGTCGCATTGTGATGTGTATCTAGATTTCCAATGGCTTCTAATCTTCGCCAATCTGATTAATCTCACACCTCGAATCTCAAGGTTTTGTTGCGGTCTTTGATCCAAGCGCACGGTAAGTTTTGCCTGCAGCTCAGCATCCTTGTGTCATGGGCTGTTTGAGCGTTTCCTAGCCACTTTCTAGTTTCCACGCACAACGGCTTGACAGATGCACAGCAGGGCGGTAGCAGGACACTGCAATAATACCTGGCATGCCATGTGCAGCCTGCAATTTTGACAACTGGCAAGTGGGGTTGTGACGGCATGGTCATTGTTACACGGGAATGGTGGCTTTCCATCTGGTCATGCTGGCCTATGCCACTTTAATATATTCATTGCTTCTGGCCACCGAGCTGATCGGGTTGCACTGAATGCGAGGTACCTATAGTCCAGGCGGCGCCGCTGGATTATCGGTGTAAGATGGCTGCGGCACTATACTTGCGTGTAATCTCGCGTGGGTGTCTTGCTTCAACTCCTCGAAAAAGAACTACGGTCAGATACAGAAAGGCATCCCGTCGGCCCCCTCCGCGACCGCCGCAGCCTCCCGGCCACCAGCTTCTATCTCATCTCACTTCTCAATCTTACTCTTACTCTAGTTAGCACATAAAACGCCGCCAGCAAAATAATCGACAGTCCCCACAGACACGTCAGCGAAATCTTCGCGTGTCTGTAGAATGGTCCATTGGAGGACGTCTACGCCCCCACCAGTTATGTAGTGTAATGCCCAAGGAGAAGAATACGATAGAGTTTGTCATGTTTTTCCTTGTGTAACCCGTGACGTTACTGCTCAGCATGCTGATACGATGTACCAAACGGCGGATTCTGAGCCGCTATGCTACCATCTGACCGTACTTCTGATAGCAGGGGTCGCGGTAGCCGATTCCGGTGTATAACACGGCATAGAAGAGGGAAGGGGAGGCTGTGGCGATGGCGGTGAGTGAGCGCCACTTGGTCCAGTCGGCAAGGTAACTGGTGGCGAGATTGCACAGGAAGTTCATAACGTCGATGAGGAGTACAGTCCCTTTTGTTGTGAAGCCAACGGACTTGAAGAGGACGGGTAGAGGGAATTTGAGACTCGCGGTGGGCGTTTGAGAGGGGAGCAGAAAGACGAAGTAATGCCATGTCCGGTCGGGAGATTAGCTACATAGTGATGATCATGAGCGATCATGAGCAAGAATATGGACAACGCCAACTTACGCGCACGTCTAGGAATGTTTCCTTGGCTTGGGATCGCTTGTACTACATTGAGCCTGCGACCCGTTATTGCGTTTTCTTTGCTTTGGTGAGGGCATACGCCTCAGCTTAGAACTACCGAAGGCTTCATAAATGACCACATGCACAATCCGTATATAACCAACACTAATTCGGTTGTCAGAGAAAGATTCTCGAAGATGGAAAGCCTGGAGTAATGCTTCGACTGGCTATCAATACAACCAAAAACATCAGTCCGCCAATGACGTTCGCAAGACCGATGCAAGACGACCAGATACCTGTAAGAGATCGATGCTCATACTTGCGGTGCTACGCTACTATGATTAATTCGAAGTTAGTGTTGATCGATGCTTTAAAATTTCCGAGAATGGGTCTGTTTACCACCAGACCGGAGAAGTTGTTGCACGCAGCCATGCAAGCTAAGATGATGACCCATGTAACGACACAGCACGCAGCCATCTTATTCGCGCCTTTCGCTGTCTTCATCTGAGCCTTTTCGATGTTTATTGCATGTGCTTCCTCCGAAACCCTACCATCTTTTTTCATGTGCTGGTCTTGTCCCTGTTGGAGCGGGCAACATCTAGGTGTTCTTCAATTACATTTTAATCAACATTTCAGGCCATGGCCGCGAGAAAGGATGCCAACGATTGCGAATTAGCAGCGATATCATATCGAGGCACCAAGATATCGCCTTGTCTAACGCCACTATCAGTATCTGCCCGTACATCTATCCTAGCAGAAGGTATCCATTCGGCAATCACAGGAGTCAATAATGTCTACCATATTGACCTAGGGCATCATAGTGTTGTAGAGCGATAAGATTACCCAATAAACATCAAACAAGATTGCTTTACTTCGCGGAGAGATTGACAGCTGTGCTTCCATACACCTGCAGTCCATCCATGGGGACGGTGCTTCGTTCGGATATATATAGGTACAAGAATTCAAGGAAACTTGGTATACTTGCCCAAAATCCATACATAGCTGCAGATACAAGCGACGTCCCACGTGAGGACGAAGATAGGAGACCCACTTCTAACGTGGAGTCGATTATCGCCTGCGTCTAAGTCCGCACTAGGTGAGTATGTGCGGGAGCAACATGTACCATTTTGCAAGGCTCTATCGGGGGTAACGCAAATACGGTTGTCGAGTATCATTTGAGACGAAGTTACCCAGCGTCCGGCGGCTTTAGCACTGTGCGAAAGTCTTCGCATTTTAGCATTGAAAAGATGCGCGAGGAATATTGCTCGTGTATGACCCTGAACGAAACACACCGTAGTATAGCTTGCACTTCAAGATAATGCTGATATAGCAGAACCCGTCTTTGCTACACAAATATATACTATGACGACTGCCGATGATGGGTGGACTCATGGTGGCGGAGCGGCGCGCCTGCCTGTTCAAGTTTGCCATGATGCCTCTTTCCTCTTCCCTAACTGGACGATGTCTCTCGCGCACCACTCAGCACCACATCAATGCCGTCCAGCGCCCTGAAGGAGTCCTACCTTTCAACCTCTGGGATTACACCCTTTGTTGGTGATAGACAATACGCTCCCGGCTTCACCAAGGTCCGACTGTGCCATGGATAGCCTCGGAAGGCACCTTGAAAGCATCTGTTCGCCAAATCTTACGAAATTTACGCGACCGATTTTTTTTTATCAAAAGAACAATGTCTGAGCGCTCTTTCGCCAATCGTGGGGCCAAACGGCTACATGAGCGGTCGACATGTACCGCGACCCGGGTATAACGAGTGAATCCTGCAGCAGTCTGCCGGGAGTCAATCTAGACCCCCGTCCACTGTCCAGGGAATCTTTCGGACACAGACCGGATAATGCAAACCTGCGGCAACGCTACGGCGTAGCCATATTGCGTGCATGTTCACCGATATTGAAGAGCGTGTCATGCACACTATGCACGGTCATCTTTCTCTCTTTCTCATACACATCGACTACGCTACCTCGCCGCACATCCAACACGGGTGCTCGAACGGAACATCGAGGATGTGAAGGAGCCTTTTTTTAGGCGCCGGCGCTTGCACTGGCTTTGGCTCGCCAAAAACCGTTCGTGCTGCTTGTGCGCAACAAGCTCATTCGCGTGGTGTGGGGACCGTACTGCATGTGGCGGTCGCTATTTTTATGTCTGGGGTGGGCAGATCGTGGCCAGCTCTGTTCCCCCACCTAAAGTGCCCTATTTAAGACCACGGACCGTGCTATTCCAGCAAATCGAGATGCCCTCCGGATTCTACGACGAGTCACGGGCAGAGCAATTGATGGAGGTGCGTCGGAGTTTTGGCAGTCCAGATTGTGCGCATGCTGTGCGACAAAAGAGGCACAGTCCGCCCTCGAAAAGAGGCTGGAAGAGGCAGAAGCCCTGTATTCTTAGCCGCCGAGGCTACAGACGGCGCAGGGATGCTGCAGGCGTCCCTGCTTGTCACCAGGACGTGGCGGCTGTTATTCGCTGGAAGCCGCACCACCCCTCGTCATGTCCCCAGATGCAGCTAGGCCAGAGTCTCGCCGCCAACGCTCAACATCGTGCGCTGGGCGGGCACGGCGAATTGCGAGTCCTCTCCGAAGATGCACGGGGAGCTGCTGCATCGCTACGCCCCGGCCGCAGAACATCCTTCAGCGGGCCTTGCAGTTCCGTCCCAGCAGCGTGACTGACGCCCTGCACATCGCCGCCGAGCTTCTTCGAATCCCGGCCCTGGATTCGCCTGTCGTCTGAAAGAGCCGCTGAGGCTTCGGCGTCAAGCCCACTGCTCCACCGAATCTATAGACGCACGCAGCCATGTCATTCGCACAAGAGCGCTCCTCTCCCCTCCCTCCTCCGCCGCCCGCCCCGCCGTCGCCGCGCGTAGGGTCCTATCCCCACCCGACCCAGGCACAGCAGACGTCTCCCCTAAGACGGATAGCTGTGCAACCGCCGATAATTACCACCCAGCTCGCGCCCCCGCCAGGGCAATACCCGCATGGGCACACGCCTGCGAGCGCGACATCCTTGAACGTGTCGTTCTCTCCCTACGCGCCGACGCCTTCATCCTATGCCGCTTCGCCAGTAGTCCCGCCATCCCCAATGGCAATGAGGAATCAGGGCTACAATCCCCAGCAATGGGCACGCAGTGGAGGGACCGTTGGCGGCCAATATGTGCCGCACACACCCGTCGCAACGAGTCGGCCCCAGGATGTGACGGGCATGGAAGGTACGTCCGTCTCGTAGCCTACCTGTTCGCTGCTGCCAGTCATGCGCAGTGTCTTGCACTTCAAATTGTCCTAGACATTACGCGTCAATCGACGCGTTTATGTGGCCTGAAGACGGTCCAGTAGGCTAACAGCCGATAGCGTCCATGCCCTCTCCGCCTCCGCCGTACTCTCCAGGCCAGAATCCAAGCCGACCAGTGAATGCAAACCCAGGATCATCTCCGCACATGTCGGCTGCAGCATTCGCTGCCAGTCACCCGCCTCCACCGCCTCCCCCGTCTGACTACACATCGTCACCAGTGTCTCGACCGACATCAGGTTTCTTCCATAGCAGACCCGGGTCCATAGTGGCACCTCAAAGCGCAACAAGTGTTGTGTCGCTTTCGCAGTTTCCCCCACCTCCACCTGCAACCGGTTCAAAGAGGTCGGCTTCTCGCGAGAAACTCACTTCCAAGTTCAGCTTGTCCAAATTTCGTGATCGAGGGTCAGGCAGCCCAGGCCCAAGTAACATCGAGTCTTTACGTATCAGTACAAGTGAAGCCCTACAGCGACCGCCAGCATCGCCAGGGCTTCCTCCACCGCGGCCTTCGCACCAAGTCCTCTCAAATGTATTCCCGGAGCATCGATGGAGTCCAGACACACAATCACCTGTAAGAGCGCCCGGTGCTCGTAGGGCTGCCTCCACTGGCGTACTTGCCTCAGAATCAAGGACACCTATCGATGAGACCCCAACGCTACCCCAAGGCCCATGGGGGAATGGGGCACCTTTGCCGCCCCCTCCCCCCGGTCCTCCACCCCCTGGCTCAAGATCGCAAAGTTTAGGACGTGGGATGGACTCGACGGTTAACCGTCAGACCGTACATTTGCCAGCACCTCCGACGCGCCGACCTGGACAGAGCAGTCTGCCCACCATTCCACCAACGCCAGTCGGTTGGCAAGACGAACCCGCAAGACCTCGGTCGCGATCGCCTGCTGCACAAGGCCTGCTCATAGACACAAGCTCACATGCCCTTCAACCATCAGAACAGCCACCACAGCCCATCGAAAGTGAATCCGGCTCCATAATTTCCGGGCCGACAAACTCAACATCCAACTCAAGTAGTACACTCTACCGCGACCCGAGTGGCACCCAGGTCTCCCGAGGCATCCGCGAGCGTCGTAGCGAAAGCCGGGCTGCAAGAGAACGAGCCGAACCTAACAACAACCCTTGGGCACAGGATATGGAAGCTGCAAAACCGGCCGACCTAGTTCTAGGGAGTCCCGAGGGTGGACTAAAACGCCGTGATGCAGTCACAAAGCATACTCCGCGTAGTGGTGGCCTTCGTTCGCCGAGAAGCTCGCATTCTCTTGGGGAGCCTGGTTCATCGAACTCTACACCTCGACTCAGCGTGCAGACCGGGCCTGCGCCGACGCCTCCTTTCTCGCCAGGTACGGAACCTTTCGATCATTCTCACATGGGGAAGCAGCCTGTGTCATTTCCACCCAAGGCTCTTCCTACCCCACCCATGCGTCACTATGGCGACGATGTTGATGCAGGCCTGGCTGACAGTTCAGGGGCCCGGAATCGATCAACATCGAACGCTTCCCACAACTCGGGCGCAAAAGTCGATCTGTCCCTATCTAGCACGCCACGGCCTGGTGGCGGTGATGTCTTTGTCGAAGCAGCTATAGACCGACATCGTCGCTTTATCGAGAGGGAGATGGCAGCCCAATCAGACCAAGAGCGGTTGGAGCTATTTGCGGAATATACTGTGAATGAGTCGCGACTGAGACGAGATCGATATTCAGCAGCTTTTGATGCCATGGCAGGAGACATCGTGGATCTTACCAGAGATCTTTGGCGCTCTTACACCACGTCCGGTCGCCGGTCTGTAACGCCAAGTGCTCAGAGTGCTTCCATTGCTCCCAGTGGTAGAAGATCGCAAGCGTCGACTAGCGGCGAATCGCCCGATACAAGGCAACCCATCTCCATTCCTACGACAGCTGCTAGCCCCGCTTCGTCCGTACAGAATTTTACGCCTCACACTGAGCCAGCCTCGCCATCGAGCGCAACGAGTCAGCGAGCACGCGACGCATCTTGGAACTACAAGCCAGTTCTTTCTCCCATCCCGAGCATGGCTATGAGCACTGTACCAGATGAGGAAGATTCACGAGGAAGATCCGCAAGCAGGTGGTGGGAAGCGAGTAACGATGGTGCTTCGTCCGGCATCGGCAGCCGCAGATTGGAAAGAAGTAAACGCGAATCAAAGTACATGGGACTGCCGAAAGAAGCACGTGAAAGCCTGCAGTGGATTGGAGAAGGAGATAATTCGCCTGCAAATCGCGGAGAGTCTAGCAGCCGACAACCGCATGGGTCGAACGAGTACCCCCCCGAGAAGGCCGGCCTCCTCGAGGGGACGTTAGGTAAACAGGCTGTGGGGTAAGTGTGGACATTTACTACTCTAGATGTTGCTGACGTTAGTGTGCAGTTTTTATCCCAACTCTGCCCCGACAACTCCTGATCCACGTAAACTGGATGTTTCTCGACTAGTCACGCTGCCTCCACCTTATCCGCGACACCATCCTGCCGTCAACAACAGCCATCCCGACCTCACTTCTATTCGCAACAATTTAAGAAATCTGTCTGATCTCCAGGAAGTAAAATCCACGAAGGAGGCTTTTAAGACCAAAATCAGTGCCAGAGAAGAACAGGAAAATGCTTCGCTCAACGACCGGAGGTCCCAGCTCCGCTACAATATACAAGAAAACATCCGGAATGGGGTCATGAGTTATGGTGATGCTGCTAACGCCGAGAAAGACTTTGAGACCCGAGAGCACCAACGGGCCCAGGATCTTGTCCAGAAGACCTTCGATATCTTTCAAAATGAGGTTGCCAATCCATTGCATGCAATATTTTGCGAACGGATAACCAAAGCTTCAGCGTCACTTGAGCATCTCAAGGGCCGTTTGAACAACGCTGCGTCGGAACTAAATCCCAATCAGACGCAAGAGGAAGGCGACGAACAGCCGGAGCTGCTAGAGATGCTTACGTTGCTAAAATGGCTATTCGAGGCACGCGAGCAGTTGCACAAAGAAATGTTTGAGCTTGAAAACGAGCGTAACGACTTGTACAAGGACATCATCGTCCTGCCGTACGCCCAAGCTGGCAACGAGCAGAAAGTTGGAGAAGCAACAGCGTTCTTCCGCCGCGACGCGCAAGACCGAAAGGTTACGTGGGAGAAAGAGATCTTGAAGCGCTACGAAGAATTCATGAACGTAGTCGAGGCAAACGTCACCCGCGGCGTTGAAGCACAACTCTCTGCGTTCTGGGACATCGCGCCGGGGCTTCTTACCATCGTCCAGAAGATTCCCCAGCGCCTGAGTGGGTTCGAGATACTTATTCCGCCTTCAGAGTACGAAGAGAACCCAGCATTCTATGATTTCCCACTCCAGTATCTGTACACACTTCTTGCCCACGCTGGCCGCTCCGCTTATCAGTTCATCGAGTCGCAAACGAATCTGTTGTGTCTGCTGCACGAAGTCAAGACTGGCGTTATGAGTGCAGGTTCGAGACTGCTGGAGACTCAGAGGATCATGGAGGGCGAGGATTTGGAGCGTGTGGACCAGGAGATGAAGGCTATCAAAGAAGACGAGGAGCGGAGACTGACGGACGATTTGAAGGAGAAAGTTGGATTGGTGGAAAGCCAGTGGGATGAGGCGTTGGGAGCAGGGCTGGCAGACTGTAAATCGCGGGTCGAGTCGTTCCTCGCGCAGCAGGGCGGATGGGAGGACTGTTTGAAGGACTGATGATAGGCTTGCACACAGGGATTTGCGTTTCCTCTGCTGGTCTCATGAGAGGTAGTGGGATTTACATGGTTCGCATGACCTGCGTCTTGCGTTTGAGCATAGATACCCATTTTTTATTTCCTACGGACGAGCGTTAGCAGGATGTGTATGTGGCTAGATAGGGAAATGACAGGCAAGCGCACGGCTGCTGGGGCTGGCGGTGAGTGCCGGAGATGATTTTCCCAGCTGGAGCATGACGTGCACAGAGCTACAATGATAGTGATAGTCGTAGCGCGCGCGCCGGGTGATTGACTGAAGTATTTGTGAGAGTAAAAGACAAAGGTTGAGAACGTTTTCGCGCGCCTCATTTGTCTTTTTGTTATCATGCGCGCTCGCGCTGGCAAGCAGGGCGTCGGTCACACAACGCCACTGCTGCACGCTGCAACAGAGCAACGCCTACCCACACGCGCGTCCGTCGCCACTGCACGTCGCGGCGCTTTCCTACTGTCCCGCCGGCGCAGAAAGAATTCATTCACCAGGGCCTGATGGCACTGTCCTCGTTTGGAGCTAGCGGCTTGGCGGCAAGCGCGCACCATCTTTTCATAAAGGCACCGCCTGCCACTCTCTCGCAATCCAAACGCTCTCAACACCCGCACTCGACAGCTCTTCGACCACGTTGTTCCCCTGCGGAACATCACATAACAGAAAAAGCCCCAAAAAAATTCAGAAAACTACAAAAACATCTGTCTTGACGACGCTCGCCAATCCTCCCACTCGTCAGTCGGTCGCTTGCCCCCACCGCCTTTCTCTCCCTCCACCCTCTCGACCCCCGCGGAAGAAGGACAACCAGCGCGCCTGCCTGCTCGTCCTCTGTAGAGTTACGAGACTTTCTACCCAAGAGTATTTCGCTGCAGCTTTTAGCTTTTGTTACAGGTGAGCGGTCCCACGCGCCAAACTTTTTTTTCTAGCGAGCGCGCTCCACGCCGCACCTGCGCCTGCCCGCAAAAATTCGAACTGCCCACTGACACCCGCGCCAGATAGCCAACATGTCTGCTGAAGCCGCCAACTCCGCCTCGCCCGTCCAGGACGGCGCCCAGGAGGCTGCCAACGGCACTTCGGTCAATACCAACGTCGCCGCCGCCAACGATGCTGTCGCGACCCCCGCCTCGGCCACCACGGCCCACCCCAACTCTGCCTCGCTCTATGTTGGAGAACTTGACCCTGCTGTCACCGAGGCCATGTTGTTCGAGCTGTTCTCGTCCATCGGCCAGGTCGCGTCCATCCGTGTCTGCCGCGACGCCGTCACCCGCCGCTCGCTCGGATATGCGTATGTTAACTACAACAGCTCAGAGGACGGCGAGAAGGCTCTTGAAGAGCTGAACTACACCGTCATCAAGGGCAAGCCGTGCCGTATCATGTGGTCGCAGCGCGACCCCGCTCTGCGCAAGACTGGCCAGGGCAACGTCTTCATCAAGAACCTCGACCACGCCATTGACAACAAGGCTTTGCACGACACTTTTGCTGCTTTCGGCAACATCCTAAGCTGCAAGGTTGCGCAGGACGAGATGGGCAACTCCAAGGGCTACGGTTTCGTCCACTACGAGACCGCCGAGGCTGCCAACAACGCCATCAAGCACGTCAACGGCATGTTGCTCAACGAGAAAAAGGTCTTTGTTGGCCATCACATTCCCAAGAAGGAGCGAATGAGCAAGTTCGAGGAGATGAAGGCGAACTTCACCAATGTGTACGTCAAGAATGTCGATCTTGAGGTTACCGACGAGCAGTTCCGCGACTTGTTCGAGAAGCACGGCGACATCACATCTGCTTCGCTTGCGCGCGATGACCAGGGCAAGAGCCGTGGCTTTGGCTTCGTCAACTTCGTCAAGCACGAGGCTGCCTCCGCCGCTGTTGACGCGCTGAACGACACCGAATTCCACGGCCAGAAGTTGTACGTTGGCCGTGCTCAGAAGAAGCACGAGCGTGAGGAGGAACTCCGCAAGCAGTACGAAGCTGCTCGTCTTGAGAAGCAGTCCAAGTACCAGGGTGTCAATCTGTACATCAAGAATCTTGACGACGATGTTGATGACGATAAGCTCCGCGACATGTTCTCTCCCTTCGGTACCATCACCTCCGCCAAGGTCATGCGTGACACTCTCCCCGCTGAGGGCTCTGAGGCACCAACCGAGGAGAACAAGGAGGAGAAGAAGGAAGACGAGGAAGAGAAGAAGGAGAGCTCTGGCGACGAAGAGTCTAAGGAGAAGAATGAGAACGAGAAGGTCACCATCAAGGGCGAGAAGAAGATTCTGGGCAAGAGCAAGGGCTTCGGTTTCGTCTGCTTCAGCAACCCCGATGAGGCCACCAAGGCTGTCTCCGACATGAATCAGAAGATGATCGGTGGCAAGCCCCTCTACGTCGCTCTGGCTCAGCGCAAGGACGTCCGCAAAAACCAGCTCGAGGCCACCATCCAGGCCCGCAACCAGCTCCGTATGCAGCAACAGCAGCAGCAGCAGTTCGGTGGCATGCAGCCTATGTTCATGGCGCCTGGTCAGCAGCCGATGATGTTCCCCCCTGGCCGCGGACAGCCCTTCCCTGGTGCCATCCCCGGACAGCAGGGCGGTCGTGGTGCTGGTTTCCCTGGCGCTATTCCCGGCCAGCAGGGTGGACGTGGTGGACCAAACGTTCCTCAGATGCCGCCCATGTACATGCCTCCCGGCATGGCCCCTGGCGCCTTCCCCGCTCCTTACATGAACCCGCAGTACATCCAGCTTGCTCAGGCTGCCCAGCAGGCTGCCATGGGCGGAGGTCGTGGTGCTGGTGGCCGTGGCCCCATGGCTCCTATCCCCGGCATGCCCGGTCAGATGCCCGCCATCCGCGGCGGCAACGCTCCTTTCCCACAAGGCGGTGCCGGCCGTGGCGGACCCGGAGGTCGTCCCGGCCAGCCCCCGGCAGGCTTCCCTCAAGGTGGCCGCGCCCCTGGTGTCGATCTCGCTGCTCTGAACGCCGCTCCCGCCGGTCAGCAGAAGCAGATGCTTGGAGAGGCTCTTTACCCCAAGATCCACGAGATGCAGCCCGAGTTGGCCGGCAAGATCACCGGTATGCTCCTCGAGATGGATAACTCGGAGTTGATCAACCTGTAAGTGCTTCTGTATCAATCCTCACAAGTTATGTACATGCTAACATTACCAGTACCTCCGACGAGGGTGCCCTCAAGGCTAAGGTTGACGAGGCCATGAACGTCTATGACGAATATGTCAAGAACAAAGAGGGTGAGGGAGAGAAGGAAGCCCCCAAGGAGGAGGCCAAAGAGGACAAGGCTTAGAAAGCTAAAGTCTTCTAGGCGCTGAGTAGGACTCTCGACCCGAGAATCGCTTTCTCGGCACCCTTATGATGACGGTTCGATGACTCTTCGGCGAATGGCGCACGGCTCACGGTTTTCTCTCTCTTGCACGGTGGCTCAGTCATGACCAAAAGTTTTTGCTACAATTCGACATGCGATCGGTCTTTTCCTTTCTTCGTAGCTCCTGTCGTCGCATATTTATCTCAGCCTCCACTTGCTAGACTGTCTCTACAGTCCGCTTTGGCTGACAGGACTCCTTTTCCTTCTTTTCGATGCCTGCCTTCCCTTCAGTGGGTGCGGGGGCTCGCCTTTCTTACATGCCGCATGTAATATAGACCCTTCATCAGTCTGCGACGACAAATCACGAGTGGAATGCGGGAGGGGTGGCTATGCGGGTTTTTTTTCTCAGCTGAAGATTGATACCACACAGTGGCCTGTTTGGCCCTCGCATGCGAACAAGAGTATAATGGTGGATCGAATGGTGGATCGGCACCTTGATATGGTGGGTATGAGCGGATATGTATATGGACAGGTAGAGGGTTTGGATTAGGAATCGAAGGGTATGGATAGCAGGGATCGGGCAGGCGGTGCGTTGCGGAGCGCTCTGCTGGAGCGGCGCATGGCGTGCTTACGATGGATTCTCTTGCTTTTTATGGCTGTAGATGCTTAGTTTGAACAGATGTTTATGATTTCACAGTGTGTTTCCTGTGTGACGTTGTGGCTTTCTCTAAACCTTGAGCTCAGGTTACCACTTCTACAACACATGCAAAAAGAGTAGTGCCAGTCTTGTGCCTTGCTTCTGCAAATTTTGCGGAAAACAAAAAGCCCGAGAGAGAGATGTAGGTGAGGCTGCTGCAATTATCTTGTGTTTGATAATTTGTCATGGACCTGGAACAGGAAGAAAAATGAGAGATGAGGTCAAAGACCCAAAAACAAACTCGTAGGCCTACATACAGAAGCGGGGCAAGAGAGATTTCTGGGGCTGCAAGGTGGTGTGTGTGCGTATTGGTATGCCGGGGTGTAGCATAGTGTTAGGATGATGGATGGACAAGGTGCGTGCCAAGGTACCTTGCGAAGCATCAATTGCCTCAACGCTGTGTGCTTGCGTATGCTTACATTTCATTCTCGTGGAAAGAAACTCAATTTATTTACTACCGCTTACTTGCGACGCGTGGATATCTCGTGGTGTCGTGACATGGGTAGTATGGTATGGACAAATGATCAAACTCCAAACATGCCTGCAGTACGTTTTATTTTTGCTTCACTTCTGGTGCTTCTTGTGCACGTCGATGACGCGCTGGACCTCCTGTTCGGAGCCCATGAAGATGCCGCTCCGGTCGTGGATGTGCTCGGGGACGACCTCCATCATGCGCTGCATCTTGCTGTTGACTGCGAGGCCGCCGGCTGTGCGGGGTGTCAGCTTGCATGCTTCGGGAACAAAGCGACTGGAAACAAGGACAGGAAAGGCAAGTGAAAGGAGAACTCACCATTCTCAAACACCATGGCCATGGGCGCACACTCGTACAGAATCCGCAGTTTTCCCTTTGGCGATTTCTTGTCCGCGGGATACGCAAAGATGCCGCCGTACAACAGCGTTCTGTATGCATCCGCCACCATGCTTCCAATATACCTCGCGGAATACGGCTTGCCGCCCTCCTCAGCAGGGTACTTGAGGCCGTTAATGTACTCCTTGACGGGCTCCTCCCAGTACAAGCTGTTGCCCTCGTTGACGGAGTAAATCGCGCGCTTCTTCGGGATCCGCATGTTGGGATGGGTCAGGATGAACTCGCCGAAGTTGTTGTCGAGGGTGAAGCCGTTGACGTTACCGCCCTTCATGGTGATGACGAGCTGCGCGGAGGCGCCGTACATGGTGAATCCCGAGGCCACCATTTCGGTGCCGGCGAGGAGGAGATCCTCTTTCGTCCCCTTTGCGCCCTCATCGAGCTTGTACACGCTGAAGATTGTGCCGACGGACACGCCGGCGTCGAGGTTGGACGAGCCGTCGATGGGGTCGCACGCGACTGCGTACCGGGCGGAGGGGAACTCGTCAAAGGTGATGCATTCTTCCTCCTCCTCTGAGACGAGCAGGCGCACGCGACCACAGGAGCGCATCGCGCTGATGAAGAGGTCGTTGCCGATTACGTCGAGCTTCTTCTGGTCGTCGCCCGTTGAGTTTGTGTTGCCAGCAAGTCCAGTAAGCTATGTAGCATAGTTAGCTGCTGCCGGTGCAGCTGGCGGGTGGCATGCATACGTTGATCAGCGTGGAGCGCCGGATATAGTACGATATGCTCTTGAACGCGAATTGCAGCGCGTGGCAGAGTAGTCTGACGCGCTGGTCAGCAACCGGTTACCTCCGCCGTAGGCAGCGCGTACGTGAAGTCTCCCGTCGCCTCCTTGTGCTTTGCCTGCTCCTCGGTCAAGAACCGCGTCAGGGTGATGATGTCGGTGTTGATGGCCTCTCCGACGGCGCCGCCATTCTGGTTCTCCTTTCCGCTCATCGTAGGTATAGCTCTCTTCGCGTGCCGTTCACGTTCACAAGTTACAAAGCTCAAAGTAGGGTCGTCAGGTCAGGCCAAGCAAACAAAGGAGTTGAGTGAAGAGAAGAGGAAGAGGAAGCAATGCAGAGCTACGAGGGAAGGATCGTGATCACGATGGCAGTATGGGCCTCTAAAGCTAAATTCTGGGCCCAAAGGTGGGTAGTTACGGCATGCGCGTCGGTCGGGTGGAGGCGCTGTTTGTTCGCAGCAAGCTGTTCCGCAGCCCTCGGCTCACGATTTGGGCGTCACGCGCGCCTTTTCCGGATCCGAGAATCCCCATGATACCTCCTACGAAGCTGCAGCGTACAGATTGAAGCTGATTTGAGACCTAGACATGCTTGTGGTGCGCATGGAGAGCTGCCGACGCGCTTTGTTGTGCTCATGAAGACGTCCCCACGATGACGATGGAGGGGCATCACAGAAGCGGGGCGCCTTTTCCTGGAGCAAGGCGCTCCCGCATTTCCGACATGTTCCGACCCGCGGATTTGAGCTCAAGCCTCGACACTGCGCGGATACCAGTGCGACACTTCTCGGCATATGTCCCGGCCATGGTTATACAGCCTGGGTTTGCTGTGGCCGGTAGTTGTGTTCGCTGCATTGCATGTTGCTCTTCGTGGTCTCTACAGGCGCGTAAATGCTGCCTCTGCCTCCGAGGAGGAATATCAAGCAACAACGCACGACGTGGTACGGACCGGAATAATTATTTCACACGATGGGAGATTTTCCATGCGCGTGCATTCTCAGAGCCCCCTGTGGCTTGGAAACCATGTCCAGGGCAACAGCCAGCTCGGCATACATCCACCCGATATCTCCCATCTCAGCCCTAAACGCTCGCCAGCCTCAACCCGTGTGGTGCTAGACAGCTCTACAATCCACACCCGGGTAAATATTAACCCTAAAGCTCCAGCTCCAGATCCCGTCCACAGTTTCACTTTACGCACGTGCTTCAACACTATCACCATCATTTCATACAAATTGCAGGGGAGATAGAGTACAGCACACAGGAGCAACTTTTATACCAAACGAATATAGATCTAGTAAAAACACCCATCCCATCCCATCCTATCATACACACTCCAGCCCATGCAAATATACAACTGATTTGAAAGAAAAAGTCAAGATTCTCATGTACCCCTCATTACCCAGCTCGCGACGACGACGACGACGACGACGGGGGAATAAGGCGACAGCAATGCAAACATCAAAAGGAAACAGGATGGATGGGGGGAAATAGTACATTGAGCCTAGGCTCCATGCAGGACCGAACGCTTACTCGCCCTTGAGCTTGTCTTGCTTAACAGTGAAAGCCTGCTCGAGCAGATCCTGCTCCTCCTTCTTGTGGCTCGCCTTGAGACCCGTCGCAACAGACGCACTGGGGTTGCGACCGGCGTACATGACGTGCCTGCGGTTGTGGTGCTCCGTCTGGTTGAGCAGCGTCTCGATGCGAGGCTGGGTGAAGCTCCATGCACCCGCGTTCAGCGGCTCCTCCTGGCACCAGATGATGTTCTGGGCGTTGGGGTACGAGTCGAGGTTCTCCTTGAGCTGTTGCCAAGGGAAGGGGTTGAGCTGCTCGATGCGCGTGATGGCAACGTCAGTGAGGCCGCGGGCCTCGCGCTCCTTGACGAGCGCGGCGTAGACCTGGCCTGTGCAGAGGATGACGCGCTTGATCTCCTCGGGGGAGCCGATGGCGCCGCTCTCGTGGGCGGGGTCGCGGACGATCCATTCGAAGTGGGAATCGCCGGTGAACTCTTCGATTGAAGAGCGGGAGAGCGGGTGGCGGAGGAGAGACTTGGAGAAGAACAGGATGAGAGGCTTGCGGAATTGGCGGTTCATCTGGCGTCGGAGGATGTGGAACATGTTGGACGGCTTAGTCAGGTAAGCGATCTGCATGTTGCAGTCCTGGTGCTGGCGCTCGAGCTTCTCGGGCGACGGGAAGATGCGCGGATCCTCGTTCACGAGCAAGAGGTAACGCTCCATACGTCCAGAAGAGTGCTCAGGGCCCTGACCGTCGTAGCCGTGGGGCAAGCTGAGTACAAGACCAGAACGCTGCAGCCACTTGACTTCACCAGATGCGATGAACTGATCGATGATGACCTGGGCGGTGTTGGCGAAGTCACCGAACTGAGCCTCCCACATGACGAGAGCGTTGGGCGACGATAACGAGTAGCCGTATTCGAATCCAAGACTAGTAACGTTAGCAAAGTTATTTGATTCGGATAATTCCAACTTACACTCCGTACTCGCTCAACGAAGAGTTCGAGATGGTGAAGGTGGCCTGGTCATCGCTCAGGTTCTGCAATGGGGTGTAGGTCTTCTCGGTCTCCTGGTCGTGTAGAACTGCATGACGCTGCGAGAAGGTACCACGCTCAACATCCTGTCCAGAGACACGGACGTGGTGGCCCTCCATGCAGAGAGTACCAAAAGCCAAAGCCTCGGCTGTGGCCATGTCAATGTTCTTGCCGTCGGTGACGGTCTTCGTACGACCCGCAAGAATACGCTTCAAGTTGCGGTGGAGGTTGAAATCTTCAGGAGCACCGCCGATCTTCTCGGCGACATGCTTGAGCTGAGCCTCCTCAACAGCGGTGGGGAGATGTGGGAGCACTTCGGTGGCAAGCTCCTTGGGCGACTTGAAACCATTCCATGCGGAGGTTAGCCACTCCTTGGAGTTCGGTTGGTAGTCCTTGCTGCGATTGAAGCTCTCCTCAAGCATGCCCCAAACCCAGGCCTTGTGCTCATCGATATCCTCCTTAGTGAAGGTCTTCTCGTCTAAAAGCTTCTTGGTGTAGATGTCGAGCGTAGGAGGCTGCTCGGAGATCTTCTTGTACATGAGTGGCTGGGTGAAGAACGGCTGGTCGGTCTCGTTGTGACCCTGCTTTCGGTAGCAGACCATGTCAATAACGACGTCCTTCTTGAACTCAGCGCGGAAGTCAGCTGCAAGCTGGCAAACAAAGTTGAAAGCCTCTACATCGTCACCGTTAACGTGGAATACAGGTGCGTCAATGGCCTTGGCGATGTCGGAGCAGTACGGGGTGGATCGCGAGAAACGGGGGTCAGTGGTGAAACCGATCTGGTTGTTCACAATCAGATGGATGGTTCCTCCAGTGTGGTAGCTAGGCAGCTGGTGGAAACCCATGGTCTCGTAAACGACACCCTGCCCGGCAAAGGCCGCGTCTCCGTGTAAGAGCACGCCCATAGCAGTGCGGGCGTCCTTCTCGTCGTTGTTGTAGTGCAAGATAGCACGGGTCTTTCCGAGCACAACAGGGTCCTCGGCTTCCAAATGTGACGGGTTGGCGACTAGAGAAAGCTGTACACGCTTGCCGGAGGGCGTAGGGCGCTCGAAGTTCATGCCCAAGTGGTACTTGACGTCACCAGAACCCTCGTCGCTCGGCTCTGTACTGCCTGCGAATTCGCTGAAGATGGACTCGTTGGGCTTCCTGACGACGTTGCTGAGAACGTTGAGACGTCCACGATGCGGCATGCCAATGACGATGTCCTTGACACCGTAGTCAACACTGCGGTCAATGAGGGCCTTCATTCCGGGGATCAAGCTCTCTCCACCCTCGAGACCGAATCGCTTGTCGTTGGGGTATTTTGTCGCGAGAAAAGCCTCGAAGTTGGTGCCCCAGATGAGGCGGTCCAGGATGCGGCGCTTCTCGTCGACAGAGTACTTGTACGGCTGCGGGATCTCGATGCGTTCACGGAGCCAGTCGCACTGTTCCCTGTCGGGGATGTGGATGTATTCTACTCCGTATGAGCCGCAGTACAGACGCTCGCACGCATCAATGATCTCCCTCAGGTTCATCTTCTTGCGGGTCTCCGTCTTGAAGCGAGGCAAGATACCGGGGCCAAGCTCGAACTCCTGGTCCAGATCCTTCTCGGAGAAGTTATAGTGCGACAGCTCGAGCTCGCGTGGCTTGGCGTAGCCAAAGGCAAGAGCTTCGGAGCGGATGCCCAGCGGGTCGATCCTGGCCTTGTGGTGGCCGCGGGCCTGGTATGCGCGCACGAGCAGCTGGACCTTCAAGTGGTTCATGACGTCGGAGCCCTCGCCTACGGTCATACCGAGGCCAGGCTTGCCGCCCGATAGATCAGGACCCAGGCCGCCGTGCATGCTCGGCGTGTTCATGATGGTCGGCGGCGGCTGGAAGGCTTGCGAGACGGGCATGTCGCCCGACTCCATATTACGGAAGTAGACCTGCCATGAGTAGTGCACCGACGTCGGGTCGCGCTTCCACTGCATGTACATCTCGTCGACATAGTTGGCCGTGTTGCCCTGGAGGAACGAGTCGTTGGGGTCCTGCAGCAAGCTCTGTTAGCAGCGTCCTCGAAAAGTTTGCCCCAGCGGACGGAAGCACGCACAACGCCCTTATTGGTATCCTCAACCGAGACGGCATATCTCCGCCTCTGCTGAGACAGCGCAAGCGGCCTGCGACTTGCGGTAATGGCTGATCTCGACGGCGAGGCGGAAGCTGTGTAGAAGCTGGCTCGCGGCGCGCAGCTCGAGAGCTGGCGGGTGCACCGCAGCGATGTGCGCAGCATTGTGAATTACTAGGGGGAGGTTAGAGCGCGAAAGCAGAGGACATCCAAACAGCGGATGGGAAAGGACTGGGAAGTCTTGATGCGAAAGCTGCGCAAAAGGCCAGGAGGACAAGCATGCGCTCACAGTCGGACGAGTCGGGACTAGCGCCTTGTGGCTCAAAATGCCTCACCATCAGCTGGGCGTCCGTTCCGGATGCCGTTTGAAATGTCTTGTCTTCATTTACATTGACGAGGCAATTGACTCGCCGGGCCCCCGGTGCTCTCTTTGCGTTCCAAGGACACCTGCTGAAGCCGTGGTCACACTCGGCCATCATCGCTGCCTCGACAGACATATATCACTGCTGCAACAAAAAAGTGCCGGGGCAGTCCGGCCAATCATCGCGCGGCACTTGGGAGGCGGTGCGCCACAGCAACGGTCACGGTCACGGAAAAGAAGCGGGTGACGTTGTTGCACAACACGGATCCGCGGCCGTCCAAAACAACTTGGCCTCGGCTAGACCCCGTTTACCAGCGGATCATTCCCGCAGCAGCCTCGCACCAAACCGGGGGTGTGACATCGTTCCGACTTCAGGACTTGGTGTCGCATTGTTAGACAGTGACGGTAATTTAATACGACTAGGTAAACACGTCCGACCGATGTAGACGCCAAATAATGGAAAATGTCCTGAAGAGTGCTCAGTACAAAGTGATCAACAGCGCTCCTGTAGCCATACTGAACCAAGAACACCATAATCATTTGAACAATACTACCGAGCAAGCCGTCAGGGGGAATCTCATACTCATGCAGACACAGCAAAAACGAGATGCAGACCCCAGCCACCCCAGCTCCTTTCCCTAGCCCACCGTGCCCTATCCTGCCTGACCGAAACCTCATCGCGCATCCATCCCTATCTGGATGCAAGCCAGGAGCCATCAACGCCACAAATGCACATCAAACGATGCAGAAAACCCGCAGTCGCCAGCACAGAGAAGCAAGCGACTCGCATATATAGAAGGTAATGTTGGAAATGCATCACTGCGTTGGTCTCCCAATGCCTTGCTTCGCCTGGAAACATGTCAGTGAACGGTGCTGTGGTACAAATAGGACATATCGTACCTTCATCATCTCGATCCTCTGCTTCAGGTTTTGCGTCACCTCTGCAGCGCGCTTCCAGCTTTCCGCGCCCGTAGCCCCTCCGCCTCCAATACGACTGCTCACCGGATCCGCAGGACTTATGCGGCCTCCGCCGCGCGAAGAGAGCGATGATTTCCCTGAACGTGCGTCTGTGTCTGCGCGAAGAGGACTCAGCTTGCCGCTCAGACCGCTGCCAGGACGTTCAAAATTCTCCTTACCATCGCCACCCGGGCTTATGGGCCCATTCGCTGCAAAGCGATCTCTCCTGCCGTAGAGACCTTGGCTGCCGTATCCAGAGTCGCCGAGACGTCCGACACCACCACCAGTACTGTCGGTGTAGATTTGCTCGGAAATGTCCGCCGGGGGTGGGGATGCTGCCCGCGTTTGCCTCTGTAGCTCACGCTTTAGACGTTCGTTCTCCCGGCGCTGATTGTAGATGGTCTGCTCGGATGCTTCACAGTCGGCACGCGCGCGCACAAGCTGTGTTTCCTTCGCTTTGATCGAGAGCACGTCTCGTGTGTGGTCTTCGATGAGCTGAGCATTCTGGTTCTGCAGTTCATGGACCTGAGATGTGAGCTTTGTCCGATCACTACGCAGATCCTCGTTTTGTCGCCTTAGTCTCTCGACTTCTGCTCGAAGTTCGTCTAGTTCGGCCTTCTCCACCAGACTGATACCAGTTGGGGCTGGGGCAGCAACAGGGGCAGCTGCGGCCTCGGCTTGAGGTTTCCCTATCGGTCGACCCGCCAGTCCTCGTCCGGCGCCAAGGCCGAATTTGGGTTGCGCAGGCGGCAATGCTGCCTCTTCCTCAGGCGGCGGAGATACCACGGGTCTTCGCGGAGATGCAGCACCGGGAGCACCAGGCTTCTTCAAACCACCCAGACGCGAAGCGCCTGCCTTGGGTGCGCCTAGCTTCGAAGCGCCAGGTTTGGAGGTAGGCTGAGGTGCCAGAGGTGCTGTGGGCTCCTCAACAGGTGGTGGAGGGGGTGCAGCGGCCTTGGGTGCTGGTTTCTTGACACCAGCTGGTCGCTTTCCGAGAGGCTTCTTGCCAACCGGGGCTGCAGCAGGCTTTGGCGGCGGCGGCGCTGCCTTCGGCTTGAATTTGGCTTTGACTTCAGCTGCGTCGTGAAACTCCTTGATTTTAGCCTTTCGTATGTCATCGAGACCATCGAGATGAGCGTTCATCATGCGGTCGCCCATGATCTTCCACAGCGTACCAAGCACTTCGGCACCGGCTTCACGTTGAACGGCTTGTGATTCGGTCAGCAGTTTTGTTGCTGCTTCGGCGATGGTTTTGACTTCCGGCTGCGAAGGCGCCTCCCTGATGTTCTTCAAAGACCGCACCAGGAATCGTGTTGATTCCAGCTTCACTTGGGGGTTCTTGTGCTTCAGAAACTCTACGACTTCCTCCAGACAATCTGATAGAGAGGAAGAAGCGAAGACCGCATCTAGGGCATTTCCAAGGGCGTCAGCAACGGTTTGTTTCTTCTCTTTCAACCGCTCCATCATTGGGTTCATGATTGTAGATCGATATTTGGAAAACCCCTTCTTCAACCCCTTGGCCAAAAGCTCGACGCAGTTGGCGGCTGTAATGACGACCATGATGTTGGCATCTTTCATCGACTTGGCGAAAGTGCGGACGAGATCATCAAATGGCCCATCGGCAATTCTGGGAACCTCGAGAATCTTGTGCAGGTCATCGAGGGCCTCCTTTCGATCCTTCCACTTGGACGAAGCCATGCGTTCGTTGTAGTCGGCTGGGATTTTGGCGAAAACGTTGACGGCTTCATACTCCGGTTCCAAATCAATGGCGGCCTCTTCTTCCTCCTCTTCCTCGTCCTCGCCCCCACCCGGCGCGGCTGCGGCTGCCTCCTTCGCGGCTTGTTGTGAACGCAGCAACCGTTCCTGTTTTGGCGGCGGCTCGTCCTTCACTTTCTCGAACAACTTGTCCAGATCCTGTTGCTGCACAGGCTTCAGCTCGCCCCAGAACAGGGGTTTCATAGCGTCTTTTAGCCATCGGTAGAACTCGACAGTCAGCTCTTGCGCCTTGGCTCGGACGTTCTTGTCTGCATGCCCGTACACTTTGGGGAGTATCTTTAAAACTGGCTTCGGCTCGACCGTCTTGCAGCCGAATGCATGGTATATTTGAGAGAGGGCGTCTAGTGTTGCTGCGATGACTTTCGGTTGCTTGTGCGATAGGAGGGGCAGCAATTCTTCAATGACTGGGTCTGGCTTGTCCGTCTCAACATACAGCATCAACGCTTCGAGCGCACTCTGTTTTGCGGCGGGCCTTGTTGAGGGAAGTCCCTTTTCAGCGATGGTCGCGATTGTGATTTGCCGTGTCCTGCGACAATGCGTTAATGCATGAGGCCGAGCCGCGCAAGAGAGCGATATACCTTGTGCACCCGGCAGCGCCTGATATCTGGAGGAAGGAGCATAGTGCTTTGAGACCTTCCTGCTGTGCGGCGACATTTGAGTCGCCAACTACGCCCTTCCATATGCTGGCATCGCTGACGAATTGGCGCACAACGGGGTCCGATTCGCTGGCAGCGAGGTCGAACTCTTTGGTCGCAGCCTCGTAGCCTTCTTTCCTTACTTTCCAGTTCTTGTGTACGAAGCGGTCGGGAAGCGGAAGCTTGCTGAAATCCTCCTCGGCCTCTGCCATGGTGGTGTGTGGATTGGGTCAAGGCGGGGTGTTTCGTGGGCTGCCAGGCGGCCGGGTTAGTTTGCGAGCACAGGCTGAGGAGGGCGGACGGTCTGCGGAGTGAGCGACACGGGTCGCGAGTGGTCCGAGGCTCTGCGCGCCGTTGTGCGATCGCGTAGTCTGGGGAGCTGGGGAGACTCGAGGAGCGTGCACGACGTGCGTGGGAAAAACACGACCGCGGGGGCAGGCAGGGCAGGCGCAACAGACGTGACTTACAGGTTGGCAGGTGCTGATTGCGCTGTGTACACAACGGCAGTGCGTGCTAGGCTTGGTGGCAGACGCGACTGAAGTAGCGAGCTCGTGGTGGTGAGGTGCGCAGTGTGTAATGCGGGAGTAGTGGCTTGTGACGCAAAGTTCGTTGTCCCTATGTTGGGCTACAGCGTCGCCCGGCAACGCAACAGTGCGCGCATCATTGCCCACCGCCGGCTGCGAGACACCGCATCCATGCTCCACGTCCACCTAAAGCTCCACCCGCCCGTCGTGTCGCCCAAAGTCCAAAGACAACTCGTCACTGTTTCCCCCGTTACGCCGCCCGCTCGCTTCGCGGCCCGCCGACTGCGCTTCACCGTCACTGCACGCCTCACCGCACTGCTCCGCGCCAAGCCTCGTCGAAACCACCAAAACACCACAGATAACGCTCTCGTCGCCAGCCCCGCCTTTGTAGTGTATGGTCGCCGCTAGCGGCGATCCGCCCCGAGCGCCCAATTGCGCCCGTCATGAGTGCAATACTGACAGACAGGCAAGCCGAAGAACTGTGAGTGCGCAGGCAGACTGAGATTGCGGGCATGCCACTCACACGATGCGCGCAGGAACAAGGCCATAGTGGCGTACCTGGGCGTCATAGGCGCTTCCAAGACCGCCGAAGCCTTTCGGGAAGAGGCGAGCATACCAGCCAGCTTCGACGATGCCACGCGGAAGAAGTATGAGGGGCTGCTGGAAAAGAAGTGGACCAGCGTAGTGCGGCTGCAAAAGAAGGTCGGTGGCCATCCTTGCCATCTACAAGACGTATTGCTGAGGTGCACAGGTCCTCGAGCTTGAACAGCGGAACACAAGCCTCCAAGGCGAGCTCGACTCCACGACCCCCACGTCGCTCCTCCGTAAAAACCAGGACCCAACCAGCTGGCTACCCAGAGCCCCGGCGCGCCATACCCTCCAGTCACATCGCTCGCCTATAACTTGTGTTGCCTTCCACCCAATCTTCTCATCCCTCGCTTCGGGCTCCGAGGACACGACAATCAAGATATGGGACTGGGAAATGGGCGAGTTGGAACGGACAGTGAAAGGGCATACCAAAGGCGTGCTAGATGTTGATTTTGGCGGACCGAGAGGAGGAACACTACTCGCGTCATGCTCCAGCGATCTGACCATAAAGCTTTGGGATCCGTCGGACGAATACAAGAACATTCGCACGCTTCCTGGACACGATCACTCTGTTTCCGCCATCCGATTCATTCCTAGCGGAGCCGCTGGTTCGCCGTCATCGGGTAATTTGCTCGTTTCAGCATCTCGAGACAAGACTTTAAGGATATGGGACGTCACAACAGGATATTGCGTCAAAACCATTCGAGGACACGTAGATTGGGTGCGAGACGTCGCTCCGAGTTTCGATGGCCGGTGGCTGCTGTCTGCGGGAACCGATCAGACTGCGCGTCTGTGGGACGCCAGCTCTGGCGAAGCGAAATGCACTTTCCTGGGCCACGAACACGTCGTCGAGTGCGTCGTAATAGCACCACCGGTATCGTATGCGAATCTCACCGCGCTTGCTGGTCTCAAGAAGGCCCCGCCCCTCAGCAGCTCCGCCGAATTCATTGCCACGGGCTCACGAGACAAGACGATAAAGATCTGGGACGGGCGAGGAACGCTCATTAAGACGCTGATCGGCCACGACAACTGGGTTCGCGGGCTCGTTTTCCATCCAGGTGGACAGTATCTTCTTTCCGTTAGCGACGACAAGACGATACGCTGCTGGGATCTTAAGCAAGAGGGTCGTTGTGTGAAGACGGTCTCGGACGCACATTCGCACTTTGTGAGCTGCATACGATGGGCGCCAAATGTCGTCAAGGACGTACCCACAAACGGAGACGCAGCCAACGGTGCGGCGGTGAACGGCGTGAACAAAAAGAAAGAAGAAGACGCAGCCAAAGCTGGGATACGATGTGTGATCGCGACCGGAAGTGTGGATCTCAACGTTCGAATATTTGCGTCCTGATTTGGACGCAATGCAACACTCACTTTGCGCATCAACGCGCTTTCACTTACATCGAAGCCTGTTTTTGGAGGTCTTCGAGACCCCTAATATTCCCTTGGTGGACTATCTGCGGCTTCTTTTCACGTTGATGACCCTCCCCGGATTCATGTATGCATACCCAGTTCGCATTGCGCAGCGGCGTCTTCCAGTTGGCCAGCATAGAAGGGCGTTACCGGAGGTGGAGGGATGATTTAAGGGATTGGCGTATGGGGGACGATGGGTGGAGAGATATCCATGGCTCTGTAGATGCTGTGCTTCAATATTCACTTCACGTCAACTTCATCTCACTTGCTTTCCGTGCTTTCTTTTGTGAGTGCAGTACGACGTATGTACAAGTCTACAGTATGTGTACCAGGAAGGCATGCTGACGCGCAACCCGCACTAGCCTCTCTAGTCCTAGCCTCCCGAACCCTAGTCTTGAACTTGGCACGGCGTCACTCGACGAAGTCAACTTGCGCTCCTCCACCATGGCAGAAGCCCCCGCGCAATACAAGAAGAAAGACGGAAAAATCACTGTCTCCGCAGATGGTCGCAAGGTCTCGTGGAAATCGAATGGTGGAGACCTGTCCGTAGTCATCGACATTGCAGAAGTCACCAGTACGTCGCCGTATGCTTCTAAGAATGAGAATGGTGTGGGTTGCGCAGCTGACAAAATGCTACCTAGATCTTCAGCAGACGCCGGCTACATCCGCAAAAGCCTCGACCAAGATCGTCGTTCAGAGACCTGACCAGACCGAGAACCATACCTTCACCTTTTCATCCGCCGCAGCTCGCGAAGACCAACAATCAATAACCGGACTGCTGCGCAAATGTATAGAAGAGTCCAAGGCAAAGGAGGCTGCCGCCTCCGTCGTAATTGCTACACCGGCTGCTGCCACGCCTGCACCGGACAATGGCGGTGCGTCGGCCTCCATGACGATCGCACAAACCTTAGTAAACGCGCCACAGGACGATGATTCGTACAACAACACGAAACTGTTGGAAGACATCCCGCTTCAAAGATCCTTGCTGAACTCGAACCCTGCGCTTCGCCAGCGCTTCGACCAGGCTCTTCGCGATAAGCCTGAGTCAATATCCATAATACAGTTCTCTAACCAGTTCTGGGCTACAAGAGTGCATCTTCTAAGATCCCATGCTGTTGAAAATACCCAGGGCACGGGAACATACAACGTCCTGTCGGTCGTAAAGCCTTTCATGGACAAGGATGGGAAAGAAAAACTGAACATTAGCAAAGAGCAGATTGTGCTGATTTTCTCCCAATACCCGCTGATCAGGAAGGTTTACAACGAGAATGTGCCACCACTGACCGAGCCAGATTTCTGGTCACGGTTCTTCCACAGCCGGCTCCTCAAGAAACTGAAGGGAGAGAAAATCAAAGACGACATTGATCCCACGGACCCTAAACTGGATAAATATCTCAATTTCAATGAGTCCGCCAATGACGGGCCCCAGTTTCTCATCGATTCAGTTCCTCGTTTCCTTGACGTTGAAGGTAACGAACAAAATCACAGTCAACGGCTTGGTAACAGACCGCATGCAAACATGCGACCATCTTCGAACGAAAAGGAGCCGATCCTGCGAATACTCAATCGCATGAGTGAAAAGCTCATGGCTTCGGTGCCGCCTTCCGATGGCAGGGGTCGTCATGGGCCCGTAGGATTGGATGAAGAGACGTACAATGAACTGCGGCTCCACGATCTACAACGCGCATCCGACGACAATCGTGTCTTGCTCAAGCTTCAGGATCAGGATAAATTCTTCTCTGCTGGACAAGGCGTACATACATCCAGTAGTGCCGCAATGTACACAAAACGCACGCCCGCTCAGGTGTTGTCGAGTATTCAACAAGAGTTTCGCAGTATCAATGGGAGCCGGGCCCAGAACGGTGGAATTAACTTACGTTCCGTAGCCGGCGTAGAAGATGAGAGCAGCAGTGAAGAAGAGTCGGACGCGAAGAAGAAGAAGCCCAAGGTCGGGAGCAGGTCCTCGCGCACTGGTGCTACTTCACAGATTCTCAAAGCGATACGACAACGCCAGCGGCACGGCGACGATCATGTCTCGCCTCAAGCCACCGTGTCTAGCGAACAGGCACGCCAGCTGAGCGTCCCCGAGCAAGTCTTAGACAACCTCGCCATAACGCACAACACGACCGTCGAATTCTTGCACTACTTCTGGGCAGTGTACTACTCGGGCGACGCAGAGCGCGCCAACGAAGTCGCCAAGCTCGTCGAGACGCTGGATAAATCCCTCGACAGAATCAAGGCCATCGCCGACACCGCAGAAGCTGAGCGCATATCCCGCGTCCAACGGAGGGTGCAGGAAAACGACGAATATACGGCCCGCACAGGCCGCAAGCGCAAGTTCGACGCCAACAGCATCAAAGGCGGGTCCAAGGCTGTGTACGGGCTCGTGGAACCACTCGTCCGTGCTATCAATGCCGCAAGACAGCAGTATCGGATCGCGCTGCAGGAACAGCTAGCTCAGGCCCAGAAAGTAGGCGCGTCGTGATGGGCAGAGAGCTGCGGTTGCGATAATTCAGCTCGGCTACTGGCACCCGGATATCGTGCCGGTTACTCGAGTGCTGGCCTGGATTGGATTGGCGTAGAAGCGGAGAAGAGTCCGCGAGCGGTAGTAGGGCCAGACATGTGACCGGTGGGGCTCTCCGGCTGGCTATGGCTGAATGGAGGTGAGCGTCGGGGACGGCCGTCACCGTCTAGGAATCTTTTCTACTTTCAATGCATAGCGGAGGCGTCTGGATTGCTTTGCCTGTCTTCCTTAGACATTTTAGATCCCATGCTCAGGTTACTCAAGGCCATGGGTTTGTGTTCATACCCGTTATGGCGACCGATCCCGTCTATCATCTACTGATACTGCCACTGACTGCACCATTTGTTCGCCTGCGCATGTAGATGTTCTATGATACTATACTCTCTATATTTACGTGCAGACATAATAAACACATACAACCCATAGCACAGCTTCAGACGAGACAAGACGACCCCGGCCCCCATCCATGCAGCCGCTCTCGCCTACACACAGCCGGCTTCCCTGATTACTGTGCTACTTCCGACCCCGTTCGCTTCGTCGACGTCACCGCATACTTGTGCCTGATCAGTGCTTCAGGACGCCTAGGTAAGACTATATACGCACGCTGCCATTCGTCAGAAAGCGGTCCGGGTCCGTACGCTAGATCCTGAGGCCTGCATGCAGGAACGGACAACGATAGGATTTACGGGGTATTGGGGTCTCGATGTTGTGCAGGGGATGTGGAAATTTGCTCGCCGATATGGAAAGCCTGTATAGTGGAGACGATGGCATGACATTGTTGGAAATAAGTTGCGGCTTTGGACTAGTGTACATCATGGAGGGAGGGCGCTGGAGCGTAGTGGTACGGGACGGAGAAGCGCACTCTGCATTGCGCTGCACTGCGGGCATATCGTAAAGTTTAACGCAAAGCAGCCCTGGGGAGCGCTTTTACTTGACAACGTGGGCGTTGCGTTGCCGGGGCCGTCCCAGGAGCTTGGCGCGGTGATGAACGGTGGAAGATGGGTTTGGGGTTGTAGTGTCGTACTACTGTGGTGAGGCATGGTGTGGAGACGGCGCGAGAAGGGTCTTGTGCTGCAGACATCAGGGTGCATGTGGGATCAGTGCCCGGAACCAAGGCTCCTTGGGCAAGGGCGAGATGATCGGTCTGTTTGATCAAACGCGAGACCCAGTTTGTACGGCGCGCCCGTACGCCGGATACATAGTTCCGATAGTCTGTATAAGTGCTCTAAAACTCTGTGCTTGTTGTCGCGGTACCCTGTTTACTACTGTGGTCATTTCGGCATTGCTCAGTAGCTATTCGCTGCTGGGATAACGATATCCGAATCGTATGCCCGGGCAGCCAAATTTCCGCTTCGTTGTCGCGGCTCTGCACTTTCCCTGCCTGAGCTATCATGGTGTTGAGCTACTACCACACCTGCAAGGTAAATTTTCAATAGTCTCGGTTGCTCCCGCTGTGATCGGCTGGTTGTCCCCACTCTCCGGTTCATGGACCCGTTCAAGCGTTGAAGCTTGAGCCGACCTCACCCCTCTATCCTCATTCATTTCATTTATAGTCGCGAGCCCTTGGCGTCCAGACGGTCGCCATACCTTGACCCACTGGCGTCATAGGCGCAATTCACAACTTATAAAGACCTCGTGCCCGTTGGCCGCAACCCGCAAGATTCGTGACCTCACAGTACAACACCACTGGACCAGGATCACACCACATGAGAACCTGTCTTAAATATATAGGGTATAACGTCCGAACCGAAACCTGTTTTGAGATCAAAAGAGATAGTAAAAAGGCAATCCTTCTATTCGAGCGAGCGTTCTGCTTCCCAGCTTGAGCAACCTACCCAAAGCTTTCATAGTCAAAGAGCCAAGAGGTAACCAGAATCCTGGAACAAATGATAGTAAGTGATAAACAGAAATCGTTCCGAGGAAGCGGTGCTTGGATGGATCTTCTATCCGTAGTCATTGTTCCACATCTACTTAAAACGTCGTCGAAAGCTGCATGTACGAAGATGTTGCTGTGTAGGCATAGAGTCGAGCCCCGTGTGCTGGACGCAAAGTCCTTCGGGGTCACTAGAGGACTGTGTTCCAGTACGGGGTAGCCGATGCACCTGAGCAAGAGTTAGCTGCGCTTTTTTCTCGACAAACCCCTAGCCCGGCAACTCACCTCCTTGAATTGGATCACTGCTCGCGGTAGGGTGGCCACCGGTCGAATGCTGCCCAGCAGCCTGGCTGTTACGGTTGTCTCGGAAGCGAAAGCTGTGCCACAGAAACCACTCTGCTACCCAGTTTTCTTCCTCAGTTGTCATCCATCGACCCAATTGGTAGTATGGCCTTGTGTACACACTCGCCGTTCGGACGATGTTCAATATCTCTCTGTGCCTAGCTGTCTCGGACAAATCATCCCACTTATACGGAGCGCGGGCCCCTTCTTTCATGGAAAGCTTGGTTAAGCTGTTGTAATCGCCACTCAATCTGTCTCTTCCTTGTTCCGCTTCGTTCTGAACGACGACGTTGTAAGTATTAATCGACTATGACGAGGCTGTACTGACATATAACAGCCGATATATCGAGTCGCCATTGGGGCCGTACAACCCGAGTCGTGCGATGAGCGCTGTTTTGGGACTACTCTTTGCGAACGGAGTCTTCCCCATCCTCACGGCGGGGGTGTTTGCAAGGTCGGAATTGAGTATTGCAGACGAGGACGCACCCACCTTCAACACTTAAGCGAACCTCTGCCGGCTATTCCCTTTATAGTTGTTTCAGCGCGGCCGGGCCTGAAGAAGCTTGCGCCTGAGGACAGTCTTCCTGTCGTCAAGTGCTACCTGCATCCTACGCAATCATTATTCGCACATTGGATTTCTCTTCGGCACGAATCTCCCGAGCCAGGGTACGGCTGGGACCGACGAAAAATGAAGCACAACTGCTTCCGAGAATACTCCCATACCCAGGTCGGTCCGGCGCCGCCATCTCGCATGGAGGTGTCCCTGACGAGAGCAGTGTCGGGCGAAACCTCCACAACTGGATCCTGAAGACTGTCCCTCGGTACTGTCGATCACCCATGTCGTGTCAGGAAATTTACGCCGTGTTCCCTCTGACGCTCGGCAGTTGCGGTTACGGCGCACAGTTTCGATTGGTGCTATTCGCTCCAGCAGCGGCTTTGGATCGCGAGCCGCTGCTCTCATGGTCAGTTGATCCCACGCCAGACTTTCGAGTACCAATAGCCAGGGTTTATTCGAATCTGTGGGCTCGAAAAGCATATGCAGCTTAAAAATGGACAGACGGCCCGTGCGATAGATATCGGCGCCGCTACTATGATCGCAGGAATCATCATCAGCAACCTTAGCACACTACGAAAATGATTAGTGCAAGCTCGGGTGGCCCAATCGTGCGGTAATATCAACAGCCATAACTCTTAGGCTCGTATTCCATACTGGACTAAGGGTGCTGCCTCTGATCAGGAGGCGCAAGTCACTCGCTTCTGGCTTTGCTTCCACGCGACTTTCTTCACTGAAGCGGGTGAAAAGCCACCTGGTTTATAGAGAACGTGCTAGATGTTGCATAAGCATCAGTTCGTCTCTAACAACCGGTGGCCAATGTGTTCTTCAACCGGAAGTGTACGGCTTGCGGCTGCATCTCCGCTCTAGGGTCTGATTTGACTGCGGCGTAACGTATGGCGAACCTTGGTCAAAGATGCTCTGTAAGGCACAGTGAAACTTTCAGCAACTTCTGGGCATCGGGCATACATCCAAATCCATAAGGGTGGCCGGGATTTGAGGATAATGGGCCAGTATAATCGCCGTGAGAGTGATCCATTTTTGGACAGAGCTTCCTTGTCGTCACAAGGCACTATTTGCGGATCACCCATCTCCATATCGTACGGCACCTGGTACTGGCTCCCAATCTCGAGAACGATCCCTGGGATCTCGATGCTCCAGGGCTATATCCCGTCGGCGACCACCCGGGCAGCTACAACCCCATAGGCTGTGTATCTTACATGCTGCTAGGTGCGGTACAGCCCTAGCACCATCTCAGCACCCCAACGGGACGCAATGCGTCGCTAGCAGTACGGGGCGACTCTGCTTGGGCTTCGCCTAGCCGGCGCCACAGTGGATCCAAAAAGCAAAGGCTCCAGGGCAAGCTACGCCTCGGCAAATGACGGTGGACTCATTAGCATCAAACAGGCGTTCTTAAACGTCAAGACCGGACCAAGATAGTCTTGGGCGCCCGAAGGATTCATGTTCAACTTATGCAGTGGTGTAGGCTGTTCAAAGCCTCTTGCCACAGGCCTAATGCGCCTGGCCGTGTGCGCGCTGGCAATGGGGAAGACGGTTGTTGTCGCGAGTCCCTGGTGTCCACATTCCCCCTCAACGAACTGGTGTCACACAGAAGTCTCAACAGTCTTTCGATCAGCGCAGCCGCCCTCTTGGGCTGCAGTCGTTGCCTGACCAAGCTGCACCTCTGGCGGGTTGAGCTGACAAGCTGCAGAAGCCCGCTGCGTGCAGCATGGAGCAGATGACATGACAGGTTGTTGGAACACATTCACTTTATTACTTTTTTGATCACGGCATGCTCCGAGGGCGCCCATCCTATTGGCGGCGCGTTTGCCCGGTGCCGCTGGCGATTCCTATTCGCTGGCGAGCATTACCGAGATGCATCCGGAGAAGCACGACCAACATGCACATTGGGCCATTTGCATCGGAACCCTCTTCTACGCTATCGAAAGCACTCAATGATGCGCTCGGATTTGGGAAATGTGTGAGGCTGGCTTGTGGAACCCTTCGCCAGGCGGTGAGAGCGACCGTCTGGCGGCTCGTTGCTGGCAGGAAGGCGCCTTCCCCAATGTAGCAGCGACAGAGGTGCCGTTATGCACCTACTCCAGCTGCTCGAACAGTGCACAGCTCAGACCTGGTGCCTTTCCGTCCCATTGCCATCCACAGGCATGCTCCCGTTGACACCGGTCGACCTGCGGCCTCGGCATTGGCAGAACGATGTCGCCTCCCCGGCCCCAGTCTCGTCGACTGCATGGACGCACCAATGATCAGCGGCAGACTCGTGGCCTGTGCCAGGCGCGGGACCTGGTCGACGGGGGAAATCCCACCCTACCGCCTGGCCAGGATCCCTTCGCCTACTACAAAGCTTTCCGCAATACGGACGCCTCGTCTACCTCGAGTTCACAAGGTGCGGATCAGCATGGCGGTGGTGCCACACGGTCGCAACCTGGAGCCAATGCTCAATCGGCCTTAGGGTGCGCGGAGCAGCAACAGAACAGATCACGCCCTGTGCCTCACAGCGTCGCAGTTCGGCTTGCAACCCAATCCAACGGAGTGCCCCTGCCCACCATTGTCGAGCAATTTTCAATCTCAACCCTCAATTCTCACGGTTCTCTATGTAGTGTTGGTCGTTTCCCTTCGATTCGCGCCGTCGAAGATGCTTCACACGGGCACACACGAAGTCTGGACGATGGCGCGCTCCGCAGGATACAGGAAGAGGACCGAGATGAGCAGACAGTCAGCAGTGATGCGAACATCAACATCCAGCCCAAAGTGAAGTGGGGTACTAGGTCGAAATCGTACCATACGAAAGCCACAGCAGCTGGATCGGTTTCTCTGACTGCTCAAAAATCTCCGATCCCTCAAACCCCGGAGCTCAATCTGAACGTGGAACCCAAAAGCCTAAAAGGATTCATTCGTGGTGTTTTAACAAAAGTGCGCGGCAATACGCGAGACCGATCTCGTTCGTCCTCGGGCACGAATGTACTAATGACAGATCAATGGTCCGATGTCAGTCCATCAGCACAGACTGATAAAACAACAGCCATGATCCCCGACTCACAAGAGCCGCTTCCCTTTGTTTCGGCCACTACATCGCTCTTGCAGCCGACGCCATCTTCACCACACCACGTGTCGGAGCCTCAGGTCATAAGCGCTTCCAGCCCTAAGTCAAAAGCAACAACTTTGCCTAATGGCTTTACATCTCAATCGCATGGTTCGACTTCGACATCCGAGACAGAGACAGCACCGGTTGGGCTTCATCTTCCTCTGATACCTGACCTATCACGTTTTCAATTTGGCAATGAAGTGTTGCCATCGGTGTGTTCTGTAGCCCCACCACCACGCGATGCGGTTTTAGACCACGTTCGCCATGCAGCCACAACGGTTCTTGGTCGTAGCAGAAATAAGCTCGCTACTCGCTACACACCAGAAGGCGCTTTCATTCTCTGCAACGATGAAGGGTCGCTCGATGATTTTGTGCGTAATGCAAGCCGCAACGCCAGCTTCTGTAGCACCATGTCAACGTCCTATTCCGGAACAGTTTTAGGAATTGATCTTGACATGCAACATGACTTCCCGCATCCGACACGGCGCTCCGTGACTTCGGTGTGGTTCAGCCCGAAGGAACCTGCAAGGACACAGGAAACACCGAAGCCCACATTGCAGCTTGAAGGAGCCAAGCCACTTCGCCCTTGTTCTATCACCTCTTCTGCACTGACATCTCTTTTACCGATCGCGGCGGTAGATGGTATTGTGCAACAGAACCTAGCCGTGCCTCAGTTGACTTTCTATCCACCTCCTAGAAATTTGACCCAGGCACAATCTACATCGCCCACGCCTACTCCAACATGGACCTCGCGTTCGCATTCGGAGTCGAACTTCTCGGGCACAACGACTCCCAAAACTTCATATTACAACGGCGCGACTTCACCGTCTGCACAGTCGGCGCTGTCTGCTGCTGTTGCGAGTCCATCGGCGCGTCCGGCACTTGTCCCATTGACCACCCTTCCCCACTCGATTGCCCCACTTCCCGAGCATCTGCGCCACCATCATAACTATCATAGGGTGGACAAGTCGAGTATTGGGTCGGCGTGCGATTTTGAAACAATGTTACCTTCTCAAATCGCCATGATTAACGATTCACAAGTGCTTGGTTGCGGTGGAATGGTACAACCAGCCAATCTCGATCCACACAGCGGCGTCCTGCAGCATCCACCGAAACGCTCAAGGATCGGACAGTCGATGTCTTGTCTTCGCGTGAGGGATAGGAATCGATTAGCAATCAACACTTGGTCTTCGCTAGCGTCAAATTCTTCTCGCGAACGGAGAGGTCGTACACCGGCAAAAAAGATCCGAAAGAAAGGCAAAATATTGCAGACGCGTCGAGTGCCTCATATCGACACCGTACCTGACAAAGACGTCATTGGGCCTGCAGCTGGCCACGCGCTTCGTGTCTGTTTCTGTCAGCCATACGACGGGGTGGACAGGCAGACCACTGGAGTGGGTTGCGGCGGTGCAGCCGCATCGCAGCTGGGTGAAGACCTGAACGAATCGTGTGCATCTCCAACAGGCCTGCACGAATCTACACCCAACGCCAGGATCGTGGCTAAAGCCAACAGCAAGGGCAAGGGTAGAGCGAGGAGGGACAGCGCGCTTGGTGTTGGAGCGTGGGGCCGTCAGTCGGGCGATGGATCTGACATAAGGTGGGACGCGTCGTTGCCGTAGATGTCAGACGAGAGTTGCTCCGAAGGTGCGTTGTGTTACTCATGATCTACATGTGTGCGTCGTGGCGTGGGCCAGACTCTGGCTGAGATGGCTGGTGGGAAAAGCATAGCGACCCTCGATTCCGATGCGACGGTAATCTGGGGTTTAGCGCATCGTGGGTCAGCTTGGATACTGTAGTGCGGGTTTAATGACGATGAGTTCGTTTAGATCGGAAGGGAAGGGGCTTGGGGGGTGTGGAGACTCTCACGGATGTATTTGTATGGACTGTGTATGTTTGTTGTACAGTATTCAATCACCACAAATGTGGGCCCATGGCAGTTCGGCATAATGCAAATATGGACCCATGATAATTCTGGCACCATCTAAAAGTACATATCAGGAGTAAAAGTGTAAGGCGTAGGTATCTGATTGACTAGTAGTTGTTCGTGTCCAATTCAATGCGAGATCGCCATCAGAAGACACATCGCTGCCACATACGTAGTACGCCTGCATGCGCCGCCAACAGCCGCTGCGACTCTTGAGCACGTCGAGTCTGACCACCCGTCGATCATGGAGAGCGCTCCAGCACATGCAATTTGCCCATGCGTATCGCCGGGTGGTATCGATATGCACATACATGTCGGTCGATCGGGCGGCTGCAGCAGCAGCAGCCCAGCTCGGCCCTATCCACGTAGGCCTAGGGTAGGGCAGGCATGTATGTGTATATTGCTTTTTGCAGCGCTCGCGTAACGGGGTATTGCGGGAAAAGCAAGGAGCGTGACGGCGTTCCAAGGTGAGAGGCGGTGATGGTGGCTTGAAGGAGGAGCGCAGTCTAGAGCAGTGTGTGATTTTACGGGGTGGAAGAGAGTGCCGGAAACCACGGGTGCGTATTTACAGGTACATGTGCGGCGTAGCAGGGCACTGGGGACCCAGGGCAGCGGAGCAGGAGGTGATGCGGTCTGTTTAGGCATTCACGTGCTGGGTTGGGGGCTTGAACTTGGGTGCCGGGGCAGAGCAGGGTTTTGCGAGGCGTGCCCTACATCGCTTTGTCCCTCGTACGTCGTACCTTTGGTGGACGTGTTGGATGCAGAATGTACTGGGATGTTGGGCAGGGACATGTACAGGGGTGCGTGTGAGGCGAGCGTGTGCTGAACGAGCGAATATGTGACCAGTCACAAGAGGTATCAAGATGAGGCGAGTACCGCAACTAACAGCACGCGGAGCGATCGGAGAATGGCTCTTTGGGATCAACGTGCAGGTGGATACCATATACTTCTGCATGCAGTCATATGGGTACGTGGCGGGGCGCGACCTGCGAGGCCGATAGGTGGTCGAATGCACTGGCCGAAGGTTGAATAAGGAAGGGCGACGCATTCGATGAATGTAGCATTGTAGAGTGGTCCCTGCACGCAGATGTGGACGATAGGAGACGCAGAGAACCAAGCTGGGCCTCGTCCTACATGCGTGGGATATGCACATGCAAGAGCATGCTAGCACACTGACTCATTGCATCGTTATCAATTCGAAGACGGCAGCGGTTGCAGTAGACCAGCGTCCGAAAGACTCGGGCCGATTCGTTCACGCTTCCTTCGCTCCAAATACGTCCTTCCAGAGCTGCCTGAACCCGTATTGCTTCTCTGCCCGTTCGTCCCTCACCTTCACCTTCTGACCGACCAAGCTGTGCATGACGCCTCCACCGCCCGCCAGACTCTGGCTGAAGCCTTCGGTCTTGCGGATGGGTTTGACGGCCCTCTCGCGGATAGCAGCGGCCAGCTGGGGCGCGACATCGGCATAGCAGGCCTTGAGTTCACGTTCGAGGCTGAAGTAGGGCTTCCTTGCTAGTTCTGGTGCTTGTAGATTGTAAGACCGTGTCTTAGAGTTCAGATCCTCGATGGCGAGCTTGTGGTAGGCGTGTTCGATATTCTCCCATGCGGGGTCGCGAAAGGGGTGAGTAGCTGGAGGCGTAGAAGGCGCAGGAGCAGCATCAGGCACATCCACTGTCTGTGACGCCTGTATCCCTTCAGGAGTAGCTTGTTTCTGTGCTTCCTGATCCAGAGTGACCTTTTCAGCTACTATTTCTTCGAACACGGCCGCATCTGGCGAACCTGGCGAGGGCAACTTCAACTCGCCGGACAAGGAGATCTGGGAGACGTGGCCATCATCCTCTATGGCATTGAGGATTTCCTTTTTTTTCCTCTGCGGGTTGGCAATCAACTCAGCTTTGGCGTATGCTTCGGCCTTCTTTATCTGCTCTTGCAAGGAACCGCCCTTGCTCGCAATCATCCGAGCGGCATGTCTTTTCCACTCCGCACGTAGCCTAGTGCGGAATTTGCTCGCCACGGCCGTCAGCTCCTGCTGTGCCTCGATCCATGGTGGCACGATGTCTTGTCTCTGGATCATTTTGTTGAGAAAGTACTCGGTGGTGTTGATGAACGGACTCGAAGCGTTATAATCGCGTTCGACTTCCTTCCCGCGATTTGGCAGGTTCTTGAACTGACCGCGCGCAATTGCATTTTCAATACGTTCATTTGCGAGTGCGGTAAGTCCTTGAATAGTCCCTGGCACTACAGCGCGCGCATGTGGCGAAAAGCGGTCTTTCATCTCCTGAAAGCGTTTCTGCCGCTCTTGCTCATCGATATCAGAATCCTTCAAGCTCGCATATAGACCACTCCTGTCCCGGGCATTTGCTAGTCGCACACCCTGACCAGCATTACTCCTCCGTCCCGTGTCAACCGTGCGCGGTAGCGGTACGATTGACCCAGCCCTCCCTCCCGTCGGACCCTTGAGCGGTTTGTGGGCGTCGTTGAGCATACGCAAGCTCGCATCGTGGATACTCTCAGTTCCTGTCCATGCTCCTGCAGTCGCAAGGTCGCGGGTGTGGCGACTGGCGGTGGACGGGAGCTCCATTTCGGTGAAGGCATTACGGTGTTCGGCGCGAAAGCTTGCGGACGCTATGCGCTCCTCCAATTGCCTTTTCAGGTCTTCGCTGAATCCAGCCTCGGACACTGTCTTTTGTGCGCTGCGGCCGCCAGTCTCCAAGGCTTCGTTGCTCATATCACGAAGTCTCCGCGTCATAGCACCTCCACCCTTCTCTTGTGGCCCCGAGTTTCCGCCATATTGATGGTGCTTCTCATCGTTAGTAAACCGGTCATCCTGCCCATCCTCTTTCTGTTGCGCAGCTGACTCTGCATATTGTCGCACAGATGCGAGCGCGATGCGGCGAATAGGGAGGGAAGCTTGGGCGGCAAGCTTGGCCCGCGCACAGCGAGCGCAAATATATGGCGACAAGGCAGCGGATGGGGGCATCTATGTACGTTTGATTATTACAAAATGGATTGAATTGCTGGGAGCCTGGTACAGTCCACGAGAAAATATGATGGGCGATGAAAGTCGGACGTCATCACGGTGGCGGAGATATCGGGGGAAATTGAAGTGCCAAGCGCGGAAATCTTTCGGAAACCGTTCCGAGGAATACGGTATGAACTCCACCTGCGTTATCGCGCACTTTGTTCTGGACCTCGATCTCGACTTTGGATTCTCTCCATCTGTACTAAGTTTCTACTCCATCGGCATGACCATAATCGATTGTGTAACGCATCTGTCCCCGTCACAATTCTTCCATATCTTCCGAATCCAGTGTAGCACCGTGCAACCTACCAGCCAGCCCAGTAAACTCCACATCGCATGGCTCATACCTCGTGGAGCTAAGGATTTTGATACTCAACTAAGTATGCTCAAGCGATGTGGCATACTCCCTGCTGTCAATGCAGTCGCACGCAAAGTATGGCAGTCAACAAGTAAGACGTGACAGAAGGACTCGGAGTATCATCTCTGCGTGCAGTTGCATGCAATATAGTGTGACCCAATGCTACACACCGTTCTGAATACTGATAGGCCAGGCCCGAGACTTCGGTATGCCGAGCTGGAAGAGGAGAGCCGGGCGAAAGGCGAGGTTGCGGTGCCGAAGATGTCGCCAATGCCCAGGTTTTGCAATGCTGGGTTTTATTTTGATCGATGAGAAGTGAGGGAGGTGCGTTGGGCTCGATGCTAACGCCGGGTCGAGCTTTCTGTTCAGCTCACAATGTGCGGTATTAAGATGATTGAGAAGCTCCGAGTTGCATAATGATCTAAGGATCTTTGCGCCCTACACCTGCGAGCAAAGTACATGTCAATGATTTTTACTGAATAGTCGAAAATACGTCGAGGTGGGTACTGAGGAATGAGGTAATCACATAGCGAGCAAGAATTCTGCTCTGCGTCCGTACCATGGCAACGACGTTATGAAAGGTACTTGGTGCAGTCCACTACATTGTCGTATATTTCCTTATACCACTAGCTGAATGTCTCGCACTACCATGTGGGTGTCCAATGATTGGCGTGAAGTGCAAGACTGGCTTGATGTGTACGAAGTATGGGCTCACGCTGAGGCTTGTACATAAATGTTATTTGACCTGGTATTTATAATCGCTATCGTCTGTGATTCATAATTGTTACACTGAGATGTTTTCACCTCATCGCTTCAAGTTTGCGTACTACTATATAACTTTCCATTCTCACTTTCATGCAAAGGGTCGGAGCCTAAGTATTTGCGTGACTTGATTGACATCATCTGTGATATGAAACAAGCCAAGTCAGATCGGCGACAGTAGATAGCCAAGTCACAGACCGCGACATTTCCCGTCCATGATCATTGTACGAAACCTCCGGCATAAGACCGAAAGTCTCGAGCGGCACCGACCAGAAGCCTATTGAATTTTGCTTCTTCAGATCTTCCGCAGTGTCTGGATTCTGGATCTCAGGGTAATTCGTACCAAAGAATCCATACTTGTCCCATGTTCATCTTACGATTGCCTCTACCCTTGCACAAAGCCAACGTACTCGGTTGAAGCGCGCCAACTTTCCTTCCTAGAATTAGGGTTGAAGAGCAAGTAGTGCTGCAAACTGTATATCATTTGACGCGATGACGTTTGGAAGAGATGAAACAAACTCACGTTCTCTAAACTTCTCAAGGTAAGGACAGAGCAGTTTGTGCGCGATGATGCAAGTCGATATGCCCTGCGACGCAATTATATTAAAAAAGATGTCAGGGTTTGGCGCATTGCTGCACTTCAGACGAATGAGACTACCTTGCTGATAGGTTAATAATTGTCATGCATCCTGTGATCACTTTCGATGACCACGCGGAGTATTCCTTTCTTTGTCGAATCCTACGCTAGAGCGTCAGTATTGAATCTGTAAAATGAGGCTCGTCTCGGCTGCGCTTAAGAGTGATGGAGGTAGTGCATCACCCTGGACAGAATTTTAGGCACGTTGGATGGGTTCCTACGATAGCGGCGGTGCGTCCACTTGGGCGATTTTTGCTATATACCCTCTTGAGCATATTGGAATACGCCCACGATAAGCGCGGTTTGCGACTTGATTCGCCTCGCGGTCCATATATAGCAGTGGGGAGGGCCTAGCCGAGTTTGATGGTAATTGTACACAGTACCTGCCATCGCAGACGAAGTTGCCTAGTTCATTCGTTCTGTAGTATTGCGCCCAATAGCTGGTTCATCAGAAGTATAATATCCATAATCGACCACAGCAACCTTATGCAATCGTTGGGATAAGCTGGATTCCCAGATGTATTCTAGCAACTCAAGCAATAGCGAGACGAAGCTCAAACCGAAGCCGAAGCCGAAGCCGAAGCAGTTCGAAGATGACATCAAGCAGTGGAACGGCTATCGTCCAAGGGCCGGTGATTAGATGCACAACCGGCATGCTTCGAAGGGAGAAGGTGATAGCTCGCAGAAGGAGACCTCCAGGTGGATTATAATAAGATATAGGTCGGCGCGTATGCAGGAGCGGATCGCATCGTATAGTCAATTGTGACTGTGTGGACTTGGAAGCGAATATTTCGCTTCGATCTATCATGAGATGGTTCTCCTCTCGTGTTGATTGTACCTACATATATCGTTGTAATTATATTTACGTGTGTTCAGGCCTGAGGTTCCATGTGTTCCATGAGAATGGTGATGGCGGACACCAGTAATGCAAGTAAAACCTTTCCCCTCTGACCGTAAGGATTCCAAACCAGCGAGCAGACTTGCGTGAGTCGATCACGTCACAAGTTTAAGCCGTCGTCAAGATGTTTGTACTGTCGCGCATGTGAGCTGTAACTGCTCATTCCGGGGCGAATTCCTTCCCTGTGAACCTGCGCTCTTTCTGCCGTCACAAGCGGCCAGAGCAACCTAGCATCTGATCTGTTCATGCTCATCAACCGCTTCCCGCTTTTCTTTTGCACTTCGATCTTGGTAGCGCAAAGTCTCACTCGGTTGGTCGCAGCAATCGTTCAACGTACACTCGTTTTTCCAATAATCTTGGCTCACAGCTTTACATTTACGACAACACTTCACACAGCTACGCGTTGCCTAATATGCACTTACGCTTCTCGATTGCGCATGTTCTTGAGCTTTTCTGGTGCGCCGCGCTTGCAACGCCACTGGAGTGAGTAACAAAGTACATCCTCTCTCGTTTCTAACATGCCGCAGCTCCTTTAGTGAGAGAGGCGTTGCCTGGGACTGGAGTTCTACTACCAACAAAGTCCGGGGTGTCAACATAGGTGGCTGGCTTGTACTTGAACCGTAAGCGACCTTACCCTGCTTCTGGATGCTCCGGTGCTAACTGTGCCAGCTTTATCACGCCTTCCATCTTCTGGCAGTATTCCAGCAACGACTGGACCGTCGGCGACGAGTGGTCTCTCTGCAAGAAGATTGGCAAGACCGAATGTCGAAAGGCGCTCAGGGCCCACTGGGATAGCTTTGTTAAGCTCGAAGATTTTCGCAAGATCAAGAAGGCTGGCTTCAACGCAGTCCGCATTCCCGTCGGTTACTGGTCGTTTCTCGAGATCGAGTGGGAATACGTGTCCGGTGCAGCACCCTACCTGGACAAGGCGATTGGCTGGGCTCGGAAAACAGGACTGAAGGTCATCATTGACTTGCACGGCGCACCAAAGTCCCAGAACGGTTTCGATCACAGCGGACATGCGATAGAGTGGCCTCGGTGGGGAGACGGTGACAGCATACCAAATACGCACAAGGTGCTCAAGATCCTTGAAGAGAAGTACGCCAAAAAGTCGATGAACGATGTCGTGATCGCTATTCAGCCTCTCAACGAACCATTCCTGGTCAAGCTTGATGACAACATGGTAAAACAATTTTACCGCGACAGTTATTACAATTTACGATTGATCAGCAACGATATGCCAATGATGATTCATGATGGTAAACAGCGCCCATAATAATGCACTTGTAAGCATGCTGATAGCCTTAGGTTTCGAGCGGCCATCGTGGATGAACAACTTCCTCACGCCTGACGACAACAACGCCCACAACGTCATCATCGATCATCACGAGTACCAAATCTTCAACTCCTTCGAGGTTGCCAAATCAACCGATGAGCACCGACAAGCCGTCTGTCGAGCAGCCGATTATTGGGCCGACTCCGACAAGTGGATCGTCGTGGGAGAGTGGTCCGGCGCCATGACCGACTGTGCCCCTCATCTCAACGGCTTCAAAGAAGGCAATCGCCATGAAGGGACATATAAAGACGACTGGTGGGTGGGGTCGTGCTGGGGGCCAATCCTGAGCGGAGAGGTGCAGCACTGGGAACAATGGTGGAAAGACGATGTGCGCAAGTACATCGAGACACAGCTCGACGTTTTCGAGAACAAGACAAAAGGATGGATCTTCTGGAACTTCAAGACCGAAGGAAGTGCCGGCGATTGGGATCTGTTCCAGCTGTTAGACGGAGGTGTTTTCCCGCAGCCAATTACGGATCGCAAGTTTGGCAAGTATTGCCTGAACTTTTGAAGAGGAGTAGCAGGAGCTAGTTGAGCTAGTGTAATGTCTAATGCTCAATCCTCAGAGGATGTGGTGGCGTCCCGAAGGTATCCTGCGATGGTGACACATCGTCGATCGGACGGAAGTTTAGTTTGATAGATGATACGATTGGTAGTCTTGTATGATGACACAGATATCGAATCTTACGCATTTGCACTCCCTCAAACCGCCACAGTAGTGGCATCCCCGGAATGGTGCCCTTACGTCGGGAGCTTACTGATAGCACATACGACTCGATTAAAGCTTAAGCAAGAGGCCATTAAGTTTTAGCAATTAGGCTACGCTAAGCGGAATGTAACAATGAATGACATTGCCGGTTTATTTCACCGTCCGTAGTACCACTAGGCCATAAACTCATAATACGCTCTCCGGTTCTCAACGTAGTATGGACTGTCAAACGGTGGATAAAGAAGTAGGCTCAGCACCTGCAAATCTGCGGCCGGGTGGGAGACCTACAGTCGTAGTGAAGTTAGAGGTTGTCGAGGCTGTGACTGTCGATGCGATAGTGACGATCTTGATGCGAGCTGGATCTACGATGAACTTATCGGCGCCCAGATTCTATGCAGTGACACCATTAAACGCAACGGCGTTAATTGTTCCAGAAGGGACACCGGTCAGGGCATTCTTCGTAGCGAGGTCAACGATGGCCTGGCCGACGGTGTCCACGGTGGCGACGTCAGCACCAAGAAGGTAGGCAGCCAGTCCGGCAATATGGGGAGTAGCCATAGACGTCCCGGAGATGGTGTTGGTCTTGCCATCGTTCCAGGTGCTGAGGATTGAGACGCCGGGGCCCCAGATGTCAACAAGGGCACCGTAGTTCGAGAAAGAGGCCTTGGCGTCGTTGATATCGGAGGCAGCGACAGTGAATGCAGTTGGCTCTGAGGCAGGGGAGTAGTTTGCGGCATTTCCATTGTTATTTCCTGCGGCAATAGCGAAGAAAACGCCGGATGCCACAGCAGCGGCCACCTGACATTAATTTAGCTTTATGTTCAGAGGAATATGAACCAGTTAAACCGTCCTCCCAGGAAAGCCAGCATGGATAGAAGAATGCGACTTACGGCATCATTGACGGCTTGGTTCTTGCCGCCCCCAAGCGACATGTTGGCAACTGAGCCTTTAGGACAGTCCCGAGTAGGATGGTCGTTCGTCACGTAGTTAATGCCGGCGATCACACCAGCGTATGTGCCAGAGCCGGAGCTATCGAGTACCTTGACAGCATACAGCTTTGTCTGAATGAATATGTTAGAAGATGTTGAGCGTCAAGTATCGACGACAACACATACCTTCTTCGCGACACCGTAGGTAAGACTCCCGATTGTACCAGCGCAGTGGGTTCCGTGGCCTGGGAGAAATCAGAAATGATATATTGCCAGTTGAACATGCTCGCTTACCAGCGCCATCTGAGTCCCGACCATCGCCAGTGAAGTTCTCGAGCCACTCAGCGCGACCTTCGAATTCAGGATGGGAGGTAAAAATTCCGGTATCGATGACATAGCTGCAGGTTCCCTCGCCGCCTGATGAATCGTATGCGTATGTCGTGTTGCCCTTCTCGACGTGCGAGATGCGGCCCAGGCCTGATATAGCCAGTTAAAAATTGAGACTCGCATCTCTTTCTCGCGTCAACTTACCCCATGGGGCATTCGCTTCATACTGGATGTCTTGAGTATGTACCTCAGCATCCGGAACGATGTACTCGACCTATGTGGCCAGAAGTTAATCGACAACTCGGGCTAACTCTACACATCTTGAGACGCCTCACGCCAACTTACAGAGTCTGAGGCTTGCAGCTTTGCGAGTTCAGTAGCTGACAGCTCACCAGCAAAGCCATTGAACGACCCGAACGAATAATCGTACTCGGGTTCCTTAGACAGTGCGACCTTCATTGAGGCCATGGTAGAAAGTGTGTTGGGATTGTTCTTGAACTTGACAATGTATTTGCCTGGTATGGCATTCCTCTGCTCAAGAATAGGAGCTGCCAGAGCAGCCGCAGGCGCGAGTGCGAGAATCAGAGAGCTATACATCTTGTATGTGGGCAGGCAGGCTTGTTGATAGTGCAGCGGAGTACGCCTTAAGAGGAACAATGACAGGCTCTGTCGGTTGCCTGTGGTGGAGGATGCGAGTTGATGGTGGGAAGTTGGGCGATCAGCGCTTTCTTTATAGATGCGACGATACGGATGGGATGCGGACCAGGCTGCTCGTGAAGGGGAGGTGCGGTCGTTGTGCTTTCGCACCTTCCTCTGGCAGTGCCCCAAGAACAACGTACCCCGGCGCCGGTGCAGCCTTCGTGATCCCCTTGAGAAGGTTGGCAAATGGTCTGGTGCAGTGAGACAATACTACATCATGAGCCAAGCTACCCCGAACTGGCTTCCACACAGCCCGATAGGATGCTGACCCATGTCATCTGCGAGGATGGTCACGAACCCGCAGGGTGCGCAGTCAGCCATGTGCCCATCGTCTACCAAATTTTGTAGTTGCTGGTAAGGATTGTCAACCAGTGGCACTACGAGGCGGATCACAACTGGCGATGTCAGGTGTGTATTGCGGTCGTCAACGTAGGGCATGTGAAGCTGTGCTTATCGGTGTCAGATACGACATCGTCTCATTCGAAGAGCTCTTAGATGGATATGCCAAAGGACTTCTTCGGACCCTGGCGGTGTGTCTGGCCACAATCAGTTAGCGAGACTGGAGACAAATCTTCCCGGAGAGCTTCTCAAACGCACTGATAGGACTCGATGAGACATCTTGCTGCACCGCCGCCGGAGGTCCCACATAATTGGTAGTGCCTATATCGACTAACAGTGGGGTAGGAAAGATGCGGAGTGTAAAGCTACAAGCCACATACCCCTCTCGACGGCTGGTTCCACTCCTCAATACGGATTTCGCCGGGCGGATGTCAGTGTATGGCAGCAGTGCCGGAATGACCTGTAGTCCGAATGCGGCTATGGTATAAGTCGAGGTGTGAGTGGAGTGTACCAGCAGTAGATAAGGCGGGCCAAAATAATGACTGTTCAACCTCAAAACCGGCAGTCAGCAATGGATCCGTGAACCAATGGTTGCATGGATGCCTGCAATACCTCGCCCCATTATTATCGAGTATGGATGGTCGGTTTGATGAATGTATTCCAGATACCAGCTAGTGTTTCCTTAGGCGCGGGGCCGGCCTGACTTGCCTCAACGTCCCGCCTGCGCCTGTCGATCAAGGATGCTTACGCGAGTCAAATTGCGGGGAGGATCCCATCGTAGGTTCCGTGCCGACCAATGGCCAAGCTCCTCGTCCGGCGGTGGCAAGACACCGATGAACGTCCAATCACAAGTTTGCTTGCGAAAGGACGTCCATCAATCATCATGGACAAACTCGGAGGAGGGCGAGTTGAACGTGGGAAAAGACCTTGTGCGTTTTCTACTCAAAAGTGGTCTGTGCATTGATTATATTAACCAGCTCCACTGCATCGGTGCGTCCAGGGATGTCGTGCGGGAAAGACATGCCGATCGATGGCTGATTTGCTGTCGGACTAGGCTGTGCTGCTATATATTAATTCGGCATTGAAAGGCCTAAGAAAAAAGCTTGTATACCACTGACAGCCGACTACCTACCCCAATGGGATTCTGCCGAACGCCGTGCAACAGCACGCGTGCATGCCAAGCCATGACGACGAGATAAGAGGATAAGGCGTATTTGCGGCAAGCTTAGCAAGCTATACTGCCTGGCTGCGGATATGTGACATCGCGTGATACGTTGCGATAATCGCTGCTATAGGTACGATCGCATAGCATATCTTGCTGTCGTCGGTGAAATGCCTTCTCGGCTTCCTTCCGAGAGCAATATCTCGAAAATGGTGAAGGGCGAAGCCTGCTTGATACCGTAGATCATGCCGGTCAAGTTCGGTAGGAACCGAAACAAGTGGGGGTAGCGAGTAGTGTACCTCGTACATGGTAATTGTCGATCCCGCTCACCTATATGCTGTTGTTCTACCATGGAAGTTGCGATGTGTGTCGTGTGATAAGACCTGGTGATATATTGGAGACTGAAGATCGGTACAAATTGTGGCTTCCCAATGGAGCATATAAGTTGAGGGTCGCTGCTACCTAGGTACCATGCCCTTCAAATAGGCCGAGGTGCTGCCAAATACCAAATATAGCGATTCAGTCATTGAACGCACATCAAGGTGAGAACGCAGGAACACTTTTCAGATATCCTGGAGGAATCCGCAGGAACATCGGCATAGACCCTGATAAGCATAATCGACACGTATTGTGAGCAGTTGGATGGCTGAGGTTGTTGAGCTTTGGACTGTTTTGTTTGCATTTTACGTGTAGACAGAGGCTCGTCAAGAATTTGTGCGCTTTTTCTAGGTGACAGTCATTGCAATCCTGAGCAAAGAAGGTTGGCCTGTGATCTCTTCGGGTTGATGTCTGTGCCCGAAACCTGATTCTCATCAGAACACGTTACATTTGGTGCTGTTGAACCCAAGGATTACACTTACCCCGCAGCCTCATTCTGGAAGGAGGGTGGATCCTTTGGTCGTTCCAATATCTCAAGCTAAAGCTTCCATTGTAGTTGCGGACCGGAGTTGCATCAAAGACAAATTGAAGTTCTACGCGAGACTTCTTCGGCGCCCGGAAATCTACGTAAAGAAGACGCGCAGGCGGGTGCTGCCTGTCCAACACGAGGCTTCTCTCGTGGGCAAAGGTGTTAAGCTTATATGCTTTATTTCCTAAGACTTCGAGCATCCATGCGCGCGCTAGCATCGGTCAGACTTCGCTTCGCGGTTCGATTGCATCCCGAGGTCGATTCATTGGAGGCCGCGGTGATAAGGAGTTTGTTGGCTGCATGAGTGCTCATTGAAAAGGCCGGGAGACAACCTTCGAATGCCCGGTGGCTACTGAGGTGGACCCATCATACAAATCTGCATTGGCATATGTCGGCGTAGCCTTTCGAGCTCTGTCTAGTCCACCCGAACGGTCTGACACATTGTCATTTTTACCGATGAAGAAAGTGCAACGAAAATCTTGACGCGGATCGTAAAGCGCAAGTACCGGCAATCCGCGAATTGACGCGGGATCTTCCAAGTTGGAGATGTCAGCCTGAGCTATGATTGAACATCATAAGCAGCCTCGGTTGCTGCATCTGTTGCGTATTGGTAGGCCGTGATGCTGCAGGTGAACCCTGGAGAGGTGGCGGTAATTTCTGCGACACGCAGGATGTTGGATGTTGTTCGAGTTCTTCAGATATCGAGGCGCTATCTTTGGAAGCTCGTATAGAAACGAGAATTGTGAAATCCCAATTCGTCTTGTCATTTCCATGTGGTATAGGCTGTGGTGAGATTCGCGATGACGTGTATTGTCGACATTGCGCTTCAAAACCGCCAATGGTATTCGACTAGATGTCAATATCTTTTTGAAACGCTGTCCAGGCACACACTTCACTCTGCGGCTGATATCGATGCAGTCGAGGTAGATGGATGGGTTTGCGGAGGCTGGCTGCCCCGGATAAGAGATCCACAGTGCCTGCTCCAAATATAAGATACGGAGCACACCTCTCTTATATGAGGTGGTCGCATCTACAATCCCGACTTCCCGTGATGCACCACCTTGTATATTGGTTCTCCATCAAAAATCCTTCGCTGCCGTTCTTGTCCATGCACCCAAAAGCCAACCTTGCCAAATCTGTTAGATTCATGTAGCACACCGGCCTGGCCCGCGATTGTGGGGCCCCCTGGCAAGGCAATCTACTCGACGCATCAATGTGGGGAGGAATATGAAGATCTCGCAATCATGCTATGTCGAAAGCAAGTCGGGATCGACCAAGTGGCTTGGTAAAAATCCAAAAATCCTTTGAAGATCTTAGAAACCTTGTCGCCATGCCATTTTGCAGCCGCGTGATGAGCTTGTTTCAACCATCGCCTAGAGATCTACCTGCGACACACATGGGCATGCTATGTGACGAGAGCTCTGTTGATCAGATTGGCAAAGTATTGACATAATGGAGTTTTATGGCGATCTTATTGTTAGCTGACGATGAGTCGCACCCGTGAGGAAACCGTTGATGGGATTGATAAAGCGAATGAACTTGTGGCTTTGCAAGATGAAACAACTGAAACGCTGGTTGACCACAGTAATTCATCGCTTGAGACGGGCAAAGACATAGCAAACAGTTGCTGTGATTCTCTGTCTCATGATCAGCCTGATGTGGTCTGTACTACACATCCGCCCGGGTTGGAGTAACGCCAGGCATTAAAAAATGTCCTGCATGTGAAAGTTGAATGTCGGTGTTCATGGTAGATTTGACAAAGAGACTTCCAAAGACGCCCACTTGCTCGTCATATCGTGTAGAATTTGATTCAGCGAGCGCGTGCTTCTGATGCAGGGTGTGGTAGTTTTAGACACCCGCGAAGTGTAACGCCTACTGCGAGAGTAACGTGAGACGGTGTCGTACATAAATCGGACAAGCCAGAAGTTCCTGCAAATGTGTCATTTCGGGTTCGAAATGTTGTACAATCTGTTGGATAGAGTCAATGAGAGTTCAGATGACTGATTCTCCGTGGACTGAGCACTCTACTTTATATACTAGCTGTTTGTATTGTCTCATATGATTTGGAACGGGAACAAACCAACACAATCCAGCTACATTGCCAAGGCAATGGTACCTGTACGAGCCATAGGCGAGCGGCGTACCACGTTGTACGCTTAAGCTTAGCAAAATAATATTCTGCTCCTACATAATCACGAGTACATCACAAAGCAAGCCGTGGAGAAATAGAGTGTCAATCGAAAAATGCTTTATTTGAATGTAGTTCAGTCATAACCACATACATCCGCCGTAACATCGTAAGAAAGTCGGAGCGATCCATCCACTATGGACTCTGATCAATGCATAATGCTGAGCATACTAGAAATTAAGCGCCGCAAAATGATACGTTTATGCGCCGTTGCCGTTGTAGACGAGGTAGTTGACAGTTCCAGACTTGATGCTAGTGATCTTGTTCTTGTTGGAGAGCGACTGGATGCGGGTGGTGAGAGCGGCAGGGGTAACCTTGCCCTCGAGAGACAAGAGGTAAGCACCGAGACCAGCGACGTGGGGAGAAGCCATCGAGGTTCCAGAAATGGTGTTCTAAAGCAATGTCAGCGATAATGTTGAGTTTATGGCTAGCTGTGTAACTTACGGTGCCACCGTTGTTCCAGGTGGAAAGGACGGAAACACCAGGGGCGTTACCGTCGACAGAGGAGCCGTAGTTGGAGAAGGTGGCGAAAGCGTCAGAGCTGTCGGTAGCACCGACGGTGAAGACGGTGGGCTCCGAGGCGGGGGAGGTGTTGGCAGCTGCCTGAGCCTCGTTACCGGCGGCAACAGCCAAGAAGACACCAGCAGAGACGACACCAGCGGCGGCGGTGTTCACAGCAGTGGATTTGCTGCCACCAAGAGACATGTTAGCAACAGCACCCTTGGGGCAGCTGCGGGTCTTGACATCGCTAGCGACGAAGTTAATGCCAGCAATGACACCAGAGTTGGTACCCTAGAATTCAATAAGCTCAGTCCGGTTTCGGAAGGGCAAAGAACATACAGAGCCGCTGGCGTCAAGAACCTTGACAGCATAGAGCTTAGTGTTCTTGGCGATACCGTAGGTGTTAGATCCGATGGTTCCAGCAACGTGGGTACCGTGACCGTTACCATCAGTGTTAGAACCGTCGCCAGCGTAGTTGGCAAGGAAGGTAGCACGGCCACCGAAGTCAGAGTGCGCGGTGTAGATACCGGTGTCAATGACATAGGAGCAGGTATCAGCTCCCGCGGTGGTGTCATAGACGTAGGAGGTTGAACCCTTGGCAACGTGCGAGATGCGGCCCAGACCCCAAGGGGCGCCGGACTGGGTGGTGAGAGCTCTCTTGTCAAGAGCTACATCCTCTTCCCATTGAGTGATTTTGACGATTGCGTCCTTCTCAATGTACTCAACCTGAAGAAATAATCAGCCATAGACCATCTGCGGACCGGAATAAACTGACGTTGGGAAGAGCGGCAATGACATTGACGAGCTCATCACTGAGCTCACCCGCGAAACCCTTGAAGGTGCTCAGGGTGTAGGTGTGGGCCGGGGCGGCGGGCAGCAGGGCGAGAACGCTGTTGATGGCCGAGGTCACAAAGTCGCTGTCCTTGAACTTGACAATGTACCGACCGGGAATGACCTGTCCAGAGCGAGGAGTGACGACGGGAGCACCGAGCACCAAAGGCAAGGCGGCGAGGGTGATGAAGTCGAGACGCATCTTCAAGAGTTGTCAATGAAGAATCAGGTAAGCTGGAGCGAAGGTCGGTTGTATGGGCAGAAGACTGAAGTGACTGTTGCCTGGCGTTTTCTGTGAGATGTAGATCGGTCTTATATAGTTGTTGCGCCAGACTTGCGGCAAAGTAGAGTGAATGTCGACAGGTGATGCACCTTCCAAAACGGACTAGCAATCCAGCTACACAGGAATCGCGTGTCCGACGTTAAATTCACAACGAGAGCCTTCGGCAACAAGACCACGGCTCAACGTGGCAGTGGAGCTATCTGATTGCCCAAGAGGGGAGGTCGTACAGGCAGCCCGGCGGTAAAAGCGCTGGTCACAACGTTAGCATCGATAGCAAACTGACAGTAAGGTCATCTATGCACAGTCGGGGAAAAGGTACTCAGAGTGACACCGTTCCAAGACTTGGCCAAGCACTTCATATTAAGATACTTACCGATTCAGGGATGTGAGCCTAGCAGTGGCTGTGGGGCAAAGTGCTGCGGCGATTGATCTCTCGCGGGGGGCACGATCGGCAAAGGTTCAAGACCATGGCCAGATAAGGTAACTATGCAAAAACAGAAGAGGGTCTGGAATAAGCCATCGCAGTGGCGTCTCTTGGAAAGCATGGGGTCGCTAGCATGATAGGGTGGCATCTTAAGTCCGTTGGTTGTTTGTTTGCATTGTGAGCGGAAGTTGCCCCAGAATGGGATAGATGAGGACAAAATATGCAGATATCCCCTGGCCAAGAACATCCACACGCTCGGGACGAACCGTTATCGTTCCGGGCACATAATTGGCGTAAATCATGGACCGGGCCGTGCGGTCAAAGATTGTATACATCTACAGTTTATCAGATATTGGAAAACCGTCGCCAGGAAGACGATGATTCTCGAAGAGCGGTGGGCGGGCATGTTCGCAGGGGCGAGTGCCTGACTTGCTTGTTTGCTCCAATTCCCATGATAGGCCATGGTTAAATTAGTTATTGATCGGCTCAGTGCCGATCAAGCCCGTGCCATACTGATGCTATGATTCGCGCCGAAGCCAATCGAACGCCCCAAGTGCCAGGGGTCTGTCTTGCGAAGTGAATTTGCATTCCAGCCTTCCGCTTCCAGGAATGTGAAGGGGTAGGTGATCGGGCGTGGAACATCTTGAAAGCGCCCTGCCCTGCAGCCGGCGTCGGCAAGCTTGACCATCCACAAGCCTTCGCATCGATCTGCTGACCGCGGCGCCCGCTAAGTTAAGCTTAAAAGCACGTAGTGTCCAAGCACCTCCTTTTTCCGGCTAGTGGGACCGCGCATCAATCTATGGGGTCCAGGGCCTTACCTAACCATATGATAACGCGATAAAGGGGGTGATTGGCACGAACGAGGCTGAACCTTGATTCAGCAGCACGACGATCAGGCGTCTGCAGCAAGTTGAGGTGCCGTATGAACTGCACTGGTGTGAATTCGTGGCTGGCTCCCATCCGCCACTGCAGAAGAGGTGGTGGCACCCTGAGAAAAGCGCCTGAAGAGGCCATTCGGACTGTCGCTCATTTGAGCATGTTCGAGCTATCCCCAGGGAATGGCGAAATCAGGCACTCGGGGGTTGCGCGTCCGAGGCCTTGGCTGGGCGCCACATGTCTCGCCCTGGATGCCCGTAAGCGCCACGTACTGTGATCGCCTGCCTCTTTGCGTGGGCAGTTCCGAGTTGACGCCTTGCGCTGCAGACATTGCGATAAGAGAAGCAGGGTGCTATTGACATGTATGGATGAAGGGACGGTGGAAACTTCATGTTTGCGAATACGCTATGGTACTCGGCCTGCTCCGAATCTTGGCGTTGGCCAATGCGTTTCGGAGCAGGCCGACGTACACCTTCCTCCACGAGGCTGCATCTTTCCCTTCGAGCCTTGTTCTCGTGATGAACATCCACCTGCGTCCACACATTACGTTCCTCAAAGCAAAAGACTTGAGTTTGACGAGCCATTTAATACACGACCAGGTTCCCCGTACGCACCACATGCAACCGATTGGCGCGATGTCAATGATGTATTGCGTTGGAACCATGCACTACTACCAGGCTTGGAACTGGCACCATATGTAGAAGCTGACTACATGTTTCCTGGTCTTGAGCAAGAGTTGACCCTAGGCAGTTTTTTGTACCGTCGAACCATGCCGCATGGAATCACTAAGGATGGAGCACATGGATTGCTGAGACAGTGTCCACTCATGTGCCATTTGTACCTGATTAGAATCTTCTCTTGCATTAAAATGGCCAACTGTGAGTTACACAGCGGCAAGTAGGTGCAAGTAGATACAGGTGGAGCAGGGATATCCTAGTGTCTTTCCATTTCAAGCCCCTTTCGTCCTTCTACTTCCCTCGGAGAAGCACGTACGCTGCAATTTCGTTCCTAAAGATCTATGTAGCTTCTGTCCTGAAGAGCAGTCCTAGTGTGACGTTATTGTGGGAAATGACGGTATCTGATACAAGCTACTCCCATGCTGGAAGGAGGGTCCGCCGGCCCACAAGAAAGCTTGAGCCGGCGGAAACTCACTGGTAACCGAAGCGAAGCTTAGCGGAGGACCAAAACCTGGGGAACATCATCCGCTTGTGCCTGAACCACCATTTTAAGCCTTGTTCTAATTCTCTTTGCATGCAGCTAACCTACAGACGCATGCACTGATTGCCGTGCATGGTAGGAACCTTCCTGGAACGTTCAGGTCCCGAGGTGGGCTATACATATAGTGGCGCTTAGTACACTTCATAGGCTCCCTTTCATTTAATTTCCTTGTCTCCTTCCATTTTGTTATAGCAACATCTGTTGGTTTCTACCGGAGCCCAATGTAGTTTCACACCATGAGCGGAGACACGCAATTTCTCCGTACTGTATCTCGCAAGATGTAGTGTTCTAGCAAATGTGGACTGCTTGCACTGTTTTCGATAAGATGATGTAATATGCCAAGGTAGGCGAGCTTCCGAATACTCCGAAGAGCCCTTCAGTGATGGCTACCTCCTTTGCTTCAGGATCAAGCCGATGCCCACCTAGACGTAATCACATTTCGTCTACCCTCCTTTGGTACACGACAAACCACTCAACGCAGACTCGGCATTACAACGAACCTGGAATAACTCACATCACTACCGGCCAAGCCGCAGGTCACCGTAGAGTCGGATACGAGAGATCTCGCAAAAGGGAGGCTTACTGCTCTGCTCATGCTGATGTCCTAGATCCAAGAAACCGCATTACCGGACGAGATTGTTACGACAATTCCACGACCATCCACAATCCTTACATACCTCTGTCGCAACCTCACTCATACCGCGAGCAATGTATGTCGGCACACCAGCTTCCTAACGCTGTGCGCTGTCCGCGTTCTTTGCACTGGGAAGCTGATACCATGAACATCATATCGCATCAATTACAACGAAGCGTTGCCAAATCGAACGTGCGCACAAGCCTGGAAGAGTATCTGGGAAGCCAACGTGGCGTATTCATGGCATGATCGAGGGTTCTAGGACCGAGCCGACTACGGCTCTCTACGGTCTCCCTAGAACTCAGTCTTGATGTCAGCAAGACGTGACATGCCGTCATAGCATGTTCTTCTCGTCGTTTACCGTGCACCCCGCACTAAGCAGCCACGCAAGGATAACGCGTTTCCATTCCTCGGCATGTCTTACCGTGGCGCAGGGGAGACTCGAACGCTTTTGGGGAACGCCCCAGAAACACGTGCCAGAGCTGTTTTTTTCCGGGATGACCACTGCACGAACATATGACATAATTGTCCAAATTCGTCAATCGTGAATCATGGGCGTCTACATGCGGCATCTACACCCCTGAATCATGCTGGTAGAACCCCACCCCGTCCACCCAAGCATCCCACTTAGCACAGGTATCATAAAGCCCACATTTATCCTTGACCGTCCCCTCAATTAAATCCAATCCCTCCACAATCTGCAGTGCAAACCCCTCGCTCGTATGCCATCCGATATGGCAATGCATCAGCCACGTGCCCGGGTTATCCGTCAAGAAGCCCAGCACTAGAAACCCAGCTGCGGGCATCATCGCGGTATCCCTTCTTGGCGGGTTGTTAAAGTTGAGAGGGGTAGACTTGGAATAGGTCCCTGGGCCCGCGGCAAGGACGAAGAAGTCGTGGCCGTGGAGATGGATGGGGTGGGGTAGCGGGATCGTTGACTCTACGATGATGTAGACCCATTTGCCCAACTCGGGTAGGGAGAGGACGAGGTCGCCCGCGTAGGTCGGAGCTGTGCCGTTGGCGAGAATGCGCACCAGTGTAGGGTCCTCGTAGTGACTCATGAAGGTCGTACCGGAAAGATACCATTTGAAAAGATTATCCACAGTGTCGAGGGTGACATCCTCGATGAACTCAACGTCACTGCTCGTAGGATTGATCCTTGCCATAGGGACGAGCGAGGCTAGTGGTTCGTCGACGCACTCGCCTGTGTAATTGTACTTCGTTGTAGTAGGGACATCAGTAGAATTGCTCCCAGAGTAGCGCACGATGGCCTTGATGTCATCGGCTTGCGTGGTCTCATCGCAAGCATTCTGGTTGTCGGCGCGCATCCAATAGTTTCCTGCCGGCTGATCGGCTTTCACAAGGACCATGTATCTCTGACCGATGTTGATGCTGAGAACGTCTGTCTTGTAGGGAACGACGCTGGTGAAGTCCATGCCAATGACTTCCAGTTGGTGGCCGTCGATGTACCATTTGTAAGATGACTGCATGGCACCATTGATGATGCGGAAAAGATACGTCTTTCCCGGGTCAAGCTTGGTGGGAAGCTCGAAACGCTGCCCAGTCTGATTTGCGCTGCCCTGCACACCCCAAGTATTCATGCCATTGATGAGGCCGTTATCCATGATTCGGGGTCCACCATTGACAGAATCTTGTGCCAGATCGTACAGTGAATCAACTGTGTTGTGCGTCCAGTCATTGAGGAAGATGGTCCCAGCATCCACGTCATAATCTTTCGATGTCGGCCCATGGATTACCATAGGACCAAACACTCCCATCCATGCCTGAATTGCATAGTGGCTGTGATACCACGAGGTACCAAAGTTGGTCGCAATGAACCTGTACGTGAACGAATCACCTGGCGCAATAGGACATTGCGTGATGGATGGTACACCATCAGACTCAACCGTGTTCCACTGCCTGATGCCATGAAAGTGAACAGATGTCCCGTTGACTGTCAACTTGTTGTTCACTTTGACAACAACAGTATCGCCCCAGTTCGCTTCAATCGTTGGACCTGGCATTTGCCCGTTGACTAAAAAGGCAATTCTTTCAATACCATCCGGCGCGACGGTACCATTCGTGATGTCAAACTCGTAGTACACCGTACGGCAAGTCTTTGGAGTGAACTTGTAGTTGTCGGTGGTGGCATTAGCACCGCAGTAAGGGAGCGAACCAGATTGTCCGTCACAGGGTGTGCATTCCTCCTCTCCTTCTTTCTGTCGTCTTGCGAAACTGCTCGAACAGGTAGAAGCACTTGGTATAGCTCTGGATGAAGAGATGGCGGTTGTTGCATTGTATCCACTGTCGGCAGCAGATGGCATGGGCGTGATCGTTGTAATGGCGGAGTTGATAGAGATAGTTGTGAAGCCACTAGCCGTTGTATAGGATCTAGAAGACAATTTCGTTGGCTTTGTTAAATTTGTTGGTTTGGCTGGCTCTATTGATTTTGTTGATGTAGGCTTTCCGAAAGGAGGCTTGTCTAAAGCTGGCGTAGTAGAGGGGCCGCTCTTCGTGCAGTCCTTAAGCATGACAGCAGCGTGTACACCCTTGTTTGCCCGTGCTTTCGTGTTACTGGTCTTCAAGTAACAAGGACCAGTGGTGTGGTAGTCGACCCAATTTACGCCCTTGCACTTAGGCCATTGAGCACATGCAGCGGCGCACTCCTCCAGAGTATCGGTGTAAAACCCATTCCCTAGCCACTGCAAATCGCCGTTGATGCGGTCCAGGTCACACTCTAGGCGAAACTCGGCGCCGCACTGCGTCTGGTACGTCGTTCCGTTAAGTTCTGGGCATGATTTGCTTGTTGTATAGGTCCTTGAGGCCAACCTTGTTGTACTAGATGCAATCTGGTTGGACTTGGAGTTCTCGGAGAACGAAGAGCAATCTCCAAATCCAGCCTCACAGCCAGTGCCGCAATGATCTTTTGAAGAACCACACCAATGATATTGGCTGCAGCAATCGCCAAATCCGCTGTCTTTGCAAGTGAACCCTGTGTCACCTCCGCAGGATCCATCTGGCGAAGGCTCCCCGACTGTCCTTTCGCAGTGGCCAAACTTGAGCTGGCAACCAGATCCGCAGTAGTCCAGTGTGCTATGAGTATCAGTATGACATCATGTAAAGTCCAGAGGGTTACGTACGATCCACACTTCCCTGAGGCCGAACAACAGCCACCGAACATTGACCCTCGGCAGGTCACGTCGTTGCCGCAATTGCCGTCATGACTGACTTCGAGAGTGGTTTGAGCCGATACAAGTCCGACCAAAGCCACCCCCGTCAGGTACGAGAACAGCATATCTTTCCCAATCTGATATTTTACCTGAGGTCTGGTGGGTGAAGTATGCTTTCATAGAGCTGTGTATGAGCTATGTTCGTGACCAGTTGAAGGAAAGGTCAATGGAAAATACCGCGAGAGAGCCAGCCAAGGTCCAAATGAATGAAAACCTGTCGATTATTTATGCTCAAAGGATGCGTCATGCGAGACATACCATTGTACATCAGGAGCCCGCTCATCGTGTCTTATAGTCTGGGAACACAGCAGCCGAGCTACGAGACCCTCGAATACTAACAGGCGCAATCATTTCAGAGGTGTCATACATACGAGTTACACTCGCAACCCGTTTGTCGGCACATCGGACCTTGTGGGGTTCGCGCTGACCGGTATTGCCAAGTCACGCAGGTGGAGCTTTCCGATGTGGATTCTTCACTCGTATCCGAGGATGCGAATTCGGTTGAGATGCGATGGTGAGAAAAGAGCAGATACATAGAAAGTGCCACATCAACAGGAGTTGTCGGTATACGGTATAGTCTAGTCGCCCAAGCAGGAGATTGAGCCCTTCAGACATGACCTTTTGCAGCCGATGAGGTGTCGGCAATGTCACCGGACTCTGTGCCCTCTAGAGGCTCGGTTAGCATTGCCATCTTAGCGAAAGTCGGCGATCAATGTGTGGAGTCAGAAGCTTATAGTTCTCCAGATAAACTATTGGAACCCATCCGGTATCCGCCGCGGTGCAGATCGCCAAGCCGAAGGTGGGTTGTTCAAGCTCAGGGCTGCCACGATGATGCTATTTCCAGGTATCCCGTCTCGTGTACATGGGTGATGGCGCTCTACTTGTGATGTTAAGCTTTCTGAAGGCTGGCCCTGACTCGAGTTTCTGTGTTGTGCATGTACCCATCGACGCGTCATCAAGCTTATTGTGGCTGTAGCATAGTGTTCTGGTACGGGTTGTTAACTAAATCAAAGCCAAATGCTGTATCCTGGAGCACATCTTGCATGCAGATCAATATTATACCGTCGTGTCTGTTTGGTGTTACATTGACGCGAAACAGTGCCGACATGCCTAGCGCCCGAAACGTGCCTGGTAGCTGGCACCGCGCACGATAAGCGAGACCGAAAAGGGCAAGGGCAAGGGCATAGTATCAGATCTTCACGGGGCGCACCCGGCATTCGTCGATTCGTCGCAGACTAACTGAGTTTTCTTCGCGCTGGAAATGTATGCCTCTCAAGACTTGTGAATCAATTCTTGCAGAAGTAAATCGGCTGTCGTGGAAAGAGACACGGTGCTATTACCTTCGTTGTTGACAATATCGAACTCCTACCGATAATATTCAATGAAATTTAGCACTAATTTCATCCCCCAGGGCTGTTTTCAGGTCATACGGCACTATCTAGTGGGTGTGATGATGCAGGTGCTATCAGAGACCCGTAATAAGAACAAAAGACCATCAATATCGCCCGCCCATACGATAGTCTCTTTGAGAAATGGAGAACGCGTCTACATCAACGATCACAGAACTTTCTCATGACACGATATCCATACTTGGTGCTAGCATGATTATCCCCAACGCTCCTAGACAAGGCATAGATAGCATCTCACTCTCAGGTTTTCCTCAGCCGCATCAGGCGCTCCAGAAGATTTGGACCACTGTTAGCAGCCAAAGGCAGACTACCTCAACTGCTACTTCAGCTCGCCACGTCATGGCCAGCAAAAGGTACACGCATTGCAGTACTCCGGTCTTCGCCTTATCGAGAGAACTCTAGCGAACGAGTATGAATATGGGTATTTTGTTGGCAATCGGTACCCCGTTTCCCATCAGTGCTAACACGCTATTTTGGCTGTGGGAAACCGACAGTCATGCAATGCTCGTTTACCGGATACGGTCTCCATATAACAGTCAGCCGCTGAACACGGTGGTTGAGCGAGTAGTACCTCACGTAGTGTTCCTGGGGAGGGAACGGGAGGAAATGCAATGAATGCGCCGCGTCAGGACGGGCGTGCGGAGAGTATAAAGTACGCATAGCTTCTTTGCCATAGGCGGGCTCATGCTTCAATGCTTGTTACCGAATGTCCTCTCAACCACCGACTTCTCACTCCTTTCAACCACCAACTCCCGCGCCTCGTCGACCCTGCCCCCTTTGCTCGCGGACCCTGCCCCTTCCCCGCCCTCTCGCTCTCTGCCCGCCTCGTCTTCCACCTACAGACGTGTCCGCCTCCCCCTGCGGCACCTGGCCCCTGACCCACCTATCGGCCTCCTCACTCGGATCCTTCCACCTTTCATCCAGTCCCCTCCTCTCCGCAAACGCCTTCCTTGCCTCTTTCTTCCCCAGTTCAGAAGAAACGTCATCCTGTATGAGCAGTTGCATGCCCAGCCCCTCTTCGCTACCCTGCTCGTACATGCCCAGATTCAGCACGTCGTTGTGCGGATTGTAGATCTGCTTGACGTTGTGGTCTTGCCACTCAGGCAGATGGTCTTTCGCGTAAGAGAGGAGAGGGTCGGGATGTGTGTCTAGCACGCTGACAAAGTGCAAGTTTTGCACTGCGCCCTCGAGGCCGGCGTAGATATTTGGGGAGGTGGAAGAGGGAATGGAAAGGCTGTAGACAGGGGAGTCCTCTGTGCGCGGGCCGGGGCGGTAGGGATGCCGGGGTGCGGCGCCGGGGGTGTTGTTGCGCGGGCTGAGAAAGACATTCCAGCCGCCAGTGACGGGCTTGGTGGCGGCGTCCTGAAAGCGATCGATGACGGCGCTGTACGTGTAGTCTTGGGATTTGGATTTGGACGGGGTGGGTGTGGGGAGGGGTATGCTGTGGTAGGCGTGCGAGCCGGGGAAGCGCAGATCGAAGATTTTGAGCATGCTGTGCATAGAGCTTCCGGCGACGAAGCGCTCGAGGCCTTGGCACGCGAGCGAGTAGATCGCGGAGTCATTTGTGACGTCCCAGAAAATGGTTTCGAAGTCGTGCGGCGAGCGGAGGTCGTGCAGGCGGACGAGGCCGTCGTATCCGCCTGACAAGAATACACCCTCAGTCGAACCACCTTGTGACTCGGTAGGTATGGGGATGATTGGGTAAACCGAAGTGTTGTATGGCCGAGCCGAGTGTCCAGATTCCATGGAATGGCTGGAGTTGAGATTGATCTTGCGTATGGGCTCTGCCGTCAAGCCGCTGGACGTGATGGCGTAGATCTGGATTGGTTCAAGCGTGGGACCTAGCCCGATAGCGACATTTGATTCCGATATGAAGTTGGTAGACCATAGGCGACCCACGCGCATGCCCTGTTCAATGAGCCTGACCTCACTGAGAGCTTCGATGGGATCTTGGCTGGGCTGATCATAGTGTGCAGGGTAGAGGGCGATTGAGGTGTCGCCGAGCGTAGCAGCTATCAATGTTTCCGATGCTGCAGATATGGATATTGAGCCCACGGTGCGACGACCGGTGTCGTAGAGCTGTTCTGTCGCCCGTCCCCCTTCCAGATCGGCGCTCAGTAGAGACAATCTTCCAGACGCGGATCCAAACACAGCATATTCAGAGTCCCCACTCTTTTGATGCGGGCGTAGAAGCTTCAGTGCGGTGATATCATCTCGTCCTTCAAAAGATTCGGGAATTTTGTACGTGTACCATGCATTCGGATGCCCAAACATGCCTGGCTCGTGCGGGTCGTCGGCATTAATCCCCATCTCCTGGCACACTCGTGCACCTTTATGACCCGTCTCTTTGACTCTGATCACAATGTTCGCCCCAGCCGACCAAGCGAGTACCTCTTTCCTATCCACCCATGCGCTGCCCATCTCTTCATAGCTATCCACACTTGGCTGATAGCCCATCGTCTGCCCTTGTGGGCCTCTCCATCTCGTTTTCTCTCTGGAATTGAGGCTGGTCACTTTGGCACCAGGTTCCAAAAATCGCGCCGTAAAGGCCTTTCTATCCCAATTGCGGTACAAAGTTGTCAAGCCGTGCACGGTATGTTTCGCATCGCCAGAGGGTCTCAGCAGACCAAAGCGTCCTTTCAGAAACGCTTCCCAGCCATAGAGCTGCACGAATTGGCGCAATCGGCCACAGGTGAGGGCTAGATTCACAATGTCCTTTGGACGACCCAAGTTGTTGGTTACCATCTCGAGTAGCTCGACCGGCAGCTTGTCTAGGGTCGGCGTGGAGGCGGGGGCCAATTTCCGCTCGGCACTGCGCGTGCGGACTGGAAGCGGCAGGTCAGTCATGTTGGATGTTCGATTACCAGAATCCGGGAATTTCAGCGAGCGGTCTCTTTACATATGCGGCCGTTGGTGGTCGCCGTGGATAAGGGTACGCGCTGTGACTCTAACATTTCTGCTACACTGACAGATGACGCACATCTCGCCTTCCAGTCATGGCCGTGGCGCAATTGAGTCACCTATCGATAAGGAAAAGCTCCCTGCCAGCGTCTGTGCGACGTCTGAATGAAGGAATGCCGGACATGCTGGTACCTGGCTGCTGCACGAGTCGAAACGCCCGCCATCGCGCGCTGACTGTGTCTACCACACAACAGCTGCCGCGCCTGCTCGCGTGGCCTGTCGCATCCCCGCGTGGCGATGAATGCCCAATGAGATGCATGGCCCCGAAGCGGCACGTGATGCACCAGTCCATTTTCGAACCGAGGCTCTAGTCGTTTTGTTCTACTCGCCCTTAGTACAGCAGAACGCAACTCTTCATTTTGTAAGATTGCATTCGCGGCTGCGGCTCAACAAGGCCTTTGGATAGTGAAGGTTCTTCTGTGCTCTCCCGCAATGCTCCTTCAGCTATCAATATTGCCTAAAGGGCGAACCCCGAGCGTGCAACCCCGGAGACCTACGCGCACGCCCTGCCACCCCCTGGTCGTGGTGCGCTGAGCCTTTCGGCCAACACGCCAGCCCACTTCGTTTCCGCCTGTCACTGCAATAGATGCGCGACATGATCTGCCCGCTACATCCCCACCTCAATCTAACAGATACCACATCAAACCAGCGCTCGCCATGTCCGTCTCAACGAGCGGCGACAACAAGCGCGCATTCGGCCTCATGAGTGCAGTCGCTGCCAACCTCGACAGGCTGCGGTCCAGCATCGACGCGTTGCGACAGCTGCACGACCGGTGGCCGGATGGCAGCGGCACCATTATCAACTTGATTGCCCAGTTGAGCTCGCTCAAGGCCAACTTGGGTGAAATGCAGGACTGGATGAACTATGCCATCAACGAAATGCATCCACAACTACTCAATGACCTCAATATGCTTATGACATCGTGTTCATTACTTATGCGCAATCTAGATGGGCTGACAGCGCAAATGCGCCAGCCCGACCACGACAAGGCGGATTGGGCGCTGAAGTTGAAGTTCAGAGTGGGGAGTCGGACGATGACTCGATTACGAGGTGTTGCAAAGAGGCAGACGGATGCCGTGAGCTTGCTTCTCGCAGCATGCAAAACGTACGTCGCCCACCATGTGTCTTGATACATGTCTGACCGACTGCCAGCCACACAACAGCACAGCGAAAGATTTTACTACACAAGAGTCGGCAGATCAGGAAAGAAGATGCATCATCACTCAACACTCTGGTCCGGACCTCGAGAGTAAACGGACAAGCCATCAAGGCGCTCACGCAGATGTCCCGCATGATTCAATGGTTCCGCCTCTTATTCTACATTAAGCTGTTGGGAAAAGCACCAGAGGAACCACCGACCGAGGAAGACTACCTCACCGCCGCTGCAGCGATGCGGTCCGACGCCATCGATCGCCAGCTGGAGTCCGACGAGCTCAACCTGCGCCGCGAGACAAAACTTGTGCTCGTGGGCCAGCCAAATTCCGGGAAGGAGCTCATCATGCGCCAAATGAAAGTAATCTACGCCGAAGGCTACCCAATTGCAGAGCGGTACCAATACCGCGTCGCCGTGCGGTCCACAGTCCGCCTGCTCATTCACTCCATCATCGACCTGCTAAAGGACACGGGCGTCCCCTTGAATGAAGACCTCACACAGGACTTTGCCGTTCTCCTCCACGAAATCGAGACAAGCGACATGTCGCATCTCACTCCTGCGGCGGTAACCGCCACGCGCAACATCTGGAACTCGTCTACCTTCTCAACCCTTTACATCAAAAACTTTGAAATCGACTTTCCCCAGTACGCACCCTACTTCGCCGAGTCCATCGTCCGCATCGCCTCGGACGACTACGTTCCATCCGAAGCCGACATCATCCGCCTGAACCAGTCTGCGGGCGGCATCAAAGAGCTGCGCTTCGACTGGGATGAGCTGGGCGTGCATCTGTTCAACATTAGCGGGTTCATCCCCGACCAGTTCCGCAAGCGGTGGTTCCACCAGCTGGAAAACGCCACAGCCCTCATCTATTCCGTCGACGTGTCCACGTACGACCGCCCGTACCTCGGACAGTCTACAGAGTCGCAGCTCCTCGACGACTTCGCGACGTTCGAGTCGTACGCCAACAGCCCCAAGTTTGCCGGCGCCAGCATCATCCTGTTGCTCAACAACTTCACGCGGTTCAGAGAGAAACTCCCGCACTCGCCGCTCGAGACGTTTTTCCCGGACTACAATCCCCCCATTGCCTCGCCAGGGCTTCCGCGCTCGGCAACGTCCGCGTCGAAACTCGCATCGCCCTCGCCTCCCCCGCCGCCTACGCCGTCGTCGTCGGCAGACGCAGAAACAGCTGCCAGGCAGTACATCCTGCGGCGGTTCAAGGCGGTCAACCGGGCGCGGCTGTCCATCTACAGCTTCTGGGTGGATCTCGACATGAGCGACAACACGCACCTGTATGCGGCGCTCAAGAAGACGCTGCTGCACATCCAGCAGCGGAAAGCGCGCAGCGAGGTGTGGTCCGAGGGGAGCGGTGGCGGGGGTGGGCGGGACAGTGCGAGGGGGCATCGGAGGGAATGGAGCGGGACGGTTACGAGTGCGAAGAGTGGGAAGTCGAGTACGGTCAAAAGCAAGGGGAGCGACGTGGGGCTGGTGAGCCAGTTTTCCAATCACAGTCGGTAGGCCAAAACGATCGAGTTCTGGGAGTTTGGAGTTCTAGGTTGGGCATGGGAGATACCTGGCTTTCTGTGCCGTTGTTTTGGTGGGTGGAGCTCCAGATAGCAGACAAAATGCATGCGCTCTCTGGTCATCCATGTACGCCCGGCGTTGATCTGACGTGCAACCACTGTGCCTTGGCAGCTGGCAGCAGACAAGACGCGACGTGCCCCGCTGTCGCGTGCGCAACGAACTCGCTACGTCTTCCACCATCGCTCCAGGGATACCACGCCCTGGCACTTCCCCAGGCGAGCGCACCAACGACTCCGGGCTGCCGCTTCACAATCGTGGCTGTTGCAGCCATGCGAGCCCCGCGTCGCACGCAGCTGGCGCACGTTCGGCTGGTCTCACGCCAGCACGCAGCACCGCGATGGTTCCCCAATGCCGCGCTCCCTGCCCGCATAAGCCCAGTAGCCACCACGGCTGGAGCACCCCCCTGGGCCGCGCTCGAGAAAGCATTGGGGCCGGAGAGCGAAGGCTGGCTGCTTGACTCTGGGCAGACGATGGGTGCTCGGAACAAACCGCGCGCGGGTGCTCGAATCGGAAGGCGCGGTGCCGGCGGACGTCGAAGGCAGCGTCACCGCATCGTTGCGATTCCAGCACCAGCACCAGCACCAGCACCATCATAAAGCGGGTGGGACCGTTGTGCTACCCTACGAGCTCACGAGGCACGCTGGCTTCTGCACTCCCATCCAATTCTGCGCACATCTCTCCGTCCGTTTCTCGTCCTTTCCTACGTGACGTCTCCTGCGTGCCGCCGTTTCCTCTGCTGCGCGCGTTCTGCACACACTCTACACTGTGAAGCCAGGACCAAGCTTGAGCCGCCCGCGGGCGCCCCGCACTCGGGAACCATGAACTGCCCCTCACGCACCGACCCGATTACCCCGGACGGATACAACCAGAGCCCCAATGCGCTCAACGCCGATGCGACGACGAGAGCAGACTTGAATCGCGTCGCCAACGCGCGCACGCGACAGGACCACCGGATAGATGCTGCAGACGGGACCGCGGGCGAGCTTGAGAGGAGCGTGCAGCACGTAGACGAGGAAGGGCTGGGTGGGCGCAAGGTGGGAGGGGGGAAGAGGGGGGTGGGTGTGGGTGTGGGTGTGGGAGAGACGAGTGCGGCGGAGAAGGCTGCTGTGGGCGAGGGCGCCGGTGGCGCACTGGGCGGACGTGGTCTTGAGAAGAGACGGGGAGTGAATGCATGGACCCGCAGAGCGGGGAAGAAGGGGCTCGCTGTGCTGCGCAAATATGCGAAATTCGTTGGGCCGGGCTTCATGGTTGCGGTCGCCTACATCGATCCTGGTATGCTTCTCCTCTGCCACCTTGAGGCATTCCGTCCCGTCTACATATCCCCATATCCCCTCCCACTCCCCCCTTCAAGATTGCTGTGCATTGCTGACCGACACTTCGAGGAAACTATGCCACCGACGTCGCCGCCGGCGCCTCCTTCCGCTTCAAGCTCCTCTTCATCGTCCTCATGTCCAACCTCTTCGCCATCTTCCTCCAGTCCCTCTGCATCAAGCTCGGCTCCGTCACCGGCATGAACCTCGCCGAGAACTGCAAAGCCCACCTGCCCCCCTGGCTCAACTACGTCCTCTACTTCTTCGCCGAAAGTGCCATCATCGCCACCGACATCGCCGAAGTCATCGGCACCGCCATCGCCCTCAACATCCTGATCAAAGTGCCATTGGTCGCGGGCTGCGCCATCTCCATTGTCGACGTCCTCATCATCCTGTTCTTCTACCGGCCCTCGGGCTCGATGCGCGCGCTGAGGACGTTTGAGATTGGGGTCATGTGTCTGGTCCTGGGCGTGGTGATATGCTTCTGCTTCGAGCTAAGCAAGATCAAGGCGCCGGTTGGCGACGTGTTCCGCGGCTACGTCCCGTCGTCCACACTCATACAGTCGCAGGCGTAAGTCACGTGCAATCTCGCCTCTATCCCGTAATATAGCTACTGACCGCCCCATCCGCAGCCTCTACCAAGCCTGCGGCATCCTCGGCGCAACCGTAATGCCGCACTCCCTCTACTTAGGCTCCGGCATCGTGCAACCACGCCTCCGCGAATTCGACGACGCTGCCGCCGCCGCCGCCGCCACTGCTACCCCCCACACTTTCAACTCCACCACCCCCGACGACACCGCCTCCCTAACCTCTGCCTCCTCCGACACGCAAACAAAATACCGCCCCTCCCTCGCCGCCATAAATGCCTGCATGTCCTACTCCATCGTCGAACTCGCCATCTCCCTCTTCACCTTCGCCCTCTTCGTCAACAGCGCCATCCTCATCGTCGCTGGCGCCAGCCTGTACGGGTCTGACGCCGCAGACGACGCCGATCTGTTTTCCATCCACGCTCTCCTCTCCTCGTCCATCGCGCCTGTCGCGGGGACACTGTTTGCGCTGGCGTTGTTATTGAGTGGGACCAGCGCCGGCATCGTGTGCACGATCGCAGGCCAGATGGTCAGTGAGGGTCAGCTGAACTGGAGCGTCAAGCCCTGGATGCGACGGCTGATTACGCGGAGTATTAGTATCACGCCATCCATCATCATTGCCGGGGCGGTCGGCCGCGAGGGGCTGGGGAAGGCGCTCGAGGGGAGTCAGGTTGCACTCAGTGTGATTTTGCCGTTTGTGAGCGCGCCGCTGATCTGGTTTACATGTCGGAGCCAGTACATGCGGGTTGCGGTGAGGGCGGACGGACATGGTGCCGAGGGAGAGGGCGAGTGGGTGAATATGCGGAATGGGTGGGTGACGGCGGGGTTGGCAGTGGTCATATGGGGCGTCATTGTGGTGATGAATGTAGCGCTCCTAGTGCTTGTGGGACGGGGTGTTGCGTAGAGGAGCATGTGCTGTCGTACGCTGATGCAAGACATGTAGGTGGTGTGTGAATAAAAGGTAATCGACACGCAAGAGCGAGCCAAGGAAGATGGTCATGTATGGCACCGCAGTTCCATCATCGTACATACAGTCTGCCCAACCCTATTAGATACGCTACGACAGCCGGTGGCCGGCAAAGCCAGACTCTATGTCTACGCCTGGACTACAACAAGAAAAGGAAATGGATGCGTGCTTCGCCGAGATGCATCGTGTGATGCAAGCCATGCAGATGGAGTATCATGCGTGCGTGAGAAAAAGAAAAAAAAAAAAAAACCAATTGACAGCCTCTCCTCGAACCCGAGATGGAGGTGGAAAGAGAAATTTAGGGAGGGAAAGCTGCTACGCCTTCTCCTCCTTGATGTCGTGCGCGGTACCGCCAATCTGCTGCTGCTGCTGCTGCTGCTGCTGCTCCTCGGCCTCCTCAGTCGTCCTTGCAGTGCGGTTCGTGCGCACGCGCTCCAGTGCCCGCTCCTCGGCCTCGGCCTGTTGCGGACTCAGCTCCTCCTTCTCCTTCTTCGCCTTCTTCGGCACGCGCGCGAGCCAGTAGAAGAACAGCGCGCCCGCGATGTTGAAGAGCACGTATGCCCACAGGATGCCGAAGTTGCGCCACACCTTGCTGTACTCGGCGTGGACGGACGCGAGGAAGACGTTGGTGTCGCCCACGGAGCAGTACTGGCAGCCGGACGTGGCGTTGGGGTCTTGTGCGTAGCCGCCGAAGACCTGCTGATACGTCGACATGTATTCGCCGCAGGACTGGCCTTGCGGCGGCTCAAAGTTGAGGAGCTCGTTGGGCGCGCATATAACCTTTGAGTTTGCGACGCCGACGGACAGCATGCCTGAGACCATGTAGCTGAAGGGCGACACGCGATACATGAAGATCCAGAAGCCGGGGAGTTGCTCGGGGGTGGCCAGAACACCGCAGAAGACGAGACAGAGCGAGAAGCACAAGTTGGCGATGTTGCCACCGGCCTCGGCCATTTCGACACCGGCAATGACCATGTGCGCGAACGTCGATGTGAAGAGCAGGAACATCCAGAGAAAGAGGAACATCTGCGCGCCACGGAGGGTGACAGAGTCGGACTCGACGGCATTCTGGTAGAGACCAATGGGGTAATACCAGCAGAAGAAGATGAGGGCGGCCATGAGGGTGTTCCAAGGGAGCTCGACAACGATGTTGGCGATCATGAAGGCTTTCCACGAGTATGCTTTGCTTGGGCGTTCGCGCACCTCGTAGAGGGCACGCTGCGTGACGAAGTGGGGCATGATCTGCTGGACGAGCTGTCCGAAGATGGTCATAAGCATGAAGATACCGAACATCTGGTTTTGGAGACCTTGTTGCGTGTTGGGCGTCTTGAAGAGTGAGAAACCGATGAAGAGACCAGAGAGAACGCAAAGAGCAGTCTTGGAATAGATGTACGAGGGGGTGCGCCAGTATTGTTGGAAGACACGAACGGTAACTTCGCGAAGTTGCTGGCCGAAGGGCGCGGCAAACTCGCGGTAGGCAGCCTTATCCTCACGCTTCTGCGCGGAAACAGTGCGTTCAAGTGCAGTCGCCTGACCACGCTCGTACTTGAGTTCAGCCAGGTGTTCCTGAACCGCAGCGTACTCAGCCGAGTTGCGCCATGCTTGGTGCCAGTCGATGTCGGTAGACGATCCAGGGGCTGCGCCGATGACCTCGAGCATCCATTCAGCGGGGTTAGCAGCAGGCGGGCAAGGCGGTCCACCCTGGCGCACAAAGTAGTCGATCAAGATCTTGGAGTTGGCCCCGACCTCGCCGAAGTACACTGTCTGGCCACCCTTCTTGAGGAACAGGAGACGGTCGAAGCGGGCAAAAAGCATAGCGGAAGGCTGGTGGATAGTGCAGAGAATAGCCTGACCATTCTTCTTCAACTTGTCCAAAAGGTCAAGAATGGCCCATGAAGTCTGAGAGTCCAATCCGGAGGTAGGCTCGTCGAGGAAGAGAAGCAAAGCTGGCTTAGCAGCGAGTTCGACACCGATTGTAAGACGCTTGCGCTGCTCGACATTGAGACCCTCACCAGGAACACCAACGATGGCGTCGGCGTATTCCTGCATTTCCAAAAGCTTGATAACTTCCTCGACGTAGTCGACCTTCTCTTGGCGAGGAACGTGAGCAGGCTGACGGAGGATAGCGGAGAAGGTAAGAGCTTCACGGACGGTAGAGGTGGACAAATGGAGATCCTGCTGCTGAGCGTACCCGGTCTTGCGCTGGAAAGAGTCGTCGCGAGGTTTGCCGTCAACAAGCATCTCACCAGTGATGACACCCATAGTGGTACGGGTAGCCAAACAGTCCAGAAGTGTAGTCTTACCGGCACCAGAGACACCCATAAGTGCAGTCAAAGTTCCAGGTTTGACCCAGCCATCAACGTGGTCCAAAATGCGACGAGGCTCCTTCTTTATCTTGATGTCATAGCACACGTTCTGCCATTGGAAGATGGCGGTCTGGCGTTCGATCATGGCGAGTTCATCGGATTGGTTCTGGACGGCGACGTTGCGGCCGGCAGGTGCGGCCTCGAGATCATCGGTGGATTTGCTCTTCTTGATAGCCCTGTGTCCGCGACGGAAGACTAGGACTTCACCCTTGGACTTCTTGGATGTGATGAACTCGGTAGCAGCAAGGTAAACGAACATGAGACCAAACAGGAAGACCCAAAGGATGCCGAAATTCCTCCACTTGTTCTTAGCGTAGTAATTGAAGGCCGAGTTGATGTAGTCATCACCATCAACGTAAGGCACACCAGCCTTGGATCCAACGGTGGAGCAGACGCGTTCCTGACCAGATATATTTTCGTACCCGGGTCCCATAGGCACATAGTTGACACAGGCAAATTGGCGATTATGGAACTCGTTGATCATCAGCGCTTCGAAAGCGTAGGCCACGGGGTTTAGATATCGGATCCAGATTGACCAGCCGAGAACATAGTTGGGTGGGATGGCGAAACCGGTGTACATGACGAGACCCAAGATCAGGATGGCTGCGGGCGCCAAAGCTTGTACGAGAGACCGTGAGAGGGACGCAATGGACCGGAAGAACATGGACATGACGAGCGTGAGGATGAAGGATATGAGGACGAAGAAGAAAAAGTTGCCCGGTGTTCGTCGAAGGTTCGTCATGAAATACAGGACTAAGTTGAACGTGATGGCATTGAGTACCTTGTAGGGCATGTCCGTCAACATAGAAGCGAACGCCTCAGCTGATGGATGGTACAGCGCGTATCGAGAATGTTTCTCGACGATTGGTCGTTGTGCGTACAAGGTTAGGATTTCGAGGGCGGAACCAAAGGCGTTCATCAGAATAGCGAAGAAGAGAAGAGCAGCGCGAGAATAAAAACTGCTCGTAGTCGAAGGCAGGTTGTAGAAGACAGAAGCGATGATGAGTGCCATGATGGAGTTTGCGATGAGCTGGGTCAGTGTGATACTCGGATCAGCCATGAGTCGTCTGAAACCGCGCCACAAGCAGAGCTTGACCTGCTGCATGTACGACAAGGTGTAAGGGGACTTGATACGCTGGCCTTTGGCTTGCTGTGCTTTCCGGGATTCCTTGAACTTTTCCAGCTGCTCGCCACCCACAGGGAACTTCTGGTTGTATGCTTCGATCTGCAGCATGAGCTCGGCACGCTCTGGCGAGTCCTTCCATCGCTGAGCAAACTCATCAGGAGTACGGGGAACGCGATCTTCGAATCCAGGGCGGACGACACGTTCAAGAGGGCTTGTCATGGAAGTCAGGAAATCCGCATCAGTCTGGCGATCCGGGCAGTCGAAACCCATGTTGACGAAGAACTGCTTGGCTGAGGTTGTGGGACCAAAGTAGATCTGCCTGCCCTCGTACAGAACGAGCGCCTTGTCGAAGACATCGTAAGCTGCCTGGGGAGCCTGGTAGATGGCAACGCAAGCCGTAGCACCGTTGATCTCAGTCTCCATGCGAAGAGTCTTACAGAACTCAATAGCGTTGGCACTGTCCAGACCACGTGTAGAATTGTCCCAGCATTGCAGGGGAGCTTTGCTGAGCGAAGCCTCAGCGATAGAGACACGTTTGCGCTCACCACCAGACACACCGCGGATGAAGTCGTTTCCAACCCGCGTGTTGATCGTATGGCTGATGCCGAACATGGCCATGATGACATCGCGCATATGCTCAGCGAACTGGTCTGTAGTCGCACCGCCGGGAATGTGCCGTGGGGCGCGTGCCTTGGCCGCGAAATAGAGGGTTTCGCCAACAGTAAGCATGGGAAAGTGAACGTCGACTTCAGCCGTGTAGATGGCTTCTCCACGAAAGTCCTTTGCCATCTGCTTCGCAGCGATACCTGGTGCCCGTCAGTCACTATATTAAATACTTTGATGTGTCCGCCATACCTTGGTAGTTGATATCAGAGCTCTGGTCCACGAAGAACCCGTGCGTCTCTCCCGCAACTGTCTTGAGAAAAGTGGAACATCCCGAACCAGGAGGTCCCAGAACGACGAGCATCTCTCCCGCCTCGACGAGGCCGTCCAAGGACTGCAGAATCTCAATCTTGCGGCCCTTGTTGCCCATCAGCTTCCTCGCAAAACCAGGACCCTCCAGCCAGACGTTGCCCACGCTCTTCTGGTAGTCCGTGTCGGAACCAAAGCCATGTACGTTCAGGTTCCGGAAAGCAACACCGGCAGTGCGTGGCGGCGGCGCATTGGGGTCCTCGAGCTGCGTGTGCAGCATGGCCTTGGCCCAGGCGCGGGCGTTGAAGTGCTCGCCATTGGGGTCTAGCGGCGAGCCTGCAGTAGCGTTGAAGGGGTTCTGCCGTGTTGTGGACGCTGTGCTCTGCTGTGTGTATCGGCGGGCAAGTGCGTGGACGGCAGAATTCCTCCTCTCTGCGCTGTCGGCCTCAGACACGGCCTCGGAGTTTTGTGTGGTGGTGAAGGTCGAATCCTTGACGTCGGCGCCGAGGGTGTTGTTGTGTGTGTTGTGGCGCGTTTCCTCGGCGATGGTCGAGTCGTCCGAGGTGTCGGAGCCTATGCGCTCGGTAGGATGGACTGCGCCCGCAGAGGCGACGCCATTGTGCGTAGCCTCACGGTCGCCGTTGGACGTAAAATTGCCCACTAGGCTCATCTTCGCGGCCCCCTCCTTGTCCACTCTTGCAGCGCAGCAGTGCCGAGATGCTACGGTGTAATGGTTGCCTCTTGCGTCCCTCGAGGAAATTAGTGTAACGGGAGAAACAGAGTATTAAAGGGTGTACTAGGGAGGGTTCAACAGAAGGTGGAGTGAGGGACAGATCAAGCCCCAGGCGGCGGGAAGCCCATGAGATAAAAAGAGAACACGAGATCTCCACTAGGGCCGCCCGGTAGGAGCGTCGTCGACTTTCCGGTCTGTACGGTGAGGCGGCTTGGCCAAACACGCCAGGCGGATAGACTAGCCTCCGACTTCCACTCGCTTGTGCGCGAAAGGCGGCGGGATACGCTGAATACGCCCTACGCCGCATCCAGGCACCCGCCGACGCCGACGACGGCACTTGGCCTGCCGGACGAGCAGCACACGAAGCGCGGTTGCGGGCTCGACTCGCAGCAGCGGCATGACGCCAGCCGCGACCCAGGCGATCCGCAAACCACTGCGCGGGCGCCGTACGTCTGCCAGACGTCGCCGTGGAGGCCGCCGTGTGCCTGTTCTGCGCAATCTGCGTCGAAGCTTGGCGCATGCTCGAAGCAGAAGTTGCTCGGGCGCCTGGTGGGTCGCACGCCCTTTGCTACCGCGGCCATTCGCAGCGACCACTGCTTACGGGCGCATCTGACAGCTCGGTTGCTACCATCATCTCAAGGAGCCTTCAGCCAACAGGCACTTGCCGTAAACGAAATGCTACGCATCGTGTCCTCCAGCCTGCTTACGGCCGCATCTGACAGCTTGGCTGCTACCCAAGGTTGAACCAAACCATTGAGGGAAATCAGTCCACGAGCAAAACGTCAGTGTAAACGAACACCCACCAGAAGATATTGATTGCGCTGACCTCCACGGCAACTCGACCCGTCCTCCCTGACACCCCGCGACCCCACTCTCCGGAACAAAACTCGCAGACCCTTGCCCCTCTTCGCCATCTGCCTCGCATCCTATCCCATCCGAACACCCACGGACGAAGTCGCAAACGTTCAAACGCTACCCACGCAGCCCGCGGACCATTCTCGCGGACGCATACCCCTGTTTGCCAACCCACGCCCAGCCTGTAACATCGCACCTGCGATGGGGACAGCCATTTTCCAGAACGGACCCGACGCGCGCTAGCGCTCCTCGGTGCGCCTCCCACAACCTGCCGGAACCCTCGTGCATCCGCTTCCGGGCGCGCCTGCAGCCCGCCACGTGCGAGGCGGCAGCCTCGTCGGAGCTGGTTTATAGAGCTCCCGTCCCCTGGGTGGGCTGCCAAGGGTTTCCGCAATTTGCGAGCTGATGGTTTGGAGTTGAAGTCTCGATCAAGTCATTAATGCCTGCTTGCAGCCTCGCCGGCAGCGCAACGAACACATCTCCGTTCGTTGCGGCAAGCGGATGTGAGAATGGCAGTGGAGACCTCTGGAGCGTCTCGGGCACTGCGACCGCCCACTTCATCGACCCAAACACTCACGGCGGAGTCCACACATGTACTGCAGCAGCGCTCATGCTACTCTCCGATTTTTCCACCCCAATGTGCAGGAATCTTTTGGGAATTTGCCATGTGCGATACGAACGCCGTCACCGCGCACATATATCCACTCGTTAACCCAACGACGCAGAACCCCGAGGCACCACGACAGTGCTCACACTAACTCCTGAATCCTTAGAAATCTCATCACGTGCACTCTTTCCAGCGACTCTCCCGTACGCCCTTCGAACGACTTCGTGCTCCCTTTCGTTGATTCCTGGTAAATACGCAGCCCGGGACCAGAACCGCGGCTACAACCTTTCATCATTCAACTCTATGACCCCAAGTCCGTTGGGAGCAAACAAGCATGCACGTTGTGTCATTCCCACCCATCTCACACCAAGTGCGCACGCCAGAGCATGATCCAGTACTCAACAGCAACAACGTAGCGAAGCAAAGTGGTAAGCCAGCAAGCATTGGTTTCGAAAAAGCGGACAGCACACGCGTCAACGGGCGCATGCTTCACCTACACTCCCCAGCAGGTCCGGAATAATACTCAATCTTGAATCGTTCATATATTTCATTGCTATGCCGCTAACGTGACCTCATCCATGCCAAGTTGAAACCAACCAAACCAACCAGGTGAAGCAATCAACGCCCGAGCAAATATGATACAACAGCCAAAGTGCAGTAACCTCGCCCAAAAAATACGGCGCCTAAAGTGGAGCACCACCCATGTATGCCATGGACGCCAATGCACGGGAGATCCCTCATCCCGCAGCATTTTCGTCTTTCCACCCCAACATGACCATCGGCGACCGACGCCCCGACTTCCACTCCTCGCAAGCCCTCTCGTTCCCACGCGGCCTAAATCGACTCCCCAAAAAACTGACTCGCGAGGATAATATCTCGATCCCCATTAGCAAAGTCCCATCCCACAATCGTCGGATCCTGACTGCAGCACACGATCCTCCTTGCGTCGAACTGCAGCTTGAACACGCGCGAGGTCCCCTGCGCCGCGGGACGCTGGAATGCGTGGTTGTGGTGGTGGTGATGTGCGCCATGGTGGTGGTGGTTTGGCGCAGCACCAGCTTGCGGAGCTGCGGGTGTGGGCTGTGCCTGGTTTGCGGGAGGGGTGTTGGTGGTGTTTGGATTTACGGGAGCGTTTTGCGCCGCGGCGGCGGCGGCGGCGGTGTGCATGGCAGCAACGTGGATGGCTTGGGCTTGAGGTGCGAGGGTATTTGCGGCTTGGGCTTGGGCTTGGGCCTGGGCTTGCTGCGTCAGGGCCTGGGCATTGGCTTGCTGGCCATGTGCGTTGTTCTGTTGTTGCTGCTGCTGATTCTGGTGTAGGTTTTGAGCAGCGTGAACATGGTGAGCGTGCCCAGCTGTCTGGCGTGGGCGTCCTCCCGCTGCCCTAACGGCCTCGCTCTGATATAGAACCTTGGACTTCTCCCATGCACCATCCGCGCTCTTCTTCCAGATAATGACCGTCTCGTCGTAGGAGCCGGAGACAATCCTAGCCCATTTGCTGCCTCCGCCGCCCGGGGGTAGTTTCGCTCCATAAGCAAAGATTGCCTTGGGGTCTCGAGATCCTGCATTCCGCGCGCGGCGCTGTTCCCGCGTCATCTGACCGGATACAAGTCCTTGCCTCTGAGCTTCAAAGAAGGTGTTATCGATGGCGCGAGCTTCGGCCTCCAACTCTTCCTCATTTCCTGGGAGATCACCAAACTGAGCTTGAACAGTGCGCACGAGGTTAGAGTGGCCCTGTAGGCAAGCCACCTCAGCTCCAGTAGCTCGATCGAAGATTCGAACTGTCTCATCAGAGCTGCCGCTGACGATTCGTCTTCCGTCAAATTGCACACAGGCAATGCCTTTGGAGTGGCCAGCAAATGTTCGCGAGCAAGCCCCTGTGCGAACATCCCAGACTTTGACGCTGCGATCACCTGAAGCAGACACAATCTGCCCGTCGAGAATCTGAATCGCATTCACTGCAGCACCATGGCCCTCGAGTGTCATCATGAGGGTGTATGGCTGCAGTGGCTTGAAATAGAGATGTTGCGACTCCGTCTGTTGCTGCATGTTGATGATGTACGAAGGGAACTTGGCTCCAGACCGAGTTGTTGACAATGGATATGCGTCATCAGTTGGCAGCATTTCCTTCCTGTTCCATACTTTGATAGTCTTGTCCTTGGAGCATGTGACTAGATATGTGTCGTCGAACCTGAGGTTCAGGACTGACTCGCCATGGGCCTTTTCGAGCTTCTTGATCATACGACCCGTCGAAAACTGCCACATTATCACGTTGCAATCACTGCCGCCAGACACCACGAGATCTTGCGAAGGCCGTTCGTCAAATTGCAAACAGAGGACGGACGCCTTATGTCCAACTAAGGGTGGCAACATCAAACGTTGAGTGTCAAGATCCCAGATCCTGACGGTCTTGTCACGACTTCCGCTGACGAGGTATTTACCGGAATACTGAATCGTATACACGCATTCTGTATGCGCCTCCGAGGCATGGCTTGGATGAGGAAGCTGAAAGTTCACGAAACGCCCAGAATCCCAATTCTCTTCCAGCCGCCGCTTTTGTTTGTAGAGATATTGCCAGTTGATCTTTGGTTCGGGATTCGACAGCATGAGAGCAGGTCGCAAAGGTGGGTCTAACACGTTCTGTGGGTTGGAGATGGTAGTCTCCTCGCTAGTTTCCGTGAGAAGCTTTTGTCGCCGAGAAGTCTGTCCTATCGGCGAAGCAACAGGTGAAGTGCCATTGTATGAAACGCCCTCCATCTGATCCTGTGAACTTGATGAGGCGTCCGCCTCTACAACGCCATGCTGCTCTGCCCAGGGGTAACGTGATGCGCCATCAAGTGAAAGCGGCTCCAATCCGTTCTTGATTTCGCTGTCCGTTGAACCGTCGCCGAACAGTGGCTTTTCGCGTGACCGCTTTTTCGACGACGGCTTGTCAGTCTCCATGTCCTCGGAGGAATCCACGGCTGCCCTTGGTCGTGTTTTGCGCTCCTTCTCTTTTTTCTCCACCCGTCTGTGTCGTTCAACCTCCTCGTACGCGCGAACCTGGGGGAAATTGGAATTCCAACCTTCCAGCCGGAATAATAACTTCCACAGCGGGCTGTCCATTACCCGGCCTCGCCATGTCCGCGAAAGTGTCGAAGCGCGTAGCAGGGTTTCGGGGGTCAGATATGAGAAGATCTGAAATGTGATCTCGGGCGGCAGGTAGAGAACGGGGTCGAGGTGGAGGAGAGGATTTAACTTTTCGACGATGCCGGCGATAGACGAAGTGCGGAGTGACCGCAGCATTGCGTACGCGAATTCTGGGCTTCGAGTCAACATTTGGTTTTTGAACACCGTGGCTTTGTACATACCACTTCGCTCGTTCTCTGGCATTTGCATGACCCAGTCCGGCAAAGCATACTGTAGGTCCTGTTCCATCCCACCTTCGCCTAACCGCGAATCAGTCCGCATCACCATATCGCTGCCGGTCTGGCTGCGCGTGTCCTCGGAGTAGCCCTCGTCAAATCTGCTTGCGCTCATAGACGATGCCGGGCGGAACGATTGGAGATATGCGGGCGTGGCGAACGGGGTTGTGCTGCCCAGCGGGCCTGCCATGGCGGATGATGTCAGGCGAGGCAGTCGCGGATGGTGGTGTGCAATCGAGCTGCAGTCTTGACGGCGGTCTGGGAGTACGTTCAGTGGGTTGCGAGGTGCGTGTTGTGGAGCGTCCGGTCTGTTGCTAGGCCGCGTTGCGGGTGAAAGGTTGTTGTGCTTTGTGGAGCCTGGCGGTGAAGATGAGACGGGTCATGGGCGGGCTCCGCTATCATGCGCGCACCGAGATGGCCACGAGCGCGTTGGGATGGCGGGGCACCGGATGGGAGGTCGTCGGGTTAAGCGCAGTCTCTCTGGCGCAGTTTCTGGGCAGAATGAATCTTGTTGTCGTCGCTACAAGGGGGACTCATGTGCGGACTGCTAGCGCGGTTCGGCGCAGGGGTCATCGAAACTCATAGAATTCAACCACCTTATAGTGTAATTTACATACAAAACTGGTGCCCCCAGATGACTCAGTATGGTATGTGACCGCCTCCTGCCTTCTGTATGGCGGCGCAGCGCTCATGCATGGTGTTGGTGTACTTTTTGACGTCTTGTATAGTGATTTTGGCCCACTCCTCCTCAATAACACGTCGTAGGTCTACTTTGGAAGTGGGAAACCGATCCTGCACTCTTTTTTTGAGCAATCTCCATATATTTTCAACGGGGTTAAGGTCAGGACTGTTCGCTGGCCACCACAATAGTCTTATAGCGTGGGAATTGAACATCTTTTTAGTAGCAATTGCCCTGTGGGGAGAGGCGCCGTCCTGCATAAACAAGGCCTTGCCCACTCCTACGCGAAAGATCTCATGCTCTTGTACAAAGATCTTTATATATGGAAAGATCCTCTGGGTGTACGACGCTGAGTTCCAGTTCCCCCACTCCTCCCGATCCCAGATGACAAGGGGACCTTTGGATCCGTCGCCGCTAATACAAGCCCATACAAATAAGCTGGTAAAGTCTTTGAACTTTGGGACGCAGCAGTTCTTATCGTATTTCTCTTCTGCTCGGCGGGTAACGTAGCACTTGCCTCGGCCTATACGAAAGGCTGCCTCATCACTCCAGATAATCCGGTGCCATATCTCAGGCGCCCAATACATTGCCAAGCTGCTCCAGTATAACCTGTTTGTCACGTCTTTTGGCTGTAGGAGGGGTTGTTCTGTAGCAGTACGGCGATGATAGCCTTCTTTATGGAAGGCTTTTGTGAGCGTTCGGTGATCAACAGAGATGCCTAGTTCTTGGGCGATCTGTCTGAGAGGCTTAAGACGCTGCTCATGTGAGGCAGTAGCATGAGCAACAAGGCGCTGACGTAGTGGGGTGTTGAGTATGGGTGAACGTCCTCTCTGTCTCTGAGGGGTGATACGCCCAAGGGCGCAGTCTCGTACAGTTCTGTAGGGGATTTCAAGTCTCCGGGAGATTTGACTGTAGTTCCAGCCAGCTTGATAGCGTAGAGAGTGTATATGAGCTCGCTCTTGGGCAGTAAGTCGACGTTGAGGCGTTTTGGGTGCCATAGTACGGATTATGCTTTGTTGACTATACAGTGTTGGGGCAATTCCTTACTTACATACAAATCTGTATGGGCGTATGGAATATTCGGGCAGCTTCGGAGGTCCGAGCGCACTCGAACGCACTAGCAGTCCGCACATGAGTCCCCCTTGTACCAGTTGGGCAGGTTGCGCTTGGGCCAAGGCAGCCGCCGCCAGAAAATGCCCGATCAACCCAGTCGCGGCTCTGCCACTAACCGCCACCATCTAGGCGTGATGTGCACCACAGACGTCAACATTCGTGACGTTTCTAGAATGTTCAAGATTTTATTCGTGTTGGGACAGCGAAGCGATGACATGAAACTTGAGTATTGGGACAGACGGCATCCAGACAGAGATCCCTGGTGACCCTAGGTCGCACCGGTCAAGTGACTTTTGATTGATGCAGGTGCCCTCCGTCTTCCGCGCTGTTGGAACTACGGTCCACTGCGATGCGCTTCATTTAGCGGTCATCACACAAGCGCCACATCGGGACTTGCAAATGCATGTGCATACGCGACCGTGCAATCAGCCATCTGCACTCGTGGCCGCCTCGAACAGAATTCAGTAACCAACAACTCACTGCGTTCGTCTATACAACCATTTTCTGTCCAAGCACCCAAGGACAACACCTTGCAGTCTGGAGTCTATGGGCGAGCTTGTACCGAGGGTCGCAACTATCAGCTTTTGGTTGCGATCCAGGCCATGCCACATTGTGAACCTCTCCGCTGACTCATCTTGTGATGAACTTATAGACGTATAATAGACTGAACTGGCATAGGATGAGGTACGCGCATCTATCTCTAGTCTTTGTGTTAGCTACTGTGAACTAAAGAAGATAATCATGAAATACTGTGTAGCAAAGCGTGGGAATGGGAAATATTCGTTGACATGCACATCAATCAGAGCTCTGAGAGCCCAAAGTGTACTCGAAACAACCGAGATGTTACGACAAGTCAGTCGTCTCCTGCCATGCCACCCATATTTTAGTTGGCGACAGAAAGGGTGGCATGGGTAGTATGCCCGTAAACCTCGTGTATTGAACCACAAATACTGTTACCGACCATTTCTGGTGCACTCAGTGCTGTCCATAGTTGGACAGGAAGGTAATCAAACCGGACTCTGCAGTGACCTGTCCGCTACGAATGATGAAGTAGATTCGCAAACAGCTACTCCATGGCCGTAGCCAAGATTGCTTCAATGGAGCAACTCTCATAGTAAAGAAGGTGACGACAGAATTGGAAATCGGCGTCGACTACGGTACGAGCAAATTAACATGTACTTCACTTTCATTGGGTTCTCTTTGGCTGCCTCGCATCTTGATATTTACCCCAGATATGAGACCTATTGCTATAGTCTTCTATCGTATCTCAGCAAAACCCCTTGGTCTCTATCCGCAGTGGTATCTGCCACGCTAATCTAAATGGCAGGTTGAGCGCATGTGTGAGATGGTAAAAGGGTGGTTGTGAAGAAAGGGGCGGAAAAACACTCCGAGACGGAGGTTGGTGGTGGCGTGATGATTGTGCCAGCCTATGTGATGTTTATACAACGGTATGATCGGCGTCCCTGAGCTTGTGCTGTGTGTGGTCCAAGTTTGTGCATCTAGTGAAGATGATTCTGTTCAATGTCTATCGGTACCTTCCGCTGTGTCCATGCTAGACCTCACCCACAAGTCCACGTCTCCGTCAAACTAGACTCCAGAGTATACTATTCAGCTAGACTCTCTACGCCGCTTTTCAGTCGAGGCCTTCGGCTGTAATCTGCGATGCTGCATCAGCCCGGCGCTAGCCATTCGTCTACTCACTAAACTGGCTCATCCACGTCTTGTTAGCTCATTGGGTCGGAGCAGTTCTCCTGCGGGAAGTACCACGAGCTATGAGGAGCCAACGGCCCATCTCACAATGGTCTCTGCCCGCTGGTTTGAAATTGGATGCTCGGAAGATCGGCGTGTTAGCTTGTCATGGCTTCTCTCAGCTCCGTCTTGCATTGCATAGTGCAGATGAGGTTAGTAGCACGACGTGAATTTGTGGTGATTATTGAAAAGGTACCGTGTCACTGAGACAGCTTGGGCTGAGGAGCTGTCATATGCGGCTGAGAGGGTCGGCCTGCGAAGCTTCCTTGCATGTTCTAGAAGGAAGTCGTTGAAGTAGTGTTACCGGTGCGCGCAGGCGGAGTGCACAATTGCGCAGTCAAGGGTATTTCGCGTGTGAAGGAAGGGGTTGAGCGAGCAAGTCCCAGTCTTCTTCAAGCCGCACATGTGAGAGGCTGCTGGCCGTGATTGCGGCTACAGTGATCGGCAGGGTCCGCTCGCGTCCTGAGGCGGCATTCCGTCCGCAAGGTGCTCACTCGGACTAGAGTGCGCCGTAGCTCACCGCAGCTCACCGCAGCTGCTGCCTGCTCTTGCGTGGGATGGGAGGAGCGATATTTGAGTTGATGTGGTACAAGCCGTCGCCACGCAGTGGACGAATCATGTGTCGAAAACGCGCATTTGTCAAGGCGGTTGGGCGCGGCGGCACGTTATGCGGAGGCGAGGACTGTGCGGACGCACTGATTGTCCCACGCTGGTCTCGCGAAACCCGTTCACACGGTGAGACAGACTCGGTGCGGAGGCGAAGATTGGGCACGCAGAGCAGCAGACCGAAGACTGGCAGGGACCAGAGGCCACTGCAAAGGCGTACAGGCGTCCTCGGTGCGGCGGATAAAGTAAGGTCAGAGCCCACCCTCCGTGCGCAGGGCGAACAGGCTTGAGGACAAGACAAGGCCGGGGCGATCCCTTGACAGTCACGTGGCGGCGCCCGCAACCCAAAAGGCCGCATGAATCGCTGATGTGAAACGCCCCTATGCACCCGCCCAGCGCTGCAGCAGCCTCTTCGCTCTCGAACACCACTCCCAGACGCAACCATCCTTCGAGTCCTGTGCCCCCGCCCCGCGCCGCTGCAGAGAGAGCACCGAGAATAGCAGCTCCAGCTCCATCCCACCGCCCGTGAAGCCTCGGGCCCGCGCCTGCCTGCGAAGAGGATCGCTCCTGCCACGCCACCACGGACCCTGTGCTAGCGCTTCCCAGCACCAAGTTCCAGTGCCAGCACCACGACCGCGAGCGTGCATCGCCGCCCTCGCCCCGCCCCCGAGCCTCCTGTCGCACCTCGAAGCGGCTGCTGCGACCACGGAGGGATGCGCTGAAGCATGGAGGTGGCTTTTCACTCAGGTCTTGCCCGCGCACACTCGTCCCAGTCCGCCAACCCGGCCGCCCACGCCCGCATCGCCTCGAGCAGCGGGCCCTCCCTCATGTCCCACCAAAGCTACCAGAGCCAGCACTCGAGCTACTCGCACAGCACCCACCGCGACACCCAGAGCACCGCCGCTACCAGCACCTCCACCCTCTTTACCACCCCGCCTACCTTCCCGGGAACCCCCGTCAACGGCGGACCCGTCGAGGCCGCCGACAATGTCCTGAACAAGCGCGCCGACAAGGAGAGCTCGCTCTTCCACAGCGGCCTGCAGCTGCAGCTGCGCTTGCGCGCCATCCCCGGCTTCGAGCGCTGGATATCCGAGGAGGAAAACAAGGCCGACGACGATGCCGACCCCGTCACTCTGCTGTGGCGGACCTTCCGCCGCGGCTTCCCGCTCATGGACATCTACAACGCCCTGGGCCCCAAGGTGCGCCTGGCTGTCGACACCTCGAAGATGACGGAGAGCACCACCAAGAAGTTTGAGAAAATGGCAGCCTACAAGTTCCTGCAGGCCTGCATTGGAGAACTCAAATTCCCCCCTGAGGAATGCTTCATGATTGGAGATCTATACGGCGACGACACAACTGGATTTGTGAAGGTACATACCTCCAACGCGGGAAACGTGCACCTGCTAACTATATAATAGGTTGTCAAAGTGGTAAACCGAGTTCTGGACATTCTGGTGCAGATGGGCATCATTCAAAACACCGAAGCCGCCGACGGAGCCGGCGACCCGACTAGGAAGAAGACCCGGCGTGAGCACATCATCAACGAGCTGGTGTCATCGGAGCGCACGTATGTGCAGCACTTGGAGATGCTGCAAATGTTCAAGCGACTGGTCGAAGAGAAGGGCTCCGTAACAGGCGACGCCATCCATGACATTTTCCTCAACCTGAATGCGCTTCTCGACTTCCAAAGACGGTTCCTCATTCGGGTGGAGCAGACCAACGCCCAGCCTCCCCACGAGCAGAATTGGGGAAACCTCTTCGTGCTGTACAAGGACGCTTTCAAAGTTTACGAACCCTATGTCGCGAACCAGAAGAAAAGTGAGCAGGTGGCTGTACGAGACTACGAGAAGCTCGTTGAGACTGGTGGCTCTGGCGAAATGCAGCAGATGGTGCAGACTAAAGCTACTTTGCCTTCGTTCTTGATCAAACCCTTTCAAAGACTGACAAAGTACCCACTTTTGTTGAAGGTAATATCACCCCCTGCACTTGGCAATCTATCATACTAATATCGCATAGGACTTGCGCGCAAATGGTGAACTTGAAGAGCACCTCAGGGACGACATTTCGAATGGTATCGATGCCACAGAAGCAGTGCTCGAGCGCATCAATGCGGCTATAGCCCGCGAAGATCGAATGGAAGCTGTCGAGGAGTTGAAAACTTTAGTTGAAGATTGGAAGGGCCATCGCATCGAAGGATTCGGCGACCTTCTGCTCTACGGTCAATACACTGTCCTCAAAGGAGACGGCATGAACGGGAAGCAAGACGAACGAGAGGTATGTTGTTACTGATTACATTGCCACATGCCCCAATGCCCTGCCACTGCATGTCTTTCCACATTCCCATCTCCTGACGCATTACAGTACAAAATCTACCTTTTCGAAATGATACTTTTATGCTGCAAGGAGCTCAGCGCCAACAAAGCGAAAAAGATGAACAAGGCGTTGACCACTAAGACCGGGAAACCAAGGCTGCAACTCAAAGGTCGTATCTTCATGCAAAATGTTACAGAGACAATATCGCTCCAGAAGCCCGGCTCGTACACATGCCAGATTTTCTGGAAGGGCGACCCAGGCATCGAGAATTTCATAATCCGATTCAACACTGAGGATACCATGAAGAAATGGGCAACCCAGGTGGATACCCAGCGTCGTGTTTGGAAAGACCACGCACGCAACAGCGCCAGCACTACTCACTCAAAGCCGTCGGACACACAATTCACGTACATGCACGACCAAAACCTCGTGAATCCATACGCCGAGGACGACGATGATGAGGACGAGGATATTGATACGGTCGTCCCCGGATACCCACCAACCAGCTCAAGCGCGTCAATACGGTCACGATCGACCACAGGGGAAAGCGCAAACGATGCCACGGTACCACCTCCACGTTTCCCCATGGGCTACCCCCAAGCCCCGCTAACGCTTCGAACCCAGCAGCTTGCCAACTTTAACCAAGACGGATCATACTTCTCACCCGTAGACACTCCTATGTCCACCTACTCAAATGCACGGACGAGCTCCTCGTCAGCAGGCACCTTTCCTTTCCCCCGCCAGACACCTCCATCTGGCTACCATGAGGAAAACAACCGTTACACTGCACCTGCTCGCGGCCATGTGACTCGCGAGACCTCTATGGGCCCTGGTATGCTTCCAGGGCGGACAGTCTCACGTCCCTCGTTGCCACCCACCTCCAACTCAGCGAGTATGTCAGCTGGCCGAATGCGGGCGGCTAGTAGCCCAGATATCCACAATGCCCTGAGACCAGGACGGCAGCCAAATGGCCAGCAACCATCGGTACCCGAGATGCCTCCATTCCCCACGCACTACGCCTACAACGCGGCCATCGTCAACCGCAGCCAGAACAATTCACCTAACAGTATGCCTCCTCGAGCCGCTACGGGGTCACCCGCCATCCAACGAGATCGCCTCGTCCAGCAACGAACAGCGGAACAGCTTGCCAATACCCATCCCGACTTGCCTCTGCACTATGGCGGTCCGGCCCGCAGAGATCCTAGTAGCGTTCCTTCCGCACGGACTATGACGCCGCACTCGTCATTTGAACGCAGCCAAGGTACACTCACACCGGCATCAATGGACTCGCGCACCATGTCGCCTCCCCTATCGCAAGCATCGACCCTGAACGAAAATCATTCAGGAATACCTACTCAGCTCAAGGTCAAGGTGCACTGCCCGGCGGCCGGCAGTACAATGACACTAGTAGTCAGTACAAACATTAGCTTCCAGAGCCTAAAAGACCGCATTGATGCGAAGCTTCAGCGGTCGACGAGCGTGTCGCTTGGTTCCGGTCAAGTGAAGCTGAAATACTTGGATGATGACACATTTGTCACAATCTCTACGGACGACGATCTGCAGGAGGCGTTTGAGACGTGGAAGGAGCAGCAGAGAGACTTGAACCCCGGTGGCCAGCAGCTTGGTGAAATCGAGCTGTTCTGCCAGTAATGAGGACGCAGGTGCGAGGGACGCAGATGTGGCACGAGATATTTGCATGGCTACGGTGTTTGAGGACTTTTCCACTTTTTGGCGTTTGGGGAGTTGAGAGGGCTGACGGAGGTGTTTGAGAACATTGGGTGGCGAACGGAGTCTGGTCATTCCTTTGGGCGGCATGGGATCTAGGTCTACTTGGACTGGGCTGGCTAAGCCAGTATGATTGATGGATACAACGTGTCTTGCGAAGCAGGCAGACATGACGAACTGAACAAGAGTGTTACTCACTGTTACTCCGCTGCGAGGGAGGGGATGGTTTAAGCCAGAAGCAAACTATTGTTATGGCATAGCCCGATGGGCATCTGCTCCAGGGAGTGGAATGCCTGGCCGATTTGCTTTTCGCGATTAGACTACCAGGCGGCACGGCTCGCACGATTGATGACGGAATGATGACTCGATTCGTTATATTGGAACATAGTTGAGAATAGTTAGGGGTGCGGAGGTAAATGATATGAAGCTTTGTTTGAATCAAGTTTTTTGTGAGTTTTCTAGTCAGTGTAAGCGTGATCGGTGAATGAATAGAGGCGTTTCTGAAAAGACTGCAGAGCTGAGGTGAGGCGTCATTTGCGCGGTCTGCCTCATACTGACGCATGCTGTCGCACCAGGCTGCATCGCACAGCCTCCGATTAGCTGCCACGGCATGCACCCTTCTCTATCCAACTTCTTCTAGCGCCGAGCTCGTTTCTCCTGCCTCCTCTTTCTTCCGTCCCAATTGGATGGACCGTCAGATGCCCGTCGACGAGACCCTTGGAGTGGTGGGCAGTATCATCGCCATTGTCCAGATCTCTAAGACAATCAACTCACTCTGCCGGTTCTATATCGATTCGGTTGATGGGGCACCTCAAGAGCTCCGTGTAATACTCATCGAGGTATCGACGCTCAAAGCGATTGCCATGAGTCTGCAGTACCTGACACATCCTAATGTCGCTAGTTTGGACTTAATGGATCAACTTGCTAGAGTTACGGGTCCAATTGAAGGTTGCAAGGAGGCCTTGAAAGAGCTCGAGATTTAGTTTTCTCCTAGATCTGTTCCTGGGAATGATCAGAGGTCAAATCGGCGTAAGCTCAATGCCACTGCGGCAACCCTGGTGTGGCCGCTGAGAGCGGGACGAGCGAAAAGGGTACTGCAGGAGATCATGCAGCACAAGGTGTCGATTAATCTCGCATTCACTGCGGATTTCGTGTATACCTCCAGTCAATGTTATTTGGTAAAGTCGAGATCTGACCGTGTTGTAGCCACGACCTGAAAGATATCAAGCGGAAGGCTGAACGGATAAACAGAGCAATCCACATTATTGTGTTGGAATCATCGGAGGCTCAGACAGACAGCGAGCAGCAAGAAATTTACAAGTGGCTTGCCACCACCAATCCCTCAGACATTCACAATCGCTCTCTGAGGCTTTATGAGCCTGGAACTGGTTTTTGGATGCTCCGAACCCCTCAATGGCCTCTCTTGCTAGAAGGAAAGCACCTTTGCTTGTGGATCTACGGCATCCCCGGGGCCGGAAAGTCGATTTTGGCTTCTTATTTGGCAGAAGAAATTGAAAATCATTGCACCGCTTCTTCCAGTGAGAGCTCGAGACTCGGCCACGTGTACTACTACTACTATTTCGGCCATGATCAAGACGAGTCATCACACTTCCTACGTTGGGTCATAGGTCAAATTTGCAGATAATCCAGGACAGTTCCCGACGATCCTCTGAATATACACAAGTCGGGTAAAAACACACTCTGCCAAGCCTTCTCTCAGTCCTGCCTAGTGCCATAGAAGGGTTCAAGCGAGTTTATATCGTCCTCGACGCTGTGGATGAGAGCATGCCTCGAGTAGACCTGCTCTGCGTTATCCAGGATCTCTCCACAGACATTCGCTTCTCTGCTCTAAGCTTGATCGTGACTTGTCGTCAGTTTGTTGACATTGAGCAGGTTTTGGAAGTGTGTGTTCTGTACCAATCACGATGTCGAATGAATTCGTGGAAGGGGATATTAAGACGCTGGTCCGCTCAACAGTCTCATCAGATAAAAGGTACCGACGATGGCCAGAGGGTCTGAAGTGTGAATTGCAAGAGCTCATTCCAAAGAAGGCTGAGGGGATGCGGGTATTACATCACCAATGTATGTGCTACTGTAGCTTACTAGCATGCAGGTTCTGCTGGGCTGTATGCCAACTGGACATTCTGAAACGACTAAAGCCTAATGGTCCCACCTTCAAGGCGGCCCTTTCGAACCTCCCAAAGACTCTTTATGAAACGTGCGAGCGTGTTCTTCTCGCAATACCCGAGGATGGTTGGCTGTCGGTGCAGCAAGTTTTCAACTGGCTCATGTACCACAATGACCTATTCGGAACCAACATTGCTCTCGGCACACTAGTCCAAGCTGTCCAGCAAATTACCTTGGATCCTTTTCCCCAATACATCAATCTATGGTACGATTTTGAAAGCTTGCGTGAGTGTTGTGGTTGCCTTATCATGGTTGGGCAAGAAGAAACGCGTAGCGAAGGGTACCAGCGGAATACGGTCGCTTTTGCACACTATACTGTCAAAGAGTACCTAGAGTCGCCTCCCATCCGTCAAAAGAAAGTTGGATTCTTTGCTCTTGGGCAGGAAAGATTACGAGACAAGTTCGCGGAGATCGCACTCCGTCAAGCATTGGCTATAACAGACTACTGGAAAGCTTCGAATTTTGACCACAGTGATCCTGGATGCAGATTTCAAGCTGTATTGTGGCGTTTCTTCTGCGCTGCAGCTCAGCCTCTGGCCCGAGTCTATCTCTTCGGATCCGAATTTGATGGAGCTCAGTGAAGAACTCGTCAGCCCTTATAAGTCGAACTATGGGATCCTTTGTGATCTGCTTTCCATGGCAGACCTGCAATCTTTGCTGAGTTGTATGTTAAATACCAGTTCTGGGACATTTCCTACAAGCAAACACCGGAACCCCACGCCGCGGTTTTCTTGAACTTGCTTACTGCAGCAGGCGGTTGTAATGAACCTCACCTTGCGGTCGCCTTCGCAAGGAGACATTCCACGCTAGCAGTCCTTAAACAACCACTTGATATTTGAAAGACTCTCGTTCTTCTGTTGAACCTAGACGATGACACCTACAAATTTATAGGGTGTTTTCCAGAATTGGTTGCACAGTGGGCAGCGAGACAGCCAGCCACCTTCTCTCTCATTCTTAACTTGATGTCAGACTTCTAAATAACCTATATTGATCTCTAGGCCCTCCTGCAATTATACATCGGCAGTCACATCCATCACGATTGCATGGGATCTTGTACAGTTGCGGGGTTGCTGCGCTCAGGAGCATGCGCCAACGGTCCAAATGGAGCTTTTGTAACCCCTCTTCAGATCACTGTATTATGCTGGGATCTTATCGGCGTCGAAGCGCTTTTGAGTGCAGGCGCAGATCCTAATGCCCTCGGGGGCATTTGGCCAGCTTGGGCACCAAGATCGCTCATGGCAGCACGATTCAACCACCTCCATGGGGTCAACCCACTCCACATCATCAGAAGCTTTGGTGGCAATTATATAGGTTTTCATGAGATAATCACTGGTATTGAGGATATCATTCGCGAAAAGATAGAGGCACGATTGTTGGAAGCTGGCGCAGTGGAAATCAGGCCGATGGGCTCCGAGGAAGGCTCCAACAACGTTCCTGATTTCCTTCAGAATGAGTCAGAAAATCTATTAGGCAGATCTTTAGTATAGCCAACTTAATGTAACGAGATGATGTCATTAGAGAGGCGGAGCTAGGGTGCTATAACCTCCACTCATCATGCAACGCTTGCAGATGATCATTCTGCTATACACTCGCACGATTGTAGCTTGATGATCTATCGTGCTTGTTCCCACAGCCTACTAGGTTTCAGTTTTTACTGTCGATCCCTGTGCACCGACACGCGTAATTGCGAACCATTTTGCTTCTGTCCTCAAGACCTCAATACACCTTGGTACCCTGCCCGAGAAAACGTCTTTGGTGATGATTATCATAATGGATACAAGGAGATAGATGAAGGAGTAAAATCGAATGCCTGCCTAGGTCTTGCTCTCTTTTGGCGGAATTTCTGGTACCAAATGTTTATGACACCAATGCCCTCGCTATGTCGAACGCTTCTAAAGGTGTCCACACCCACAAGTCAATTATCAGGAAGGTACTGAGTGGATGAACGAATCAGTTTGGATTATAGTGTTCTCCGCTGACTTACGGCTGCAAGTTCGATTCTTGCCTGTAGCAGCGAGGAGAATTGAGCAGCCGGAATGAACTGCGAAGGACGTCACTGCTCCGAACTTTTAGATGTTTTCATCTAATAACACACTTGATAATCCACGTGAGGACGGAGACTAGAGGTCAATAAGATTTATTATAGCATATTGCAAGATGTTAACCAAGATTGAGTCTCCTCACTTGATGTCGAATGTTTGGCCGACTCAGGTCCCTTATTTCAATGGCCAAAAGTTTGACCCTTGGCAACCGTCTTGTAGGGACAAGCTTTCCAATCGCACGTTTCCTGCGTGTCGTCAGTATCTCGACCCAAAATTAACATTGACGACGTGCGCACCTTGTACACCTCTGTGCCCCACCAAGCCAGTTTATCAGCTGCACTTGTCCAGAAAACAGCGAAAAAAATAATAACTGCGGCGATGGCGACAGAGCTGTCCAACGCCGCACTCAGCACAAAATTATGCTGCTTCCACCACGCGGGATGCCTTCGCTTGACGTAGACACCAACTACAAGCCCGACAGCCGCCCAGCTCCCATAATTTGTCCCCGATGCAGGAGGCAGATAGTTTAGCCCGCCAAGCAGCAGCGGTACGTGCACATGTTTCCAGAAGCTCGCCGGATAGCGGCGTTTGAGGAGGTATACTAGCACTGGGAGGGCCAGCCCGAGGACGAAGAAGTAGAGGAGACTATGGTATGTCGCATCAGGTGAGAAAAAGCGGCGAGGACCCACAGCGCCCCAGATAGTGCTGGTATTGAAGTGTGTTCGCGAGAAGGGGCAGGTGAACCCGTTGGGCGCATTGGCGGTGCAGACATCTTTGATGTTCGTAAGAGCCCAGTTAAGGACGCCGACTTGGGAGAGGGTCGCGATGCAGAGCGCTGTAAGTTGGACGGTGAAGAGGTCGCGTGGGGGAATCTGAAGGATGTGTGAGTTTACAAAGCGCTGGGCTGAAGAATAGGGGAAAACTTACGCCGCAGTAATAGCCTAGCTTGAAGTCTTGTGAGAACTGTAATGCTTTGATGCCGGAAATGTAGCCGAGGTTGAAGAACCAGACGTTGGCTAGCACGCGGCCCTCCCAGATGTAGCCGGCGATGATACGGCAGAAGATGTCGATGTTGATTCTGAGATTCGTGGTGCCGTAGATGATGCAGAGCTGGCGTGTCGTTATTTTTCGGTGGAAAGTTACAGGTGCATACTGGGACGTACGGGTATGAAGAATACAGTTGATATGGCGAAGGCTAGAAGCACACCATACCACGGCAGTTGCACTTTCCAGTACTCGCAAGAGAAGATGGCGAGAGTTATGGAGATAAGTGCAGTGATCCAGTACCACCATGTTGGAGCCGGGGGACATGCAAGCGGCTGCCCCCGTTCGATTTGCATGGGGCTGTGCTCGAGCGTCATTCTGATTGATCTCCATCCTGATCTCAAGCCATGGAAGACCTGATCGCGCTTTTCGAGCGCAATCCATACGAAGAGTGAGAGTACTGTGGCGAAGGCCAGGCCGAATTGGTTCAAGGCATACGTTACGGGAAGATAGATCTACCGAGCAATATTAGCAGGAGCCTAGTGGCATTCATCGTATGAGTTTACCGGGGAATAATTCGCATATTTGACCGGATCGAGTTGATATTCGTCTTGCTTATTGATAATCCTACTGACATTGTAAGTTCGCCCGGTGTTGTCAAACACAGAGTTGCTCTGAATAGGAAGGTAAGCGGAATTCCAAGTGTTGGTGTAGTAGAGCGCAGGCGACACAATATAGACCCAGATCACCAAGGCTGCAAGGACATTGGAAATCGCCCAAGTCGGGACCACAAGTGGTGAGCCAATGTAGGCTATCTGGGACCCTGGACATGGTCAATCTTAACCCCAGGGTTTGGCAATATACTCACAATCGAAAGTGACTGGCAAGAGCCCAAGTCCGTTCTTCATACCAAAGAGCTGATTGACGACATTGTTCTTTGGTGCCGCCCAACACACAAAGGTGAAATACCCCAGTGCCGGAAAGATGAAGTCTGGGAACCAGTACCAGCAGAAGGAGGCCGCGAAGGCCACGACGAAGAACGAGTATCTCGAGGAACACCACAGAGGTTTGGAGTCTTCCTGTCGTTGTTTACCTCCATGCAGAACATCGTTCAACGCAGTATTAGCGAAGACGCCAGGGTACACCATAGCTGGCGGGTCCACAACGACGGTCTTACAAATCCCAGCAATCGAGAACCCGAACAGTATCGTCGCAAGCGTGATGAGCATCTCAAATCCCCAGCCAGTCTTGTAGCCGAAGAAGATGCGCTGTTCCGTGAGTACATCAGCACTGAGGCGAGTCAAAAAGCTGAGGTTGGCCATGATGTAGATGAGTATGTTCTCCTACAACACCTTTTCAGCCACGTCTTGAACCTAGTTCCAGGTGTAGTACCTTCTTGTTGAATCGGCCTGGGTTCAATCTCCACCGCAGTATTGGCAACGTCCAATCCGGCATGGCCAATTCCCAGGCTTTGCCTATCGGAAATGCTAGAAATTGTACAGCCGATTGTGTAAGAGAGATGGACGGGAAGCGAAGCGTGTACAAAGTATTGAGACCGCAGCCTAGGAGTGTGAAGAAGATACCTATCGTCCACATTCGAATAGTCAAGCATGGTAGATGGGAATCGTCCGTACTCAGATCGATACCAGCTGCGGAGAGCACTTCACTGGCAACATCGCTTTGACCGACAGGTTTTGATACTGACGAGTTTAATTCAATTTTGATCTTAATAAATTGATTGCATCATACTGACTCTGATGTGCCCCCTGGCTAGAAGTACAATCGTCTCCCATGCTCTGTTCTGGAACCTTTAGATGCTCGGGCATGGTTCGCCAACAACACGCAATCAGATAAGATGAGAATGTGGCTAAACAGATTGATAAGATTGTGGGTCGAAGCTTGGCTTTTGTAAAGCGTGACGGAACGCCGGCACGCTAGGCGCCGAAGATTCTGATCCGTAATCCGCATCTCGGAGGCTAGTGACGCGTTGTGGTGCGAAGACATAGTAGAGCGGAGCACCGCAGTCTTCTGATACACGTCTATGGGGTATGACGGTTGTTTAAGGAGGGAATACTGAAATAGACAAAGCCAAGTACCATGGACGTGGTATTATTAGCGCCACTGCATGCGGAGTAGCGTGGGGTCTCATCTGGAACAACTTCAGACGATCCCTAAACCCAGCCTCACCTCCACAAAAATACACACGACGACAAAGCCGTCACAATGCGCTTCCACCTGCTCCCAGCACCTATCGCGACACTCACATTATCTTTCCTTGCCTCGTCGCCATGCATCAACGCACAATTTACGTTTCCTCCGCCGCTAAACGGATCCATATCAGACTATACCTCTGGCAAAGCCACAGCTACAATGAATTTCTCGGCCGGGGATAGCATGTTTGGGGGTTGGAGTACGCCCGGAAGCCTCATGTCATTCCTGGTGTATCGTTGCACTGGATCCACGGAGGCAGGCTCAACGATCAAGCCCTTGAACAGCGACTTCAACTCGACGGTAGGCCATCTCGCGCCTGACAAGACGTGGGAGCAGATGCCGCTCTACAGTAGCGCGGCGGATATGTTCGGCAATGGGTTCAACCCTGGGCGCAATCCTATATGGTTTCATGGGGACTTCTTTGCAAACAATAAGACGACCGGGGACCTGTGTTGGTTTGAGTTGTGCGTCCCCTCATATATGTGATCGCACCAGTGCTCACAGCTGACCCTTCGGATGCAGATACCCCGGAAGCGACACCTACGGCGTCTCCAAGGACGGCACCCCCGAACGCGTAGCCACTGTCAACGGCGACGGTGATTGGTACTTCGCAACCGAGCCGTTCACCGTGCACCCCGCGCGACCGAATAACCTGACCGTGACGTGGAAGTCGAGCGGTCCGAAGCCGGATCTCATGAAGAACCACACTGAGGCGTACTGGGCGGACTTCTACAGGGAGTTTCCGAACTTGAAGCAGTCGTCGGGTTCGGGGCCGGGCGGGGAAAGCGGGGCGTACAGCGCGATACTTCAAGGATCCAGCTGGATGGGTCTCCTTGCGATGGTTTTGGCCATTGCTCTATGAGGTAGATGTTTTTTTGGGTGCAGGGAACGAGAGTGAGGATATTGGTTGGATATTGATGTATTTGGTTGCGATATATACCCCAGCATTGCAGATCTAATGCCTGAACGTGCGAGCCATGCCCCCCCAGATGAGAGCTTGTGAAAACCATCGCTTCAACGATCATCGCCGCATGTAGCTGGCATAAGTCAGGGACCTCGAGAAGACCCACGTCCTGGGATGTCACTTCGACCTAGCAGGATCTCGACGCCAAGGACTTGAACTCACTTTCCTCCATCAAGTTCAAATTGTCCGCTTCCGTCACCTATACCGTTTTTCCGTTGAACACATTTATCTGCAACACGTTCGTTCCCTACCATGAACATGGAACAGTTCAAAGAAAGCTTGCAATCGGGAAGAGTGAGGCATCCCGAAAGTGTCCCATTAGCTTGGTAATTGCCTAAGCCTATCAAAATGTTTCTGTCCCCTTGTCTAGTAGAGGAGAAGGTGCGACACATCGCCATTGTACTCTTTCAGTGTTGTGCCGCCTTGGAAAAAATTGTACGTTGTTACGAAGAAAGAATTCGAAATCGATGGATAAATGGCTTCTACTCGTTCTCAGCCACGCTTCACCAAACCATTCATTTAAAAATATATAAACAAAAGATCTTATTAAAACTGTACGATTTAATAACTTCGCCAGGTGCAGACCCGGCTTCTCTTGTGGTGGCCCGACACACCACTGGCAGTCCAACACGCGTCCGGGTGAGGGTGCAAGCGCAGAATATCCCGTCCAGCGCCTGCCGTGTGATTATAAAGCCTCTCACCCACTCGCTGTCGGCGATTCAAATTTTCCAATGTCCGCCATGAAGCCATCCCCCAAGCACGAAAGCGCCCTGCAGTTTACTCACGGAACTCATGAACCACACGGAGGAGAGCAACTCCTGAATCTTCCCATCGAATGGTTTCAACATATAGTTCACGATGCAGTCAGCGCTTACGGCGAAGAAGAAGCCTTGAAGGCTCCGTGACTACTCTCCATCTGCCGTATGTTGGATTTTCCTGCCTGCACGGGTGCTTACTAGCAGAGCTAGGCACGTTTGCCCACGAGATCGAACACGATATCTTCACCCAACAAACCCCAAATTTCATTTACCACCTCTTCAAGATGTCTTTCAGCCAGTTCTAATTCAGCGGACTGCGTTGCCGCCAAGGGACATGCTGATGCCCAATCCAATGACAAGTACACAGAAGCTTTATACAAGATTGTAGTGTATTATAGCCATCCATGTTGGCGAGAGGAGTGCGCTCCAGTCATCGACATCCCCACTTTTTGTCAGAACCCTCGTAGTCAAGTCCGAATTGTGCACGAGGGATGCTGAGAGAAAGTCACCACAAGGATGAAGGTTGCTGCTGCTGCGTCCGTGGGTGATGCCGAGCTTGTCGCTGATCTTTTGCCTCGAGCTGACTTCGCCGAATACAGGAGCTGGCGTCCATACTATTCTAGGCTTGCTCTACTAGTGGGTGATGCAACAGACGATATACAAGCATGCAGGATCCCGATGTGGGCTCGACTTACTTGTTCCACGACTTCTATACACTTCTAAATGTGGCTATCAAGCACGCATCCAAGAAACGCGTCTCGACTATACTGCAAGCCGGCGCGTCACCAAATGGCGCGGGTAGGTATTACCAGAATCTAATGATACTGGCTGGAAATAAAGGAAGATGGGCTATAGTTGATCTCCTGATCACATATGGTGCAGATATAGCACAAGCTGAGTGGCAAGGCCGACTCGAGCTTGGAATGGTCCGCGGTTGGCTGTCAGATTCGAGGGGGATGACGAAAGCGAATACGAGTTCTACGAGAGTGAAGACGGGTGAAGATGACGAAGCCGACAACAATAAGACTGGCAACATCCCTTGAGGAAAAAACTTGGAGGAGGCGACGACGACGATGTGGGGACAGGGCAAGCAAGTGTGCGGTCTCCTCTATCAGGATTGCTGAAAAGGCGTATTTGTTTGTAAACTGTGTCAGCAGGCCACCCACGTCTTGTTTGCGGTGCCGGTCTGATGTACTACCCGATTCAAGGCCACTATACAATAGCAACCGGAATTTGCTCGTTCTCTCCATGCCCATTCTCCTGTGCCCATTCTCCTGTGCCCATAAGCCATTTGCCCCTCATCCCAAAGACTCGACTTCCCATCCACCCCCTAACACCCCCCTCTAGCCATATCTCCGCGGCTTTCCCACAAACCAGCTGACCACCGACGTTCTACCCAGCACCCCTCCCCTTCCAGCCAGAGTCCGTCGCACTCGTATCCACCGATATTCTTTTGCGTGAAGGAACAGGCATGCCTTGGGAATGAAAGGAAAAGGCCCGATGCACTGGGTGACATGCCACCAATCGACAATGCCACGCTCTAATGGGGATGTAAAGACTGGAGTAGCGCTACGGCCTGGGTCAGGCAGATGAGTAACACTTCACCCTGGAGTAAGTTAGGATCTATGCGAGATTAAAGTCCGAACACGACAGTGCATCACCGGTGCTCACGAGGGTAGGATAGAGTATCCGTAGGAAAGTCTTGTCATGACTTCATTCTCGGCTGCACTGAAATGCAGCAAGTGCGTCCACGCACAACCGTGCCACCGCATCCCGTGTCTCCATCCAACATCTAGGGAATCCAAAGCAGACATCACCAGTGAAACCCGTCCGTAAACGCCACGCTGAACCAAGCCCTTCAGCCCAACCCTCGACCCGCATATGCATGCATCAAACGCTTCCCCTCAGCCTCCTCTCCAGCTCATCCGCCACGCCCCCCCTCTGCACCTCCTCGTACCCCGGCGGCGGCTCTGACGGTGGTTCCTGGAAACCCTCCTGCCTCGGGCTGCCCATTGGACTACTCCTGTTCGCCGTGCTGCCTGTACCTTGTGTCCCCACGCTACCCCTCCCCAACGGCGGACTCGGTAGATTGTCCGGCACCCTCACGCTCGCGCCACGCTCCTCATAGGCGGGCAAATCCTCCAGATGCACACCACTCAGATTGACCCCGGCCAACGCACCCCCGCCCCTGCCGTCTCCTTCGACCCCGTCGCCCGCGGATCCCACCGACGCAGCGACATCGACAGCGTGCCGCAGCCGCTCGCGGAGCCGCTCGAAGGTGGTGGCGAAGTCGAAGGCGCCGCCCTCCTTGAACTCCATTACGAGTTCGAGCGCAGAGTGCGAGGCGGGGATGCCGCCGTTGTAGACGGGGGTGATGGCGGCTTCCCATTTGTTTGCGCCGAACCAGGGGGCGGTGACGCGGGAGTCGGAGACGTTGAGAATGGGGACGGCGAAGGAGGTGAAGGTGGGAGTAGGGGAGACGGGAAGATAGATTATCTGTCGGTCGACTGTGTCAGCACTTGTCTCCAGAACTCGCCGGGAAAGGGAGGATTGTAGACATACCCTCCGATTCGTAAGATATATAACGCCCGACTTGCACTGCAGACTGTACGCCTCGGCGGGTGTGTTCCGGCTCGGGCTCTGCAGGCTGAGCGTGGTGCGCGGCGGGCTCTGGTACAGCGTCGTCTCGCCGGGAAGGGGTGTGTACCCGCTGCCCTCAGCGAGCATAACCCAGCTGTTGTTGCGGTTAGACGGCTTCTTCTTGTGCTTGTAGGATCCCATGGTGGCTCGGGGTGTGCCTGCGCGCTGCGGCCATGGGCGCGGGCGCAAGACGGGCGGTGCGGTCCAACACCAGCGGGTAGAGCTGGGGAGGTGGTTCGTGGGCTGGGAGGGGGAGGGGATGCGGTGCAGCACCCAACGACAGCGGCAGGAAGGAAAGGCAGAGCAAGAAGGGGATAACAGCGCACTCACTTTACTGACATAGTTGCTCCGTTTCGCCTCGGGCTCCGTGCTTGTCCACCTGGGACGCCGCCTCAGCACTCGCGCCCAAGGGCCTACGGTTCTTCCCCTCTCCGCGGTGTCTTGGTTGCGCTGGAAGCGTACTAGACCGTTCGGCCCCTCGCCCTGGTGTGTCTAGACTGCGGGCCGGGCGCCGCGCCGAAACCACCCTGCGAGTCACTTTCGCTGGCCGCCAACTGCCCCGCTGCCGAGTGGCTGCTTGCTTGCGCGTCTGGGTATTCGGTGGGTCGCGCGGGTGCGTCGCTACTCGCGGGTTGCGCGCAGTCGACCAGTTCGCTGTGGGAACGGGCGTGGAGAAGAAATGGTGGGAACGAGATGCCGTGCGTGGGCGTGATCCGGGTGGCAGTATGATATGCACTGCGCATGTAGGCACGTATGTTTGTAGGATAGGAGCGTGGGGGATCGCCCGCACATAAAGGTGCATTGTTTGGCGCGTGCGTCATTCAGTCGGCAGTGCCCTCCCAAAGGCTGCGACTGCGATGCGAGGGATTATTCACGATACGAACGGACCAAGTCGGCGGACGTCTGCTGAACTGCGACTACTACATTGCTACATTGCGACGCTTATACAATTTCCAGATCAAGACACCATGATTACAGCATCACTCTTCGCCGGCCTTCTTCCAGATACCAGACACCCGCGCCAGGACATGGCCCTTCCCAAGCGTATCGATCCATGAGCCCGCGAGTCCTACAAACTCCCACACCGTCCCATCGCCTCGGTTTGGCGGCTCGTTGACCACATGAACCAGGCCCTGCGGCTCCTTGCCCTCCCATTGCTTCCATCTCAGTCGCTCCGTTTGCTGCCCGTCAATCTGATCGAAGAATGTCAACCCAGCGATGTAACCTGATCCCGGAATGTACGCAATCTCAATCTTCGTAATGTCGACACCGCCGATGTCAAGGGCCTTGAAGTCTGATGCGTTGTCCGAGGAGTGCAAGTGACCGAGATGGTGGTTGCATCCATCGCCTTCAGCCTCGCCGGGGTTGTCGTGCACGCGAGCAAGACCAATGGCGCCGATGGCGTTCTCCGCTTGCTTGAGTGCTGTCGTGGACATCCAGCTTTTGAGCGATGAGAGACTGTACCGGTGGAGCGCGATCCGACGAAGCGGGTTCGCACCTCGTGAACCATGCGGCTCAGTAAGCTCCAGAGAAGAGAAGTCCTCGTATTTCCCCCCCATTCCGTATTTCTGGCGAAAATCGTCTGCACTGACTTTTGGATCGCCCACCATGTCAGGCTCGAACCAAATGTTGTCCTCCCGGACGTAGGCGGCGGTTTTCAGGTAGGCTCCGTCATTAGACAGGTCAGAAACGATGCTATTGTGGATGGGGATGGGAAGTCGCTCCTTCAAGACTTCCGGATAGGCGTAGTTGGGACGCTTCATCCGTGTTGATTTCGTCTTGGGGTCGTACTGCGCATACGCTAGATGAGGGTGGTCCACCAGTCGAGACGCTTCTTCCGTGATCAGTGTCATCGCTTCTCGGCATAGCAGTCGAGCTTCGTTCAGCGCAAGAGGCTCAGGCGGGATCGGATCTTGACGTGCGTTATTTTCCAGAAGATTCCAGCCGGTATGGCCTTCCTCGACGGCGAAGGTGAAGGCACGCTCCATCCCCAGCGCATCCTGGCTCTTGTTCTGGCAGGGCGAATCATCGCTAGCGACAGGACTGACGAGGAGGGCCTGCTTCGACGCATCCCTAGTCAGAAGGGGCGAGAGGTTCTTGGGCGGCGTTTTTAGACTGCACAAAGTCAGCTGGAATTGGAAGTCCACCCAGGTGTACTTACTCTGCCCTAGACGGGACTCTCCTAAGTGTTCTCGGTACCTTCTTCATCTTGTACTGCGACGGATTCTGCAGCATCTCCCCGATTTTCTTCCACAGCTTCTTGTAGATCATAAGTGCATCAAACAGCTCTGCTGTATAGATCGCGCAAGGCACGTAGTTCAGGACGATGACCGGCTCCTCATACAGCTCCTTCCCACTTTTGTTATTCTCACCACCCTTCTGGTTCCTCGGATCACTGTCCCAGATTCTTCTCTCTTCTATCAACCTGGTCCATTTCCAAGTCTGGAACGATCTCAAGGATGTGTAGCGGGTAAGTATAGCTTGAGTGCGGGCACTCGAGCGCGCAACCATAGAGGGGAAGGCATTGGCAACGGCCACGACGCTCTGGATCGTCCATGGTACGGTGGGCTTCTTGATTTCGCCACCGCCAACCCAGTTCACGGATATGGAGATCTCAGTATTCTTTAGCGCTTCACTATGTTCCTTTGCAATGGCTTCGCTGGCGCCAATCTCGAGCGTAGGGGGACCGACAGCGAGCTGCACGTCGACGGCTTGCTTAACCGAACGGTACTTGCTCTTGTCATTCAACTTGATGGAGATAACAGCATTGAACTCTCCGCCTTCAGTGAACCCCGATATAAATGAGTCGCCATATACTTCAGTAAAGCGGTTCAACGGTAGCCCGGGTATATCCTGGAATTCCATATCCTCTATCGGTGACTGCGCGTCGTTGTTGACCATCACACTGACGACGTAGTTCAGCTCGCTGTCGAGGACTTTGTTCTCGTTCACGAAGGACGCGTTGCCGTTGCCGTGGATGGTACCGTATTTGATGCTCATCGACGTCGAGATGTTCAACGCGTCCATAATATCGCTCACATTCTCGATCGCGCGGGTAGAGTAGGTGACGCTCTGGCTTGTCTTTGGCGCCGGTCCAGCTGGAATCTCGAACGGTAGCTCCCCGGTAGGGGCAGTGACTACGTCTAATGCACTACCTAAATCAGGCGTGGGTGGTGGAGAAGGCGTCGCTGCTCTGGGTATCTCGTGTGATTCTGGCTGCTGGACTCCGTTGATTACCACGGCGGGAACCTCGCTGAGTGTATGTGCGGTGACGGACGCATCTGGAGTTACTGGTGGCGACAGAGGGATCGCTCCACTCGAAGGGAGTGGGAGGTCGCGGCTGACTTTCTTTACAGGATTTGATTTTCCCACGACGACCGCATTTTCGAGACGGATCTCTTGGGTATACGTGTTGAAGCCTTGCCCAATGCGCATGGCATTGGTGTAGGGCGCCGAGAGCGACATAATCGAGTGCGAGGAAAGAAAGACGCCGATTCGAAGAAGTGTGGCGACGGATTGTGCGTCGAATTATAGCGTACTGGGTGTACAACCAATGTAAGTGGGTGTGGTTCTCAATTTGGGGAGAAGAAGACGCTGCAGGTAAAGCTCTAAATGTCGATCAATTCAACGTGCAATATGTCCAAGTAGGAAAGAGCGACACATGGACCCTAACACTGTCGTCCTCCATCATTTTATTATACCAGACCCCGCCGCAGGTAACCGCCAGGCTGCCTTTCTGCCGTCTCACCCTTGCCTGCGAGTACTGTGCCTCATGCTGATGGTGGGTCGTACCTCACAGCCATTCATCTGACCCCAATCCAATTAGGGCCACCGGCCGTTCATGTCACAGTGCGCACGGCGCAGCTGCGCCCCTCGTACGCCCGACGGTGCTACATGGATAGGTACTGCGAACACCATTTGTTGCCTCAAGCAGGCATGCACCGGCGCCGATGCTTACGGGTGTGGCGCTGAACGGGGGAGCTGATGGCAGGAGCGAGGGGATTAGTGTACCGGTATGCTCGGAATAGTGAGGTTACTACTTTAGTACTTAGGCTACTTCGGCCTCCAGGCACAAGGTTGGCTGAGCTCAAGTTATATGGAGGCTGGCGGTATTATGAGAGGTCAGCCAAGGGAGTATGGGAACGAGCAACGAGCAAAAGATGGTGTGCGGATGTGCACGTGGAAGGGCTGCGGCTGAAAGGTGACAGGTGGAGTCGGAGATGTCTGCGGGGGCCAAACTGGGGAGAGGTCAGCGTCTTAAGATGCAAGCTAGACGGTTTTCGGGCAATGCTTATGCGTGCTTTGACTTCACTCACCATGTAAGAGGAGTTGCAAGAAAAAAACAATAGAAGCTCGATAATCCATAAATCATTGCATTAATCGTGACGACACTCGGCAGTACGTGTAATGAAGTTCTAGAACCAGCTCATACATTCACGATAAAGCATTTTTTGGTGTATCAATCGTTCATGCCCGTGCTCGTGAGAAAGTTGATCCTCTTCTCCATGTTATCAGTACCGTACCCGTTCTTCGAGTAATGGGATCTCCGGCTTCTGCCCTTCGCTGACGCCATTGTAATCCATTTCTGCCTTCTCTCTAGACCAACGTGCCGCCTCTTCTCATAGTCTAGTATCGTCCCATGATTCGGTGCCGGACTGACGGTCCAGGGCATTGTTCGAGTGTGTGCTCACTGCGCATCGGCCGAAAACTGCCTCGACGGTTGCGCGGTAAGTGGCAGCGGTACTAGTAGAGGCGCCAACAGCGGTGCGCGAGGGCTTGTTTGTGAGACAAGGGTCGCGGAACCGAGGAAGTACTTCCGCTCGTCGGCAGACGCGGATGAGGTTGTGGAGCCGGTGGACTCTTCGTGTCTGAGGCGTGCGACAGGGGAGAGCATTGCGATATAGTCGTGCGAAGAGTCAATGCGAAGGGTGTAGAGGTTCGCGAGACTCAGGTGGAGTGAGGATCGGGAAGTGTCTTGCGGCCCTGGCGGTTATGATTATTGGGTTGAGTGGTGAGAGTAATACGGCTTGCAGCGATTTGGTCACGTAAGATGTCGATGCTGGCTTTTGTTGTTGATTGCGAAGATACTGGGAGCGAAGCAGGAATAATATAATCTATAGCCTGAGCCAGTAGCTATGATGACAGAGCGTGTAATTGGCCGTATCTGTCGCCCGAGGTGTGCCCTACGTATGGTGGTGAGCGCCGTCCATCCGCTAAGTCCGCGCTTGCGATCAGCAAACCCTGCATACGTCATTTTTAGGATCCGTGGAAATGGTAATTAATGCAACAGATTAGCGAGCACCCTATTTATTGTTGTAAATCATGGCGACAACTGCGTTCGCGAGTCGTCCCTGTGCGGTCGTTGCACGACAAAACCAGCCACAACACCACGCTAAAATACATATAACCAGACTCCGTCATTATCTTCGTCGTGACTCTAATTGGGGCTCCAGAGGCCGTTCCCCTTCTTTCCGCCAGTCACCTCGAGCACACGTAGCTGTCCTTTACCGAGGTCATAGATCATACCGTGTAGTGTGAGATTACGCTCAGAAGCAGCCTTCTTCACAGCAGGATGCTGCTTGAGCACGTCGATGGCCTGGAGAACATTGAGCTCTGCGACCCGGACAGCTCGGGCGTCGTTGTCCGGCAGCTTCTCTAGCTCGGCCTTGTGCTTGCGCCGGAGCCTAGCGGACCGTCAGCTGCGCCTTTACCCATGACTTCGCGCGAACTTCAACATTGGGGCCTACGTACTCTCGCACAGGGTGTAGCCATGTGTTCAGCGTCGTTCCCAAGTCGGCGTCGCTGAGAGACGCAATGGCTCCGCCGCATTTGGTGTGCCCGCACACGACCACCTTCTTTACCCTGAGATGCGTGACGGCATACTCAACGACCGAGGCGGCACTAACGTCGTCCGGATGTACGCAATTCGCAATATTGCGGTGCACGAATATGTCGCCGGGCATGCAGTCACAGACGGTCGTCTCCGGGATGCGGCTGTCAGCGCAGCCTACCCACAGGATCTCGGGCCACTGGCCCTTTGTGAGCTCGAGGAATGCATTCGGATTTGCCTCGGATGTTTTCTGTGCGAACACGCGATTTCCGGCTACGATGCGGTCGATTGGGTCTAAAATCAGGTGAGGTTTGCAGTTAGCTGGGGTCCAATCCCTACACAACGGCTTGGCCTGGGGATTTACAGTGGGGATGTAACGCAGCGGGCCGTGTCGATGTATAAGATGCGCGTTGGCCGCTTGAGTGCTGCGCTTCTCTTGACGACCGCTCTGACCCAAAGCTGCGTTGTCCGGACGTGTTTTGGATGACGCTCGAGAGACGTAAGGGAGATTGCTTACCTGCCAGTGCCGTCATTTTGAGGATAGCGTATAGGTCTATGCTTTGGTCTCGCCTGTGTCCTGCACAAGTGCCTCTTTTTCTAAGACTCTCGCAAGTACGTTTTTGGATGTTCTCGGTGTCCAGGAAGGGGGAAAAGAGAAGGGATGGCCAGATTGTATCCAAGGCGGTGCGGCGCCGTGGTGTCACTCGGCTGACAGTCGGGGCTGCATGCCGCCAGGACGCATTCACACTCTTGGAATGCCAAACCCGGATCGTTGCGTCTCAGCGGACCAAGACATAGATATGAAGCAGGAAAGACAGTATTTCTACGAGTGCGTGGGCCCGTTTCGATGCAGCCATAGGTTCGGCACCCTCCGATCCCCCCGAAGCGGCCGAAAGAGATCGTACCACTGCACTATTCCCCGCGTGTATGGCGTCTTCCAACGTCTACGCTCACGATTGTTACGGCAGTAGCGTGCAATAGCTGGTCTCGTCATACGCCGTGGCAGACATGGGTAGAGAGTCTGCGTTCCGCATTGTTCCAGCAGCTGCCGCGTACCCCCAGGGCTTTAGGGCGTCAATATCGTCCCGCATTCCGTTGACCCCGCTCATCCTTGGCCCCCTCGAAGCTGACGATGTTATCTGATTGAACTACGGCGTTCGCTTGCGTTTCCGCGGACTTATTGTTGGATGGATTTCGTGGGCTCCACTGAATGAATGTCCGTGGCGACAGGGGCCTGTAGCGAGAAGCATCGTGAGGCCGTCTGACACCAAACATCGCAAATAAACTCGGAACAACACAAGGGCATCAAAGAGCGGTAGAAACCCATCGCTGTGCCAGTCACTCCGGCTTTCAGAAGATACTTTTGATAGCTCAATATAGGGTCGAGCCGGGACTATGTGCGCCAACGTTTTGTATATCACAAAAGGCGTATCACAAGCCGTGGCGGGACTTGGCGCCATCGTGCCTTCCCGTCTACGAGTGCCCCGTGATGGCGTTTTGGGGGAGAGTTGCGGCGCACGTACCTTCTCCCAGTAACACTGCCGTTACAGGCTCTTACACTGGCCCTCGCTTGTTGCTTACATTCAATGTTCCCTCTTTCACCATAGCATGCGTATACGGCATGCACTATTGCTTACAAGCTTTCGCGGATACCGCAGATCTTGTAAGCGGCATGCTTGATTTCAAAGAGCCAAGATGGCCGCGAAGACATTGAACAAAACCAAGCAAGGATAGTTTCCTCCTCAGCCGAGGCTCCATTGGCTCTTTTGCTCCTCCTCTGTAGGGCAAACGGACTGCAGTTTCGAATACTAAGGGTTGCGCCTTCCCCACGGTCCACCGCTACATCGAGCGGTCCGAATTCTGTCTCAATATCCTGATATCACGAGCAGCGCAGGATCTGCCGACAAGCGATGGGTGCTCTGCTAGCACCTTCGAGTATTTCCCAAGGTCTGATCCCTTCCTCTTCATTCTGCTCGCCAAGCACATAGAGTGGGAAAAAGTCTTTTGCAGCTCTCTATACGCCCGGTCGAATTAAGACGAATTGAGACGAACTGAGTAGCAACCATGTTGCCAGCCTCAACACGCTCGTCGAAAAGACCCTCGTTGTAGTACACATGCCGCCGGTAGATGCCCAAGGGTATATTAGACTTGGAAAGCGACAAGAGAAGTGCCAGAGAGAGCTCCGACTGCCAAGTGAGACACTATTTGTGCATTGTAATGTCGAGTAACCTGGTTGGGTGACAAGGCTTGGCAATCTGGGATTGCCTGTCCATCTGCCTTACCCAAGTCAGCCAAGAGGACTATGGGAAACAGTCCCATCGGAGGTTGCTTCTCGAAACGTTTCGATTCGTCGTTCGCTTGTTGTCCTTATCGTGCATCTGTTCAACTGTGTGCATGCCTCAATTTCGAATGCGTCGCAATACGTCTGTGCATCCAACGTCCCGAGGTTGGAAGCCAATATATCTTGAGTATGGCATTGTGGATGATGGGATGCTGTGATATCGAGATGTCGGTGATCTTGGCGATGTTCCCTCTGGAAACAGGAAACAAACCGCGCTACCGCGCGCTACTCATGCTGCCAACGCTCGTCATCGCGCGACGGACCATGGTCCGGCTCGTCCCTAGCACAATCCCAACCTCCGAACGCGACAGCATGCGTTCCCCCCCATCTCCGCCCGTATTACAACCCATGCTTGTCCCTGTCTGATACGATGACACCGCTCCTCAGGCGTCAGCTCATCGTCGTCCCCTTTTCTGTTCTTTTGGGGTTCCTGTTAGCGTCTTTAGGATTTAGGAACGGGCTAGACGAGACAGTTTTTGGAAATCCCTACGATACGGGTGGTGGATATAATGCACTGGGGAAGATCAAACCGCTGAGTAAGTGATGCCGCGACACGATGCGAATGCTGTGGATCGCTTCCGCGATGGAGCCCTACCTACTCTATTGCGACTATGTGAGGATCAGCTGGACGCGTGGAAAAATCATGCTAGTGAGAACTGCACCGACACTAAACGATGAATAGACACCAGCGTACGCGCTATTGATGGAGATCACAGGCGAAAAGAGGAGGTTGTTCCGGATGGTTTAAAGATCAAGGATCTTGCCGTTGCTGTGGAGAATCGGACGATGGGTGTAAGTCACACTGCAGCACTTGCCATGCACGAGAATTTAGTTCTGGATTGAGCAATGTGGCTGATGGTCGTAGTTCGGAAAGTTGTTTGTGGTGAATTTGCCGCAAAATGCGGACCGCAGAGATACCATGGTTCTTGCTTCTTCATTCAGCCGGATGAACGTGGACTGGGTCAATGGCTTGCCGGATGATCAAGTAAGCTATGCACCCAAGCTGTGATATGCCATGAAATACTGACACAAGCCTAGCCCGTTAGCGAGACATCACTTCGTCTTCAAGACCATGAGAAAGCGAGCGGACAATTAAAGCAAAATTGGAGAGCGCACATCAACGCTGTCCGCACTACCGTAGAGCTAGGTCTTTTTTCTGCCATCGTTCTTGAGGACGACCTTGACTGGGACATCCGCTTGAGAGAGCAAATGCATGCCATTGCTCTTTCAACACGAACGCTCACGCAACCACTTGCTTGGACAAACTCTACCAAGTACAAGCCCCCACCCATCGATATCCTTGTAGTCCCACTCACAATTTTGATCAGGCCTATATATGCCGATCCGTCATTCCCGGACCCATTACTGAGCAACAAAGTAACTGAAATCCCATTTGTAGGCCGTCCAGCCACGATTCAGCCGTCCATCTCCGCTTATGGTGATAACTGGGATGTGCTCTGGCTAGGACACTGCGGCATGCAAATGCCAACGCAACGGACACCCGACTTCTCGCAAGGCCGAGTTGTCCTCACCCCAGATCCGTTCGTTGCAGTCAAAGATACCATCAACCATGACAGCGACAGCTACCCAAACCAGACTCGCCTATTTCACCATACCTATGAGCCTATGTGCAGCCTTGCCTACGCCGTTTCTCAACGCGGTGCGCGTCGCATCTTGTACGAAGCGGTGGAGAGAAACGTTACTAAGGGATTTGACGTCATGCTGAGAGAGATGTGCGATGCCGCGCCAGACAGCCCTGCGAAGTTAACGTGCATTACTACGCAGCCTAGTTTGTTTTCTCGGTGGCGGGATGGCCGTAGCGAGCATGTGAGGTGGAGTGTGAGAATGAACATGGGGAAGTATGTTAGAGGAGACGAGCGGGAGTGGTTCGATCAATATCCCGAAAAAAGCGCATGATTCTCAAGTTCATTACTGACAGTTTTTCGAGCGCAACATATACATATACATTAATTCGATGTCATGTTCATAGCCTTGACCACCTTCTCAGCCAACACCTTCGCATCTCCCGGCCATCTCCCGCTAAAATACCGATACGTCTTATCTTCAACAACAAACGGCCTCGTCACATCAATACTGTTCTTGAACTGCTTCCCCTCATCCGCCAAACTCGCCTTAACCACCGCCGCAACACTATCCGTCCCTGCGCCATACGTCTTGTAATAGTCGCCCAAGAACAGCTTAGTCGCGCGATGCACGCTCGCCTCAAAGAAGTCAGGCAGCGACGTTGTCTCCACATCCCGCAATACACTCAAACCTTCGCCGGTCCGCGAATGCGCCAGCATCTGCACGCCATGGCACACCGCGGCGCAGAATTTTGGTCTGCCACTGCCGCGCTCCGACCGCTTCGTCAGTGGGAAGTATGACACCAGCAGCGCCTGTGCGCGCGGGCAGTCAAGCAGCTGGCGGATCCCCTTGTCGTGGCCGCCTGGCAGGAACACGAGATCAAAATCCTCCAGCGTGAATTTTGTATCTATCCACGCGCGGGGGTGCTGCCATGCCGCGCCAGACGCCATGGCGTTGTACTGCGCGATCGTGTCTTTGTCTGCGCCGAGGAAGGTTTGCGTCCAGCCGGTTAGCATACGCGTGTCGCAGGCGGGTATGGTGCCGTGTTGTGTCGCGATTGTGATAGTGTAGCCGGCCGTAGAAAAGGTATTGTACGGGACTGCGGTTTCTAGGGTGCGTTGGTGGGGCAGTAAGGTGGAAGGTTAGCAGGGGAGGAGGTTACCTGTTGGGTCGTGGCCGTAGTCTGCTAGTAGGAAGAGTACTTTTTTGGACATGATTGGGCCTCGATCGTACGAAGGCGTCTTGTATTGTGCACAGGGTGAGGATTGACGACGATGGATTGGCGCTACTGCGTCAGAAAGTTCCGTTGAGAGATAGACAACCAGATGGAGTTTCCTTAGAATGACCCGTTGGTATCTTAATACTGAATATACGGAAGCGAATGTTGACTCGTTTCCGTTCGTCGTCTCTCCTGGGTATCTGAGTATTGACCTGCGGGCATGGATTCCGGCCGTAACGATCATGCGGCCCCAAAACCGCACCACCGAGGCGAGATTTGCCTCAAGCGAGTCCTCTTTCGGCACTCTTAACAAGGGCTATCAGTCAACGTTGGACCGAGTGTGGCCATTTATCCCTCCAAACACACACACGGCTTGTTGATCAAGTATGCAAGCCGCTGACAGAATGACATTGTAGCTCAGCGAATATCACCTGCTTCTCAGCTCAGGATGAAATCGAAGCTAAGCCCGAGTTGTTCCATGATGCGCCGGCCAAACTGCCTGCCGACTATGAAGGTACAACTTGTTCACTTGGATATATAAACATCACCGCGATACGATGAGCACTCTGCGCTCCAAAAAGAACAATATCAACAGTAACTCTTACTTTAGAGACCCCCAAAGCAGTTAAAATCCATTAACCCAGTACTCACCGACGTACAACATCCTTCACCATGCCCATCCGCATCACAATCCTGATCAAGAAGCTCGACACAGTCTCAACGGAAGACTTCCATTCATACTGGGTAGCATAATCACCTCGTCGTCTATTCCCTTACCACACTAATCATATCCCCAGTCCACCAAACACCCCTCCATCTTCCTCAGCGTGCCGACAGCGCAAAAGCTCCTCCTCAGATACTCGCAATACCACATATCGCGGCCCCTTACGACTGCGCTACGAAAAGGCGCACACATGCCATGCCTCGAACCAGAGTTCGACGGTGCTGCGGAGTTCTTGGTGGAATCGCTTGAAGACTTTGGTGCGATTTTTGCGGACCCGATTTACGAGAGCGTTGTGGTTCCGGATGAGGAGAGCTTTTTGAAGAGGGGCGAGAGCATGGTATTTGTTGGGGAGGAGGAGATGAAGTGGGTTGATGGGAAGGCGGCGGAGGGGGTTGTGTTGAAGTAGCCTGGAAGGAGGAGGTTGATGCAGGGTGAGGGGAGGGCCGTCGTACGAATTGGTTATATCTTCTGTCGGCCCTGCAACATCCATCCCCTGGCTACCTATGTTCGTTCTGTACCATAATAGGAAGGAGTAATGCTTGGCGATGTCCACAATGTAAGCCGACATGACTCGCATGCATTACTAATGTCGATCGCGTGCAATCCGCCTAGGACACGGTAAGGGACACCACATGCACTGACTCTCAGATGCTTCTCATTTCGCTATCTTACATTTTCATATTTCAACATGGTTACCAGACTGAGAACAAACGTCCAGTTCATCGTCGTATCTGATCCCACAATTGCCAATGCGTTAGACTCCCAAGGGTCACTCCAGAAAGCTCGGTCACATGCTGCACGAGCAGCGCACGCACGTAAACGAATAGCACGGACAGCTGAATACAATGCACGCAAGCCAATTGAGGCCACATTGGCCTATCGCCAAGATCAACATGGAAACACCCGCGAGCTGGTAACAAGGCTGCAGCTGCAAACTGCGCCCAGCCCGCTCGGCATAATGTGTGCGGACCGTCGTGATCCCTTCAATAGCGTCGCAGCTCATCTGAGTCACATCGAGTACTTCTTACTAGATCACTGTACGACCCACGTCGATCGACTTCCCATTTACATGCAGCTCACGTTCCACTCAGATGCTCAAGTCGTCGTCCCCACCCTTAACATCCAATGCCGGAGCCTAAAAAACCTAGGTGAAAGCGCAGAGCGCATGTTACGAGAGTGGGTGCATCTGGCTCTCACAGATGCTGTAGTCCTGCAGGGCGTCCTTCTCGCTGCATGTCGTCATCTAATTGGGCGGGGGTATCAAGCGTGGAAGTTCGAAGAACTGGCTGCGGGGTACAAGGTCAGGTGTGTAAGGGATGTTATTGATGCCATCGAGAGCAAGGATATGGATATGGATGTCACGTTTGCTAAGATCTTCACGCTGGCGAATGATGAGGTATGAGCATCACTGCTAAATGGTAGAAGAAAGGAGCTTACGATGGGATAGATCTGGCTTGGGAATTTAGACATGTTCAGACGGTATGTAAGTTCCGTACAAGGGGTGGCTTCTTCTCGGCTAACTTTGCAGACATGCGGCAGGTGCAATCAAAATGGTCGTCCTCCACGGTGGGCCGGAACGTTTGGGCTTGAATGGGTACCTGAACAGCTTGTTCAAGATTGTGCTTGACAAGGACCATGCGCTACGGGGTGATCCCAGGGCATGTACCGGTTTTGACAGGATCAATCGAGGAGTATGTCTATCTGCCAATTAGCTAAGATACCGTACGAGAGAATCTATACTACCATGTAAGAGCTTCGGAATTATTGGTCGTGCCAAGATGTGCGCTTTCCTCATTTGTACACTTCATACACAATAGTCCTATATTGCACCTTTCTTTAGTCCGCCCCGCTTGCATGTCCAACAGCATTTGTAAGATTTTGTCGCCAAACCATGCGGATGTTCCCATTTATTTCGTCCGTTGCATATTGAGTTGGTTTAAATGTTCAGTTAAATAGTTCTATAGTTCCCGCCTAACTGCACAGCAAGGAGATCAAACGACGACACTTTCTTATTCGTCTCAGCACGCGCAACAGTATACGAACAAATAAATATGACTGAGCAAGACACCACTATCCCAAAGGGATCTTTGATCTTGATCACAGGTGTGAACGGCTTCGTCGCTTCGCACCTCGCCAAGCAATTCCTAGAGCGCGGTTACCGTAAGTTTACACTTATCCCATTCATTGCAATCTACGCTCTCCGCCCATACTCACACACACCACTAGGTGTCCGCGGTACCGTCCGCTCCCTCGACGCATCTTCCTGGCTTACCTCCCTCCTCAAAACCGACGCCTTTGAGCTCGCCCATGTCCCTTATTTTTCTGTCCCCACCGCCTTCGACGACGCCGTCAAAGGCGTCTCCGCAATCGCACACGTAGCAGCCGTCACGAGCGCGGACCCGGACCCGAACAACGTCATCCCGGTGAGCATTTCATGTGTAGTGAATCTGCTTGAGGCGGCGATGAAGGAGCCTTCCGTCCGCGAATTCGTGATCACGAGTTCGCTGGTCTCTGCTACGCTGCCTGTGCCGGGAAATACTACCAGAGTGGAGAGAGACACGTGGAACGAGATGGTTTTGGAGATGGCGTGGGCGCCGCCGCCTTATGAAGCTGAGAGGGGTGGGATTGTGTATGTAGTCCCTTCTACTAGTCACCAACGTATCTAAGGTAGGATGCACTTGGCTAATACAGCGAGTAGGTACGCAGCGAGCAAAGTCGCTACAGAGAAAGCTTTCTGGGACTTCGTCGAAAAGAGGAAACCGCACTTCACGGCCAACGCGATTCTCCCTCCCATGATCCTGGGCGAGCCGCTGCACAAATCCCACGCCGAGGTCAAGGCGGCGTACATCCGCCAGCTGATGACGGGCGACACTGCTTTCCTGGAGACGATGCCAGCAAGTAAGTCCACGCGTCGCCTGCTTGCTAGTACTTAAAGATGTACTTCCTGGAGACTGACTTCATCACTCAGCTGTCGCCGTCGACGTCAAAGACCTCGCCCTCCTCCATATCGCGGCCATTCTCGACCCCTCTATTCGCAACGTGCGCTTCAACACCTGGGCACACTTTTGCAACTACAACGACATGCTGCCCATCATGCGGGCCCAGCTTCCGGAGCGCAGGTTTATTGATGATATGCCTGGTCTGACGAAGCTGAGTTTGACAACGGATACAGAGCAGCAGGTGGAGCTGTTGAAGAAGTGGGGCACGAATGGGGGATGGGTGAATTTGAAGCAGACGGTGGAGGAGAATTTGATGCCATTGGCGGAGTGGGGATATTGACGGTGGAATAGATGAAGAGACGATGTGGCACTAAGCAAAGAGGAGAGGCTTGAAACATGGAGTAGGATTTTTCATAGTACATGAGAATTTTAGCTGCTGTTGTACAGAAAAGCTGCTCGCAAAAATGATGTTAACGGTCTCAAACCGCTTGCTAAGACGATGCTGTTACAGGACCTGCTTTGCTGAAGAACTGCAGGAACACCCGAGCCGTACAATCACCGTACACCAGACTCTCTAACTAATCTGACTGGGGGTATGCACACCTCTCCAATTCGCCCCTGATACAGCGAGTCTTCTTGATGACATGCACCTTCGACGGGCTCGCACAGACTTTCTCGCTGTCATCCTCGGTGTCCCTCTTGCGTTTCGGGCTTGCTGACGGAATGACAGCCTTGGGATCAATCTGGCGCTGCTCTTCGTCCTCGAGCTCATCCTCGGGCTCAGTGTCCAGCTCGGAAATTGAGGCGATGTCATCCAGCTCCAGAGTATCGTCGACGAAGCCTTCTCCATCCCACGTCGCGATTCTCTGCGTCCACTCCAGCACCTTCAACGGTTCCTGCAGCACCATCTTCTGCAATGCATACGCCTTGCTAGAATGCTCTTCACCCACAGGCATGTCGTCCTTGTCGAGGAACATGCGTATCCAGTGCGAGTGCGGGTCCAGCGGGTCTTCATGATATGCCACCTCTGAATTCCTCACGGTGGTGGTGAACTCCTCAATAGAGGTGATCCGGTTCGGGAAACAAGCTGCGAGACGATTAATAGAGAGCGGGCCATTCTCCAAGGCCTCCCAGATCTCGGCTTCGTTGGGAAGCGCAGTGGTCTTCCGGATGAACTTGCGGGTAGTGACGTCCGGGGAAGCGAACTCGATGAGGCGGTGCAGGACGGCTTCCTGAGAGCCCACGCCGTGGGCGTACTCAGGGTAAAGCTTGGCGAGAGACTCGAAGATCTGGGGCAGCGTCATCGGCGAGTGGAGCGCTTTTACGATCTGCGACGTCGAGGGGATTGGTTTGCGGAAGTAAGCGCCTTCAGGGACGACAGAAGATCCGAAGGATGCTTGAGGACTTGGGTCAAAAACAGCGAAATATTCGACGCGGCGGAGGAAATCTTGGATGTCCCGAACATCAGGGAAGGTGCGGTGGAGGTCGTACAGAGTTATGCTGTTCTTATTAACGCGCTTGTTGAATAAGGCGTCGAATTCGGCGTTGGAAGGTTGTTCGTCGATGCAGTTGGCCAGATCCCCCTCGAGGTGGGCGAGGTACGTCATGAACATGTCGACGAGGAATTCGTTATAATCAACGACATCGGAGAAGGAGGCAGCGTACCGCTTTTGCTGTTCTGCCTCAGTTCGAGTCCGAAGCATGCGCTTCTCGGCGTCGTTGACATAGATGAAGGTCTCACAAGCGACGATCCAAAGTCTATTCGGCCATGGCACGGCCTTGTCGGAAGGGTGGTAGTCTCTGTCTGTAGCCCAAAGGATTCGAAGATCAGGTGGCAGGGGGTACTTGTGGACCTCGAAGTCTTCGTTGAATTTGAGAGCCAGCTCCATCACACGTTCATGCTTCGGATAGGCGTTTTCGAGGTTGCTTCGGCAGCCGGACTTGAAGAAGTAGTCATTGGAAAGGCGAACAATGTCGAGGGCGGACTTATGGAGAGCAGGATTGACCTGCGGATCGCAGATATCGATTGCCTCTTTGTCAGAGGGCGGAAAGTCGGTCTTGCCATTACCTAGTGAAGCCGGCTCCGTCCATTCCAATGTATAGACCTTGGGCAATGGGACAAAGGTTGCGGATTGCTGAGGAGCGTAGTTGGGCAACCCGGGCGTAAATACGCCAGCAGCATTGATCAACGTGTCCCAGAAGTGGTCCATGATATTCTTTGGGAACATGTTGGCTGGTATAATGAATTAGACAAGATGTGTGTGTGAAGAGAAAATCGTCGTCTGACAAGAAAAGCGAGCTTGAGGGAGAGAGTGCGCTGCTGGTGGGCGTTTGGACGCCGGGTGGATTCTATACAAAGGCGGGTCGTGTATGCCAACATGACAATAGAAGAGAGCGCACAGCAGGTGATTAAGAAGGACAATAAGCGAAGCGAAAACATTATACGGGTGAAGCCTGCGGTGAAGTGAATCAGGAAAGTGAAAGGCGACATTGTGCCTTCGCTTGCCGAGTGGGCCATTGAGCCTCACGGCTCCAGTACGCAACGAGCGATCCGTTTGCCATACCCACATTTGCACTAATACAGGTAACCTATTCTTGGAATGACTTGGGGCATTGTAGCATTGTCTTGCGAGCGATACGTGCAAACATATCCGAATTACTCTAGGCTATGTGCTCACAGCTCGTGTTCTCGAATCCAGGTATCCACCGCGTGATGTGGCATACTGTCCCCTTCTAACGAAGGTCAAGCAAAGTAATATGGTTTGAGTCTTGTCTAGCTATTTCCATTCTTTCGATGTGTGAATCGTATGGCACTTACGGATGCGGTGTACGTGCATATATTTATTATGCAAGATGAGCATGTCTTGATTTCGCACACTGGCCCATTGCTCCAACGTATCCAATTTTTAATACGCCTCGAGTTATATCAGACTGTTGTATGTTGTAATGGCTTTGAAGAGATGTCCAAGAGTTCATGTGACAGACATTCGCCAGATCACTCCGCATCCGATCTAGCACCATCGAAGCACTACTTGAAACCGCCCCCAAGTTCAAGCCTCAGCCTTCCGTCTCTTCTATGCCTGGACCTCTGTAACTCCTCTCCTCACGCATGTTAAGGTTCCTATCCCTGCAATACGCCCGCCCCGATCATCCTTCCTCCTACTTTTTCAAAAAATCATACCACACCCCTCGCAAACACCATCCTGCATCGCCCCCTAAGGCTGTCACGAGTCATGCTGCTCCACGCACTGCTCCTCTCCGCTCTTGCAGCTCTTGTCAGTGCAGACTGCTACTCACACGACAGGATAAAAGCGCAAGACTCCAAGTATTACATTGGTCCAGAACTCGTTTCCTGCGGCAACGGAACAGATAATTGCTGTCTTGCCGAGCAAAAGTGCGGGAGCAATCTTCTCTGCGTCGATGGAAGTGGCGGGGTGTCGCGCCAGTACTGCGACAATGCCGCGTGGATCGGATGCTCTGACATGTGCGCTGGTAAATCTATCCACCCGTCCAGTCGTTCTCGACGCTAAAGCAAGGTGTAGGCAACGATGCTGCGGGCGTGAGCATCCATGACTGCGGCGACAACATCTACTGCTGCGGCGTGAACACCGAGGACGCGTGCTGCACCGACGAGCGCGCGTTCTACGTAGATCCAGACGATGGCGGTGTCACTCAGACGACGGTGGCTGCGAAGACAAAGGCGCCGAGGTGGTTTACGGTGGATTCGTCGTCGCTGCTGGCGAGTATGTCGAGTGCGTCAAGTAGCTTGGCGAGTTCGACGCCATCTTCGACGCCTGCGTCAACATCCGCTCCCGCAGCGACGACAGCGAGTTCAGCATCTTCAGCTACTCCTACTCCCACGGAGACTGCGAAAGGCTCGTCTGGGATCTCTGGTGGCGCAGGCGCAGGCATAGGAATTGGCGCTGCGGCAGGCATCGCACTGGTCGCTGCACTCATGTGGTTCCTCCTGCGGAAGAAAAAGCAGAATGCTTCTCGCGGTGCAGTGAGCGGAACCACTGACTACCCAATCGGCAAGTCCGGACCGCAGCCGGAATACTATGCACACAACGTAGAGCTGGACAACGGGAACCTCGTATCGCAGGAGCTCGATGGCGGGAATTCTCGACATGAATTGGCAACCCACGCACCAAAGACGTATCCAGGGTTGTGAAAGGTCAACGATAGAGATTTGGGGCATGGCAGTACGTGATTCGTGCGAAATGATACCCTTTCAAGTTTCTGTTCCGTCTGTACGAAGTAGTAACGTGTTAAGGTAAAGCTTCCATGGCGTTGTCGCCGACGTGCGGCTGAGCCTAGCCAATTGCGGAGCTTGTGGCATGCTTGCAGCGGCTCGGAAGTAGTTCGGAGTAGGCGATGACAACCAACACCTTGAACATTGGTTTTGCTCGTAGTTCAATGCACAAGGAGCTTGAGGAGCGGAGCATCTTGACAACCTGTGGTAGAGCGGATGTGATGTATTGTGTGCCGCCCGCAACGCTGAAACCCATTGGCAATGAGATACAGGCCCTACACCGCGGAGATATCCCTAGACTTCTGCAAGGTCATGGAGAACGTTGTTGGGTTTTGGCATTGACTTCTGTGTCAGTTTCGTGATTTCCGAGTTCGCGCAGCGTCTTGGAAGACATTCGACATTCAAGCTCAATTGAAGTCTGGTCAGCGTCGAGAGCGGTGTTCAGAACGCGGCATAGACGCGGGCGTCCATGTGAAGCCTGAGAGCATTGGATTTGGTCGCTGGGCACCTACTTCTTTGTTGCCAACAGCAAACTCACCATCCACGCCCCCTCGACCTCCCCTTCCCCAACCACTCCCGTCAGCTCCTCCCATAATTCCACAATCTCCCCATCCCCCTCGTCATGCGGCCAGGTATCCGCCATCCCCTTGAGCCCGTCGATCCCCAGGCTAGAAAACCACCCCTTATCCCACACACCTCTGACCACTTCATCTCTCCTCCCAATGCGCGAGACGGGGTGAAGCCCGTACTGCGGCGGCAGAATCATATCCTTCAAGGTACTGGGTTGAGGAAAATTGTAATCGATTCGCTGCGCAGGGTGGAAGTATTCCTCAGGCAAGCCCACGCTGTCTAGTCCAGCGGCCTCGTTCGCCAGGATTGTTTTTGCGCGATTGTCGAGGCCGTACCGTTGGATGATGTTGTTGCAGATGGCCTGCACGAGCTTCTGCCATACTCTCTGCGCTTCAGGCTCGTGCAGCGCATACGTCCCGTACAGCCCTGCCGCGAACGTGCCGCCGGGCTTGAGCTGGTGGTGCACTGCGCGCACGGCTTTGTCGACGTCGGTGAAGTGCATCATTGTGGAGGCGAAGACGAGATCCATGCTCGCGGGGGGCAGGTCGATGGTGTCTTCCAGCGAGCTGGCCTTGAAGGTGTAGCAGCCTAGACTTTGGAGGCGGGCTTTTGCGATTTGGATGTTGGATTCGATGATGTCGGAGACGAGGACGTTGGCGAAACGGGCGGCCAGGCGCGGGGAATGTACGCCGACGCCTGCGCCGACTTCGTGCGCGTGCGAGAATGAGGCAGAGTGTGAGGCATGATAGGCGAAGATGGTGGAGAAGAAGGAGTCGGGGATAGAGGGGCGGCCTTTGATGTACGAGTCCCAGAAGGAGGCGGATTGGTTGTAGACGTCTTCGCCCTTTTGGCCCCCCATGATGGCCGGGGTGTGGTGAGTTGCCTCGGAAGCCATAATAGAAGAGGTTTGGGTTCCTCAAGTTATATTTGGAATAGGGAAAAGCCGTATTGCGATGTTGCTCTATACGTATCATAAGCTCTACCTGTACATGGGGTAAATGAGGAGGATGACGGGTACATTTCGGCTGGAAGGAGAGAATGCCGAGGTACGAGTCCTTATAAGTATGTTACATCTGATAAACCTGATATTGAGAACGCGTTGGATGCGTCGATAAGTGATTTGCGGAAATTGGAGGCTTTTGGTAGGGAATGTTCGTTCCGGCGGATGAGTTCTGAGGACACATATGGATCGCATAATTGCTGGCTCGATCCAAGGGATAATTCACAAATGATATTGGAGTCGTAGACAGCTATAGAATTCGTAAATGTCGTTATGTCGTACACGTGTATGTCAGCCCGTCGTCTCGAAGTAGGGCTAAATCAACGTCTGCTGATGGCTCGCCATCTTCCACTGTCCGTCCTCAAGCACCCACGCGCTGGAGCAGATGGCTCTGAACGGCAACTCTTCCCTGATGGCTTCTACACGGTAGTAGACCAGTGCGCCGCTCTCCCCTAGGGGCATGACCTCATCATGGCTCAGCGTGTACTTTGTCCACGGTTGAAACCCTGGGTCCTGCAGTATCTCATGGAGCGATGGCGAGGACGTCGCTGTAAGGATTCGATCGCCTGGGAAGATGAAAACTGGGCTTGCGGAGAGGAGTGGAAGAAGGGCGTTGCCAGAGTCGCAGAGAGCGGCCCAGGCGCGATGCTCAAGGGTGCAGATGGTGGCAGTCAAGCTGGGCGCAGTGAGATTCGGCATCGCGGAACGGTTGTAGACGCGATATGAAGGTGCCCTCGCGGAGTCGTTGTCGGCTTTGGGCAGTCCTGAGTGCATACAGTATTACTAGAGCGCCCACGAGACGCGCTTCTTGCTCGAGTGCGCAATCGGTGTGGCGTGACATCATCCCGCCCTCATTGCGCGCACCACCTACCAAAGACGAAGTCCGAAACGCCGTTTGCGTAAGAGGATGGGGGGTCCTGGAGCTACCCATGAGGACGACTGCAACATGCGATTATCGCACGCTCAACATCTGCGGACCACACCGTTGTTTACGTGAGTACCCGAGTGAGGGTTGCGGCGATTACCGCCACAGGTGTCGCGATGAGCAATCGACATTGCCGAGATATGCCCGCAATCCATGTCAGCATCGGTGCTGCCTTTTGCGCGATCTAGGTTTGCAAGCCCAGGTGGCGATTATGGCGAAAAGCCAGTCTGCATCGTTTTTTCCTGCCGTCGGCGACCTAGAGCAGAGCGTGCTAAGGCGCACTGCAGCGCGGCGTGGTGCGCTGTTTGTTGGTGAGCGACCGGACGGGGCTGGGTGGGCTGGAGCTTCCCCAGTCGCGCGGCGATAAGATGGTCACATGGATGGGGCCCGCGCGATAACGGAAAGCGGGGATATCTGGCGTTCCAGGCGGCGACACAGCTTGGGCGAGGTACGGTGGCAGAAGGGCGCAACGGAGGCTTCGAGCACCTGGATCAAAGTTCTGCAGTGGAATAAATCAGCGAGCAGCGCACTGATAGAAGAGAGCCCGGCTGCCTGGCCGAGAAGACGCTCGAACGTTCTCTTGCCTTGATTGCCGTTGGCGCACGGACGCTTGGTTGTGTCATTACTCACCCATTGACCGTCACAGCCTCAGCTTGCCGCCTGCGCCTGCGTCTCTCGCCCATATAAACCCGCCGCCTCCCGCCTCGCTGCCTCCCTTCTACACCCGCACTTGCACTCGCCCTACGATACCGTCAACGAGACACATTTGCACAGATACCGAATACACACATACACCCGATCGCCACGATGCAGATCTTCGTCAAGACCCGTAAGTACCACGGCCGCCACCGCCTGCCTGGCGCACCCACTGACAGCCCGCAGTTACCGGCAAGACCATCACCTTGGAGGTGGAGTCTTCCGACACCATCGACAATGTCAAGTCCAAGATCCAGGACAAGGAGGGCATCCCGCCGGACCAGCAACGCTTGATCTTCGCCGGCAAGCAGCTCGAGGATGGTCGCACCCTGTCTGATTACAACATCCAGAAGGAATCGACGCTCCACCTCGTCCTCCGCCTGCGCGGTGGCATGCAGATCTTTGTCAAGACTCGTAAGTCGTCACATCGCCTTGCGCTCTTTGTTCGCTTTACTGACAGCGCCACCAGTCACGGGCAAGACCATTACGCTCGAAGTTGAATCGTCTGACACGATTGACAACGTCAAGTCGAAGATCCAGGATAAGGAGGGTATTCCTCCGGACCAGCAGCGCTTGATCTTCGCCGGCAAGCAGCTTGAGGATGGTCGCACCCTGTCCGACTACAACATTCAGAAGGAGTCTACACTCCATCTCGTCCTGCGCCTCCGTGGTGGTATGCAGATCTTTGTCAAGACGTTGACCGGCAAGACCATCACCCTCGAAGTCGAGTCATCCGATACCATCGACAACGTGAAGTCCAAGATTCAAGACAAGGAGGGTATTCCTCCGGATCAGCAGCGTCTCATCTTCGCAGGCAAGCAGTTGGAAGACGGCCGTACGCTTTCCGACTACAACATTCAGAAGGAATCCACCCTGCACTTGGTGCTTCGTCTCCGTGGCGGTATGCAGATTTTCGTCAAGACTCTCACCGGTAAGACGATCACACTGGAGGTGGAGTCATCCGACACCATCGATAATGTGAAGTCGAAGATCCAGGACAAGGAAGGCATTCCCCCGGACCAGCAGCGTCTCATCTTCGCAGGCAAGCAGTTGGAAGACGGCCGTACGCTTTCCGACTACAATATCCAGAAGGAGTCTACCCTGCACTTGGTGCTCCGTCTGCGTGGCGGCCAGTAAGCGGTTTGTTTCACCTTACAGACGATATCATGGGATGGCGTTATTGGCATGACGGTACCTGAACGGGCCGACGGGTTATGATATTTCTATAGTTCACGGCAGGCCTGACAAGGCTTGCAATTCAAGAGCATGCCTACGGGCAGAGATTCATTCTCAATATTTTCATTCTCTGTGCCACCGTGATGTTTTGCATTGATATTGCACCGGTCCGTAGTCAGCATACAGATAGTGCCTTCTCTTTCCAGATGTGGTGACGCCACGCGATGGCGAGAACATGTTGCAGCATTCTCTCTAGATGGTGTTCTGTCAGTTTACTCAGATTAAAGCTACAGCCCGATCATGTACCAGCCAAAACCTCGGCTTAAGATGCGACATAGAGTGTAAAACCCCGCGGTAGTTCAGACGTCACTTGCACGACGTCACGGATATAGCGTATCCCCGCCGTAGCTCCCCACTTTCAAGCGTCGCCGAGAGGTACCGAGGTGGACAGCTGTGGAATACGGCTCCAATGGACGCGTAGAACGGTCGGACACTTGACACAGTCGAAGCGGATCGCCGGATTTGAGAGTAAATTCCGCTGCGGGTGCGTTTAAAGCTGGGAGTTACCCCGTTACAAAGAAGGCGAGCTTGACGCAAACATTAGCTGCAACCACCAAATATCGCCCTCAACGCTACCAGAACACGTCCAGATACCAGAGTTGAAACACAAGCAAGGACTATTGAGTGAGAAGTCATGGCTGAAAAGATGGAATACGTCAAGTATGTTTGCGATTCTGGAGGGTGGAAGCTTGTGGTATGGATGGAGGCATTGTGCTAATTCAGTTACAGCCTAGGAAAGTCTGGCCTCAAGGTGTCCAAGGTGATCCTCGGTGCAATGAGCTACGGAGATCCAAAGTGGCAGGAGTGGGTTTTGAACGAGGAGCAAAGTCTCCCGTTGCTCGAGCACGCCTACAAAGTCGGCATCAATACCTGGGACACTGTACGTCAAAGTTCTCTCAGTACTCGCCGCAGGTCTTACCATCAGCAATTCCGCTGTTGTTACACTCCCAGTATCAGTCGCTGATACGCATCGTTATACAGGCAGATATCTACTCCCATGGCGCCTCGGAACGCATTATCGCAAAGGCACTAAAGAAGTACAACATCCCCCGCAGCAAAGTTGTCCTCCTCTCGAAATGCTACTTCGGGGTCAACGAAGAAGACCCCACCCTCGGCATCGCCTCCGTGTCCACCAACGACGGCGCTTTCGTAAATCAAGTCGGACTCTCGCGCAAGCATATTTTCGATGCGGTGGAGAAGAGCGTCGAGCGCCTAGGCACATATATCGATGTGCTGCAGATCCACCGGCTGGACCGGGACACACCGCGCGAAGAGATTATGAAGGCGCTGAACGACGTTGTCGAGAAGGGATGGGTGCGGTATATTGGCGCGAGTTCGGTGCGTGGTCGGAATCATACAGTAGAATGAGTGGAAGAGCTGACACGATACAGATGGCAGCATGGGAGTTCCAAACGTTGCAAAATATCGCGGACCGCAATGGCTGGCACAAGTTCATCTCCATGCAGAACTACTACAACCTTATCTACCGCGAGGAGGAGCGTGAGATGGTATGTCCTCCTTTTCCCGGCTCTGTTCTATCTTGCATCATTCCTAACCTGCACACCAGATCCCATACTGCCAGGACACCGGCGTCGGCCTGATTCCGTGGTCACCCATCGCCCGCGGCGCCCTCACGCGCCCCTGGACCGACCGCTCCTCCAAGCGCTCCACCACCGACGCCTTCCTCAAGAACCTCGTGCACGACCGCGAAGACGCAGTCGACAAGGAGATCATCGGGCGCGTGGAGAAGATCGCGAAAAAGAACAATGTCAGCATGGCTTGTGTTGCGACCGCGTGGACTATCCATAAGGGCGTCCAGCCGATCATTGGGTTGAGCAGTAAGGAGCGGATTGACGAGGCAGTGAAGAACAGCAAGTTCAAACTGAGCGAGGAGGATGTCAAGGTGCTGGAGGAGGCGTATGTGCCGAAGACGCGGCAGGGGTTCTAGATGGGTGTCTTTATCAAACGGACATGTCACCTGCGCAGTGCCCGTACTACGCGTAGATGAACATCGAGAATCACAACACTATTTCTTTGATTCCCCACCGCAATTTCAAATGTGCCAATCCACTGAAGCATGCTCTTCCCGAGAACGCCAAGCCGAGCCAGGCAACTTCCTCACGCATCGCACACATGCACCTTTGGACGCGACGCCGGCCCGCCCCGCGCCCAAAAAAAAACGAAATCAAATGGTGTCAGCAATACCCGTTGTTGAGGCTCTGCGGCTGCCCAACCGATCTGCGGGCCCACCGCCGCACCGCACTAGCGCCGTGACGTAGTCTATGTCGGACTTCCCACGTGCACGCTTTCAAGCTTGCAGTGAGAATTCCGGCGAGGAAATCCAGGAGATTTCCCCCTTCGGCTACGCATTGTATTCTCGGCCTTTGCTATGGCCAGAAACGAGTATTGATTGATTTGATGCGTGTTGGGTGGGTCGCCAGAACGGCTACGCAGGTTCTGAAAGAAGGGCCGTTTGTTCGCCACAACACTATACGGAAGGTGATGAGCGCGAGGGCTGTGCCTGTGCGGGTTTTTGCGACGGGAGGATCTCCTAGCGGAGGTCCCAGCAGGGTGGGCAGGGCGATTAATATCGGCGAAGCCGCACACTCTCGACCGCACAATCGACATTCAACCACACCAAGCGCACATGCAAACCCGGACAAGAACGCTACACCGCACAGCAGCGTAGCCATGTTCTCCCCCAAGCGAAACCACTCGCCCGAACCCGGCGCCAGCAATACCAACAGCGCCATCTCCAGCGCTGCGCCCTCACGGCGGACATCGCCGCATCGTGCAATCGCTGCTCACGCACCAAACACCGGCATAGACGAGCAGCACGTCTATGTCCTCACGCTCGCGCTATCCCCCTCCATCGCCGTCCCCCTCGACCAGATGCGCGACGAATACTTCCCGCGCCATCTCAACCGCACGCCCGCACACATCACCCTCTTCCACGCCCTGCCGCACTCCCAGCTCGACGCCATCGACGCCGACCTCACGCGTCTGACCAGCCGCACACGACCCTACCACATCAGCACGGGCACGCCGTTCCGGCTAAAACGCGGTGTCGCGGTGCTGCTGGGCACGGGGGAGGAGTGTTCCCAGGCGCTGCGGGAAGAGCTGCGGTCCAAATGGGCTGCTTTCTTGTCGCAGCAGGATAGTCGGTCCCGGGGGTGGCAGCCGCACTGGACGGTGCAGAACAAAGTTGAGGAGGAGAAGAAAGTCGTGTCCGCATACAATACCCTCCGCAGAATTCTCTACGAGGAAACGCACTATGGGAAGGCGCTGGGGTTCGATCTGTGGCTATACAAGGACGGTGGGAACTGGGAGCTTAGCAGGGAGTATCGATTCTTGGGGTACGGAAGTGGGGCGAATACACCTGGTGGGAGGAGGGAGAGTGGGAGTGGAGCGGGGACGCCCGTGACGGGAAAGAGTAGGCGGAATAGCTTAATGGCTGGGGAGCGGGAGAGCGGGCTGAAGAAGAGTACTAGTTGGGTGCGGATGAGCGATGTGTGGAATACGGTGACGTTAGCGAAGCCGAAGAGTCCGAAGCCGCCCGAGGCGGAGAGGGAGTGGTTTGGAATGAAGTGATGGGGTGGTGAGGGAGTGATATATTGGAATAATACCAAGAATAGCATGCGAGTATGCTGATTAGAGAGCACCGAGTACGGCGGCGAGTTGCGCCCGAGAGAGCCACGCTTCTAAAGGTTTGGTCTCAATGGCGTGGCATTGCAACGCTTTCAAGACCTGGAGAGGTAGTTCGATGCTTTGTGGGCCAAGAAAAAGCAGGGATCTGCGGGCCTTAGAACGCAATGTAAGGCTGAGTGAGAGTCCAAGTGCCACTGCGTGGTGAAGCTATGCGGAAGGCGTTAGCGTCCTGTAGTTGATGGTGGCGATGGTGTTTCCGATATAGGTAATCCTATACAGACTATGCAGAAGACCTTAGTGTTTGAGCTTGTATTCAGCTCCTACGAAGCATAATGGCAGATGTGTAAGGCGAGATGTCACGTAAGGGAGCGAATTGAGGTCCAGGCAAAGCGCAAGTTGCAACGTCGCTTCAAGGTGAAGTGTAGAAGGGATCGACCTCGGAAATTGGCGCCGCATCGTGAACACCTGAGGGCACAGTCCAGGGCGGTGTGAACGCAGGCCCGGGGCGCGATGTCGCCTTGCAGAAGGCTCATCTAGCCCGAACGAGTATTTGTGAGTTGCGTGAGGGCCACGCAGGGCCGACGCGCGTCTGCACCCCCATTGGCAGGGAGACGTCGCAGTATCGATAGCGAGTTCAGTCGCTGCAGGAAGCCGTGCAGCTGCATTGCAGCTTGAAACGCCGGGTTCCGTCGAGTCTCCCCACAGGAACGATCATGTGTGCCGCGCGGATGGGAGGGCAAATTGACGATGCAGGCTCGTGCGGTACTGAGGCTGTCGGGGCGCTCGGGTAGTCAGCCACATGTTGCCTCTGTCCTGTCAAGCGAATGAGCCCCTATCCATCCATGCTGCCTCGACGTGCGTGACATGCAAAGTTTTGTTCTGGAAGGCGGTGCTGTTCATCCCGCATCCCACGTGGGCTAGCATCGCAGGCGGTGAGATTCGAACAGCAAATGCACTCGGCGGTCGCATGTGCCTGCGGAATCAGAGTGGCAGCGCGTGACGGTCGTAGGCGAATGGGACGGCACCCCGCCCGTAGACCCGCGATGTCTCGCCAACCAGCGGCGAAAACAGCAAAATTAGAACGCTCTGCTCGAGGACCCAGCGGCCATCCGCACAGGTGCAAGGGGTGGAGGCTAAGGCAGTGGCAGCAGCAGCGACAAGGGATGGCATGACTTGACTGGCGAGGTGTGGCCGTGGAAAGGGGAATAATTGGGGGGCCGCTTGGCCTGGGCGCTCTCGAGCTAGGGAGCTCCGTCCGACAGAGTACCACCAAACCCTTAAATCCAGCTGTCCTCACCCGAGAGCTCGTTGACTGCCCCGTGAACTTCTTCCTGTACCCCATACCGTGCTTTCCACAGAAGCACCGTCCATCGCCTTTCCACTCGCTAGCTTGTTGAGGACCCATTCGCTGTCTTCATCCACTCCAAATTTCCCCTCACCACCAATCCACGGACCACCACAGCTATGAAGGGTATGCTCACTCAATTGCATCGGCGGGATACGTGACTGACAGACATGCAGCCATCATTCTCGTTGGAGGGTTTGGAACCCGCCTGAGGCCTCTTGTATGTCTCTGCTACCCCGCGCTCACCGCTTCGTATGGACTGGAGGGCTAACAGCAGCAGACCCTCACATACCCCAAGCCGCTCGTTGAGTTCGCGAACAAGCCCATGATCCAGCATCAGATCGAGGCATTGGCCGATGCTGGCGTCACTGACATTGTGCTCGCCGTCAACTACAGGCCCGAGATCATGGCCGAGGCGCTCAAGACCGTACGTGTGCTCAACACTCCGCTTTCGGGAGCTACTACTGACAGCATCCTAGTACGAGAAGGAGTACAACGTTAAGATTGAGTTCTCGGTCGAGACTGAGCCTCTGGGCACCGCCGGCCCGCTCAAGCTCGCCGAGCGCATCCTCGGCAAGGACGACACGCCCTTTTTCGTCCTCAACGCCGATGTCACCTGCGAATACCCCTTCAAGCAGCTCGCTGCGTTCCACAAGCAGCACGGCGAAGAAGGCACCATTGTGGTGACCAAGGTGGAGGAGCCGTCCAAGTACGGTGTCGTTGTGCACAAGCCCAACCACGCCTCGAGGATAGACCGCTTCGTTGAGAAGCCCGTCGAGTTCGTTGGCAACCGCATCAACGCCGGTATCTACATCCTAAATCCCTCGGTGCTCCAGCGTATCGAGCTCCGCCCCACCTCTATCGAGCAGGAGACTTTCCCGGCCCTCGTCAAGGACGGCCAATTGCACTCGTTTGATTTGGAGGGCTTCTGGATGGACGTCGGTCAGCCCAAGGACTTCTTGTCCGGCACCTGCCTGTACCTCTCCTCGTTGACCCGCCTGGGCTCCAAGCTCCTCACACCCGTCACTGAGTCCTACGTACACGGCGGCAACGTCCTAATCGACCCCTCAGCCAAGATCGGCAAGAACTGCCGCATCGGTCCCAATGTCACCATCGGCCCCAACGTTGTTGTCGGCGACGGTGTCCGACTACAGCGCTGTGTCATTCTCAAGAACAGCCGCATCAAGGACCACGCCTGGATCAAGTCGACCATTGTCGGCTGGAACAGCAGTGTTGGAAAGTGGGCTCGTCTGGAGAACGTCACCGTCCTCGGAGACGACGTGTCCATCGGCGACGAGATCTACGTCAACGGCGGCTCCGTCCTCCCCCACAAGTCGATCAAGGCAAACATCGACACGCCCTCGATCATCATGTAAACCGCTTCATTCACTTTGATTGCGGCTCCTTTCTACACCTTTTAATCCTCTTGCACTTTTTGTATACCTTGCATCTGGCTCTGCAACAGCACAGCTCGGGGCGCCTCCAGGGTGGATGTGTGTGCGGAGTTTATACGGAGTTCTACCTTTCTCTACTCTACGTGTCGGTTGGGTCTGATAAAAAAGCGAAAAGCTCGGGCGAGGGCGGGTTCAGTTACACGATTTGCGGGACAGGACAGCGTTTGGGTGCTCTAGAGCGACGGTTCAGTGGGCTGGACTCGATTTGGGACGAGGAAGATTTGGCGGCATAGATATACCCTTTTACTAGGTATGAATCACATGTGCAAAGCTATCATTGATCACGTCTGCCATCTCATGGGGGGTATGTCTGCTCGCAGGACGTCTGAGATCGCTTGTTGTACAGGCCGCTTCGATTGGTTGCCATGCGGCAAATGTGAACTTTGGACTCTCGTACCCTTGGGGTGACTGTGGCGAAGGAGCCATGCCATCTCCATTGGCGGCAAGCACGACTCTGGCAACTGGCAGGAGCAACCGCGCTGGCTTGACCTATGCCAGCAACCCGCGCAATCTCGGCAGTCCAATAACCCTACACCTCACTTCGCGTCCAAGTCATGTTATTCGCGTTAGGTCAAATGTCGGCATACCCTGCCGGACCATTTTGACGAGAGTAGTCACGGAGGCAGGTGCGCGAGTCGCTCAATTGTCTGGCAAAATGTGCATAGGGCTACAGTACCGTAGTTCACAGTTCGCTGCAAAGCTCACGAGAAACACTACCTGGAAACCTGTCGGTGATTCCCATCGCTGTGCTAGCCTACTTTGACAGTTCATAGACTCTGAAATGCCGAGGTTTCGCACAACCCATCACAACGACCGAAGTACGTAGACGTAAACCCTTTCCATGAGGTGGCTACTCAATTGGGCGTTATGAAGTCTGCGGCTGAGACCAGCTTGGCCCGTAATGTCTAGTTCTCGCCTCATGCCGTCGAAGACCACGCCTATTGCAGCGGACTAGGCCGGCGAGACCATGTTCGCCAGCGCTCCTGAGGCCACATGAAGCGAGCGGCCTGAAAAGCGATCAAAGTACGCGAGGGTCGTTCAAGAGATTCACTTGCGCGACTAGCAAGTCGTGGGGGCAAGTCTTTCGAGAGAGGCTGGGGCAGTTTCCCAGGCGCCTCGGGCTGTTGAAGGTCGACGCCACTGTAGTAGCCAGACCGTTAGTATTGTCTAAAAACTGTAGCTGTGGGTAAGTTCATAAAAAAACTCTTTGTGCCACTTCGTCACCTCCATCTCACTCGTGCAGGCATCGAGCAATGTCCACGCAAATCGCAACCTTCCTGCTCAAGCAGGGAGGCAGCCTGCTATATAATAATGAAAAAGGTGGACTATTTGGCAAGGCGAAGAATCAGATGGAGGAGCTGCGCGAAGCCCAATAGAATCTGCTGCAAAGCATTCAGCTTAGCTAGACCTCCATTCAAAAGATCGAGCACTAGACCAACGAAATGTCAACGGCGCTCCAGAAGGAATATACAGCGAGACCAGAACGCTGGAAATCTGGGTCCACGCATATCTTTGTAAGCCAGTCTCGTAATGATACCGTTTTGAGCGTGTTGAGCTCGCGGTGAACCCCCACTGGCAGCCACCGCAGCGTGACCAGGGACATGGACCAATTTCTCGAGGTGATTGGAGACACATGGCACGGCGTCAAATATCCCATTAACAACATCATCACATGCGTCGTGGGGAAGAACCCGCTCGCGAAGAAGACCGGACTCATTGGCGTCTGGAACGACTCAGCCCTCCAAAAGCTGTGCGACCTTGACTACCACAAATACAACATCAAAGATTACCTGCTGGACATTATGAAAGCAACTTCAAAGTTGTCACAAAGCCCCTCCGAGTTGCCCACGAGCTCCGAATCCTTGGGTCGGTGCGTTCCACGTTTCTCCACATTCGCTTTGCCCTTTCAGTCTTCTCTGCTGACGCAAAGATACCCCTTAGACGACGGAAAGCACACATCATGAATTACGGAGCTAGCAACCGCTATAAAAGCTATGCAGGATTAAGCTTAGGGCGGGTTCCTGGCAGCACTGACGACACTCAAACCGTCGTATGCAAGCCAGTTTGTCAGCGAGGCACACTGGTGGCGCTTTGAGGAGAGCAGCAACCGGGGCGTGTATCTTTCAATGGGGCTCCCGTACTAGCGCGGCAGCTTCGTCGAGGGACGCAAGGTAGGCCCCTGCCCGCCGTCAGGGTGACGGCTCAGCGGCTCCTTCGCACAACTCAATCCCGATGGTGTGGTTGAAGAGTCGGACAACAACGTGCCACGGCTGGTCCGTCTTTGGAACAAAGTTCCAAGCCGGAAAGAGGGTGACGAAGACTTTGTCCCTCTCGTCCTCAAGGTAACTCCCATGTGAGATAAGAGAGCTGAAGGTACAGTTTGTGTTCAAGCGGCAAAAGGACGACTGAATTGGGCATGGAGAACAAATCGTGGGGTGACTCGGGAAAGTGCTTTAGAGGAAATATTTGCTGAGGGGTAAGGGCGTGCTGCAGAGTGACTTTGTTGCGCCTGTGGAAGAGACCAATAGATATTTGGTGATGTAATCTGCCGTGGAGGGTGTATTTTCATGATGTTGTGAGAGCGAGATTCTGCTCCCGGTGACAACAGGAAGTTGGGATAGATTGGCGTCCTTTTCTCTCTTTCCTCCTCTTTTCTCGATCAAGACTGGGGCCATGAGATTAGCATACTTGTCAACATGATCATGGGTCCATGGGTCTCGCATTAGGCAAAAGCACGAAGTCAAGGACCAATGTCGAATTTGCAGAGATGTAGAAGTCGCACCACGCGCTCTCCACATGATCTCAAACGAAGAGGAACTTCCAGGATTGGAAACACCTTAAAGAGCATGGCAACGAATGTGAAAAGTGCCGCGGTAACTCCAAAGCCTATGATAGCAACCGACGATCGGAGAGACGCTGAGAAGCTTGAATAACTCGTATCAGATACCACAGCTCATCGATGTTTCATTCTCTTCGTAGCTTGTTTCTCACCTTGGGAAGCAACTGCTCCATTTGGTCTTTACAAAGAATCGCCAGGTAGGCATCGCAAAATGTAGAGACATCATGCCATGGAACAACACTTTTGCAGAGCACGGACATACAGCAAGACAAAGCAGAAAGTCACAAAGTGATTCGAGGATCTCTTTTGATCGCCACAGCCCTAAATTCGTGAAATTGACGCCAAAGGCCTCGGTGTTGGAGTGAGGTGCTGGAGTTGAGTTATAGAGCAGGGACGATATCAAGGTACCGACGGATATTCACCCTACTTTGGAAGTTTAGGTCGTTAGAGTGCAAAGGAAACCTGCTGTGCCGAACAAATGCCAGACTGGCTCCCATTCCAGAAATTGGAAGTGGCCGCCAAAAGTTGTTAGGAACGAAACCCATAAAGCTAAGGACACCTTCAAACACCAACACCGGGACATCCTACCTCTGTCCATGCTCCCCACATGGTATCGTAATAGATCGCACTTTACCAGACAGTAGCCCACATCTTCCGCTGCTTTACAGTAGACCACTTCGTTGTCTAAGTAAACTATCACTGCGCCGTTAAACATCACAAAACACTTTGTCACACCCGCACCCGCGCCCGCGAAAAAGCAACACCCGCCCGTCCCACCACCCGCCATCCCTCGTTACCAAAAACAAGAAACCCGTTGCGGTCCATGTCTCCACACACGCGAAACCAGCGCGCTCCAACGCCACGAAGCGTGTCTACGGCGCGTCTTTACTGACCCACCACCCGCGCAATACCTTCCCCCTACTCATTACGCCTCTGCAAATTCTGCCCCCAACACGTTGCACCTGCAATATTCTACGCTCAAGCCCAGCGCCTCCAACCAGCCTCTTGCCACGCCCTCCTACCTCGACGTCCAAACTGGGCCGTTCTACCCTGCCGATCACCCTCCGACCACGCCCGAGCCCCCCACTCCCACAAAACAAGGCCCTTCACGCTACGCGAGCATCCAGATGCAGGGTGCGTACCGAATCTAGCGCGAGCGACACTCGTCCCACACGCCGGTCAAAGACTCCAGATCCCGAGCCGACAAATATGGGGACCGAGCCTACTAGACGCCTCATCCCTGCCGTAATAAGCGGTGAGCACCTCACACCCATTGGACGACCGGGCGTAGCATCCACTATAGATGCCAACTGCGAGATATAGGAGGCAAAGAGAGGAGGGGGCAGCACGATCCTGTTTGAGATAAGATGGGAGGGCGAGATCTGACAGCCGCCAAGTGTGAGAATGAAGGTGGAAGTGGGGTAGGACAATCGTATCGTGATCGCGAGAGCGGGCTAGCCTAACTGTCAGAGATGCTGGGTCCGAAGGGACAGCGCAGGTGGGATGGACGAGACGAGGCAGACATCGTCATCGGCAGTTGCGCGTCGAAGATGCTGGAAACGCTGTGTTGTGCAGTGAGTGCAGCTTGGAGGGGCATGCATGGTCAGGCGAGCTGCGTCCTGGCCTGACATCTCCGATATTACTGCGTGCAGATACTGCTCGAGGCTGATTCGCAGGCGTGATTCTGCACATGCACAACGGTCGAAAAGAGTCATTGCAGATTTTGAATGATGAGAATTTCCATTTGTTCCATCCCATATCCATCCCAATCCAGTCCGATCCAATAGATACATACAAACTCAGCTATATTCACCTCTCCACGCACACACGCAATCATTAGCCAAACCAAGAATGCCATGATGTCGCCGGAAAGATGCTGAGATCAAACACGCTCGCTCGCGGATGGGAATGCCCCCACCGCTTTCCACCGTCGCTAGATAGTAATGTTGTTGTAAGATAGGATAAAAATAAACTAAAGCAATGGTTGCTCGCTATGCCAGTAAAACAAGTCGTGAAAAGGAAAATCGGACTATCAAACAAATAGAGGCAGGAAGCATCGCACGCCCGGCGGCGAGGCCGGCGCGCGACAGCCATCTAGGTCCCTCTACACAGTCGTGCATATGCTTTTGAAAGGGACAGGACCGCCTTCAAAAGATGGAGAAAAGAAAAATTGTCAATATATCAATGAGGTCGTTGTCGTGGCCACTTAACGCGTATGCCATCGTCGATCCGTAAGAGCAACCGTCATAAGAAAAACGTCCCATGCCGCTGTAGTGAGTGTTTGTAGTTGGTGTGCGAATCGGGTGGGTCGAGGTCATGAACTTAGCGTCCAGGACGCCGGGGAATCAAAGCAACAAAGCAGTTGTGAGCATCGAACATAGAAAGTCGTCATCATGCTTTTGGGGTCGTCAGCCGTAAGAGCGATCGTAGTCTGCGGGTGCAAACTTCAGACACATTATCGTGAATCTGTAAGTGTTGGGCTGGGTGGGTCGGCGGCAGGTGATGAGTTCTAGGCAATAGGTGGGGTAATGATGAGAGCAGCCTAGAGGATGTCGATGAAGATGAGGGCGGTCTAGTTGGCTCGGATGACGAGCTTGGAGAGAAACTTGTTCGATAGCGAGTCGAAATCGTTGCGGTCGAACTTGCACTCGCTTCTTGATCGCAAGTACGTATCTGCTCGTCGCGTTAGCCTCATTCGCAGGCGAAACGAAGGATGCTTCAACTTACCATATTTGGTTACATGCGCACGGACCTCGGTCATCGCATCGCACACCGCCGGATTGGAGTTCAGCAGGTTGTGGTGTTTCCGGGTATCCCACTCCGAGAACGCAGGGAGCTTCTGGGAGATGGCTGAGAAGAGACCAACAATGACTCCCACGGGTGTCGACTCCATGTCGTTGCAAAACTTCTGCACCGCAGGCTGGTCCGGCACACGGTAATTGCAGTCGAACTGGATCAGCTCCCAGACAGCGAGGATGATGGCAGCGAGCATGAAGATGGTGGGCCAATTCTTCAGCTTGTCACCGCTGTAGACAGAGGAGTACAGCGCAGAGAGCTCTTCGAGAACGTCCTTTTGAAGCTCACGCCACATGTCGGCGAGGGCACATTTGACCTGGAAGTTGATCATGACGGGAGCCACTGTCTTGCCGTGGAACTTGGACTGGTTGTCTTCGACCTTGCCGATATTGACCTCCTCGCCACCAAGGCCTTCGACCATGGTAACGTGCAGAGTCAGGTTGTAAGCAACAACGAGCTTCAGAGCCTTGCGGATAACTGGAAGCTTCTCGCGGCAGTAGAAGCGGTAGGCAGTCTTGAGGATCTCGGTTACGAAGTAAGTGCCCTCAAAGTATTCATCGATGAACGGCTCAAAACCGCCATCAATGTGGCGGTCCAAGTAGTCGGAAAGCATGCTTCGCGAGATGCCCTCCATACCCGCAGAGAGCTTGGCAGTGTTGATCTCGAAGTGGAGACCGTTCAAGCTCTCAAACCAGTCAACACCAAAGCACTTCTCATCCCGGACGTACACCTCACGGGCCATGATGGGAAGGTAGTGGCCGTACCCATGAGTGATGTAAATGGGTCGTTCCTGGGGTGAGAAGCCCTTGATGTTACCGATGGAGAATCCGAGGCTGACATGGCGCTCGTAGTCGGCCTTCCAGTCCTTCATGAAGTAGGCAATGTCTTTGATGTCGATACGTGTGCAGGGGACTTGCCAGAGACGAGCGTGCGATGGCTGGCAGCCACCGCACGGGTCACCCTTGTCACAAGTCTTCTTGAGGAACTTACACCGCAAGCAAGCACGGAGCTTTCGGATCTCGTGTGCTTGTTGTCGCTGTTCGGGCCTCAAAGGACCGCGCCTTCTTCCTACACGCTTCTCGCCTGACGCATCCTTCTTGGTGGTGTGTGCTGGTGGAGTCTTCTTGGCGATGGTCTTAGCCGGCTTTGATCCGATGGGAGTTGTGACTGGAGACTTTCTCCGGCGAGTTGGCGGTGAGCTAACTGCAGAAGAGGTCGGGGAGGAGGAGCTTGACGCGGACTGCTTGATGTCCACGGGTTCAGCGCGAGGCATGGGTGGGCTGACGGACTGGTTGGGTGAGATGTAGTTGGAGTACTCCTGGTCCAGGTTGGGGAGACCATGGTGACAGCTAGACGAGTGGCTGTGCGAGTGTGGTGAGTGTGTGAGGTCGAGCTGGTTCTCGGCTTCGGATTGGGGAGAGTGCATGGGGTAGTGAATCTCGTCGTAACTGCTGAAAGAATGGGCCGACGGCGGCGCATCCGACTGATTTGACGAATCTGAGTTGGTGCGGATGTGAAGTGTCTGTGCGGGATTTATAATGAGGGCGGTGGGATCGCTCGAGAAGTCGTACGAGTTGCGGTGGCCGAAGTCGACAGTGTTCCACCCGTTGTCGCTGCTGGAGAGCGACCTGACCTCCAACCACTGCTCAGTAGGCGAGCCGCTGCCGGCGCTCGCTGACACGGCGCTCGAGACGCTGAACTCCTGCCCATTTGATATGTTGGAGAAGTCCTGCGCGAAGTCTGCCATGCCAAAGGGCGCCATCTGCTGGGTCATGTCCATGGAGGTGGTCGCCATCATGCCAAACGCGGAGGGGGCGTTCATGGACATTGAAGTCATGAGCGCCTGCGAGGTGTTGATGGGGAAATCAACAGGCGAGGTTTGCAGCGGACCGGCACCGAATGCGCCATAGTCTCCCCCCAGAGAAGATAGATCGGTGCCGAAAGCCTGCTGAGCGAAGCCGGTGCTCGCGCTCAGGTTGATCCACTCAGCCAGCATGGGGTTCGTGGCCATTGCGGACGGAAAGGTGAGGCCCGTCGTCTGGAGCTGGTGCGGCGCGATGGCGCCGGAGGTGTGTGGCAGGCCATTGGGGCTGTGGGCCTGCGTGGTGGCTACCGTGTTGACGCGTCGCTGGTCATGCTGGTGTTGCTGCTGCTGGTGGGTGCCGTCGTGCTGTTGCGGCATCTGGGCGGGCGGAAGCGGCCAGGTCTGGTGCGAGAGGTTGTAGTTGAACGACGGGCGATTCGGGTCGAACGGCTGGTCGAAGGCGTACAGGTCGAGGTTGTCGAGGTTGGACTCCATGTTTGTAATGGAGAGGAGGAGGTTCGGGCGCTCAGCTGGGCAGAGCTCTGTGCTGAGCAGGCAGAGCGGTGTGATGCGAGAGGAATCGAGCGGAGAATCGAAGAGGCGGGCGGGGGCCCGTGCGATGGATCAAGGCTCACGACGTGAAAGGGCGGTCAAGGCCACGGGACTAGCCATGCACGCCAGACGCAGCATCGTGGCCAGCCAATTGCACCCCGCCTCTAAATGGCCGCGATGCACCACTCTGATCGCCCTTCCCTCCCGTCGCGCAGACGGTGGGCTCGCTGCGGGTGCCCTCAGCAGACCGCGCCCGCCGCGAGTCTGCGAGCCTGGCGCCGAGGGTTCCTGGCTGCGCGCGAGCTCGAGGGCCGTGATGGCTCCTAGCGAGCAAGCCCGCCCACGGAACAGCGTTCGCCCGCCCAGCGCTCCGCCAGGCCTCCAGGTGCTCGTCTCTGCGCTGGCTGGCTGGCTGCGAGCTCCAATGCCGTGCTGACGCCGTTGCGGGCCACTGGGACGCCGTCGCACGCACGTGTGTCGCAATCAGTGCCAATGGCTGCTCCAGCGGTGCCCAGCGCCTATCAGTGCGACCCCAGCTCTGTCGGTGGTCGTCGAGCGTTAGCTGCGTCGGCAAACGAGCCGCGAGCGAGCCTTTGGTCTTCCGAGCATGCAGCCCATGACTCTGGAGAGAGCAAAGAGCCGCCCATGTACTCTCAGTTGCGGAAGGCCAGCGCTCCCATCAGCCATCTAATATTATACGCGCTGTTAGCACGCTGATGGATGAGTGAGAGCTTGGTGCGGCCGTGGCACGGGCCATGCAGCGGGGCTCGTCTCATCGCCACCGGATGCCACTCTTCGGCGGCACCTCACATTTCTCCTCACCGACTCCGCGAAAAGCGCCCCTCCAAAATAGCCTCAAACGCGTGCCGGGCCTCGAGCATGCGCGCGCCTTGCTTCCGCCCACGCTGCCCACTTCCATCGGCGTCTCCTCGTGCTTTCCAGTGCCTTTACCATGGCATGAAGCCGTCGTCTCCCTTTGGGCCCTTTTGGGACATTGCATGCACATCAGCGAGGTCTGTCGTGGCACCGCTCACGCATACGGTCGCACTGAGCGCCGCCTTGCGTCCGTGTTTTCGTCGAGACCGCCGCTCGTCCAATCCGCCCGTGCTTGGCCTTGCATGCTGCAGCTCCACCTAAGCCTTGACAGGAAGCAAAGGACCCTGATCCCCATTCTTCCCATGGTGCTACGCAGAAGGAAGCAGGTAAACACCTCGTGATTAGACAGTTGATCTATTCCGATCGGATGCCCCTTGCTTGTGCATTGCCCGCCGATGGCATGCATGCCTGTCCGGGGTGCGTCCGGGTGCAATGTATTGCTTGCGCAGACGTGTAAGTCTTGTCCGCTCAGTGGAAATTGAACAGAACCACACTGTTATTGTGGCTTCGTTGCACCGGCCTTGCCGACGTCGCTCAGTGTCCGACCAAACGCCACTTGTAGAGCCATGATGCTTGTTTTGCCATGGGGTACGGTCAGCCCAGCGTAACCTTAGCTAGGCCACATATCGTGTTGACAGAGGAATGACAGACCAGGAAGAGCTTCTTTCAGATTCGATGGGGGCTACTTGGTGGCCTGATCTTTTGTTATGATGCAGGAGCTGGACTGAAGAGCGTTGCCCAAATACTACCGGCACCTCAACCCGTTCGAGGCCTGTAGTCTAGGTGAGTAGGAGCTGAGACGCCAGTAAGAGATAGTAGATTGCGAGTCAAAGTCAAGCAGATGTCATGACGCCGTGACTTCCAAAAATGGCTTGTGTCTGAGACAACACCGTGCAAGCGGCCGTTGTCGCTTGAAGTCTATGTCGGAGCCGCAGAGCAAACAGCCGAACGTCTGGCAGCTCATCCAGGGCTGCTTTACGTTGGGATGCGTGCTCTGGCGTGCAAAATCCATGCGCGAGACTGGTCCATGGTGTTATTTTCAGGACAGCTGCTGAGGCATGGAGAGCAGGCACCGCGGCGAAGCCTGACTCTGTGAGCGGTGGTGCTGCCACTTCGAACGTGCGAATGAGGCGGTGTAGTGGTTGTGCTGCAGCGGTTGCTGTTTTGTCTAGCGTGTAGAAGAGAACTCTTTGTTGTTGCGTTTGCAAAGAGTCGTGTGGGTGAGAAATGACTGTCGCGATTCCCTCTATTGTGAGCGGGCCCAAGTCAAGTCTGGGTCGCGCACCACGGCGTGCTCAACAGACTCACCATTATCGCAAGCACATTCTGCGCAGAACTATGCTGTCCCCGTCTGCTTTTCGCTCCTCATGCCGCACAGTTCGAACGTATCGTTAATGTCGTCAGGCCAATTCTCACAATATTCGCGATGCCGTACGCTATTGCTGGTAAACCGCATGCTCCCGCAGTACCTGCTGGTTCAATTACTAATTGGAGTCACGCAGGCTCACAGCAGGCGGCCGCTCTTGACGGCCCGGTCAAATACTCGATCTTGGAGTTCGTCAGGATGTGTGCATTGCTAACGTTCTGCGGGACATTATTGATCATAGTTGTTGGCACTCTGGCTTACGAGTGGAAACTCAAGTTCACCAAAACCATCATGGATCGATTAGCGCACCTCGAAGCTGCCTATGAGCTCGTGAAGACTTACGCAGCAGCCCAGAAAGCAGAGCTCGTCCAACTGCGACTGGAGAATGAGCACCTCACGGACGCGCTTGAGCTCTTGGACAACCGTGCGACCACCCAGAAGATCCAGGCCGTGCAACTACAGTTGGACAACGAACAGCTCAAGGGTCTTGTCCGCACCTTGACGCTTACGAACGAGGATCAACAGGCGTGCTCACGGCGTGCCGAGGAAAAGGCTGCCGCTGTCAAGACCCAAAATGTCGGGCTGGCCGACAAAATAATGGCGTTGCGCCGTCAAGTGTTCCAACTTGAGCAAGAGAAGCGGCAGCAGAAGGTGTTGCTGCAGCGGCAAATCGATATCAAGACACTCGTGAAGGAGAATACCAACGCAATACGAGCTCTCGACAAGCGGGTCAACTCCAAGGGCACCGATCCGAGCGGGTCGGACAGTGGACAAAGCTGCGAATGCTTCACGCCTTTTAGTCAGTCCAGGAACATAAGCTCTACAACCAGGTCGATCGCCCACGCAAGACAGCTACAGCACGTCATCCGCAGCATCTTAGTGGGAGATTGCTCAATCGAAAGCACACTGTCAACCTTCTTCAGTCTACCTTCACGTTCACGCTCATGCTCTCCCACCAGCGGAGACACCAATACTTCTCGCGTAAGCGTGGACGAGCTACTAGAAAAGAATCTTGAAGCCCGTATCTATACAATCAAAGACTTCGTGTACGCGCTCGATCTCGCGCGAGAGCAGTTCCGATCTCAGTCCAATACGTCGCCTTGTGTTTCCGAAGGGTCGAGACGATTTGACAGTGCAACTTGCCTCGGAATGCCAACGGAGATTGGTTGCTGCTAGAAGGCTTCCGAGCTGGAAGCGTGATCGATTAGCCGCATCGGAGTGTTCGGGCAATCAGAACACCGGTTGCGTAGAGGATTCATCTTTGGATCATGCCACAAGGAAATTGCTCATCAGGGGAGCATGAGGGTTGTGGACCTTATGACTCCAAGGGGGCTTTTCTATGAACGATGGAACGCGAAAGATGTTCAGCAGGGGAGCATTGAGCTGGTATGTCAGAAGTTACACCCCAGCAAGATGTGAAGGAGGTACTCAACAGGGAAGGGTGAAGACGAGGACAGAGAAGGATACTGATGCTGAAGAGGGTTGGTGTAGAAAGCAGCAACGATGAAGATCCTTAACAGGGCAGAATAGGCGGTTCTTTACTAGAAAACACATGTAAATGAGGCCTGGAGCGCGGCAGGAGCGTTAGCAATGAGGGTGGAGAGTATGATATTAACATGAAGGGCCGGGCGACAGCGCCCGAATTGAGGAGTCAGGTTGACGACTAGGAAAGGTTGGGCGTAGAAGTGAGAGCGTGAAGAGACCGAGAGGAAAGCACAGGATCTGCATTAACTAAGGATACTGGGGTTCCAGGACGATACCAGATGGACCGCACTGTGATTCACGCAGTACCGTTTCCTTGGATTCTGTGCTTTAGCCTTGTCTCTAAATAATCTAATTTGAGGGTTGCATCTTCCCTCACTACTCCTACAAGTAGTATCAATGCCCTTTTGTGCAGTTTCCTTTGACGAGGCGGAATACGTGCCGTGAAGCAAGACGACTGTCTTCCGCATCCCGACGGCAATTCCGTCCAACTCTCCGCCAACCTCATATCTAGATTATACTTCACTGTACCAGATTCTACCCTGTCTCATCGACGCCGTCCTGCAGCGGTCACTTCCGACAACCGCACAACTCTATGCTCCAATGTGCGTGGACCTTCACTCCTCGTCCCGTTCCTTATTTCCTACCCCTCAACCATGCTCTCACATTATACTCATTCGAAGATGAACCAACCAGGAAAGGCTCATATCCTAATAGGACTATTCTGGCCGTGAGGATTGCAGCACACAGCTGTATACGCATACTTTACCTGAGAGCTCTTCTATCGTGCCACTACACCACGCCTGGCTCAGTCTTCCCACCTCTCTGGCTCTGCCGAAGATTGGCGGACGCAAGTGCGGTGGAGGCCGCGTAGTGGAGACTTTGATCTGAGAGGAATGGCGTGCTGGATGTGCACAGTATACGCAGTACGAGTATGGAAGTTGCGTAGCTGTAGAGAAGTATCACGAATGCTCCGTGTAACATATACGCTATAGAAAAGCTTTCGTCATGCAAAGTATCCCAACCTAACAGAAACACGGGCAGAAATTCTTTGTCGAAGTTTCGCTCACGGACTCTCTAGGTGTAATTCGGTCACTGTCGAATTGCTCGCTTACTTCGCTGGTACCTAGATAGTTTCCCGCGTAGGTGTATTCGCGGCGTGTCCGTGTACTATGGCTCAAATCGGCCAATATGGCTAAGATAATGGTCCTGCAGACGACTATTGAACACCTTCGATATACTCAACGCCATCGACTGTTCTCCAAGTGATATATTCCAAGCGTGAAGTATGAGGTGTAAGATGACGGCAGTGAGGTCGGGTTTCGGACTTCGGCTCCACACCCTCGGCATGCGCGTGTTGTACAACATCGGGCCAACCAATATGGCTGTGCGTTATAAGCCTGTTGATGTCGAACACGTCGGTGCTCGTTCTCGCTGTTATCGCTCGCAATTACAGAATTAGGGGCCCGCTTCCAAATACAACTTCCCGTGCTACGTACCCACATACACGGCTATCTAGCTTATTGCCGCTCTCCACTCACCTCAGATCTACAGCTCGGATCTGGAGCTTCCCGGAGATAATTTCAGAGCACAGATCCTCAACAAAAGAGTATTTGAGGTTGTTTATTGCCGTGCGGAAAGTGCAGCAGCGAGTTTGAAGAAAGACAGCAGAGATCAGCTCCTAATCCAACGCAGCCACCATGGGTTCAACCGCAAAGCAGTTCGAGAAGCTCACGCCCCCCAAGCGATTCATTACGACGCACCGCGATGATGGCAAAGCCGTATTCGAGGAGCGGTTCGGCGAGGAGACGGAGATGGTAACCATGCCCGACGGCATCGCATTCGGGCTCGACTTCACGAGCAAGGGCATCCCGATCAACATGGCGCAAGACAAAGACCTCGACGTGTACAGCAACTATCTGAAGAACCCGCCGGGCCTTACCATCTCGAACGGCAACGTCCTCCGTCATGTCGACATCCCGCCGAGCATGGAGTGCACCATGCACCGCACTGTCAGCTTGGACTACGGCATTGTACTTGAGGGCCAGATAGATCTGCTGCTCGACAGCGGCGAGCAGCGCACGATGAAGGTCGGCGACGTCGCGATTCAGCGCGGCACGATGCACCAATGGATCAACAGGGACACGGAGAAGTACTGCCGCATGCTGTTCGTGCTGGTGGACAGCGAGCCGCTCGTTATTGCAGGGAAGAAGCTGGGCGAGGAGCTGGATGCGATGCCGGGCGTGAAGCCGTCGGAATAGAGAGGCTGGGTCGTGTGTACTGTACGATAGCCAACTTGTGAAAAGGGGCGCTACCAATATTTGTGGCGGAGGAGGGGTGGGATGGCGGGGCAAACATCGAGCAACCTCGGCCGCCAAGCCGCCATCTCCTAATCAGAACAAAAACATTTACAGCTTGCAACTTCATGTTTGCTACATGTGCACTCACTGTGGGAAGAACTTGTTGTGATTTTCCACGCCCGCGCTCAACACTAGCCGGCACGGTGTGGACAGACAGACCATGAGCCGCTTTTAGAGATAGTGGGGCATCAGAACAATACTAACGGACCGCCCCGAGCACCTATTGTTCTCCACCCCTTGACAGCCACTCCCGGAACACGTGAGAGGGGATCGAAAAGCAAACAAAATGGCATCGTCGCGGCCTGAGCCCTCCGACGCTTTACCTCCATCCGTACGGCTCGAAGAGGTTCTGGACGATAGACTCCGGATACAAGAGCTGCCTGATTCAGACCACGAGTACGAAGACTTGTCACCGCAAGAGGAGGCACACATGGCGTATCTCGAAAGTGTGAGAATACCTATAGTGGACAGCTTCAAGACCGACTCGTCCGAAGTCCAGGATGAGACGCTCGAAGCTGTTTTACCGTTCCTGGAGGGCAACCCTAACGACTTTCCCCTGAACGAGCATGGCATACCGCACCTCCAGAAGGAAAAGCATATCAAATTCTTGAAGAAAGCTCTGGGAGATTATCCCGCGCCGTTTGCTATGATGGATGCTTCGAGGCCGTGGCTTGTGTACTGGAGCTTGCAGGGTCTCAGTTCATTGGGCTACGACATATCTGAATACCGCGAAAGGTAGGTTTTCCCTCTTCCCTCCTCCCCAACATCATACCGAGCACACCAATCTCCCCAACCCATCCTGATCCGCCCCAGAGTCATACATACCTTTTCACTTGCCCAATACCCCGCCGGCGGCTACGGCGGCAACTATGGGCACCTCCCGCACCTGGCCGCAACCTACGCCGCAGTCCTCTCCATAATCATGGTCTCCACCCCGTCCCACCCCGCCACCTACGACTCGATCAACCGGAAGAACCTCTGGCACTTCCTGGGTCAGCTCAAGCAGCCCGACGGCGGGTTCAACATGACGACCGGAGGCGAGGAGGACATCCGCGGCGCATACTGCGCGCTGATCGTGCTTTCTTTACTCCAATTGCCGCTCGAGCTCCCAGACGATGCGCCAGCACGAAAGCACGGGTTGACGTCCTTTACTGACCGCCTGGGCGAGTGGATCGGGAAGTGCCAGGCCTTCGACGGTGGAATCAGCGCAGCGCCCGGCAATGAGGCTCACGGCGCATATGCCTTCTGCGGCCTCGGTGCTCTCGCTATCCTAGGCCCACCGAAGCAGACGCTGCACAAGTACCTCGACATGTCTCGCCTCATTCACTGGCTTTCGGCTCGGCAGTGTGCGCCTGAGGGCGGGTACAACGGGCGCACGAACAAGCTTGTGGATGGGTGCTATTCGCACTGGGTGGGCGGGTGCTGGGCTATCGTTGAAGGCGCCGCCCCCGCTTCACAGCACCAGAGCGAGGGATTGTGGAACCGCGACGCTCTCGCGAGGTATGTTCTTTCCGCGGCGCAGTTTGTCAAGGGCGGGTTGGTGGATAAGCCAGGCAAGAGACCGGATGCATATCACACGTGCTACAACCTCGCGGGCTTGAGCGCAGCGCAGCACCGCTACATGCACGACACAGAGACGGTTGAGAAAGGCGGATTGGACGCTGCCTTCCACTGGATGGCAAACGGCACATTTGCGGGAAGCAAGATATGGACGCCCGCAGACGAAGTTGCCTACATCCACCCCATCTTTGTGATACCGTTCAGCGCGGCAAGCGAGAGTCGGAAATACTTCGCGGACAAAGGTGGCTTCTAGCTCCAATTCAGTCCAATCCAATCTAATCCAATCTAATCCATCAATATTCAGCCCTACCCATCCCAGTTATCTTTTTTTGTCTAGTAAATCCCGAATGTTCAGCCGTCCATGACGCACACCACTGGGGGCCCATCCTCCACCTTGCCCTTCAACAAGGTTTTGATGGCGCCATGTGCTTCGCACTTCTCGTCGTAGTAGGCCATGTCCTCTCTGCTGAGAAACACCGTCCGCGCGAGGAACGTGAAGCCTTTAGACCGAGGGTCGGAGTGCAGCGCGTGGCCCGCCGAGAGTTGGATGTAGGGTTTGCTGTCCTTTGTACATAGTCAGGACGGGGCGAGGGAAGGAGGAGGGAGGCGATGCTGGGGGTAGATTGGGGTGGGAGAAGAGTAGACTGGAAGAGAAGGGCGAGGGCTCGTGACATGCGAGCGGATAGGGAAGGGCATGAGAGGGCTGAAAGCTGTACCTTTTGTGCGTCCTGCGCGAGGGTGCTGTATTTCTGGACTGCTTGCTGGACGACTGCCGAATCGGGGATTTTGAAGAGGGTGACGCGGACGATTGGGGACATTATTACGAAGGGTGCGGGTCTAGGTGGCAGGTGGGAGATGCAGAACGACGAGTGCTATGGAATTCAGATAGGGCTTTGAGAAGTCGATGTATTTTGGAGAAAGAAATGGTTTAGTGAGGGTATACTTCTGTGACGGGGTCATGGTGGTGGTGGTGGTGGTTGAGCTTCGGACAAGTGAGGAGAGCCAGGCGTGGCGACGGGTGGGAGGTTCCCGGAGTTCATGTTGCGATGTCGAGCTGCGTTCTCGCAATGTATCAGGATCGGCTGTGGGGTTTTGAGCATGTGGTACACATGGTGTCTCCGACACAGGATGCTATGGTGAAGTCTTGAGGTTTAGTTGGCGTAGGAGTTTAGTCCGTCCACAGACGAGGCGGGCTTCTCGTATCAAGACCAAGGTGAACCACTAGCCAAGGCAAATAGCTAGTGACGTGTTGCATGTTTGAATTGATCCTGAGGTCCCTCAGAATGCTGTGATTGTCAGTGTTCTTGAAGTGATACTGTATCGCGGGCGTCTACGTTCACGATCACGACCACATTCACATTCACGCGAGGCTGGACGGATGGCATCGGAGCCAAGGTCCTACGTCCTACAACAACCGCAAAGCATAGATGAAGCCGTCGCACAAGCAGCACGTTCTGGTATGTGGTGTTGCAAGCCGGACAGGCAGCCCGCAAATCACCCGACCTCGTGCCACCCACGCGCCGGCTTCGAGCCTCGCCGGCCTTCGTCGCCCTCGCACATACAGCGTGGCGAGTGGCCTGCCGTGTCCACGGCGTGAGTTGGTCAGTGGCCAGCAGCCCCGCGGCTCGCTGCGTGGCACAGACACGGCACGGTATGGCCGTCCAGACCCTCATTCTCGGGCGGAGCGCTCCGGCCCTCGCCATCCTTGTGCTGTCTCACAAGGCTGGGAGGGCGTGGTTGGAGTTGAGCCCATGCCACCGTGCAGCGCGAATGAACCGGTGGGTCAGTGAGCGTCCGGGAGCAGGCCGATTCGAATGCGGCGACGACAGGTGCGGGCGAGCGAACGCGCTCTCGCGTCCTGCAACCTCGCAGCAGGAATATTTGGCAGCAAAATTTGCTGCTCAGGATACCCTTCATGCTCTGACTTTGTTGACCTGGGCGCTGAAGGGCTTATCCATGTCAAGAGGGGCCGCTCGAGCAAGCTGCTGCCACGCCGCGCCTGCTCACCGCCTTTCCCTCCCTCAACGCGCGCCAACAATAGAAAACAGCGGTCCGCGGTGACACGCCTGAGCCCATGCCGCCAGAGGACGATGGCGCCGTGCATCCTTTGCCCATCGATCGGCATGCTGCGCGGGCTGCAAGATGCAATTCACCGCGATGCTGCGCGCGCGTACCTTCTGCTTTCGCCAGCAGCAGTACGAGCCGCCCCTCGCCCTAGGCAGTGGACCCGGCCGTCGTCGTTGTATCGCTACAGAACAGCACCCTTCACTGCTGGCCTCGGCCTCGGCTGCCACTGCAACCTTCTGCTGTCTGCATCCGCGACTCGGCAGGGTCCTGGCTGCGCGCCCCGCCGCCGCCTGCATCCCGCCGATCGCTGGCGTCTCCGTTTCCTCGCTTCTCGTCACCGAAGATGCGTGCGATGCTGGCGATGCCAGTGCTCTGCCATGCACGCAAGACCACCTGCTCCTGCTCTGACGACGCAATCTCGCGCCCCAGATTGCTGACGGCCCGCGCGGATAATCTGCGAGCCTACCCCGCTGCGCGCCCGGGATTCTGACTCCCCCATCGCCGCTGATTCACGTCCCAGCATTGCGTCGCCAGGAACGCCTGTGCCGGCCCCGGTCGCGCCAAGCATACGGAATGGCGACGACCAGCGTCTGCATGTCTTTGCATGGCGGCGAGCAGAGCCATAGGCCCTCGAGGCCCGCCGCGACTTCTCCGCAGCGGCGAGTGCTGCTCACTTGCATACCGACAGCTAACAGCCGTTTGGCCCAGCCCGCTTTGGGATTTGGGCGCAGACGGCCCCGAAAGCCAGAGCAGCAAGCGTTTGCCAGCTCATAATGCGTCAAAGTTGCATGGTAACACCAAACCCCAAACGCACCCACCGACCCTCGATTCCAGCAATCAGTTGATCCCGCTTGCAGACGCCCTGCTCCCTGCGGTAGGGAAGACCCAAGCAAAGCCGGGCCCTAGCTTGTCTCCCTCAAGCCACTACTCGCATTTGCACACAGTCACGATAGCGTCTGAACCGCCCCCTCCAGTTGTCGCTGAACCACCCGCGACTCCCGCGCTTTGTGCAATCGCGTCAGACGCCAGAGGCCCCGTTCCCAGCACGCCCGGAGCACTCGCTGGCGGTGCTCTCCCGGCCTCTGATCGCGTTCGCTTCCCCAATCTCTGACCTTTCAGAGCACGGGGCGCCAAGCCTGTATTGCCATTCGGGGCCACGGAACACTGGCAGGGCTTGCAGCATCTGACGTTGCGGTGCTTTTGCGTTTCTCCTCACTTGCACCGGTGCATTAGCGGCTGGCCTATGCTCGACGAGCACGAGGCGTGCGTGCATTGATATCAATTGCCTTCCTGTCTCGCCGTGCCGAGGACGGGTTTCTGGTACGTAGTCGCTATGCTTCCGCATCAGGCCTGACCAGATGCCGATCCAACGTCGAGATACAGCCTTGACAAGTGGGCCCTCGACAATACTTCCGATCACCAGCCGTTCATCACGCTATTGCTGCAGCAGGGTGGCGAGTCCTGGCGATGCGCGCGCTGTGCAAACCAAAGCGTCAAAGACCGGTGAAGCTTGCTCTTTTCCAGTTTAATGCCTTTCCTAGCTAGCATTCTGGAACCCCAGCACCTACTGGCGAAAATGCACGCCAGCACATCAATATGGGTCGTTCCCACAGAGCCGCAACAAAGCCCGCAGATTGTTCATTTCCAGACGTCCAATTGCCTCCGCATCCTCCTGCTAGGCGAACTTGACGCGGTTGCATATCCTGAGATGCCCGCTGCGCTCGGCTACCGCAATAAATTACACTTGCTCCCACACTGCTGCACTTATGGTTCCCACCCCTCCCATCCTCTTCTGCAGGCCACTTACCCTCCTTGCTCTCGCTCGTTCTCAATAGCCGCTGCCCTTGACTAGACAGCTGTCACTTCTTGCATTGGTAGTTGTCAAGCCCTCCAACGCATCTACAGTCGTACAACAGGAGCCACGATATCCTCTCTCGGACTCCATCACGTCGCCACCAACGAGCGTGTGCCAGTTCACCAGACTACTCTCACACAAGTCCGTAGGAGATCCACGAGTCTGCATCGAAGCGCTCCTCCGCACCAATTGCTGTCCATAACACACGTCAACCATGTTCTACATAATGTACCTCACAGGTATGGTGCTTACGCTCTCTTTCAATTCGTGATTTCGTACCACTATCGTGGGTACCGTGCAGGTGCCCACCCTGAGCTGCCACTTTCAATGGCACAAGCAGCCTCCAAGCATGCCCCTCTGCGGCTCGTCCCTTTCCCCCACACCGTTTACCGTCTTGCTGGCACAGGAACGGGACGGGCGTGCATGACCTCAACATCCATCTCAATCTCCCCCGTCTTGATAATTCGCGGTGCTGATTCTGCCATAGGCCTCTGCCAGCGCCGCCACTGGCCGGACCCACTCTTCCAGACCTACCGCACTCGACTCGGCTACGGCTGCACTGTACGAGTGAACAACAGGGAATATTCGACCGATGTCGAGTACGAGACGGACGAACTGGCCAAGAACGCTGCTGCCACCCGCGCTTACATGATCTGCCGCAACTTTTCCGTGAACGACGGCATGTACCCAGGCCAGCGTCCTGGCCAGGGTGGTGTTGTCCAGGGTCTGCCCGTTGCCATTGGTACCGGCCGCCGGGGCACCGTCTCGTCCACTGAGTTTGACAGCTCAAGCTCAAGTGGCGGGAACAGTCCCCGCAACTCGGACTACGGTCTGGAGGATTCGGCCGGTCGAAGGTCCAGCAAGTCCTCCACGTCCTCCATTTCCAATTGCATGTGCGGCCGCGGCACCGTCCGTGCGTACGAGCGGTGCACGTATTGTCTGCGCGCGGCGGGATACCGCTGCTAGTCAGACGGCAAAAATTAGGGAACATCTGAACTTTGAGCGACGATACCATCACGACATGACATTCAAAGACTTGAAGAGCTCAGGCTCAGCGATACCACGTTTGTTACGACTGCATTTCCCACGACATGATCATCACGAATCCACTAGCGTTCGTTTCCTTCCCATTGGAAATCGTTCTATTTTTAAGCGACACGGCATTCTATCTTCGATTCACATTTCCTCCTCTCTCATTGGATCCCTTTATGAGGCTAGCATAGCGACGGCACTGCAGCGTTCAGCGATGATAACTTTGGGCGGACTATCTCCTTTCAGACTGCAATTGCGATTTCCCTTCTTACGAATCTCTTAACGTTATGTTGATGACCCCAAAAAAGGAAGAGAAAGATCAACGGCGTGTCGGCCACGCGGCCCTGCGATATAATCCCGAACCAGGCGATCAAATTGATATAATTTCGGCATTGTTGAACTTCGCTGTCTGGGCTGCTAGTGCTGTGTGACTGTGGTGTTGGGAGGCGCCAACCTGGTACTCTTACAATCTAGCAGGACGACGGAATCTCTCGACCCAAGGCCCGTGAACCGACAAAACTTTGACAGGAGTGAAAGGTACCAACCCGGACCCTCCGTCCCCGCCGCCACGTCAGTTCCATGCGGACAATTGTATTATCTTCGCACCATCTTACGGGCTCTCGCATTGTCCATTTGAATCGTGCGCTACCAGTCAACGTGTACCATTAGTATCATCTGGCGAGGGGATGGGTATTGCAAGCGTTATTGTTTAGCTCTCGTAGAGGGATTTCTGCACGGTCGAGCTGATGCTGCCTTCTCTTGCATGCCTATGGAGATGCTTTGGGGTGGAATTGGAAGGTTTTATGAATGCACTCGAACCCTCCGCCACCAGTAAGCGTGGACCCTTGCTATTATCTAACTAGATGATTAGTATCACAAGCAACTTTGCTCAGATATTGCAGATGAACTTGTATCTCTCCTGTGCAGATGTCATGTACTAATGGGGGATGGTGGGTCGCGGAGCGGTCCGAGATGGGATGGGTTGAACTACAGGCGTTTGAGGATTGAGTAAGCAGTGTCTGCCCATCACAACTCCAGCCTGCATTCGAATCCTCCTGCCAGTAAGCGCGTCCCGTTAGTATTATCTGACTGGAAAATCAGTATGCCAAGTGTCTACACTCAAATCTTGCAGATGTCAGTTGACGCAGCCTGCCTTTCATGCAGATCTCATGCATTAGCGGCATGCGCGTCTCTACAACACCCGCTGCTACACTGGCTGGCTTGTTCGTTGACACGACGGATCGCTGCCGAGCCTTGAGTTGACTGCTTCTGAAGCTAGATAGTAGGCAGCTCACTCTTTCTCATCCTCTAACACAGATTCAAACTTCGAGAGCCAGCAATGAGCTGCATAAGGATACTACACCCGCTCACCGGCAGGGTAGTGACCGTGAAGGAATAATGTCAAAGCAAGTAATTATCAACAATAGTCTTGTGCACATTCACGTAATTCGAACTGCTGTGAACTTAGAGGCCCTTTTCCTCCACAGCGGTAGCCGGTGAGAGGATCTCAATTGTCATCTCAATCGCTTTCAGAGAAAAGATATGGCTCACGTTAAGAGGGGCTAACGCTCACTGATTGCAGCAGTCTCTACCAACTCCAGGGATGCGTCAAATTATAGATTGATCCCTGCGCTGTCACGGCTCTCAACAGAAGGTCGTTGTACGAAATTCCAACATTTGATACAAAGCCGGTGCTTTTCTTCACCTTGAAACCTTCATCATACCGGGCTTGAGGTCCTCATAGTTTCGATAGTTCAAGAGTAAGTTCCCCAATAGTCCCATGGTAGGTCACACCTGACTACATCGCAGTGGGCCAAGAGCAGAGCACACCAGCACTATCCCCTCCGCCCCAAGGATCTGCTCCAGCTGGGCCGCCTCCGGTGCTTCCTTACAATCCTTACGCCAAAGCATGCTATGACTGCAATCACCCTGCAGGCACCGTCCACGTGATCACACATGAGTGTCTAGAAGGAGACGCCCTCCGGTGTGTTATCAAGCCTGTACGGGACGATGTGCCTCTCGAGCTGAACGACTACGTTCGGGCGGGTGATCTCTTGAAGTATCTTGAAGCCACATCTCCCCCAAAGGACGGCCTGCCTCCTCCGCCTCCTCCGCCCGCAAGTTCTACCGCAGGCCAGCTCTCCGGTTCCCCAGCCGTGCTCACGATCACTGCTACACCCTCAGGTGGCTCGACAACCATCACCACGATGTATACCCTGCCGCCCCACCCCTCCCTCCTGGTCCCCGGTTCCAGTCAATGCTTCGTGGGCCCTCCAGCTGGCTCTTCGTCCAGCTCCTCCTCCGAGGCCCCCGTCACAACTATCACCTCCAAGACCACGGTCGGCTCTACCGTCCTAACCATCCCTACCACCATACCCGTCGATTCCTCCAGCGTTGTTGTGCCCATTAGCTCCACAACGGTCCCTATCATCTCATACACGACGACCACAGTCCCAAACTTGTTTTCCTCGTCGCCGTCCACACCATCGTACCTTTCCCACAGCTCCTACACCACCTACATCACAACCACGTCCTCGTGTCCCGTCTGCGCAGTCACAACTAAGACCATCGTCAGCCCCGTTCCAGCCGCGGTGAGTAGCTACATCGTCGTGACGGCGACGTCGTTATCTGGCCCGCCGATCACGACGACTATTGCGGTGCCCGCTGCGTCGACGCCGAAGTCGACGTCAACAGCGGGCCAGAGCACGCAGGCGCTGGATACAGCGACCAGCGCGACACCCATCCCGCCGATGAGCACGGTGCTTCGACCGCCCGGCGGCTGGCCGTTCGAGCTCAGCAGCTCGCGGGGCAACAACAATCTCCGCCCGACGGTCTCGGGAGGGCCGCCTCAGGGTAGTGTCGTTCCCGCACCAGGGACCACGAGCAGCTCTTCGGCACCGGCTGGCCTTCCTACTGAATTTGTGCTCGGTGGACCTGGTGGCATCTTTAGGCCTCCTGCTTCGTCTTCAAGGGCGGCTGCGGGGCCGGCGATCGCTACGGATGCGGTTACGCGGCTCATCGCTGCTGCTCCACGAGTTGGGGGACGGGTTGCGGATACGCAGTACAAGCGCAGCGAGGCTCGCGAGCCCAGCTCCACCGCTGCGGAGGCTGACTGGGTCGGCTACGATGATTCCTGGGACATTAAGAAAGGCTTGAAGATCCGCGGCGCGTCCCGCCACCATCCCGACTCCGCCATCAAACTCACACCGCACATTGCGCGCATTGTCCTGGGCGATGGCCAGACGCTGAACCCGAATGCGAAACTATTCCGCAGACTCCGCGCGCAAAAGCTTATCCTGGGCCCGGAGGATGTGGAATTGGACCGGCGTGCGGCGAGGAGTGGACAGGAAGGTGAGCCCAGCAAGGAGCAGCCTGTTGCGGTGAATATGGGAGATGACTTGGTGGGGGGTAAGTGGGGGTTGAATATGGGATGGTGGGTGAGGGGTTGGGAAAGAGGGCTGAGAAGGACCGCGTAGACATGAGTCTAGCACTGTTTGTAGTGTTGATTCTTGTTCTCGTTATCTGCACGACCGGGGGAGGTATTTGGGCGCTTAGGAAGTGGAGGAGCAGGAGGAGAACGGTGTAGGTTGCCCGTGGTTGATATGATGGGAAGCTTGAATTGGGGTTTAGGTTGCACGGAAAGGCGTTAGATTATTTTTGAATGTCGATAGGGTGGAGTGGGTAGACGGGGTCGGAATGTACGGGAGCTACTTTATTTCAGCTGTATTATCCCTAGAACACTTTGAACGTGGTTATATGCCACAGTCACCCGAGCAACGCTAAATCGATGATGGTGCGCATCACCACGCAAACCTCAGACCATGGAGTAATCGAAGCCGTTTTCTACACAAAGACATCTTTTGTGGTTTGTTGCTCTTTCAGTCTATTTTGCGCCGGAAGCTGGAACATCTTGGTTCGTCGAGACGCGGATGCTTCCCAATGTCTTTTTAGTTCGCACACAGGGGAGATGTGGAAGTGTGAAGATATGTCAATGTAAATTGCCAGGTATATATACTCGCCAATCATCCAATCTTGATTACCTCTCAATAGACTTGTAGTAGTGTACATTATCACCATCGCCAAGACTAATCGGCATAGAAACGGCAGCGATGGTGAATTTCCGAGGCGGTGTCGGAGAGCAGGGAGATACTCAGTGCCATTTGGTCGCACGCGGCGGGCAGGAGAAGGAGACATCGCACCACGATCATAAATGCTTTGGTCCACATTCTGGTCCCATATATTCACGATCAGCCCAGTATCTCATATCGAGGCAATGAGGAATTCCCATAGGATGCCCAGGTGTAAAGTTGGACTCGGTCGAGTCACAGTCTCCCCCGAAGTTATGCATTCCGCACTGCAGTATCTCGTGATACCATCATAAGATCGTGAGAGCTTGGTCGTTGGCGCTCAAAGTGCGTAATCGTTGCTGCTTGGCTAAAAAAAGAGACCGATGGAGTACGATAACAAGCAATGAACCTGCGGTTCAGTCTCAGAGCGCTCTTTTATCAGTGAAATGCGAGGCATTTTGCCCAAAAGAGGGAATTTAGAAGGAACTGTGGTCTCTGCCTCGCATAGGCCACACTCGCGGCTGCCGTTGTTTGTACCGCGCCTGCCCTAGAAGTACAAAAGAAACGCAACCACGAAGCAACTACTGCGACTGCTCTTACGCGGCATACAACCGCTCGTCAACTCAGCTTGCTCCAGACAAAGTTGCGAGAATAGTCCAGCTACATTCTTACGCACCCGTGCGCAGCACTTCTATAAACTCTCACTTCACCTGCCACCAGCTCCAGTCGCCGCACTCGCCAGTGTCGCATTCACACCGGTTACTCAACTTAGCTCACCATTAGTACAACAAAAATGCCACCCAAACGCAAAGCCCAGCAAGCGGACTTGGACATCTCAACAGAGCCTGATTCTTCTCGTATACCTCTTCGCAGCTCTAGGGTCGCCACGGTGAAGGAGAAAACCGTTGACGCTGCACCCGTGGCTAAACGTTCGCGTGGTCGTCCTCCTAGGAAGTCCACCCTGAAGAAGCTCCCGCCGAAGGCTGTCACTCCCAAGAATGGCTCGGCAACAGTATCAACGAAGAAGCCCTTCGCGAAGGCACAACCAAAGAATACTGCCTTGGAAGATGACGCAGACAATGACCTAGACCTAGAAGTCTCGGAGGGTCTGGAGGATGACATCGACCCTGAGACATTGCAAGAGGCTAAGGAAGATGTAGAGGAACAGCTATACAACAACACAGCTCCCACGGCAGGTAAGAGGATGCGATCGTCTAACTTCCAGATTCAACTAATCCCAAGCAGACAATGACATCCCCGGTGCACATCCGGCCTACAAGGACATGCTATCTCCTGAAGCTGTAGTCTTCATCTTTAGCAAAGCCTTCCACGATGCTTTGCGGGAGAAGGCGAACAATTGCCCGCGCAAACATGGCGTCTCTGCTGAGAAGGCAATCGAAGAGTTCCGCCGACTTATCGCAATCAAGAGCTGGACCGTCGATGTCGACGCTGCTAAGATCAGCCCAACTCCAATCAGTAAGTCCACATGTGCTTGCGGCACCTAGGTAGCATCCGCGCGACTTGACTGATGGTCAAATCAATGCAGAAGCATTCGTATTCATACGTTATTTTCTTTCGAATCGCTAACACTGAATAGTGGATGATCTCTGGCATGCCGCTGTGCTCGACACGGAGTTCTATGCCCGGCTCCAGTCCGCTCTAGGAGTTAAGCTCCGCCACAATCCAAAGGGTGCAAGCGAACAGGATTTCAATAATCGCCAGAAGCGTCTTACCCGCATGGCGGCACTTTACAAGACATTCTTTGGTGACGAAGAGCCACTGGTGCCCAAACAATCGTATGTGGCCCCAGTCCTCCCCTTTCAGCAGCCTGTCGGAAAGGATATGACAATCCTGATCCGGTCCCTCCTCCACGTCTAAAATGCCCTAAAGCTCGGAGTTCATCAGGATAACGCAATGCATGACATCAATAGGATGATCGAAGAGCGCGAAGGCATTCCCTGGTTTCGACAGCGTCTTATATACGGTGGCAGACAGCAGCCGGACGATAGAACGCTCAAGGATCTGAACATCAAGCACGGAGCCACTATATGGCTCGTTTTATCCATTCGAGGCTGTTGACTTCGCAAAATGACTACAACAGAGTGTCCATAAAGTAGGCTAATATCTCTCAGGGCACGGGAACAGCGTCAGAAGGGAACCATGCAGATATTCGTCAAGACCGTTAATGGAAAGACAATCACTGTCACCTGTCATCCATTCGATCTCATCGCTGAGGTCAAGCTTGATGTTGAGAGGAAAGAGGGCATCCCGCGCGACCAACAGCGACTCATCTGGGCGGGAAAGCAACTGGAAGATGATCACTCGCTGGAAAGCTACGGTATTCTTGAGGAGAGTACGCTAAATCAAATGCTCAGGTTGCGGGGTTGCTAGCCCCTTTGCTTCATTGATGGTAGAGTTATAACTGGAATAACGGGTCATTAATTGTCGATGCACGTCCATCACGGCTTCTGGGCGTTCTGCTACAAGACCAATTGATGTCGATGAATTATTAGATAGAACTCGATACAATTATTATTTTGAGATATCCACACCTTTCATGCGGTGACAGCGTGCATGATCTCATTCGTATCTGTGATTCTATGGGCGAGAACATACGACAACCAAAACATTATGGCCTGATCTTTAACTCGGAGAGTGTTCCCACATGCCTAGTGGAAAGGAATTTCGGTCCACGAAACGTACATGGACGACAGACTTTAGTCACATCTGTCAAATGATAATGATAGATCTATTATCATCAAAACCTCTTCCGGCTTCCCTGGCCCTCGAGCAGGGCTTCAGATGGCGCGCGAATATATGAGGGGCTTCTTTCCGCTCTTTTACCCGCGACACGTTCAATCCCCTGCATGAAACGCGCTAGAAACCCCAATGCTGAGCATCCCATGATCTCGTGGTCTAAAAGCCACCCTGCCGCTACGTCATGTGGCTGGCTTGCTCATGCAATCAGATGGCCTATATGTACGACTGTCTCGACTTTATTGAGTGAGTATAGAACGTATCCCGAGTCACATAACATGCACAGATCTCGGCTTTGATGCGAACTGTGACCTCAAAAGCTGTTCTGCCATGATGCACCTTTCTACTCTACAGAGAACCAAAAGAAAGCCTGATAGCCCTCTGCTGCGGGGCGTGAAAAGGTATCAGGTCACCTTAGAGCACCGCAATGAGGCGAAGTCTTGACTAATGGAGATGAGGATCGTCATCGCCATACCCTGTAATTCGTAGTTGAGAATTGCTATATCAACCCCAGCTCCAACCATGTTAAGCGAATGTTCCTTTCCAGCTCCTACTTCCCTAGCATCATGTTCCTCGGCCAATGCTACAGAAAGACTAATAGTAACCAGATGGTTCGCATGCGACGCGCTTTGTGCGGCTCAAATACCATCCTGCGTCTCTAAGCAGTGAAATCACGAGCCGCACGGCGCTTGCTAGGCCTTCCGCCGTTGATATCGTCAGCTGTCACATCGATCTCGCAGCGAATCTTGCGGTAGCCGTCAACTCGGCCAACAGTGAGACCACAGTTCAGGTTTGGACCAGGGAAGGGGTACTGCAGCACAGTCAGTGTGATTACACAAGCGGCTTGCATTTGAGGTGCTACTCACGCATCGTCCAACCTGGTTGTCAGAAAGATCGACCAAGGCACCGTCGCGGTCCTTGTAGTAAGCTATACGCAGAGTATCAGCATCTTACACTGATCAGACTCGATAATGTTACGTACTCCAGTGGTGCTCATCGCGGTTGAAGTTCATCTCAATGACGTCGAGGGACTTGTCATCATCATCCTGGCTGCGTCCACAGCCATCACCTTCGCAGCGGACGCCGTATTTGCCGCCGCTCACATCTTCGCTATCAACCCAGTACCAGTCAAGCTTGTTGTCGCAGTTGGCCTCGGCCTCGTATGCCTGCCAACCCTCGCCGTTTCCGCTGACCCCAGTCCCACCGAGACCAACGCGGTAGAGATCAAAGTTGGCATTGACGGAATGGAGGAGGGTCGCTACCGCAATAGTAACAGCACTGGTGTACTTCATCGTGGTGTGGTAGCTTGAGTAGGGAGATGAAGGGTTGTGCAGTGAGAGGATTGAAGTTGACAGGCTTTTCGGAAATATAGCGTGGACTCCAGTGTGTAGCTGTGAGGGTATGAGCTGCAAGATAGAGGGAATGAAAGCGTATTTTATATTCAACACGGTGGCATTCGTCTTCTCATCCAGATTACACCTGCTAACCGTTTGGTCTCACATCTCGAGTCTCGAGGAGACTGTGCCACACTACTACACACCATATCGCCAGTGTATACGCGCTCTCACCGAATGGATTGACCTTGGAACAACTAGCAGGTGATCCGGTGATCCGAAAAAAAAACCAATCCTAGGCGATGTTTCGTCATAGGCAAGCAAATCCTTCGCAAAGTTAGGCCTTATAGTAGTGAGAGGAATGAATTTCTTGAGTGAGATCCAGGGCACAGACGTTATACGTAACTTGCTCACATTACCTGTGTACCTCTTCACCTAGTCTACATGTTAACTTAACAGACACTGCTCTAAGACCAACGCCTGTGCATGCGCGATTCGATAGAGCTAACAAGAATATGTACCTGCAACAAGCCAGACATGCTGGAAACACGACTGATAACCCTCTCGTAGTGGTAGTATCCTCTCAAAGTTCACTTCTACCTGACACTCAAGGCCGCAATGTTTCAGACCCCACAGCGCCGAATAGGAATCTTGGAAGTAGATCTCTGTGTTCACATTCCTCTTGGCGTGAGATCCTCAATAGGCTGTGAAAGATCACGCCCCATACTAGTTTAAGGCAACCTTGAAAGACATGTCATTCTTACAAATGTGATCAACTTGAGGCGTTTCTTGGCTGGAATGAAATTTGTCCGAATATGATCAGTGCAAAGCAAGGGAGAGTTTCCACCTCCTGAGAATGATATCATTTCAGGTACACCAATGGCACGGTCCCGTTTCGCATTCGTTGACGGGCGCTTCCAAGTGTTAGCTAATACTAGACTAGTTTGCAAGTACAAACTATCTTGGCTTGATACCCATGCTATCAAAGAGTTCCCGCCATTATTCGTAGTTATCAGTTACGATACTATGAAAACCACACGAGAATGGAAGCGACTGCCTACGTATATCATGCGTTGGTTTCGACGCCCAGTCGAGGAGCATCGTGGCAGTGCTTACGGAGGTGTTCCCGGGCGTAATCGGAGCCAACAATAATCAGCGCGCCAAGAGCAGAGCAAGACAAGAACAAGACAAAACGGAGTGGTGTAACGGCGACACGGTCGATGCGACCTAGTGCTCACATCGTTCAAGGTTCAAAATTCTGCTCTGCTTCCATGAAAGGTTTCACAGTCTCGGTTTTTGCGCTGAAAGCGAAGTGCCCAAATCAAAATTACGGAATAGACTTGAAGTTTGCAACTACGAACAGTTATGTGACTCTGAATGTGGCACTGGGGAGACACTCTTGCTGGTACGATGATCGTGTTTGTTACCACCGATGTTGAGAATCGCCAGCACTGACCGTGGTTACTAGAAATTTTCTCGCGCGAAGGATCCAGGTAAGACTCTACAGTTCGTGCAGCAGTCCGTAGTAGGGTTCTTGAGGTGATGTGCTTAGCTCAAATGTGCTTCGAGGCGGGCTTTCGCACATTACTTTTTGACATCCTCTATTATAATGTCTAGAAGATTAGAAAGTATGATATCTACCGCACCATGTGCGTGTGCTTTCTCGAAGACTAATGCCAGAAGGCCGATATGGGTGAATCTTCTCCAAAATCAATACAATTGACCCATGCACTGCTCCCGAGCGTCCATTTCTAATCATCGACAGACTACGTGCGCACGAGAAATACAAGAGCCACGAATGTGTTGATATGATATGCGTGTGCTTTCCTAGGCTTGACTACATCCGTCACTATGTGAGCGACTTTTCTTCCAAAGCATAGTACTTCATGGAATGTCTCTCTCCTGTTCGCCCAAATACGCCACAGGCAGCAACTATGTGTGCGGGAGATCTAAAATTCACCGCCTATCTCACTATGTGAGCGTGCCTTCGAAAGGTCGTCGCGCTTCAGGATGATGTGTGTGTGCCTCTTCCAACCCCTATAGCAACCCTTAAACACTGTTCCCGTGCGTCCAAAAACAAGAAAGAAAAAAAAAACCCCCACAACAGTCAAGAGAATGTGTGCGGGGAAGACCAGCCAATCCCAATCACAAATGGCCTCGCACCAAACGGTGTGGTGGCACCGTGTGTTCAAGAACACCACATCTTCAATCAACGTGTGCGTGGAACACCATCAGATTACAGTTACCAATGATGAAAAGTGGCCACCTTATGTATAAGCGAGACTCGTCCAAGCTACCATAGCAGCACTACGTGAGCGCGTGGTCCAACAACGACCAACAAAAGTGTATACGTTGTCCACCGCCACAGTCCAAGGGCTGCGGAAAGACTGCCATGTGCGCGTGCTCTGGCCAATCTCCCCACCACCCAAACTATGCGGAGAGACCTCGCAAGAACCAGGACCTCTATAGCCATGTGAGCGTCGCGTGCGTTCCCTAGCATTCATATCTACCAACAAACACATGTGTCGAAACCTCGCAAAAGTACACTACCTTGACCATCATCAAACAACCCTTCAGCGCCGTCCAGCTAGTCCGGCAGGCGCTCACGCCGTCCACCAGCTGGAAATACACCACCGTAGTAATGCCGCCCACCATCATCAGCAGTCAAGCTCATCGTCTAGCCTCTCCCAAAGTTAAAAGTGAAAAGAATCTCAATTGCTCATTCTAAATGCCCACTCCGATTTCCTATCCAAGGTAATTCAAGACACGCAATTACACACACGTGTGTCACAATCATAAAGCTTGTCTTTAGCCCTCCCCTTCTCCCCGATGGCACCCAACAAACCAATCGCATAAAAGTGAAAGGTATCCACGCGCGCGCGCAAAAGCCAACTCAAAGATAATACAGGACGGGTGCCAACCGCTCCGATCAGACTGACGTAACAGTTTTTTCTTTACCAAATGATCAAGTACAAGACTACACAGCAACCCAGCCGGCTGGAGTCCCATCGATAGTGCCGAAACGCCAGCACCCGCAAGTGCGAACAAAAAACATTAGGGGAATCAGAAAACACACGGTGGTATAACAAGGCCGTTGCGTGAAACGGATGTTGGTTCATAAACTCGAGCGTCTATCTCCTACGGACGCAGAAGAAGAGACCGCTGCGACCCAAGAACCAGAGACAACCGAGGAAACGGACCAGGGCGAGGATGGCAGTCGCGATCAGGAGGAAGTTGAAGAAAGTGGCAGTACGGTCGTTGGCAGACGACTGGGACTTCGTTAGCAAAAGCACTTCGGCGGTAGAGATCGACCAAACTTACAGTGAAACCAAAGTTGCTCATGTTGTCCTGCTGGACAGCGACGGCGAGTAGAGCGTTCATGCCGATCCAGGCGGTGGTCAAGTGGGTACGGAAAGACTTGTACGAATCCTCAAGAGTCTTCTCGTTGGATTCAACCGGAGGAACGTAGGGAGCAAGAGCACGCTTGACAGTAGCCTCGAACTGGCTGTCGATATCGGCTTGAGGCAGATCCGGCTCTTCGATGACCGTGTGCTTTCCGTCCGCGGCCTTTTCGGTCTTGGCTGATGGCAAGGCATCGGCCTTGTCGGAACCCTTGGTTCCCCAGGAAACATCGTGCCAGTTGGAGAAGGCGTATACGTTGAGGATGTTGACGTAGGAAGACATGATGAGGAGATACTGGGGGAACGAAGTGAACATGTGCCACGGGTCCATGTACAGGAACGACGCCACATAGTAGAGACCGAAAGTCGAGGCAAGAGCAAGGATAATAATACCGACACCAGCCTTATCCGTGAACGAATCGAAGAAGGACTTGGCGGAGTCGAGCTCGATACCGCGGGACTTTGGGTTTGTGAAGGCGATGACGACGAGGTAGATGGACAGGACAACAATGTAGAACTGGATGAGACCGAACACCACGAAGGATGTCATGTAGGACCACCTGGAACCCTTAGGACGGTTACCGAGCGCAAGAACGAACTGCAGACCCAGGAATGCGAGGTAGACGTATTGGACGACAGTGTTGAAGGTGGGAGTGACGGAATCACCGAAAGGCCAGGCGACCTTTGGTGGGTTGGCTTTAGGCTCAGAAGTGCCGACCAGGGACATAATAATCGAGGTGGTGAGCCAGAACGAAGCCAGAGAAAACCAGGAGAGGATTGTTTGGAAGACGTTGTACAACATCTGAATGTGGAAAAAGAACATGCGGATGATGTTGTGGCCAGACTTGTACATACGACCAAAGTGCATCAGCGAGTAGATACCGGCAGCGAAAGAACCGTTGAGCCAACGACGACGTTGACCAATGAACTCAGCAGCACCTTCGGGCACATCCGTCTCACCCTTGGAGGACTTGACGTAGGTCAGATGCCACTTGGAGCCAGCCTTGGCGACCAACTCGAAACAAAGAATACGATCTTCGGCCAAGAACATGTTCTTCTTGAAAATGTTCATGCCCTCGATACCCTTCTTTCCGAGAATCTTTGCGAGCGTGTGGTCACCGTGGAAGTACTGCTCGAGCGGCCTGCCCATGATGGCGCGGTAACGGTAGGCGGAGAAAGCACCAGGCAACACAGAAACGTACCCAAAAGACGATTCCAGCGGCTTGTCGAGAATGTTACTGATCTTGTACTCGAAGTTCTGGGCCGCAATGAGCGGGTTGAGCAGGTTCTTCCAGCCCTTTCCCAGCATAGCGTGAATCTCACCACAAGCACCACCGAGATCCTTGTCGTTGTAGAAAGCCTCCCAGAGGGCAAGCAATGACTTAGGACCGGGCTTGGTACCAGCATCGAGCAGAATGCAGACCTCAGGGTTGAGAATGCGACCGAAAGCCGTGAAGAGCCAACGATGCGAGTTGATCTTCTTGCTGTTCTTCTGCTTGAGACAGAACATCATCTGCACGGGCGGTAGGGTGCTGGCGCTGTCGTCGTGGGGGCGAATGAGCTGCTGGTTTGGCGTGACCGACAATTGAGTAGTGTACTCGAAAATGTGCGCAGTGGTCTCCTTGCCGTCAATGTCCCTCTTCATGACACCGTCCTGGTAGATACCGACGGTTGCCAGGAGATCGAGGGTGCCCTTGTCACAGGGGTCGATACCATCGAAAACGAGGCAGACGACAATCTTCTGCCAGGCTGGGCCGCCCTTGTTCCAGAACTCGGACTTCTTCAGGTTGACGATGTCGCGGATGTTCTGCATGACACCGTGGAGAGTACGCGCGGTAAGTACCTTGTCTTCGTTGTAGTATGTAATAGCAATGAGCAATTCAGTGTGTCGGTTGTACATTGCCGGGCGCAGATTGTAGCCGTTCTTCAAGGTGAAGTCGTTGGGGTCGCATGTGGCGGCCGTGTCTGGCAGCTGTCAGTGTCGCGAATTGGGCTGTCAAAACAGATGAAACGTACATCGCATGTGGGTAAACTCCTCGCTGCCGCTCTCGAGGTCATTGCGATACTTTGCCTGGATGGCGTTCTGGATGGCACTCGGCACAGGGTAGTCGGCTGAGAGGACGGAACCCTGCACAAGCTTGACCTTACGCGTCATTCCACGCTTCAGGCCAACGCCGCCGCCGGGCTGCTGGCGCTGTCTCCAGGCCTCTGTTGAGCTGGTCTCGCTCCTCGCATAGGGCGAGGTGGCTCTGTGGGGTTCGGCGCCATAGTTGTCCACCGAGTAGACGTCGGAGCCGGTTTGCGACTGCGACGGGTACTGTGTCTGCGGGGCGTCCGAGGCGTACGTCTCGGTCAAGCTGTAGGTGCTCTGGGGGCGCTGGTCGTGGCCGTAGACGCCGTGGTGGTCGTCGAAGGGACCCTGGTGGGCGCCCGTGGGATTGGAGTGCAGGAGCGACCGGCCGACTTCCTCCTCATCGTGGCGAGCCTCGTAGGGGTGCTGTGCGTGTTAGCCCACTGGCACGGCGGGAGATGGGGCACTGGAAAGGGGCCGTACAGGTGCGTGAGGGTCGCCGTAGCCGTTTCCCCCGGGTCCTTGATAGGCCATGACGTGCAGTGGTCAGAGCCAGGCGACGGGGAAGGAGCGAGTGTGCTGGGTGGGGGGAAAGGGGGAGGGTGCAGAACAGGAAAGCGAGAGATGGAAATGGGGCGCTCGTGGGCTGCGAGCGGTGATAAAGAAGTTGCGAGGAGAAATGTCTGGGAGCGAGCTGAGGGTGGAGTTACGCCTGCGACTAACCAAAGGGGCCTAGCCATGAATGCGCTTGGCCCTCAGGCGGCCCTCAGGGCAAGCAAATGCTCGTCGGGGGGGCTGCGCTGCCAGGCGCTAGGCGAGGCTAACGCTGAACAGACGGGCGGGAATGCTACGTGAAACGCCGCCCATGGTTGGCTGCGCGGCCGCCTCCCTGTTTCATCGCCGGTCCTTCATCACACGCACAGAATGCATGAATGGACTCTTTGGAGTCCGCCGGCGGTCACTAGACACACCTCTTTGGCGCATTGCATCACGCCGTCGCCCTTTGCTTGTCTCGTGGGCAGCATGGCAAACACGGCGTGCGGCCGCCGCTCTGCCAACTGTGGCGTCGCTCGCGGTGGAGCACTCGCAGGGTCACGGCTAAAATTAGAGGGTGCATTGGCGTCTTATTCAGCCTGTCGCCCGTATGCGTGGAGCTCTGAACGCGCAGCACAGCATCGAGTGCTTACGCTGCTCAGCCTCAGCCTCGCGCCAGCCCATCGACCTGGTGGAAAAAATTATCGGCGACAGCGTCGGTCGCCAGCGCTGCCGCCGAACATGCTGCGCTATTGTCTGCACTCGACACGGCGTACGTCGTCCTGCAGGTGTCGCAGGTGTCGCGACCCTGCTTTCTGGTGTTCCAACGGCGCTGGCGACGTCACTGTCAAACTCTTCCAAGGTTCAACGGCGCCCCTTTCCAGCAGCATCGCCGTTGGCCAGCGGTAGCAGGATTGCTGAGCCGCAACGCAAACCTGGGGCACCCCCGGCCGCATGCTTGAGCGCTCCTCTCGGCATCCATTGCAAATGACTGTTGGCCCTGAGGTCGCAGTTCGGGCGAAAGACCCTTGCGGGCGATCCCAAGATGCGCCTCCAGCGTTGCAAGAATCCGAAGTCGTCTTGCCGCTGCCGCACCGCAACAAGAGCGTCTGCGGCTGCTGCAATATCTGCGCAGTCATCCTCAACCAGAAGAGTGAAAAGCCCCTAGAACAAGCATCGCACCCCCAGGCCGGGTCAGCATTCAAACTACGCCGCGTCCGCTTTGGGCAAAAGCGGGCATGTACACTCGTTCACTTTGGCCCATTTATCGCTCCCAGTGGCCGAGTGGCGCCACATCTCAGGTGGCCACAGCATCAATAATCGCTTCGTGAATCGCGTCTGGTTGTGAAATGTGTTGTTCATTTCTGCGGCCTGTTTCGCGGCTGCTCTTTCCGAGTAGATGGTGCGTACCTTTCCAAGCCCTTAGAGGCCGCCAGCAGGCGCTGGTGCTCCCGTTATCCCCTAACCCTAACCATGTCGCCTATTTCCAACAGAATTCCCCATCCGCCTCTCTTACACCATCACCTTCCAAGCCAGCCTCCCGCTGACACACAAAGTGGCCAATCGCAGGTTTCTCCTCTCTACATTGCCGAGACCCGATCGACCCAGCCACCCGGTGGGCCTTCATCCGTTCATTCCAACGCTGTATTCTTAATATACACCCATGGCAACACCAGCCACACCTTCCAGAATCCTACCTAAATCGAACTTTCACAATGCCAACGCCGCCACAAACACAGGCGTTTCGATAGCCCCAGATGCAGAGTCGAAGGGAGCCAGCCTTGCTTACCAACGGAATAACGACTTCGAACACCCTGATCATGTCATTCCACCACCAGACTATACAGGCTTTGAAAACTTAGTCATTGTCTGCTGCCATGGTATCTTCCATCCAGATGCCTCCTCTCCAGACTTTCCCCTCTATAGTCCCCATGACGAGAATAATTGGTATCTCGCCGATTTCCAAAAATCAAATCCCGAGACAGGCAAACCTGGGGAGCAAGAGACGTTTCTGGCGCATGCGTTGGCCGGGATTGATGCTCTGATCGGTGAATTGTCTCCGGATGTCCCCAACAGGACACTCTTGGTCATGAGCGGTGGCTCCACCAAACCCTCGTTGACCCCGCTCAGCGAGGCCCGTTCCTACTACCATGCAGCGCTGGCGCACGAGTTGGCAGAGGGCAATCGTGGAGGCGGACGAACGTATCAACTATTCTCGAAAGGACGCATTCTATTAGAGGAACACGCTGCCGATTCTTTCCAGAACCTGCTCTTCAGTATATTATTGTTCAGACAGACGACTGGCAGGTATCCCAAACAGATCAGGGTCATCACCCACGCTTTCAAGGCGCGGCGCTTTTTGGATCTGCATGCGCCGTCGATCAGATGGCCCTCGGAAAGAATTCAAGTCCAGGGCATTGATCCAGTCATGTCGGGGGCTGAGCGAGAGCAGACGATCAGGGGTGAAGAGAAGCATGGATTTGCACCGTGGCTTCAAGATCAGCTTGGTACAGGCGATTTCCTAGCTAGCAAACGGAGAAATCGAGGCTGGGATGAGCAGGTGGCAGAGCAACTCGCTGAGGGGTTGGAGGTCAGCGCCAAAGAGGTCGTGAAGGGCACCGTGCCGGAACATCTGCCGTGGGAATCGACCGTTGTGTAGGATGGAAACACGCAATAATCGGCAGCTCCTGCTTACTTATATCGCTACATTTTTGATGCTCTATCTGTCATGGATCTATGATGCTGGCAGATGCTAGAAGTGTCTTCCTCCGACAATTGCAGGTCGCTTCCTCACACGTTGAGCCTGTCATCGTATGAGTGCTCTGTGGGGGTATTAATCACCAGACATTATCTGTCAGACGCCACAGCATAATGTTTTCAGATGCATACTTGCAAGCAGAACATCAACTTCCATTCGGTCACTGCCATGCCGGGCGCCCACAAAGCACTACATCCTCGCCCAGCGGCAACCACCGCACGTCTTTCAGCTTTCCAACCGACATCTTCACTCCACCCTCATTTTTCCTCTCATCCGGACACACTTGCACACCGTTCTTCCCCAGCCATACCGGCGCAATCGTCACAATGACGGAGTCAACCAGCCCGATGGCCCTCGGACTCAGCAGCTCGTTGATCACTGAGCCGCCTCCCTCAACCATTACGCTAGTGATTCCCTTCGTACCGAGGATGTTGAGTATATTAGCCCAGTCGAAGCGGCCACTCGAGTCGGTAGGTAGCGTTATGTATGATCCACCCGCATCTGTGAGAGCCCTGTGCTTGCTCTCCTCGATCGGCGTGTCCTGCGCGCCAATGACCCAGGGCCCAAGCCCTCTCCCTTCCTTTGCTAACTTGACTACTTTGCTCTCCGCATTGACCTTCCACCGCCCCTTTGGATCAAGCACTACAGGCCTCGGTTGACCCTCCAGCCCCGGTCCTCCATACCCACCCACGCCTTCGATCCGGCAGTTCAACGAAGGATCGTCTGCGATTGCGGTGCCTGCACCAATGAGAATGGCAGCGTGTTTCGACCGCAGGAAGTGCGTCATTGCCTTTGACTGTGTACCTGAGAGCGCGGTTTGGACGCCAGGCGAAAGAGAGAGGTTGGCATCGAGAGAGGTGGCGTATGTGAGGGTGACATGTGGATACAAAGGGCGGGCCAATCCCGTAGACTCTGGCAGGTAGTGTTCGATTGGCTTCGCAGAGCTTGAGGGGAAGGAGAGGGCGTCTCGCGACATTCTGGTTGATTCTCACTGGTTTGCGAGGCTCCCAGGGGGTTATCTTGTATGGGCTGTACCCACCACCTTGCTTTTGCTGATAGCTCCTCGTGATAAATTACCCCTCCAAACCTGATGCCTCTGGCGATGTGCTCAGTAAAGTTTGCTGCGAGGTGACCCGGTCGAGCCCGTGGAAGCTTGCAACACTGGAACCAAAAATAACAGTGGGGAACAAAAGCCTATCTACTAACTTGAGACTTACAAGTAGGAAGTGAACATTGATGGTTGAGACACCCGCAGCCTAGCGAATCAACGGCCTAGGAGGAGCCAAGCATCGACTCATTCAGGCAGCGGCGATCGGAGAAACCTCTACCGGTCGCATTCGCCCCACGTTTGCCTTGGGGTTACCTTCGGGGCCTTCACTTGCAGCCTATCTTTCACGACATACCTCTGGCACACACCCACACGCACCCTCCACCGCTGCGCGCTTTTCTCTGCGCTCTACGTACATAATTCCGACACACTGTAGACCAGCTTACCTTTCGCGTCTACTCGCAAACTTGACTCAACTTCTCCCCGCTTCGCACGCGACAACCGCTGCAACCGCGCAACGAGAGAAATCTCCGGACAATACCGCCAAGATGATGAAAATATGGTCTATGGTGAGTGCCATACAGCGAAGAACTAGGCTGTCGAGCAGAATACCAGGTTGCTGACTCTTGTACAGAAGAAGCAGCAAAAGGATGCTGAGGTGGCGGCAGCAGCGTCAGGCAAGAAGAAGTTCTCCGCCGCCGATCTGCGAGTTATCAAAGGCACGTATATATGGTCATCTCAACACGAGCTTTCTATACTGACGTGATGGCAGATCTCGATAGCCTCTCCCTCAGCGATACCATGAAGCTGAAGCGCGACCACATGGACAATTATAAGAATTTCATCCTCGCGATCGACCCCGACGAAGGCATGTACAAGGGTGGCCACTTCGAGTTTGCATTCGAGATCAAGCCGACGTTCCCATATGACGCCCCGAAAGTCCGCTGCATGCAGAAGATCTACCACCCGAACATCGATCTGGAGGGCAATGTGTGCTTGAACATCCTGCGAGAGGACTGGAAGCCTGTCCTCAACTTGAACGCCATCTTCGTTGGGGTCCAGGTGCGTTTTGAAGAATATGCGTGATAATCGATTGTGGCTAAAACCTTACAGTACCTCTTCCTCGAGCCGAACGCATCTGATCCCCTGAACAAGGAGGCTGCCGAAGATCTCAAGCACAACCGAGAAGGCTTTAAGCGCAACGTGCGCGCTGCTATGGGCGGTGGCACTGTCAAGGGTGAATCCTTCGACCGGGTCTTGAAATAAAGGGCATTGAAGATCCCAGTGGCAATAATACAGAAATTCGAGCGGAATACCGTCGGTTGTGGAGGAGTGGACGAGAGTCTGGCCGAGCCCTTGTGTTCGCAACGGCTCCGACGGAAGTCCAGAAGCGGGGACAGAGCGGTTGCACGACAGAGATGACATTCATGTGAGCGAGCATTCAGACACGGCGTACCCGGGAGCGAGGCGTTGGCATTCAGAATCGTGGATATTCTATGAGTTTCGTCCATTTGGTAGGACCTTTGCTCTTGAAGCATAGCGAAGGTTCTTATATAGAGGAACTCCTGCAAGCTTGTATATTTGGTTAAACATGCACTCATCTACCATTGAGACGTGGCAGTCGTTTTCGCATCGTGAACGCGTGAACTGAGCGTCGGACCGGGGACCGGGACCGACCGACGACTGGGTGGGTGGCGGAAGAATGGCATCCACAGTGCAATATGCGGATCTCGCACCTGTATGACTGTGTATGACTGTAACCAGTGCAGTGAGTGCCGGGTAGTATAGGCCTCCGTTTCTCGCTGTCTGGATCACCGCTCAGTCACTTGGTTGTTCCCCGCTAGCGATTTCGGCTGGCTCGGAGACGCGCATTCCTCCCCGAAGCGTCATCTGTGAGTGGCTGGTAGGTCCACCGCCGATGTTCGGCCGCCCGAGCTCGAAAATCCGGCGACCCCAGACGCAGCTCCAGGTCAGCTTTAAAAACCGGTCACCACCCACCCCATTCAAGCCTTCTCAAGATACCCCCTCACACATTCACAATGGCATCAAGACCTGTAGCTCGTGCTTCCCGCCAGATTGCGCGCCAATTGGCCGCCCCTGTGCAGAAACGCACTTTCGTCTCTGCGCTCAACGCTGCTCGCGCTGGCGTGGCAGCTGCCCCCAAGGCCGCTGTCACCACCCAGTTCCAGCAGACGCGTGGTGTGAAGACAGTTGACTTCGCCGGCACCAAGGAGACCGTCTACGGTGAGTCTCAAGCCCTTGTGCTGGGTCAACAGATCGCTGACGTAGCCCATAGAGCGTGCCGACTGGCCGAAGGAGAAGCTTTTGGTGAGTCAGCATACGCCTCAATGGCATATCACTTGTCTGCAATAGGACCGTCTGCTAACAATCATGCCAGGAGTACTTCAAGAACGACACTCTCGCCCTCATCGGCTACGGATCCCAGGGTCACGGCCAGGGTCTGAACCTTCGTGACAACGGCCTCAACGTCATCGTTGGTGTGCGGAAGAACGGTGCCTCGTGGAAGGAGGCCGAGCAGGATGGCTGGGTCCCGGGCAAGAACCTCTTCGACATTGACGAGGCCATCGGCAAGGGTACCATCATCATGAACCTGCTTTCCGATGCTGCCCAGTCTGAGACCTGGCCCGCCATCAAGCCCCTCCTCACCAAGGAGAAGGTGAGCACAGCCTGACTTCATCTCAATGGGCTGTTCTAACAGTTGCAGACCCTCTACTTCTCCCACGGCTTCTCCCCCGTCTTCAAGGACCTCACCAAGGTTGAAGTCCCCACCGACATGGACGTCATCCTCGTCGCCCCCAAGGGTTCTGGCCGCACCGTCCGCTCCCTCTTCCGGGAGGGCCGCGGCATCAACTCCTCCATCGCCGTTTTCCAGGATGTCACTGGCAAGGCCCAGGAGAAGGCCATCGCCCTCGGTGTTGCCGTCGGCTCCGGCTACCTCTATGAGACCACCTTCGAGAAGGAGGTCTACTCCGACCTCTACGGCGAGCGCGGCTGCTTGATGGGCGGTATTCACGGCATGTTCCTTGCCCAGTACGAGGTCCTCCGTGAGCGCGGCCACTCTCCCTCTGAGGCCTTCAACGAGACCGTTGAGGAGGCTACCCAGTCCCTCTACCCCCTCATTGGCGCCAACGGCATGGACTACATGTACGCCGCGTGCTCAACCACCGCCCGCCGCGGTGCCATCGACTGGAGCAAGCGCTTCAAGGACGCCCTCAAGCCCGTCTTCGACGATCTCTACACCTCCGTCGCCGACGGCTCCGAGACCAAGCGCTCGCTTGAGTACAACTCGCAGCCCGACTACCGCGAGAAGTACAAGAAGGAGCTCGAGGAGATTGACAACCTCGAGATCTGGCGCGCCGGTAAGGCCGTCCGCTCGCTCCGTCCTGAGAACGCTAAGTAAGCGTCGCGGCCCTGAGTGGTGGGAGGAGTGTCCCGGTGGACGTGTATTCATAGGTCTTTACTATCTGCACTCGGCGTCTTGATTTATGTTGGCGCCGTGGATTTCTGCATGGTCTTGGAAAGGATTCGAAAAGTTCGATCGCTCCAAAAGCAATGATACCTTGTTCACACATGAACCGTTCTGTGATTTATCCTTGAATCAAATTCACAACACTACGTTCCACCATTCTGTCTGCTGACTAAGTTCTGGTCTTCTTTCCTCTCTCATTTTAATTTCTATTAGCAACACGTGCGTTCTGTGGCCATCCTGACTAAGCCTACTAGTTTCCGCGGTGTTGGGGCCAGTGTACGAGTACCTGTGATACATAGGTATCTGGACTACGTAGAATATGACGTCAATGAACAATTCCTGATAAAGATAAGAGCGTTGTGAATGACACCAGACGACTGGAAGTATTTCTGGTCTGTCAAAATAGACTCAAGAGTTTCCGCGCACATCGCGATGCTCGCGCCCTAAGCGTCCGCCAAACCGAGGTTCTCGCACCTGCGGTGGTTGCCCAAGCGGGCCAACGGGTAAACACCATCGCCTAGGCGCGCTTGCATCACGAGAATTATGTACATGCGCGGCGACGTTCGATGGTACCAGATCTTCTAGTGCTCGGGGTGGATGTTCCGATGGTTAATATGGCTAAATTGGAGGGGCAGTTGAGCCTCAGTGGCTGGCGGGGCGGCTCCATAAAAGCACCTCCGCGACTACAAGTCAAGATGGATATTCGGCGGAACATTTCCTACACAATCCGAAACCTTCGTAACACCCAGCCATGGCGGACAAAAAGCCCTTTGTAACGCACCTCTACACCGCGGACCCCTCCGCGCACGTCTTCAACGGCAAGCTCTACGTCTACCCCTCGCACGACCGCGAAACGGACATCAAAAACAACGACAATGGCGACCAGTACGATATGAACGACTACCACGTTTTCAGCATGGAGGAGGTCGGCGGCCCCGTCACAGATCACGGCGTGGTCCTCAAAGTGGAGGATGTCCCATGGGTCTCCCGCCAACTGTGGGCCCCTGACGCGGCCTCCAAAAACGGGAAATACTACCTCTACTTCCCTGCGCGGGACAAGGACGACATCTTCAGGATCGGCGTTGCAGTGGGAGACAAGCCGGAGGGACCTTTCAAAGCGGAGCCAGAGCACATCAAGGGCACTTTCAGCGTGGATCCTGCCGTCTTCGTCGACGACGACGGCCAGGCGTATCTCTACTTTGGCGGGCTGTGGGGTGGCCAGCTGCAGTGCTACGCCAACGGGGACTTCGACAAGTCGCAGCTCGGGGCGAACGAGCCGTCAAAGGGGAGCGCGCTGCACGCCAAGGTGGCGAAGCTCAGCGACGATATGTTGTCTCTCGCGGGCGACGTCTCTGACGTCGTCATTCAGGATCCTACCACCAAGGCGCCCATCGCCGCGGAGGACCACGCCCGTCGCTTCTTCGAGGCCGCGTGGCTGCACAAGTACAATGGGAAGTATTACTTCAGCTACTCCACGGGGGACACGCATCTTCTTGCGTATGCGATTGGAGACACACCATTAGGTCCTTTCACATATGGGGGCACGATATTGGAGCCTGTTATCGGGTGGACAACACATCACAGCATCGCAGAATTCAAGGGCAAGTGGTATCTGTTTTACCATGATAGTTCGCTGAGTGGCGGAGAGAATCATTTGAGGAGTGCAAAGATTAGGGAGATTGTGTATGATGGGGATGGGAAGATCCATCTAGCGGAGCCACAGCCGCAGATCAAACCCCCGGCTGCGAGGCTGGAGGAGGAAGGGTCATAAGTGAGGGAAGATGTGAGTTATGTTGAATTACGAAGAATAGAACATGATATCCAACGCCAGATGTGGTACTGCAGCTCTGCTACCCTGGGGTCCAAGTCTCTTGTGGCACATCTTGAGATGAGCATTAGAGCCAGCCGACGTTTCAAGAGGCGGAAGAGAACGGTGAAGCAAAGATTCCTCTGTTGCATTGGGTTGATGAAGCGGAAAGAAAACACCGAAAAGACAGTGGGTCGGCGCAATAACACGTGCATCTTCTTTGAACGCTCCTTGTGTAGAAAGCCCGTCGACCTCCAGGGCGTTTTCCGAATCTTCCAACCCCGGATCTTTACCGACTTCCGCCCGCGCTGCTGCACCCATCCCGTCACTCCTCTCAACCACCTTGTTATGCGCCTCCCAAGCCATCTGCGCTGCTTCTGTGACACTGGGCTTCTTTTCCTGCCGCTTCCGCCACCCATCCCATGCGTCTTGAACCTCGGCCATAAGCTTCGTGCGCTTCGCCCTCGCCTGCATCATCTGGAATTTTGTAGATGTTGCTCCATCAGATGAAATGGGACTTCTTTGGCATGGCAACGAAGTTCTATCTTCTTTTTTGCAAGGCCGACTTCTAGGGGCAAAGACTTGAATAAGGTCTACCAAAGCCCGGAAAGCCTCTGAACTCTGGACGACTTGTGTTGGGTCATTTGTATGTTGAACGATCTTACTTTCAGCGCCTTCCAAAATTCAGCGAAGCATGATGATCGGTTGATTCGTTGAATTTGTTTCAGATGGTGGAGCTGATGCTGTTTGGTTTAAAGTGTATTGGAGTAGGGGTGGTGTGATGATTTGGCTTCTTGAGGCCAATGAATTCAGAGATGTACGGATTTATATGCTCACTCATGCAAGTGAATCATGATGAATTTGGCCATTGTGAGAATACTACATTAGACATCTGCACCTCTCCAGACAATCTAATCCTTGTGACCATGACCGTGGTGAGAGGAAGCATTACTTTAATTGAAGGAACGCTTGCACAGTTCTCATAACTACATATGCTACAGTAACATATACCTGCAGATTTATGTCTTGGAAAAGAACGAGTTTTTTCATTATGAAGCACCGTCATGAAACCCATATTAAGACGCCAGTTCGGAGCCCAGAAGAGCTCGCCGCTCGTTCTGCACACGCAAAACAGGCTCCCCCAGACCTTCGAATCACTGCATTTTTCCCTCTCTCCGAGCACCAGGCCCGAGCGAGCAGCTCTGCTCCTTTTCCTGTCGCATTGATAATCATGACATCTGTATCCTCTGTGTCTTCAGCCGTATGATCTTTTAGTCTTTCAATTGTCCAAACATACTTCTCGTCATATCGAGGAAGTTCCCTCAAATGCACCTCATGCGCACCATTGGTCCCTCCATAGCACGGAGGTATAGAGACAAAGACCGGATTTGTGAAGAGCTTGTAAGTGATGAGACTATCGCTGTCGTCCATCTTGAACACAACCTGCGCACGGTAAATCGCCGGGTGATCATCGTCCTTCGCCTTCGCTGAAAGATCCTTTTTCAATTGGATTGCCTTCAACTCGCACGTGCTGACTTGTTTGACAGGTGGTTCGGGTACCACCCAGTTGTTGGCATCTTGTATGTCTGACATCCATGATTCCACTTCTTCGTCTGGACAGATTCTTACTTCTGGGTGCACGTCGCCCGATCCACCGATGTAGACGTGCCCATTGTTTTGAAATGTCTTATGTTGTACCAAGCTAACTTGTCTTGCTCTCAGACGAACAAAGGATGGCGCATTGTGTGGGAGTGGCGGAATGAACTCTACTGGCGGGCATGGTCCAACCCATCCGCAGAGAGAGATGACCCCTGGTGCGCAGCCCAGCACTCGACCAAGCACCGTGCGGACGCGCCAATACGATCTTTTCGAAATCACCAAACCACTGTCATAGTCCATTTGTCCAACGACATCATCTGCGTTACTGATTGACGACGTACCGAGCACCAGAGCGGCCATTATCGTGCAGGAAAGCCATTGACCGGGCAGCGTCATACCAAAGAGCCAATCATACAGGTGCACTGGGAGCGTTTCACCTCCTCTTAAGCTGCTATACGCCTCTTCACAATAGTCCCGGACCTCATTTATCCAAGGCCACTTGATCTTCTCGGCGAAAAGGAGCAGTCCTTCAACCTGTTGCTCATGAATACGTGAATGTATTTCTACAGATTTCAACAGTGTGTCGAAATCTTGCTCGGCATATTGTTTTCTCAAAATATCGCGCTTCTTAGCATCTGCTTCATCATTGATAGCCTTGATGTCGGCCGCATCTTTCTCCTTTGCGTCGGCTAGGCCTCGTTTCATCGCCTCAGTGACGTCTCTCCCAGCCGTCTTGATAGCCAGCTCGTATGCATCGATCGCTCTTTTCCCCAGGCCAAGTTTAGCAGCCGCTTGGCCGTACCGGGACCAGGCTTTGGCGTACTTTGGGTTCAGTCGCGTAGCTACGTATGCATCTTCGAGAGCGTCTTCGTACCGACCTAACGCATAGCATGCTGCAGATCTGTTGTTGCGATAGACCGCGGAACCAAGGTCGATCTTCATGGCTTCCGTATACAGCTCGATGGCTTTTGTGTAATCTTTCCTTGAGAGTGCTTCGTTGCCGTCTTTCTTGAAGTTCTCAGCCTTGGCCTTTAACTCAGCCGTTTCTGGAGGTTTGATGCCGGAAATTTGCATTGTTGGGTCTGTCAGAATGATGTCAACGTGATTAAGCCATCGATCTGCCACGATCATCGAGGCCAGGACCCGAGGGGTGAATCCCGACGTCCAACCGTCCTGACGACTGTGCTCGAATCTTCTGATGAGTTCTTTGGCAAGAATAATTTGCCAGAGAAGATTCCACAGCCCACCACCAGCTTTCTTGGAATTGTGCCATTCCATTCCAATGCTTGACGTAGTCAAAAAGTTGGCGAAAATATCTGTACGATTTAGCAAGCTGTAAAGATCCGAAAGGTGAGTCATTTCTCTTCGCTCGTAGGATGGATCTACCCAATGGTGTCTAACGAGGAACAATCAGCAAACAGTCTTAGGGATTTGCAGTCGATGTGTGATGTGACACTAGACGGCATCCGCTCTTGAAATTGGCTGGCCCTACTCTGAAGAGTCCGCCGCACTTGAACGAAATGTAGATTGACATACCCCATGTTACCCGTGAATTCTCTGAGGTCATAATAATCTCTCTGAGGGTCCCATCCAAGTTTTTCTGCCCTGTTTTGCAGTTCAAAGAGTCTCCGAAGAAGTTTTTTGGACGTCAAGCTCTCATGATCGGAGGCATTAATGAGGATCGTTTGTTCTCGCGGGTGACGGGAGTCTTCTAAATTCCAGGCTTCTATTCCGAAGCCCTCAACAGTCACCGTCCCTGGAATGACATTTTCGTATTCGGGATAGCTTTCAACATCGAACAAGACTGAATTCTCTTCGGCATCATCATATAAATCTTCATCCTTGGTGGCGTTTCTTTTGGGCCGGAATCTCTTTTTCTTATACAAGTCTAGCATTAATTAGCACCTCATGCTCTCGCCGGAGAATGACTTACCAAATGATGCGTGGATGCTTTTGACAAAGCCTTTGTCTTGTTCAGCCCACCAGGGGCTTTCCGACTTGTCACCCCAATAGCAGTGAGATGTTACTTTTGATGAGTAATCGTAAGGTCCGAGGACCGCTAGAGTGAGAGCTCCTTCATGTTTCTTGTCGCAGTAAAGTTCTACTGCAGCCACCCTTTTCTCCAATTCCGTCATCTCAGATTCCGCAGCACGTGCCGTCTGCCCGTCGTCTCTGTCTAACTCAGCTTCATCATTCTGCCAGTTTGCATCTTGTTCCAACGGATTTTCCTGCACAGTGAGAAGTTCCGATCGCATTGTGCTCGCCGCACCGAGCGCTTCCAGTCTGGCACTTGCGCAATCAGAAATATCGTTATGCTCTTCTGCTGTTGCCTCCTGCAGTAAATGAAGCTCTTCCATACTTGCGCTGCTCTCAACATCTTCCCTTATGACTTCCGTGATCCTGGCTCTCGAGCCTACAAAGAGACTTTCCAAATTGTCATTGAAACCCTTGATTTCCACAATCAAGGTGTGAAATTTCTGCTTGTCTCTTATCGCCCACATAGTCTTCCTCGACATCCGTGTTGTGGTTTGCCTTTCTCGAGCATTCTTTCTAAGAGCTTCATAGGCTTTCTTGAAAACTGCCCCGAGGATCGGCTGCCCTTGAGGTGAAGAAAGCATATCCTGCGTATTCACAGCCCAGGGCCGGAGACCATATTTATTCTGCAAGTTATTTGAATTCTCGAACAATTGGTGTATACATCCAAGTACTTGCACGACCGTGTCGGCCAGCTCGCGTCTCTTCAGTCGCGGGTCTGAGAAGGTGTTGTCATCGTCTTCTCCAAGTCCGATCGCATTGCCCCAGCTATGCAGGCGAATTCTCTCGACTTCGAGCTTTACGCGAAGAAGCTCATACTCCATGCCATGATTCCGGCTCGAGTCGACCACCTCAAAGGCATCGACACATGTTTTCCAAAGTGCCACAATGCCCAAAACTAGCCCAGCGACCTCAGTCATTTGTCTTCCAGATGACTCGTGAACAGTCAATTCAAATGTTGTTAAAAGTTCAAGTGCCACGGAATGGTATGGTGCAGAGAACCAAGTGGAGCCCGGACCTGCACCCCACCTATATACGAAGGAGTCGCATAGGCTGAATTTTTCGCGTTAGGTCGTGATTGTTCACCGGTCGCATAGCTGGCCTTATTGGAGGATTGGGCGGGAAATAGTCCACGAGGCGTTCGCGGCTAAGCCATTTCCGGAAGTGCTGCGTTCCATAGCCACCTTTCCCTGCGTTGCCAATCTGCTGAGGTATTACTGTTCGAGGCTGAAGAATGGTGAAACATTTATGCATATGCGCCCACCAATGCCCAACTGCAGGCTACTCATACAACAACAGATATAGCCCAGTGCTCCCTGGCGTCCACTACCCAGTGGGGCAGAGTATCTTTGTCGGAAAGCCCAATGCAGTTTGCCTGGATACTATATCGCCATGTAGCTGGTCTTATTAGGTCGGTAGAAGCTAATCTATAAAGTAGGACCTGCTGGCTTACCACTGAACTTTTGCCGCAGGGGTTTGTACTCCCATACACTACATCCTTTGCTCTGACTTGTTGTTCGCGTGCTAGGCAGAAGTCCAGCATCGCTGTGGAAAAAGTAGTAAGTTAGGATTTCTGCATTGATAGCAGACTGTTGTCTGTCTGCAAACGAGGAACTTGTTGAGACCACAGAGCCAATAGACAAGAACCGCGTCAGCGTGTTCTTTGGATTCGTCTTCTCCTCTAACGCAATGTTCTCCATCACATTTTCGACGGGAGAAGTTTGGCGACTACTCTGTGTTTCGTCGCTGCCAATTTGGCTACGCTTCCCGGATTTGGGTCGCTCATGCCGGGCAGTGTCCCGAACTTGGAACAATTGGGTTCGAACAAAAGAATTTTACTTTGAACAATGAATCTCAATAGATAAATTTCAGCGATGAATTTGAGGATGTAGTTTCAAAAATGATGAATGCCGGAGAGTGATTCACATGGTGAGGTGTGGGGAAAAATCCATTAAGCATCTATGGTGGTGGTCCTCAACAGCGACCTCTCAGGGCTTCAGCATCTATGATTAGCCCCATGATACTTTCGGGTCGTCCTCGTACTGTTCAAATATGCAGTAGCGATGATTGCGGAATTCGGTATCGTGGGTCTCACAGCTAAAGAGTTATGGAAGACTATCGGACAAGCGTGGTGAGGAATTATGAGATGTCTGCTAACCTAAGACCTGATATGATAGCACATCTAAAGCTCCCGCGGCTTCAGGCAAGACACAGACTTTGGTAAATTCCGAGTTCAGGGCGAGCGCGCACAAACGTCTATGAATGTGCGGCCCATCTAGCCCCCCAACGGTACCATAGTACACTGAGACCCGCCTCACGACACCCTACCGTTTCCTGATAACACCACCGGTACGGGTCAGTACCCAGGTCAAGGGCTCGCTACCGCTTCAAAATGTTTTTATTCAACCGCCTGATTTTGACACAATACAGCTTCCGCAAAGTGCGCAGTCTCTCAGCTTCTCTACACTCCAGCGCAAATTCGAAGACTCATTCTGCACCCACCGAGTCCGAGATCTTACAACATGCAAGCGACCGCCTCCAGAAACTGGCCCCAACGCGCGAAACTACCCATCACTGTTTCCACACGCCCACCACCCGAACGTTGCATCCTCAGTCAAGCCACTGGCCAGCCTCTCCCCATTAACCCCCTCTATGCCAGCGCCCTCCGCAACTCGCTGAGACAATTAAGTCTTCGGCCCCCAGAAGTCAGAGTCCCACGCCCTATCCGTGGCCGTACGAAGAAGATTTCAAAGGCCAAATCACGAGGAAGCCACCAGGACAAAGCGAGGAGATATTGCCCGTCTCCTCTCCGGAGAGAGGTTTTGGCCGAGGAAGTGGAAGTTAAAAGCTCTTCAATACCGGTTCCAAAGCCGGTTGGACTGCCAGCCCCGAGTCCAAAAATATTGAAGAGATTGATCAAGCTCAATCTCTTCCGCACAAAAGAGGATTCTGCGCCAATTTACACTCCAGGAAACATGCCACGCATGTTTCTAGCGTCCTCCGGGAGAACTCAAATCCAGTTTCAGCCGCGGATATACCACTGCCAATTCGCCCGACTTCAGCGTGCAGCCATTCCGGAGCGTGGAAGACTTTTGAGACGCTCGCTCGCGCTGAATCAAAAGCAACAACTGCACGTCACAAGAAGGGCGCTGAGACAGACGTCGAGTATTGTGCTGGAAGAGCTGGGGCAGAAACGCGACGCGATCGATACAGCCTGGTGCAAACGCTGCAAACACTGTTTGAAGCACGAGCGGAAGAGGATACTGAAAGCAGCTAAGCAAGAGTTAAAGAGAACTTTGAAAGCCATAGATGATTCAAGAAAGGAGGAGGAGCAGCAGTTTGACCACCTATATCGAATTGCGAAACAAAGGAGTCAGGGCGAGGACGGAGAGCACGGCAGTGTAGAAGGCGGGGATGGTACAGTAAAGAAGGTTCTGGGACTGCATTCGGGTTCGAGAAGGATCAACGGGTTCTCGAAGAGGGTGCTGGTGTTGCGAGGGGCTGACCTCTTCAAAGAAGCAAGTTGCAAACGTGGTCACGAGGCAGAGGACGTGGAGGATTAGCTGAAGCCCGGTGGCTCTCAGGATAAGCCCGATAACGCCAGATGCCCATGATGCGCAAGGACATGCTGCCGCCTCATATATCAAGTGCGGCTACTCCAGACCTCAACTAGCCTCAACGGCTTGACTCTGGGGACGGCTGCACGTCCGGTTGCATCTCTAGCTGTACAAAAGAATACTGGATTGCGTTCTAGCTGAAATGAAATTACTAGTTGAATCAGAAACTCAATTCTACGCATACATCTTCTAGGCTGGAGGTTCAGCACAATGATTGGACTATGCTCTTTCTTTTTCGTGGCACGAGAATGCTCCTCAGAAGGGTGATTTGTGCACAAATGAGGCATCTGCCACTAAGCGCCCTAGATGTCTTATCGATAGATGAGTCAGCCACTTGTCTCGATTTGGAGATCTGTGTATTATCTTCACCACCATGGACGCGCCGCTGCCTCGCAACCTTAGCAGTCGGTGAGGGGACCATCCCGTAGCCCCAAGAAGATTGTATTCACCGAGCTGGACCCCGTATCTCCGCAATAGCCGCCATGTCTGCGTCCTCACGCCCCGACGCGGCACGCCGCACCTCGACCATGAACAAGCGCACCTCGATCCTCCCCAAGCACACGGCGCTCTTCATCGACCCTTCCGCCCTCGTCGCCCAACACGCCGGCTTCACCGGCACGCAGCCCATCACCGTCGGCCCGAACGCTGTCCTCCACCCTCACGCAAAAGTCAGCAGCGCGCTTGCGCCCGTAGTCATTGGGGAGAACGTGGTGCTATGGGAGCGGGCAAAGATAGGCGTTGGTATGGGAGACAGCATGGACGAGAGTAAGAGGAATAGTGTGGCTAGTATGGCGTCAAGGACTAGTGTGCGCGATTCTTCGCGCGGAGAAGGCACCGTGTTGGGACGCAATGTCACGGTCGAGGCGACGGCTGTCGTGGAGGCGGCGGAGGTGGGGGAAGGCAGCGTAATTGAGGTTGGGGCGTATGTGGGGAAGGGTTGTGTCATTGGGAAGGTGAGCTGCACCTGATCAGACAAGAGACCAACATGCTGATGGGTACAGTTCTGCACGATTGTCGCACATTGCGTTCTACCAGCCAACACACACATCCCTGACTACATGGTGGTACACAGCGCGACCGAGTATAGGCAGAACAGGACGTTGCTGCTGAGGCCAGAGGTCTTGGAGATGCGCACCAACTTCCACACCACGCAGATTTCCACATTTAAGAAACTGGTGCCGAACCAGGTTGCGAAGTGGGCCTCGTAATGCATGAAAGGGAAGGGACAAGCAATCAAACCCATGCCTTATCTCAGTGAGGTGCAGATGACAGTACCAGAGCTGTGTAGCAGGAGGAGTTCTCCAAGGTTTGAGGTCTTTTCCTGACGTCGAGTCTCGCTGACATGCCCGCAGTAGTTGATGATACCCAGAATGGAACAAGTGTTTTTGTTCTAGATCTCGAGACAACATAGGCAGGGATCCCGGGATCGCGACCCGCGTTGACAGCTGAGTGGGAGTCCTATGTGGATCTGTCTTGGCCAGTCTGAGCTTCGAAGAACTGCAATTCTACCATTGCATCAAGCGTGCTGCTTCTTTACCAGATCTTATCGGACCGACGGTAGCAAGCAGAAAAAATACACCACGTCAAGTTCCGCACGCACGCGCCACCTTACAAATGCGAGTGGCAGCATCCGATTGCGGACAACGATAGCGATGGTCCTTATGATATGACCGTTGCTATGCACTCGCAGAAACCCTTGGTCAGGTCGGATAAGATTGCGCCCAGGACCGGCTATGACGCAGCGGCCAAGAAGGGCAGCTCCGCCCTGGTTGTGGTTCATTTAAGGTAGGCGCCTACCCAGCCTGCCAATTACAGGTAGTGTGCCCAGCCATAACGCTCCGAATGCTAAACGCGAAACGGCCGAATTTCTTCTCAAAACGAAACACCTGCTGCGACTGCGGAAATGATGCCGTGGCTGGGCAGAAAATGCAAGAAACATGCGACCGCTGGGTTGCAAGCGTCCGCAAAAGGGCCGCTGGACAGCAATTTCCTCAAGCTGTGGTAATGCTTGGATAAGACGTGCTTGGCTGCTGCTCTTGCCAATTTCTTTGTCCTGTGTATATAACCAAGAGCACTTGGTGTCTGGGTAGGACTCGCCACTCGTCGCACTTCTCCAACCCAAAGTCACTCTTTCACGATGCGCTGCTCGGTTCTTGCTCTTGCGTCTGTCGCACTCGCTGCGAGGCCGTTTCTGAACGAGCCTGATACTGGGTAACAGAATTCATTCGATTGCGAGTCCTTCCAAGCTGACATTCATAGCATCGAAGGTGTCCTTGGCTCTACCGCCAACGGCACCCTCCCGCCGTTGGAACAGATGGTTGGCCTTCCCGACTTCGACTGGGCAGCCCGGCGCGCGATGTCGCCGCGGAACTACACATACTACCGCAACGGAGCAGCGGGAGAGTGGTCATACAGGAACAACCTTGAAGTCTTCCAGCGTTTTCGCCTGCGACCGCGTGGTGAGCAACTCCCCTCCTCGTTTATATACACGTCAGCTTACGGTCCCCAGTCTTGGTAGATATCACCAAGATCGACAGCTCGCTCCCAACCACCATCCTAGGCCACAACTTCTCCGCCCCCTTCTTCATCGCGCCCTGCGCCCGCGGCGGCTACGCGCATCCTGATGCGGAGCTCAACTTTGTCAAGGGCGCCGCCTCCGGCGACATCCTCTACATGGCGTCCCTTTTCAGCACCAAGACGACGGAGGAAATCTACGCTGCAAAGGCAAACAGCTCGCAGGTGCTGTTCCAGCAGGTGTACCTCACGGACAACATCACCGAGACGCAGGAGCTCTTCCAGAAAATCGAGAAGCTCGGCTCCAAAGCCATTGTGCTCACGGTCGACTCCGCTGCCGACGGAAACAGACACCGCGCGAAGCGCTATGGTGTCGGGTCTGCGGATAGCTCGTACAGTTATCTGACGTGGGACTTTTACCGCCAGCTCAGCAACATGACAAGCCTACCCATCATCCCCAAGGGCATCCAGACGGTCGACGATGCGCGCCTTGCGGTCAAGAATGGCGCAAAGGCGATTTACTTGTCCAACCACGGTGGCCGCCAGCTTGACACCACGCCGTCATCGCTCGAGGTCGCGCTCGAGATCTACGAGGAGGAGCCGGAGATCTTCAAGCAGGTCGAAGTGTACGCAGACGGCGGAATCCGCTATGGCGCTGATGCGTTGAAACTGCTTGCGCTTGGCGTACGAGCGGTGGGTCTGGGACGTCCCTTCATGCTCAGCAACGTGTATGGCGAGGAAGGTGTGAAGAAAGTTATTGACTTGATGAAGCATGAGATTCTGATTGACGCGGCGAACTTGGGTGTCGCGGATTTGAAGGCAATTGGGCCGCAGTACGTGAACTGGAAGAGTGTGAACCAGTGGTTCAGCTAGGCGGGTTGTGGATGGACGCAGTCGGCAGACGCTCGCTTTGAGCTTTCTTTGTAAATGTTTGTACTCAAGGCATTGAATCATATGCATGACCTCCACCTATCTACCCCCCAAGCTTCACTCTCCCTTCCCCTGCTTCCCATAAAACGCCTGCTCCCCGCCCAGTTCCTTCAGCGCCTCCTTGGACTTCTCCTTCGACGCTTGGCTCGTGTCTTCATCGTTTCCATTAGCATTCTACCCAGGCCATATACCTACGGAACATACTCGGATTACTCAGATTCGCCTTGTGCCCGCTTGCGGCGTGGCTGATGTCTTCGGCGGTGTTATTGATGTTCTGGTCCTCCTCGGAGAGACCGGCGGCGTTGGCTTGGTAGCTGGGCTCAGTCATGTTGGGCGACGTAGCAATTGGTCTCTGGATAGGAAGATTGGATGGATGAGGAGGTTATGCTGGGGTGTCGAGGCGGCTGTGGGAGTGGGTGGCTGAGGGATGGGAATCTGTCGTGCATCATCGCGCGCCCTTGAGCTTCTTATACCTCCGATGCTTGAGAATTGCAGGGCCGCGCATCGATGATGCTCATTACGTATGGGCTTGAGGATACGAGGGCGCGTTGTGTGGTGGTGGTGAGCAAGGTTTAGGTGATGTCATTATCCGGGGTCTAGCGTGGCTCTAGGATCTGTTGTTTGTATTACCGTGGACTTGGATGTTGGACGACTTGGCTTTAATATGCGAAATGCCGCGCATGACCTAGGTATCTCGATTCGCGAGAGTAGGACTGCGATTCGCGAGGTTTGAGACAATGGGCAGGCTGGGCTGGGGATCCGCGGGATGTGAGTGGATGGTGGGTGTGCTAGGATTCCTGGCATACGAGGACGGAAACAGATGAATGGATACCATGTGTCGTCAACATATATGCTTGCATCTGGGTGTTGCTTCTACGGAGCTAGTTACGTGGCTCATCCTGTCAAGCCCTCTTCACACGGCAGCCGTCGTGCATTTGCGCTTTGCTATCGGCTGTTCTTCTAGAATCGACTCGCAAGCTCACTCCATTAGTCTGTTAAACTTATATCAGGTAATGTAGAGGGGTATAATCAGTGAAAGCACTCCATCAGCTCCTTCGTCAACTCCGCCTTCCCAGCCCCAATATCCTTCAGCAAGTCCACTCTCGCAGCCACCGCCTGACAAATCGGATGATCATCCCCTACACACACCTTCTCATGCGCATATTCCTTCTCCGCCCACAGCAACGCCAACTTCGCATTGCCCAGCTCCAGACAGTACCGCGCAGCATCATGATAACTCGTCCTGAGCTCTCTATTCGCAATCCCCTCCGCGACCTGCAGCCCCGCCAGCTGCGTCGCCGCCTTGAGCGCCTGCGACGCCGTCATCTCGTTCCCATACACACTCTGCCGCGCGAGCTTCTGATCCAGCTCGAACATCTGCTTCCGCCTGGCTTCTCGCTTCTTGCCCTCGGCGTCCGGAGTGCACGCAGCGCACTGGCACACGAAGCCCCACATGTCGAGCTTTGGCTGGCGCCATGACTTCAATCGACTACCCCCATTGATGTACGAGATGAATAGTTCTTCGCCCTCTGCAATGTCCCGGACGGCGTGGAACGTGCCCCGCTCGATGGCAGGGTTGTACTCGTAGTGCACGTTCGGGATGCACGAGTGGTTGATTCGAGATGGTAGGTCATATACGCCAACCTCGAAGCTGTTCGCGTCGTACACGCCGATAGCGTCGCGCTCCCATTGCTCTAGCGCCTCCCACCGCTTGCCGATGTGCCTTTTGACAAGGTCCTTGCGCACGGGGGGCGCAAAGGGGTGAAGGGCGAGGTACGCGGCGCGGTCGGCGGCACTGAGCTTGTTGACGGCGGCGAGGATCTCGGCGGGATTTTCACCGCCATTGAGGGAGAGCAAGAGCGGCGTGGAGAGGATGCGTGTGGCGCGTGGTATTGGGGAGGTTGCGAACACTCCGAGGCCGCTTGAAGGCGTATCTTTTACGGTGATGAGGTGGCGGGCATCGGCGGTGGGGGGCGCAGAGTCCGACTGAGAGGGGTCGTTGGTGCCTGCTGCGCCCATTGTGCTCGGTCTTTGGCTTTTGGATGATGGTTTAGAGTCGCGCGGATCAAGTTTTGGGTGCGGCCTGTCATGAATACGAGTCACTGTTGGTATGGGTGAGCGAGGTGAGAGTCAGTTGCAAGAATTCGACGGTGTTTGGCGGCGACGCGGGGCCAAGATTTTTCGTTGGACCAGCTGGTGAGGCGTCTATGGTTTGGTGAAAGAACCCTTGATTTCCTCCATCATCGGATGCCGCCGGAGATGCATGATCATCTCTTTGGCGCCGCAACCCGATTTCTGATGGTCTCATCTGCGTTCTATTCCATTTCTTCGGTGTGGTTAGGAGCCCGCATTCTCCGAGACTGTGAGGAAACCACGATCACGATCCGTCTCCACCACCATTCCTTATCTAGAAAGTTTACCGATCAGCCATCCACGGATCGCAAAGTGAGTCGTGAAATCGTACAAAAGCACTTTTCGCTTCGGATGGATCCCAAATAAACATCATAGACGTAGGTGCATCGAGCTGATTAATATCTCCAGTCTGCGATGGAAAAAAGTGCCCTTCGCGGCGTGGAAGGATAGTGCAGTACGCGCCAATCAGAAAGGAAGGATCCTGGCCCGCCACCAATCACCATCGAATGTTTGCCCTGGACCGAAGTAACCCCAACGATAGCCAGCGTACATTTGCTGAGCGAATCTATCTGAGCTCAGCGAAAGATTTCCATTTTTTGTTCGGCGACAAGGAGTTCTGATGCTGTATCGTGGCTTCAAGACGCGCGAACGAGAAACATAAAAATCAATGTCAATCCCACCAAGAACATAGAGAAGGGCCTTGATGACTCGACGATATGCACCGACGGACTCCTCGTTTAGTTGCGCCTTGGTCTTGCGATTGAGAAACGAGAGGAGCGGTAAGCTATCGGGACCGCTATCCCATTGTCAGATTTCATCAATAGCTAGTAGGGGAAAGCTGAGCAATCATGAGTGGTGCTTCTGTGTCCTCGTCGAAAGGGCATCGCAGAGTGCATGCTGCAGCAAAACGTGATGACAAGGTTTCTGCCGGGCGTGGAAAGCTGCTGATGAAGAGGAGTAACCAGTATGGAAAAGGGCGAGATTTTCTTCATTTCTCCGTGTCCGTGAATGCACAGCATGTTGGTGTTTCTCGACGACATTTACGCTAGAAATTCTTTGTTTCTCGTCATTCATAGTGAGCGGGAATGGAAGGAAGATCGACTCTACAGATTAGAAGAATGGCTCCCGGATCCGAAGCAGATAAGTAAAGGTTACCTTGACAGTTTTTGGACTACCGGCCAAGGCAGGAGCTTGGCAACGTTTGATTGGCGACTGTGAGTGATTTACCAATTGCTTCCTCGTTCAGCGGTAAGCGAGAGTTCAGAGGAATTGGAGGCATCAGAGGAATCAGTGGAATCGAATCAGATGGCTGCAGACTGCTCTCCTAGTCGAACATAATAGATATCTGAAACGATGGAAAGATGTACACGAAAATAGCCTAATACAAGAGTCTCGACAAGCCAATCACCCTTCAATCAGCCCATGTTCCTTGAACCCACCAACCCACCGATCAAACGTATCTTCGGATTGCGCAACCTCAACATCGGTGCTAATGAGCGCCACTTTGAGACCTTTAATCTGGTCCTTGTTGATCTCAAAATTACCCTAGAAACTTAATCAGCAAATCGGCTCTCAAGACGGCGCAATGCATCGCTCACCAATCCAAGCTTGTAATGCAGGTTCTGCGTCAAGTACTCTAGCGCGTCATCCTCTGTCGTCGCACCTGACTTAACAGCCTTCTCCAACGCGAGAGACAAGTCAATCGTATGCGTAGTCGTCTGATCGACTTGCAATCCGGGCGCGCCAAGCGTAGACGCCAGGCCGACGAAAGAGTCTGCGGTCTGCCAGTCCTGTACATCGGAGGGGACTTCGCCTAAGAAGAGCAGCACGTTGTATGGTGCAGCGCCGCCTATGCCATTGTCTAGACCGTAGGATGGGAGGTTGATCTCAGCAAGGTAGAGCTCCTTCAATGCAGGCGTTGTCTCGCGTTGCAACACACGCCTTGCCTTTGAAGTTGTGACGAGCACGTCTGAGGGGCCGGAGTATTGCGCCTTGATCGAAGCCACTATAGTGGCGTTGGTGGGGCTGTTGGCAAGCTCAGGGTAGGTGTAGCCCAAGTCAGTGATGCTGCGCGCCGAGTTTGAGGTCCAGAAATCGCCTGCTGCGTTCTTGTGGAATGGTGTCAGGGCTCAATCGTCCGTTAGCAACCCATATGAAGTGGCCCCGAAGAAAGGGGATACTTACGCGATGATGCATCAAGCTGGTCGCCAATGCTAATGGTGTAGGTAGGCGTGTTTGCTACACAAGAGACGATATATGTGCCGGGGAAGATAGCCTGATGTAGGGCAAGCTGTCGGTCAACATTGCTACATCGATTGGTTAGGATTCTTAATTTCCTGAAAAATTGCCCGAGACTCACGCGTGATGCATCCAGAACATAGGGTCGAAAGCTGTAGCGCCACTTGGGCTCATGTGTCCAGGGAAATTAGCGTTGTGGATTGCATTGTGCAGGTTCTCTAGACTCCCAGCCTTTCCAGAGCCATCACAACCTTGAGCAGTTGATGCCTGCGTAAAGGTCTGATATTGAGAGAGGATGTTGTAGAGCAATGTACGCTGACTTGGCAGGATCGAGCGGAGCTTGGAATTCAGCGCAGGGTGATTGCTTGCCGTTTCTCCAGCGCGAATAGTCCTGTCATTGTTCTGGCAGACCGCAGGCAGACCTCCAGTGGCACCTCCTGGGCCAGTAAACAGTGGGCAACCCTGTTCCTGTGAGTCGAGGGACTGGGAGCGCAGAGACCTTATACTTACTGTACCGTTGATTTCTTTGTTGTCCAGAGGATGGAAGTTGTAATCATACAGTGGATTGTCGATCTGTGCAGCTGTGCCATTGGGAAATGTAACCGCGACTTTCTCGTTGGTCATAGATGTGGGCACCACAGGTTGGTCGGTTGGGAGAGCCTTGGCCCAATCCCAGTAAGGGATTCTAATTTTCGTTGCAGCATCTTGGTATTTGGTTCGAGAAGCGGTGGGGAATCGGCTGGCGATGCTTTGCGCAACTTTTTGTAGATTTTGCTTTTGTATCTAAGTACAACGCAAGCTTGAAAAGAGAGCTTTCGAGAACCTACCTCGAAAAGAGCAAGATAAGGGCGATGCCAGGTGCCAAAGAGCAGATGGTTGTGCGGACAATATCCGACCGACCCATTGCCGTTTACACCATCCCATGCATAGCTTGTGAAAGGTTAGGGACATGTGCGCTTCTCCTAAGGGAACTTACAAGGGCATTCCATGTATACCTAGATCGACATTAGATAACGAGCCGTGATAGGAGTAGGAACTGACGAACCGGCAATCTGGTACCACGAATCAATGATATGCTGGTCTATGGCCTGAAATTCCGTCATAGCAAGTAGAAATAAATTCCATGGCTCTCCACCCGCCTTCTCCAGGTCGCGAACCTCTAAACGGGGGTGAATGCCTCCTGTCGCGCCTGTAATTGCATAGTACGATCCAGGACCTTGACGCCTTTCTACTAGACTACTTTCAGCGGGAAAAAGTGGGGAGGCAGTGGTTGTTGCTGTCAACAAAGATACTAGTCCGATTGTGAAATACATCATGGTTGTGAAAGGAACTACAACGAGAGTCCAACACAAAAGTGGAACGAGAATGCAAACTACAGGCCAGACTACATCACCCAGCTTGGAGCTTTATACTACTCAACCCTTGACATCTAGATGCTGCCATCGCTCATTCGTAAAGCAAAGACTCTCATGTGGATAGAGCGCCGCCACATAAGGTATTTGCACTGAAGGAGCTTTTCTCAACTTGTACTATTGGCTGAAACGTTTCTGGATGTCTTAAAGACTGAGCGAGAAGGATGTCGAACGTTTATTCGCGATGAGGCGGAAGGTAGACCTGGTCTGTGGGAAATGGGCCGTCAGCCGCCACTAAGCCCCACGTGGGTGCACCGGCATCATGCGTGCAAGAGTACAACGCTGCATCTCTTACGGCGTCAGCAACTTATTCATGAAGGGTAAGAGGATTGTATACTGGGGGACGTATAGGTCACATTATCTGCTGAGACTTCATGGAAGGATCACCTGTGCGACCGCCGAGAAGTTATTTAGTACACATTCTTCCATGACCGATGTCTGTCTCCACATGTAAGCTTCACGCCTTTTGTCTGTGCTTTGTCATTAGATCGGAGGACTTCGTGTTATAAGGTAGAATCTGTTGCTTTGTACTGCTTTGTGGAACGGCTCGCTCGCTCCCTCGCGCGAGTACAATCATGTCAAGGCGACGTCGACTCCCGTTTGCGATAGGATGCGCAAGTCTTGCAGTGAGGAATAGGGACACGCGCGTATGGATACGAGCGCACGAGGCACAGAGGCGAGATGACGAATCCTGCAGGCACATCGCTTCATGCGGGCGGCCTGTAAGCAGCACCGCCACCTAGAACCTGTCGATGCAACTTAATGGACGAGCCATCAGGTGTAGCTTTCGTGAGATCAGTGAAGACGCGTTGGATAATGAAGGGCGCCTAAGCGTTCCCGGGGAATGTAGCACAGAAACGTGTCAGCGCACAGTTGATGTAAGTTGCATGAAGAGAGAGAGAACTTAGAGAAAGCAACGACACTGGCAGTTCCGCAGTGGTGTCGACATACCCACGTGATAACAGGACGGAGATGGACAACTGCGGTTCCTCACGGTTCGAGGCGAGGAGGCCCGCTGCTAGCGCGTTGCTAGCGTGAATGTTCTCCCGATCCTTTGACCTCGCCTTCCACATCTCACATGTCCACCTCGTTGGATTATCGCAATCTATATATTTGTTTCAAACCAAGACGTTCCATGTATAGGCCCATGAGTTATAAGATACAGACTTTTGATGAGCGGGCAATCAAAGCAGTAGTGATGTCATAGCGCTCGGGACGCATCTCATCGCAAGCATTTGCTCTACCAACCACTCCCTGTTGAAACGCACATAAAATTTTCCTCGATTCTCTTCCCAATGAGCTTACCGAATCGATCTGTAGACTGTGCGATCTCCCCAATGTCGAAGCCTTGCGGCTCACCTGCCACCGCCCATACAACGTTGCGAATGATGACTTATTCGAAGATGCCATTGGGCACATAAACCGGACGCCGAGCCTACATTGTTTGCAGGAAGTTGCGGGCAACCCACAATTCGCCAATTCTTTCGAGAGACTGAGGATTTACACTGATGTTCCAGAAATGGTGGGATTCGATGCCTGGCTCTATGAAACGGTTGTTAAAGAGAACCCACGATTCGAAAACTTCGAAGTGGGGGAATCCTTCACGTATTGCGGAACCGAAGAACCCGAACCCGAGGAAGTAGTTTACGATTTAAAGGCCGGGGCCCCGAACTCGTACGCAGAGAGTCTCGCATTATTCAATGACTCCAGGTGCTGAGTTTCCTACTCCGTCAGAGGAATCCAGGAACCGAGCAGAGAATAAATGAAACGATATGGATCCCACAATACGGGTGACGGACCAAAAGCATTGTGCAACCTCTGGGATTGAACTCGCTTTGAGCTTAGGTATGTCGTGCCGAGGACGGGACATCAAGATCAATCGACTCGCGGACAGGCGGGTCCGCCGATGCGCGTCGTGGGGCTATGACCGGCAGAAAGGCTATTGGACCACATTAACAACCGCACATCCTTTACACTGAGATTTTCGGATTTATATATTGAGTACAATGATTGTGGGGCGTGCAATCAATTTACTAGGTTTAGATAAGCGCTCTCACGTTATCTCAGCTCTCATTGTTGATTGTCATCAATGGGGCACACTTCCGCACCTTCTATCGTTCAAGTTCCACGTCGTGAGATTCCGGTCGCGATGTTTGGATTCCGCCTTCTAGCGCTTGTTTCCTTTGCACGCAATGCCTTAGCTCAGAGCGGTATCGAGCTGGATGAGCCTATGTTGAGAGGGGGAGGAAAGAGGGGACCAGGCGCCATGCTGCGATTTGGATGTTCTCAGGTAGGCGATATGATACAATCGTGAGGCAGAATGTTAATTATTCAGGTTGTTATCGAGCGACTGGACCCGTAGGTCTAATTGAATTGTCGAGCATGATCGCACATTTAACTGACACGTTCAGTCTCGTGAACCCAGGCTTAACCCCATCGACTCATATGCATCAAGTGGTGGGAGGCGTATGGTATTTTCGCCACCATTATCCAACAATGACCTGAACCCAGACAGAATGCTTTCTCGGCTTCAATGCCTTCTACCGACATCTCTAAACTTGCTACCTGCAACACTTGCCACTTTCTCGAAGACTTTAGGTACGTGCATCGACAACCACTGACCGAATGTTCTATTGATGTCAGACTAGCAATTACTGGACAGCAAACATCTACTTCAAAGCACGTAACGGCACCTACAAGCGTGTGCCACAGATTGCGAACCAATTCAACGAGGGCGATAACGCAGGAATCACGTTGTACTACACGTCGCCGAATGTGAACGCCACGACTGCGTTTAGCCCAGGCTTCCGAATGCTCACCGGCGATCCAATGAGACGCACGTCCGAAGGATTCGGCAAGAACATGCAGCAATGCTATCGCTGCTATACAGAGCCGAACTGGGGCGGCAGTCCGTATCCTCCCTGCATGGACCCGAAGTACGACACGGACCATTTCCCACAACAGCCGTGCGCGGGGGGCATCAGATCGAATATCATCTTTCCCCAGTGCTGGGACGGGACAAATCTGGACTCGCCAGATCATCGTGCGCATGTTGTGCACCCGCTGAATGGACCAGCCGCGTTTCCGGTCGTCAACGTTACATGTCCCGCAAGCCACCCTGTACATGTGCCACAGTTGATGTATGAGGTTATGTGGGATACATCGGCCTTCAATAACAAGGACGACTGGCCGGCTGATGGGAGCCAGCCATTCGTGCTCTCCACTGGCGACAACACTGGATACGGTCAGCATGGCGACTATGTCTTTGGCTGGAAAGACAACTCGTTGCAGCGCGCTATGGACAGTGGATGCTACCTCCGCAACTGTTCATTGCTTACGGAGCAGCCGCCCAAGATCAAGAACCTGTGCAACGTTCCAGTCACAGTGGACGAGGACATCGATGGGTGGATGGATGAGCTGCCTGGGGGTGGTATGGGGAATTAACCATAATATTCTTTTTTCATTAATCACACGGAACACTGCCCACATCAAAGCCTGGGGCGCGACGGTTCGAGCAACCTACGCGCCTTGTCGTTCTCCTCTCTCCACCACTTCTTTCTTAGCTCGTGTCCTCTCATGAATGTTTCCTCCCACGAGCGATCGAAAGCAGGCAGCTTGCGACCTGGTTCACCTTCTTTCGGTTCACCCGCAAGCTTCCTCAATGTCTCAAAATACTCCTCGAAATCAGGGAAGATCAATAAGAACAAGCCGCCGTCGCCTCGCTTGGCAATGCGCTCTTTCTCCCACTGTTGCTGTTCCTCTAGTGGCGGTAACTTGGCACGACCTGACAGAATGCGCGCAGCTAGCACGCCCTGCCACTCGAACACTTTGAACGTCAAGCCTGCTCCTACGGCTCCGACGAATAGAAGTGTGTGATCTTGTTGGTATACAACGTGCTGATACAATCCGGGAACGCGGTTGTTTCGTACCTCCACCTTTGGTAGAAAAGAGAGCGACCACGAATAACCGGTACCAAAAATGATGTGATCGACATCCGCGACTGAGGTACCATCGATGAAATGAACAGTCCTCTGGCCGTCAGCAGTGGAGACGTGTGAAATGGAAGGTTTAGTCGCGATTGCTGGGTGCTTGAACGCCACATCGCCGAAGTAGCCGTTTGCTTTGTGGCCTTCGATAACTGCGTATACCGGCTGTTGTGCAACTTGTGCAAGATCGTATGCGATGTCGGCCGCAGAAACGGAAGCTCCAACCACGACCACTTTCTATTTCGTGTTAGTTTTGTATGGCTGCGGAAGAAATGGGCCAGTCTCACCTTCCCTCTGTACGCATCTCGTCCGCGGAACATTTTGCTGTGCTTAACACTCCCCGGTCTTGCTTTCTCCAAGTCTGCCAACCCTTTGATTTTCGGAATGTAGGGTACGTTGTAATGGCCACTAGCGACAATAACAGCATCGAAACGTTCCTCCCACCATTCGTCTTCTTGACTGCTGCTTTCTCTGCGAAGCACTAATCTCCATTCCTTGCCATCTTTCTCGGCAAGCTCAACGGCGGTATTGTACGATACCAAATTTTCGTACCCGTTTCTGTCCACGAGCCCTGCGATGTAATTTCTCACTATCGAATGGTGTCGGAACGGCGTTTCCTTACCATGTCGCGAGATGGACAGCTGACTGCGCTCCGTCGGGATAGGCTCCTGAGAGAAAGACATCGGTATGGCGTCAACATTCGTTTCCAAGTACGGATACACGGATGATTCAGCATAGCGAGGCCGTGACAATTTTGGTGTTCTTGCAGGCAGGGATTCTGGAATTTCCAGTGCTAAATCTGCTTTGCGCGAAGCGAGTAAGTCGAATGTTGACGGGTCTAGATTTGGATGCGCATGTTGATCCTCGATCCTAATCAACGGGCATTAGTTGACAGGCATGAATGTGGCGTAGCTCGACCGAATACTGACCAGCACCCGCCTGGAGCTTCTCTGCGCTCGAAGACACGGATCACATCGAACGCCTTCTCTTTCACAAGCGCATCGATGGTGATTGCACCCCCGGGCCCCAGACCAATGACGGCGACACGCTTGACGGGCATTGACGGCGCGGTATCACGTGGAACAGGAGATGCAAGTGTGCAGTCGTAAAGCCAGTGTGGCTCTCGTCAATCCACCAGCTCCGTGGGGACTGAGAAGCGAAATTGCAGAGGACAAATCGTGGCGCGTCTCCTTTCAAATGTCACTGACGGTCCGCGGCGAGGCTACCATCGGCATCGGCCCAGTGCCGCCCTGAGACCTTGGAATCCGAGCGCCCAGGGTTGGATGTTGCTCAAATTTAGGCGAACGATACACGACATGCAGGCACCACATCGCGCAATCACGCTAGCTCCTACTTATCTCGCGCTTGGCAGGTGTTAGCGTGTCTACAACACCATACAGGTCTTCTGGATGTCCAAAATGCGGCAGAAGCGTAATCGGCATCTGCCGGGGCTACATGTCGGCGTGGTGATTGAGGCCCCAACGTGCCGACCCAAGAGCATGGCGTCGGGACAAGACATCCGAGCATGCCCTGGCGATGATGTGCTCAGGACGACAGGAGAGATAAGGATGAGCATCGCCAATTGCTCAGAGGGTGGAGGAAAACACACAAGGGCTGTCTGCCGTGCTCAGAATGGTTGAAGTGGAGAAAATCGACCTTCACCCTAGCGCACACAGTGACAACAGCTCGAATGATGTTCCCGACATCACGCAGAAAGATACTGCGGGCTTCAGTGCACGAAGAAAGTGAGTTCCATGCTGATTCAAGGCCACCGCGCTCCATGCCTGACTCATATACAGAGTCGACATTACTGTCTTGCCCCTATTGTTCTTGGGTCTCCTTGTCTTCCAACTCGATCGCATGAACTTGGCTTCCGCGCTCACAGATGGTTTCGCAAAACAGATTGGGGTCAATCAGAATACTATCAATCTTGGCAACCAATTGATGTTCCTAGGAATCGTGGTTCTAGAAATTCCAGCCAACATGGTATTGCAGCGGGTCAGCCGTCTAACGCAACCCAAACACTGTGCAACGACTGACGTGAGCAGGTCGGACCGCGGAAATGGATGTCGGCACAGGTTTTTTTATTCGGTCTCGTAGCCACCCTTCAAGTTTTCGTAAAGAATAGGACCGGGTTCCTTGTATCGCGAGCGTTCCTTGGACTTTGCGAATCAGGCTACATCCCTGGCGGCATCTATACCTTATCAACCTGGTACACAAAGTCTGAGCTGGCCAAAAGAGTCGCAATATTTTTCTTTGGCATGTTTGGCGGGAATGCGATCAGTCCACTTCTAGCCTCTGGTATTTTGAAGCTTGGAGGTCGCGGCGGGTTGAAAGGGTGGCAGTGGCTTTTCCTGTGTAAGTTGAAAGACTCCTCTTGGTATACGGACCCTGATCTCATGATAGTGGAAGGATGCTTTACCATGTGCGTATCGCTAGTCCTTCTATTCCTCCTGCCTGGCTCGCCTGATCAGCCTCGGCCGCTGTTGTCGGGGGGCTTCATTCGCTTTAGTGAATCGGACCAGCATGCACTACAGCGACGCCTCGAGGAAGACAACGAAGAACTGAAGCCGGGAGCGCAAGGGATGCGCATCCCGCCTTCCCTCATCTGGAAAACACTAAAGAACTACCGTCGCTGGCCGCACTTCGTCTCCACTTTCGCAGTCTTCTCCACGTGGAGTTCCCTCACAACCTACACACCTTCCATCATCATGGCCCTCGGCTTCACTCGCATCGAGGCCAATGCCCTCGCCTGCGTGGGCGGCTTCCTCGCCCTAGGCATCGTTTTCTTCTTCGGCTGGCTGTCCGACAAGACAAACAAGCGCGGCCACGCCGTCATCCTCGCACAGGCCTGCTACCTCATAATCCTCATCATCGCACGATCGGTACATCCTCATGTCGGCAAATGGTCCCGTTGGGGCTTATGGACAACGATCAACGCATTCGCCATCGGGTATCATCCCGTGCACAACTCTTGGGTGCAGCTCAACTGCAAAGATCCGAGGGAGAGAAGCATCTCAATTGCGATGTGGGTCATGTCTGCGATAAGCGGGCTCATGGCGGGCACCCAGTACTTCAGAGCAGACGATGTACCATTCTATGGCAAGGGGCTGCGGACGATGATTATTATGGTGGGGGTCGGGATGGTCGCTGCTATTGCACAAGAAGTAGTCTATTGGGATTACAACCGCAAGGCGAGGAGGAGATGGGAAGAGAGTGGGGGAGAGAAGCCCTGGTTCTACGTTCCGTGAGCCTACGTTTCACGACCGATCTGCGATTGGCAACATACGATGAGATACAGGGCCATTTTGCTCCACTACCACATTCTGCTTCGATTTTTTTCAGTCTTATCTATAACGCCACAAAACTCAACGCTTTTCTGGTCCTCTCCCACTACCCTCGTCACAAACATCCAACGGCGGACGTTAAGCGTCCGCACCCATCACCTTCTCCATCTCCACAAAATACAAATCCTTCTCAATCCCCAACCCCCTCAACGCCTGAACCGGAAATGGTGACGTTTCTCCCGTCCTCACATACCCCCTCTTCTCATACCACTTCAGCAACAACTCCCTCGTATGAAGCGCGTTCAGCCCCAGCTTCTTCACACCCCAGGTCTTGATCGCATATTCCTCCGTATGCGAAAGGATGCGCCCTCCTACACCGCCCGCCTGGAGCGTCGGGTTCACGGCGAGCATGGCCAGACGAGCGAGTTCCTCGGTTTTCTTGAAGGTGGCCATACAGCCCACAAGGTTGCCGTCGTCGGTAGTGGCCATGAGGAATACGGCGTTGGGATTGTTGATGGTTGTGAGGACCTGTTCTGGGGTCATGGTGAAGGTGCGGTTGAGCTCGGTGTCGGGACCGGTCCAGGCGATGTCTTGGTGGCGGAAGGCGGACTGGACTAGTTGGGCGATTTGGGCGGCGTCGGATGGGGTCGCGATGTTGAAGTTGAGTTGGGTGGTGGACGACATCTTGGTAGGGGACAATTGTTTTGGAAGGCGGATGGGTAGTGCTGCTGATGGTGGGAAAGTTCTGTAATGCTGGCAAGAGGAGGAATCGGACTACTTATGTGCTCCTTACAATCCGCCAGCACACGCACCACAGCTCTTCATGTTGTGGATAGAAAGGCGTACTGTGTATGACATAGGGCGCTGTGGAGGAGGTACATAGGGCGTCGCCTTTTGATACAGGATTGCGCCCCATGCACTTTCCTAACAAAGACTAGCGCTACTTCCCAGCCAAAACTAGCTGTTCAGATCAGGCTCTCCAGCGTCAATTCTTCTTTCATCCTATCCTCTGTTTCCTTCTCACCCACACTTCCTCCTTTGTTCCATATTCGCCAGTTCTTGATCTGAGCTGGACCTCCCACACCTGCAATTTGTAGCTCCCGCGATCGGACATTCCTGTGTGCATGTCGAACGACCAATCGTGCTTTGGGCAGGTAAGACCCGAGCTCAATGTAATGCCAAAATCCTCAATGTCGAACGGTGTGCCATTTGAGAGGGGATATGATGAATGTGGGCATTCCTGTTCGCATTAGCTTCGACATGGCCCCGGTATCAGAACCTCTTATGACTGCGTTCAACAATCGCAGTGACAGAGCAACACGGGCCGACTTACATGGTTCACAGCGACGAATTTGCCCTTGTATTTGAAAACCATGACTTGATCTTTTGCATCTCCAGCGTTGGCATCTTTCCACTCGTCTATTGCGACTTCGGCGGCTTTGCTGCTGTCTTCCCGCGGCACGTGGAATATGCGACATCCCGTTTTATATTGCCCTTGACAAAGACGTTGTTCGCCAACGCGAGTGTTGTCTTCGATGTCGGGATATGAAGCTACTGCTCCGGCGCAGAACCTAGGCCGGGAAAACTGGGTCAGAAAGTCCGATAACTATTGCTTTCGTATATCGTCGCAGTTCGACATCGACTCACCAGGCGTTGCCTGCGCGGGATGGCTGGGAAAAGGCATTGATAAGAAATGACATAGAGGGTGTACATGTACAAGATTGGGCTGCCGGTCGATAGATGTTCGTTCTGGGACTCCAGCGTATCGATAAGCGTTCCGACCAATCACATTAATCAACAACTAGACCCAGACTTTCTACAACAGTTGGCTATTTTCTATGCATGTTCCTTGAGTGAAGTGTCCCTTTCGTCTTGGAGTAACGGCACTGACGTTGTATTATTGTCTCATCCGAAGAGGAATGCCCCAACTTTACCGAAATGCACACGAAACTATGATAATTTTCAGATATACACCTTAACTACAACTGCCTACTCCAAATAATCGCCTCCTGTCTCCTTGTGTATAACATCGAACAACGGTTTAGCAGAAAACCAGCCTGCAATGTGTGTGCCCACGGTCTTACTCGTAAATACCGCATCTTCTTCTGCAATCTTCTCTGTTTGGCCGCCCCGCCCTGCAGCCGCAGCATCAGCCAGAAGTTGTGCGTGGCAGCACTTCTCCATGGAAACGAACCAGAACACCGCCTCTTCGATGGAGTGTCCGACAGTTAGCAGACCGTGGTTTTGCAGTAGAGCCGCTTTGTGAGGGCCCAGCTTTTTCGCAATGTTTTCTCCTTCTTCTTTTGCCAGGACGACGCCTTTGTATGATGTGTAGAGTACATGGTCCTGCCATTATTAGCTGGTTGTATTATCTAGTACGTAGTATGCTTACATTGTGGAACGCGCAAGAATCTTGCGTGATTGTGTCCAATTTCCTCCCCAGGGTGCAAAACGATCGGCCGTAAATCGAATGGGAATGGCAAGCAGCGATGACATCAGGTCTCGCTTGATGGATGGCGGAATGAATCATATACGCCGCAGTGTTCAGTAGCCTGCACTCTCCGCCGCCAATGACTTCGCCTTCCTCGTTCACGTGGATCAGGTCGGACGACTTCATCAGATTGAATGAAACGCCGAATGGGTTGACCCAGAATGTCGCAGGGTCGACGGGATCGCGGAGCGTGATGTGGCCTGCGACTCCTTCATCGAACCCAAATTTTCCGAAGATACGGAAGGCGGCTGTTGTGAGGTGAGATACTGAATGCTTTCATTGGCAGGGTGTAATTACCAGCCAATCGACCTTTCAAGTATGCACGCTCCTTGTAGGGATCATCAAACTTTGGAGGACCCGGAATCTTGGTCTTTTGCACTGATGCTTCAGTCTGTGTGATTCCGGGTTCGAGGGGCGCTGCATTTGAGGGCTTCTCGCCACCATCTTGGTGGGGCTCAAATGTGGCCGACGGAGGCGACATGATGATAAGACGCACTTTCAATTATGTGAATGGGCGCGACAGACGTGGAGTGAGGTTTCGAAGATATGGAGTTAAAAGAGAGTAAACTGAGAGGCAGACGATAGAAATTGTATTGCTTTGTATGGTAAGCGGTTGGACTTACCTCGGGACGCAAGTGGGGATAAGCTGTGTGTTTACCCCGCACATCGGCCATCAGCCACGACATTGCACCGGAGAGACTGAAGCGTGATAGACGATGCTTTAGCGTTACTGGCGCGTGTTGCATTGTGGGCCAATGCCGTTAGGCACAGAGCCGCACCAATTGTTTCCGTTGAACACGCAAACATCTCAACTGTTTTTCCAGATCTGCAGTCAAAAAATCCACCATCCTGCCAGATGTGAGAAGTGGCCGAGACACCACGTACTGTATGGTTACGCGGAAGGAATCCAGTGCAGGATAAACTTGTCTTCTGAGACATCCTGCCGCGACCGTCTCGATTATGAAAGTGCTGACGTGAGGAATGCTCAATCAGCGGGTCTTGCGACGTTGCCTTCGCATCAAGAAACTGAACGCAGTCATAATCGGAGCTCGGAATGCCTTGCACATGCATGAAGAAAGCGGTTATCGAAATAATCCAGCTAAATGCCGAACGCGCACACACAAAGATTATAAGAGGCCTACAAGCCCAACTCATGTGGAGACACAAGCTATACGCGCTATTCGCTGTCCTGATTACCATACCAGTCATAGCTTGGCCTTGATTTGTTTCTTGTGGTCTTCATCCTCCTTGAGCTTTTTCCACCATTCAGCCTTCAATTGTAACACCGCGAAACCCTTAAGTGCCCACTCATCCTGCCACTCGGGCAACTCTCCGCCTTCCTTCCCAGCCACCGTTCTCAAGAATTCAAAATACTCGCCGAAGTCAGGCTTGATCTCATGGAAGAGGGATGTTGGTCCCTTGTACTGCAGTCGTTTCACCGCCCAGTCATCTTGCTCTGTAGGCGGGGGAAGACCGCCACCACGTCCTGCAAAATAACGCGCCACAGCAACAGCTTGATACTCATACACACGAAAAGAGATCGCTGCTTTGACTTGTCCCACCACGGCCAGTGAAGGGTCTGCGATATTGAACACATGCTGGTAGAAGCCAGTCAAGCGACCGCTCGGAGCGACTGGATTTGGGTACAAGAACGGGTACGAGAGGCGGTATCCTGTAGCGAAATGTACCTTATCAACGTTGTCGACTTCAGTTCCGTCTGCAAAGCGAACCAGGACACCGGAGGTGGAGCTGGGAGAAATATGCTTGATTTGGGGCTTGAGAAGCACGTTAGGGAGATTCCAGGCACCATCCAAAGCTTCGTTTCGCCCACGCTGAGAGACGTAGAGTGGGCCTGAGACGATATTGTGGAGCTCGGTTACGGTGTCTGATGCGGACACGTTGCCGCCAACAACGACGACTTTCTATCGTTCGGTGAGTAATGTCCTAGAGACTGTTCTTACAGAAACATACCTTGTTGACATAATGGTCTGGTAACCTGTAAGCTTTTGAGTGCTCAAAGTAATGGGGTAGAGCCTTTGACGTCTCTGACAGACCCGAAATATTTGGTATCTGTGGGACACTATAATGCCCTGTCGCTGCTATGATCGCGTCGAATGACTCTTGCCACCAGAAGTCCTTCTTTTCACCTTTCAGATCGTGACCAGTCTTCCGTAATGTTACAACCCATTTGGCTCCCAATTTTCGCGCACTTTCAACATGCGTATTGAGCGAAATTAAATGTGTGTATGGTTCTGCTATCTCTTCAAGGTACCCTGCAACTGTCTGCCACGGCTTCGTGGGATTCTTTTGGCCCAGACGATGGATCGAAGCAGCAGAGTTGTCAATCGGGAAAGGTTTGTATGTGAATGACATGACTTCTGCACCGACATTACTATCCAAAGCTGGGTATATCCCAGTGCGCGCAGTAAGGTTCTCTGGAAGCGGCGATGCAGACGAGGGTAGCTCCGCTGGTGGCTCATACTGGGGTTGATTCGGAGAAGGCGAGAAAGGCTCAGGATCCTCATCGTAGAGCCATGTACCTCCGACTCTTTCTCTTCGCTCAAATAAGCGAATGTTTTGGAAGGCGTTCTCTTCAGAAAGGGCCTTTATGGCAGAGATTCCAGACGGACCAGCACCAATGACAGCAACACTAGAGTATCTCGGTGACATGGGTTCGGTACTGATGTGGTGGTAGGAGGGAGATGCTGAGAATTGCGCCCTTGATCTTCTCTGTTACGGCTGGTAGGGACGATTGATCCATATACTTTCGGCGGGACAGGATTTAGCGACGCAAAAGAATCCCTGGGCGATAAAAGATCATAGACCATCATTTGAAACTTCGCAGTGCCTCTTATCAGCTATTTGGTCTGTACCACTCATCTGCAGCAGGTATGGCGTCATCTTCCACGTCGATTTGAGAATGCAGCAGGAGCGGCGCTACCTGCCTTTGTAGTGTCAGTTAGTGGATCGCCTTGTATCTTCTACTCGACCCATTCATCGCGTGGTATCCACATGTAGAATGAGGTAAGATATTGGGGCGCGCAGCGTTTACAGGCCCCGGGCACGCCAAGAGCACGTGACGCCCTGGCCTCCAGCTCCAGGGCTCGTCGGCCAGACGACGTGCTCGACAATTCGTTCCTCACATCTCGGGTTGACATCTATCTCACAGGTGAGCTCGTATCCTTTTGAGGAAAGAGCATGAAGTACAGGCGTGAATAATAAAGTTCGTGATGGTGACTAACAATCATTTTCTCTTGGAGTTGAGGATGTGGGATGTGGGTGTCGGCATTTCCTATTTAGGAATGACGTGATTGGCCCCTGGGAACACGCACTCGGCACGATGGTGTCCTCCATCCGACACCGGCCCTCTATCGTCATTACGGATCCTCCCGTCGAAGCATGAAAAGCTTCGTGTCAGTTAAAATCTTCAGCCGTTATCGCGATCAACAGCAATGTTAATTAAGTTACAGGACCTATGTTTCCGTCAGGTGGGACCAAGATGAATGCTCACGAAAATCAATCTCCACGAACCGCATTCATTGAGCAGGGTCACCAACGGCACTTAAAAAAGGCTGATTTCTCTAAAACTGCATGCTTCTACTCTGGAATCGTGTATGCCTCAACGAAGAAAGTCTTCGTCCCACTGCCCATGGTGGCCGACTCTCCCGAGCCCGGAAGGACAACCTCTGCTTTGCTGTTAGGAGGCACAGTGACTGTAAGATGGAAACCATCTGCCTCGACCCTCCAGCTCGAATTTACTGCACCGTACGGACTCAAAACATGGGCACTAGCACTGGTAATGTCTCCTCCCGGCTCCGGCGCAACCACCACTGTCTTCCAACCTGGTGAGCCTGGTGCTATGCCCCCAATCTTCTTATGGATCCAGTCTGCAACGCTGCCGAAAGAATAATGATTAAAACTTGTCATAGTGCCTGTGTTGATCGATCCGTCCGGCAGCATGCTGTCCCAGCGTTCCCAGGTGGTGGTGCCGTTCATGGTGACGGCGTAAAGCCATGACGGAACCTGCGTCTGTTGTAACATCTTGTAGAAGTCAGCTGTCGCGTTGATGGACGTGAGCGCATTGCCTAGTTGCTGAGTACCGGCGAAGCCAGTTCCCACAAGATACGTGTTATTCTTAATGACTTCGCGCAGTGTTTCAGCAGCTACCTTGCGAGCGGCGGTATTGGGAGTCCAAATATCAAAAGCTATACCCAAGGCGAGTGCTGTTTGGGTGACGTTCGCGATGACGGGGTAAGGCTCCGTCCACGCCTTGTGAAATTCCTTGATGAGATCTTCGCGTTGACTTGCGTATTGCGTGGCAATATCGTCTTTACCCAGGACCTTGCTCAGGTTCGACAACAGGCGGGTCATCTCGATGAGGTACGCATCCGAGACGAGGTGTTTGTCAGTGGTCGCCGCTCCTGCATCCTCCGCTGGTGCCTTTGGGTCCAGCCAATCTGCGAATTGAAAGGTGGACCTGTCCCATAAGCCTACATCGTTTCGCGGGATTCCTGTGTCGATCCAAGCTTGGGCCGCATCATACTGCTCCTCGAGCATCTGCTTGTCTGCGAAATTCTGGTACAGTTGGTACGGATGGCCGACGACCACATCGCCCCAAACAGACACAGGCATGCGCGCGCGTGTGCGCTGATCATCGTTGATATCGTCTGTTGGTATGTATACCGGAGGGACCATGTAGTCTCCGCGTTTCTGCTCAGACCACGCATCCTTGAGCCAGCCGCGCCAGAAGCCAGACGCATCGTAGAGGTAGTTTGCAGTTGGCATGAAGGCGTGCGCATCCCCTGTCCACCCTAGGCGCTCATCACGCTGCGGGCAGTCTGTCGGAACGCCGAGGAAATTTCCCCTTAGAGACCAAATAACGTTTTCGTGGAATCTGTTCAACAGCGCATGCGAGCTCTCAAAGTATCCAGTACGCTCCATATCACTATGCACAACTTGTGCAACAACGGAAGTACCGTCCAATGGAGTTGCGCTGGGCCAGCCATCTACCTGAACATACCGAAAGCCGTGGTAAGTGAAGGACGGTTCCCAAGTCTGCGTTGCATTGCCGGAGAGTATCAAGGTATCTCGCTGCTTCGCGCTTCGCAACGGTACCGTGTCGATCTCACCATCATTCATTACTTCCGCGTGGTGGAAGGTAATGTTTGTACCCGAAGGACCGGACACAGTCACTTTGAGCCACCCCACCAGGTTCTGCCCGAAGTCAATCACAGTCTTTCCTGATTTGGACTTGAGTATGGAGACAGGCGTGACCTGTTCAACACGCTTGATAGGAGCGCCGTCGGAGGGAACCAACGAGCCAGCTGGCATTGGCAATTGCTTGACTGCTGACCATCCGCTGTCGTCGAATTTCGGAGTTGACCAGCCTTTCAGTTCTGCAGCCGAGTTGTACACCTCACCGTCGTAGATTTCAGATGAGACGATTGGCCCAGTGGAGGCACTCCACGAGAGATCACTCTTGACTGTCGTCTCCTTACCTGAATTTTCCGTCACGGAGAGCAGGCAGAGCAGTCCAAGGGTGTCGCCCCAAAGATTACGAGGTATTTGTGTGTTGAAACCAATCCTACCAGCGTACCAGCCTTCCCCAATTGTTGCGCCTATGGTATTGTCGCCCTGTTGCAACAGATCCGTAACATCGTAGGTATCGTATACGTGCCGGTAGCTGTACGACTGCCATCCGGGTGCGAGTACGTGGTCGCCGACGCGCTTGCCATTTATCTCTGCAACATACAGCCCCAGCGCAGTGATATAAAGCCTCGCCTTTGCGATCGTGGTATTGACACTAAAGTCTTTGCGGAAGTGGACCGGACGCTTCGTGGCATTGGTCTCTGTGGCGCGATCGGCCGCAATCGGGAATGCGCCTTGCCAATCATCTGTTGTCAACAATCCTGTTTCAACTGTGGAAGGTTGTGACCAATCTGACGAAGGTTGGCCCTCCAAGCCGTGTGCGCGAGCTCTTACAGTAGCGGTATCCTTGCTCTTAAGCTCTGTTCCAGGCCACGATATCAGCACCGACTCTGAGGTTTTGACATTATAGACCTTGGGTGTGCCATCATGGGTGATTTCGATGTCGACTTGGGATTGCTCCCAGTCGACTGCCGTGCCTTCAAATCGGTATGAGATACGAGGCCTCGTCTCGGCGATACCGAACGCCGGGCGGTGATGTTCGAAAGTAACAGGCGCCACTGAAATAGACATGCTTGCAATTCTGCATCTGAATGCAAAACTCTAAGTCGCCAGTACAGCTTGGATCTTAGATTCAAGCCAAGAGGTGTTCAAACGCGACGCTATATATGTTGACAAAGGGATGCTTCGCCTCATAGTGTTCGCAACTTCGGCATACATTTGCACGAAATCATCAAGGTATGTGAGACCATGCACTGACTGTAATATAAAGCTTCCCATAGTGGCCTTGCCCCGCCCCCAAACTTGTCCGATCTCTAGCTGTATGCAGGCTGAAGAGTACTGTGCTGTCGATCCCCCGCATGGATCTCCGCTCCCGGGAGTCCGCGGGGCTTGGCTAAGAGCAATCCATGTTGTATTTGAGTCTTGTCTAAGATGATTCGTCCCTCTTCCTACGTAGGAATGTACGCGGGTCCTGCGTCGCAGTTTCGCTACAATAGTGTGCGAGCGGAAGGATTCCCTGACTCTGTCATTATCGTAGAACATATTACGCTCTTCTGTAAGCCTGAAGTGCCTTTGACCTAAACCAGTAGGTCACTGCAAAAAGAAAATCAAGCATCTCCTTCGAACTTGTTTGGCCGGACGGGCTTAGCATTTCCCGTAAGTATAGAATGCACATTGTTGATGGGTATGGTCGGTACCTTTGGGAATGGCAGGCGCATAAGTGCGTAGGTCTCATCACGTCATTCTCAAATTTGTAACGTACCTGGCAAGCGAGCGGCGCAGGCAAGCGAGCGGCGCACCCCACCAACTTTTCACCACTTCATAGGAATCTATCTCAACAATAAGATAAAATAATAGAATATACGCATTATGCTAGATTAAGCTACATCTCTAGTATCCTTCTTACATGTTCGCGAGTTATGGCCAGTCTCCCTACAGCGCCTACAGCGCGCGGAAGCCTGCCGACTAATACCTAATCACGCCCTACCTTGACGCGTTTCCCCCTCAAGCTGCTGCTCAACCTCATTTTGAGCTATAATTTCCTCTGCCTCTGCCTTTGATAGGGTGTCTTGCTTCTAGATACGCTTCTTTTTGCGCTTTCTGCGCATTATAGCAGTCTTATTTGCTTTCTCAAGGCTCTTGATCCGATTACGCATTAATGCTATTTCGTACATTACCATTGTAGAGCCTTTCTTAAGCTGATTAAGTCTCTCAATAATAGATATAGGTGATGAGCTTCCATGCCTCTATATCTTATCACGTATTAATGTTGATTAAGCCTCTAGCTCACGCGCGTTGCTTGGTGTTCGCGCTTCCTAGAGGGTAGTCTCTAGTGCAGGCGGCGTTGGCGTACGAAGCTTCACATCAAGCTTCGCTATCACCCTATTAGGATCATGCAGTACTAGGCCAGCGCCTTAAAAGCTTGCGCAGATATTCTCCTTTATAATTGACTGGTTGTAGGCTGCGTAGAAGGCTGGTAGGAACTCTAGCTTAGTGATATGGTTGATGTGATCGCGAATTAGGCCCTTAATCTGGCGGCTATATGCGCGCTTCAACGGCAAGAAACAGCCAACATCAAGTGGCTGTAGGAGGTGCGACGAATGTGGCGGTATATAGAGAGTATAGATGTTATTCTCCTTATAGAGTGCTTGAAATTCGAGTGAGTTATAGCTCTTATGGCCATTAAGTATAAGTAGCTGGCGCGCGCCTACCCTACGCTCTACTATATGCTTAATAAAGTGCCTCAGCCACTCTACTCTAAGCTTATTTATTGTCTAGCCATTATCACTAACTGCGAAAGCCCAGTCGCGTGGTATATCATTATCCTTATACTAGGTAGAGAGGTGATACTGGCCAGCAAAGATAATAAAGGGCGGGATCGCCCAGCTAGCAGCATTGATTCCATGAATTGCCGTAATCCACTCGCGATCGCCTGGCTGTAACGCTTTTGGCCTACCTCGTCGCTCTAAGCCTGTGACAACAAGCTAAGCTGATATCCTGCCTATCATAAAGCCAGTCTCGTCAAAGTTGTAGGTATCCTTATTGCAGATCCTATAGGTAGCTTTCATGTGCGCTATAAGGTCGAACCAGGCCCTAATTACCTTAGGATCCTCACATAGAGCTCTCTGTTGATCATATGGTCGGTTGAAACGTATGGTAAGGCTTTCTGTCCGCTTAACAAAGTTGCGTAGCCACTTCTCGCCTACTTGGCCAGCGCCGCGCTCAGCGAGTAGTCTATTTGCTATATCTCGAATAGCATCTAGGGTAGGCAAAAACCCTCGCGAATCTAGGTCAAGTATATACCTAGTAATCACCTCCTCTTCTAGCTTAGTGAGCTTCTTTGAATTGGGCTCACAATCGCGTCGCGCAGTGATTCCAGCGCGTCGGCGGCGAAGCGTGGTTTCAGAGACTCTGTATATTGCAGCAGCGCGCCTGCCACTTTGTAATTGATTCTTATTGATAGCTGTGATAGCTAGAGATATATGAGCTTCATTGTAGCGTGATTGAATAGTGGTTGGTTGATCCATTGTGATTAATAGGTGACGCGTCGCGAAAAGTTGGTGGGGTGCGCCGCTCGCTTGCCTGCGCCGCTCGCTTGCCAGGTACGTTACCATGTAAAGAGTTGCGCAAATTCAGATGAACAATCTATACATCATGTATTGCTATCCCTGAAGGAAATTCGTAGTGCATGGGGAACCGTTCCTCTACATCCATTCTCGCGATTTCCATCCTGTCTCCGACTCGCCAAGTGATCATCTTTCTTTTACATCTTCACACCGCTGCTGCCTAACACGCGCGCGGATTGCTCAGAACAAGCATCTACCACTACCACCAGCTACAAGGTTCGAAAGGCGCTGAGACTACGAAGGGTTATGGAAACTAGTCTTTACCTTCGTTGACGTGCGCAATCCTGTAACTGGCGCACCTGTATGCATATGTCCCTCCGATAAATATTTCAGGCTTCTTACAGCTGTCTACAATCTTTCGGAGCGCTTATGCACAATCCTCAGTGTTGATCTTCTGATTGTACCTCCTTCACGCTTGTTAGATTCCCAGTTTCTTTTTCTTGATTAACTGAACTTACTCGCTCCATGCAGTGTCCTTGTAGAATGGTTTGCCACCATTATTATCGATAGTCACTGTACCCATTCCTAGACGCACTTATAGCGATCATCATTGTAGAATCGAGTTTGGCCTTTGGGAAGATAGTCGAAGATGTTCTCGCCGTATTTCTCAATGCCCGCAAGCACGACTTCGTTGTTGCAGTAGGCTACGATCGCTTCGTTTGTTTGATCCTCCGTCAGGGCCATTCCAGGTTGACCTTCCGTGTAACAAAGGACCTGGTTCGCGCCGTCACCGTTCGCACGCTCTGCTGATTCCGGCGGGGAATATTTCGTTCTCTCGTCCCATGGGGAATTATCGTCTTGGGTCACACCACTGAGATCGAGACTATAATCGAGGCATCCCATCGATGCTGTTTCTCCATGCGTCTCCGTACTGTCCGAATCACACCGTTCCATGCCATCGAGCAATGATTTCTTGCAGTCTTCCTCGTGCATGATTTCAGAGTTGACGCACGAGAGAGATCCTCGGAGCCAGGATGAGCTTCTGTCTGACACATCAGATCCTGTCATTCCGTAGAGCTGGTACACGTCTTTCGTAGTGGTTACTTCTTTACCATCATTATCACCGCACCACTGAAAGAAGGCTATGTTTTGGAGCGAGGACAACCCCCTTGTTGATCGCAACGATGAATGGGATTGATACTCGCGACGGCCTTTGGCTCCAGACCATTGTTGCGACGGCGATGCATGTATTTGTGTCATTGAAAATCCTCACTCGTTAAGTTGGCGAACATATCGGGGCGATTTCTTTCTCCCAAGCGTCGTTTCCTTTCGATAACGAGGTTCGATTCATCAAATAACTCGAGACAGTTCGTTCTATTCTCTATTCTCTCAAACCTTTTGCGACTCAGCATCCTCGTCGCCAGTGGCTTCTCTGACCTGAGTAACGACCCGTTCCGCCCCGACATGTACAATACCGACCTGCCTCGTGACCAAATACCCAAGTGGCAATGCAATTCCCCACCAGGCAAAGATGATTCCCGCGCTGATGATCGGTCTGGCTTGTGTCGAGCTGATACCACTCGCAACACATTGGCCGGCGGCTTCCACTGCCCTAGCCACGCTCGAATACCTTACCACATCCACGGCATCCCTCGCGAGGAAGCTTATGAGCCAGTACCCATAGTTATACGTCAGCGCAAACTCCACCTGCTGGAACACATACAGGGCCCAGCCCTCGCCGAAAGCTGAATCCTTCCAGTCCAATGCCGGTTTATGCTTGCCATATTTGTGCTGGATGACGAGAGCCCAGGTCCATACGCCGCCGCTGAGCACCATCATCCCGAGGAAGCCATAACGGGCGCGCGTGTTAATGGAAAGGCGCTTATAGTCGAGGAAGGTGCCCATAATGGCAGTGGCGAGAACTTGAGCGAGAGCTGTGACGAGGGAAGCGAGGGCACGGCTGCGGACGGAAAAGTACAGGGACATGTAGCTGCCGATGTAAGGGAGGGACCAAGTTACGTAGAGAAAGTACGGGATGCTATACGTGTGTTAGTGAAGGGCATTACATCACACAAAAGTGGGCTTACAGGAGGAGCATTTCCTTTCGCTGGAAGAGTTTGAGGGTCTCGCGTAGTTCGATTTTCGCTGGGATGCGTGGGAGCAGTTTGACTCTCGTGCCGTTGCGTCTTCGGACTTGTTCCGGGGTGGAAAGAAGCATTGCAACTGCCGGGCCGAGGCATTCTGAAAAGTCGTCAGTGAGGGCGACGTGTATAAAACAGACATACATACGTAGAACGACAAACACGATATACGTTTTCCAGTTGAGCTTGCCGAGTCTCCTTCCACTATAGTTAAACGCCAGATTGATAATGCCACCGAGGATCGCTCCGCTATTACGGTACGTGAGCCAGTATGCTAGATAGCGTCCTCTGCTTTCTGGTGGTGGGTAGCTGAGCATGATGGCGCCCTCAGCAGCCCAGAATAGCCCAGCTGTAACGCCGCATGCGGCAGAACCGAGGTAGATGAACCATTCAGTGCCGTAACGATTGTTCTGGTATCTTCGGCTATCAGAGCGATGACTCAACCACTTCATTGTATGCAAACTCACAGTGCAGCCGAGTAGAGAACATATCCTGTCGTACCGAGAGCCAGAGTGTGGCGTAAACCAATATGGTTGATGACCACTGAGCCGCTCAAGCATGCAAAGGTCATCAGAGAGAAAAGCACTGCATTTCCAGCCCTGTGAGCTCGTCAGTGGACTAGATCTGAAACCCCAATCCGTCGTTGCTTACATCACTAGATATGGCGTTTGCGCACCACCAGCTCCGACAGATTGCATCGCGTTCCACAGTCCCGGGGCTGCGAACGCACAACACCCGACGATAGTAGCCTGGGCGAAGACACCGCGATACCATTTGTACCTCTCATCCTGGGGCGCCTCTCCTTCTCCTTGGACGTCGGATGGCGCCGAGCCATGATCTTCTTCAGCAATCGACAACCGCTTAATCGCTTCAGTCATTGTATACCGTCGCGCAATAGTAAAATGGTAGAGTCTAGACGTCCCAGCTGGAAGGATGCGACACGCTTCTCTTAAGGTATCCCAGTGTTTTTGGCCAGCCGCTGCACTGCATTCACAAGCCTGAGAGACCCACATTGCGTGCTCCCTCAGCCTGCGGTCTTCGGCGCAACACGGAAATCATCATCCCGTATCCATCAAGAGAAAAGGCTGCAGAGGAGTCTCGTTACGGAGAACAGCGCGGTTGAGCGCGTGAAAGGAGATGGAGAGGTACGTTAGGCGGGGCACCGTCGTACGCGAGGGCGCGGCAACCTTGCCTGAATCAGTAATTTCAAGAAGCTTATCGTGAATTGGCACGCGATAGTACTTGCCCTAAAGCCGTCACACCATTGCATCCATGGATTGCGTTCGTAGATAGATCGCAAAACCGTGCTCTCACGACTCCGACGTCGCAGTCATGCAATGTATCATTGGCTTGATGGTCATTTCTGCGATTCAGGCTCGGAAAGATACCGAAGCCGCGTTAGAACTCGGAAGCATCTGCCGGAATGTCAGGATATGAAGCTGCTCCTACGCATATCGTCAGTACGACCTTTTTTTTTCTCGCAGCGCCACAGTACACCATGGCTTCGCCATTCGCCCACTTTGACAAAATCACCTTATCCAGCCAACAGTCCACTGCGAAGCTCGGCTATCCATCATCCCACCCCTTCCCTCTTGCCCTCAGCGTAAAGCAAGACTGGAACCCCACCCTCGAAGAAGCGACATCCCACCTCTCCTCTCTCTCCCAATCCGGATCCTTGTTTTCCCTCCTTCATGAAAACGGCGGCGCCGTGCTCCTCCGCGGCCTCCCCATCCGCACCCCAGACGACTACTCCCGCATCGCACATTCCTTCGGCTTTGCCCCCCACGAAGAAGTCGGCCGCCCACCCATCCGCACAGTCCTCGCGCCCAACGTCAAAACCGCCAATGAAGGACCCCCAGAGCTGCCCATCTGGCCGCACAACGAGTACGGCTGGTCGACACACAACCCGTCGTGGTTGACGTTCTGCTGTCTCGAAGTCCCGGAGAGCGGCGGCGCGACGCCGATCATAAGTAGCATAGGGCTTGCACATCGCTTGGAGCAAGAGGCACCGGCCTTCTTCGCGAGATTGCTGGAGAAGGGCGTAAAGTACGTGTATCGGTATGGGCGAGAGCAGGTCGAGTCCAACACTGGTGCGAGCGTGTTTGCCGCGTATGGGCAGCATGTTGAGGACGAGGATAGCGAGGAGGTGATTCGGGAGAAGATAGAGAAGGAGGTCAGGAGGCATAGTGAGATGTTTGAGTGGCATGAGGATGGGAGTTTAAGCGTGGAGCATGTGGTACCTAGTACGTTGCTGCGACCTTACTTGTTATGAGATGGTTGTGCTGACGGGATGCAGTCATCCGCAAACACCTGCCCACTGGCCTGACGACCTGGTTTGGCAACTTGACCTCGGCGTATGGACGTGCGCGCCATCATGGCGCGACACAGCCGCCGTATCGGGGTGATGATGGCTCGTATCACCCGCCGCCTATCTATGGCGATGGGACAGTGATCGCTACGGAAGATTTGGAGCTTGCGCTCAATATCGCCGAGGAGATGCAGGTAGATCTACTGTGGGAGAAGGGCGATGTCGTGCTGTTGGACAACTATGCTGTTATGCATTCGAGGAGACCGTGGGTGGGGTCGAGGGTAGTGCTGGCGGCGCTGTGGGACGATATTGGCGAGAAGAGGATCATCGACTTTGAGGAGGGGAGACATATCCTAGAGAGTAGACGACATCAGGAGAAGGCGAGTACGCCGTAACGGAGGAGGTGGATGAGCTGTGTGAGAATGCTGAAGACGTTCGTCTTGCGTAACGCTGCCCTGGTCGAGAAGTCGATTCGACGGATCTCGGATCCAGGCCAATCTCTAGAAACGTATGAATCGACATTTCTGACTATCAGAAGTAGAACATGCCGGATGATCTATTTATTGTTTGAACAGACCCATGGATTGAGTCGTTCCTCCATAAGCATCTCATGGTGCGCGAAGTCATGGGAAAGCAGGCAAGCGTCATGTGACTGCGCCGAAAATAAACTATCCATCCAGCGCCACGCTCGAAAGGGATGGAGGAGCTCTACAATAGACAAACATGATCAACGATCTATAGTACACGCCGAACATGCTCGGTCGATAGCCTTAGAAACCCTCAGGTGAGTCTCTGTGCGTCCTTAGCATTCTTGGAAGCCTGCTCATGGTTCTGCTCCATTATCTCATCGTCCCGCTTCTCCACCTTGTGAGTATCCGGGTTTTTTCGCGCAACCCACTGCACCAAATCCTCAACATCATCGTTCGTGAGAGCAGTCTCGCTTTCCATCGCTGCCGGCTGAGTATGTGACAACTCTCTCTTCAGCGCACTTCCTCTTCTAGGGACAGTGGCAGTTGGCTCCGCATGCTCCACGATGTCAGTCAGACTCGGATTAGATGCATTGTCAGATTCGCCGCTTGTGTCGTCCTGCTTGGTGACCCAGCGAACGAGTTCCTCGGTATTGGAGTCTTGGATTTCTGATCCTGTGGGTGTTCCGGTGCTGCTTCCTTCCTTCTTCTGGCGAACCGGGCCCGCATTTGGACCTTCTCTGCGAGACACCCACCGTACAAGGTCGTCGACATCGTCTTCATTGATCGAGTCCCTGTGTTCAGCAGAGCGAGCAGCAGTCTCCGAGTCAGATTCTGTTGATGCATCGCTGTCGTAGCTATGGGTATGCTGTACTGTATCTGCTGCTAGCACTGTCCTGCGCTCTGATCCCGTTTCCTCAGAACTCTTGGGCTGTGTTTCATCTTTGCGAGACACCCATCGTACCAAGTCCTCAACATCAGAGTTTCCAAGGCTTTCGTGGCCGCTGTCCGTCTTGGAGATTTTGTCGGTAGCATCACCCTGTATTCTGCGCGCCTCGCCATCGCTTGGTGGATCCCTTCTGCTCACCCAACGAACAAGGTCCTCGATGTCGGAATGATTGATTTCTTCGTTGCTGTGATTGACTTCATCCTCTTCGTCATCACTCGCCGTCGACACGTTGTCTTCGGCAATTCTAGCCATGGGGGGTGGCGAATTTTTGCTCGCCATCCTCTTGAGTCCGCTCGTCATCCTCTTTGCCAGTCCCTCTCCGGGCGGATTCTGGCTCTCGGGAGTCTTCGGTCTGTTCAAACCTTTCCGCAGATCGTGCTCGGCTTTCCATTTCGCCTCAGCCTCAGCCTGCATCTTGATTTCTTTGTCTCGTTGGATGTTGTCCTCAATCTGACTCGAGAACAGCATAGACCGCAAGGAATGAAAGCGGGCGAGATGCGGGTTCTTGTGGCTGTTGAAGCCTGGCCGATGTGAGGACGACTTGTTATGAGCCTTGCTTCCACGAGGCAACGGCGATGTCTGCGATTTTCGAATGCAGTGGCCCTGCTCCGTTTGGTCACGCCTTGATTTGCGATCGTGGCTAGTGTCTTTGTCAGAGTTGCTGTCCCCGTCCAGGCTAGCGTGGTCGTCTGGGTCTTCGCTGCTCGACTTCTCGTCAAGTTCCAGGTCTTCTAAGATGCGTGATACTTGGGGGCTGAGGAAGCCTGCATTGGCAACGCCGCTGCCCTCTGGGATATCTAGCAGCGCGGACGGCGGCGGCGCCTGTGCGGGTTGCGCGTCAAAATACGATGACGACATAACTGTTGGGGCTTTCCGTAGACAAGCGCAGGCAGCGCGGATGGTGCAGACGAGATGGCCTAGCAGGGAGAATAAAGAAGGCTCGATGCATGGGGCGAAGCACAGCTCCTGCAGCTCTTGGGGCCGCGAGCACAGGTGCGATCAGCTTGGCAGGTGGAGCTCGAAAGGCGGGGTTCGCGCGATGACGGCGTTGGACCCACAGGCGGTGATTGAGCGAACCCCGCTGAGTCAGCCTCCCGCGGCTGGTTGGCGATGCGCAGGGGCTTGGTCGACATCATACAGTGTCCAGGCATCGGTGCCCGTGATAGGGGTTGCTCTCAAGCAAGGGGGGAGCCGGCCGTTGAGCTCGGTGAGCGGAACGGTATACCGGATGACGCGTGTCGCTCCGCATTCGATGTCTTCCTACCCGCCTCGCTGGCATACTCTGCTCCATTCCTCGTGTCGCTGCAACAAGTACAGCCATGCCCGCCGCAGAAACAATGGAATGGAAACCGCCATCAATCCGCCATCTCGTTCAGTGCAGAACGTGCGTACACAAGAACGTAGCAGCAAAGCGTGGATAAGCTCCGGATCATCGAATTAAATAACATACTTCACTAAGAAACGACCCTTGTACACCGCTTCCTGTTGCGGCGTTGGGCAGCCCATTCCGATTACACGAATCCAACGGTGTGCAGTTCGGGCAGGTCCTGCCAATGTGCAGACGCGTCTCCAGCAATGACAAGACATGACGGCAGATGGGTAGCATGAGAGCTGGCAAGGGGAACCGGTGGCCCCAGGCTGCCTACCACTACGACTGCGATTGCGGAAAAGAGAACTGGGCATGAGGTGAAGGGTTGACAGGTTCGAGCGAAGCGTGGGTACACTTTCACAATTGCCCGATCGCGCAAGCACATCACACTGGACCATGGACGCGCACCGACGTTTCAGGCACGTGTATACCATACCTATTAACAAGGCGTGTGCTTCTATCCTATGGATATGGAGTATGGATTTGGTCGCTTCACGCATATACAACCAACCGAACGCCAGACGCGCCGAAGAAAACGTGTCCCTATGACATCGTTACCCAGCCCGTTCCTAACAGCTCTCACCAATCCCGGGCTTCTGCAACCTGCGGCGACGTTACTGAAGTCTGGAGTAATGAGACTATGTTCACCCAGCCAAGGAAGCCGATCAGCCCATTTGCACGTGGCCCAAATGTTCACGTTCGGGGCACCCGCAGGACGCATGGATAATCCCAGCGTTCCAACCTGGGTTTCGACAACTGCAGCAGCATATCGGCTATATGAGCATAGGGCTCTTCGCTGTCGGCGTCTGAACCCTCTGAGCCATGCATAGGGGCCATGATGCCAATAATGATATCAAGCACGAAGCACCGTGTAAGAGATGATAAATCTCAATAGGCTGCTGACGTGTTGCAGCTTGTCCTATTGCAACATGTTGGTAGGCCACCGTATTGACCTTGGCTTCCTTCCCCATCCGACGGGTTGCCCATCCCAGAAGATCGTAGGCTCTTGGGACTTTATGATGAGCTCAATACTATGCATACAGCTTTTGGCACTCCAAACTATCGACAGGTACGCCTGATCGCGAGGCCTGAGTTTGGGAAAAACCAGCGCGGTAACTACCGTTGCAGAAACGCTGTGGTGCGGCGGAGCTGGGCAAGGAAAGATGAGATAATAAACCTCGAAAAGCGGTATGGATCTGTGGTAACACAAAGAGTCCAAATGTTAAAAAAGTGCTGTGGTACTTTAGTGCTGTGCTCCAAAGCTCTTGAGAGTGTCAGAGCCATCAAGTATGTGAGGCAGTGTTGTGTTGTCTTGTCAAACTTATCGCTGACGAACAGTGCAAAGGCTAGGATTTATGCAGTCGCTTCTCACCGACTCCCCAAAATTCTGTTGCCCGCGTTCCTATTCGCACGTCTCCAGAAAACTCCCAGCGCTCAATCCACTAGTCTCGGATGGAGGCGCTATACCCCACACGCACCTTGTTCCTGGAGCCGATGCGAGGCATCCCCACCAAAACCCTCGAGACGAGGCAGTCCTACCTATGCTGCAGGCCGGCCACCCGCAACTCACGACCCACCAATCTTTTGCTTCCTTTCATTCATCTACTCATACACTGTTTGACAACATCAAATAGAGTGATTGAATAGGAGCCGAGTCGTGACTTTGGGACTCTATAGCACCATCACCAACATCGAACTCCCAACAATGAGCACCACCAAAAACATCCTTATCACCGGCGGAGCGGGCTTCCTGGGCCCCATGCTAGCCGCCAGGCTCCTCAAAGAAGGCAGCTACAACATCACCCTCACAGATCTGCAAGCGCCTCCCCAACCCGCCGGCGTGCCCTCCACCTCCAATCTTTCCCTTGTCGCCGCAGATCTCACCTCCCCAGCCGACATCTCCCGCCTCATCTCCCTGCAAACCGCCTGGCACGCCGTTTTCATCTTCCACGGCATCATGTCCGTCGGCTGCGAGGAGAACCCCGCGCTCTCCACAAAGGTAAACCTCAACGCAACCCAGGCCCTCCTCGCCGCCATCTCTTCTCTGTCTCAAAAGCCCCGCGTGGTCTACGCGTCCACGCAAGCAGTCTACGGGCCCCCGTACACGGCAACCGGACCGATAACGGATGACACGCCCGCGACACCCGTCGGCGTGTACGGCACCCACAAGCTCATCATGGAAGCCCACATCAACGACATGAACCGCCGCGGCCTCCTCGACGCCTTCGCTGTCCGGCTTCCCACGGTGACGGTGCGGCCCGGCGCGCCCAGCCGCTCCGCCGCCGCTTTCCTCAGCGGCATCCTGCGCGAGCCGCTCGCCGGCCTCGAGTGCGTTATCCCCATCCAAGACCGCTCGGCACGCCAGGTCATCTGCAGTCCGCGTGTGATGATTGAGAACTTCGTCCGCGTCATGAACGCGCCTTCCGATGCGATGCCCTCGCATATCCGGGCAATCTACATGCCTGGGATTTCCGTTACGCTGGGGGAGATGTACGAGGCGTTTGAAGAGGTGTGTGGGAAGGACAAGTTGAAGTTGTTGCGGACGGAGAGGGATGAGGAAGCGGAGAGGCTGCTGAATAGTTGGCCGCAGACGGCAGAGTTTGGGAATGCAAAGAGGTTGGGGCTGGTGTTTGATGAGAGCTGTGCTCAGATCTACAGGGAGTATGCTGACAGTGTTAAAGCATAGAAGGAATCGGCGTGGATCGGGAAGTTGCCTAATAATTCAAAAGTTGGCGCGCAATTGACTACAACATGTTCTTCATGCCTTTTCATGGCTTCTTGGAGGACTGAGTTGATTTATGTCATGTGTGCGTAGATAGGGTTGTGCATGCGAATGCTTCATATTACGCCACCCCTTCTCACTGCATCGCAACTACGTTCGTTAGCTTCCCAATCATCTACCCTCGCAGCAGGGACAATCGCAGCAGCTGCGAATCACTACTTCCATCTACAGGTCCGCCTCATCCATGTTCCTAACGAAGCCGAACACCCACTTGCTCACATCCCTGTGTGCCTTTCCGCCGATCCTTTCGTCCACGGTGTGAATACGTCCCAAGCCCTCTTGCTCCCTGTCCCAACCCATGCTGTACCTAAAGATGTGCTCACTGAGACCCCAGTAGTATCGTGTATCGGTATTTCCAGTCATCACCCCTGGGGCGACAAACAAGTCCTCACCATACAGTGCGCGCGTGGTACCCGAGAGGATACTAAAAGGTGTTCCAGGTCCGGTTGGCGTCACGGGAGCGGGTTCGAGATGCTCCGGGCGGGTCGTCAGTGTGATCGACGAGGGCGTCTCAGTGACGTTGTTGAATGCGTTGAGCGTGAGGTTGTGTTTCTTGGCAACAGGTGTGAAGAGTTGCGCTACGTGGAAGAGGACGGCATCGACGGACGAGCCAATGTTGATGCGGTGGTTGATGGTGAAGGTTGTGCGTTCCGGCAGTGCGTTGGTCTTGACGCCACCGTTGATCAGGTCTACGGCTTGAGAGGTCGTGAAGAGGTACTTGATATCAAGGCCGGCCTTTGCTGCTTCGAGGGCTAGCTCATCCTTTTGATCCTTCTTCGAGCACGTTCGGTGAGCACGCTTCTTTAAGAGGTGCTTCAGAGTCTTGGGGAACTCGGGTGCGTGCTCAGCACCGCAGTACAGTAGTGAGAGGTAAGGGTTCGACTCGTGGAGGAGCGGCTCGTAGGGGTTTGCCTCGATGAGGGAGACGAGCTCCGCAGCGACGCCGATTCCGTTGTGCGCTGGTGGGATAGAGGAGTGACCGCCGGGCATGCGCACGGTCACAATGACATCCACATAGCCCTTCTCGCCCACACCAGGAATAGCCCAGTTTGCGCCCCAACCTTCCAGGTTCGCCGCACCCTCGTCAACAATAACAGCGGCCCCTCCGTGGCCATATCTCTTGATCAGTACTTTCGCAAGGTTATCCGCGCCTTGCATTCCCGAGATTTCTTCATCAAAGCCAAAGCTCAAGACAAGAGTTCGTTTGGGCTGGAAGCCAGCATTAACGAGCGTGTCGATGGCCTCCAATATACCGAGCAACTGGTTCTTGCAATCGCTGGAACCGCGACCCCACACGAACTTTCCATCCCAGTGTCCACTGAACGGCGGGTGAGTCCACTGATTGACTGTGCTATCCGGTACAGGCACAACATCTTGATGCGCCATCAACACTGTCGGCTTCAACGCCGCATCCGTGCCCTTCCACGTGAACAACAGCCCATGCGTGTTCACCTTCTCCACCTCGAGCGTCTTGTACACGGCGGGGAAGGTTTCCTCAAGATAATATGCAAAGGAGTGAAAGATGTCCCAGCGCGGGTCAATCCCAACCTCGCCCATATCATCATAGCTCTGCGTGGGGATCTTCACAGCCCCAGACAGGTGCTCAATGGACTTGTTGAAGAAAGCATCGGAATTGAGGTACTCCCACGCATCGTCCAGCTCTTTCGTGCTCCTGGAAGGCACCAACGGCGAGGCCTGAGGACAACGTGGCTCAGAGGAGATAGGCGCGTTGGACGGCCATGGGCGTGTTACGAGATTACTGACGTAATTATGCGAGAGAAAGGAAGCTGCGCCTAAAAGAATGAGACCACATGCCAATGGCTTGCGAATTGACGCATTGCCAGCTGGTCTGCCGCCAACCGACGGTCGTTCTGCCAAGTTCTTCTCCATGGCGATGCGATGTGTGAGGGTTGAAGTGCGAAGGTACCGGTGGACGCGGGGATAAGACGGAGGTGGTGGGAAAACGGCACTACTGCGGATAAGGAAGGTGCGCAACGCTATCAGCCATTGGAAACAGTCACGACATATCAAAATTCTCTTTGAGTTAGAGGATCTTCAGCATCGCAAGAAATTGGATTACTATGGTATCGTAAATTATAAAGATTACGTACTGCCGACATGGCTACCAGGTATTGTCTCGCCGGAATGCTGAACTTTCCCAACGCGGAATCATCAGTCATCTCGCACAGAGAATAGTCTTCTTCACCCAGTTCTGTTCCTGCCGTTCTTTCAGCTTGCCGGAACCGACTTGCGAAGATGCATAGGCGTCATTGACAAACTTGGGCCATGTGTTTGTCAGCACCAGGTACTTGATCTCCTTCTCAGCGGCATCGAAAACTGTTTCCTTGAAAGCCTCGGGTATCGGATATGCTGTCAGAACATCTTCGTAACCCGGATGAGTCATTTTGGAAACTGAGTTGAGATTTGCGCGACCGAGCACATCGAGGCTGATTCCTGATCTCAGATCCACAGTGGAGCTAGAGTCCGGTGACGCTTCCTCGAATGGTGTGGGCGAGTAGTTGGAGGCAATTGAACGTTTGCAAAAGATTCGGCTGGCAGCTTCTTCGAACAGATCGCGTAGTGCGGCCATATTGGCGTGTGAAATGTTGATGGGAAATTCCGAGATACTGGGACATACGAAATGTGCATATATAGCGACGGCGGCTATGAACTGCTGGCGCCGATGTTGAGCGGTAGAGACAGTCAAGTGTAGCCACGTGCGTCGCCAGTCTGCGAGGTGCGTAAGGAAACTGATGTTTTCGCCTGAGAAATCTCTTAATGCGGCAAACTGTAGAAGCGGCACAGCGTTAGTGCGTAAAGCGTTTTCAAGGCTTGCCATGGTGTAAAGATCGGAGCGCTGGGAGTCGATAGACTTCCTACTCGCAAGATGAACTTCTTTGATGGTGAATGATTTGCTTGAATCGGCAGTGCCTTGTTTTGTGGAGCAATCCGAGGAGAAGTTGGAACTGGTAGGCGAAACTAACTCTTGTCGTTTCTCCCATGCGGTAATTGCGTCCAGTGTATCCTGCCGGAGTTTATGGGTCTTCAAGATTTCGAATATAGGGAAACCAATCGTGACCAGCTCCATGAACAAAATGCAAACTGGGCGAGGATTAGTAGGACGCGGAATACCGGAGAAGACCTCGCGAGAGTGCAGATTGATGGAAGTAGACGTACCTGAGAACCACATAGGTGGGATGAAATACATGTTCACTGATGTCATTCCAGGTGCATAGAGACCTGCAAGCCACATTGGCGAGGCGGGTAACCTGATACAGCTGGTTAGCAGATGCATCAATAAGAGCGAGTGCTGGCAGATTAATGCTTACCCAACAATGCAGCAGCAAATGGTTTGCAGTCGCCAACCGTGAACATCGTTGATGCCACGAGACTTGAACAGCATGTACGGTGCATAGATCTGAAGGCATTACGTCAGCCAGCGTCTTTGCAGTGGATCACAGTGATCTTACCCATGCCCAGAAAAACTGCCACACAATGGACAACCACCATTCCCATCCTTTGCTACATTCCATGCCTACCAGCTCAGGGGCTGAAGGCCGTGTTTCCCAATCCCAAAGTCCATAGCTTGGGTGAAATTTCTTCGAGCCGAAGAAGACGATGAGGGTGACAACGAGCTGCACCGCAAGGCCGATACCGATGTACACCATCATGCGCTCGATCTTGTCAGCCCTATCAACGCCGCGTAGAATCCTGCGCCAGCGACTATTTGACAGCCGCTCGGCTTCCTCCTGTTTGAGGGGCGCGTGGTCGCTCTGCAGGCTAAGGTGTGCAAACTGCTTTTGTCGACTGGCGACATGCAGAAACTGGCTATTCGCGGTTTGAAACACGGCAATACCGAAAGGGAGGTATATGCTTGGCAAAGTCAGTTGTATTGGCGAGCCTGCACAGTCGAGTGTCCGCATACCTCATGACCCAGAACATAGCCTGACATGGCACCAGAGCACCCAAGACGTATCCTAGGACACAGACGAAGCCATAGAGATGCAATGGGATGATGCCGAGAAAGAGGATGGGAAGCCTTCGAATCCGAATACAAGGTAGCTCGCGATGGTAATAAAGAAATCCCATGCCACAAACGAGAGCAACCATCCAGGCGATGTCCAGTCCGATGTAAGCCCATCCCAGGCGGTCTAACACTAGTCCGGCCATCCTGAGAGAGGATTTGGGCGATGGATTTGGAATTGAGACAATGCTGGTATCCTTTCGCGCGGGAACAGGATCCTTTTTGACTTCCTTAGATCGAATGTAAGCTCCACATTCAGATCAATCTTCACGTGGCTGCCATGGTGTGGAGAGAATCATCGGCAGGGGATGGAATGAACGTGCACAGCAGACTAGTGTGGAAGGTCCTAAGAGCGCAAAATTTATCGAACATCCTGCCGTGTCTGGTATGGTGATGTAATGGTACTCGTCTCTGCCTCGGCGAATAAACTATCGTACTGGCACCTTGGACAGAAGCTTTGGAGATTGTGGATGCCTAGGCCAATCGTTCATGCTGGACCTTCGGGCCGCCGAAGTGGATTCTGACGCTCCAAACAGCTAGCGCCACACTCCCCCTCTTTGCTTTTGCGACCCGCACTCCAAAACAACGTTAGGTGCCAGACTTTGCTGTACACTACCTGCCGATCCGTATTTCGAGCGCCACAGCCCACAAGCTTCAGGCAAGATGCAGCATAGAACCACCGGTCTACACGACTGTAAGGAATACGTGAGGTGGACAAGATTAGGGATCATTTGTTCGTAGAGAGGGTGTCAATCACGCAGCCAAAGGCAAGTCCCCATGTACTGGTGCGAACTTTGATCCTGTACTTTGGTTCAGGGTTTAGGGTTTGATGTTGGAGGCGCTGTGCAGCACCGGTGCGCGTGGGAGATTTGGCACGAGCTGACGGAGCTGGTTCCTGACTATCTTCCTGCGTCCAACCAGCAGCCACCCACACATTGCGTATTGAACCAGCTTGCGCAAGCTAGAAGGTAGCCGCACTTTTCGTTCGTTGGCCACCCCAGCCGGATATGACGGTGTGCACAGATCGATCTGCAACAGACCCATGGATCGATCGGCTCCCGTGCGGCTGGGGCGATGAGATTTGCGAGAGATCCGATGGCGAGGTTTATGACTCGGCCAAGTCTTCGACAAGCTTCGTCGATCAGCGAGCGCAACTTTTCACGTGGTCGACAGTATGGGCAGGTCTGACAGCGAGCCGGCTCGTGGTTGGGACGGCTTGGCGTTGTCCGCTTCGCCTCCGCCTCCGCCAGCCGCTGTCGCTGTCCGATGGCGCCCCTGGCGCACCGTTAGGCGCGTGGAATGAGTTGTTTTCCTTCGCTCCCACTCCGACAAAAAGTCTAAGAACACGACTCGATAACCAGAAATGCTGACCATGATGAGCGCGATAGTTGCCTCAATAACTAGCAAAAATGTGACCGACACGTATCGGATGCGGCCAACTGTGGAGTCGTACTGGAGCGCTAGGCGAGTTGCAGCTACCACGACGCTGAAGATGGACAGGCTCTTGAAGACGAAATTCGCAATAGTGTAAGGGCGAACGTGGTTGGCCATATGAACAAGCAACATGGGTATGGACATAACTGGCAGTCTATCAATTGACATATTCGTTACATTCAGATGGATACGAACCTAGGACGTCGGTCACAATGTCGATAACAGTGACGGCAATTTCCCAAGACCTGGTATCTAAGCCATCGATGTAGCGACATTTCCCTGCACGATTCAGCCATGTCGAGGAGATGGATCAATTCGCCAAGGCATACCTCTTGTAGTGCAGAGTACAATGGGTTGCACAAGTGTGAACAAGAAACCGACGCTACAGAGACCAACGACTGCCCAATAGTGTCTAGTTAAAGCCGCATCAACGTACGCATAGGGCGGCTTATAGAACTTGAATTGGGCGAGGTAGCAGAACTTCACACAATAGATGGCGACCCAAATCAGCTCTATTGCCGCCACGAGGCGGCGCGACGTGTCCGTGTGTCGAGACCATGCGGTAGTATTGTCGGTCAGAGACTCCTCTGTCCAGTACAGCTGGTAAATGACTGATTGGAGGAGCGCAAAGCCGGTCAGCAGGATGGGCACGCCGGCAACAAGAAAGTAATCATTTCCCATCAATTCTCCTTTTGTAGAGGCTCGAAGCGCGAATCGGGAAGCCAAGAAGATGAGCGCGATAGCGCACAGCGTCCACAATGTGACCTAGGGCAGTCAATAGCTGGTCTCAATACCTAAGCGCGTGGGCCATACTGTGTATGTCTTCTCTGAGACGATCCACGATTGCTTGGCGGCGGACGACATGCCTGCGCTCGGAGGAGGTGGATGCTGGTGCAGCCTAGTGGGACATAATGTCGACACCCTCGTGGCAACCCAGGTTATTGGAACCTCGAGACGACCGAATTTGATCGGAAACCTAATGGGATGGTAAATGCGCGTGATGTCGCCGTCCTGAGGAATTGAGTGAGGCTGATAGTGTGTGTCGATCAAAGCTACTGATTGCCGACGGTCGCCGAACTGTGGTCCGAGCGCTACTCCCTCCTAGGATTCCCGACCCAGGTAACACCGACGATGATACCTAGCCCCCTCACAAAGGGACAGAAGCAAATATAGGGGCCACAACATGGCTGAAAGGAGTTTTCAAGGTTGCGGATTCGCACTGTGCTGTGCGATGGACTGTGGAACGCGATCTCCACCCCCCGCACGCGTCTGCCAATTCCCTCACGAAGCGCTGCCTCTCCAACTGTGGCCCATGGCCCACGTATCTTTCCAATTCGCAAGAGACTGATGCCGAAACCTAAAACCTCGTTGGACTGCCAGAAGCTATGGTAGCCAAAATGATCGGATGATGGACATCTGCCGTGAATGACACGAAGAGTCGCGAGCCGACAGGAGCGCCATTCTGGACCGCATGGAAGTCGCAAAACGCATTGATGCTAACCTTCACGAACTGCGTGGCATACAGCCCAGTGAGCTCTCTAGAGTACACCATCTGCACATCTATCTACACCGGTCATGTATGTCGGCATTGGTTGCTTTCTCAAGCAACACATCATCTAGAAGGTATCGTCTTCTGGCACAGAAGCCCAATGTTCACCATCTTCCATGCAACACCAGGACGTCACACGTATAACTGTCGGCACCTTGGGCTCTCACCCTGCCCGTAGACAATCATTTGTGTGATGTAGGTCACATTCACTCCTTCCTTTAACCGGTCTCCCTTGAGGATCTGAAACATCAGGTGCGAAAAGATAGCCGCCTAGCTACGTGCTGGTGAATGGGTGAAGATGGGAGTGAAGATGAAGGTGACGTGAAGATGGAGGTGACATGAGGATGAAGGGGATCGAGCAGTCGCGGCGAATCGCTCCCTCTGCGACTTTCGGGTGCCGTTTCTCTCAACATCGACCCCTCTCTACTACAAAAACCTTTCTTGACCAATGTCCCGACAAAGGCAGGCCGCCCGACGTGGCACCAACTCCCCAGCTGCCAGTCCCAACGTTCCATTTTCTCCCGCAGCCGCCCACGCATCTCGTACACTTCAACCTCTGACCCGCTCTGGATAGCTAGCCGCTAATCTTGCATTAGGAGCGCTGAGCAGAAATTTGCCACGGTGATTGTTGGCCTCACCATGCACATGTTCCTCGTCCACGAGACGCTCCTTACACATTACTCGAAGTTCTTCCGCGCGGCACTTCAAAGAGGTTTCGCCGAAACTGAGCCGAAGACAGTTACCTTGAAGGTCGTCGAGGCTCCTTTGTTTGAAATCTTCGTCCATTGGCTCTATCACCGGCGGCTTCGCAGTGCGGCTTGCAATGACGACAAAGAATTGGTTGCACATTATGAGAACTCCCGCAACCGTACGTAGGGTGGCCTTCTCGGTCGATGGAGCAGTATTGTGGATGTTTTGGTGAAGCTCTACGTCTTCGGAGACGTGTATCAGCTTACCTCCTTCCGGAAAGTCACCCTGCGCACTCTGTTCCATCACTTTCACTCTAGCAAGTTCTTCCCTTTGTACTCTACATTCAATCTTGAATTCGCGAAACTATCCACCAAGGACCCACTGTGCCGCCTCATAGTCGACTGGCCTTGTCGCTACAAGAAGTTTGCTTTTGCCGGCAGCTCCATTGGACTGGATGCCACCTTGCTTTTCCAGATGGCGAATCGATGGATTCGGGTGCTTCACGGACTACCCAGGATGGATGTCCATAAATACCAGCTTCTGCTCCGTGACCATGTGGCCGATGATGAGCACTGAGCATGACCGTCACAGAGGAAAGGAATCGCGGGCGCTTAGACACATCTGTGTACACCGAGGGTGGCGATCGATGTGACAATGGGCTTTGTTGGCAAGGTCAATGCAGGATACTACAGCACTCTATACAGCATATCTGAACTCTCTGTTCTCCAAGTCCGTCAAGTCCAGAAATTCGTGATTGTCCTCAACTTTCCATGCATCCCCCTTCGCTTCCCTCTCTTCATCTCTCTGTCTATTCCTCCTTACAAACACCCACCGCATCAGTATTAAATCGCACGTAATGAGAAAGTACAGAATAACAATAGAAATCTTCGCTGGCAGATAGCGCGGCGCATCGCGAGCCTGGAATGTGTGGGGCGATATAATATTTCCAACTGCATTGGATTAGCATGCGTCCAACCCTTGTGATTGTGATACTTACCAGTATACGCAATCGTCCCAATGACACTAACAGTAATCTTCTTCGTGCTGCCCGCCACATTACTCGCCTGCAAGCCCAAGATTGTCGTCCACCCAATCGGTATCCCCCCACTCAGATAATACCCCACCAGCGCAGGCGCCTTGCTTGTCGTCGCCATTAACACAGCGCCCACAATCGCCGGCACGTGTCCCGCAATGCACGCGTACAGCCGCTGTTCTCTCTTCATCGCAATCCAGGTCAGGCCAACTAGCGCGACAATTTCGTAAGCACCTAAAGGTGTCACGAGAAGGAGGGATTGTTGTGAGGTGTACCCCATGCCTTTGACGAGGATGTTGCCGAAGGAGGTGGCGATGGAGTTTGGGATGTTGGCGGCGAAGATCCAGAAGGCGTAGAGCCAGGTCATGGGGTCTGTCAAAGCTTCCAAAAACTGATTCCATTTGAATGTGCGGCTTCCGATGCCCTGTTCGTTCCCACGAATCCTTTCGATGTGGGCAGTCTTCTCTTCTTGTGTGAGGAATCGAGCGTGCTCTGGTGAGTCCGGGAAGACGAACCAGAACGCGATGCCGACGCAGGCGGTCAGTAGCCCGAGGAAGAGGAAGATTATCTGCCAACCTCGGAGTGCAGCGGAGGGATCACTGCCGACGTGCTTGGAAATGCCGTAGGCGAAGTAGCCGCCGAACATTTGGGCGGCGCCGCAGGTTGAAAACCAGATGCCGACGCGGAAGGCTTGTTCGTTCTTTGTGTACCATTGGGATGTGAAGATTACCCATGCGGGGACGACGACCGCCTCTGCTGCACCAAGCAGGAACCGGCATACTAGGAGGGAAGTATATGACTTGCAGGCGGCGAGAGAGGCGAGGAGAGCACCCCAGATGGTTACGTTGACGGAGACGTAGCGTGCGAGGGGGAAGAGCTGTATCAGGCGGATGGTTGGAAATTCGAACGCGAGTTGGCTATCTCTTGGTTAGAATCGATAGAGGACCGCCTTATGGGGAGTTTTACCCAAAGAAGAAGATAGATGCCACCCAGTTGAACTGGTTGCCGTACAAGTGCGTGCTTTCGATGATTCCAGTCACACTTGCGTACGAGATAGCCGTCTTGTCAATGTACTGCAGAAAATACACTATGCATATCAAAGGCATAACGTGTAGGTCGATCTTTCGTAGCAGTCGCTTGTTCGTTTCGACGTCTATCTCTTGACGTACAATCCCAGCTCCACCGATCAGATTAAGTGCTGCATCGGCGCCCTTCTGCACCTTTGCAGGGTCCGCATGGTGCCCATCCGTACGCGCAGCTTTCGCATCTCCATCGTATCTGGAAGCTCGCCTCGCCACTTCGGTGAAAGAATCTGCGTCGCTCATGGTTTGTCGTGGGTGCAACCAAACGATCTGCGCAGGGAGACCCGCGAAATATACCTTTCACAAAGGCCCTCCACCATCGTGTACTCTCGGATGCGACCGCTGTAAGTGGAGCCTTATCAATGATGTGATATGTGTGTATGTCCGCGACCCATGTACCGATCCTCTACCGAGGGATATCCTCCGTTCACTTGCCGCATTGGGTACTCGCTAGTCGCGATTAATCTGCGGCGCGCAGGGTTGCTACAAGACCTACTCGTATAGGCATTCGGTAGAGCTATATTATAGGGTGTATGAAAGACCCTCATGTGCACTAACGTTGACTTCAGGAGGCTTTTGTGCATGTGGGGGTGTTGCAGCAGTTCATTGGGTGATTGACCTGGGGCTTTTGCCACTTTTGGATTCGCTCGTGAACAACGTTGGAGGAAAATGCACCTCCGCCTCCAGTGCCTAAAATACGATAAAGTATGGAGAGGTGAAGATAATAGCTGAATTGTCCACAGTCGTTGGCTCGGTTCTATTAGGCTGTAGGTATTGCGGGCGACCTAGATCAAGAAAAAATCAGCCTAAAAGAATGAGGAAGATGTCATACTTGGCGAGCACATCCATGTCCAGCGTCAATATCAAGCACTGTGCACAACAGTTTGTCAGACTTTACAAACCTGCCATCTATTTTTAATGTTCATTGTTCCTTTCACGTGATTCCGTGTTCGGCACAGCACGGTCGGGAAAGGTAGAGACGAAGACTCCTGGACGCTTGCCCAACCGTCAACCTATGACAAACGCGCCCCAATCTTCTTTCTTCAGGTACTCTCTCCAAGTGGTCAACTTCTCGTCAATCGGTAGAATCTACATCAAAGTCAGCCCTGGTCGCTACAGGTCGGAAATCGACAAAGAAACACCTCTCCCACGGATTTTGCCTCATCGTACCGCACGCCACTCAAGCATACAGAAAAGGGCGCGCGAAAGACTAAGCGCGCACTCAAATTCACTCACCTCGCTCATCTGCAGCACCCCCTCTCCATGCAACAGCCGTCCCTCGCAATCGCGAAACGCCAACCTACATTGCAAACGAAGTCAGTCCGACATCAACACAGTAGGAATGGAGACCTCGGCGAGAACCTCGGCGAGAACCTCACATCCCTTTGATACCCAAAAGCACAAATTCACCTACCCAGTCTCCCAAACATCCTTCGCCAAGTACTCTTCCATCCGCAACGTCTCAATCGCCTCCCAACTCTCTTCCTCACTAACATGTCTAAACACCACATCCTTCCCCACGACCTCGCCCCAAACACGCAGCTGCTCTTCCGCCGTCACTAGCTCAGGCGCAACTAGACTCAGCGTCTGTCCCATGCACTCCTCGCCTCCTTCCAAAATAGTCCTGGCAGCAACGCCCACATCCTTGACGTCCACAAGCGGTAATTTCGTATGCGGGTAGAACACCGTGTTCCACTGCCAAATCTCTTCGCCTCCCCCATTCACCACCTTCCTCGGCGCAAACACATGCGGAAACTGCATCCACAGCTGCATGTACGTGCCCACCCAGAGCACCGTCGTCTTCCCCCACAGCTCCTCGTGCGTTTGCTGCAACCAATCCACCACCGAGGCTTTGCCGTCGAAGTGCACAACCGATCGGTACCTGCCACTACTTGCTGCGCTAATGGACGGGAGGGACGAGTAAACCAGATGCTTAAGCGTGCGGCTCGCCGCGAGAATGTCCAGTACCCTTTTGGCCTGCGCGACTTCGTGCTCCGCGCCTGGGTCTGGGCAAGAGAAGAAGTCCGTGACGAGAAACACCGCTTCAGCGCCCTGCATCGAGCGTTTGAGAGAGTCGACATGGTCTAGGTCGGCGTGGACGACATCGACGCCGGCGTCTGCGAGCCTGCGTGCCTTCTGGGAAGTGGGGCTGCGGGTCAGCGCGCGGATGGTGTAGGGCGGGTTAGGCAGAGAGAGGAAGTGCGATACGATGGCGCCGCCTTGGTGCCCTGTTGCGCCGAACACGGCGAGGGTGGGCCTCGTAGCTGCGGCGGCCATTGCAATTTGAGCTTCGAACAGTTCTGAGGAGTGGTTTCTGGACGGACGCACAATAACATAGAGAGAAGGTCGCGTCAAAGCTGAGACCACTTCAATGAATAAGGTGTTTCCGTCCACTTCGTGGAAGTCGAACATAGGTGTTGTGGACCTATCAGATGATTTTTTCGCATGTCAGAAGCATGTCAGAAGGTCAGAGAGGGCCAAGACGACGCGGCAACCCACCATGGTGAGAGCCGCTGTTCGAAAAACACGAAGATACGATCACACACGTCCTTGTATCGCGACACTCCGCACATAAGTGTGAGCTGGAGCGTCATCATTATCGATAGCTGCAGTAACAGTGACAAGCCAGTAGGCAAATTGAGACCCCGAAGTCATTCAACATCGTAGAATATCGTAGTACATCTTGCCAACACCACACCTCACCGGCTCGCTTACTGCGGCGGTACAGTCGTGTTCTGCGTTTCCTCCTTGCGCTGCACGAAGCCAAATCTCGGGCTGCCATTATTCATGTCGAAGACCGCGTACATAGCCTTCAACACCGCGTCGCCGTAGATGTCCATGTCCATGCTACCTCTGGACTGGATGCTGCCATACAACATACCATTTCCTGCATCCGCAAAGCCCAGGTCCTCCTTCTGGAATTCTACTTGAGCATCTCCGATGGCTAGCGTGATGGTCGGAAGGTCGTCGGCAGAGGTAGAGGAGGGGAAGATGTAGCCCTGGTTAGACTGGTCGTACTTTGCGCCTGGGATCGCGGCGTAGACTTCTTCTACCAAGGAGTCATCGACGAGGCACAGGGTGGTGCCAGTGTCCATTATGGAGGTATTGGAGGTGCGGGACAGCGTCTTGCCGTTGATGGTTGCGCTGGCGGACGCGATTTGCCAGAAGCCCTGGCTGTTGTCGACGTCGGCGTAGTTGATGCTGGACTCGGTGGCACCGGCGGCAGTGAGAGTCGCTGAGTCGATATAACCGAAGGTATAGAAACTCTGCTGCGTGTCAGCGTGCTGCGGGAAGGATAAGCGAAGGGGGTTAGGTGTAGGTTACCTCGCCCTTATCGGCTTCGTCGCTGTCCCGCCAGCTCCCTAAATATGCGGTGAAGACTTGCTCGCCTGCGCCCTTCTGCGCGATGATGTTGTCGACCGGCGTCTTCTGTGGTTTTGGGGAGACGGTGTTGATGGAGCTGAACGCGAGACCCAACAGACCGCTGCCGTTACCCTGTGAATTGTGTCAGGGTACGCCTTAGGGTTGCCCGTCCCACAGAACCAAAGCAAACGTACCTGGGCAAACTGCTGGCTCAGCTCCTTCGCTAATTCGACCGCCTGACCTTCCACTTTCAGGCCTCCAAGATCAACGGTGTCAGTCCCTACGTCTCCACTCGCACTGCTTGAGTCGCCATACGAGATCTTCCACGTCTCTCCGCTGAGCTTCTTGAACGTGCTCGACTTGCTCGAGTCAAAAGCAACTTGCTGGTTGTCTTTGTTCGCCTGGCTGAGGATATTCGACGGTAGCTCCGTAGACCAGACCTATCACATCATATCAGCACAATTTTCCACGCGTGAAGTGAAATAAAAAACGAACCCAGAGATCACTTGATCCAGTGTCGAAATCAAGGTACAATTTTTGCACCGGGGAGCCGATGCCGACCTCGCACAGATACAGCGAGTCGTTCTGGATATCCTCGGCCGGAACCTCACCAACGTCGCCATCTGATCCGCTTGTTGGTTGTGTGGCCCCTCCGGTGGCTCCTTGGGAAGAGCTTGGGTGATGGTGTCGTTTGGCGAGGACGTAGTGTGACCGCATACGGCCTCCTACGCGGCCGAATTTTCCCTGGGGCTGGAACTGCTTCGCTTGGAAGTAGGGGCCTGGTTTGGTGGGATGAAAGCCATCTAGACCTTACATTAGAAAAAGAAGCAGGAGAATGGGAAAGCTAAGCGTACACTTTCGCATGGCATGGAGGTACGATTTCGTGCCATTTGCTTTGTACACTGGGTTACGCGGAAGGGCGATGCGCTGGAAGGAGGACATGATGCTTTCGTGGTTGTGATGTTTATGTCAGGGAAAAGAAGTACTGATATCGTTGTTCGTACTGTCGTGGGGTGGTTGAAAGGTTGCTGAGAATGGTATGAGAGACGGCAGCACCCCGAGAGCCGCCTTAGATATACCTGTCGGTCCCCATGGCATCATACGCACACGTCGTACCTGAAGCAAACCTGCTCGCCCGCACACTCTCCCCCACACACTCCCCATACACAGTACGCTCTTATCGCCCACGGCTAGTAGACGACCCCACCGTAGCCGTACGCCAGGCGCCAGCCAACCCGCCACAAAACACTCCTCCCTCCCCACCGTGGCCTTCCTAAACTTCACGCCAGTCCACGTTGGGCAAATTGACTGTCCGCAGACAGGGACCCCAAGACACAAGCTTTACCAAGCACCGACAAGCTTCCCTGCTTTCCTTGGTCGAGGCGCGGGTGTGACCGCGCCAGCATGCGCGCTAGTGTCGGCATCTGCTTGCTTGAAACGATGCACGCACAGCGATGCGCAGCGATCCCGGGAAGATGATGTAGACGCACGGCAACATCGAATGATGTGACCAGGCGACTTAGGCGAGTACGTCGTGGCGATGAGGCACGGGCCTAGCAATTGGTTGCACTTTGCAGCTCGATACGGAAGCGCGTGCATATCATCGTGCGCTGGATACCTGGCACCTGGAGGTAGAAATGTGTACGTCTAATACCTATGACGTCACTGCGTTACGCGGCCTGCCGGGCTGCTACAGGAGTGGTAGCGGAGTGTGTGCCAACCACACTGCAGACAACCTCCGCAGGGAGCAGATTAGGTATGATACCGTGGATCGACGGGTGAGCGTGGCGGGGGTACGAGATGGATGGGAAATGTACGGACGAGTGGCTGCTCGGGTTAGAGTTGCTACTGGGCTCACTAGGTCATCGGCTTTAGAGCTCCTTCCGTCTTGCACCGGCATCACGAATGAGGGAGATATAAACCTTCACGGTAACAGCTTTTGCGCGAGGCAAATCTCCATCCATTATAAGAATGCAGATACCTATTCTTCATCCTCGTCTTCATCTTCTTCATCTTCTTCATCGTCGTCATCATCGTCCGCCTCACTCACCTCCTCCCCAAGCTCCTTAAGCCTCTTCTTATCCCTCGCCCTCTTCTCCTCCAAATCCCCAAGCACCACAAACAAATCATCCAACTCCGTCTGCGCCGCCGCGCGCGCCTCTTCCTTCTCCTTGGCTGCCGCCTCGGCCTTCTTCAGCTTCTCATCCTTTTCTTTGACCGCGGCATCAGCCTTACGCATCTTCTCTTCCGCATCCTTGACCTTCCATGTCTGGTCTTGGACTTTGGTTTTAAGCTCCTGAATCTCGGACTTGAGCTTGTCCACCGTGGACTGGAGGTCCTTCGAAGAGGAGATGGACTTGTCAAAAGTGCTTTGGAGGGCGTCTTTCTCGGATTTGAGCTTCTTGATCTGCGCTTCGTTTTCTTGTATCTGGGTCTCGAGCGTGCCTGAGTATGTTGTTAGTACGGCGCGGAGCTGTTCATGAACAACTTCACTCACCCTTCTCCAATGTGACGGCGCCCACTTCATCCCGATGCCTTTGTTCAAGAGAGCTGATTTCGTCACGGTGCCGCTTCTCAAGCGCACTGTTGGCTTCCATCGCCTCCTGGTGTGCGCGACCTGCTTCCTGGAGGCTGCGCTCTAATGCTCCCAGCCGCTCCTCAATCTCGCCACGAACTCTGTTTTCTTGACGAAGCTTGTCCTCGTATTCCCGCTTTGTCTTTGCCACTGCAATTTGAGTCTCCTTGGTAGCCTGTTGCACCTTGTTATTCAGCGCGACAATTTGCAAGTTGTACTTGTTCTCCAGCTCAAGCGACGCCTGTTTGTGTTCGCGTTCTGCTTTCCTCGTGTCGTTTTCGTGATTCCTATGGAGTTCTTCATTGATGCGCTTGATATTGTGGAGTTGTTGCTGGGCATTGTCCTCGATCTTTCGACGCTCTGCGTTCTCCTGGTTGACTTTTTGTTCCAGTGTTAATTTATCGGCCTGGAGCTGTTCGATAGCGTGCTGCTTTTCGTCTATTTGCCCACGCAGCGAGTCAACGAGATCGCGATCGATGCCGTCATGCGACTGAAGGATCTCTTTGACAGGGTCTCTATCGATGGCGCGAGATAGGCGGCTAAAGTTATCCTTCAAGAAGTCTACAAAGGTCTCATCGAAAAAGACATTTGGCAGAGCACCCCCCGAAGCTTGTGGGATGACTTCGAAGTCCCGAACATCAGGATGATGGCGAAGTTCTGCGATAGCATTAAGGTACTTTTCCCGACCCAGCTTCGAAGTCAACAGCGATTGCAAGTCTCGTCTTGGCACTGGCGAGTCCTTGGTAGAGAACTCGTAGATGATGCCAAGTAGCGACGCGCACAAGCCGCGAACAACCGTCAGATCCTGGCCAGGCTTCTGGATTGTTTGGATCAGGCTCTGCAAGCTGCTTGCTTCGCCCAAAAAATCGTTTACAGCGGCGGCGTCCTCGAAGAGCCAGCCTGCTAACAGCATCAAATAGGCAATTGGTATCCGCTCGTCCTCTCCAAGCTGCAAGCTTGCGATCAAGTTTCCAGTCAAGGTCTGGATGCATGTCACAACCTCCTCACCGCTCTCCGCATCGCCTTCGACGACCTGCATGAGTTCATTTTTGGCTTCACGGTCATCGTAGATTAGGTGGAAGACGAGAACCGCAGCGAACCATGTCCGGTACGGGTCGATCACTTGCGAGCTTTGCGGCCCACTGAGTAGGGTGGTGAGGGCATTCGCGGTCTCGTCGGCGCCATCAAGGTGGCCACCGATGGCTCTGCGCAGAAAATGGGCTTTGATCTGGAGATGGTTGAAGATGTAGGCTTTGATGCACTCGCAGGCGGCAAAACGGACATCAAATATGTCATTTGAAGCTGGGGTGAGAGCAAGATCGAGAAGTGCATCAATGATGTACACGGTTGGTGGTTCGTTCGGAGAAGTTGCACCGTTAGTGACAGGCTCGACGATGGGTCGTACTTGTAGCTGTGCAAAGCCTTCTTGCAACCGAGCGTTGGCTCTAATCATATCCGCGCAAACGTTCAAGGACTCAATCTTTATAGGTGTTGCCGAAGCAGGACCAAACGCCATGTTGACAACTTGCTGCAGTATGCCGTGCTTCACAAACGCATTCTGATTGGGAAGCGTGCTGATACTGCCACGGACCAGAAACATGCGCAAGATGGCCAGTAGTCCCCAGAGGTTCTTGTCCGCCTGCGGGCTGACCCAATCGTCCTCTTCTTCCATACCAGGCCGCGCCTTCTTGGGTTTCTTGGCCCCGGGAAGCAGGGCTGCGAGCCTTGCCACATGTCCCATCTCGCGAAAGGCGGTTTGGTTGGACGTGTTGAACCGCACAAGATTCGCAAGCAACGACAAGCAGTCCTGGACGACAATGGTGCCTTGTGTGAGCGACCCGTCGGCCTGAATGAGGTTGAAGATCTTGTCGAAGGCATTTTCAAAGACGATGAGCTTCTGGAGCTCTTCCGAGGTGCGCGAGAGGTCGTTCAAAAGGACCAGGCCTTCGGTGCGGACAGCATCCCGGTGGTCGTCCAGCGTGGCCACCACCTTGCCAACTCCAGTGAGGATACATTCCTGGGTACGTTCGGGTCGCGCGTCGGAGATGGCTCGAATGAGCTGGAGCGAGTATAGGCGCGAGTAGAAGTCGTCGGTGTCGATGAGGCCAAGGAGGATAGTTATGTTATCTTGCCGCTACCATAAGCTCAGCACGGGCAGCGGCAGCAGAGGGAAAAGCATACCTGTGTGAACTCATCGGCCAGCCAGAGCGCAATCTCTTCCGAAGCTTCTGGCTGCTGCTGTTAGCACGGCCTCTATCCAGGGCACTGCAGTGGCCTACACTTTGCTCATTCGGATTGAAGAGCATCAGCAGCGTCTCCAGCACCACCTTGATTGTGTCCACATCCTCTGCATCTCGGTTCAGAGCTGCGATCAGCTCGCGGAGGGACCCCGAGGCTACCGACGCTGGATACTCCTTTGCAAAGCTCCGGAGGCCGAGGATAGCCGCGCGACGGTCCTCGAGGAGGGTTGCGCTCGCGAGGCGGCCGCAGAGGGTGCTGATGGTGTCGGTTGCCGTCTGTTTGGCCGGCGCCTGGAACATGTTGGCGGTGTGCCTCGTCTACCGGATCATGGCGTGCTTGAGTTGTTGTACAAGTGGGGGCTCCTTGCGTGTGGTCTGGCGGGGTTTAGCGATATGCTCCTGTACAATGGGCAGCAGACTCCAAGACGCGGATGCTAGTTCTGGCCTCAGCTATACAGCTGTTCTGTTCTCTCATAAATTCAATGTGATTCGGAGCAGGCCGCATCGGCGGCGCAGGGTCCGAGACTCCGCGCGCTAGTGCCCAGGCTTGGCGCGCTGAAAGGTCTCCTGCGATCGCGACTCTTTTGTCCTTCACCCTCGCCCGCCTCGCAACACGTCGCACAGTCTTCGCTGGGGGTGTCTCTGCATTACTCAACGCGCCCATCTAGGTCGCGTCATCTCATTTTCCTACCGGAAAGGTCGCCGACGCCGCAGCATCCGGGACTGTCTCGCGCCTTCCGTTTCTGTCGCTCACTTCAACAGCAACTGCCTGTAGTGCTTGCTGGAGCCCGTCCCACACTACATACATTTCATCAAGTGTCTAGTGCTTCTCAACTGCGTGGCGCGCTGCCATATACGCATCTTCCGCATCGCCGTAGCCGTGCCGCCCACCCCAACACCCACCACATTACATCCACCTGCGCCGTGAGCGCCCGCTGTCAATATGGGTGTCCCCGCCATGTTTCGCTGGCTCAGCCAGAAATACCCCAAGATCATCTCAAGTGTTGTCGAAGACTTGCCCAAGAAGGTCGGCGATGAAAGCATACCCGTCGACCGCACCCAAGCCAACCCTAACGGCGAGGAGTTCGACAATTTGTACTTGGACATGAACGGCATCGTGCATCCTTGCTCCCATCCCGAGGACAAGCCTGCCCCCAAGACTGAGGCAGACATGATGCTTGCCATCTTTGAGTACACTGATCGCGTTGTCGGCATGGTTCGCCCGCGCAAGCTACTGTATCTGGCTGTCGACGGCGTCGCCCCGCGTGCCAAGATGAACCAGCAGCGCTCGCGTCGCTTCCGTTCAGCTAGAGAAGCCAAGGAAAAAGACGAGGAGAAGGCAGAATTCCAAAAGCTGCTCAACTCTCAAAAGGCCAGCCGTGGCGAGGACATTACAAGTCTGGAGCAGGTCATTGAGAAGACCTGGGATTCCAACGCCATCACACCTGGCACACCTTTCATGTTTCTGCTGGCTGAGAGCTTGCAGTACTGGTGTGCCTACAAGTTCACAACTGATCCTTCTTGGAGAGACATGAAAGTCATCATTTCTGATGCCTCTGTGCCCGGTGAAGGTGAACACAAGATCATGAACTTCATTCGCTCTCAACGCGCTATGCCCACGCACAACCCCAACACTCGTCATGTCATTTATGGTCTAGACGCCGATCTCATCATGTTGGGTCTTGCCACTCATGAGCCCCACTTCCGCGTGTTGCGAGAGGATGTCTTCTTCGATTCTGGCAAAGATAAGAGCTGCACCAAGTGCGGTCGCAAGGGACACATCCGTCCCAATTGCCCTCACCCCGATGATGGCTCCAAATTGACCGAAGAGGAGGCCAAGGATGAGTGGGCTGCTGCAGAGCATCCCCTCAAGCCTTTCATCTGGCTCCACATCAATGTGCTGCGTGAGTACCTCGCAGTAGAGATGGACGCACCCGGACGCAAATTTCCACATGATGTAGAGCGAGCACTGGACGACTGGGTCTTTATGTGTTTTTTCGTGGGTAATGATTTCTTACCGCATCTTCCCAGTCTTGAAATCCGCGATCAGGGTATCGACTTGCTCACCAAAATCTGGCGCGACCTGCTACCGCAGATGGACGACTATGTAACCAAGAATGGCTTCCCCAACATGGTCCGCGTGGAGCAGATTTTAGGAGCTCTCGCCCGCCAAGAGGCGGAGATTTTTCGCAAGCGCAAAGAGGTATCCGATCGACAAGCAGCGAAACGTGCTCGATTCGGAGATCGTAACAAGAATAACGGACAACCTTCCTGGACTCAAGCTCCTCCGGCCAAGCGTCGCAAAGAGGACACGAACACCTACCTCGATGCCGGCATTCCCTTCTTCTCCCCTCAAGATGCCCAATCAAACGAAGTCCGTGCTGTGTCAAAAGAGATGCTGGCGAACAAGAACCAAACTAACAAGAGTGCTGCCCAAAAGCTCAAGGAACTGATGAAAGCCAAAGCGGAGGGTATAGCTCCTCCGGCTGAGAGCGAGGGTCCTGACTCGGAAACCACCTCACGATCCGGCACAGAAACGCCTGTCCAACTCGGAAAGCGCGCGCACGACGCGATAGAGGACTCTGACAACGGTACCCCAGGTGGAAGCACGCCTGCAGTCCCCCAATCGCCAGCGCCATCACAACAAAACAAAGATGGAGAGATGCCGGAGGATACCGTCAAGCTCTGGGAGCCCGGCTACGAGGAGCGCTACTACATGCAGAAGTTCAATGTAGAGCCTGACGACATTGAATTCCGCCGTAAGGTCGCCCGGTCGTATACCGAAGGTCTCTGCTGGGTGCTTGCGTACTACTTCCAGGGTTGCCAGTCGTGGACCTGGTACTTCCCGTATCACTACGCCCCTTTTGCTTCTGATTTTGTTGGGATATCAGATATGGATCCCCACAAGATGTTCAACAAAGGCAAGCCCTTTCATCCGTACGAGCAACTCATGGGAGTACTTCCCGCTGCCTCGAACCACGCGATCCCAGAGCCGTTCCGTGTTCTCATGTCGGACCCTAACAGCCCTATTGTCGACTTCTACCCCGAGGACTTCACTATTGACCTGAATGGAAAGAAGTTTGCATGGCAAGGCGTCGCCATTCTGCCTTTCATTGATGAGAAGCGGCTGCTTGATGCTATGGCTACCAAGTCCCACCAACTCACTGAAGACGAGGTGAAGCGCAACGAGTTCGGCAAAGAGACTTTGATGTTCTCTCAGACCGGAAAGCTTTTCCAGTCTATGAACAAGATGATCTACGGCAAGGGTGAGAAGAAGGTACAGATCGACCACCAACACAGCGACGCTCTCCACGGCCACGTCGAGCCGCATGAGATGTTCATTCCGGACAGCCAGCTTGTTCCTCCTTTCGACGCCGATGGCGAAGAGTTTGACATTGTGCAAGACGGGTCAATCAGGTACGTTCTGTGCTCGCACAATTCTACAACCCTATTAACCTAGAGCAGAGTCTACTATGAGATGCCCAAGATCGAAGCAAAGACGGCCCACAAATCCGTGCTCCTCAAAGGCGTCGACATGCCTACGAAGATGCTCAACGAAAACGACGAAACGAATGTTCGCCGCCAGCAAAACGGCCGAGGCGGTTTCCGAGGTGGTCGCGGCGGCGGTCGCGGAGACTACCACAGCCACAACAACCAGCGCTCGGGCGGCGACAACTACAACAATAATAACCGTGGAGGCTACGGAAACGACCGCGGCGGTAGGGGAGGCTACAACAACAACCGCGGAGGATACAATAGTGTTGGACGCGGCGGCTACAACAGCTTCCAGCCACCTGCTGGCTACCCGCCGCCACCGTTCCCCATCCCAGGCATGAACGGGCTGCCTCCTCCACCTCCAGGCTGGGTCCCACCCCCGCCTCCCGGTCTGGAGGCTTGGGGCGGCAACGGTAGACCACCTGTGCAACATCCCGTCGGCCAGCAACATTGGGCTCCGCCGCCGCAGCATGCGCCGCAGGGCTCGTCGCTGCCGAATTACCGTCCTGCGAACGAGATTCTGGGACATAACGGTGGCGGTAGAGGTGGTGGTGGGTACAATAATGGTGGTCAGCAGCGAGGAGGACGCGGTGGAGGAGGAAGGGGAGGATATGGCGGTGGTGGGCACAATAATGGTGGCGGTCAGCAAGGGAACGGGTACAACAACCACCGCCGGTTCTAGTATGATGGGTGGTGGTATTAGTTTACCCTGGAGTGCTGGTGGTGAATGAGGTCTTACCTTGCAAGTCTGCGCCTCGTACTCCGTGAAGGAGTGGCCTGCTCGGGTTTCGCCTACAGAGGGCTGCACCAGCCCTAATATCGAGGAAAACGACTTGTCTCGCGATGCAGACAACTTGTGTATGATTCTCTGTTTTGCCTAGATAGCCTTGTTTTGTTTCTTGCTGGGGTGCTCTTGAGAAAATGCAACTTTTGGAAACCGATTGCAACTGCACGCCGTGATGCCCCTGGACGGTGAGGTCAAAATTTCCAACTACAGAAACACGTATGCCTCCTCATAACGCAACACAGCTCGTATGCACCTTGACCGATCAAATATGAATGTCTTGTGCAGATTTGTGGTTGCGGACATCGTATAATTATCAGGATTTAATGTTGCAGGGGTCGTTCTTGACTACCCCGCAGCGTCGACCTTGGGAAATGTCTGTCTCGGGGATGAGACGAGCACTGACTCTGACATTTCCAGCCGTTCGGCCATACAATTCCGTGGATCAATATGTACCAGCGGGGCCGGCTACATCGCAACTAGTCGCCCCATGCGACGTCGATGACGTCGACCCTTACACCCTCAACAGCGGCGCAACAATACCATCCACAGAGCTCGGTGTACTGAATGCATCTTTTTCCACACAAATCTCCCAGGATCCCAATCACCCACAGAATCATGGACTTCTCCAACTCCGCCCTCCCCGCACACTATGGCCTCAACTTCACGCCCACATTCCACTCCAGAATCCCAGCAAACATCTCGCACACTGCATCCACCCTGCCCCAGCCCTTTGTAGTCGTAGTCACAGGTGCGGGAAAAGGTCTGGGTTACCATATCAGCCTCGAGTACGCGCGTGCCGGCTGCTCAGCTCTGGCCATTTCCTCGCGCACGGAATCGGACCTGGACAAGCTGGAGGGGGAGATTGCGAGTATTAGCAAGAAAAACGTGGCGGCTGGCGGAGGAAGGGAGATTGAGGTGTTGAAGGTTGTCGCGGATGTGCAGAGCGACGCCGACGTCGCGAGGCTCGAGCAAGAAGTGCGTGCGAAATGGGGACGCGTCGACGTCGTCATCGCCAACGCGGGCGTGATATCAGCGTACATAACGCCGTCTTCGCCGGAAGAGAGTAATCTGCCCAGGGGAATCGTGCAGGATGGGGATTGGGCAAGGGTCCTGGATATCAATCTCAACGGTGTTTGGCGCGTGAGCAAGGCGTTTGTGCCGTTGCTGGCTCAGACGAAAGATGGCCCGCAGACGATTATTGCGAGCTGTAGCATGGCCGCGCACAGCGTCGTTAGTGATCTAACGCCGATTGCGTACAACGTGAGTAAAGCCGCAGTCATGCGGTTGATGGAGTGTGTGGCGAATGACCATAGGAAGGAGGGTGTGCAGGCGTGAGTTTCCCATCCTTTTCTCATACACTTCGGATAGAGGGTGGTGGGTGGTGCTGACGTTGACGAAACAGGTTTGCGCTGCATCCCGGAGCGGTGGTAACGCCGCAGACGAAGAACCACGCAGGAAATAATTGGACTGGAATTTTGGCCGATGACGAGGGGCTTGCGGGAGCGTTTTGTGTGTGGTTGAGCAAGCAGAAGAGGGCGTGGCTAAGTGGAAGGTTTGTGAGTTGTAATTGGGATGTGGAGGAGCTGGAGAAGAAGAAAGATGAGATTGTGAAGGGTGATTTGTTAAAGTATAGAATGGTTGTGTGAGGCGTCTACTAATCGATCTGGATGTATCTTCGTGGAGACACAAGGAAATAAGACTGGGTTGGGTTGCAAATTCATACCAAAATTATTAAGCATAAGCAGTGAAACGAAGGTGAGATGGTAGGCGAGGAGTGCGAAGTGAGTACAGAGACATGATTTCAATAGTCGACGCCACATAAGGAAAGTAGTTACATGTTCCCGAAATAACCCAACATTTCCGCGCAAGACATTATCTCTGCTATTCACCCATCACACTGTGCGCCTAGATATGACTGTATTTCTTATCTGATCCTTCACCGTAACTTTATCACCCACGATGCTAGCTGTTTCGTAGGATCAGGTAGCTCACCCCAGGGTCCTCAGCTGCCGGACAATTTCCACGCCCCGTATTTCAACGCCGCCATCAGATAGCAGTCACACACAATCCTATATTCACCCTCGCCGAGCTGACGTAGGATAACCGGGTTCCGCAATCCGTCGAGTGCGGCAACAGCACGATCATTCAACGTGAACCGCAAGCCAGAGTAAATGAAACCGATGCTGTGCCTTGTACGAAACATTGTCAGCTCAGGATTTGCTTCGGAAGCTGCCTTCAGAATTCTTCATATGGCTCGGCATTCCCAAAAACTTACTCCTTTGACCGCGCAGTCGGCCATTTGCGGAGCCATGACACCCTCTCTCGTAAGCGAGGAGCAAGTCCAAATGTGCTCTGAAGCTTGATCAGGGATCCCCGGACGCTCGTTCCTTATGTAACGGGTCGTTTTGAACGGAATCACAGCCGCCGTAGAAGGGTAGGGCTATCGTATTTTCCGGCAAATTGCCATGTGTTCCGCTAGAAACAAAGGACCAGGATTCCTCCGATGCGCGAGCATAATCCCCCGCTGAGGTCCTCAATACCCCTTCGTCTTGCTCGATTATATCTAGAAAATGTGATATCACTCGCAAGCCACTCTGCGCGTCCGACACTTCAAATGCTGGTGAGCTTCCTGTGTTGCAGTTCCAAGAACCAATCGAATCACGATTGAACTGGGGAGTAATTAGATGGAGTATGCCCAATTCCTGGCTACCCCAGTCAGGAAGCCAAAACGGCCAATATGACCCTTGGGTGAGAGCAGGGGAAAACGCCCATAAGTAAGCGGATTTAAAACTGTCAGGGGTTGAAAGAAACCCGAAGTAGTAACTGAGAACTCGTGAGTCGTTTCTTTGAAGAATGATGACCGGAGTGGCCATGACGTATACGGTGACTTTTTAAAGCGTAGTCGACCGGAATCAGCGATCTTGCGTGAGAGTCGAGAAGACTAAGAATGCCGAAAATTTTGTCACACGGATCAGAAGCTACACACCCCGTGGTCGCAAGCAAACACTCCAATAAATCAGGTGGCCCTCCATCTTGTTTTCTCATTCCTGGTGCCCAGTGTAGAGGTCCAGGAAGACTGCTCTTTGGCCCTTTCACATTTGTTAGATCTTGAAGCCGCAAGACTGTGTTCCAGCGGTTTCCGTCAATCACGATATGCTCGGTGCTGGTCAAAATGTGGACAATTTGCGCGAGGGCAACTTCCTGTATAACCCAAACACGATGGAACCATCTCGAGCAAGCAAGGTCATTCGCTTGATACGCAAGTCCAAGCGGATTCGTACGGTCACGTGGATATCTCCCAGTTGGGTCGTTTAAGTAATTGAATAGAAAGGTGAACTTGAGCTTTGGAGTGGCGAGGTACACAAATACTCTGCGTGCGCGATTGTAGATATCGTTTCCCTCTTGGTCTTCGAAAGTCGCCACGCTAGCTCGCGTCAGCCTGCTGCACACTCTCGCTGAACTCTCAGGCCAGTAAGTGTTGAGAATTTTTTTAGGCCGAGTTATATGAAGGCTCAGTAGGTTCTGTATAATACTGTGGGAAGACCAGAGACAATGGACACTCGTCCGGCTTCGATGAAGATCGAATTCATACTAGCGCAAAATCAGTGTGCTAGCGGCCTTTCAAGCGCGCGCGGCATGTCACATCGTATGAACGAGACAACCCAGAGGACAGCAAGTCATCAAGAACAAGCTTCTGGCCGACGCCTCGCACAATCCAGAAAGAAGGCAAATTCACCTGAACAACACGCACACACAGCCGGCAGCTCTTGGCGTGTTGCGACACCCTAAAGGACGCAAGATCTTTCGAGCGCGCGATTTAGACCCTAGCAGGCGCGCTCCATCTCACCCGCGCATGAACGGCGTCAGGTTACGATGGGACATCGGATCAAGAATACCAGTCGATTGCCTATCTGCGTATACTTGCTCAAAAAGAATGGAACTGGACCTACCAGTCGAGCACGACATAAAGTTGCACACACAAGTGCAAGACTCACCTTCAGAGCACGAAATGTATGAGCAGTCACGACATCAAGACCTACCGTTCGAGCAGTAGCAATGGCATCGCAAAGAAATTCACTTACCGGGTCGTTGGCACCGTCGCCGTCGCCCGGTCTACCACCGCCGGGAAGAGTTGTGGTAGGCTCACCATCGTCGCCGTTGCCCTGTTCTAGAGGTGTACTATCGTCGGGAGGAGTTGTGGTAGGCTCACCATCGTCGCCGTTG